CTAGGTCGCAGGGTGCTAGGTCGCTGGGTGCCAGGTCGGTGGGTGCTAGGTCGGCGGGTGCTAGGTCGGCGGGTGCTAGGTCGGCGGGCGCTAGGTCGGTGGGTGCTAGGTCGGCGGGTGCTAGGTCGGCGGGCGCTAGGTCGGTGGGTGCCAGGTCGGTGGGTGCTAGGTCGGCGGGTGCTAGGTCGGCGGGTGCTAGGTCGGCGGGCGCTAGGTCGCTGGGTGCTAGGTCGGCGGGTGCTAGGTCGGCGGGTGCCAGGTCGGCGGGCGCTAGGTCGGCGGGTGCCAGGTCGGTGGGTGCTAGGTCGGCGGGTGCTAGGTCGGCGGGTGCTAGGTCGGCGGGCGCTAGGTCGGTGGGTGCTAGGTCGGCGGGTGCTAGGTCGGCGGGTGCTAGGTCGGCGGGCGCTAGGTCGGCGGGTGCTAGGTCGGCGGGTGCTAGGTCGGCGGGCGCTAGGTCGGTGGGTGCTAGGTCGGCGGGTGCTAGGTCGGCGGGTGCTAGGTCGGCGGGTGCCAGGTCGGCGGGTGCTAGGTCGGCGGGTATAAGGTCGGCGGGTGCTGGGTCGCCGGGTGCTAGGTCGGCGGGCGCTAGGTCGGTGGGTGCTAGGTCGCTGGGTGCTAGGTCGGTGGGCGCTAGGTCGGCGGGTGCTAGGTCGGTGGGTGCCAGGTCTCCGGGTGCTAGGTCGCTGAGTGCCAGGTCGCCGGGTGCTAGGTCGGCGGGCGCTAGGTCGGTGGTTGCTAGGTCGCCGGGTGCTAGGTCGGCGGGCGCTAGGTCGCCGGGTGCTAGGTCGGCGGGCGCTAGGTCGCTGGGTGCTAGGTCGGTGGGTGCTAGGTTGGCGGGTGCTAGGTCGCTGGGTGCTAGGTCGGCGGGTGCTAGGTCGGCGGGTGCTAGGTCGGCGGGTGCTAGGTCGGCGGGCGCTAGGTCGGCGGGTGCCAGGTCGGTGGGTGCTAGGTCGGCGGGTGCTAGGTCGGCGGGTGCTAGGTCGGCGGGTGCTAGGTCGGTGGGTGCTAGGTCGGCGGGCGCTAGGTCGGCGGGTGCCAGGTCGGCGGGTGCTAGGTCGGCGGGTGCTAGGTCGGCGGGTGCTAGGTCGGTGGGCGCTAGGTCGGCGGGTGCTAGGTCGGTGGGTGCTAGGTCGGCGGGCGCTATGTCGGTGGGTGCTAGGTCGGCGGGTGCTTGGTCGGCGGGTGCTAGGTCGGCGGGTGCTAGGTCGGCGGGCGCTAGGTCGGCGGGTGCTAGGTCGGCGGGTGCTAGGTCGGCGGGTGCTAGGTCGGCGGGTGCTAGGTCGCCGGGCGCTAGGTCGCTGGGTGCTAGGTCGGCGGGCGCTAGGTCGCTGGGTGCTAGGTCGGCGGGTGCTAGGTCGGCGGGTGCCAGGTCGGCGGGCGCTAGGTCGGCGGGTGCCAGGTCGGTGGGTGCTAGGTCGGCGGGTGCTAGGTCGGCGGGTGCTAGGTCGGCGGGCGCTAGGTCGGTGGGTGCTAGGTCGGCGGGTGCTAGGTCGGCGGGTGCTAGGTCGGCGGGCGCTAGGTCGGCGGGTGCTAGGTCGGCGGGTGCTAGGTCGGCGGGCGCTAGGTCGGTGGGTGCTAGGTCGGCGGGTGCTAGGTCGGCGGGTGCTAGGTCGGCGGGTGCCAGGTCGGCGGGTGCTAGGTCGGCGGGTGCTAGGTCGGCGGGTGCTGGGTCGCCGGGTGCTAGGTCGGCGGGCGCTAGGTCGGTGGGTGCTAGGTCGCTGGGTGCTAGGTCGGTGGGCGCTAGGTCGGCGGGTGCTAGGTCGGTGGGTGCCAGGTCGCCGGGTGCTAGGTCGGCGGGTGCTAGGTCGGTGGGCGCTAGGTCGGCGGGCGCTAGGTCGGTAGGTGCTAGGACGGCGGGCGCTATGTCGGTGGGTGCTAGGTCTCCGGGTGCTAGGTCGGCGGGTGCTAGGTCGACGGGTGCTAGGTCGGCGGGCGCTAGGTCGGTGGGTGCTAGGTCGGCGGGTGCTAGGTCGGCGGGCGCTAGGTCGGTGGGTGCCAGGTCTCCGGGTGCTAGGTCGCTGAGTGCCAGGTCGCCGGGTGCTAGGTCGGTGGGTGCTAGGTCGGCGGGCGCTAAGTCGGCGGGTGCCAGGTCGGTGGGTGCTAGGTCGGCGGGTGCTAGGTCGGCGGGTGCTAGGTCGGCGGGTGCTAGGTCGGCGGGTGCCAGGTCGGCGGGTGCTAGGTCGGCGGGTGCCAGGTCGGCGGGTGCCAGGTCGGCGGGTGCTAGGTCGGCGGGTGCTAGGTCGGCGGGTGCTAGGTCGGCGGGTGCTAGGTCGGTGGGTGCCAGGTCGCCGGGTGCTAGGTCGCTGGGTGCCAGGTCGCCGGGTGCTAGGTCGCTGGGTGCCAGGTCGCCGGGTGCTAGGTCGGCGGGCGCTAGGTCGGTGGGTGCTAGGTCGCAGGGTGCTAGGTCGCTGGGTGCCAGGTCGGTGGGTGCTAGGTCGGCGGGTGCTAGGTCGGCGGGTGCTAGGTCGGCGGGCGCTAGGTCGGTGGGTGCTAGGTCGGCGGGTGCTAGGTCGGCGGGCGCTAGGTCGGTGGGTGCCAGGTCTCCGGGTGCTAGGTCGCTGAGTGCCAGGTCGCCGGGTGCTAGGTCGGCGGGCGCTAGGTCGGTGGGTGCTAGGTCGCCGGGTGCTAGGTCGGCGGGCGCTAGGTCGCCGGGTGCTAGGTCGGCGGGCGCTAGGTCGCTGGGTGCTAGGTCGGCGGGTGCTAGGTCGGCGGGTGCTAGGTCGGCGGGTGCTAGGTCGGCGGGCGCTAGGTCGGCGGGTGCCAGGTCGGTGGGTGCTAGGTCGGCGGGTGCTAGGTCGGCGGGTGCTAGGTCGGCGGGTGCTAGGTCGGTGGGTGCTAGGTCGGCGGGCGCTAGGTCGGCGGGTGCCAGGTCGCCGGGTGCTAGGTCGGCGGGTGCTAGGTCGGCGGGTGCTAGGTCGGCGGGTGCTAGGTCGGTGGGTGCTAGGTCGGCGGGCGCTAGGTCGGCGGGTGCCAGGTCGCCGGGTGCTAGGTCGGCGGGTGCTAGGTCGGCGGGTGCTAGGTCGGTGGGCGCTAGGTCGGCGGGTGCTAGGTCGGTGGGTGCTAGGTCGGCGGGCGCTATGTCGGTGGGTGCTAGGTCGGCGGGTGCTAGGTCGGCGGGTGCTAGGTCGGCGGGTGCTAGGTCGGCGGGCGCTAGGTCGGCGGGTGCCAGGTCGGCGGGTGCTAGGTCGGCGGGTGCTAGGTCGGCGGGTGCTAGGTCGGCGGGCGCTAGGTCGCTGGGTGCTAGGTCGGTGGGCGCTAGGTCGGCGGGTGCCAGGTCGCTGGGTGCTAGGTCGGCGGGTGCTAGGTCGGCGGGTGCTAGGTCGGTGGGCGCTAGGTCGGCGGGTGCTAGGTCGGTGGGTGCTAGGTCGGCGGTTGCTAGGTCGGCGGGTGCTAGGTCGGCGGGTGCTAGGTTCCTCCCGCCACCTGGGATCCCTCGCCCCTGCTACCTCAATACCCTCGCCCTGGCCACCTCATTACACTCGCCCATGCCACCTTAAGAACCCTCGCCCCTCCCACCTCGATACCTTGCCCCTGCCACCTCAGAACCCTCACCCCTGCCACCTCCGTAGTAGAAAAGGAAGTCAAATAAGTTACATGTCCCGTTGCGTGCAACAGGAAACTGAAGATGCGTTGCTCTCAAGCACCCAGCAGGGTGGGTGCAAAGCTCACTTGCTACTCAACATATATTGACAGGCGACTCCGGCCTTCTCCGCGACTAGATCGGTTCCCGCCGAGCCTCTCCAAACCTATGGCAAGTGCGCTCTCAAAAGCCTAGACACACACATTTCGTAACACACAAAACACACTCGTCACTTTTCAGCTCGCCTTGCCCCTTTTGCCTTTCGCCTCTCGGATTGCTCCCAGCGGCGTGTTAGTCAGCAGGGAATGAAAAAAATTCAGGGTAACAAAAACTGTCCTTTTGACAAACACCAAGCTGGTGCACGACACCTACCGCAAAACCTCGCCGCTGCGGACAGAGACATACACCAGACGGCTATAAACGGGTCGAACCGCTTTAAAAACGCGGGTACGGTGATCAAATCCCTAATCCACACACATAGAACCACACGCACACACATGCTACCATACCTCGCTCGTCGCTCTCACCTCTCTCCCACGCTCATTAGACAACATGCTGGAAAGACGACGTAACGCCTGCCCGTCGCCAAGCAAGCGCCACTCGGCCTCGCAGGCTTACCCCTACGCCGCCTAAACGCTCAACCGATGACACCACTCTCACATTCGCTCGATACGGGCTCATTTCCTAACGCATTATCCGACTTTATCCTTCCTGACAGCTGACAGCTGCCAACGGTTTATAACAGAGCTGCAATCCCTGCAGGCTCCCAATCCAATCCGCTCTCTCATCTTGAAACGCTGGGGGCAAGGAAGTGCGGCGAATTCCTCCACATCCCTCTCTCCATGTCCCGCCATGCGCGTGTACATACATGCTCCGCTCTCTCCCCTCCACACCAGCACCAGCAGCGCCTAACGAAAGGACGCATTTGCTTTCTGATTCATACCTCGGGTTCGTGCCTTGACGTACAAGCAGAAAACGAGCTCACTAAAAGCAACAGACGCAGCAGAAAGCACTGCTCATATCGCTACAGTGCGTTTAAAAACACACATTACCAGACACAGAACACACAAGACACAAACTGACACGAACGAGTATCCTCCTCGCAAGGGCTCACAGAATTGCTGACTCAATCGATCGACTCGAAAAGACACACTACACCTGCCGGGACAGACCCATGGGTCCATCGCACCATCCACAAACCAATTTGGTTGCCTCATCCCCCCAGCATTCTCACCCTCCTCAAAACACCCTGCAAACCCTCTCCTAAACCTTTCCTCTTCTCCTAACTCCCCTCACTGCCTTCACTGCCTGTGGGTAACAAAGCCATTAAACGCTCCCTCCACTTCCCCCCTCCTCCCGATCCTTCCCGCTCCCCATGCACCCTTTCTCCACCCTGCACCACCGCCACTTACTCCACGCCCTCAATCTTGTCCTCTACATCCATGTACAACTGCCTCAACCGCTCCAACTGCTCCGGCTTGGCGTCCCAGTAACCGCGACCGTTAGCCTCCAGGAACGTCGCAACCAACTTCCGGAAGCTGTTGGGGTTGGTACTCATCAGCCGCTGCGCCATCGCCTCGTCCTCAATGAACGTCGAGTTGGCCTCGTCGTACACCCAATTATCCACCATACCCGACGTGGCCGACCAGCCCATGGTGTTCGTCATGCGCTTCTGGATCTCCCGTACGCCCTCGTACCCAGATGCCAGCATGCCCTCGTACCACTTGGGGTTCAGCAGCTTTGTACGGGCGTCCAGTCGTACCGTCTCGCCCAGTGTACGGACTTGGGCGTTGGCGGTTGTGGTGTCGGCGATGTAGGCGTTGGGGGTGCGACCGTCGTTGCGGAGGGAGGCGACCAGCTTGGTGGGATCGGAGTCGAAGTAGTGCGACACGTCGGTGAGGGAGATCTCCGAAGAATCCAGGTTCTGGAAGGTCACGTCCACAGTCTTCATGGCCACCTCGAATACGTCGCGCTGCATCTCACCTCCTGCCCCGGGCCTGCGGAGTGCGGGGGCGGGGACATACGTGAACACGTAATGCAACAGCAGTGGTTGTGAGGTGTAGTCCAACTGAGACAGGAGGCTAGCGAGAGAGCTAGTGGGTTACACTCCCTGGGGCTCGATTAACACAGATCATTGTTTCACCAAACACACCGCAGTCGACCGCATGTGCCCCACTCCTGTCCCCCTGCCCCACCCCCCTCTTCCCCAACCGCGCCCCCCCCAACTACAGTTATTTGCTACTCCAACTATCCAGCTTATTGCGGATTCTGTTTCCAAATTAACCCCCCACCTGTCCGAGTTGAATGCGTACGACTTGCGCTTGAGGTACATCTCCTGCAGCTGAGACTCGTCGCTCCAGCTGCTGTTCTCCACTGCCAGGTTGACGTTGGAGGAGTAGGAGCCGGAGCTGTTGGAGAACACGCGGGTGGCGGCGTCGCGCACGCTCTGCAGGCCCAGCTCGGCGGCCTGGGGGTTGCGGGGGGTTACCGGGGTGCGTGGGTAAGGTGATTAATGGGGATTAGGGGTTAGGGGAGGGGAAGGCGTTAAGGGATGACCAAACCAGTGTATATCTACAAACTCTGGGAAGGAGGTAATAGGGCCCAGGGCCGGGAGCTTTTCCTTCAACATAAACACCTTCCTCTCACGTCTCCCACCTGCTGCTTGGCGTGCTTGCGCACAAAGTTCATCTCATCCGGCTCGTCCTGCTCCGCCGCCATCTTGATCGCGCGGTCCAGCAGCAGCATCTGGTTCACAAACAGATCGCGGAACACACCGCTGCAGTTGACCACCACGTCCACGCGGGGGCGACCCAGCTCCTCCAGGGGGATCACCTCCAGCTTGTTGACACGACCCAGCGCGTCGGGGACCGGCTTCACGCCCACCTGGGTGAGGTACGGCAGCGGTACGGCAATGGTACGGCAGTGTTACGGCAATGGTAAACAAGAGGAAGGGATGTATTGGGAGGTGGTATGGGAAGGCGACGTGTCGGGAGGGGTATGTCGGAGCTCTAGGATATGACCAGTTCAATCATCAACACACATACTTGCATGCTAGACGTGCATAATATGAACCACGCATATCTCGAAATCGTGATGAAATGTTGATCAATACAAAAGTGCAAAAGAACAAAAGTGCAAGTGACCTACCACCACCACCACCAGTCCTCACCCCCACCCCTTCACCCCCCGCCCCATCACTCGCTCACCATCATCATGACCTGCGCCAGCGACTCGCCGTACGTCTTGATGTTGTCGGTCCCCCACAGCACCAGCGCAATGGTCTCCGGGTACTTGCCGCCGTTGTTGTCACGCTCGCGGTCCAGCAACCGGTCAACAACCAGCCGGGCGCTCTTCAGGGCGGCCTGGAGGGGATATAGATAAAGGGGGGGGGAAAAAAGAAATTCCAAAGTGTGGTATGATAATGATACAAGTAGGGGGGGGAGGTAGGAGGTTGTGGGTGAGTGGGTAGGTGGAGGTGGGTGGTGGTGGTAGCCGGGCGCTCTTCAGGGCGGCCTGGAGGGGGAGTGGGAGGTGGACGGGGGGTGGTAGGGTTTGAGGTGGGGTTGAGGTCAAATGGTACAAGGGGTAAACAGAGAAAACTAACAAGCTGCACGACGAGGGGACTTCACCATGGGTGGTGTATCTGGGGTGGGTTGTAGAAGGGGTACGTAGAGGTGCGGTGGCGTGGGTAGGAGGTGGATGTGGTGGTGAGTAACGACAAAAAAAAAGTGCAGGACGCGCAAATGGGTGGTAGGGTGATGGGGCCCCAAGGATGTAGGACAAGCGCTCCCCTCATGTGCATCACATCCCGCATCTGTCGTACGATCACATCTCCTGTGTCGTACCTGCGTGGGAATGGACTGCGGGTCCAGCGCGTGGATGTTCTTGCCGGTGGGCAGCACGTTGGGGTTGCGGATGGGGTCGCCGCCGGGGCCGGGCTCCACGTACTGCCCGGCCAGCGCCTCCACCAGCGCACCCAGCTCGTTGTCCTTGACAATCTGGGGTTGTGGGGTGGGGGGAGTGGGGGCGCATGCTGGACATCTCAGATGACATCTAGCAAACATACATTCACTGCAGCAAATTTGGAGTTGGGAGTGTACAGACATTAGTTCGGGCTGGGTTCCGCTCGTTTCTCCCTCGCTTACAAATACAAACCCACCTACATCCCCATGGGTGTAGCCAAAAGCCGAACGGGAGCCCGCACAGCTGCTTTAACCCACACCCACTCACACTCCAACACCCCACACTCCCCCACCCCGCTCCCACCTGCGTGAGGCAGAACTCCAGGAAGTTGAACAGCGTGATCAGCTCCTGGCGGTCAGCCGAGGCGAACTCGCCGTTCTGCAGCCCCCTGACCCATGGGTCAACGTAGAAGCCCGTGAACTTGAGCAGCTGCGTGAACCAGTTGGTGCCGATGCGGCCGTTCAGGCCGGTGCGGTCCTTCACAAACTCGCGGACGCAGGCGCGGGAGGCCTCCGTGATGCGTTGCAGGGTGTCTACATCCGCCAGGACGCCCTTGTTGTTGCCGGTGTAGATCTGTTGTTGGGTGTATGGCAGCTTCCGGCGTCAGTCGGATCTCGGAGCGCGTTAAGTTGCGCACGGTAACTAAGAAGGAACAGAAAACGAAACGTCTTCTGTTTCGCCAAATCGGGCGTTAAGGTGGCTAAGGCTGTAACATATATGCATAACCGCGGCTCATCAGGACCCCACTCACCTGCTCAATGTCGCGGCCCATGGCACGCGCCAAGATGCCCGGTAGCCCCTTGATCGGCGGGTTGTTCTCCGGCCGGTCCAGTTCCGCAATGTTGACCAGCGTCGCCACCGCCTCCTCCGCCGTGGGGGGGCAACCCACGACGTGCAGGCCGCAGGGCAGCAGCCGCGACTCGATCTCCATCAGCTTGCGGTACACGTTGCCGATGACCTGGTCCCGCTGATCGATGGATAGGTCCTTGGCGTCGCATTCGGGCATCTTGACGTCCTGTTTGGGAAGGAGGGGGAGGAAGGAGGAGGAAGGAGGAGGTGGGGGCGGGTGGTGAGTGCAGGAGAGGAAAATAAGACCTGCGGGTGGAACAGAGGAACAGAGGATACTCACGGCCAGGGGGTTATCATTACCCACTCACACATTCTACTTTAACACACATTAACGCCAGCATGCCATAACACGCACGTTCCTCCTCCTCCTCCGTCCTCCTCACCCTCCCTCCTCACCTTATCCAGGTTGCACTGCTTGGCCGTCTCAATGATGGTGGCGCAGATCTGCTCCGCGCGCCCGCTCTCCCGCATTCCCTGGTAGCTGCTTATCAGCTCCTTGAGCTCCTTCAAGCCCTTGTACAGCCCAGCGTTCTCCGCAGGGGGCGTCAGGTAGGAGATGGTGTTGGCGTAGGAGCGGCGCTTGGCAATGGTGGCCTCGGAGGGGTTGTTTGCTGCGTAGTAGTAGAGGTTGGGGATGGTGCCGATGAGCGAGTCGGGGTAGCAGGTGCCCGACATGCCCACCTGCGGGTGCGGGTGGTGGAGGGAGGGAGGGAGGGAGGGAGGGAGGGAGGGAGGGAGGGAGGGAGGGAGGGAGGGAGGGAGGGAGGGAGGGAGGGAGGGAGGGAGGGAGGGAGGGAGGGAGGGAGGGAGGGAGGGAGGGAGGGAGGGAGGGAGGGAGGGAGGGAGGGAGGGAGGGAGGGAGGGAGGGAGGGAGGGAGGGAGGGAGGGAGGGAGGGAGGGAGGGAGGGAGGGAGGGAGGGAGGGAGGGAGGGAGGGAGGGAGGGAGGGAGGGAGGGAGGGAGGGAGGGAGGGAGGGAGGGAGGGAGGGAGGGAGGGAGGGAGGGAGGGAGGGAGGGAGGGAGGGAGGGAGGGAGGGAGGGAGGGAGGGAGGGAGGGAGGGAGGGAGGGAGGGGGGGGAGGGAGGGAGAGGGAGCAGTGGAAGGGTTACAGGTGTGCAGGGAAGAGGGGAATAGGTCAAGGGGTGCAGGCCTTGTGAGGGATTGGGGCCGCATGGGTCCTTGGGACCATGACAGAGGGCGCATACATGCATGCATGCGTGTGTTTCTCCGTTCCCCCGATTTCTCCACGTCCACCCTACCTCACCCCCCTATCAGCATCGCCCTCGACCCATGCCCCCACCCCACCCTGCCATCTTTGTCATACTGGGGCAGACTGGGGTATCTTTCTTTTCTCTTCTTCACTCCCACCTGCTTTCCCGGCATGAACTCCAGCGAGCCGTGCGTGCCAAAGTGCAGCACCGCGTCCGCCTTGAATATCTTCTCCAGGTAGGTGTAGTAGGCGGCGAAGCCGTGGTGGGGGGAGGCGGAGCGGCTGAACAGCAGCCGCATGGGGTCACCCTCGTAGCCAAAGGTGGGCTGCACGCCGATAAAGACGTTGCCAAACTGCCTGCCGTACACCAGCAGCTCCTGGCCGTTGGTGTTGAGGGTGCCTTTGGGGGGAGGTTGTTGGGGTTGGTTTGGGTAGTTGGGGTGGTTAGAAACAACACGAGCCCCACCAGTTTGAGGCCTTCCATCCTTCTACCTATTCCTTCCTCCCAAACGGTTCCGGTGCAAAACAAAAAACCGCCTGCCAAGGGCACCCCTTCACAGTCACCCTCCACATTCCTTAACCGATGTGGACTGTTACAGAGGGAGGACAGGAAGACCATCAAACAGGACAGCAAGACCATCAAACAGGACAGGAAGACCATCAAACAGGACAGGAAGACCATTTCAAACCTACGGTATCTTACCCGGCGGCTTGCCCCAGTTCTCCTCGAGCGCCTCCGAGTACGCGCACAGCTTCTGGTACTCATCCACCTTCATCTTATACGCAATATGCAGGTCCGGCGAGTTGAACTTGGCGTCCTTTTGGGTGAGCACCATCTGGATCAGGTCCTCCTCCGAAGGCGGCAGCGAGCCCACGTCGTACCCCTCGCGCTGCAGGTTCTTCAACACGCGGAAAATGGATCCAAACACGTTCAGGTAGGCCGCGGTTCCCACATTGCCCTTATCCGGCGGGAAGCTGAAGACCGTGATGGCCAGGCGCTTCTCGGCGTTGCGCTTCTTGCGCAGAACCGCCCAGTTGACGGCGCGAGCGCAGAGGGAGGCGATGCGGTCGGGGAGCGAGTGCGACTTGCCGGTGTTGGAGTCCCGACCCGCGAAGACGATGGGCTCAATGGCTCCGTCCAGCTCGGGAAGAGCAACCTGGAGGAGGTGAAGGTGAAGGAAGAGCGGGATGTGTGGGATGGCTTCCGTGTGATGTGTGGGGTGCATCCCCAGGTCCTCCCCCACCCGCCTCCTCTTCCCCCAAGCAGCACACACGGTGCGTGGTCTGTGGTGTGTGGTGTGTTTTTCTCCCCCCCCCCCTTCCCCCGCCACATCCTTCCCCCTCCCCCCCCACCTGCAGCGCCACCTGCACGGGGTGCACCCCCAGGTCCGAGTCCAGCCACTCCTCGGTGGTCTGGAACACCAGCGGCAGCGACACCAGGTACGGCACGTTGAGCGACTTGAGCGCCTCGATGGCCTTCGGAGCGTCCTGCGTGGGTTGGAGAAAAACGAAAAGTGAAGGGGTGGGGTAACAAATGCCTGCCGTGCTATTACATCCCCCTCCCGCCTGCCACCACTGCCCTCGAAAACCCACTTCCATCTCCCCATGCCCCCACCCCCCAACCCCCCAACCCCTATCCCACCTGCCGCGCCGGTCCGCCCACCAGCGCAAAGCCAGTCAGGCTGACCACGGTGTCCACGAAGGGGCGACCGCTGCCCAGCGGGTCGTAGAAGAACTTCTTAACGGGAGCGGAGAAGTCCAGACCGCCTGGGGGGGAGGTGGGGGGAGGGAGGCGGAGGGAGGGAGGCGGAGGCTTGAAGAGCGCAAGCAGACAGCACAGGACGACGACGTTCCCTTTCACCTGATATGTTTCGCCCCGGACGATGGCTTGGAGACCCCCAACCCCGCCGGTCTACCGTTTGCCCATATCCGCGTTCATAACCCTGGGGCTCCCAACCCTGCTCCCCAGCGTCTCCTACCCGCACGGGCACCCCTTACCCCAGATCACACCCCCGTTCCTCCCCCTCCCCCCCCCCATTAAGTCTCACCCGCAAACACGGGAATCACCCGCGCCCCCCTGCTCTCCAGCTCCGCCACCACCCCGCTGTAGTGCCCCTCGTCACCCGTAACCAGGTGAGAGCGCTGCAGCACCAGACCGATGGTGGGGGCGTCCTTGGGGAAGGTCACGTCCTTGCGCGTGTCGTACCTGTGCGTGGTTAGGGTGGGGGTGTGGATGGTGGGGGCGTGGTAAGAAAACTGGCCGCGATTGGGGTGTGGATGGTTGGGGCGTGGTAAGAAAACTGGCCGCGATTGGGGTGTGGATGGTTGGGGCGTGGTAAGAAAACTGGCCGCGATTGGGGTGTGGATGGTGGGGGCGTGGTAAGAAAACTGGCCGCGATTGGGGTGTGGATGGTTGGGGCGTGGTAAGAAAACTGGCCGCGATTGGGGTGTGGATGGTTGGGGCGTGGTAAGAAAACTGGCCGCGATTGGGGTGTGGATGGTTGGGGCGTGGTAAGAAAACTGGCCGCGATTGGGGTGAGGATGGTTGGGGCGTGGTAAGAAAACTGGCCGCGATTGGGGTGTGGATGGTGGGGGCGTGGTAAGAAAACTGGCCGCGATTGGGGTGTGGATGGTTGGGGCGTGGTAAGAAAACTGGCCGCGATTGGGGTGTGGATGGTTGGGGCGTGGTAAGAAAACTGGCCGCGATTGGGGTGTGGATGGTTGGGGCGTGGTAAGAAAACTGGCCGCGATTGGGGTGAGGATGGTTGGGGCGTGGTAAGAAAACTGGCCGCGATTGGGGTGTGGGTGGGTATGGGTATGGGTGTGGGTGGGTGCCGTACATTACCCGGCATTTACATGTGACTCCCGGGGTGCTTCCACTGCTGCTGCTCTCCTTTCGATTGGAGGTTCTGTCGTTCTTAGGCCTGTATGCCCTCTGCACTCCTCACCACAGCTACTGTTACCTCCTGCATTACCCCCATGTATACCCATTGCCCCTCTGTGAACATCCATTTCTTCGAGCGAGCACGCCCCCACCAGTACACCTCTGCCGTTCCTGCCCGCTGCTGCTACAAATCGTAGCCAATACCACCCTACCGCTGCCGCTTGCCTGACCGGCGTTGCATCTCTGCTGGTTCTTAGATTTCTTCCTCTTCCCTGCCATCCCTCCACCCCATCCACCCAACCCCCCGCACCCCCTCCAAACCGGGTTCAATTAGCAACCCATGGTGAAGCCTCGCCATACAGTTCGTCAGTTGCCTTCCTTTTACCCCACCCCCTTCACCCCCCTCCACCCCACCTCTCCCTGCCCGGCGTTGGGGTGTTGCGCTGCCTGTAAAGTTCCTCCTCTTCCCTCCCACCGCCCGCAACCTCAATACCCTCCACCCACACCCCACCCCCTCTACCCCCACCCCACCCGACCCACCAGTTGAGGAACTCCTTCAGGTCCTCATACATGCCCGGCGCCAGCGGGTGCCAGATCCCCACATCCGGGTACTGCTGCGGCTCCGCCACACTGAAGTCCACGCCCTTGAGCGCCGGCACGTAGGCGCTGCACACGTTCAGCAGCAGGTTCTCTAAGTTGTCCGCGTTGCCGCCCAGCCAGTACTGCAGACTGTTCACAAAGTTGCGTGCGTCCTGCGCCTTGTCGGAGGGGAGGTACTTGAGGACCTTGGGCAGCGTGCGCACCAGCTTGAGCAGCCCCTCCTCGAAGTTGTCGTTGTTCTGAAAGGGGGTGGGGAAAGGGGGTGGTGGTGTGGAGGTGAGGGAAGGAGGTGTGGTGAGAGGGTTGTGCGGGTTCGGGGGAGAGAGTTTGGGAAGGAGTGGCTTGGGAACATGACATGTTTAGGTGTAAGAAGCAACGCTAAGCGTAAAGCTGAGAGACGCCACCCACCGGCCCCATCCAACCCAACCCGTCCTCTACACCGAGGCTATGCCGCCCACCACACCGCGGCTGCACTCGCACCTTGCGCGCCGACTTGATAAACTCGGAGAAGATGGACTTGCTCTGCCCCAGCTGGCTCATGGAAAAGGTGCCCAGCTTGTTGAGCTTCATGACTGCTGGCATGGAGGGGAAGATGAGGCAGGCGTCCAGCTGCTCGCGGAGGGGCTGCACGGCCTCAACGATCTGCGGGAGGTGGGGAAGGGAGATGGACCAAAAAGATAGGTTAGGGCAAGGTAATGGGTGGGAGATGGGGGGATGAGCAGGCAGGATTTTGGATTGTGGATGTTCGGCAAGAGGAGGCGGAGAGGAGAGAGAGAGAGAGAGAGATGTGTGCTGGTGCTGGTTGTGCGGATTGGTTGGTTCTCATGCCCGGATCTTAACTACGGTTGTTTAAGATACGAAAGATAAGGATCGGGGTGGGCTTAGGAGCTTATCCTTGCAGCGCAGAGGATAAAGAAACCCGGAGAAAACTGGGGAAAGGTCTTGGGGTTGGAAAAGGATATACACGGGGACATACAGGGATTGCACGGGGAGGCTGCTTGTTAGCTGCTAACATGTGGAAATGTAACCCGCCGTGGCGTACTGAACATTATGCTTGCCTTCTCCGCCAACTCCTCGATGAAGATCAGCGAGCCGATGAAGATGTTGGCGGTGGCCACATCCTGCTTGAGTGCCTCAAAGTTCTTAGCATCGCGCAGCTCCTCTAGGAGATAGCCCACAACCTCGAAGCAAACCTGCGATTTCCACGGCAATGGCGGTTTGTATGGCCCAAAAGCACTCCTAAACATCCTATACGCCTGGAAAGGTGTGAAGAGGGTATAATGTCAATAGCGTTTGGGAGCGCACCTTGCTGTTCTTGGCGTTAATGTTTTTGACAGCAGCGGAAATGGCCGATTGATACTGAGCCTCCAGCACCACGTACACCACTTTAACCTTTACGCGGCCATTGACATCCTCTGGCACGACGCGTCGGAGCTCAGGGCTGGTGCTCGTGAACAAGCCAGTGCCTGCAGAGGGGCGTGCATGCCCCGGTTAGCGGATAGGAAGCAAGCCGGCCATTGTGGAAGCAAATCTGTACGCTGAGCTGCACTTATAACTGAAAGCAGTAAGCTTCCATTGCGTAATGAAGACGATATGGATGCCTGAGTGTGCAAGTCGACCGCAAACCCGGATAACGCGGCTCCCCTGGGCTGCTCACCCTCGTCCCGTAGGTCAAGTGATACGGGCTTGCCACCCTTATTGCCTCCTGTAAACGTTGTCATGGGCGGCCGAGGGCCAGTCGCGACATTGCACGAGACCTGCAGCACCCGTCGTGGTGGGATCAATGTAGATCTTCTTGCAATTACATCCATTTCTTTACTTAGCAATATGATATCTACCTGGCGGACATTAGCCACACGAGGGCTGGGCACAACCTGCATTCCGAAGCCAGCCGACGCCGTCAGCCTCTTTCGCACGGGCAGTTCTCATATTTTATCAATCTTTGCAATAAGTTACCGGCTTGGCCGTCACTCCCGCTGCAGGGTGGACGGCGCGCCGGCCGAGAAGCGTGGTATGCTGCATAATTCTTTATCCTATGTCCCTCGAAACCCTCTACATATAACGTCCCCGAGGGTTAAGATATTGTTACAAGGATTAACTTCTTTCTGCTGTAAGCAGTGGAAGTTGCCCATAAGTAAAGATCATTTCGTACGGCCGTACAATCAAATGATGTCTGGTGAGGAATCCCCCACATCATATGGTGCTCTACCGCCCCACCACCTATGGCCCCAATAGATAAGGTTCGGGCTTCTTGTATTTTCTCGGTGATTTTTACGTTCTTGCGTGCCCTTACGCTGCCAGTGCTGGGCCAACTGATGCATGCACTAGTCAAGTACAATGCTATACCATAGCACACTTCAGTCGGGATATTTACCGTCAATGCCTTTACGACTGTATCCTGCGTGCCCTAGCCGCAACCCAGGATGCACTTCGCAGCTTAGCTTTTCAGGGGCACTTTGGTAATCATTGTGAAGCTAAAGGCTGTTTTTCATTTGTCTGTTTTTACAGACTTTCTGTGTTTGTTAGCGGCGTGCTTAGGTGGCGAGTGGAGGCTGTGCACTTTGGGTGATGCAGCCAAGAAGCGACTTGCCATACCTCCAAAGGCTACTAGGAAATATGTTTAAGGAACAGCCGGATGCCACTTCCTGTGAGCTTGGTCGCTCCAGGTTTGACGAAAGGCTTCTTCAGGTCTCCACGCAACACCATCCCTGTCGCCTCCAATACCCAAGCGTTCGTATCTTACCACTCTTTGAAACTAGACATCTCAAGTGCATGCTTAACATAAAAAGAGGGGTTTCTTTCAGTTGTCCATTAGTATAGCACTGCATCGCAGCCCTCCTGCCCTCGGCTTCCACCGCTCACTCATTCGCTACCACCTCCTCCGCACCTCTCATTACTACCGCTCCTCACTCGCTACTGCCCACATCTCTCAATCTTGCAACGCCAATTGCTTAAGCACCTTCCTATATGTACGGCATTGGTGCTCCTCCAGTGCCGTACGGCCCAGCACCAACCGCCTGAAACCAACACCCGGCGGCAACTCGCTAATCACGTACGGTGCGATGCCTGCTGCTCCTGCTGGCATGATGCTGCTACCGGTGGTATTACTTGACGCAGTATTGCTAAACGCGTTCCCTGCTGCCGCTGCTGCTGTCCCAATGCTACTGCTGCTGCTTGTGCTTGTCGTCTGCCCGCCTTGCACTGCCGACTGTATTTCTTGCTGTAGCTTTCCTCCTTGGGGCCAGGGAGGGTTTGGAGCTTGTGCTTCTGTTGTTGTGGGTTGGGGCCGGATGTAGAGGATCCGACCGGGCGGCAGCAGCAGGGGGAGCTCCTGCGGCAGTAGCGGTTGAATGCATGGGGATGAGGTTGGCGGGGAAAGCAACGGTTCCCTCGTGCACCGCATACTGGCATGCACTAAGACGGATAGCCACACGAAGGGGAAGGCAACGGAATGCAGACTCCTGCAAGCCAAGCCGCAATGCCTGATATGCTGTAGTCACTACCTCGCATGCGTGCATGAAAACCGACCTGAGCTTGAATCCCCTGGAGGGCACTCGCCATGCCCAATGCAGCATCACTCTCCGTCCCGCCGTCCGCCGCCGCCGCCAGGGCACCCGCCCCCGCCAGCATCGCGCCTTGTACGGCAGAAGTCCTCGGCGCCTCCACCGCCGCCGCGCCAGCAGCGGCAGTGGCAGTCCCAGCAGTTGCCGACGACGTCGCCGCCGCCGCTGCAGCAGCAGCGCCGGAAGCCGCCGTCGCTTCCACCAACGGAAGCTCATGGGGCTTTGGAAGCGACGGCAGCGTCGCCACCGCCGCCGTCGTCATTGACGTCACCGCCGACTCAACCGTCAACCGCAACCGCTCCGCCGCCGCTTCCGCCGCCCGTCGTATTTCTTCAACCTGCGGCGACGTCAGCGGCAACCCCAGCGGTGCAACCTGCCCAGCAGCGGCGGCCTCCGACGCCTTGCCGACGGCGTCGCCGCCGCGGGAGGGCCTTTGTACGGCATCTCCGCCGCCGCCATCGCCGCCACGGGAGGGGCTGGCGGCTGCGACGTCTTGGAGCCAAACCCGGATGAGTTCCGACTGACGTCGTACGACAGCCTCCGTCTGCTCGCCCGCCGCCGCCATCGCCTTGGCCCTCCACTCGTCCAAAGATTGGATTGCCGTACGGAAGGCGGCGCTCTCGAGAACGGCAGCGCTGAGCTGTTGTACGGCAGCGGCGGTGGCGGTGGAGGCCGCTGCGCCGGGCGATGCGGGATGGGGGGCGGCGTCGGGCTGGTTGGGAGGAGTGGCTGTGGGAACCAATGCTGAGGAGTTGGCGACGGCGGCGGGGCTTGGGGAGAGGGATGGCGTGAAGGACGGTGTGAGTGACCCAAGGGTCGAAGACAGGCTCTGCGGGATGTGGGCATCAGGAATGAGGGGTGCTTGTAAGCGTTGTTGGTACCGGTTATAGCAGGTACACCTTAAGTGTGCGGCACCTAGTTAACAAGCATTGCAGCCAAAAAGTAAAGACAGCGAATTAAAAGCGAATAACCGAGATGGGTGCCACTGTGTCATTCCATGCCAGCATTTGACGTGTCCCAATAGAGGGCGAACCATACCAAAGGGTAAACCTACCCGTAGCGTGGTGTGGTCTAGAATGGTCTGTTGCAGCTCTCCAAACCAGTCGATACCCTGTGACGGCGTGTAACGAAGGAAAATTGCGGTGTTGCAATGAAAATACCGCCTTTGCGGTACGACTGAAGCCGTCGTGTGGACACGATTCGGTACGGCAGTACATCGTACCAACCTGCAGCTCTTCTTGAAGCAATGCCAGACTAGCGGCGTTAAACCTGCGAGGAGGGCAATGAAACGTGGTCAAAAAAACACAGTTAACCATGAACACCGATAGTTTTAGGCATGCAGAAAACGACAGGCAGCAGAAACCACTACGGTACCCCCATCTCTTTTAGTCCCAGTCTTCCAGCCACTCCCCAATCCTAGACAAAGACCCTCGCACGCACGCACGCATGCACGCACACCTGGGTACAATGTCGTTGTTGAGTACGACAGACGTTACGTACGGGCGGCATGCCTCGGCCAGCTCGGGCGTCATGACGGCTGGCGGCGCGAAGGCGATGCAGGACACCGCCTCCGGGGGAATGCCCGCGAGCCTGAAAGGAAGGCAGCGATTACAGATTGTAGATGACATGGTTGGGTGCCGTACATGGTCGTACGGGGCATGTATGTATACAAGCGCTGCCCCACCTCGCGGGCTCCACAAGTCCCTCCCGCAGCATTACCGCCGCCAGCGCCGCCACCGCCCCGCCCAGCGAGTGACCCACCAGCTGCAACCGGAACGACCCGGCGGGTCGCAGCGACTGCAGCAGCGCTGAGAAGGTGCGGGTGAGGGCGGAGGAGCAAGGCGGAGGAGGTGGCGTAAGAGGTGGCATAAGAGAGTGGCATAAGAGGTGTTGGAAGTTGTGAAACCGAGGGCTTGGGCTGGGTTCGGGTGCGAGCGCCGCATAGTCCAATGCGGCAGAAGCGGTTCAGCGCGCTCCCACCAGCCACCCCTGCCCACTCGCCCTCCTCCCACGCTCATCAGTTTCTTCTTTCTACACAAACCCCCGCCCCCGCCCCCCGCACCTCCCACATTGCGAGCCTCCTGTTGCAGCAGCCAGTGCGCCGCATGCGTCATGCCCCAGTGGGCCGCCCCCCGACCCAGCGGGTGGGCTGCCATGGCCAGGTCCGTTAGCAGGTCGGAAAACACCTGCGGGGGGGGCCGGGGTGAAAGCAGGCGGCAGGGCGAGGTGAGAGGAGGAGGGCAGGCAGGGGGCTCGGGAGGAGGGAGAAAAGGGACATATGTAGGATAAGACCAAGTAGGGGAGGGCAGGATAGAGGACGCGGGAAGCAGAAACGTGTGTTGGTGACGTTGTTGGTGGCTTACCCGTGTCCCCCGCACGCCCCACACCACCCTCCTGCCCGGGTAGTCCACCGCTACGAAGTACCCGGGCTGCAGCCGCCCGCCCTGGGGCCGCCACACGCGCACGTGGGCAGCCTGCCGGGGTGGGAGGCCAAATGAAAGGCGGGGGGTTGTCTAGATAAGTGCGGCACCGGGGTGGGGGGGTTGAGGTAAAGGGAATAAGAAGTAAGAAGTCAAGGGAATAAGAAATGCCAAACCACATGTGAGGGCAAGGCAAAGCACGGGGGTAAAGAGCAAGAAATTAACCGCCTGCAGGGGGGGCGGTGGTGAGGGCAGAGCCGAGATGTTCATGAACACATGGCAACGCCACCTAGCATGTTAGCATGCTAGCATGTTGGCAGCAGGGCACAGACTGGACACCCGTGTGTCACGGTGGAGGTGCTCCCTCCGAGCCGGATAGGTTGCACGAGGTCCTTCGCACCTCACCACCACTCACTTCTCACCCGCAGGCAGGTCTTGGCGGCCAGCGCGGAGGCGCTCCGACGGTAGGCGCCCTGGGCAGCACGGCAAACGGGCAGCAGAGCAAGCGGGAGTTTGGGAAAAAGAAGAAAGGAAATGATAAGAGTGAGAAATGAAAGAAAGGAATACGGGAAAAAAGGGGACGGGAGTTGACTGGAGCTGGAAAGGTGAATGGTGTGATGGAAGAAAGGGGTACCATAATAGTAACGACACCATCGCCCCGCCTTTCTTAACACTTTCACGTATAATCCACAGCAAACCTGCACGGTACGCAAGCTGTTTCGTCCCCCTCTCCTCCTCCCCCGCCCCCTCCTCTCACATGCGCCAGCTCCAGGGCATCCAACAACCGCTCCGCCTCCACCTCCGTCACCGCTCCCGCCTGCAGCACCCGGCCCGACGGGTGATCCTGCAGCCCCGCGGCCTCGTGACGGCGAGCCAGCGCCTGAAGACCAAACGTCGCGAGCCCCGTGCTGCCCAGCCCGCGTACGACCCCCGCCATGGCGCCCAGAACTGCCATGAGGCCCGGTCCGGGATCTGCTGCGGAGATTGAGGCGGTGGTGGCGGTGTGGGTGCTACTGCCGGGGCTGCTAGCGGAGGTGGGGGAGGAGGTGGCGCTACTGCCGTGTTGCTGGTGGTGGTGGTGGTGGTGGTGATGGTGTTGCTGTTGTTGGTGGTGTTTCGGGTGGTGGGTGGCCTCCCCGGGGTCCTCTCGCCGGCGGCCTGTAGCTAGTCGAAGTGAGGGGGAAAAAGTTAAGTAAGTGAAACAACGAATCCCAATCCCATATCTCAAGTGAGCGGGGGGGGGATAAGGAGTGAGGAGCCGTTAAAAGGACTTAAGGAGTGAGGAGAAAGGATTAAAGACTCGGTATAAGGCATGTAAGGTTCGGGTACAGGGTCGAATGGAGATGTACGGCAAAAGAGGGGGTGACAGCAGGATATGCCGGTGGAGGCGGACAACGCTTACCGAGGACCTTGAAGTACGGGCGTGAGGGGGCTGAGGTTGCAATGGGAGCATCAGGGAAGCATCTTGGTTGGTTTACAGGAAGAGTATCTGATGGCTGAGTTGTTTCTGCTGCGTTGTTCAGGATGGGACGGGATGTCGCCAGCTCTTCTGCAGGACCCGACTGGTTGGTGATGACATGGCTGGCGTCATTAGTAGCAACCCCGCTTCCTAAGTTTGCACTGCAAGTGGTTTCGCGGTTGAGAACGCTGCCGTTGGTGTCATGCTGGCTGGGTGCCGCGGTGTTACTAGTAGTTGCTACTCCTGATGGCTTGCGGTCATCGAAGCATCCGTTGGTGGCGCTTTCGAACGCGCTGCTCACGCGTGAAAAAGCTGGCGCGACGAGTCGCGCCCATGCAGATGACAGATCAGAGTAGCGACGCGCAGCGAAAGCTGCCTCATCGAGGGCTTTGGAAGATTCGCGGAGGAATGATGCTCCAGCACACAGTGAGCGTTGCTTAGACCGCATCCCAGCAAACTTAAGACGCTAATCTAGCATGGTGCTATCAACAGGCGAGTTACCACAGACCCTCCCTATTAGCGAATCTATGACGGAAGTTGAGCAACCGAACAAGCCGTCGAGGATAATGGGCTTTCAGGCAGTACCGGTATGTCACAGCAATAGCATACTTACGACAAGCAGGACAAACCCCGTATCGGTCAGTGCGTGCGCCTGGCTCGCTCGCCACGTATGCCGTATGCCGTGGCGGAGGTTAGCCATGCAAGCAAATGCCCCATGTCTGTAAGCAACAAGCCATAAGGATAGTAGCAACGAAGTAAGCTAACGTGGTTGCTTAGGACTTGTTGCAGTTCAATAGTCGCTGGAACTTGTCAAAGCTAGGCTTTGGAAGACACACCAGCCGTCCTGTTGCGTCCTTTGTCGGAATATGGAATCAAATTACAAGTAAAATGCTAAAAATTGCGGTATTGTCTGCAGCGGCGGGAGCGCTGCTTGCGTTTGCGCTGTCGCCTGCCTGTCTAAGATGGCTCCATGGCTTGCTAGCATCAAGGCAAGTCCCTTAATCGCACATTCATCCCGTCTGCGCCCATCGCACCTTCCCATACTTCACAAGTGCAACTATTTCTGGCATCAGTCAAACCCCACATATGCCCATGCACATGTTTTACCCGGCTACTGAACCAGCCCTTATGGAGCAAGCACCAAAAGCGAACACCATCTCCTCGCCACTGCCGTACCATATTGCCGTACCACATTGTCTTACCATATTGTCGTACCACAATGCCGTACTGTCGTACTGCAGGAGCCCGCCGCTGCCCGAGGACGCTGTTGCTGACGTGGCAATCGTGCTGGGCTATGCGCTCTTCAGGTGCGGGTCCTGTGCCATGCGCGACAAACTTCCCTTGCTGCGGTTATGAACAATGACCCAATTCCCACCCCTCGGCTACCGTAGTAGTTAAAGGGGTAGAATAAATGTAGAAAGGCTCTTCAACGGATGCGCTGACTACTCCCATCTTGCATGATAGCAATGACAGGGATCTTTGTCTTGGCCTTTTGCGCACGCAGGGACGGCAGCCCCACGCAGCCGCTCAAGGGTCGAGTGGCCGCGGGTGTGGACCTCCTGCTCAGGGTGGGTTGTACTGCGAATACGTTTACAGGGTGGGACACCGGGTGATGGGCGGTTGCAAAGCCTGCCTAACCTACCTGTCCTAGCCTTCCTGCCTACCCTACCCTACTCTACCATACCTGTTCTACCCTGCCCTCCTGCCTACCATGCCCCGCCCCGTCCCGCTGTCAAGCAGGGCCGTGCACGCCACCTGCTGTTCAGCGGGGCTCACCCTGGTGGCGTGGTGGCGCGGCGTTCCGAAGCCAACGTCATGCGAGAGCTGGCGGAGGAGTTGTTCATGACTAACAACCAAACTAACCGTAACCGTCATCGTACGGACTGTACGGATCCCGATGATGACGATGGTAATGTTGAATGGAAAAAGGTACAAGACAGGTGCGTGAGGGCTGGTCTGGCAGGGAGGTGCACGGCGGGGGCTGGCCTAGTAGGAGCAGTCACGAGGTGCACGGCTGGGATACCTGTGGCCTTGGTTCCCTTGCTCGTTGTACATCCATCCACCATCGACTCCATCGTACATATCTGGATCTTGAAATGCGCGTTCCGGTGTCCTCGTCCACGTGAGAGTAACGTGCAGAGGCCTCATACGGTGTCCTTCTTCTGCAGGTTGTATGAGGAAGATGCGTCGACGTCGACCTACGAGAACGCGTTGTTCAGCCTGGACATCTGTCGGCAGCACGGGTGAGGTTCCCATCTCTTTGTAACATTCCACATCGGAAAACAAAATTAGCTACCTAGATGCCACCTGGGGCTGCTGCTGTCGCTGTACGATTGCAATTGCGATGCCTTACCATCCAATCACGGAGTCCTACGCCATGGCTTAGGAATATCTACTGAGCAAATCACTGTTGTTGCCAACCGCCAACTGCCAACCCCCCAAACCACCAACCACCAGGTGGACGACGCTGCTGGTGGTGACAAGCCCCTTCCACCAGGTCAGGTCGGAGCTCGTTTTCCGGCGACTCGTGAACACCGTGGCTTCATCACACGGAGCAGCAGCAGGGGCAGCCTCGTCGAGCACAGCGGGAGGCACTGACTGGGGCCTGCCTACCATCAAGGTACGACAGACGTAGTGGGAAGTACGGAAAGGAGTTAAACACTGCATGTGTTACGTCAGGTGGCATGAAACCGATAACTGCAGGTATCAAGCAGCCAAGCTACAGCCATGCGTCTACATGCACACTTCAGAGCAGTGTAGACCCGCTGCAAGTCCACTTTGCTGCCAACATGTGCCATGCATGCGCCTGTAAGCTTCTAGGCAGCATCCTAACAGAATGCTACCATCACCATTAATGGCAACTGAAACGCGCATGATTCATGTTGCTGCGCTGCTGTACGTATCTTACGGGGCAACACTGCTCCCACTTTTGGCTCCTGGCTTGCAGGTCTACATGGCACGTACCGCGTTCGTACCGCACTCTGGCTACTTCCTGCCTGTGTTTGACCGCATTGTCGACCTTTGGGACTGGGCAAGGGAGCTCTTAGCACTGGTGTACTATTTTGCCAAAGATCGGATATAGTAGAAGTTAGGTTGCATTGGCGTTTGTGAGACGTGTGCGCACCAGTGAGGCGGCATGCTAGCGATTAGGACATCTGTCTGGACCAAACATGGATTTCAGCTTGCGTTTGCATTACTTTATCTATGGTAACCTGGATATGGCAAGAGGGCGATTAGTGAGCACGGGCTATCGTGACGAGCGCCCGTTCACAACAATAAATGGCATGCGACCGCTTGCACAGCGTAAAGGTGTGGGAACGGCCGGGTTTACGCACAGGTAGCGCCTGACTTCAATTATAAGATGGCAATATACGGGCAAAACAGAACTTAGTCGTGGACGGCAAAGCCAACGTGTTGCGCAGCTACCTACCGCTACCTATCTTTACACTTTATTATGGTGAAGGTCTGTTGGCATCCACTGATGCTTCGTAAAACAAGGGGTTCATATCCCCGCTTAATGAGCTATGCTGCGTGCTGCTTGCCGCCACGTGGCGGCATTGCACCTTTTACCAGTGTCGTACGTTCTTGGCAAGACGGTGCAATGCTTTCCAAGCCGAGCACAGCTAGTAAACCTCAACATGCACGTTGAAATGGTCCCAGTACTATGAAACTGGTATACCTCGTACCCCATCGATCACGTGTTGCCTCTGTGATGCCACCTTTTTTCCACGCCCAAGGCTTTGTGGTTACTTCCCTTACAACTGTGTTTGTCAAAGGCCTACCTGGGTACTCCCGTTGACCTATTTGTTATTGGAATTAGAATGCACAGTCCTCTTTCCATAGCTGAACGGCCCAAAGCGACTCGGCAGGTTAGTATGGCTTAGTGGCGGTATGTGCGCTGTTGGATGCAAGCGTTGGACGTTATCTGTACTGCTAGTCCGCTTGCGCGGCGCTGTTGCCGTGTTTGGCAAAGGCTTCTGCATATATACTCGCGGATGTCAAGTAAACGCTGCACTCATTAGCTCATATATGCCCGACTAGGCCATCCCGTTTGGCCTGCAAGTCAACATAGCAGCGATGGGCGTTTTTCTCCAACTGTTAGTGCCGAACACCGTCACTCACTTAGCATTACACGCTTGTCGTGTCCCAGCTCTGGCTGTTTGATGCTTGATGTCCCTGCATCACATGTGCGTTGCCTTCAATCCTCTACGAAACTGAGCAGCTAGGGTCCTATAAGATAACGTTAGCCAGTCAGGACACCAGGCGCAAAGCTCCCTTCCAACCTTGTACCACCAGGTGAAGGCCGTCTAACATCCGTATGTCCTCATGGCAACCGCGCCTTGCGGCTTGGCAACCCGACCGGCCTGTGCAGCAGCGGCGGAACAGCCCCGGCGCCCGACGTCAGCTAACCCGCATCCCTTGGAGGCTTCGTACGAGCTCTTACGTACGGACATCAGCAGCACGTATGGCCGAAGGGAACAAAGCTGCACGGGGGGCGCCGCTGCCCCCTATCTGTCCACTTCACCGCACTTCACCGCTTCTCGCCTTTCCCGCATGGATAGCGGTAGCGGCCTCAAGCCGGAAGAGGACAAAAGCCCGGAAGGCCGTGCTGCTCGGAAGCGTCGCTTGCCTCGCTGGCTTTGTTCCTGGAGAGGTTGCTTCTGCGGTGCTGGCGCCAGCCGCGATGGCTCCATCGAGTTGCAGCAGCGCAGGGGCGGCGGCTCCGTGTCGCAAGTGGGACAGCGCTGCTTAATGTTACGGCGGCCGAACGCCTCGCCGCTGTATCGGCCGGTTTCGACGGCAGGTAGGCCCTTGGACCGCAGACCCGCGGGTCATAGGCCGCTCCACAGGGCGGCCTGATGCTACAGACGATGGTCCTGATGAAGACCAAACTTCTGCACGTGTTTAGCCCTTTGTCAAGACGCACCTTGCGCCCCCATCTCACTTCCATCCTGCGCTCCCCTTCCCCATCCTCACATGCTTGGTCACATGGACAGTCCTCCCTCTTTACCGGTACCTCACCATCGCACCCCATCTTCACCCCTCAGGCCTCACCTGCGCTACCAGCGCCACCTGCAGCGGCGACAGCCACCTGGGCCCCCTTCCCACGCGCCTCATCCAAACCCTGGATCGCCCTCCCTCCGCCTCCTGCGCTAACGCCCCAGCGCTAACCTCCCCGCCCACCTATGCCGGCGCCGCCACCACCACCACCGCTCCAGGAAGCAGCATGGGCAGCCAACATCGCCCTCGCAGCACCCTCTCCCAGCTCACCCCACTGCCTCCCGTCACCTTTGCCAATCGCTCCGCTCCGGCGGGAAGTTGCAGCGCCTCACACCAGAGCAACAGCGTCGGCAACAGCGTTCGCGCGAGCGGACTACCGAGAGTCATCAGCGTCGCTAATACCGCCGCCTCTGGCGGCGGCGGCGCCTCCGGTTCCCATCCGTTGGGCGTCAGCCGCGCATCGTCCCTTGCTTCCTACACCAGCGGCGTCACCACGACGTCAAGACCGTCGCGTTGGGGCTTGTTAGCGAACATCTTGTCCGCTGGACTGCGGTCCTTTTCACAGCAACTCGCTAGCGTGATTGAGCCCAACACTGGCAGCCTCACGTCGGAAGCGGTGCTCGACCTGACCCGCCGGGCGAGTCGCCTAGACATGCTGCGTGCTGTGGGGCAAGTACACGAGTTGAGTCTTGTGGGGTCGGGATCCGCGGGTTTGGTGTACCGGGGGCGTAGCGCGGAGGGCGGGAAGGTCGTGTGTGTGAAGTACTTGGTTGCGCGCGGCACGGACGGCATGGCAGCGCCGGCGACGGAGGGGCTGTTGAGTCGGGTGCTGGCGCATCCTAACATTGTCGTGACGTTCAGTTGGCACGTCACGCGCGTGACAACGGATAACTTCCTAGACCTGCATGAAGCCTTAGCGGCAATGGCAGCCCGGGAGGCGCGCGGCGCGGGAAAGCAGGCGCGCCGCGGGCATGCCACCGCCGTCGGCAAGGGCCGCCGCGGCGGCGGCGGCGGCGGCAAGGTACGACACGTCCCGATCGCCGGCGGAGCTGTAGCATCCTCCTCCTCCTTGCCGCTGCCTAAGATCGGTAGCAGCCTAGGCGCTTGCTTCGCTGCTGGCATGGGCACAAGCAGCCGTGGCTTTGGCGGCGGCGGCGCCGCCGTCGCCGGCGTCGGAGGTACGACAGGTTTCGGGGTTGAAGTTTGCAGCGAGCGCTCGAAATCGCCGGAGCCGCTCTCCGCCGGTTTCACGACTGCCGTACTGGATCTGGTCTGCTCATCTTCCACCGCACCGAGCGGTATTAACCGTTACCGTACGGCGGCAGCGGCGGCGGCGGTGCCGCCGCCGCCAACGACGGCGCTGGCTAGTCCACTGGCTAGTCCGGCAATTCCTGTCTTGGATTCTTCCCGCTTTTCTACATCCTCCTCGCCGCGGGGGGGTCAGCAGTTACACGTGCCTCCGCCTGAACCCGTGCCGCCTCTGCTTCCGGTCTGTGCTTCTCCCCAATTAGGATGTGCACGTGCAGGCCGGCAAGGGCCGTTTGTGGGGTTGGAACAGCAGCAGGCACAGCAGCCGGGGCCACGGAAAAGCGTAGGAGCAGCATGCGAGGGGTCATGGACGATTCGGCGAGCCAACACAGGCGACGACGTCGCGAATGACATTGTACGGCAAAGCGAGGCATGCGACTTGGCGCACTCCATGACCGCAGGCGCCGGCGGCGGCGCGGCGGAAGGAAACGCCGCCGCTGGTGGCATGTTCAGCCGTGACAGTTTAAGCTCGCATTGGCTGGTTAGCCCCAGCACTAGCAACCACCAACCGAACATTGCTGGCGGCGGCGGCCTGTACGGCTCTCGCAGTACGGGCGGCGGCGGGCTGTTTGGAGATAACAGTATGTACGGCACATTCCAGCTTGGCGCGGCTGTTTTTCCATGCAGCCCAAGCACGTCGGCGGCGGCGCCGACGGCGCCGTCACCGCCGATGCCGGCGGTGGCGACATCACCGGTGTCGGTCCCGGGGGCATCCTGCCGCGGTCGCGCGACATTGGCACGTGCTGGAAGTCGCTTGCAGGTTGCGACGACATCCATTCGGCAGCCTTCCATTCCAGAGGACATGCAGGCCTTGGGCATTGCCGATTACTATCTGCCCGTTTGCGTGGCACCTGCGCAGCCGCCGCTAGCGGCGTTGCAAGCGCCAGCGCCGCCGGCGGCGACCGTTGCGACAAATGATGAGGCACGGCGGCTAATGTACGGCATTCCCGCTTGCGGCGACGCCGGGGCGACGTGCCGTAGTTGTGCGCCCGGCGCTACGGCTCTAGCAGCCGCGACGGCGGCGGCAGCGGCGGTAGCACCGACTGCCGTTGCCGAGTCGGTTGGCGGCGCCTGCACCCACAGCGGCGGCGCCTCCGCTGGCATTGAAAGCCCGTTTGCGCTCGTGGCTGGCATCTTGCCGCCTCCCTCGCCGTGCAGCCCTTGCTCCCCGCTGTCACCCCAACGCTGCGGCAGCTTCAGCAAGGCCCCGCGGGGGCTGCTAGCCGCAGCCATTGCAGCGCATGCAAACCCCCACACAAGCCACTGCCCTCATCCGGCGTCGCCGGGACCCTTTGGCAGTGGCGCCAGGGCCATGCCAGCCTACGCCGGCGTCAACGTGGCTTCCTCCGCCGCCGCCATTACACTGCATGAACGGCCGGCCAGCGCCTCCGTCAGTGCGGCTTTCTCCCGAATGACGTTCTCCAGCAAGCGCCTAAGCGGCGTCACCTTTGGACCCAATTTTGCGCATTGTAGCGCGCCGACGCCATGCGACGCCGTGCCAAACTCCTCCGCAAATGTCGGCGGCGGCGCCTCCGCCGCCACCGCTCGCAGCATGCCGCCGCCAGGTGTCATCGTCGGCGGTCCCGGCGCCGGCAGTGGGTCTGCCTCCGTCGCCGCTACTGGCAGCGGCAGCGGCGGCCGTGCTGCGCCGTCGGCGGCGGCATCCACGATTGCCGCGATGGAGGCAGAGGCGGTGAAGCAGGATGCGCTGGAACGAGGTTGGAAGACGTTGCAGGAGATCATGCAGCGCCTGAATGCACGCCCCGGGGACTTCCTGACGCGCATTGTGATGGAGGACGCTGATCAGGGATCGCTGCTCAGCGCAGTGCGCAACGGTAGGAGTTGTTGCCCTGCGTATTGCGAGCATGGTGTTAAGAAAACTGGCCGCGAGTGGTGTGTATGGTGTGCGTATCCTCCTGTCTGCATGCTAATACTCGTCTTACAGAGTACGGCGAAGCGGCAAGTTGGCTGGGTTTGGCTGCATCTTGGAGCGTGCAGGGGGCTGTAGTACCGACTGCTGCTCCGTTGCTGCTGCTGTTTATTGGGATATTGAATGAACGTGCTATTGAGTATTACATGAGTATTACATGAACGACAAAATGCTGTCCCTCTCCTGTCCCTCTGCAGGTTGCTTCCAGAGCGGTGCTCCGGACTCCCAATTGCGTACAGTGCTGCTGACAGCTCTGGACATTGCGCGTGGCATGGCGTTCCTACACAAGAGTAACGTGATACATGGGGACCTGAAGCCCAGCAATGTGCTGCTGTGCAGTGACGCAGCCGACCCACGGGGCTTTGTCGCAAAGGTATGACACGTAGCGACGTACCGTAACTAGTACGACAGCCAAAACTAACGCCACACATACATGCTGACCTACTTTGGCAGCATGTACGGAATGACATTGGCCAAAATGGCCAAATGGGGACCCCGTCCATGATACCTTTTAACGGTGTGTAATGCTCCTCCCTTTTGGCTCGGTGTATCCTTCTTGCCTGTTGGCCATTGCTTTTACTACTGTAGCCCCGTTCTTTCTTTACATTTATGCAGGTGTCGGACTTTGGCCTTTCTCGCATCATTGCGCGGGGCCAAGACTCGCTTCGGAACCCAGAGCCCTTCCCAGCTGGCACGGTAGGTATTGCGCATACGACGATCGCAACACCGAGCGAGCAAAACGCTCCGAGCAAAACGAATACAAGCCCGCCCGCCTTCCAACCAACTAACCAACCGCCCCATCTGAGCGCAGGTAAGCTACATGGCACCAGAAACCGTTAGCGGTTGCAGTTGCAAGGCCTCAGACGTCTGGAGCTATGCCGTACTTGTGTGGCAACTGCTGACGGGGGAGCTGGCGCCCTGGCCGGGACTCCGCAACGTGCAGATCATGATGGGTGTTCTGCAGGTGGGTGCTGCTGCTGCATGCTTTATGCCCTGGGCTGGCCGCTTGGGGTAGTCAAACCCAACAGAGCCGCAGTAGAACACTGGCCGTGCCATAGGAAGGCTGCGCATGGGTTGGGCGTTGGGGCATATGTCTGGTTGGGTTGGGTTGGTTGCCGCCACGTATTGTGGAGCCATTTGCGAAGTGCATGGCAGCAATGCGGGTTGTAGGCGGAGGGATCCTGTATTGAGGGGTGTTAACGTGATACACGGGAGAGAAGGCATGTGAATGGATGTATATGCTGCATCCGCTGCAGCAAAAAAGGGCTTCGGACCGGAAGACAAAATACCTTCTTGCATGGTTACCTGGTGCCTGACAGGGCGACCTACGGCTGTCCATGCCGCAAGGCGCCTATCCGCCGCTTGCTCGGCTGATCGAGTCCTGCTTAACTCACGACTTCCAGCAGCGGCCTTCCTTTGACGACATTGTCGCAAAGCTGCAGGTAAGGGGAGCCTGTTTAGGACGACCGTGTTACTCGACCATGATGCCTTGTGCGAGATGCTGTTCAGTGCACCTTATTCTTCTACCTGATTCAGTGTACCTTTATACTCCTAGGAAGCACTGATGCGTTTGTTCAGCATCACAAGGTCATACCTCGCGTCTGTGCTGCCGCTGCGCAGGAAATGCTCCACAACCTAGCCCACGCTCCAGCAGCGCAACCAACGCCAGCCGCGGCCACCGCGCTTCAAAACCATCACGAGCCCCGCGAAACTGGCCCCGCCTCCACGACCACCACCACCACCACCATCGCCTCCGTAGTCCTTGTGAACACTGCCGCAGCTGCCACAGCGACACCATCAGGAAGCCCTGCCATTGCCAGCCTTCGCCCAACGCGCGGCGGCGCCGGCGCCGCCCATGTCGACAGGAACAACGACTTGGCCTCCGAGGGCGACCCGCCTGACAGACCCATGGGTCAGTCTCCCTTCGCCACCGTTACTACCATGTTGGCCCCAACGCCGTCGCCCGCCCCTGCCAGCGCTGCAGTCCCTATCGCTGTTGACACCGCAGCGTACGTCCTTCCGCTTCCCGTTGCCAGCGAGGCGCCCACAGTCAATCTGCTGGACGCTCCGATTGCCGCCGCAGTCGCAGCAAGCTTTCGTACGAGATGCCCCCCAACCGGGTCCGTCGAGCCCCGTTCCACGACCTCCAAACCTGCTTTGACAGTAAACGCCTGCACGGCCGTCTTCCCCAGAGCTCCGTCTGCAGCAGCGGCAGCTGCTTCAGCCCCTGCCTCAACAGCTGACATGCAGGACCAACACCAACAACAGCGACAACGGCAGCGCATTGCCAACCCCACTGTTCCCACCACCTGCCGCTCCCCCACAAACCCCTTCATGGAGGCGTCATGCCTGCGGGCGTTTGATCGCAACCTGCTGCTCTCAGGCGTTGCCGCCATGCCGCAATCTAGCTTAACCGGAACGGATGCATCCCTAACCACAGCTGCCGCCTCATCCAATCAGCTGAGCAATGTGTCGTCTTCTTGGGCGAACACCACGGAGAGAGAGCACAGGGGTGGCGGCTGGAACCATGCATGGCACAGCAGCGCATGGCAGCTTCCAACGGTACCTGCCAGCGGCGCTGGCTCCGGCATTGGCGGTGGTGGCAGCAGTCACATTTACAGTCGGCCGTCTATGACTGCGAGCATGGGAGTCAGCTTGGGCGGGGCTGGGGTGATGCAGGTGCGTGTGTGGGGCACAGTGTAAGTGCGAGGGGCGTGGTATGTGCCTTAGTGTGGCAGCTAAGGAAGGCGTCTCGGCATGAGAGTGCGGTGGCATGGTGTGGGTATCACTGGTAATGGACACTCATACGCACACTTGCAACATTCGTAGTTGGTGTGCACGAACCATAGAGAATGAGATGAGCAATTGCCATGAGCATTGCTGAACATGCCAGCTGTTGACGAATACTGGTAGTGTGACGGCCTTACTCCCTTCCTGCAGCCCTGTCTCTGGCTTTCATTCCCTTCCTAGTTCCGTTTGGGTTTGCCGTTGTTGCCGCTGCTGCTGTTGTGGCCGACACCGTGCCGCCGCTCCTCTAAGGCTTCTCCCGCCCTGCCGTCGCACTGCGGCCGCCCTCCAATCTGCAGGAATTCCTGTACAGGCAACGCATCAGCGCCGGGAGCGTTCCGACGGACATGTCCACTTTAGTCTCTGACTGTCACTTATCCAGAGCGCCCAGATCACCATTCGCCGTCCCCGAGCCTCCTCCCTGCTGTCCTGTCGCTGTGGGCGGCGGCGGCTACAGCGGTGGCTGCGCCAGCAACATCTGTTGTTACAACGGCGGTCATGCTAACAATGATGACGGCAACCCGGGGACTGCCGCTAACTGCAGCAATGCGGATGGTGTCGTCGACGTAGGGGGCCACGCCCGGGCCCGGGCCCCTCTTGGTGCACCCGACAGTCACATGAGGGCAGCAACATGCCCCTCGACACTTGCCATCGTTGGCTCGACACTGAGTTCGGCTTTAATGACCTGCGGCGGCGGCAGTGACATGTCGCACATGATCCTCCCTATCGTGCATGAAGAGCCGTTCCACGTGACCACCACAAGCAGCGGGTATCAAACCGCAATGACCCATGGGTCACCAACCCAAACCCTTTCCGGCAGTCGGCATGTTCTCACGGGCAACGCTGGCGACCGGAGGCATCCCGAGTCGTTCCTTCTGACGGGATCCGGATATGACAACAGGCGGCAACACGAATCATCCGTCCTAGGTTCAAGTCCCCGCATTGGCAGCGGCGGTGGTGGTGCCAGTTGTGGCGGCGGCGGCAGTTTTGGTGGCGGAGGCGGGAGCACGATTGGCAGCAGCGTTGGCGAAGCCGCGCTTCCTGTGATGCTGCAAGCAGGACTTATCGTACTTGGAGCCAGGGAGATAACAGCTGGACGCAGTAGCAAGTCGATTTGCAGTCGTAGCGTGAGCCAAGCTTTGCGCGCTGGGGCTGCTGGGACGGGTTCAGAGGGCTTGTCTCATCTAGAGGATGGGAGCCAGGGGCAGCGCGGGCGCGAGGAGTTCTCACCCGCAGCCAACAGCCGATCTTCGACGGGGACGGGAATTGCGCTGATGATGCCCTCTGGCGGGTTTGCGGAGAGCCGTCGCAGCTGCAGGAGTCTTGTCAGCGGTCCCCTAGGCTGCCAGGAGGGCGGACACAGCGGCGCCCTGAGCGGCGCTTTGGTGCTGAGGAAGAGCTGCTCACTGGGGCGGGGTGGCCGTAGTTAGTTGAGAGGAGCGAGTATCTGTCACACACCATGTGAATTTGTCACACACCATGACACGAGGGCGCTTGATGCCTGGTTGCTGCTATAGGTTGTTTTATTCGTTGGCTCTAAGGAGGTGCGTTGTGATTGGTGTTATCTGTGACTGGATGGGGTTATGGGTTGAAGTAGAACTGCTGTGCACGGAGTGACCAACGGGTCGGCCAGCGCAAGCATCTCGTCAGCTGGATAACGCCGGTTGGCACATGTTATTGGTAGTAAGGCATCACAGCCGGAAGGAGGTTGTCAGTGGTGACACATGCCAGTCTTTACGTTGCATTCATCCAAATATACACTTTGAGACTTCATACGATTACACGGACAAGCCGGCGAGCTTGCTTATTTTCGTAATTGCAAGGTGAGTACGGCAATACCATTGGTGGCTGCAGCTCTTCGGTCGCGAAGGAATGAAGGCTTGCCGCTGCATTGGGCTATGGGCGGGGTGTTCAACGTTGTGAAGAACTGCATTCGCTTACTCTATCAAATCTGTGTTCGAATGCCGTACGTATCTTGTACTACGCGCGCAAGTACGGGATGGTGTCCTGCAGCCGGCATTGTTTGCTGGTCACGTATTCGGATACTGCTCACTGGAAAGGGAAGGTAGGCGCATCTCTGCATCTTGCGTTCTGCAAGCGCAACATCTCAGGATGGGTCGAGAAAGGTACACGAGTTACTGTTTCGGCGCAACGGCCACCAATCAGGGTCAAATCAACCTCGAGGTTCCGTTTTATTGACAACGCATGTAAGCAGTGTTCGGCGATATCAGCTTTTGCCATAGTGAGGATGACGGTGTTGCTTTTTCGATGGCGGTTTACACCGCAACGAACGGAGGTATATGGGCGGCCGTGTAATGCGCGTCCCGATTTAATGTATAGGAATGGTTTTTAGTATTCCTGAAGTACCGGTAATGCCGGCGTGTGGGAAACTTGAGATGGGAGTATCCACGTACGCGACCGGAGGGGGTATGCTGCTGCAATGGATGGATGCATAGCTAGCACTCCTAACCGTAGAAAGTTCTTTAGATGGTGGTGAAGCTCATGAACCTGCCTGTATGTGAGGCGATCCGGTACATACTTAACGTACGCAACGCAGGGTGGCTTGCGGGGGCTTGTCGGGGCTCAGTACGTACATGCGTATCCAGATGCATTGTGGTGTTGTGTTTATGGAATCACGGTTTACACATTGAGGCCAGGAAGGAGAACCGAGGTGTCTTGGGCCATTTTCCGACATCCCGGCAAGACATACGCACTGCAAAGATGCCGTACTTGGGATCAGTTGGACGGTCATGCGTGCTCTTAGCTGTTAATAAGAGCGTGTTGTTGGTCGGGTTAACTGTTAGGTAACAGCAAGTGTCAGCAAGGGGTCACCGAACATCGTACATTTGGCTTTCTTGAAAGGGCGTTACGGCTGAAAAACCACTGGAAAGCAGGGCATGCGCGGGGCAAGTTGTCGGAGGTTGGGGCTTTTCAAAAGGACACTGCAAAGCTTATGCTAAAGTTGTCAGCGGTCGTCGGCCATTTGGTGAAGGAAAAGGAGGTAGCTAGCTGTTGCTGATGCTGCAGTCAGTTTTTGGTGGTTTAAACAACATGATTTGTGGTGCAGCTTATCGCCATGTATCTATCACAGCGCTGGCGTTTTTAAAAGGCCTGCAAAGTTTTTGATATGATGGCTGCAATGATTTCAATAAGATGGATATACCTCACATGGCTTTTAAGATACAGACGTGGTGCTGCGTCTGCTTTCAAGGATCCTTTTAGGCAACTTTTCATGGATTTTGTGGGTTCGTGTCCGTCCTTAGGGGGCAGCGGCTTGGTCGTGCCTTTTATTATCTGCGCGTGTTTTAGTCGGTTAGCCAAGTATGAAGCACGAGGGGTCAGGTTTCTCCCTTTCGTAACTCACAGCTATCAATAGGGTTGCAAAAGGCGATGTATGCTGCAAACTGCCTGATGCGTCCGGGGCATTGGGCATTAGTACGTATGTATGGAAATCACGCGGGTGGTGGTGGTGCGGTAGGGCTGGTGCTGCGGTCTCTGGGATGTGCCTGGGTTACCTCCTGCAACCATTGCAGCAGCCATTGGCCAACAAGCATGCCGTGTTATGTGATATGATGTACTTACCAGTGTGCCGTGCATCGTACGAGATGGCCGGGGCAACTGGACCGCAACCCGACTGCCCTGTTGCTCAACAAATGCGTCCTCGCATGACTGCATTTGGGCCGGTTACTTGGATTTTAATGTGTAGGTACGAATACTATGAGCTGCACTTTTGGATTGGGGCGCGGAGGGAGGAAGACTATGTCTGGTGCTGCATGTGTATGGGTGGTGCCTCAGTGCAGGTGGCGAGCTCGCGCTTAACATACGATGCTAGGTAGGGCCGGGGTGTGAAGGAGGAGGAGGAAAGCAGCTGCTGCAGCTCACTAAGAGGGCATGCAGCAAGAAGCGGAGTATGGTAATAGTCAATTAGGGGTGATGCGTCATTTGTTGGTACTCTTGACGGCTCTGCTGCTGTAATGCCCTGAACATTGCGTCTGATGGCTGCTGTGAGCCTGTGACGAAGCCCCATGACATCTTATGCGTTGTGGCAAAAGCACATTCGACAGCAGGTTTACAGGCTGCTTGAATAACACTGCCTGCTGGGCCGCTCGGGAGTTAAGCGCCCCAGCCATGACATTCACTGTTGATTGCAAGGCACTGGCATTGCAAAACGCAAACCCCAAAAGGTGCAACTGACCTCCACCGGCGGTGTGACTGTACGGTAACTTACAACAAACCATTGAAACGGCCGCAGCGGACACATGCGTACAGAAGAAGGTTGCGGTGTACGTACAGCAGTTAACGGACAACACATCAACATTCCTGGATACCAGAGTTCATGCATGTCCTCCACCCAGCTGACACGTACACCACCTCAGCTCCTGCTGCTCACGCACTAAAGATGAAGTGCCCCTACGACGCCTTCAACTGTAGTACAACAGTACAAGGTACGGCACCAGATCCCGGGCAATTAACTAACAACCAGATCTAACTGCCAAAACGACCCGCGGCTGGTGCAGGGGCCTGTCCCTTGAAGTAAAAGATATGCCCATGTTTTCGTACGACAAACAAAGCTTAGCAACACCCGCAAAGGAAAGGGAATCCATCGCTGATTACAATACATGAAGCAACTGCTAAGCATGAGCGCTGTGAGCCTCTTACTTCTACTATTATGCCGTTTCATCCTATGCGTCTACGCCGTTTGCCGCATCCATCCCATCGCACTTCCAGAACTGCAGCAGTATTGCTCTCCTACGCGCCTAAGTACAATCGTGCAACGCAATGTGCGGAACTGACCAGCATTTAGGACATCCCTTGCAGCATGCAACTACACAAGCAAGCGGGATGCAAGATAAGATGCAGGCCATGTAAACGTAGATAACGCCACCTTCCAACTGCCTTGTACGGTGCAACTGCACAAGCAATAACCTGTCCAGGATACATGCATGGCGCCTCATCAGTCGGTTGTCAGCCATTGTCTAAGCAGAAGCAAACAGTTCACTACTCACTACTAACATATAAGGACCTGAAATTTCTATTGGAAGTCGGATGGGGACTCTCACGTGATTAAAACAAATGCTTAACATTGGCATTTTGGTGGTGAGGCAGACAACATGTAACTTATGATGACGGTCTTCAACTGACCGTGTACGGCAGACTACATACCGCCGTCGCATAACACCGTCGTACAGTTATGGCAAAAATGTATGTTTAGCAACATATAGTGTTGCTCGAAAATACCTTCACATATCCACTACCTACACCATGCATTTCAATCCAAGCTGACAGACACATAGGCTGGGCAAGCACAGCGCAGTGCCCAACGGCAGTCAAAATAAAAGTACATGCAAGCGCACCGACCCCCAACATCGCAATTCGCTCAGGGCCTCCATCATTCCCCTCCGAATGCAAGTAGTTCTCACTCCACATGCAAGTAACCCTCGCTAAGCAAGTCGCTCGACTTTACCTGCACATTCACAAAAGATAACTACTACTCTTCACGCGCACACTTGTTGATAGCAGCGCCTAAGCGATCGCAAAAAAGGGAGGCTACCTGCAATCCCACCCGGACTACAACAACGGTGATCCGCATGCGGAAAACACCCGTGCCAAACTTCTCCTTCACTCAATAAACGTCACTCCTGCCAACCTTCCAACACACGCAAGCACTCCTGCCAACCATGAACAACCTGGCGACGCAAAAAATGAACACACCTCCGCCATATCGCTAACCCGGACCGCAAAGCCCCTCACAACCGCAGCCACGGCGACAGTACGGAATCCAGGATACGGCACACAGCCCGCCGTACCCGCCACCAAACCAGCGGAACGTTGTGCCACATGTCAACATGATGTACGACACGCCAGCTCGGTGCCGGAACCGCCGGAACCGTTGGATCCGTTGCAGCGAAGCGGCTCTTGCTGCTGGTGGCAGCGGTGGCGGAGGCAACGCCGCTCAGCAGCGCTGCCGCTGCGCCTGCAAGACGTCGGGTCGTGGCCTCAGCGGCGGCGGTTGCCGTTATGCCGTCGAAACCACCGACGGCGACGGCGAGTGGGGCGTCGGAAGCGACGAGAAGGATGCTCGTCACGTACAGCGGAATCTGGCGGATGGTCAGGAAGCGAGAGGGATGAGCACGGGGATGGGTAACGTGTAGGGTTGTAAACCAGTCGCAGAGAGGTGCATCATGCGTGGAGGCTGGTGTGTCGACGGTTCCCTGCACACGTTTCCTCCCACAGCGCACCACTCACAGCGCACCACTCACAGCGCACCACGAACGGAAAAGGCAGACACATGTGCCGATGGGTGCATTATCACTGGCAAGCTTTACCACCCATCGACCGACCCACGGGTCACCCCACTCCAGTTGTCGCCCCAATACCCTGTCTGTCGATCGACCCCTATTAACCTACCTCTCGCCCCTAACGCCATCCCAACAACCAACAACCTACCCGAATGCCTTCAGCCGTCAGCCCCATGAGCCTCGACATAAAGTACGGCAAGCCAACGGTGAGGGTCTGCACGTTCTCAACCGCCACCCGTGTCAGGTGCAGCGGTACCTGCCGTTCGGAATCCTGCTGGGGCGGCTGCGGCCCAGCTTGCCGGGTCGCCGTCGTCGTGCCACCAGGACGCCGCAGGGCGGCTGCAGCTGCAGCTGCTGAGGTGGATGGCTCCTCGGGTTCGGCCGCAGCAATGGAAAGGGCCACAACGGGCTGTGCGAGCGGCGCCACGGAGAGGGAGTATGCGCTGACCTGGAAATGAAAAGGGGAGGCATGGAGGGCCGCAGCGTCAGCACCATCAGCAGCAGCAGGAGCAGGAGCAGCAGGAGCAGCAGAGGAGTATGTTAGGGGGGCGGACGACATGGAGCCAGGCACCTGCTGTCACTCACATGCACTGAGCGTACGACAGCACCAAGCAAGGCGAACTGTCGGTAGACGGCCTCCTGGCCTCGCGCCGAAACCATAGCGTCTTCGAACACTGCTTCTCGGGCGTAGCACCCGCCCACCAGCGCTTGCAGAGCGTCTGTCGTACAGCAGGACTCGTACACGGAACGCCACCTGGGGGTTTGGGAGTTGGTTGTTGGTTGGTGTTTAAATTGAACCGCCGTACGTTTATGGCTGGTCTGCTTCTCAATAGGTCTCCACCAGCTCAAAGGGTGAGTGACAGAGAGAAAGGTATGGTGGACAAAAAAGGCAACCTGCCTTGCCTGCTTAAACACACTCGAGGTCAGGCACAGTGCGACCCAAGGCAGCAACACAGCTGTTACCTCCGTGCTGTGACGGCTGCCACGGCAGTCACGCATAGGTCAACACGGCGCTAGCTGCCAAAGGCCATGCATGCGTTATCCCACCACGGCTGTTGTTCTCAAGCCATCCGGCCGGACCTGTAGACATGCCTCTAACCAACGGTCGAACGGTTTGTAGCCTACCCCGTCCCTCACGCCCTAGCTCACCCGACCAGCACGGATTGAAGCGCGGGGCTCAGCTGATGCGGCAACCTGGGCGGTGGCCCGATGGCGGGTAATTCCCCCAACGCAGCGGCTCGGAGATCCTCTTCTGGAGGCAGTAACAAGAGTTGAAGCTTGTGACTTGCGTCTGCATCCCTTAAGAGCTGATACCGCTCGGTCGGCATGCTAGGGGCGGTAACGCGCGAAACGCTTGTCGATGGAGCCGCTTCCGGGGGCAAAGCTGCTTCCTCCGGGCCTTTGGCTTCCATACTTTCCAGCAGCTCCTCTGTTGTTATCAAGGCTGGCGGAGTTCTGACGGGGCTCTGACTTTCAGGCGTCCCGGTCGTTGGAGTAGGGCTTTCCGCCATTACGCTAACCAGCACCTTTCGTGAATACGCCTAGCGCAACCTGGAGCCTTTTTGTATATGGATAGGAAGATAAATGCCAGATAGTGTTCGCAAACCGAAAGGCGAGGCAAGCGCAACGCTTGCAGAGCGTGGTAGCACAAGTAGTGTTCCTTAATATCCTCCAATTAATTGATACGAGGGATGCCATGAGTATCAGTGTTACAATTGTTTGTAAGAAAGCTGTATGCCAGCATAATGGAGCCATGGTTTCTCAGCGTAAGCCAGCGGCGGATGCATCCTAGAACTATGCGGCCTGTACGAATCAACGAATGCAACCATTCAACTATCACAACGTTCAACACGAAAATAACACCACAACTGTTCATTTAGTCCATGATGTCCCAGGGGTCGATATGAAGCCAGCTTGCATGCGGATACCCAATCTATCAACACCACAACGTTGAACCGACCATCAGCTGCCACGGACCTCCTTACAGCTGCTGTGACGTCCTGGGAGATCCGAGCGCTTTCTGTAAATGGGAGGACACATGCAGCACATGGCGAGGTACAGAAGGACAGACAGTGAGACAGCAGCGACGAAAGAAAACACCCTGATGCCCGAGCAGACCGTGGCAGACCTAGCTTCCGCAGCTAGAACTCCTCGCTGCTTTGGGTTAAATAAACTATCAACTCTTCCGAGATCCATCTACATACACCTTCAGCACGCCACCGGATAACATAATTGGGACAGACTGAAGCCATCGCAATCCATAGCATGCGCCTATCCCCCCTCAAGCCCGCCAGCTCACCTCCCTGGCCTCCTGCTCGCTCGGCCTCTCCACCTTCTGCGTCCCGTGCTGCTGGTGAAGGACCTCGGCAGCGCGCCGCGCATCGCGACCCAGCCCCTTCTCGATTTCCTCGTCGCTCATCCGCGTCTCGTACCTGTGTATGCAAGGTGAGGTGGGTCACCGGATAAGAAGCTTGTCGCCATGCACAGTTGGAGGAAAAAAGGCTTGAAACAGGAACAGACGGGGATCCGATCACGGCGAAGGCATAGTCCCATTGCACATCGCATTGGTTAAATTTCTGTTGCTTCCAGGTATAGCTTGCCTGCCCATATGGCAGCCACGCATAACGTGCGTCCATGCAGGCGAGCGCAGCATCGCAGAGCGGCCGTAATGCGGAACCAAAACGCCACGCACGGCTTATCAAGACAACAACTTCCTCAAACCTGCACCCCATTCGACTCTACAGTACGCTTCAGCGTACCTATGCGTTCCCTCGCCCTCGTAAGGCCGCGGCTCCCGGTCGGCCTCTCCCTGAAGCTGCAGCTTGTCGGGAACATCGTCTCCCTCGGTGCTCACCTGCGCTCATGTATGCAATCCTCCTGGTTGCTAACAAGGAGGAAACCATGTGTCGCGGCACCGTTTGCCGATACCGCTCTGCAGTTGAGACCGCGGATAAACAGGGGCCTGCTGCTGGCTCAGGGACTTCATTCCAGTCGATTCCGCAGGTAATCCGTGAACCTGGAAACGTACGCAAGGAGGCGCAGCTCCCAAGATTCTCACCCGGGTGTCACGGACGACATCGCCCTTGGTTCCCGTCTCCGACATCCTTGCTATCCCGAAGTCCTAAGGTTGCAGATTGCCCACCGGTATGTTTCGTAACGTTTGTACAAATAGCGGATGCTAGCTCTTGCGTACTCTTTGGCTTGGCGTGCGCTGACATGTATGTCTGCTTTCTTGTCTAGGTTCCGGAGCTGCGAAGCCGATGACGAATAGGGTCTTTGGAACCGCAGGCCATAGCCATCTCGTACCATATACGCGGCGGCAACCACTAGCCACCATAGTAAGCAACAATTCCGTCCCATAATCGTTGCGCCAGTGCAGTTCCCTGTAGCAAAGAACGAAGCGAGCATAAGCAAAGGCTCGGAAGCTAACTAAGGCACCATGGTAAACAAGGACGACCCCCAACATATGGAGGAGCTGAACAAGATTGCGCAGGTAAGAACAGGACAGTTGCGAAACGGCTTCTGGTTAAAGCCATACGCAGCACATGAAGGCGACGTGGACGTCCTCGGCGCTGACGTAACTTCTTCACGGTGTGCGCAGGACAAGTTTGGCAAGAACTTTGAGGAGCTTGAAGCTCATGAGCGGGTACAGGTGCGATTATACCCTATGCAACCTATTGTGTGGCGTGCGCACGGCTAGTGGTTGTGATTTGTGGCTCTAAGGCACGACTGGGTGTGGGTCGGACCCATGGGTCAGGCCCGTCAGCTTAGTTTTGCGAATGCCTCCAGGCAACGTCAATCCTGCCGCCACCGCACCCATGTGGTAAAAATAGCCCCAGGCACGTTAACGGTTCGTGGATATCAGTTCCTTTGAGGAGCGAACCCTATTGTACGACATTTGGTGTAACCTCTTACCTGACTGTGCTGTCATGCATGCGCTGTTACCTGGTAGGTTGGCGGGGTCAAGGGCGGCCACGCCCGAGGAGGACATTCAGCTGACCCCGACCGCGCACCGCCGCCGCCCGAAGTCAAGGTGAGAGAGCGATGGACACCCCTGCTGCGACTAGAAGTGTTTCATGCCCAGGTGGTCGTGTTGACCCACTACATGCGCTGCGGTTACGATAGATGCGAAGGATACTGCTGGATCGTTCACTTGTTTTCCATCCAACCCCCCTGGAACAACCATCGGCCCGCAGTTCGGCGAGGACAACGATTGAAGTGGGGACGGCAGGAGCGGCGTGGAGTTGACGACAAGGGCGGGGAAGGATGCGGAGGGGCGTTGTTGAATGGTGCTGAGCAAGAGGGATGGCTGCTAGCTCAGCCAATCCAAGCGGCGTAGACTTGCGTCCGCGTCGGCTGATGAGTTGGTTCGTACTGGTTGCTTGCAGTGAGTTGCATTCGTACAGTTCTCAGGCTTACCACCGACACGGCCGCCTTGATGGGGCGTCGGTACCAATCTATTGGCCTTCTCCGAGCTGTGTAAGCAGTTACGCGAAGTCCTACGTTTCCGAGAGGCTAATTGAATGGTTCGGCGGCACGGTAGGCATTCCGTTTATCACCGGCTCTACCGATGGTGAACGAGGACAGTTGATGGGGTAGTTGCATGTGGCTGATCCACTGGGGATACAGCTCTGCGCCTGGTAGTTGATGAGCTGCAGCCGAAGTTGGGCCGACTGTTGGGGAACCGTACCGCATGGGATGCGACCACTGATCACGACGGTGTGGCGGGGGGCAACACACTAGCATGCCTTCCGTAAGAAGCGAACGCTTCAGTTGCTGTGGCCTACAACGCCGCAACACACTGCCATGCCGCATGCGCTGCCGGCCTGCCGCATACTGTTTGTTGCACGTCAAATCCTGCACCCTGTTTAGTAACCTTCACTGGGATGTCGGAAGCTAGCAAGAAACATGCATCCAACATCGAGTAGCGCTAACATGTGCAATTGGTACAACAGTTATGGCTTCCTCTTAGCAACAGCCAGGATGCCAAGCACGATGCAAGGCCCCTCGGCCTCACCAAACACTCAGTACGGCGCGCGCATGGAAGCCTTTAAGGCTTCTGTATTCATCCTCGCTCTTGTGTACCAACTGCCGATCCTAGACGACCACACAATGACTCTCTCACTTCTAACCGCCCGGTCCCAATCCAATACATTTGGAACCCCTCCAGGACCTCTCCAGGCAACCCAGTTACGCCCTCTGCCTATGCCAGCATGTGTTATATGTATACCTGCGGACCCATTCCAAGCCCTGCATCTGACCCTTACCCTGTACATTCCGCCTACCGGTACCGCAACGTTTACCGCTGCCGGTGCGGCCCATCCCGCACTTCCTTAAATGCGCAGAATGCCATCATGCGCAGCCTCATTCTCTGTGCTACTTGTACACTGCTTTGAACTCCCCGGAAGGCTGCTATCCCTCCATCGGCTGGCGTCCAATGGAACAGCCCTCTGCCACAGACGCTTTAACTCCGCGTTCAGGGTCTGAAAGCATCAGCGACACTGCCGCGCGTTGCACGGCTACGTGTCAATCTTATCCAGCTCCGCTAGCCGTTCGAGGATGACCTGCGACGCAACAGCCCACAGGAGAAGGGTGGTCTGGCAGCTGAGGAAAGTTTCGTTACCGCGGCAGCAAGGCGTGTATGCTGGTGTGAGGGGTTGGGGCTGCCGTGGCAAAACACGGGCGTTGGTTCTGATGGCAAGGAATGCCGAATGTACTGACCTTCTTTGCCGTCTCCTGGAGTTCCCCGCCGCAGATAAACTCGTCCAGGATGAGGTACACCTGTGCACGGGAAAGACACTTGCGCATAATCAGGGGCAGCCTCGGGTAACTCAGATTCCATGGTGAGAGACACGACGGCACCCGTAAGGACCGCGAGCCTTGCAAGCAAAGCCCGCTTACCTTGTGGAAGTTGAACACAAGGTCCAGCTCGCAGACGTTGCTGAAATAGTGGTCAAGGATCTCCACGAACAGGTGGATCGCCTCAAGGCACGTCAGCTCGTTATCCGATGCATCAATGCACATCGAGAAGAAGAGTCCAGCATATCGCCGGTAAACAATTTTGTAGGAGCGGAACTGCAGTGTTTGTTATGCTCCATTAGGAAGCGGAAGACACGTGATGACAGTGTGTCCAAAGGACAATGACCAGGCCACCCAAGGCTTCCCACCTCCAGGAAGTTCGTATGCTTAGGATCCCGGTTAACTACAAGCCGGTGGATCTCATACTCCAACTTCCGGCGCTCCTTCTCCTCTATTGGCACATAGTATTTGGAGAGCCGAGTACGCCCCGCTCTGTTCTGTAAAAGGATGAAGCGTATCATCTAGAGCAGGCAGCTGTGAATAATAGGTTCCTGAGACAAGTGAAAGGGAAGCGATGTGACAGCAGCGATTAGGACCCTTGTTTGCTTGGGTATTTGGTCCACTATTATTAATACTTCTCCGTACTGTGGGAGTTGACTTTAATATACTAGGCGTCAGCTTTCCAGAAAGGTGGGAATTCTGGAAAAGTCAAACGTCGTACATAGGCTAGTTGTTGTACTTAGCCCAGTCTGCACCTAGCTACACATAGCAAAATCAGCTGACCAATGTCGCATGAGCCGGTACAGAACAGTGCAACTTGAAGGAGGTCAGTAATTTGTCTAACCGTAGGTTCCATACACGCAAATGCATACTGCTTACGACCCTCCACCATCTGGCTACGGAGACACCGTGGAACTACTCATGGTTTGCCTTCAACCCAAACATGTCTGTGTATTGCAGCACATGCTCAGCAGCTTACCTGTCACCGTCTGAGAATGATCCGCCTGGGAGTCAGAGTGGCAAGAGAGCACTTGATAGCTACACAAATCGGCGTTTTACATTCCAGCGCACTCACACACCACAGGGCAAGCGGAAGCAAGATGCTAGCTTTCCATGTGTGCCCGCGTACAAAACCCAATGAGGCAAGGGCAGGCTACAATACAACAACCGCAAGCAGCAGTTCCATTACACCATTACTAAACATACGGTTGTACGCTTCTAGGTATCACGCTAAACAAGTTACCATTGTTAACCCCTCACCATCCGTAGCAAAAGGCACCAGCAAAGGGGCCAGTGTTTGTCACGTGCAGGTAGGCAACCGCACACACTGAGACGAAGGGACCCTTTGCATACGCCACCCTCCTCCACTAAAGCCTTACCCACAACTTAGAGAGCACGCACTAGGAACTAGTTTGAGAATAAAGATCTAGACATCACGTGTTTTTAAGGACTATTGCACTAGTAGACAAGGAGATTAATTGTATTAACGTTAATTGTACTGATGAACGTTAAGTGTATTAACGAACGTTAATACTAAGTTAATTGCGGCAATAACCCAGTTAACCCGCACTAGTAGTATTACTGCTCCAGCGCCCGTTAGGCGTCCAACCACCCTCTAAAACCCCAACATTACCCCATATGGCTAAACCCTCAAGTACGGATACACACCCCCCGGTAACGTAACCATGGCAACACAACGGCCATGAACTTGAGCGACCGACCCTTGGTTCCCAAACAAAAGGCACCTTGCTCGGATCACCACCAACACCGTACTAAGTTGCAGCCCAGAACAGTCATGGCGGCATTTTCCTTTGTCGTGAACACAGTTAGACTCTAGGGATGGCGCCAGCAGTCGGGCGCTGTCTCTACGGCAGCATCGGTGTTGTTAATCCGCATGCACGAATGCTGCACCACCGGCAGCAATGTCACATGAATCTCCAAATCATGTCAACCTGCCGTGCCACCCAACATCACATTAGTCATTGCCGGCAAGCACTGTCCATGCACCAAGCCTGCTTGTCCCACGTGCGCTTATCCCATGCCCGCCTGCATGTGTCTAGATGTCCGCTTTTTCTCCATCATTGGACGTCATTCAGTACCCTTTTTCTCCGTCTAAACGCGCCAAACCTAAAACGCACAAGGAAATGCAACTTCCCCATTCCGCCTTCCCAACCTCAACCCATGCACTAAAACCTACTCCCTATCGCCATCCATGCAATCCATGCATAGGAAGGCTTATCACCATCCTCTTGCTTGACATATGCCATTCAGCGATTGCTGCCACCTGCCATCACCGCTTACTGTTGTTCCCTGGTATTACCGTCTGTCTTTCTGTCACCGTTATTGCCGCCGTCTCCAAAGCCACCAATCGTCGCCAAATATTTGCGGCGGAGGCGGAGGCGAAGTTGAAGACGACGATGATGACGACGATGGTGGGGGCGGTCGGGGTAACAGGGACTCCGGAGGGCTCGGGGGCGGTCGCCGCTTGGGGTTTTTGGGAGGTGGCGGAATGTCGGGCTGCGGCGGCGGCGCATCCGGAGGTTGGGAGGGGGCCAACGGCGGCGGCGACGGCGGCGGCAGAGGAAACGGCGGCGGCGATGACGGCGGCAATGGAGACGGCGGTGGTGATGGCGGCTGCGGCGGTGGCGCAGAGGGTGGCTTGGGAGGTCGTGGGGAGCGAGGGGCACGCGGGGCTCTGGGTGACGGAGGTGTTGGGGGCGGCGGCTGGGGTGGCAGCGGCGGGGATGGAGATGGGGATGGGGGGGCTGGTGGGGATGGCGGGGGCTGCGGAGGGCATGGTGGTTTCGGGGGTGGCCGTGGCAGCGGAGGTGGTGATGGTGGCCGGGGTGGCGGCGAGGGTGACGGAGGTGGCGACGGCGGTGGCGGCGGTGGAGAGGGTGGTGAGGGCAATGGTGGCGGCGGCGGAGGTGGCGGTGGCGGCGGAGGTGGTGGCGGCGGGTATGAGGGTGGCGGCAGGTCGGGGGGGGGTGCTGATGGCTGAGCAGGCTCTGCTGGCGGCTGAGGCGGCGGAGGATCAGGAGATGTGGGCGGTCGCAGAGGCGGGGGCGAAGAGGAGGAGGGAGAAGCCACAGCAGCGGATGGAGACGGCCGACGGGTGACAACCCTCTTTGGGGGCGGAGGGACGTCAGGAAGCATGGGTGGAACATTTGGTGGGAAGGGTGACGGGACGGCTGGCGACGGAGGCGACTTACGTGTCGTAATGGTGCGTGGCGCAGGTGACGGGGGTGGTGAGTGAGTGGGGGGCGACAAGGAGGTGTGGGGGGAGGGCGCCGGTAAGGGCGGCTGGGGGCTAGGAGGCTTGGCGGTGCTGCCCTGGCTTACACCGCCTGTGTTGATGGTCCTTGAAGGCGGCGGCGGCGGCAGAGTACGGCAATCTGGATCGAGCGAATCTGGAAGCAGATCGCAATCGTCGTCCAAGCCGTCATTGCAAACTTGTTCTGAGGTGGCTTTCCGCCGGCATATCGTCACGCTGGCACCGCTGCTCGGATTCCAAGAGTTGAAGTACACCACCAGGCCGCTGGCCACGTCCGTGTAGTTCCCGCCGAGACTCACGGTTCCGACAAGGAAGGTGTTTTGGTACGGCGCAGTTGCCGTACCGTTGTAGTAATGTACGATAACAAAGGGCTTGCCGTCATGATATTTGGCAAAGGGAAGATCGTACGGTGGTACGTTGATCCTGGCGGAGATATAGATCTGCGGCTTGTCGGTCATGTTAGCTAGGGACAGGGCGACCGACCCACGGGTCGTACTGAGGTGCGGAGGAAGAAGCAAGCCATGCAGCTTGCCGAAGCCCAGGTCCGAATCGTTGAATGTCTGGAAGGGCTGTCCCCAGCCCAACTGCGAGCGGATGAGGCACGAGGCAAAAGTTTTCGGTTGGAACCTTTGGAGCTTTGGCTGGCTGTTGATCTTACTTCAGGGCAGAACTTGAAAGGGAAGGGGACACGCCAAAGCCTAGCCAGCAAGGGGACGCATGCGTAACCTGGCAGACCCAAACAACCATCTTAGCCCGTAACGCATAACATGCCCGAGTGCTGTAATGGTCACGTCCACTCAGGTATTGGTAACACGCAGCATGTGACGCACGCACGCACGCACCTGCCACATGTGCGGTGGGTTCAAACACCGGATGCCCTGCCCTCCAGCTGCGCCCATGAAGCAGGTGTTGTCGCATTGGTCGTAAGTGCCGCATCCCCCAGGCACGTTGGCATGCGCCATCCCCAGCGTGTGGCCAATCTCGTGAAACAGAACCTCAAGGTCTCCGAACACGTCGCCACTCCACCAGATGAGGCCGGTGCCCCATGTGTTGTTGGCAGTGTAGCGCCGGAACCAGGGACCGATAGACGCTGATCCCGCAATGCCACCGCAATCTGTGAGGTTTGGTGCGTGGGAGCAGGAGAGGTGAGAATGTGAGAAAGTGGCCGAGGAATTTTCATTGCGGGTAGGTAAGGTTCAGGGATTGCGGGGGAAGAGGGAGGGTTTGCAAGAAGCGCCATGCCGCATTGCATGTCCTCATATGCACCATTAGTGAGTGGGGTTTTGATAGGAAGCAAGGCTGGATATGCTGCTTACGAACGCTGTACGTACGGCAGACTTAGGCATGGCTTTGCTTTGCAGCAGCTTATAAACAGCTCCATGGTTGCCTAGGCAATCAAGCAGCTACCGTATGTACGATACCAATCTAGAAACTCACCTTTAACGGTGCTCACAAAGTTTTTAGGCAGTATCATAATTTGGTGGTTGTAGTCAGTGTTGGTGATGTTCTGTTGTGCAGCAACGGTGTTCAGGTAGTACTGCCACTTTACCAAGTTGTCGTTGGCACAGGTGGACGTGTCAAAGTTGTTGCCAGTCGGGAACGTAAACGACAGTTGCAGCGAGCCGTTGCAGGGGATCGCAATGGGCCGCCCCGGCTGATGCGGGTCAGTTACGATTTTAATCTGCGACTCTGTTACCCGGGCTTGGCGGTACGAACAAGTGTCGTAGTAGCCAGCCAGGGTCCGGTTGGGGGCAGTGGGCCCAGAACCAGTGAAAAGATTGAGGACGTCCTGCGAGCGACGGGAGGGAGGGACATGTCGCCGGGTACCCCATGTCAGTGCGTGTGGGCTGGTTTAGAGACGCCCCATTGAAGAGATTGTAGTACCCAGTATGTGTGCTGGTTTGCCGGAGCCCGATCGGGAGGCACACTCTCATGCATGGAGCCTTGACGAACAAGTGGTGCAACTATGAGGGGGAGGCTACAGTAGGCGGCTACCCGTCAGCACAGATATGGGTGGCTCCAGTGGCGCTTCGAAGCCTTGTATGAAGCAAAGCAGCCCGCACCCCCTCCCCTATCTAGCCCTTGTCATGCAGCTCGTCAGTTGCATCGTCAGTGTCTCATTACTTTCCCCCTATCTAGCCCTTGGGCTGCATCTAGTGTACGACAACCGTTAGTGTAGCACTGACCGCCGGAGTGGCGGCCACAGTGTCGACTGAGGAGTTGCAGAGAGTAGTGAGGAAGACCAGGAACGTGGGCTTGGTTGGGGTGGTATTCGTATCCCCAAACAAACGCCGGCGTGTCTGCTGTTCGAACTTTGGAGGCTGGCAGGATGTTAACACGCCACCGACTGCCTCCGTATACGTGATGGTGGCGCGCGAATTTGCTGAGAGCACTTCCAGCGTCACGTTGCTGCAGAAAGACAGCCTGTAGAACCGGCCATCATCGGCCTCCAAGTAGTACAGCGTCTGGTCGCTGCCATCTTGCGCCGACGACATCATCATCATAATAGTGCCTATAATGCATAGATATGCGGGTTCACAAAGTTAGCGGCCGGGTTCGTAAAAGCTGGAAAAAGGTACAGCATTACAGCTCACGTACCAGACACGGTGCCAGCTTTATCGGCATCGCCGGTTTGACCTTGTAGGCCACAAACGGCAGCAGGAAGGGCAGCTATCGCCAAGGCAAAGAGCGCTAGAAGCGCCCTGACGGTCATCGCCCGCCTATTACGCCGCTCCAGCTTTGTTACACCACCATCGAAAAAGGGTATCAAATTACACGTTGAATGAGTAGTGAACTTTATGTTGTGAATTAGCAAGGGTAAGGGGATACCGAAGGCGAAGGGCCTCGGCCATCAAGACAGTCCAGCCCTTTAAGAATATTATGCATGTAGGTAAAAAATCTACCCAACACAATGTTTTGTCGATAGTGGCGGCAAATGACTTCACATGTCCGCTTACCAGCACAGGGTACGCACGCGTACGACTGAGCCCCTGCGCTATGCTATGGAATCATGGAAGTAGCTAAGCCCAAATCACTACCTCTTTTTTCATTACATAACAATAAAACAGTTCATAAGCAACCTTCGTAGTGAGTTTTCTACGGCGACGAAGTCGGGTGCCCTCCCTCTCCATGTCAAATAACAAGATGCTTGTTTATTATAGTAAAGATCCCGCGCGCTAGCCTTTCTTCTCGCCAACAACAACAGTCTAGCTAGGCAGGCTTTTCCTGAATCCAGAACTTGATCCAAAGAGGTGTCAGCGAATTCCGGAACCTCTCCTTTGTTACTATGCCTCTGCTGCAATACCGGTATACATATAACTTGTACTACATATATACGTAATGATGGCGCGCGGCCGTGGCGCGTGGAAACATACGATGCATACCGGTACCGTATATAAATCGTGTACTTCCACCAGCTTCCATCTAGAGTTGATCCCGTATGTATGTGTGTATGTGTGTGTTACAAGCTTCGTACCGAGCTCGTAAGATCCGTCCGAGCCAGAAGGCTCATGGATCGCGAGCACAAAACGCGAAAACAACCAAAAGAAGAAAAGTAAAACAAAAGAGACAACAAACAGAACGCTAATCATATGATAAACCCTGTCTGCGCAATCCTGCGACTTCGCATGCTAGTGATTACGCTAGCAAGCAATGCCTGATTCTCCATGCCCATGACAGCAATCATATCAGCATCCCGTGAGACACCACTTTCCCATATCTTATCACGCAAATCATCGTAAGCGGGACATTCAATGAGGATGTGTTTCTCATCTTCCACTCTCCCCGGCGACCCCTGCACGGCACACATAGGACAGACACGCGCTACTCGTTGCCTACCCCTAGGGCGATTGGCTTCAATGCCCCACACACACAGCCGAAAACGCATCAGGTTCACATGCTGCCGCTGAGTAATGTACCCCCTGTCAACCGGGTCACCCATCCAATTTTTGTACCTGCACATCTTAACTCCAACTCCTGGTACGGGGTCTACTGGGTTGAAAAGCCGCGGGTCATCTTCCAAACTCCTATCCTCCCAATCCGCATCCATTCTATCAGCAAACTTTTTAGTGAGAGCAGACACATTTAGCTCCGTGCCAGCAATACGTTCCACACGCGCATTCAAGTCCAACTCACCCCCCAAGGCCGTCAAATCCGTCCCTAACATTTTCAGAATCTTCAACACCTTAGAACCCCAGCCATCATAATGCTCAGTACTGAGAGCCGAACGAATTTCCGTTAGAGCGTTACTGACAGGGTCGTACGCGGCTAACCCTGTCAATGTCTTTTTATTTCACCTCCGGTTCAGGGTATCTTCGAAATGGTTGTGGACCTATGCCTATCCGCGCCTAGCTGCGCCTAGCTAGCACCAATCAGCAGGTTGGAGTAGTGTGGCAACGCCCACGTCAGTTCCGTCAAGTGCGTGTCCTAGCGGCTTGTGTAAGACCCACAGGACACGATCGAGAGGGTGCTAGCTGCCGGTAGCTGCTGTATGCTTCAGCAGGGATTGCCCCGGCTTCCATTGTATGGCGACTAAGGAGGGCCATCAGTGCTTCCAAGCGCACACGGCCGTCGCAAGCAGTCGGTAGGCGGTGGGCACGCAGAAGTGGGCACACGTATATGTACGAGCAGTGAAGCTGCTGGTACCTTGCTTCGTTATACCACTCTTTACTGCTTGGTGTATGTTAGCTTGTGCTAATTGCTACCATGCAGATGCACAAAGCGCAGAAGCTTCTCCCCCTGCCTTTATGCATTGCTCGCACTGTTAAAAGCTGCCCACAATGAATTTGAAGGCAAAACACTTTTCTTTTGCATAAATGCAAGTGCGCACGGATCGAGAATTATACGCCTGGTAGTGGTTCGCAAATGGCATGCATGCGACCGGCGTGTTGCACCGGAAGATAGCACTTTACATGAAACTTACCGCGGCAAGGACGCGCATCAATCTATTCATCGTTATTAGTGGCCGCTTGCAGTAAGCCCTATCTGTATGATGACCCGCCATGGAATACTGTCTTCGCCGGGGAAAAACATGAAGAGCATTCGTAGCTCGCCGGATTTCAATCGCTATTCATAGTGATATTTGTACACTACATATACCTAGCTTGCTATGGGCATCCCTCCCCGCTGTGACATCGCCTGCTAGTTACGCTGTGTACCGGTATCCGTCGAAATTTTTGCATACGCCAAAATGGAAATTAGCTGCTCCGCCTCACATGTAAGGGTGAGATATAGACGCGTGGCCTTACGCATAGCTGGCATTACTCCATTCTAGTCGATCGCCCACCTTCTTCGGCGGTAGACAGCGCAACTACGTTACCTATTGCCGGTAGCATATTATAAAGGGAAACCGATTATTAAAAATGTCAATGTGTATTTTTATTGACAGCTTTATGTTAGTAAGTGGTCAACGGTCTGTAACGAACAGCGTATGCCATATCGCCCCAAGAAGCCTGGAGCACTGGTGGACGTGCACATAGCTTTCGGCTACTAACGCTTTGCTTGTTCTTAGATGCATAGGGTGCCAAAGGAGACAAGAGCTCCACAGACGGCTGCAACACTCCACGCTAGTTTGTTCTTACCGCCTTGCAATACTCTGAGCTGCTACCTTCGCTTAAGGAGGGACCCCGCACATGGTGTTTCGGCTCCGTACGGATATGGGGGAAGGGGCTGTTACCCCCTTTCCCTAGATCCCCATTTCCCCTTATACTCATGCGTGCAACATGCAGCCCAGCCATAACAACTGATGCAGCAACATGAACACACATAACATCCGTGGTCTTGCACTTGCTTTGCCTGTCATCGGCATGCTTCCCTATTTTGCCACCTGTTCAGCAGCAGTTCCTGCCTACTCTACCTACTCTACTCGATAGTGTCAGCTACTACATACACATCGACTTACTACTACGGGCCTTAGGTACGCCACCATATTCCTCGGCTCCTGCGGCGGTTCTGTGGGGACTTCATCTTCCGACAATCACAGTACGTTCCGACTCGCGGTCAGTTTTCTTAGCACACATAAGGGCACCCTTCATCTGCTGCAATGGCTGGACCTACCCTGTTTGGAACAGCGCAAACTCGGCGTACTCGGCGCTCGGTTGACAGTTTGACTCCAGCATTGAGCGTATACTTAGCAGCTTAAAGACCTTGTGTATTCTAGCCCCAGGAACTTCCCTCTCTCGCTAAGACTTAGATCCCCCTAAGTACCCTTGCAGAGATGAGGGGTCGTGGTGGATCCATCCGGATCGCGCATCGCGGTTAGAACCTACCTGCGCTAACTGTGAATGCTTGTTAGCATTACAGGGGAACCAGGAAACTAAATCTGACTAAATTTCGGAATATAGCTCAGAAGAGCGCCCGGCGCAACACGAGGTTACGGGTTCCCTAAGGGCGTGTTCACATGTGCGCGAATCCGGGTGAATCGGGGTGGATTGGCAGTCGGATTAACCCAATCGGGGTCTGGGGGGGCTGATTCGAGTAGGATGAACCAAGATTGATCGAGATTCGACTTATACGCGAAGCTTTTCAGTTGCAAATAAGAAAGATAGCAATTACAAAACATCCTCATTAAAGTAATATGTTAATTTGCCAGAAAGTTGCACAGCGACATTTCGCGACCATCGGGCAGGTATGTCCCTGGTGACCAGGCGATGCCACATTAGTTTAAAAAGTGATAACTGCAATTAAATTTGATGTCTACCGGTCTGGAACGGTTAGAAAGGGCGACGGACAAGGAATCCGTGGGTTGGTTTACTCTCCTTCGGATTCGTTGTGAACGCGATTTGGGAATCACTTGCGAAGCTAACTATGAATCCTAACACGAATCCTGTTACATGTGAACACACCCTAAGCGCCCGGGGTATCAGCCGCCGACATGATCATTTACACTCCTTCCTGAAAGGTAACACAGGTGATAAGCCCAACCCTACACTGCAATGAGAAAGTTCCGTTTGCATTCAACAGAACCACTTGCATTAACGAGAGTGTTTCCTACGACCTACCTCCTCCCAGCACCCGTTAGTGGATTTACATATACGCGTATCTACATACGACAACCTACTCGTTTCCCGTTGAGTTTCGGTTGGGACATCATCGTCCGACAATCCAGTTCGTCCTGCAGTAGCCACTCGCGGCCAGTTTCCTTAACACGCTCTGCATCCCTACATGTACCTCCAGTTTTGAAAGCTTTGCGACTACAGTTGATTCAAATAGACACATCCTTCCTTGCTCAGCCTCCCTCACGCTGCCATTACTGCCCCTCACCACTGCACACCACCCCTCTCACCCTCTGCTGCAACCACAACCACAACCACAACCTCCTTTCAAGCCACCGCCTTCCCCTCAAGCCATGCCTTCCTCCGAGCCTGTAACGCCCGCTCCCTCCACGACAGCCCCTGCTGACCCAACACAGCCGAGCTGAGAGTCCCTGCCACTCCCGCCGCCCGCCCCTCCTCCCCTCCGCTTATCCCCCCGCTCCCTGCCGTATCCGCCGGCCCTGCAAGCCCGCTGAGGAGGCTGCTGCCACCTCCGCCAGCATGCAGCCCCGCTGCTGCCCGGGCTGCCGCCGCCACACCCGCTTCGTCCAGCTCCACCACAACCGGCCCATCATCGTCATTAGCATCAGCGGCAACCTTCCTCTGGCCCCCGGTCAGCAGCCCCCGCTGCTGCTGCAGCTGTTGCTGCTGGGGTGGTGGTGGTGCTGCTGCTGCTCCCGCTCCCCTTGCTGTTGAGCCCGCCTCAGCTGTCGGCAGCCGTGGCGGTGCTGCTGACCCTGCATGCGGTGCGGACCTTGCAGGTGCAGCAGCAGCAGCAGCAGTAGCAGTAGCAGCAGGCGGGGCAGCTCCTTTCGCAGCAGATGCTGCTGCTGCAGCAGCTTGGGGGCTGCCGGCTCCTCCTCCCCGCTGCTGGCAACCGCTGCTATCCCGCAGGCTGCCGTCTTCCTCCCGCCCCGCAGCACTGCGTCCCTGCCGCTCACCCTGCGCTTCATGAGGGCCCCCCAGCTCCCGCTGCCGCTCCCCTTGCCACTGCTGCTGCTCCCGCTGCCGCTCCCTGTCTCGCTGCTGCTGCCGCTGCTGCTCCGGGGCCCCATCTCCACCGCCTCCTCCTCGTGAAAAAGGCTGCTCACGGCCCCGTTCTCGCTCCCGCTGCCGCGTATCGTCCTCTCTGCCACGTCCTCCTCGCTCCCGCTCCCGCTCCCGCTCCCGCTGCCGCTGCCGCTCATGCCCCCTGTCGCGCTCCCCGCCGTTCTCCCGACCCCCGTCGCCCTCCCGCCCTCGCGCCCTCTCCCGATCGCTTCCGGCATATCCCCGGTCACGGTCGGAATCCCGCTCACGCCGCCGCTCCCGCTCCCGATCCTGTTGCCGATCATCCTGATGCCGATCTCGTTCCCGCTCACGCTGCTCTCCTCGCGCCCTCTCTCGGTCGCGATCTCGTTCCCATCTCCAATCCCCCTCACGTGCACTCTGGTGTCCACGTCGATCACCACGTTCCAATTCCCGCTGCCCCGTCCCGTAAGGCCTGCTGCCGCCGCCGCCGCTCCCGCTGCCATCGCTTTTACTGCGACTGACCCGTGGGTCATCACGCTCTGCCTGCGATTTCGCTGCCTGCGACTTCAATGGCTGTGCTGGCGGCGGCGGCGGCAGCTGAGGCTGTGACGACCCAAAGATGGCATCCTCATGCTGCGCCTCCGCTCGACGTAACGCCTGCTGGCGCCGTTCCATGTCGCCCGTACGGCGGAACGTGAGCGCATTGAGCTCCCCCCGATCCAACTCCTCTGCCAGACCGTGGCTATTGTAGCGCTTCTCATCCGGAGCATCGCCGCCGGCTGCATTGGCACCGTCCGCATCCCAGGAGGAAGCCAGGGAGGGCCGCGCGCCTTCCTCGTCTAACAACGCATCGCTGTTGAAGACGAACCGCGTCCAAGTGGACCCGCCGCCGCTGCTGCTCCTGCCGCCGCCAGCGCCGCCTCCTGCTCTATCATGCGCGGCTGTTTCCGAGTTAGCAGCAGCGGCAGCGGCTGCTGCTGCTGCGTTGCTTCGGACGCGGGCATCGGCTTGTGAAAGTGCCAGCCGAGTGCGGGCACGGAGCTTCTCCGCGGGATTCATCGCATCAAAACCTGGATAGTGAGGCGGAGAGGGATAGCGGATAAGAGGGCCTGTGGTTAGGACGTGGCACCGGTAGAAGGCCTACGCGTAGAGCGGATCCCAAATTGCACCATGCGAAGTGGAGAAGGGCCGCATGGACGGGACGCGGATGGAGTCTAACACGGCATGCTGTAATGCATTTTTGAGATACAGACAGACAGGCTGGGTAAAGCCACCTGCCGCGAAGTCATTCAGAAGCCTCCCTGCCGCGCCCCTAACGAAGCCCTGCCCTCATTACCCCTTCGTCCTCTTACTCCGTACCTTCAATGAGAGAGGCGTAGTCGCGGGGTCCCTTGCCAGTGCCGAGCCCGCCAGCATCGCCACCACGACGGCCGTCATCCTGTCCCCGTCGCCCGCCCTCTGCGCCGCCTGGCTGGGGCCTGCCGCTGCCATGGCTTAGGGACAGCCGCCCAGCACCTCTACCCTCGTCATGGTACAGGCTGCGGATGGGAAGAACAAGAGACGCGAATACAAAATGTGTACGGCAAACGTGAGAACGCGGCGGAAGTGTGGCAGGCAAGTTTATGGTATATAGTCTTTAAACGCATAAGTAATCGGTGTCCAGCGATGTTCGGGCTGTCAACAGCGACCGGCAAGAATTGATGACGCCAGCTATGCCAAGTTAAAACAACTCTACCTCAACCCCAGTCATTATGGAATCTAATCATGGAAAGACATGGGCATTACAAAGATATGGAGCGGGCAACGGCCATAAATTCCATCATTTACCTGCTATCGCGTTGCTGCCGCTGGCGCTTCGCCGCCGGCATATCGTCGTCACTGTCATCATAAGCAGCGGCCGATGATTGAAAAGGTTTCTTGGTCGTCTCCGCAGCGAAACTTGTGGACGACCGGACAAAGGAAGACAGAACGCCTTCCGGCGCCGAGGCGCCATGGCCATGGGGTGACGACTTACGGTCGCCAAACCCCAGTCCCTGTAGGAATATCCATGAACCGTAAGCGTCAACGCCTTGTAAAAGCCGCTACTGACAACAACTGGCAGTTGCCGCGCAACCTTGCCGGATGGGCGTGTACCTGCTTATGTTTTGCAGCCTCGTTCACCCGAGCAAACAAGCTGTAAAGGCGATGTGCTTGTCCCTCCTCCATTTATGTTTAAATTACCTTGCACCTTGTGGACAGTGCGATGATAAAATAAAAAAGGCCGGTGACTTGTTAGCTGTACAAGACAACGATGGCCATTTTTTGAAGTAAAAAAGATCACAGGTCATAAGAGTCAATCTAAGAGTTTACCATAGGTCTTAATAACATGCATACATAAGCCCTGGATAGGTAACGCCCGTTTTACAGCCCTGACAGTTAGCTTAAGACGCGCGATTGGCCAAAGCCTCGTTCCATCTAGTAAATAGGATCACTGTTTTCTTCCTAGGGCGCCTTGCGCGCCCTGGGCTCCACCGGCGGTCACAATGCTGAAATTCCTTTTCAAGGAGGAAGACCCGAAGGAGCTAGTGAGGAAATGGCAAGCAACGCTCCGTGCAGAGCAGCGTGGACTAGATCGGCAAGTGCGCGGTACGTGCACGCGCGTGAGCCAGGCGTCCTGTCCTGTCGCCCAGCCCCGTACCTACCCGCAGCCCCAGAACGCCTCGAACAGCTACCTTATCCCCCTGCAGACATTCAGTTTGAAGAGAAGAAGGTTCAGAAGGCCATCAAGGAAGCTGCCAAGCGCGGGGACATGGGTTCCGCCAAGGTATGGCCGGGCACTGCACCCAGCAATTCCAGGTTCCCTGCTCGGGCGCCAAGGCATTGGGCGCCATGCCTCATGTCCCGCGCACAGACACATAAGCCCCAACCACATCTTGCATGGATGGGGGTTGCTCCAGTACGGCAACCGGGGCGAGCTTCGGTACGGGAACCGCGGTGCAGGATGTGACTGGCGTCAGGCCCACTTGCACCCTAGACAACACCATCGGTGCCGTTGACTGCATGCGCACGGCCTCCTTTGCCCCTTCCAAACCTGAACAAGGATACAGGAAGGCCTGCATGAGCGCAGAAGCGGCTTGACGTTGACTGTTCGCACTCTGTGTCGTCACACTGCATGTCTGACGCATGCAGGCACGCCAACCTGCACCCATGCCAACCTGCACCCATGCCAACCTGCACCCATGCCAACCTGTACCCATGCGCATGTGCCCCAAGTCTAAACTTCAATGTTTGCCCAACCATGAACAACCCCTTGCCGAACCCCGTGACATGACCCGCAGCACTTGGCGCGTGAGATAATCCAAAGCCGGAGAGCCATAACGCGGCTGTACGTCAATAAGGCCCACATGCAAAGCCTGAGTACGGCACTGACGGAACAATTAGGTACGACACATCTCTCTCGGAATGTGGAGTCGCGGGAGGCGACCGGGATTATGCGAGGGGTCCCATGTGTTTTGCCATGCGGCAATGCTTGCCGTACTGCGTTCAAGCGTACGGGCAGCGTGTGTACTGGGGATAGTGCGGGTTTTGACCAAGCCCTCCCGCCTCATCGGCACACTGCGGGCGCTGACACGCCCCATGCGCCCCTTGATATCCCTTGGTTCGTGTTTCCTCTTCATGCGGCTTCTTCTTTCTCCCCCTCACCGTCGCCGCCTCCTATCCCGTTTGCCTTGCCCGGACCTGTGGTTTCCTATGGTTTGGTGTGTGGTCCGTGACCCCCCCTCCTGCCGCCAGGTATGCTGCGGGTGGCTGGCACCTTGAGCAAGAGCACCGAGGTAATGCGGCAGGTGAACTCCATTATCAAGGCTCCGGAGCTGCAGAGGACAATGATGGAGATGTCCAAAGGTGCGTCCCAAGGGGGCGAGGGGCGGGGTGGGAGGGGGGGTGGAGACAGCTGAATGGAGATGTCAAAAGGTGCGGTGGGGAGGGAAGGGTGGTGTCGAGGAAGAGGTACCCTGTTGTGTACGATGGGAAGGAAAGGTGCGGCGGGGAGGGAGGGGTGGTGTGGAGGTGGGGGTGAAGCAGGGTATCTGGGACGCAGACGCCTGCTAGTTCTCGCGACAGAACACGCACTTACAACCCACTGGTACGCACCCACTCGCACTCGGGCCTCTGCAGAGGGCCTCTGCATAGATGGTGAAGGTTAGGCTGATTGCGATATACGCAACACGCACGCATGCAGCATGCATGGTTCCATCCTCTTTGCTTCCCTGTCCGCCTGCTTTGCCCTCCCCCGCCTGCTTTGCACGCGCACGGGGGCCCGGCAGAGATGATGAAAGTGGGGTTGATCGAGGAGATGATCAGCGATGCGATCGACGGCGCGGTGGGCGGCGAGGAGGAGGAGGAGGAGACGGAGGAGGAGGTGCAGAAGGTGCTTGATGAGATCGCGGGAGAGACGCTGGCGGCGCTGCCGGCGGCACGGGTGCGTCGGGGTCCTCGAAGGGAGGTTGCACCCCTGCATGCGGGTTCCCGGAAGGTTGCTGGGATGAGTATCCGTCCTCCTAGAGGTCCTAGGGGTTGACTGAGCGGGGCATGCAGTAAGGGGGCACGCAGGAGCCCGTTTGTTCTTCCTCTTCTTCGGTTCTTCTGCGCTCTATTTCGGCTGCATGCCGAACGTTGCTTAACACTGCTGCGCCTGCCTCCATATGCTTGCGACCTCGCCACTGCTGTACTTTTTTGCTCTTCCTCGCCCATGCGACGCGTGCATGTCTCCTCTCCCTCTCCCAACCCCTCCCGCACTGTCATTACCAACCGACACATTGGGTGTTCTTCTCCCAAACCCCACACCCCCCTCCCACAGCGTGCCAAGCAGCGGCAGCCCGCGCAGGCGGTTGAGGCGGAGGCGGATGACATGGCGGAGCTGAGGGCGCGACTGGACGCAGTAAAGGTCTAGGACTGGACGCAGTAAAGGTCTAGGGGGGAAAAGGGCTGGACGCAGTAAAGGTCTAGGGGGGAAAATTATATAATAAATGCAAACAACTAGATTCCCAATCCCAGAGCCCGACTTGTTGCAATGGGGAGTTGGGAGTGGAGATCTGGCTGGTGGTAGGGCGTTGAGGCTGCAATGGAACAGTGGAACGAGGGAAGGAGCGGGCTAGGGGGCGAAGGAACGGGGAGCGACTATAATAGCTTTGAGCTGCAATGAGTCGGGAGGTACAGTGGAGTTAGGGAGTGGGTGACTTAGGGAGTGGGTGATGACTTAGCGGTGTGTTGGCGGATGAAGACCAGACGATGATAATGAGGCGCATGGGATGTACGGTGCCCGGATGTGCAATCGTTTTCACACATACGTACTGAGCATGAAGATAAAGGTACGGCGGGATGTACACCATGAAAGTTAGGTTGTACAACATATATGCAGAGGGGGTACTTGCAGCCGTATGCTGTAGCAGTGTTTTCTGATTAGGTCCGCCGGACTTTGCGTATATAGTGGACTTCCCAACATTAACTGAAACTAGGAGGCCATTTTACTTTTGATGGCAGGGGTCACGCGGCCCCTTTCGTTCCTACAGCACACAAGCAGTTGCAAAGCCCTGTGACACGCCATGCGCATGTCGACCCAGCAGGAGGGCAGCAGATGGGATACGGCCGTCCTTTGGTACGCTGCGTCCACGCCGCCGGCTTCCGGTATGCATATAATACGTGATATATAGCTCTGAAGTTCCCCTCTTCTCGGTCAGGGAAAGCACGACGGCCCTTGCGGGGGCATGCAACACCTTTGCAGTGCTACTCGAACACGACATGCCGCGACATCCTGACCCCCAGGAGGCTGGGGCGTCTTAGTACGTCCCGGTACACGCCAGCCAGCACAGGGCTAAAAAACACACCGCAACGTGCCGTTGGCCCCCGCACTTGCAGTACGGTAACCGAAAGGAAAGGCTATGCCCTATGGGCACGATTACTTGTGCTTACTTGGCAGTCCCTTTGGCAGCCAGACACCAGCAGCTTTGACAGCCAGCGAGAGGGGAGTGGTAAGGGAAGTACCGTAATACCATGCGAGGAGGGGGTAAAGAGGAAACAACTAACTGACTGAGGGATAAGGCGTCAACATGGGTTGCAACATGTGAGCCAGCCCGACCCGCCCAGCCCGAATTAGCCAAGCGAGGAGGAGGGGGGGGGGGAGTCGTGGCCTGGTGGGCTATGCGGCGCCAATTGCGATAGGTGCTTTGCTTGTACAACTCCTTGGTTGAATTATGTGCGTATCGTTTTGAATTGCCACATGCAACAGCTGAATTGAGGATGTGACAGGTGTCCCGTGCCATGTCCCAAGCTCCAAACCTGGCTGAAGCCAGGAGGTATACGAGGCAAGCGTGGTGTAAGCCCTGCGGTTATTGCGTACTTATAGAAAAGAACACGTGCATACTATCGTGATTGAGCGGACACGCCTACGAATCACGATTCCTGCGGATAAGGTAGGCACTCGCCGTATGCTTGCATAGGCGTTGCCGCAGACAGCGTACAGCGATCGGATCAGGCTTTTATTGTTTTTAAGATATGCCGTTGGAATGAATACGAAGTCGTTGTAACATTCTCCGCTTCACTTGCAATTTGCGACGGTCCATCTACCTCGGCTAAGCATTCTATCAGTTTACACCCACAAAGGTGGCCGCAATATCCAAACAATTCAGCTTGGATATTGCAGCATTTAGCCGAGGGTTGCCAACCTTGGCAGCAGAAACCTTCAACAAACATGATGAGCCGTCAGCGCAAGCTGTGTACAAGCAACGCTTTCAACAGCAATCGCTTTTTCATTAGCAAGCAAATTAATTTATCTTACTATAACGGAGCTCTTTCGTCCAGAATCCCTCGGCCGCCTTTCTCCTTGGCTGTAGCCCATAGCAGGAACCACGCAACTCTCGCTTCGGGGCCGCGGCTACCACATCCCAATTTTGGACAGCTTTGCTTGTTGAAGCCACAAAAGACAGCTTTTATGGCTTCGGCTTTGGTTGCCAGCGACTCTCAGCCTCAGCCCCAGGCACCAGCTGTAGAGACGTGCGACGCGCTGATCGTGGGTGCGGGCCCTGCCGGCTTGGGTACAGCGCTGCTGTTGGCACGGCGCAAGGGCTGGGAGCGCATCGTGCTGTTGGAGCAGCGAGGCAATCTGGGTGCGGTCCTGGAAGGAGGAAAGGATTGGGAGTAACGTTTAATTCTTGAATTGTTTTAGCTTTTGTTGCGCTGCAAAACTGGGCATTGCACTGCTCCGCCTTGCTGACCCATGGGTCACAGTCGGACCCATGTCAGGGGTACGAATGCCGCTTCCCCCTGGACTGCTGGGAAGCCTGTTTTGAGTTCGGCGATATTTATACTTCGAGCGAGCTCACATCTTGTGGTTGCATTTCTTTTGCTGCATGTATGCACTTGTGTTCATTTGTGCATGCAGATGCGGAGGAAGCTGACAAGTCGTACGTGTACAGCATTGACTGGCGGGGTCGCGGCCTGACGGACGAAGCCGGTGTCACGGACGCCATGTTGGATGCAGGAGTGCTGACCACCTCCATTGAGTTTATGCAGGTGGTTAGAGCTCCGAGCAACCATGCGGGGTGTTATTTTGCCTCGCTCTGTGGGGCTTTTGACCTTTCTGGTGCAAACGGCTTGAGGAGGCAAATCGTCCATTGCAGTACTGCACCAAGGTAAACAGACACGAAGCAAGGGCTTGTTTCCACAGTCCCGCTCCTTTCCCCATGCAGGTGCTGCCAGACGGGAGCTTCAAGAGGTCCACCATCCCCATCAAGGTGGGTGCGAGTGGGTGCGCAAGATGAGAGCAGGCGTGGCGCGTGGTTGGCAAGCGACACGCAGGCGGCGGATAACCGATGTATAAACCCTCACACCATGCATTGGTGTGCATTGCTTCCACTCTCCTTATGCATGAACCCAAACCACTCTCTTACCTCGCTGCTTCCGCTGCTTCCCACCCCCTCGTCTCGAGGGGGACGTTATTCACGCCCTCCCAGGACCCCAGGCAAGCCAACGTGTGGCTGCCCCGCCGCTCCTTCCTCTCCGCCCTGCACGGCGGCCTGCATGGGGCGCAGCGCAGCGGTCAGGTACGGCTGCTGCAGCACACCCGCCTCACCGCCGTACAGCTAGCTGCTGCGCCGCCAAGCAGTAGCGGCAGCAGCCATCCCAGGGCCAGCACTACTACCAGCAACGAACAGAAGCCGCCCATTTTGGTGACAGCTCAAAATGTCAGAACCGGCCAGGACCTTGCATTCGCTCCCAGGCTGCTTGTGGGAGCGGACGGGGTACACAGTGAGGTGCGGCGTGCGCTGGAGGCATGGGCGCCGTCAGCAGGGCTGCCTGCAGAGCATTACCGACCCGTGGTTCTGGACTCTGCCTCCGCGGGCCTGAAATTCAAGGTGCTGTCGTTACCGCCCAACACGCCCTTCCGCAAACCCACGCCCGCTAAGATCGGCCTTGGAACGACCACTGATGGCGGGAGTGTGAAGCAAGGAGCAGCGGAGGACGGAGCGGTGGTCGGGAGGATAGAGAACCAGAGGTTTGGCAGGATAGCCGGTATCAAGGCGCCCAAGACGCGGCAAATGCAGCTGGGCATGTTGCCTATTCGGGATCCCGCCGGTCGCCGTACAGCCAACTTCATTGCGCTGCCGGATCACGAGTTCTGGAGCGTCACCTCCGGGCCGCAGCTGAAAACGTTCCTGCAGGTGAGGCCTAGTTGTATTAGTACGGCGCTTACAGGAAAGTCCGCATCCAACGCTCGATGGTCATGCGATTCACTTCAGCTGGTTTACTCAGCTGTCGTGTGCTGCATGCATGCGCCTATAATGGGAGCAGTCCCGTTGGAGCCTTTGAAAGCAGCTACCATCCTACTCGTCTGAAGCCCATGACCATCCATCTTCATCCTCAAGCTAGTGGTGCTGCTTCAATACCCACGTGGCCCTGCTGAACACAATCTTCAACTGTTCTCGCTCCCCATCTGCCTTGCGGACACTCTACTTGCGACCCCCTTGCATGCTGCTGCTCGCAGACCTCCTTCCCGCAGCTCGACATCTCTGCGCTGCTGTCCGAAGAGCAGCTGCAGGCAGCAGCAACAGCCCGCGGCGGCGTCTTTCCGCAACCACAGTACCTGCGCCACTTCACCGCTCTGCTGCCGCCTCCGTCAACATTGTCAACGTCATCCGCCGCTTCAACGGCAGCAGCAGCTGCGCCTGCGACGGAGGCAGCTGCAAGCGCTGCAGCGCGTCCGGATGGGAAGGCGCAGCAGCAACACCAGCAGGCGGCATGTTGCGGAGTGGTGCTGGTGGGGGATGCGGTGCACTGCTTTCCGCCGGACCTGGGGCAGGGGGTCAACAGCGCGTTGCTGGATGTGCAGGGGCTTGCGAAGGTGGGTGGATGGCTGCGTCAGCAGGGATGCAAGGGGCTTGTCATGGGGTGAAAACCTGAATGCCAGATGCCTGAAAGTCCGTTGAGTCAATGACAGCATACGCTTTGCACAATGCAACAGGCCCTGGACGAGAGCGGCGGCGATGTGGCTGCAGCCCTCCCCCGATACGAGGCCAGCCGGGCTCCCGAGGCGGCTGCTCTGGCGCAGCTGATGACGTTCTCCTACCCCTACCAGGTGGGCTTTGCTTCCCAGTAAACTGAAAACCCCTACCTACTTGAGCTATAGTTGTTAAATGCTCATGAAATCACTACCGGTACGTACCGGTGTTGTTTGCATGGTCGAACGTCATAGCAACTATCCCCTAGCCAGACAAATTGCCACCACAGGTTTATATGCTGTCATGTTTGTTACTCCCAACTGCACTCAACCGTTCGTATGTCAGCTTGCGGTTCCGTTCAGTAATGCCAACATATCTTCCTTGCCGTACCGCATGCAGTACAATCAGTACCCACTGCTCCGTACGCTGTGGACGGTTAACTTCCTGCTGCGGTCAACGCTGTCTCGGGTGCTGCCCTGGGCCTTCCATCCGCACTCATTTGTACTGGTGCAGCAACCCGGCCTCAGCTATGCACAGGTAGGGGCTTGGCTGGGGCGGTGTGTTTGTAAAGTACTGGGGTACGGTCTGCAAACACGTGGGGGCGTCGTCGCGTGGGTTGCCGTCAGCTGCACTCCCTACCATGCTGCTGAAAAGGTTATTTACTAAGGATCACGGTACGTGCATCTGTCATCAACCGCCGTCACCACACGTGCATGCGCAGATTCTGGAGCACGCTCATGCAACCACCACGAGAATCTACGCGCTAGCGGGCGCTGTTGCCGCTGCGGTGCTGGCGGTTGTGTGGAAGGCGGTGGTGGCTGCTTAAGCATGGAACGGCGTCATCTTGCAGCAGAAGCATGCCATGGCATGCAGTGGACGGGATTTGCATGGCATGGCACTTATGCGTCTCTCCTGGCATGGGCATGGGCATGTGGGCATGGGCACGGCTCTACTACTGGACTGCCGGACAAGCGTGTTGGACCGGAACTGTGTCCTAGATACAACGCTGGAGATTCCGCAAGATTGGAAGGACGTTTGAGGGCTGGCGAGGATGTGTTACCTTTGTGTGGATGCATGTGTCAATGGAGGCATGACTGGTATGTGGTATGAGTGTGACATAGTGTGACGTACATAACGTGTAGGGAGCCATTGTAACGTTCATGTAGGTCTTATGCATGTAGTTCTTATGCATGATGTCTCAGGAGTGGATGCAGTGCTGTAACATTTGCGCATATGCCTGGTGTGTGGTAGAAAGTGCTCAGTGCATGGGTCAGTTACAGTTCGCAACCGGGCAGAACGTACGCGCCCCAAGGCCCGAAGCATAGGCTAGCTAACCAGGCTGTAATGATATGCCACTGAATGTATTAGACTTATCATAAAGCCTAAAGGCCTTGTTGGTGTAACTGCGCGCGCTCGCTCGTCCGGCGGCATGCGCCATGCCATGTCGCTTAATAACCATGAGCAGAAAATAAGAAGCTATATGTTTCCTAGCAGTCAGTAACTATATATCAATAGCCTGCAGCAATAACGACGATGGTATTGCGACGCATTCGTGGGGATGCGTCATGAAGTTACCCAGCGTACGAATTTTCGCAAGTACCCACTAGAAGGCATACGCTAATCATTCTATTCCACGGCCTTAAAGCTTTCATTGAGAATGATTACATTGTAGCTGTACCTGTGCAGGAAAGAAGGACTCCAAAACTTAACCCAAAAGAATTTGCATACCGATTTGCGGAGGAGAAATGAGTATTTCACCTTTACCTGTGCATATGAGCTGCTTTGGCGTCAGCTCAGATGCTGTGGCTATGGCTCGAGGTTATTCGAAGTCCAATTACGGCGAGCGCCTCGCATCCGTCAAGGCAGCATTGGCGTCGGCCCCGGCGTCATCTCCAGGATCAGGGATTGCTTCTGCTGCAGCGGCACCAGGTGTCAGTGCTGGGCCTGCGAAGCATGTCTCATCATCCCACCAGGTACGCGGGCGCCTTAGAGCGAGCTCAATTAGGGGCGCACCGAAACAGATGCAATGAGAAAAGCAACATATCTATAAACCCAGTCGCCCTTAAGCTCCATTTGCTTTCCTTGCGGAAACCCTTTGCATTTTTGCCGTTACATCTACAGTGGCTTTTACCCTTCATTACGGTGCTTTACGGTGCCCTTTACTTGCTATCTTACCATCCCTGCAGACACCACAAGTCAAACTACAGCCCTTGGGGCCCGGTCAGGCACAACAGTTTTTAGCCCACAGCAACGCCAACCCCAGCAGCGGGGGAGGTGCGGTCCCCAGCTCCGCGCCTCCAACCCTGCTCGCCTACCGCTCCCATACTAAGCACTACCACACCATCACCCCACAACTCCAATCCCTGGACTTTATCAGCATTGCGGTGAACAGCGTCGGCGGTGGCGGCGTGCCTAGACCGTACGGCAAGTTCCAAGCTTGTCGTTCTGGTGACGGTAACGCGCTGTGGCAACGCCTACCTCCGGAACCCGGTACCTGGCAGTCTAAGGCGCTGCCCATCGCCGTAACGCTTCTCAGTGATGGGCCTCCTGGCGCCGGAACCATGAATGACGCTGCGCAGCCGTCATCGCCGCAACGACTGCCTAGCAGTAGCGGCGGCGGTGGTGCCAGCTCACCGCGGGGCGTGCAAACAGCGCCGCTACAGCAGCAGCCGCAGCAATCACAGCAACAGCGGAGAGCGGGTTCCAGCCCAAGCCCGCCTCGATCGCCATCACGCAGCCCTTCTCCGACCAACTTTGCGTTTCCGGGCGGTGCGGTACTGGTTAGCGACGTAGGACTGGCAAGCCGTACGGCAGTACCGCCATTGCCGTACTACCAGACCCAGTCGTACCCCATTCCAGCTCAACCGCCAACCGCCGCTGCTCAGAGCTTGCTACAGCAACCCCCGTCCCCCCACTCGCCGCACTCTCCACATTCCCCGCATGCTCCGCTTTCTCCACATCAGCTAACGTTGCAACAACAGCAGCAACTCCAACAGCTCCAACAGCTACAGCAACTACACTCACAAGTCGTGCAACAGCAACAACAACAACAGCAGCAGCACCCTTATGCAGCGGACCCAATGTTTCTAACCCAACAATACCAGCCGCCCTCCCACCTTCAGTCACTACATCCCGGAGCCAGTACGGTAAACCCCCGTCGAGGCAACCTCCAGGGAAGCCAGGGCGCCCAAACCACCGCATCAACCGGCAGCAAACCCGCGCTACTAGCCAACGGCGGCGGCGGCCTAACGCCGGGGCTGACGTCAACCTTTGGGGGCCCTCCTCGTACGGCAATGCATGAAGAGTCGTACTACAGACGACCCGGCAGTTCGGCGCACCGTTCGTTGGTACCGTTGGGGCCGCCGGAAGCGAATGCGGGGCATGGATCTTGGTTTGCTCTGCCGGCAGCTACGTTTCTGTCCGAAGTGCCGCCGGTTCCGGAGCATCTCCGCATGGATAACGGCTACAGGTGGGGAGTGCGAGTGTTAAGAAAACTGGCAGCGAGTCGGGACGTACTGTGATTGCTGGAAGATGAAGTCCGTGAGTGTGCGTGCCGTGTGTGCGCGCATGGGAGTTGCATGTGGCCGGCTGGCTTGCTGTATGCGTGGAATGCGAGTAAATGGGGTCTGGGTGTACCGGTAATGCGGCGTTTTCCAACCATTGGCCGCCATGCTAGCGGCAAAGGCTGCCGAACCTTATGGCGCGCTCTGTACCCCATGCATTGCTCGCCGGCCCCTGCTTGTCTCTCTGTCGCCTTGACAACACGCCTTTCCATTCACCGATTCCCAACCAGCTGAATTCCAACCTCGCCCATTATTCCCACCCCCAACCTACTTAACCCCAATCCACACCTTGCAAACCCCAAACCCCTACCCCTACGTACAGTGTCAGCCGGGACTTCCTCATATCCGGCATGCACCAGCCCCGGCAGCTGCCGCCTCCCTCCCCACCCCCCTCGCATCCCGCCACTCCCCAGCGCAACAGCCAGCAGCCGCAGCCGCAGCTCTCCTCGGGCTTCCACCATCCTCACCCACAACCTCGTCCACAGGACCAGCAAGGTCTCTGGGAGGCGTTGGAGAAGGGCGGACAAGCGGTCATGCAGCACCACAATCACCAGCAGCAGCAACGACTGCAGCAGCAACAGCAGGTCCTACCACAACAGCAGCAGCAGCAGCACCCGGGCTATGGCAGCATCGGGCCGGCGGTGCCCGCAGCAGCAGGAGCAGCAGCAGCAGGAGAGACAGGAAGGGTGTCGCCGGTTGCTGGCGGCTTGCGAGGCGTGTACGTGCCGTTTGGAAAGCGTGTGGACGGGTCGCAACAGCAGCAGCAGCAGCAGCTGGGCGGTGGGCTGGAGGAGGAGCAGGCGATGACGGTGCAGAGGAGGTCAGGGGTGCCGCTGCTGGAAGGGGGGTCGCTGCGGGGATCGTTGTCCTTCCCGCCTGAACGGAGTTTGCCGCGCCGTAATGCGCCTACGGGGCGGTGATGAGAAGGGAGGGGTCATCCGAGGGGATGAGGTGGTCTGCACATGGCTGTGGGTTAAAGGAGGGGCCGGCGGAGTCAAAGGGCGTTGTGTTGTGTTGGGATCGTCAGGACGAGAGGCATATCCCGCATGAAGATAGAGCTATTGACGTGATTGCTGCATTGCATACTTTGGGTGGGAGAGTGTTTTTTATTGCCAAAGGCTATTTGAATCGCATGGCTGGTTGTGCCATTGCGTGCATGAATGAAGAAAGTAGAAATCGTGGTGGGGGCATCTGGGAAGAGATACCGGTACATGGCGAGTTAGCAAGCAATACAAGCGTAGTGGATGCCATCAGGAAGGGTTCGCTTACTGCGCAACTTGCGGTCGGGTTTTTTCGGCGTTGGGAGCGTATGGATGGGAGCAAGCGCTGCGAGGTGCGCTCCCCTCCGCTAGCTGTTTCGTTTGTGAGACAGCAGGTACATCACCAGGCACGCGGTAGGATGGGAGATTGGCGCGCTTTTGCGCGGAGTATACGTGTTTAGGAGGTGTGAAAGGGATGACAATCTTTCCTATCGTGGGTTGTGGCTGTGTAGTTCGCCTTCTAAGAGTTAGGGCATGCTTGGAAGTTTCATGCGTACTGCCATGATGCCATGTTGTAGGCTGGCGTCTCTGTTGGTGCAGTGCGTGTTTGGGATCGCATGAGAAGTTTTGACGTCGAGCCAAGTTACCAGTTCAGCTACCTTTGCTTACATGTTTAGGCATACATACAACGAAGGTTCAATGAATCCGACCAACCCATATACGCATCACAACTTCACAAGACGACAACTACTGATATGTCAACTTACGGCAACACCCTGTCTTCAACGGTTGCTTCCGTGCATTTGCAAATCCCGTACGGCAGCCTCTAGGCAGCAAGAGGCACATACAGACGCCAAAACCACCCTCCCTTTTATTCCAGAGGACGAAGTAAGACTCCATCCCGCACCCCTGTCATCGCGCTGCTGCCCACAACCTCTCATGGCTAGGCTGCTAGGACAAGCAAGACCGCACGGTCAACGGAGACGCGCGGCGAGACGTTTAGCCGCCCAGGCAGGCCTTGCGCGCCTCGTCCACCGTGGTCACACCGCCCAGGAACGCATCCGTCTGCGCCTTGTAGGTGGGCTCGCTCAGACAGTCAGCGTACTGAGAGTACGGAGCCAGCTGCAAGGAACGGGGATGGGGGAAACCGCGGGTGGGTACGTTGAAAGATGTGTGTGGTGGGGTTGTCTAGGTATATGTCGGGCAGGGCGTTACTACGGGGCCGCTCGGATACCGCGTGTAAGGTGCATGGAGGGCCTAGGTTTGGAGGAAGGCTTGTACCAACCAAGTCGCACGCGGCATACGGCTTCAGGGAAGCGGTAACAGGAGCAGTATGAAACGCGGAACAATGAATGCACATGGTGTACGTCCCGTAACGGCTACATCTTTCTCCCCAAGCGCCTGCACTGCATCCCAGCTGTTTCCAACCTATACCTTGCGGCAGCAGTCAGGCGTGATGGGCTTTTTCGCAGCGCAGGCCTTGAATGCCGCAATGTCGGGGTTGCTGGACAATTCCGACTTTGCCTTCTCGCATTTGGCGGTGTCGACAGCTGCAACACAGAGGAAGGGCCAGCATTGGCAAGCGGGAGGGAAGCGTTAAGGCAGCCGAGCGATGTATGCCGGTGTGACCCATGGGTCGTTTGGGTCATGCAGGGCACATGCGACGACAGAGTGGAGTAAACGGCTTAGGTATAACGCACAACGGCGCAAGTGCAACAGCGCGCCATAGGACGAAGGCAACGGCCGCAGGGAAACCTGTCAAAACGCCAGGGCAATATCATGATCATGTCGAGCGGTACAGATGCACGAGTGCACCGTGGCTTGCTTAACCTAAAAGGCTGAGGTCGCTGCATTCTACCATACATGCCGCCGGGTCAGAGGAGGCTTACCGGAGGCCGTCTGCGCGGCGAAGGCCACCACCAGCAGCACGGCGAAAGCGATGGCGACGAGAGAGCGGCGATTAGCCATTGCTGAAAGCGTTGGTGAGGAGAGTAAAGAACACGTACAAGCTTGAGCGGCTACAACGCTTGCAATCAAGCTTCAGAAGATTTACCGAGTTTGGTTGCGATTCTATGCCTTTTATACCAGTTAAGGTTCAGTTTCCAGACAGCTTCTGACATGCGTTGTATTCGTCGTAGCCCCTCGAATCGTGTGTCGGATTATCGGGTACCAATAATGATGGATTTCGGAGGCACCGTTACCGGTAGTTGAAAAAGACCAGCATCACCCTTGCGCATCGATTGAATGTTACGATACAAGCCAAATAAGAAAAATCGGATGAGACTTATCCTTAAACGGCAATCAAAGCACATACATCGGCGACGGTGCTACAGCAGTTGCCGGCTGAACATCTGAATTCGCCAACGCATGGGGGTGCGATATAACGCCCATTCGGACATCAACCTCTATGATGAAGCCCAATAGGAATGGATAGATATGCAAGGCTCAATAAGGGTCGTGCGAGCGATTGCCACGCAGTTGCTGCTGCAGCTGCGGCAATCAAGATAGATCGATCCCTTTCCAGTCATCATACACCCCTCGTACGAACCAAATTAATAACATTTGCCATTCAGCGCAACAGCACACCCGCAGATGGCTTGCCATGATTGTTTTGTTTCGGGGCCAAGGGGGTCAACAATATAGTCCGGTCATGATCACGTGCCCCCATGCGTGCATGTCTGAGTGTTAAGAGCGCCGGAGAAGGAGCAAACATGCGTACCCAAGCAGCATCTACCGATACTACAACGGTACGCTGTCATTAGTGTATGTGCCAGGGTTTTCCCCCAACATACATACCATGGGAATTTAACGCAGTAGCTAACCACCATTACTCGTTCTTCTGTGCTCTTCTGTGCGGTAGCAGCTGTTGTGAGGGTTCTTGCTTACCGAACACGTGCCAGTATCCAGGCACTGCTGTTTACTTGCGCCGTTTGCTGCATTCTACTTGCATCAGGAAGGGAAGGTAGGTAGATGCTGCTGTTATCACACCCTCCTCCGCTACATGCATGTGCATGAGCAGGATTCCCGATTCCCAGCTGCTGTTTCTTACCGCCGCGACCCTGATTCACATGAGCAATGTTTCAATACTGCATGTCGTACATGTTACACATGGGCGGCTGCCGGCACCACCTAGGCTTTCCAGCAGGATATGCCACGCACAGCGGACGTTCAACGGTCAACCAAACGCCCTCCCCTTGCTTGATCAAGCTGTCGGGGTATTACAACTTGTAGCAGCCAACCTGTATTTAATAACCGTCAATCACTGCCAGCCAGGCCAACAAGCTGTTGCCGCTATCAACGTCCAACTAACAACTAACGGTGCTAACGGTGCTAAGCTCCTGTCGACAACTATGACGTAGCAGGAAAGCCGCTAGAAGCCCCTTCTCGTGCCCCTTTCTCGTGAACCACCGGCGCGTGTACGGACTACCGCAGGGATTGGCAATCCCACAGTAGTCTGCCGTTGACGTTTTGACGCTCCTCCACCTGACGGGACCAGGCGGGAGGAGGTTTGGTGAGTGAGGACTAGCCATGAGAAAAGCAACTTGTGCCAGCTTGTGCGAACCAAGCAACACATGCTACGCCGCATATCGTATCACGCAGGTGCCCACGCACATGCCCTAATGACAATCGGGCTAGCTGAGAGGACTCGAAACAAACCCGACAAAGAACCTTCACCGCCGCGCGTCTCTCCCATATCCCATATCCCATAGGCTCAATATCAGCCTACTTACATCTCGCCCCTTCTGCTCACCCTCCCGCCCTGCCGCCCCATCACGTGCACGCAGCTAGCCCACTCTGCAGCCATACCACGCATGCTCACCTTCCCGCGTCAAGCAACGGACGGGCGTACGTGTCTACAAGAGTTTACGAGGTGCACTGCTTGCGCGCCTCGTCCACACTTGTGACACCGCCCAGCGCCGCCTCCGCCTGGGAGCGGTAGGTGGGGTCGTCCAGGCAGTCCAGGTACTTGGCGAACGGAAGCAGCTGCGGGCAGCGCATGCATGGGGAAGTAGGACGCAGGGGGGGGGTGCGGGCATGGCAGCTTAAGAGGGAGTGACCGAGGAGGGTGCGTGGGTAAAGGAATGAAGACAAGTAAGCGAAGTGCCGAAGTAAGTCGGGGTTGGGAAGAAGGATAGCGGCCACGTACGGAATGAGAGGGGCGGCGAAACGCCCGTCATAGACAGAGATATATATGCGTTACAGCGCATCTTGTTTTACGGCAGCAGCCTCTGGAGTTGCTTGATTGGCTGATGAGGCAAGCGTTGCCCACGCAGCTACCCTACCTTCGCGCAGCACTCTGGCTTGATCGGCTTCTCCGCAGCGCACTGCTTGAAGGTCTGAGCGTCCGGATTGTTCTGCAGGGCCGTCTTGCCCTCCTCACAGTGGGCCACGTCCACAGCTGCATACAGTTGCGAGTGACAGGAACAAGGAAAAAGTAGAAGGGAAGAGGCGGCGTCAGGGGCTAGTTAGAATGGATGGAAGCAGGTAACTTAGTATGGCCAGGAACGCTTATGCGTTATGGTTACGAAGGATGGCATGCATGCCCAGCAGCGGGAGGTGTGACCCCTGGGTCGCTTTAGCCGCACGACAATGCTAGCAACGATACGAACGAACAGGGAGAAGAGCAGCAAAGCGGCTCGCTCCTAGCGAGAGGACAGTGCAGAACGACTACAGATGGCTCTCATCTCACCCATTGCGGTCTGCGCGGCGAAGGCCACCACCAGCAGCACGGCGAAAGCGCCGGCGACGAGGGAGCGGCGAATAGCCATTGCTGAAAGCGTTGCCTCTAAGGGCTTTGCTATTAATGGCGACAAGTACCTTCGGATCTTAGGCAAACTTCAACCTAGCTGCCAGGAGGTTTACTCCTTAAGCATGTAATCGCAACATAAATATGCTCGATGGATGGCTTCGTATGATGAGACCTTGCTGTACAGCCAGCAAAGTACAGCTTCTGAAGGTCTTCACGCGGCGGTTAGTATGCCCAAGGTTTGTACGTCACGTATGTCGACAGTTGACCATTAATTTTTCATCCGGTCTTCGGCGGCTGCACTGTATATACGAAGACGGCTTATTGCAGGAAGGGAACGTGACAATCAGGCCCAAGCTTACCGCTGATGCGGGATCCGTACCGATTACCGGCTCCTTGCCTCTTTAGGCACTGGGGTGGCGAGCTGATTCACAAGCCATGACGCATGTGGCTGGCAGCCCCACCGCATGGTATAGCTATTCCTATCTATCCTTGCTTCGGTGTCGCAATCCATTTGCGTGGAAGAAGCATATCGTGACATACATGCCACGCTTAGCAAACGGTGCGGCACTGAGGTTCCCTGCATTCGGCATGCGCATGCTTCGGCAGCTGCAAAAATACTTCTAGGCTCATTTGCGGTCTTCAACTGTCAACGACAACGCAAGCGACTGATCCCGCTGGTTCTCGGGTGTAGAGGGGTTGAGTGTGATACGAAGCGCATGTGTTGGTATGTTGGCTGTTGCGACCCCCCCTGCCCTGATGTACACTGCGTGCCCCTGACCACTTGCTAATGAGAGTGCCGCGTATAGTCACGCCCGTCAGGGGTTCCATACCCGCTGGCAAGGGGTGTCGGAAGGAGTGGCTCACGTAGCTAACGAACGCAAAACTGTAACTGGAGGATTTGAACCCGTTCATGTATTGCCGTTACATGCTGTTGCATGCATTTAACGCATGGAAGAAATCCAGTGCCCGGCGGCTCCTATGTACCGTGTCCAGCTATCACCCAACACTAACAACACCAACGAATACAACACGTAGGCTCCCCCTGCGTACGGAAATTCCAAGAGCCATCATACATACCAGCAACCGCCAACGGAGCTGCAGCCTAACAACCGGTACAGCAGTCGGTACCCGGTAATTTCCTAAGACGGGCGGTTGCAATCTATCCGATCCAGAGCCACTGCCAAACGCCCTAGTCCGCGTGTGGGGGGACGCATGATATCTGGGGAATATGGCGGTAAGAAATGGAGGTTAAGTTGGGTTGGTGACGGCTTCCCCTCGCTAGTTAGGCACATCGCCTTCGTCAAGCACAACTGCTCAGTTTATCTAACACACATAGTGCTGCTGCTGCTGCATGGACCACGCACATCCATCACACCCGCCGCATCCGGCCACTTACTTGCATGCATGCATACCAGCACCAGCAGCACACTAGTACAAACCCACACAAGCGCAAAGCCTTATATCACCGTGCACCAGGCAGGTATGAGCGTATGACCCACATGATGAGCCGCCCAGCCCAGCCCCGCCCCACCATGTGCGCATGCATGTACGGTAACCGCCGTGCCCCAGGTGGTCAGGCGTTTAGCCGCCCAGGCAGGCCTGCTGTGCGCTGTCCACGTCAGTAACCCCCGACAGGAACTGGTTGGCCTGCGCCTTGTAGGTGGGGTCGCTCAGGCAGTCGTAGTACTGGGCGAAGGGCAGCAGCTGCAGGCGGCGGTGCGAGGAGCAAAGGCGGGTTGGGGTGAGAGCGAGGAAAGAAGAAGAGCAATTACTAGTGGGGGCCAGCGCAACGTGCTGATGACAGCCCTGGCGTGGATATGTATGTAGTGAGAGTGCTGCGTGCGGTTGGGCTGCTGCTGTGCGCAATATGCAATGAATGCCACATCATGTATTGCCAGTCCTGGAGACATGCGCGCACGCTGCCCTGCTTTACCCCTACTCTTAGGAACACCAGAGGAAGACTAGAGCTCCTAAGGATGCTAAGCCGCTAGCCATGCAGCCATTCATGAAGAGCGCAATGCACACCTAACAACACCCTGGACGGCTTTCCGGCAGTCATTCAGTGGCGACCCCATCATGCGGGCACCATCCCATGCATGCTGGTGACTCCCTTCACAGACAGCAGGTCGGCTCACCTTGCGGCAGCAAGCGGCGGTGATGGGCTTCTGCCCCGCGCAGGCCTTGAATGCCGCGATGTCGGGATTGTTGGGCAGGTCCTTCTTGGCCTGCTCGCATTTGGCGGTATCCACAGCTGCGAGGATCAGCATGAGGGGCGACAAGGAACAAACAATTGTATGTCAAGAGCTGTTCTCAAGGGCTGTTTGTTCGGCCTTGCTTGTAACATGCAATAATAAGGACGGCTGGTCAGGTTGTGACCCATGGGTCATTTGAGCACCAGACGCTGATTAGGACCGCTATCGTAGCTATTCGCGGCATTAATGTGTTGACAACCACATTCATGATTCCTAGGTCAAGTGGAGTGGCTGCAGGGAGATAAGTCGTCGATAACGGTCCGACATGCAAGGTGCCGCATTCCGCCGGCAAGCCCCAGCGGGAGCAATTTCCCTACGCCAAAGGCAGTAATCGGACTTACCGAAAGCGGTCTGGGTCGCAAAGGCTGCCACCAGCAGCACAGCGAAAGTGTAAGCGGTGCGGCGACGGTCCATGGCGTCCCTAAAACCTAGCAATGTTAATTAAAGTGGCAAGCACAGCAATACAAAACACAATGTCTTAAAAAGCCTTACTATACATAGCACTACACATAGCAAGTTTGAGACACGGATTTTATCCCCTCCGAGGTACCCTTCGAGCGAGGATACCGTACATACGAAGCGATGTCCTGTCATCCTTGCACACGACCACGAAGGTCATCATCATGGCACATCGTACCGTCGCATCCTGTCGCACCAATGCTGAGCTTCCGAGATCGACGGCTAGCTCCACATTGCGATGATAAGCTTGTCGTATACCTGGAATGCCTTTTGTCCAGGTATGTATTTTGTCCGAAATGGTGATCCGCAACCATGACCGTTGCTGTGGAAACCTCACAGCTACGCCGTAGCAAGGCTCGCCGGGGGCGTTGAAATGAAATGGATGAGGAGTTGGAAAGGCGGGCGACGGATATTTTCAGAATCGGCGTGCCTCGCCGATGTCACCGCCATTTGCATTTGTATCGCATTTGGTCGTACTCCTTATACTAAGCGAACGCTGGTTCTTGCATTCTGTGGGCGGTTGTGTGGATGGCCAGCGTGGCGCAGGCTGCATTTGCCATGTATTCCGATGTGGCAAACGCGCCATTTCCAGCAGGCCTGTCGAAGCAGTCCTAGCCGTCGGCTGTAGTGTTGCGCATGTTGCTTTGCTAACTTCCCTGACTGCTTGCGTTGCATTCCCAGTACTGAACATAGCAGCTGCACTGCCCCAGCTTCCCCAGCAGTCCGTGTCTTGCCTTCCTGCCGTACAATCCATGAGTTCCCCTAACATGAGCACAGGCATCTGGGATATCCGTCTACAACAAACTACCGAATTTGGAACGTGCCTAACCCCTCTTTGAACAATGCCCGCAGTAGCCACTAACGCTCTTGTTTTCTCTGCTTGGCGGCTGACCGTAACACGCCACACACCGCTTAGAGAGAACCGCGCGCCGTACATTGTCTCGCAGCACCAGCAGCAGGAGCAGCTATCGTAACGTGCGCCTTCGTCCACCCATCACGGGATTAGCTCCACGGGTCTACCCACCGCTCCCTCCTGCCTCCACGCCCTCCAGCGCCGACTTGTGCCCTCACAACTGCCCCTTTATACTAACGCACACGCACCATCAGCTATCTAAGCAGTTTTTGAGTTACGGTTCAGGTTTGGTTACCTCTGTTTTACCTCTGTTTTGCCTGTATTTGCGGTTCACATGCGAACCTATCCCAACTGCTTGCTCTTGTTTCTGCTCAACTACACACGCTCACGCAATTACGGTACGTCCCGACTCGCGGCCAGTTTCCTTACCACACCCAAGCACACACGCAGCTCAACGGTACGCCCCCCCACAACTTCCCTGCCACTTCATTACCCTCGCCCCTGCCACTTCATTACCCTCGCCCCAGCGATGCTCCGCCCCCCATGGGCGTCATCATGGGCGTCGTCGCCAAGGCAGCGGGTCTATACGTTTTCCTGCGTCGTAACGGCAGGGCCAAGGATGGTTGCTGAGAGGTCGTGCCCATGGCCCATGCGGAACAAGGGGCTCGGGGCCGCCAGGCGCTACAAGTCGCATGCGTACCGGTATCAGAGAGGAAGGCAGGGGGCGTGCAATTGCTAATCTTCGTGGGGCCAAGCACGGCGTCCTTACACCGCCGTGTTGGCGGGCACAAAACATATTGAGTGGGGCAGCCCTTGGGTCAGCACAGAACGAACGTTGCATCTTACAACCGTTACGAGTTGATTACAGGGTGTTTCAGGTTGACGGAATTCACATCCGCAGCTTCAACACAACACTGACATTAGGCTTGCTATTGAGCAGAGCCAATGCATGTCTAGCGGAAGCGGTCATGTTTTCGAACGCGCCTTGTAAGAGGCTAAACACACGAGTGCCAGGACCTGCTCTATTAGTAAGCCAGTGGGGAGGTTGCAAGTCATGTGGGACGCATGCAAGCCAACCAACATGTTCCGGGTTGCGGATTTGCAACCTAAACCTGGAAGAGCCAAAGGTTGCTAGCTTACAACCGCGCTCACGGACCACTGCGCATCAAAGAAGCAATGTCTATCACCAACAGTAATCTAGCCAACCCCAAAACCGCCCGTATGCGGGCTTGCAACACAGCTCTGCTCACGTACCTGACCATACATACCACGTCTTATCATCCTAAGAAGCGCCCCCTTAAACTTAAACTAGCGCTCCGTTGGATTGAATGCCCATACTGAAAACGTCAAAATTTGTCTACCACTGTAGTATCGTACTAGCACACACCCGTCCGGCGTCCGTCACCAAACCATGTGCCCATCTAAATCCCAGCCCATGCGCTCACCACCCTCCCGTGGCTTCGCAATTGGGCAGCCCGTATAATCGGCACTTGTCAGCATCCACCCGTCAGCACCATCCATCCTCGAACAGTTCTTCACAGCCTGGCGGCTCGGGGAAACCAAGGCACCCAGACGCTGGTGGTCTTCTGGTAGTGGCGGTACAGGTCCGCCCGCTCGGGTCGCTGGAGCATGCGTTGCTCGGTCATGAGGGTGATGGGGATCTGCGGGGGCAGGGGCGGGGGAAGGCGCAACGAGAGATCGAGATCATTGATTAATCCTTACCATGATAACCATCAAGAGCCAAACGCTGAGCCAAGATTTCAAAAGAAGACACGTAGTGAAGAACACAGATAGATTCGCGTAAGAAAACGAAACATAAATGCCATTGCTTAGGATGGTTGCTAACGAGCTGCGGCATCACAAACTTACAAAGCAGATGCTGTTGAACGCGGCTCCGACCACCATCCAGGGCTGACCGCACAGCACGGCCCAAGCCGCCAGCGACCACCACCAGAGCTGCTCGCCAAAGAAGTTGGGGTGACGGCTGTAGCGCCACAGGCCTGATCAGGCAAGATATGTTTTTAGGCTTAATAACTCGTCCTGATGACGTCAAGAATTGAAGCATATGCACTCTTAAACTTACAAGAGTCCCAGCAATTGCAATGTATCGGCATAGCACGTAGCAAGGGTGATAGTACGACATCCAAATGCAAGCGTGGTCTTGGAGTGGCATTCCATTTCCAGGTTATAACGGAATGTCAGTAGCAGCACATCCGGCACAAAGTTTTGTCGCGTACTTCCACACGACTTACCAGTATCCAGCAGCAACAGCGGCGAGCGGCCCTTGGCCACACGCTTCTCATTATCCACAACAAACTTCCGGAGTTGGTTATCCGCAGTCAGAGCAACCATGATACCGGTCGCGGCCGACAGAAAGATGGCAGAATCCACAAGCGGGCTCCAAGGAGCGCTGGAGGTGTGGATTGCCAGGATAGGCAACGTGAGGCCAACCAGCATCAGCTGCTGAGCAACACCAACTGCAAAGAACGAGGCGAATGCCCAGCGGAGGCGACCCAGCCGGCGAGCCATGTGGGCGTAGCGCCAGTCCTCACGAGCGCCAACCTGCCACTCCTCCCTGTGGTGGTTTAGATGTTTGGTGGCGGTTTGCTGGTTACTAAGCGCGGAAAATGACCCATGGGTCACATCGCACACACATTGACGTTTTAGCAACATTAGTAACGAATCATCCCAGGTCTTTAAATTTCAACTATGTATCCCCGAAACGGCTTGCAACCAATACTAATCCAATGGACAAAACCAACCAACCAATTCCCACAACTACCCTTGCATCCGACAGTGGATGACGCACCTCCGGAAGTATGAGTGGGTCAATCGTGCAGCCCAGAGCCACATGAGGCCCATGGAGAGGCGGCTGCGGAGGGGGTCGGTGGAGGCGGCCGGGTGGTGCTGGTAGAAGAGGGCGATCATCATGGGGGCGATGGTCCAGAAGGGGTCGATGAGCTGTAGCAGCAGGGCAGGCGAGGAAGAGGGAAAACGTGAGAGGGGGTAGGTAGGATGGGAGGGAAGATAGAAGATGGCTTTCATGAAAGAAGGCATTTAATGGTGAAGGAGGACTAGAGGGAGGAACAGGTGTAACCGCGCGCCTGCAATGTAGATATGTTTCATATGCATGGCACGATACATGCACAAACCCTGCCCTGTCCTCAGCTAGGGAATATATACATGGCAAGTACGACAGTGTCAGTTATGTGGTTCATCTGTCTAAAGCCGCTAACCGTACAAGCACCTACACGGACTTACCCAGGTGCTGCCCTGAAGCCGCGTTGTCAGGTTGTTGCGGGTGCATCCACATGTAGTTGTGCCGAGTTTGGTTCCGAGGTTCATCAAGGAGAGCGTGAAGGGGAAAATGGGAGGGGGGGAGCAAGACGCTTCATGAGAAGGAGGAATCGCGCTAGAGGAATTCGGTTGCACATCATAACACGGCCACCTAGTAGCACGGCACAAGCACATCCTCGATGACACATCGCAACATTCCTTTGCGGCCTGCACCTGTGTTGCCTGCACCTGTGTTTGCACGCATGGCATGTTGCGAAATAACCCCCCCACTCACTCAGCCCATCCTCCCTCGCCCCCATGCCAGCACCCTTCCCACCTGGACCAAGCTAATCAGCCAAAACAGGACTCCAACATTGAGGAAGAACACCAGGTTCACCGCGACCAGCGGCTGTTGGAATCCCACGGCGCACCAAAAGTCCGACGACCGCAGCACACCCGACACGTCGCCCGAGCGCAACAACGCGTCTGTAAACGGCCCCAACGGCCGGAGCTGTTGCTCGGCGCTGCAGCTGGAACGTAGGTAGTGGAAAAAGTACAGCGCGGGAAGCGTGACGAGTACCATGAGGACGGTATTGCGGAGGCGTTGTTCCCAAGGCAATGTGGGAACTGCGGAAGATGAGGATGAGGAAGGTGCGGAGGAGGGCGGGAATGCGGTGAATGCGGTCGAGGGCGGCTCGGTCGCGGACGCGAATGCCACGTCGGCGTCAATGTCGGTCTCGGCGGTGACTCCACGTAGCGGTGTCGAATGTACGGCAGTATCAATTTCGGTTTCCGCATCGATCTCGAAGAAGAGCGGCGCGCTAGCGGTGGATGTGGCAGCGTACGGCGGTGGCGGGAATGAACCGACGGGAGCCGAAGCGGCGGGGACGGCGACAGCGACTGCGGCGCCGCCAGGGCTAATGGTACCGGGCGCGAAGCGAAGCGACTTGCGGAGTCGAGCGCTGCGTCGCGCTAGACCAGTCGTCGGTGGCGCCACTGCGGCTTGCTGCTCTCCGTCGGAAAGCAGGATGCCGACACTTTCCATGCCGCCGGCAGGCGCTAGCTCCAAGCCAACGGTGCCTGCCGGAGAGGTTCCGACGGGCGTCGGCTTAATGGCGGGGCTTAGCGGTTGGGCGATACGCTCAGCGGCTCCGTCACCGTCACTTAGTAAGCCTGCACCAGCAGTGCTGCTGTCGTATCCGTCGACGGCTGGTGCGCGTGTGGATTGCCGGCGGGAGCGGGTTCGGCCTGCGGTGCTGGGTGTGACGGCGTTGGTTCGACGGCTGGCGCGGCTAGGCGTGGCATGGACGACGGATGTTGGAGATTGAGGGATTGTGTCCGGCGGGAGAGAGGTAATCCACTCGGCGGGAAGTTTGGCGACATCCCACCAGACATCTGTGCCGTCGTCGCAGAGGATTCGGATGCGGCCTTCTGGATAGCCTCGAGTGGGACGCGCGAAATGGAGGACTGCACCAGCTGTGTCTTTATCCTGTGGGGTAAAGAGCAAGTTTCACATTAATCGGTTTTGTTACCTATAGACGTATTCATTGCTGGGGCAGCAGCAGGTCCTTGGCAGCTGAAACAGGTTTTGCGTTCAAAAGTGCAATTCACTTGCCTGCTTCGGTTGCCAAGCATCGCCTGGTATACGCACGGACGCTCCCACTAGATGCGCCATGATAGGTTAGCGCCTCTGCGTGCTACACCGATAGCCCTTGCCGCTTGCGCCTCAGTCAAAATTTGGATAGCAGGTAGGTCAGCTGTCATGCGGCCTTTCAGGGCTGTGCTCACGATTTTCTGCCAATTTATATGCTCAATCTGATAATGTGTTTAGAGCAGCGAGTGCAGTTGTCACGAAAATGTTTATGCCAAACATGTACGACACGTACGTGGAGGAGTAAGAGTCGAAGCCACGTCAATTTTCTCTCTTTCCACCAACTGGGTTAGCCTGCCTTTTTGCTTTCATTAAGCCAAAATGGCTCTCGCTAGCAAGCAGATTAACCGTGCCGCCAGCGCGGTGAGCCGGCGCCTGATGGCCCGGCCGGCGCTTGTTTCTGGACGTGTGTCGCGTTCTGCTCGCATGTCCACCGTTTGCAAAGTGCACAAGATCTGCGTTCTGCCTGGCGACGGTATTGGCCCTGAAATCATGAAGGTGGCGACCCAGGCCCTTACCGTGGCTGGCTCGAAGGAGGGCGAGCAGTTTGAGTACAAGGAGTGCCTGATTGGTGGCGCTGCTATCGATGCTACTGGCAAGCCCCTGCCCGACGAGACTCTCGCAGTCGCGAAGGAGAGCAATGCGGTGTTGCTGGCTGCCATCGGCGGGTAAATCACCGGTGATATTGCATCTATCTTCGCTTCAGTCAATCCACGCCCCGTCCTAACACATACAGGCATTAAACGCCCCCCCCCCCCATTCCATTTGCTCTAAAGTCAAACGCTCCTGTGCAGGTTGTACGGCATGTTGCCATGCCCAACCACATGTCTGCTCGCTCCAGTCCTCTTGCAAATGCCCCTCCCAATCTCTCCCTTTCCAAAACCGAACTAAACCCCACAGCTACAAGTGGGACACCCTTCCCAGCGCCCAGCGCCCCGAGCGCGGTCTGCTGGCCATCCGTGCCGGCCTCAACGCCTTCGCCAACCTGCGGCCCGCCATTGTGCCGCGTCAGGTGGGAGGGGCCGGGAGGCGGCGTGCGTGAGGTGGAGTGTGGGGTGGGGTGAAGTGGGGTGCGGTGCATGGGGGTGCAGGGCTGCGATGAAGGGTGTGCGAGAAGGGTGCGGGGAGCGCCTGTGGGAGGTTATCTGGCGTTGGGGTTGCAAAGAGAGGCAAAGCGGCAGCAGCAAAAGCAGCAGGTGCAGCAGGACTTGCACGCAGAGCTGGGGCAGGAAGGCGGCAGAGGGAGGAAGGCATGCAGCAGCAGCAATCCGGACAGCAGGCGGGAGTATCAGCACCCGGAGGAGCAGCAACATGAGGAGTCGATCCCACAGGAGCCTGCAGGCGTCTTCCAGGCAGCAGGGTTCAGGAGCTGCTCCCTGCTGGGGTTCTTTGTCCGGAGGGCTGCCTGGAGGGTTCCTAACGGTTCCCAACGGCTCCTGACGGTTACCGGTTGAGGACCGGACTGAGGCCAGGGCCAACTGCAGAGGGGATGGTGGTGAAACTACGACCACGACCTGCGGGCCGGAGCTGGAGACCTCTTTGGACCTCTGGACTTGCTGGCTCCGCTCCTGGTGTAGCTGACATAGCGAAGCAGCAGTAGCAGCAGCAGCACTAGCGTTATCACTAGCGCGGAGGAGCAGCAGTGGCGGCGGAAGAGCCGGAGTGCAACAGCAGCAGCTGCTGCAGCAGCAGTAGAAGGTGTTGGTAGCCGGCGAGTTGCCACTTGCATGCTTTGGGAGGCGGAGCAAAGCAAGTCCGTTCAACTGCAGCAGCGGCGGCGGCGGAAGAGGCCGGCAGACTGCTTGTCAGGGCGGCCGCCGAGCCTCCCAGGGCGCTTCTGCCGCCTCATGGAGGGCCGTCACACGCCGCTACATAACAGGTCGCAGCAACAGGTTACAGCAACAGCAACAGGGCACAGCAACGTGGCTTGCATCGTTTCCAACCAGCCAATGGTGGCATGCGGAAGCCGAACGTGCCTCCGGGATACGGCAGCGGCGGATTCCACTGAGCCACCCATCATGCTGGGCTGAGGTGTGACAGCAAAGAGGTCACAGCTGAGATGTGGGTTGGTTGGAGTCCACAGGCGTCGCAGCCCCAGCGGAATCCAGGCACGCGCGCTGTGGGCGTCACTGCTGCACCATCATAATCCATGTGCATCAGCACATGTGTGTGTGCGACGGCAGCGCCAGCTCAGCAGCAGTAGCAGGGTTGCCCGGTAGCCCATTGCAGCCGTACAGCGGAGCGAGCGGTTTTCTCCTGCACGCTTCGTTCCTGACGCACCAGGGGCGTCTTTAGGTGGTGTATACAGTGCTGCAGCCTTTACCCTAACCTCTACCCAACCACTCACCAGTGGGTTTCCTGGTTTCCTACGGTTTGGTCTTTTTTACCCATCCCCAGTCCTCTTCCCCCTCCTCCCCCACAGCTTGCCGACGCCTCCCCCCTGAAGCGCGAGCTGGTTGAGGGGGTGGACATCCTCATCGTCCGCGAGCTGGTGGGCGGGATCTACTTTGGGCAGCCCCGCGGTTTCGGAGTCAACGAGAAGGGCGACCGCATTGGCTACAGCACTGATGTGTACAGGTGGGGGGCGTGGGAGGGAGGGAAGGACGCCATCACATGAGGCAGGGGGAGGACGTGGGGGGAAGGGACGTACGGCATCACATGAGGCAGGGTGCAGTGGGAAATGGGATGGCACGCCAGCACGTTGGACAAACTCTCCATCGGTGTTTCCTAAACATGCAGTTTTCTTAACAAACCCGCACGCACGCACTCTCCCTCGCAGCGAGCCGGAGATCGAGCGCATCTCGCGTGTTGCCTTCGAGGCGGCTCGCAAGCGCGGCAAGCGGCTGTGCAGCGTGGACAAGAGCAATGTGCTGGAGGTGGGGGCGGGGGCGGGAGGGCGGGTATTTAGAAAAATATTGGTCGCGAGTCGGAACGTACTGTGATTGCCGGAAGGCGAATTCCCCACAGAAACGCCCCTCTGCCTCCTTCCTGAGAGCGGGCGGGGGCCGGCTTGCGAGCAGGCACACTCCGGGGTCAGGGGTGGCAGGAGATCCCTGGGTGTGCTGATACTAAGCTGCAGGGGGCATGCCGGCTGTCCACCGGCCTGTTCACAACGCGCTCCTCTGCCGCCGTCCACCGTCACCACCGCCGCCACGCCTCCCCTCTACCGCCTCCTCCCTCCTGCTCCCCATACTCACTAAACGCATCGGGCATTCTTCCTCCCCCCCCTGCAGGTGAGCCAGCTGTGGAAGGAGGTGGTTATCCGCGTGGGCAAGGACTACCCGGACGTGGAGCTGACCCACATGTACATCGACAACGCGGCCATGCAGCTCATCCGCAACCCCAAGTACTTTGACGTGGTGGTCACCAGTGAGTGGGGGCGCAGATGGGGTTTGGGACAGAAGGGTATTGGGACAGCAGTACAGCACTAGAACCGGGGGTTTGGGTGTTTCAGACAACGTATATTTCCAAAATATAGTACGAAGCACCGGTTGGGGAAAGCTCAGGGTCTTTTGGGCTATGACTTTCACGCGGCCAGGTTCCAGCCTATGCCTGTACTGCTGTACACTGCTTGGACGTACCTTTCACAGCAGCACACGTAAAAAAGCGTCCTCCGCGTTTACCCTCTTGTTCACCTTACCCCCTCCTCCCTCATCTCCCTCCTCCCGCCTTCCTCCCTCCGCTTCCCTCCGCCTCCAGGCAACCTGTTCGGTGACATCCTGTCCGACGAGGCGTCCATGCTGGCTGGCTCGCTGGGTCTGCTGCCCTCCGCCTCCATCTCCGGCAGCGGCCCCGGCATCTACGAGCCGGTGCACGGCTCCGCGCCCGACATCGCGGGCAAGGACCTGGCCAACCCGCTGGCGATGGTGCTGTCGGCCGCCATGATGTGCAGGTGGGTGGGGGTGTAAAGAGGAAACTAACGAGCTGTAGGTGGGTAGTTGTGGGAGTGGGGGTAAAAGTTAGGGGAATGACGAGTGGCGGGGGTGGGGGTGAGGTGGGGATGGAAAAGGTGAGGAAGAACGAAAAAAGGGTGGGATGAAGGGAAGAAGGCGGCCCGTTCCTGTCGTCCCTCTGCCCACCCCCTCAATCCCTGTCATGCCCTGCCCACCTCTTTCCCCCCCCACACTTTGGAATTTCTTTTTCCCCCCCAGGTACGACCTGGCCATCCCCAATGTCGCTGACCGGCTGGAGTCGGCGGTCAACGCGGTGCTGGATGCGGGCCTGCGCACCGGCGACATCTACAAGTGAGACACGGGGGGGGGACCAGGGGGTCGGGGACAGTGAATGAGCAGGGGTGATGAGGGGTTAATAGGCAGAGCAGGGGCTAAGTGGGTCGAGGGTAGTAAAATGCACGTGACCGCACCCGCATTCTAGTCGTGGCGGTAGGAGGTAGGCAGGTACACTCTCTCGTGGCCATTCATTCCCCGTGTTGGCTCCCATGTTCCCGTCCTAGTGTAGCCTTCATCCTCCTGCCTTCTGTCCTCATCCGTTCTTACCTGCAGGGAGGGCGTTGCTGGCACGCGGCTGGTGAAGTGCAGCGAGATGAGCGCTGAGCTCATGAAGCACATCTAAAGGCTGTAGAGCGAAGAGAGCTGGAAGTATATGAGGATATGCATGCGGGTGATTGTGTGAAAGGACGGCGCGGGTGACAGGGACGGAACAGGGAGGTAGAAGCGGAGGCCAGGCGGCAAGAGAAGTAGTCGCTGGGGGGCGCTCAGAGCTGTGGGGGCCAGCAGGGTTGCAGGATTGCCGAGTGGCGCTGTTGCTGGCAGGGTGGAGGTGGAGAGCAGTGGTGTGCTGCTTGTTGAGGGGCGTGTGAGCCAGCAGGGGCTGCGCGCGGTCCACAAACGTGTGCGTCGACTCGCGTGCGGCGTGCTATGTTGAGAGGTGCGCGCGCCGTTGTTAGAAGGTTGGCTGAAGTTGCGAAGGGTTCTGAGGAGAGGGGAGTGGACCGAGCTGCAAGGGAGGGTCTCTTTCTCGGAGGCTACGCCTGTTTTGACGACGAAGTGGCCATCTTCGCGGCACCCCCCATACCCCCCATCCCCTTGTAACAAAGGAGCGCAGAGCGCAAGAGCCAAAGTGTACCGCATGCTGGCGTACATCCGGGCTTGTTGTGTCGTACAGCTATATGCCGCACGGCCCGACTTCACATCCCCCTCCGGTCATGTCGCACTTCACCATGTCTTGTGGCATTGCCCCCACTTGTGGTTTAGCATTTCTTTGACCCCACTCCACCATTGAAGGGGAGGCACCTGCCTGCCGGCGCCTGAAATCTTCACTATTGCCCGATGTGGCGCACGACGAAGGTGGCCACGGCGACTATGCACTAGAACATACAGGCCCATGGGTCGCTTCGCTTTCGTACAATTGCTCCACACATTTTATGTCTCCATTCCTATGTATAATTTATGCATATAACTTATGCCTGAGGATAAACATCCTATTCACCGCACGCTATGCAACCTGATACGCGCAAGGTTTCCCCGGCCCCATTGTGCCGCCTTCAGTTGCAGCAGCTACCGGTACCAAATCCCAATTTCGCATCATACCCAACCGCCGTCGCACCGCGCATGCAGTCATGGATTTGCTTCCCCAAATTCCCTCACCACCAGTCACCTTCCAGGCCATCTAAGAAACCCCCGCCGCCACCAGTGCCCCCCGTGCTCCCCTCGGCCGTCGCGGTCAGCGCCCGCTGGCCGTACGGAATCGTCCCCGCCGCCTCCGAATCCTCCCCGCGTGCCACCTTCGCTAGCACCACCCCCTCGTAGCAACTCCCCTCGCTCCCCTCCTCCTTTCCGCGCTTCCCTACCCGCGCAGTACCTCCTTTACACGCCGCTACCGGCTCCGCCAAGACCTCAACCACACCCTCCTCCTCCTCTTCTCCCTCCCTATGGTCCTCCTCCGCCTCTTCCTCGCCACACCCGTCCCGGTCATCCATCTGCTCCATGCTGTCCCGCTTGCCGTGGACTCGCTTGCTCCCCTGCTCCCTCGCTACCTCATGCTCCCGCTCCTGCTCCCTCGCCGCCTGCTCGTGCTCTTCCTCTTCTTCATCTGGTTCGTCTTCTATGGTTGGCGCGACGAACACCTGGCACGTGCCGCCTCCCTTGAGCAGGAAGGTGGCGCTGAGGGGTGCATGCGGACCCAGTTGGAGAAGCACCTTGCCGCTGTCGCCGCACAGCGCCGCAAGCCGCAGCAGGTGCCGGCCCTGCGGTGTACGGCAATAAGGGTACCATAGCATGGGTAAGGGCAGCGATACATTCGAGGTTAGGGGTAGCCGTAGCAGGGCGGCGTGGAGGCGGTGATTGGGAACTACCGGGAAGTAAAGCCAGGGCTTCAAATCTTAACGACGGCGGTATGACGATAGCCGGGTAGGAAACACGAAACCCATTCACGTGTCAAGCACCGTTAGGTGAGACCTTCATGTTACACGCCCCACCTTGAAGCGTGCCGTCATGGGTCCCTCCGGTGCATGCAGGCACAGCGCGCTGCCTGCCGCCCCTGCTGCGCTGCCCCGCAGGGCCACCTGCAGCCGCGAGCAGTTGTCGCCGCCGCTGCCGCTGAGCTGCAGACTGGCGGGACCTAGCGTGAGCGCCACCTCGTCACAGCCGCTGGACTTGACATCGGACAGGATCTGGATTTGGGTCGAATGGAATTGGGTCGGCGGGGAAAGAAAAAGAGAGGAGCGCGACAGGAGGTGAGGGAGGCGATAATCGAGGCGGCAAGGATGCTGACATGCAGAGATCGAGCTAAAAGGAAGCAGGACGTTTGCGTGCGGGTTCCCGCCAGATCGCCGCGGCCCGCACCCGGCCCCCTCCCATGATGGAGCCTTGTCAGCCGGTTAGTTAGTGGCCCATTCATTTACCTCTGTCAGCAGCTCGGGACATTCCAACAGCGCCTCTGCGGTGTAGCTGATTGAGTCCCCCTCCACAAAGCAACTCGAGGTGTCTGCTCAGGCGTCAACAGGCATGCCAGGCGTCGTGAGGCGTAACCAGGATAAGTAGCATTCCAAAATGAGCGTTAGGCGCCGATCAACTGCCAGCTATAGCCCTTTAGCCCCTCGTTGCACGCCGGTTGCGATCCCTCTGGCCAATTCAACCGCTGCAAGCGACACTGCATCCAACCCAAACTAACCCTCAAATCCCCTCTCGTCTATGTGACCAGACAGATCCGCCCAAACACCCAAACCCCACCCGATGTGGGTGTCAGCAGCGCCAGGTCCTGCCGCGTGCTCTTGATGACGCCCGCAGCCCGCTGCCCCGGCACCGCCACCGTCTCCCCCGCCAGCACCAGGCGATCTGGGTCAGCGGCCGCCACACTCAGGTGCAGCAGGTAGGCTGCACTGCCGCTGGTCTGACGCCGGCGGGCATCCAGGGCGGTGCGGATGGACTTGCCGAGCAGGGCGGGGGCGACCCACATGGGGAAGTAGGGGCGGTCGCTGCGGGGCAGGGTTTGGAAGGCAGCGGGAAGGGGTCAGGGAGTCGTTCAAGCCAAGTCGTTCAAGCGGTGGGGACGGGGCATGTGGGGGTGACGAAGGACGAAGGTGGGACCGGGGTGGATGGGGAACAGAGAAAGAGGTCAACCAAATGAGGGACAGGAGCGCATGTGGTTGTGAGGGACAGGAGGCATCTGGGTCACGGCAGAACGTGACGTCCCGGGTTGTGATGCTCGTGCATGCGGTCGGGTAAACGGTGACTAGATCAGAAAGGGGCCTCACCAGTCGAAGCGGCTGAAGATCGGCGTCTGTCCGGGATCGACGACAGCGGGGAAGAAGGCATCCACGAAGCTGCACTGCAGGGCTTAACCGTTTTGAAGCGTTGGTTATAGGCTTATAGCGGCGGATTTACCGTGAAGACTGTTCTTTATAACAGGGCGCACCTTGGCTTGGTCTATGGCCCTGATCTGCAGTCCCTTCCCTTGGAAGGCCTCGATACAGACTGCGACACGTGCAGTAAGATTAGTTCAGGTCTAGGGTACACTACGTATAGGATTATAACACAAAGAAGTTGTGGCAGGCTCAGCCTTACCTTTATCATCAAAGAACTTGCTGACAAGGGCCAGGGTGCTGATCAGACCGTTAGGGCTGCGCAAACGCATGTCTAGTATGAGCGCTTTTGAAGTTCCGCCTGGCGCTTGGGTTGAGGATGGCCGTTGGTTAGCAGCGCACCCTGTTGACACGTGTTGGTGTGGCTGTTGTTAGCTGTTCCCTTCTGAAGGCCAGCCAGACACATAATGGGTAAGCAGGGAAAGCCAACCTGCTGCATCTTTGTTATGCTTCGGCGGAACTTGGAAGCCGGCTGCGTAGTCTGCAGCTGAGGTGCAGTCTTCGTAAAGCATGTCCCAAATGTTGATGGCAGTATTGGTCTCTAATCCTAAGCGCTGCACCCAAAAGCCACAACTGCAGCGGCTGTATAAATGTGTCAGAGCAGACAGAGAGTAGCAGCCAGGGGAAAGCCGCTCGTGTGCAAGCTAACAGATGCTGTCGCGGGATGGCATCTAAACTACCGGTACTGGTAGAACGAAAGCGCTGATCCGTTACAATCCAGTAAATATAATAGTGATCCTTGTAGGTTGTAGGGCGCCCTACATCGGAAGCCACAGAGCGCAGCACACAAGCACAGCTTCTCCGTACTGGATTCGGTTCCTCGTGCTGGCCGTGCTGTGCTGCCAACTGAAAAGAATTTTATATTCTGCCTTTTAACGCCTGGCGCTGCTACCAAGGCGAAAGTGCGGCGCTTTTATTGAGAATCATGTTTTACTAAGCGCTGCAGTATCACCTTTCTCCTTGCATCTTCTCCTGTCTAGTCTACGCGTTCCACAAGGCCTTGCAAGCTTAAGTTCACAATGCAATCATCGCTCTAGTAACGCTTGGCAGTTGTCTATTAGCGGTGTCCTTGATAGGCTCGCGCCATTTGAGTGAGCATACACCGCTTGAACCACCAGCCATGAAACAAAAGAGCATCGGAGCATTTTTTACAGGAGCGAAGCCAGCCGCAAAGGATTCTGCGAAAGGGACCTCCGTTAAGGCAGCGGAGCCCAAGGTGCAGGACAAAAAGGAACCCGCGAACGAGCAGGTGTAGTCTGATTGGATGTTTGTTATATGCGAAGTGCTTTGCGCCATTGTTTAACCAGCTGCCGCTACCTCGTGCGTGCAGGATGCTCATGCCGAGCAGTTGGAGGATAGCTTAAAGCCTGCTCGCAAGCGCCTCCGACGCACGGTCATCGAAGATGAGGATGACGACGGTGAGCAAACAGCTGCCCCTGCTGTTGCGTCATCGGGAGCGACAGGCGTAGCACAGCCCGCGTCAGCGATGGAAGATGGGGACGAGCCCTCGAAGGAGAAGAAGCAGGTGCGGACTATCGACCACGCCATGCACGCCGCGCCCTTCTTTCCGAACGACGCCTCCAGCTTTAAGCTAACACCTCTTTACCTCCTACCCGTTGTCATCCCCGTTTCCTAGCCCGCCACGGCCGACGCGTCACCACCCTCAGCGTCTCCCAGCGCTGCCGCTCCCGTTGCTGCTGCCCTCAGCCCATCTAAAGCTGCTGCTGCTACTGCCGCTAAGCCCAGCACCACAACCGCACCCTTAGCATCCATCTTCCAACGCCCCGCGGCTCGGAAGGCTGCAGCAGCTGCTGCTGCTGCTGCTGCTGCGGGCTCCAGTCCTGCTCGTCCCAGCGGCAAGACGCAGCCTGCAGCGGGCTCTGCATCCGCCCAAGCGGGCCCAAGCAGCGGCAAGGCAGCTAGCAAAGCCGCCGCCACAGCTGCTCCCAGCCCCAGGAAAACAACGGCAACTGCTGCTGCTGTTGCTGCGCCTCCTGAGGACGGGAAGAAGGAAACGAAAGAGGATGACAAGGACAAGGAGGAGGAGCAGAAGGCTAAGCCCGCACCTGCCTCTGAGAGCAAGAAGAAGGAGAAGAAGCCCAAGGCGAAGTCCGAGGACGAGGAAGCAAGCGGGGAGGAGGACATTGAGGACGATGAGGAGGAGGAGGATGGCGAGGACCCCATTTCAGACAGTGACGAGGATGCGGGAGGAGAGGTAAACGAGATCCTGCCGTTGGGAGGAGGTGATGCAGGGGACAAGAAGAAGAAGAAGGACGGCGCAAAGCGCGCTGCAAAGGCGGCGAGCAAGGCCGCCAAGGGCGAGAAGGTGGGTCACAGCATATCACCACTGCTCAGCTTCGAAAAGAGCCTGAAGCTGCAGGGCGCCATGCAGGGGAGTGCTTCTTATTGCATGGCGCAGCGACTGCGAGCTCTTGGCAGCAGCTGTTCGCAGCAGCCTGGCGTTGGGTAACGCTTTGCCGCAACACCATTGCCTCCTGACCCTCCGCATCTGTCACAGCTTCCACCCCCTCTCGTCAGTTTCCTTGCTCTTACCCGCCTCCCCGCCCCCGACCCAGATGGAGGGTGTGGGCACGGGCGCCCTGGCCGCCGCCTCCAAGTACGCGGCTGCTGACATCGCCTCGCTCATCACGTGGAAGCCCGGGTCACCGGTGCCGTACTCGCTGCTGGCCAACACATTCGAGGTGAGGGGAGGGAGGGAGGGGAAAGGAACAAGACCCAATTCATCGATTGGTAATGGCAAACTAGGTGGGGTTCGATACGAGTGATACTCATAAGTACAATCCAAAGATGCAGGCACCCCCCATGAGTATGGGCCTCACCATGCCCAATGGGTCAGTATGCCAATAGTCCCACTACCGATGACGTCAGTCAACATCACGCCGTCGCCTCGCCTCTTCACCCCTGCATCCGTGCCCCCGTATATACTCTACAGACTTATTGATACTTAAGGACCCCTGCATCCCTGCCCCCCCCAGGCCATCGCCGAAACCACCAAGCGGCTGGAGATCGTGGCGCTGCTGGTGTCCGCCTTCCGCGCCATCCTCGCCACCACCCCGGCTGACCTGCTGCCCGCTACCTACCTATGTGTGAACCGAGTGGCGCCTGCTCACACGGGGATCGAGCTGGGCATTGGAGAGGCGACACTCATTCGGGTGGAGTGGGGAGGGTTGGGCGGGGTGGGGTGGGGTGCGGCGAGGGAGTTTAGGAAGGCGGGCACCATTCAGACGTGTGGGTTACTGCAGCTGTAGCCGTCTCTCCCCCCCAACCCACCCATCACCGCCGCCACCCCCCCAGGCGCTGTGTGAGGCCACCGGCAAGAACGAGGCGAGCATCAAGAAGGCCTATGAAGCCAGCGGAGACCTGGGGGTGGTGGCAGTGGGTGAGCCCGGGGAGCCCGTGTCACGTGGCGTGTGCCAGGTCACATGGCGTGTGTGTGTCAGGTCACATGGCGTGTGTGTGTCAGGTCACATGGCGTGTGTGTGTCAGGTCACATGGCGTGTGTGTGTCAGGTCACATGGCGTGTGCCTTATGTTTCGCCCCTTCAAATGATGTGCATGAAGCCACGCGCTAAGGAAAAGGCAAGCCACCACACCTCCCAACTGTCCGCCCCAACGCCTTATCCCGGTTTTCCTGTCGCCTGCCCCGCCCCCCATGTGGGTTTTGTTTCTCCCTGCATCCCATGTGTTGGCTCCTGCCGCCCCCTGCCCTAACCGGTCCCCCCCCTTTTCCAGGCGCCCGCAGCACTCAACGCACCATGTTCCAGCCGCCTCCGCTCACCATTGCCAGCGTGCTCAAGTCCTTCCGGGACATTGCGCAGGTGGGGTGGGAGATAAGGCTACCGTAGTAGGCCGCATGATCGCCTCACACCGGTTCCAGACGAAGTAAATAACTACTGCTGACGTGCGTCGGCCGCCTCCAGCCGTCTTCAAGCTGTCTTTGGCCTCTCACTTTGTCCGGCCTGCCTGCACAGCTTTCGCGCCCGTATCGTTTGCCCAACCCCTTACACCAATTCTTTGCGACCCCAACCCTTTACACCAACTCCTTGCCATCCCAATTCCTTGCGCCCCAAATCCCCCAGACGGCCGGCAACCGCAGTGTGGACAACAAGCGCGGCATGATCGTCAAGATGCTGGCGGCGGCCAAGGGCAACGAAGCGGGCTACATCATCCGATCGCTGCAGGCAAGGAGAAGATGTTACAGCGGCAAAGACTGGAGAATGACAAGGACAGGGAGGAGGCATGCCCTGCTTGTTTTATGTTTCCCTGCCTAACCGGTTGCCTTCTCAGCCGTAACCTGTGGTTGTAGTTTCCCATGCTTTGGTATTTGGTCTTTAACCGCCCCCCCCCGCCACCACCTCTCACTCCAGGCCAAGCTGCGTATCGGTCTGGCGGAGCAGAGTGTGCTGGTGGCGCTGGCTCATGCGGTCCATCTGCACCGCGAGGGCGTGAAGGAGCGGGAGGGGCGGCTGGCGGAGCGGCTGGAGGCGGCAGCGCAGGTGGTGAAGCAGGCGTACAGCGAGTGCCCGTCGTACGATGTGGTGAGAGAGGGCGGGAGGGGGCAATAGCTCTACTGTGCTCGGCGCAACAGTGCATATGACGCTCCCCTCTCGCTGCATGCCGCTCTTGCCTGCTTCCTCGATTCGCCCGGGTTCGCCCCATGTCCACCTGCCTGCCTAGCAACTCTTAACCTGTTGGCCCATGCCCGCCTGCCTGCCCGCCTGCCTTCCTACCTCCCTGCCTCCCTCTCTGCCCACCTGCCTTCCCACCTTCCCGCCCACCCTCCCGCAGCTCATCCCTGCCCTCCTGGAGCAGGGCACGGCGGACCTGCTGACCCGCTGCCACTTCATGCCCGGGGTGCCGGTGAAGCCCATGCTGGCAAAGGTGCGTGCCCGTGCCGGCTAGCTCACATGGGCTATGTGGCAGAGTTGCCTAGGAGTGATGGGGTCTGTGTCTGAATGCCTCAGCATGCCTCTGCATGGGTGCTCGCATATGCATGCATGTATCCCCACAATGTATGCTGCCCTCGCTACTCGATGATACGGCTTGTCCTTACCTCGTCTTGTGACTAAGCCTGCACTTCAACTCGCATGTCCCACGGCTCCCATCCTCGTTTCAGCTCATATTCCTCCCAAACCTACGTATGAAGCTTATAGCCCTAAACCCAGATCCCAAAACCCAAATCTTAGAACCCGAAACCCGTGGATCTCCCCTCCCCCTGCAGGCCACCAACAGTGTGGGTGAGGTGCTGGAGAAGTTCACGGATTCCGAGTTCACGGTGGAGTACAAGTACGACGGCGAGCGGGCGCAGGTGCATGTGGTGGATGCGGGCAAGACCGTGCACATATTCAGCAGGTGGGGGGGGGGAGCGTGTGCGGGATGCGGGCAGTCGACCCTAACCCTAACTCTGCGTGTGTATGCATGGCCGTGCGTGCGTAAAGAAGCTGGCCGTGTATGTCCTGTGCGCATGCTCGCCATGTGTCTCTTTTACCGTTCCGTCAGGCTGTTTCCAATTTTCCCCCTCCATTCGCTCCGTCGTCCTTATCGTCATTCTCCACCTCGCCCCCCTCCTGCCCCGCGGCGCTCGCAGGAACGCGGAGAACAACACGCCCAAGTACCCGGACATTGTTGCCCGGCTGCGGGGGCTGCTGAAGCCGCACGTGCAGTCCATTGTGTTTGACAGCGAGGCGGTGGCGTACGACCCGGACAGGAAGAAGATCCTGCCGTTCCAGGTGGGGTCGAAATACCGGTAGACAAAGTAGACGGCTGCGGTAAACCTGTAATGCATGGGCTGTGGCAGAGTCCATAATGGGGGTGTCTAACTAATGATGGCTGCTGCGTTTGGCCGTAAGCGTGACCCGGCGTGAACCGCATCCCCCGAATTATTGTGGCTCCCGCCGCGCAGGTGCTGTCGACGCGCGCTCGCAAGGACGTGTCGGTGGGCGAGATCAAGGTGCAGGTAAGCCCGAACAGCTACACCCTTTCCTCACCACAGCGGCCGTATGGTCACAACAAAACCTCATCCTGCCCTGCCCCTCTTCCCCACCTCAGGTGGTGCTGTTCGCCTTCGACTGCCTCTACCTGAATGGCGAGTCGCTGCTGCACCGCCCGCTCACCGAGCGGCGCCAGGCGCTGTACGGCGCCCTGGTGGAAAAGCCGGGGGAGCTGGAGTTCGCATCGGCCAAGACCAGCCGGGATGTGGAGGAGCTGGAGGTGAGGGGGAGGGGAAAGGAGGTTGAGGGTTGAGTGAGGAGAGCGAGGGTTGAGTGTCATGGAGTGTCATAAATTGTCATGGACTTGTTCAGAGGTGGGTGAAGGCGCACTGGTTGGAAACAGGAGGTGTGGAGAGGTGCTGGAGGAGGGGAGAAAAGAGGAATGCCCAATGCGTTGAATGGGAACGGCAAACAACACGACAAGCTCCTGGTGGTGGTGGTGGTGGTGGTGGTGGGGGGGGGGGGGGGGGAGGGCGCCTCACACCCGCACTGCTCCCACCTGCCCTCACATCCCCCTTCATCCCCTCGCCAGCCTTGTGACACTGTTAGTTCCATCCCCTTCACCCCCGCCCCACCTCCCCACAGGGCTTCCTGAACGAGTCGGTGGAGGCGGGCACGGAGGGGCTGATCGTGAAGACGCTGGCCGACTCGTACGAACCCTCAAAACGCTCCAGCCATTGGCTCAAGCTTAAAAAGGACTACATGGTACGTGGTAGCAGGGTTCACGCCACTGTTACATCCTGACATGCTTGCGGGTAGCCCTGCTTGCGCCACTGTTACATGTTTTGCGGCATGGAATCTCCCCATCCTGACGTGATTAGTTGTTTTGACTGCTGCCGCCGGCCCCCTGACGCCCCCTTCTGCTCCTCCGCGTGCAGGAGGGTGTTGGCGACACGTTTGACGTGGTACCGCTGGGGGCGTTCTTCGGCAAGGGCAAACGTACAGGTGAGGGGGGTCAAAGACCATACCAAACCATAGGAGACCACAAGTTAGGGCAAAACAATGGGGGTAGGAGTTGGCAGGGTGCCACAAGACAATGGGTTGGTTAGCTTTCCCTACCGATACCGGGTCCGCGTTGCGGATACAGGTGAGGGGGGGGGGAGCTGACAGGAGGGGAGGGCTGCTGACGGTACACGTCCTTCCTGCCTTTCACCGCGTCACCTGGCATGCATGCACATGACCGCGTCCTGCCGTCACCGCGTTCATACTTTCTCACCGTCAGGCTTTGGGCGTTTATCCTCGTTACCCAGTCTCCCCTCCTCCCTTCTTCCCTCGCCTTCCCTTCTCCTTCTCGTCACTGACCTCACGCCACTCCATACCTGTCTCCCTTCTCACCCCATTCCCCCCTCTTTGCCATTCTCATCCAGCTCCATGGGTATCCTTTTTCTTCCCCCCCTGCCCCTTCCCCCCCTGCCCCTTCCCCCCCAGGTGTGTACGGCGCCTACCTACTGGGAGTGTACGACCCCGACACTGAGACCTACCAGACCATCAGTAAGCTGGGAACGGGGTTCAGCGAAGAGCAGCTGGCGCAGCTGGCCGACACCATGCGGCCGCACATCATCCCGCAACCGCGCAAATACTACAGGTGGGGTGGTGGGGGTAGCGAGGGACAAACCCTAGGAATTCACGAGTTGGGTGGTGTGGTGTGATGTACATGGGTAAAAGCGCTACAGGGGCAGTTGGTTGTGTATGCAACTTTCGTTAACGTATTGTAAAGGGGCGGATGAAGATGTACACCTTTGTTGTTACGGGGTCCGCACTTGTTGCAGGTGACCCATGGGTCATTTGCCTCCCATGTGTGCTACATGCTACGGCATACGGCTCCCCCATGTTCCTGCCTGCCTCCCATTTTCTTTTTTCTCTCTTGCCGCTCTCATCCACATACTCCGCCGCCCGCACCCCAACCCAACCCTTTACGCAGTCCTATAATCCAGCCTAATGCGGAACATGGATCCCCGTTAACCCCACCCGACCCCGCCCGCACCCCACCCCGCCCCACCCGCCCCACCCCGCCCTAGGTGGAGCGAGGGTCTGGTCCCCGACGTGTGGTTCGACGCGGCTGCAGTGTGGGAGGTGAAGGCGGCGGACCTGTCCATCAGCCCCAAGCACCAGGCGGCCATGGGGCTGGTGGACCCAAGCAAGGGCATCAGCATCCGGTGAGAGGGAGGGACGGGACGGGGGACATGGTGTCTTGGCAGTGGGGGCTGGAGGCTATGCAAAGGTAAACGTATACATGCACACAGTTGGGAGAAGATACCATGGGGTGCCCTGTCCTCTTCCCCTGGGCGCTGCCCGCCTCCCTTCCTCCACTTGTATTGTGGCACCCTTCCGCTTCCTATCCCCATTGCTTTGCCCTAACCTGTGGTTTCCTATGGTTTGATGCGGTCTTTGACCTCCCTGCCTCCTGTCCTGTTTCCCTTCCTGTTTTTACCTCCCTCCCTCCCTTCCCTCCACAGCTTCCCCCGCCTCATCCGCGTGCGTGACGACAAGTCCCCCGAGGACGCCACCACCGCCGCCCAAGTGGCAGACATGTTCCGGTCGCAGGCCATCATCAAGCAGCAGCAGGTGGGGGAATGAGGGGCGGCGGATAACTAATTGAAAAGTGCAGCAAGTAAAAAGGAAATGAGGGGATCAGGGATGCACCATAACTACAGGTTAGGGCGGGGCGATGAGGATAGAGTGAAGCCATGAGGGGGGAGGAAGGGTGGAAGAGGAAGGATCGAGGAAAGGATCCTCAGCATCGCCGCCTAGGATCCCGGCATCATCATTACCCATGTGCTCTGCCCCCTCCTCCCACGCGGTGCAGGCTGCCAAGCAGAAGGAGCAGGAGGCGGAGGAGGAATAGAGGAAGAGCCGGGGGCAGCCCAGGAAGGGGGGGGTGGGGGTGGGGAACGAGAGCAGCTGCTGCTGCTGCTGCAGGATATCTGCTAGGGCGGGTGACATGATGGATGCAGGAGTCCCCTCCATCGAGGGATGAGGGGGTTCCCGGAATCTGTTGATGCTGTTGCTGCGGATGTTTCCAGTGGCGTGTGATGCCTGCGCGATGCCAGTTTGCATGGCCAGGGGACGCGCAGAGTTACGGCTTGGAGGGCAATGCACGAAGGTGGCGTGCTTCGCCACCTTGTGCCGAAGCAGCACGAAGTGTTTGTGTTGTTGGGTTTGTCGTATGCAGGTGTGCGGTGGCTGGTGGGCCTCCAATGCTCGATAGTTAGGTAGGCGGTGTTCCCGTAACCGTCCGAACATCCCCGGCCGGACGCCAGGCGTTGACACTGGCGTTACCACCTACATCTGGCCGCGGGGATTCGGAGCTATGCAGCTAGCCATACCAGGGCTTTATACTTGCATCTGCGTATATACCAGCCAGGGCTGTGGAATGCTTTCACTTAGGTGATTTAGACGTTAAGGGGTATAGGCATTGGCTAGCACCGTGGTCGTATACAGCGCACAAGCACACATAACGCGCAAAGACACCCCGACTAGCGAACTCTGTTTGTGCATCCTGCTAACCGCCGCTACCGTCAGCCTGATGGAACCCGCAACGCGGTTCCTGCCCCACCACGACAAAACTCGTTCGCTACTTCGCTTATAACACAAGTGCTTGCACCTGATAAATCCTGTCTACCTCTCAGTCTACCTCTCACGTAACGACACACACACCCTCTCTCGTACCTCTCAGCTCTCGTTCGTTTATAGATACTGACGTGCCATACTGTCCGCCCTCACCCCAAAAACACCAGGCAGAATGCCCTGCCCCTAGCAGCGTAGAATGTCAAGACATTCCATCCATCTGCATTCTCATTCTAGTCGCCCTGTTCCCGACGCAATGCACATCCGGAACCCTTCGGAGCCCGCCTAGTCCTCTAATTCTGCCTCCAAACACCCAATCCTTTGTGCTAATGGCTGCCTTGGAAACCAACACAATGCACTTCGCAAAACATCCTAACCAAAGACCCTAACACCTGCCACCCTCATCCTCCTCACCATCACCACCACTACTTGCTACCCCGCGCCATAACCAGCTGCAACAGCTGATCCAGCGACACAGGCGCCCAACGGGGCCCCAGCTGCGCTCGTACGACACCGCTTGTATTGTCAAGTACGACACTTACACTTCCGAATCCGTACACTTGAAGCCCTTCGTACATGCGACCCGCCTTGGGTTGGAACAACACACCATTCTCCTCCGCAAACCGCATGACCAGGTCACGAAGGGTGAGGTCGCGACTGGATGCGGCAGCGGCGGCCGCCGCTGCTGCGGCGGCGGCGGTTGCATAGCCGCTAGCCTCTGCCGTACCGACGCCACCCGGGGGTACGCCGCCGTACATTCCGTAGGCAGCGGCGCCGGGTGGCTGAGGTGGCAGCAATCCGTCCTGTATGCCGGGACAGCACATACAACCAAGGCATCAGCATCAGCGTCGGGTCTGCCGCTCGGGTGGCTTACAATTACAAAACACATTAGGGGGGCAAGTACTTGAGATACCAGTTGCATCCAACCTGAAACAAACTGACTCTTAGTAGAGCAAAAGCCCCTCCTCCCCACACACCCGCCTACTCCCTTCCGCCTCCCCTCCCTCCCCCCCTCCCCCCCTCCTCACCTCAAGCACAGCGTTCATGGTGTTTAGCGCCGCATTGAACTGCGCGCGCACCCGCTCGTGGTCCAGCAGCCCCTGCGGCACCGCCGCCTTCCAGCCCAGGTACCAACGGCTGACCTCCTCCAGGTTGGCGCCCGCGGACAGCCAGTGACACAACACGGCGTGCCACCTGATAGTGGAGGGGAGGGCGGGGGGGGAGTGCGGGGGGGGGGGGAAGAAGAATTGGCTGTGTGTTGAACGATAATAGCAAATTGGATGAGAAGCCCCTGCTGAAGAGAAACGAGTTAGGAGAGGGGCAGAGGCCCTGGGTTTGGCACGGTCACGGAGAACGAGCGTGTCACACGTCATAGCCCCTCTCGCACGCTCCCTCACGTCCACCTCTTTCATTATCAAGATCAATTGTACCACCAGATCACAGTTTGTTCTACTCGACTACACACCCACGCCCCACACACACCCAGTGGCTTCATCTTCCGACATCCCAGTATGTTCCTACTCGCGGCCAGTTATTTTAACACACCCAGTACGTTCCTACTCGCGGCCAGTTTTCTTAACACACCCACCCCACCCCACCCCACCCCACCTGGGGAAGAACGCCCTCTCCAGCAGCCCCGCCATCAGGTGCGGGCTCACCACCTCGCGCCAGCTCAGCGCCCAGCCCCAGGGCTCCAGCTGCTGCGCCGCCGGGTTGATGTCCATCTGACCCAGCGCAAGCGCCAGCTTGGGCAGGATGGCCTGAAGGGGGTGGGGGGTGGGGTGGCGTGCGAGGGGTGAGTGAGGCGTGGTGAGATGTTGTTGGCTTGTTGCAAGAGTGGAATGCAGACAACGTCAATAGGAGGGCAAAAGAAAGGGTTTATTGCCCGTGAGAGCCTGCGCACCTCCTCCCAGCGCCCCTCAGCCTACCTTTGCCACGAACGCGTCCCACTCCGCCGCCCGCCACACGCGGGTCCAGGGCGCCAGCAGCGCCAGTGCGGAGCCGTCGCTGGGGTGCCAGGCCTGCAGCGCCACGTCGAGCTTGTGGCGGATCTGCGGGTACAGCTCGTCTAGAGCCTGGAAAGGGGGGGTAGGAGGGGTAAGGGGGGAGGGAGCGGGGTAAGGAGGGAGGTGGAGGAGTTTATATACCAAGACCACAGGAGTTGATGTTAGGTGAGCACACAGGAGGGAGTTGATGAGCAACGTGATGAGAGACCGAGTTGATGTTAGGTGAGGAGGCGGGCATGGGGCGAGTAGCCCCACTTCACCGCTCCTACCCGCTACGCTGCCCTCTACGTCCCCCCTTCACTCCTCGCAGACCCCCCTCCCCACCCCCCCGCCCCACCTGCCCCAGGTGCGGCAGCCAAGGGAACAGCCATGCGTGTATGGGCACCGTCTCCTGCCGCGGCTCCCACTCGCCCACCGCCCGCCGCAGCTTGGGCAGCACCAGCATCTCGAAGATGTGCGCCAGCGCGGAGGGGGGCAGCAGCGGCTCCCAGGACTGGGCAGGGGGAAGGGGGGAGAGGAAGGGGGGGCAAAGATACACCAGAACCACATGTTAGGGCAAAGCAATGGGGATGGGACGGATAAGTCCAAACCGGTAACAACAGTGGCAATCCCCTTGGTGAAAGCCTGTGACGGCTAGATGCAATTGTGATTCCTTGCAGCTGAGTCTCTTATATATGTGGGTTATGTCCCCAGGGAGAGTGAGGCAGGGAGAAGGAGGAAGATGGAGCGAAGGCAGGCGCCCGAGCCCCCCCCCCCACCTCACCTCACCTCCAGCCCCCCTTAACCCCACCTCACCTCCAGCCACGTCAGCAGCGGCTCAGGGTCCCGCGCCTCCCACCCGCTCAGCGCCGCACTCCGCAGCGGCGGCAGCACCACCTCCCACACCAATAACGTGTACGGATCTTCATTTGTCGTACCGCTGCCAACACCGCTACTGCTGCTGCCGTACGGATCTCCATCTCCGCCCCCCATGCCGCCTCCACTGGCTGCCGTATCTGCCTGCAGCAGCGCCCTCCAGGTCTTCATTTCGGAGGTGCCGCGGGCGGGCTCGGACAGGGGCTGCCAGCCGCGGAAGAGAGCCTGGGGAGATGGACGGAGGGAGAAAGGGGGGTGACAAACAGAAGAAGATGGAGGGTGGGAAAGGGGGGCGACAAACAGGCGCAAAGAGGGACACTCTCGGTTGAACAGTAATGCGGTGTTACGCCGGTACATAACGCGATTGTGCGACGCCAGCGATCCTACTAGCCCAGCCATTGACAGAACATTTCAATACAGATCTTAAATCCCAAAACCTTCCCTTTCGTTCCGTTTCCCATAGGCTCATGGCGTTACAGGCCAAGCCACACCCCCAACGCCCAACCCCATCGTTTTACGCCCGTACCTGCATCCTGGGAAGCACATGCGCTAGCGCCGTCTGCGCCAGGCCGTACATGATATACTCCTCGCGATACGATTGCCGTACCCTTTCGTACGACGCCGCAAGCTCCTGCAGCGGCGTCGCCGGGGGCAGCTGCCGTACCGCCTCCACCTCCGCCGTCACCGCCTCTAGGCGGGCCACCGCGGCCGCCTGCCGCTGCTCCTCCTCCTCCAGCCGCTGCTTGTCGCGCACCAGCAGCGTGGCGGTGTCCTGTGCGCCGGGGACGACAGGTAATAGCGTGGGATGATCTGGGTCGGATGAAATGCAAGGACTCATGCATGCAGTCGGCTAGGCCTACCGGTAGGTAACCGCTAACCAACCAAACATATGTGGTGGGTAGCGCCTAGCATCGCCTGCAAGGCTAAAGCATATGGGCCCCCCACCTGCTCGTGCCTCAGCCGTGCATCCAGCTTCTGGATAGCCGCCTCCGCCAGCTCCACCAGCAGCCGCAGGTTGTGTTGCAGCTCGGGCATGGGCGTGCGGTCGGCCTCGGGGGCAGCTGCTGCCTGCTGGTTCAGGAGCTGCAGGTTGGTGATGACGCGAGCCTGGGGGCCGCGCATGTCCAGGATGGGCTGGGCCTGCGGGGAGCGGGGGAGCGGAGCAGGGGGTAGGAGCAGGGGTAAATGCAAGTAGAATACGACTAAGATGCATGGATCAGAGTTGGTATGCCTTTGTGTCACATGGTTCAGGCTCGCCCCTTATGCCAAAGCTGGCTATGGCGATGGCTCGTCGTAAGAGACCCATGGGTCACATACCTCAAAATGTTACGCCTCCTCTCTCTTTCTCCAAACACCGTCCCCTCACATATCCACCACTGCGCCCTATCCGTTACCCACCCCTCTCCCAACCCCCCTCGTCAGTTTCTTCGTTTCACCCCCCACCACGTTAGCTTCCTCTGCTCACCCCACCCCACCCCACCCCCACCTGCATTGTTTGCATTTCTTATATAATTTTCACCCCCACCTGCGTGGGCCGCTCCGCCGCCTCCGCCAGCACCTGGTCCGCAGTGCGGTACTCCCGCCGCACGCGCGCCTCCCGGGCCTTCTTCTTCCAGGCGCCGGCAGCGGGGACAGAGGCAGCAGCACCCGCAGCAGCACCGGCCTGAAGGCAGGCCGCGAGGGAGGGGGGACAGGAGGGTGGGACAGGAGGGACAGGAATGTGAAGCATCGTAACAACAACCAGATGACGATGGCATCCAAGCTATCCTCCACAACCACCGTTCACCACCCCACTGCCTGGAATCGTTGGTAGGTTCGCTCGCCGGCGTGCTTGCTGGCTGGTAGGCTTGCTGGCAGCAAGCGAGCGAGCTGCCACCAGGGGGCTCAGCTAGGGGCTCATGGACCCGTACACAGCACCCTCGCGCCCAACCATATGTCCCCCGCCCTCCGCCCCTACCTTGCCATCCTGATCCCGCGCCGCCCGGTCTGCTCCCAGCCCCAGTCCCGGCGCCCCTCCCGGCGCCCCGGGCAGCTCCATCTTTGGCTCCTCGCGCTCTCCGAAACCCAGTGCCATGCCCTTGGGCCGCATGCGCGCCTCAACTGGGCGGGCGATACCCTGCTTGTTGCGACCCAGACCCTCGCCTGCGTCATCGGGGAAAGGGCGGGAGCGGGAGGGGTGCGGGCGAGGGTTAGGGTTGCGGGCGGCCGAGGTGTGGATGAGGCCCCTGCCTTGGGCCAATGCGGGGTGAGCCACGGCGTTGGGACTTCGATGTTTGCCAGCGCACCCCACCGTACCCCTGCCTCAGCCCTCTCACCATGCCCCTCCACCCGCACCCGCCCGGCCGCCCCCCCATATCCCAGCCACTCCACCACCCACCCGGCTTGTATCCCATCTTCTCCAGCAGCTTCAGCCCGATGCCTTTGGTGTGCTTCTCGAAGGAGGCGAAGGTGGGGTCGGCGCCCAGCGTGGTGGTGCGGCGGGCCGCCTGGGCCGCCTCGCTGCGGGCCGCCTGCGCCTCCTGCTTCAACCGCCGCTGGGCCTTTTCCAGGATGCTGCGAGGGGGAAAGGAGGGGTGTGTGTGGAGGAAGAGGGGTGAAGGAGGAGCGGGGAAGAGGTGCGAAGATGGGGATACCGGTCGGCGACTTGGCTTGGGCGGGTTGGGTTGGGGAAGAGCAGGGTGGGATCAGCCCACCGCCGGCCGAACCGGAATCCTACAGACGCGACCTTGTGAATAGCTGCTAAGGCGTTCGTGTAACCACCACCCACCCAGCCAGCCAACCACCCACATGTCTGGCTGGTCACCGCCAGCTAAAGGCAGGCAAGCAGGCCTGCCGCCCTCCCGGTGGGTGGAGTCCTGGCGGGCAAGCCCCTGCTCCACTCAACTCCACTCAACCCCAGCAACATCATTCCTGCCGCTATCGCAGCTCCGTAGCCCGCACCTCCCACCCAGCCCAGAACCCCTCCCTTCCCAACCGCGTGCGACCCACCGCTTCCCAAACGCTGTGGGCATCACTGCCTCCTCGTCCTCCTGCTCCGCCTCCATGCCCTCATCTCCGCGACTCCCCCCTGGCTTGAAACCCAGGCCCCCTCCGCCTCCGCCGCCGCCGCTGCCCAAGCCCGGACCGCCACCGCCGCCTCCGCCCGCCCCGATTCCGCCCCGGCTGCCTAGCCCCAGGCCCGCATGGGCGAAGCTGGGCCGGCCGTCAGCCTCTTCATCCTCCTCGCTGGTTGGCCCCATGCTGCCAGGACGCTGCTGCGGACCAAAGGTCTTTGCTGGCTCCCCCGCATTGGTTTCCTCCTCTTCGGCGTTCATGGTGTCCTGGACAATCTTCCCGCTGGATACGAAGCCCACGGGCTTGGTGTAATCCCGATCGCGGTCACGGTCCCGGTCACGGCGTCGGCCACGACGGTCTCCATCTGAGTCGTCAGAGTCGTCCGCAAACACGCCGTAGATCTGATCCTCCTTGGATTGCATGCGCTTCTGGCGCTTCTTTGAGTAATAGAACTCGCCATTGATCCACTGCCCGCCTTCATAGTCATTCTCCATATCGAACCGCTCAAAGTGTTGAAACTCATTTGGATCTGCCATTGGAACAAATTGGAGTTATCTTCCTCGGTAAGAGATGCCTAAGTGCGGCTAGGCAAGAGTGCGTCGTTACGTACGCCTTCTACTACCCAAAGCAACGTTTAAAGGAAACTGAAAAATCACCTAGCATCTTAGCAAAAATTGTATTGCTTGGTGCCTAGAGGTCTCATTTTCCAAGCCCCAAGACTACGTAGGAGAGCCAGCGATGGAAAAAGGAACATAGCATGTAGTAGTAGTATATGAGCCGTCGTTGGGTGTTGGGTAAAGTTCCACGGGATCGCCACCATCGGTCCATCGCCAGGTCAACATGTGTACGGCGTAGGGAAGGTCTACTCCCTCCTGCTTGTCTTTAACACCATAAGCTACAACACCCTCGTTAGGGTGGACTTCGGTGATCTACCAGGTTTAACAGCAAACCCTAGGGAGCAACGTTCACTGAGTAGAAACTAGAAAGACCCTACTTGACGGAAACATACACGCCCCTGACACTACCTCTCTCCCCTTGTATTTACAAGTATATTTTAGATTTAACGTATTCTTAGCAGGCGCCTAGGCGCGCCGCCCCTCGGCGCCGCCTTCAACCGCAAGTTATTGTCTGTTTGCCCGTCGGGCTTTTACATATAGACATTAGGACATCATGCGTGTCGAGAAGTGCTGGTTTTGCTCCTCCTCTATCTACCCTGGCCATGGCATTACCTTCGTGCGCAACGACGCGACCGTCTTCCGGTTTTGCCGTGGTAAATGCCACAAGAACTTCAAGATGAAGCGTAATCCCCGGAAGGTGCGGTGGACCAAGGCCTACCGTAAGCTCGCCGGCAAGGAGCTGACTGAGGATGCCACCTTTGAGATGGAGAAGCGGCGCAACCGCCCAGAGAAGTATGACCGCGAGCTGGTTGGCAAGACTCTCAAAGCCATCGAGAAGGTTACGGAGATCCGGCAGAAGCGCCAGGACCGCTTCTACGAGAAGCGCATGCAGCGCGCCAAGAAGCAGCAGCTGCAGGCCGACAAGGTGCAGCTGGAGAAGGAGGTGCACCTCATCAAGGCTCCGGCCGGCATTCGCGCCGAGAGGGAGAAGCTCAAGGAGCCGGTGCGGCAGGCGGAGGTGAACAGGGATGCCATGGAGGAGTAAGCGGTGTGGCCATGGCTTTGGGAAGGCAGCGACAGCGGCCGCGCCGTAGGCTGAGGAACGCCGCGTTCTGCAGTCGCGGCTGGTGTTTTACAGCTGTATGGCCACGTATGGAGCTGCAGCCAGCGCAGAGCTGTGCGTGCGTAGGTGGGTTAGAGCTGGGACGTATCGGGGATAGGGTTACGCAGGCGTCACTTGCCCTGCTGGGTCACGAGGAGGTTCGGAGACCCCTTGCACGGGTTGCGGCGAGTGGAGAGCTCAGCGATTCATTGGCGTTGTAGAATAGCAGGAAGCAGCTACAGCAAACGCGGGGTGCATGTATAGATGTGTTGCATAGGAGTCTCGCTTTAGTAAGGGTTTTGGATTAGCCGTGTCTCAAGTGCGGTGATAAGGATCACAGCGTTGGAAGTGCAGGAGAAGGGAACATGAGAAGGCATTAGTTGACATTCCCCACCTAAGCTTGGGCAGCTACACGTGCAGCGTATGGTGTCGCGAAGCCGTGCAGATGCAGCCCAGGACTTGGCGGTGCCGGGAGAGGGAGGCTGGGATTCGTCGTTGCGGAAGGGTAACAGGATGGTGCGCTGTTCAGCGTGGTGGGCTATTCGGTGGTTCCGGCATGGTTGTAGACCAGCACCGCAGGTGCTCAAATCTCTACGGGTGTGCTTAACTTTGGTTCCGTGTAGATGGAATATGATTGAACGCACATGGGGGACTGTTGGGGACCTAGTCGGCTTGGGCAGAACCGTTGTGGTGGAGGGCTGTCCCAGGTGGACTATCCCAGGCTGCGAAGAAGTGATTGCGGCGGTCATCAATGAAAACTGCGCTACCTGCGGGGCCGGTTCGTGCCGTAGCTTATATACTCGTAAGCTGCGGGCCATGCAGCGATGAACGTGATAATGGACTTGAATACTTGCTTTCTGCGAAGCGCACTTTGGCTGTAACAAGCGTGCGACCATGCGTTGAAGCTTTGGGTCCTTATAGGTGGATCGGCAATGCAACAACACTCTCAGTTCCGTACATCGATGACTTGTCCGGGAGCAGACACAACGCAACATTACCGGTATGCAGCACACGTCAGGCTTGAGGGTCACCGGCGGACGGCAACTAACAGCTAGGCCACCGGTATGCAACAAAGCCACCAGGGTGCAGCCCCAGAACCTGCCCCCCCTCACCTCGGTCCACCACGCACATGTTGCATGACGAGTTGACGACGTACCAGCTACACACGAACGATACGCTCACACGAACTTGATGCACACACCGTACAGCCGTCCAACAGACCCGTGGGTCTTTTGCCCAAGCGCGCATCCTGCCGGGTGCTGGCCCACCCCTGGCCCACCTGTCGTGGAAAAATGTGAAACGCTCTGCACACGCAGCAATAACTTGTCTACCTACCGGTATGACAACGAACAAAATGTTTGCGATTGCAGGGACCCTGCCGTGAAACACACATGCACGTAAACCAACAGGGTTGTCAGCGGCAGGAAGCTCTGCTGGTTGACTGCGAGAGCCCCGCTGCCGCTGTCTGCCTAAACACCTCCCGATTTAAGGATTGCCACACTAGGGCCCGTCTCGTCCATGCCTCCACGCTCAGCACATCGCTGCCCTCCGTATGCTTGCCGTACTGATGCGAGAGGTGCCGTACTAAAGACTTCAGAGTCGCGGTTACGTTAGGACAGCGCATTGCCCAGTGCCGAGTAGCAAGATCGCCGCTGCATCCCAGCGCAGCCGCAGTGTGCAGCACACAGGACACGCGAACGCCGCAAGAAAGGTCCTATTGTGATTTCGTCATCAGAGGGGTGAGCAAACCTCACATGCAAAACGGAAGACCACGCGCATGTTAGCTCTTTAACAGTTCCCACCATCAACAATCCGATGTACTCCAACCTTATCAAATTTACCATGGACCGGCTTAATCTCCTCTTTGCTATCCCAAGTGGTCGGTGGCAGCCCTGATAGGGCCCCCACCATGCACCGGTAACATCACATGCATTCCCAAGCCCTGGCTACCGGACATGCGTGCACAACTGACCATGAAATCCCTTGCTTTGGGGCAACACGCCCTATAACGCGGCATCCTGCTAAGCGCCCCAGTGACAGTTTATCGTCCCACCGACCAAGGTAGTAGCAGACCTTGACACCCGCACGCCTGCTTCCTCCCTCCTAATCCTACCAGAACGCAAAAACACATGCACTGTCCTTCTCACTACACTACCGGAACCGTATCGCCAAGTAAACCGAACCACAGTGCTCCCAGCCCCCGCAGCCCCCCGCCGTTACTGCCCGTACCCATATCCGTACTGCCCGTACGACGGCGCGCCCGTGTACGGAACCAACGGGACGTACTGCACCGGCTGGAACCATACGTACTGCATCGGCATCGTGCCGTACATCGGGCCCATCACGGGCGGCATCACCGGCATGCCCCCCGGCGGCGCCATCGGGCCCATGAAGGATGCGGCGGGACTGCGAGGCGAAGCCATGCGACCGTTCGGGCGTGTGCCGTACCACCGCTGCTGCGGTGCAGTACCCTCATGTCGCCGCGGTGACGACGCTGCTTCCGTTATTGCCGCGGCTGCTGCCGCCGCCACTGCAGCGGCCGCCCCGGCAGCGGCTCCCGCTGCCGCGCCCGCTGCTGCCGCCGGGGAAGTAACCTCCGCCGGCCCACCGCCGCCGCCGCTGCAACTGGAGCGGGGGGTGCGGCTGCCGCCGTAAGCGCCGCTGCCGCCCTGCTCCGCCGTCACCTCCTTAGCCGCAACGCTGGTGGCGGCGCCGGCGCCGCCAGCGCCTCCGCCGGCCCCCAGCTGTGCGCTGCTGCTGCTGCGCCGTGGCGGCGGCGGCGGCGGCTCCGCCACCCAACCGCCAGTGCTCCGCCCGCCGGCTGTGCCGTACGCCTCACCGCAGTAGCGGTTTTGGTGGTGGTAGACGCCAGCGGAGGTATGGCCGCTTGCACTGCTGCTGCCGCCGCCGGCGTTACTGCCCGTGCTGTAGGTACGTGTAAGGCCTCCGCCGCCTCCGCCGCTGACGCCGCTGTCTGCAGCCGCCGCCTTCTTCGCTCCTCCTCGCAATTGCGGCATGTCCCACAGTTTCTCCGCCCACGCTCGCTCCACCATCCACCGCCACGTGCGACACTCCGCCCGGCACATCTGCAGCACCACCTTGAGCGGACGGTACGGCGGCGGCGCCTCCTGTACGACAAAGCTCGCCGTCGCCTTGCTGCCGTACGCGTACTTGAGGCAGAGCTGCATCTGGATGGAGAGGTGGTGCGGCGGCACTGTGACCAGCAGGTCCCCCTCGGCGCTGGCATCTGCCGTAGCCGACGACGTGGTGGCATCAGCAATACCAACAGCACCCGCAGCAGCAGCAGCCCCTCCGGAGCCGTTGGAGGCGGAGGAGGACGCAGGAGCGCGTATGCCGCTGTGCGGTTCAAACAGCGCTTTATCGCCGTCTGCACCTGACAGCGAGGCGAAGACGGAGGGTATGGGCAGGTCACGAACGGGTGAGGAGGAGGAAGCCTGGAAGGCGCCGTCACTGCTGCTGCGGCGGGGGCCTCGGCTGCCGGCAGGGGCCTCGTGGGAGTGGCTGCTGCTGATGATGATGGCGTCACCGGCAGCGCTGCTGGTCGCGAGTCCATGAGATGAGGAGGAGTTGTGGGGCTGTGATGCCGCATCCGCTTCCGGCTGCTGCTGTTGCTGCTCAAAGCCGGAGGAACGACCACCGTGCAGCAATGCCAGCAAGCCAAATGCCGTTTTTTGCGGCCCGATGGATGCCTTGGCGGATGCCAGCAGGTTGCGGGTGGACGCGGCGCTAGCGGCAGCCCGGGCAGCATAGTTATCAGGCTGCGAACCGGCAGTTGAGGTGCCCGTCTCTACGCAGGGCGAGCTGCTGGCTGCAGGCGATAACGCCAAGTCGTTACCGAGGCCATCCAGAACATTCGATAAGGACCCAAACTCAACGCAAGGCCCGACGTCAGCGCCTGCCTGCTGCTTCAGAGTAGTTGTCGTGGCCCTTATGGTCGCTGCTTGCTGAGCAGCTGCTGCAGCAGAGCCCGCCTTTGCCAGCTCATCATCGTCGAACGTACCGAAGCGCAGGTGAAGGTGCTCCGGGAAGTCAAACGATGTTAGCGTTTCCACGCTGTCGTCGTAAGTGCCGAATTGTACATAGCCATCCCGAGTCCAGCTCGCAGCGGATGTTGCCCCAAGGCATGATGCTGACGCTCCGACCGAAGGACAGCTAAGAGAGGTAAAAAGAACTGCACGTTCCTTTGCTACAGGGATAGGGACTGGAATGAGCCGTCCGGAGTGATGCCTCAAGTATTTTGCCATGGCCAAACCCGGCTGCTGGCAAGGCCGCTCCTCATCAGTCCACCGCCCTCAAACAAATCTAGGTGCAAGTCATGGGGATGCAACCGTGGCATCTACATCGTTTTCTGTCGCAGACTCAGAGTTGCGTCTTTGGCGGGAGGAAAGTGTGAAATGCCCTATCTTAAAAGGATTGTCTGCAAATGGACTAAAGTTTGCACGATTTCTAGTCTATAATGGCTACAGCGGATAAGATCAGTTTGCACCGCAGAAGCGCTGATACTGCCATCGTGCCATGCTGCGCTGTCGTGCGTGCCGGCCAGAATAGGGCCCAAACAATTCTTCATTGCAGCACAGCCAATGTTAGCCGAGATTCTTGCCGAAGTTGTCCTCAAGATCGTTAGTTTGCTGTCGATCGCCACCCACGCTGTGTGCTGCGAGCCGGCAAACGTCGCGCTCGTGCAACAATTGTGACGCCATTCCCGCAACACCCACAGGGTAACAACACGGTGTTGTATGCACACCGCAGTAACCGCATAATATATTGTCCTCTGCAATCTTAGTCTGTAACCTCTCTGTATCGTTTCTACCCCTAACCTTCCCTTGTTCTTGGCGCCCCTATCCCGCCAATGCCCGCCTTAGAACAGCCTTTACCCACGGCGACACAGCTCATGCCGTCGCAAAGGTATCACTATCTAACTAATAGTAGCAAAGTACGACAGAAACAGTGTCATACAGCCATGTCCTACAAACCTACCAGACAAGCACCGTTTCGTCTTTCACAACACCACGCCACCAACCTCGAAGCGCGAAACATGTTTTGCATGTCCACACGCGGCCACTCGATGTCAAGACACAGGCTAATAGCAGCCGCGCACAACACCTCGTGCCCGATACCGTTACTCCAAACTTATTTCGCTACACAAAACGCACGCTATACATAGTTACCCGCCTCGCCCCCTCACCCTTTCCTTCCCTCCTCCCCATAACTTTTCCCCGTCGCAATCTTCCTAGCCTCCTAGCCCACTCCCTCCGCGCCTCCATCACTCCCTCCACACGACTCCTCGCACAACCTCCAGTCCTCCAAACACACCTAATATCCCTTACCCCTCCCCCTTGCAGCACTCCACCGCTCCCCCTCCTTCACCCCCTCTTATACGAACTGCACTCCCTCGCCCGCCACCACCTCTCCCAGTACGAACGCCTCCGGAGCCAGCTGCCGTACCGCCTCCACCTGCTCCGGAGCCACCACCATCACTAGACCCACGCCCAGGTTGAAGGTACGGCGCATGTCGTCAGTGGGAACCTGGGGTGGTGGGGGGGAGCGGTGGGGAACGGGTTGGAAAGTGGGGAATGGTGAGTGGCCAAGTTGGGTTGGTTTTGAGTCGGGGGCTACTGGTAGGGTATTCCTGTCAACAGCAGCGGCTCTCAGGTCTTTTCCTTAGCTCCCGCTCCTTCCCTTTGCACTCCCCCTCCTCCTCTCCCTGCTGCTCCCCTCCCCCACCCTTCCCATTCCCCCTCATCAGCTTCCCTTCCCCACCCACCACCTACCCACCTCCCCACCCACTCCCCTCACCTTGCCGGTCGCCTGCAGCCACTTGAAGAGCTCCGGCATGGGCCAGGAGCCGTCACGGATGGCCACCCCCAGCCCGTCGGGGATGACTCGCGGGATGTTCTCCGGCATGCCGCCGCCCGTGATGTGCACAACACCCTTGAGGCCCACCTTCTCGTGGAGCTCCAGGACCTGCAGGCGTGGGTTGGGGGACAAGGTGAACTCAGCCGAGGAAACACCGCACCTCCGGGATGTGGGGAAGGAAGGGTGGTGGTTGTGATGCTGCACCGCACCGCTGCAGGACACAGGCTGGCAGTGAAGCAATCGCATAGCTAGCTCCCCGCCATTCCCGCTAGTCCCTAAGCTTCAGCCCCTCCCAAAGGATATAGTACCCATCCATTCTCTTGTCACGGCTGCTGCTGCTGCCCCAGCCCTTCCCCCACAGCCGCCCCTGCCACGCCCCTCCCAACACCACCCAACCCCCGCACACACCTCGACACACCAACCCAACCCCACCACCCAGCTCCCCTCCCACCCCCACAACTAGGGATATTCTTCGTTTCCCACCCAGCTCCCCTCCCACCCCCACAACTAGGGATATTCTTCGTTTCCCACCCAGCTCCCCCCCCACCCCCACAACTAGGGATATTCTTCGTTTCCCACCCAGCTCCCCTCCCACCCCCACAACTAGGGATATTCTTCGTTTCCCACCCAGCTCCCCCCCCACCTTGCGCACGTAGATGATGGTGGGTGCCAGCAGCACCTCCCCGAACGTCTTGCTAGAGTCCCAGGGAGCTGGGTCGTGCAGCGAGGTGCCCGACACCTCAAGAACCTGGGGAGGGAGAAAGCAGGCGGGCAGAGGCAGAGGCAGGGGGGATCAGGGTTGCTGTTAGGACCAGAGAGTGGACCAGAGTGCGGAGTATCCATCCCTGGCCTTGCCTTGCCTTGCTTCCCCTTCCCTCTTTTCTCCCCTCTCCTCCTCCTCCTCCTTACCTTGCGCACCAACGAGAAGCCGTTCGAGTGCACTCCGCTGCTCGCCAGCCCCAACACCACATCGCCCGCCTTGATGGCCTTGCCGTCAATCAGCTTCTCCTTCTTCACCGCGCCCACTGCAAACCCAGCCAGGTCGTACTCGCCCGGCTGGTAGAAGCCCGGCATCTCCGCCGTCTCGCCGCCCAGCAACACGCACTCCGACTGCCGGCAGCCCTCCACGATGCCGCGAATGACGCCCTCCGCGGTGTCCACGTCAAGACGGCCGGTGGCGTAGTAGTCCAGGAAGAAGAGCGGCTTGGCGCCCAGGGTGATGATGTCATTGACGGACATGGCGACCAGGTCGATACCGACCTGGGGAATTGGGTTGGGTTAGGAGGAGTTGAGAGGAGGGCTGAGGGTTGAGGGAAAGTGGGAGGGATGAGGTGGGCTTTAATGAGGTGGGTTTAGGGGCTTTGCCACGGAATCCCGATGCCCTTGTAATGGGCCCTCGCCTCCCCACATTATGCATGGTAGCAAACAGTAATGCGTCCTGGAAGAGGCAAGGCACACACCGTGTCATGCTTGTTCATGTCGAATGCAAGCTTGAGCTTGGTGCCCACGCCATCGGTGCCGGCAACCAGGTACGAATCTCCGAATGGAACCATGCCGCCAAAGCCGCCGATGTTGGGGTTCAGCTTTTGAATGCGCTTCACAAGCTCATCGCCAGCGTCAATGTCCACTCCCGCCTTCTTGTAGGTCAGGCCCTCCTCATTGTCCGGACGGTTAATAACAGCTGCGCCTGCTGGCTTGAAGTTCGCTAGGCGGCTGCGCTTAATGCACCGCGATGGAATGGGGGCAGCTGTAGGCCGGCTGCCAACCACGCTGGACGAACCACGAAGCAAAGTCTGCTGCATTGTCGCTTGTGTCGGCGATAAAATGCGTAATGAATAATGTAAGCGCCGATGCAAGTTCGTCAAATGTTGTAGCGGCAACGCAGCCTTTGACAGCAAGGCTGTTCAAGCTTACTGCATGACGACGGGCCGCCTTCACGTGCAAAAGCCCGCCGTACGCAGAGGGGTACGACCGAGCGAGAAGGCTTGTTTGAAGCATACGTTTGGCTTACGTATCAAACATAGAACAAAGGCACTCAACAAAGCAATGCGCGCTTTAATGTTCATTTCTGACGGCATCCGGTTCTGCCTACGTGATATGTGCAGTGTGGTGCAGTCTCGACTGGTGCAGCCTGAGTAGCTATTTCTTCCTGGGGAGGACAACAGCAGATTGCAACGAGCAGGATTTCCTCTCGCGCCATCCGCGCGCGCGTTTTACGCTCTGCGGCACACAGCCTGGTGCCTAGCCAAACCCAACCGAGCAGCACAAGAAACCGCGTCGTGAAGGGAAGCCACTCGACAATGATCAGCAAACTGAAGTAATGCCCGCCGGGCACATCCCATCCAACTACAGATTAGTCTCTCTCACCACGAAAAGCCCACATCGAACGTCTTCGCCATCTTAATGTGCGTTTGACTGCTCTGACGTAACTGCTCTGAAGACATCCATACCTTGCGTAATATAAGATTCCATCCCTCCAGTAACAAACCCCACTGGCGTTCCTTAGCCGTAGGCAAGTAGCCTCCCCCGAACAACTCTACCTGCTATGCCCGTACGTTCCCCTTATACCTATGTCCATATCATGTGTCCTGACTGTCATAAGGCTTATCTCCTGGTCTAAGCGTAGCCACTCAGCAACCTGGTTAGGGCGGCTGGTTCCAAGCCCATGCCCCCGCAAACACGTTTGTCCAACCCCCCGGCTAGCTCCAGCCCCAGCAAACCCGCACCTGCCTTTACCAGCTGCATCACGGCACGGCTGATGATCCAAACACCACACTCCTTACGCTACCCACGAAACCAAACCAAACCAACTTATCGCCAACCAAATCGAAACCAACCTCCAGCAGCCTTACTCGACCTGCGCAATGATCTTCTTCTTGCGTTCCGGCTTGACCACGATGGAGCCCGGCGCGCTGTGTTCGATGCGCCGCTGCAGCTTGCGCTTGTCGCTCTCCGTGACTGTACGGCGGGTCCTGGCGGCCTTGAAGATGGCGGCGGGCAGGTGCCGGTGCCGTACGATACGCTTGACCTGCAGTGCCGTACAGAACGGGATAGTACAGTTCAGCAAGGACGGTTGGACGGAGGGCAATGTACAGCAGGGGCCGAGACGTAAAGACTAAGGCGGGGAGGGACGTCGCTAATAGCATACCATAACATGCACGGTATGCTTGCCACCCCTTCAGTTACCAGTATGCGACGTATCCTTCCCGCAGCGACATTCCCCCCCCCCCTTTCCACCGTACAACAACAACACACGCCCCGCCGTACCTCCGGCATGTGTTTGTAGCGCTCCAGCAGCGCATCGTTGTACGCCTGCTTGTGCTTCTCACGAGGCAGCCGCACCCCCAGCTGCTCGGAGGCCTTGGCCTGCAGAGGGGGAGACAGAGGGACGAGGGGAAGGGAGGGGAAAATGGCGGGAGGGAAGGAGGTTGGCGTTGGGCATACCGGGCAGGAAAGGACATGAGAGCACGAGCAGAGATGCCAATACTTCCAAAGGGCCCGTGACCCAAGGCACCCAAAACAGCATGGCAGACCTCCGTCTAACCATCTCCGTCCCACCCGTCCGCTCCGACCCCTCACCTTCCAGCACCGCACGTTCATGTCATCACTGCCGCTGAACACGTAGCTCGCGTCCCCGCTGAACCGCACCGCGAACACGCGCTGCATGCGCTTCGTGGTGTACACCTCGCGCGAGTGGCCGCCGGACGCCGCGAAGATGCGGATGGAGCGGTCGTACGAGCCCGCCACGAACTCCCGACCCGTGGGCGAGTAGTCCACGTCCATGACGGCGGACACAAAGTCCTGGTGGGGTGGGGGTAATGTGTCACACACGTGAAAATTTGTCAAGAAAAATGTGGGTAAGGGAAATGTGGGTAAGGGTTATGCAATGCATAAGGGGTTAACCGCAAGGAGGAAAAGGGTGTGGAAGGTGAAGAAGTGGGGTAAAAGGAGTAGGATGTGACATTCCCACTACACACATGCCGCTTAGTCAGATCACTGATACACGCACACAAACACACACACACGCACCTTGTGCACGCACAGCGCCGAGGTGAGCTTCCGCATGTCGTACGTGTACAGACAGCAGTCCTCATTGGCCGCCGTGAAGTTGAAGGGCTCCATGGGGTTCCACGCCAGCGCGTTGCAGCGCGTCTGCATGACCACCTTGCGCAGCGGCGTGGAGCGGCGCATGTCGTACAACGCGATGGAGCGGTCCACGGCGGTGGAGGCGAACACGTCGGGCTCGGCCTGGAGCAGCAGTACGACAGGGGTGGGGAGGCGGCAGGGAAGGGGGGAAACGGAGAGAAGAGGGAGGGGAAGGTTGAGCTTGAGGATGGATGGATGGAGCTGGAGCGTGAGAGTAGAGCACGGAGCCGGGATTAAACGCGCGCTGGCCTTAAGGGAAGAGGGAGGGATGTGAAGAGCCCGATGCGGTAGGGTCTGTTGCTGCCTGACCGGGCCCAAGCTAGCCGAGACATCCGTAATGGCCATCCATTAACGCCGCACCCGGAGGTGACTTACCGGGTTGAAGCGGATGGAGGTGATGGTATCTGAGCCCCACGTGAAGCTCTGCACCGGCTCTGACCGGGTGTGGTCCCAAATGTCCACTGCGGCGCCGGCCGTGGCGAAGATGGTTCGGTCCCAATGATGGTCGATCCCACGGAAGGCATTCTTGCCCTGGAACTCGAACACCGGCTCGGCGTCTTCTTGCACCTCACCAGCCTCGAAGGGTGCGTACGGCACCTTCCAGAGCTTTACCGTGGCGTCGGTGCTTGCTGACACGCACGTCTCACCATCTGGGGCGAATGAAATGCCCTTGACCGCTGCCGTGTGGCCTACCAGTCGCCGCAGCGTGCGTTGCTGGGGAACATCCCAGATTCGGATATCGCCATCAGCGGAGCCGGAGACGATGCTGTTTACTAGCTTAGGGTTCCGCGCGAGGCATGTGACGCCGTCATCGTGCGGGAGTGCAGCAAGGAAGGGTTTGGCGAAGATGCGGTCTAGCTTGGCGGCGTTAAGGGCGCGTGTGTACTCATGCGCTTTCTCGAATTGGTGCAGCTGTGGGTCGTAGTTGCGCTGGACCTTGCGCAAGTCACTCGAGCGCTCACGCGTATAATCTTCCTCTGAGCGGCTAATGACTTTAACCTTCATAGTTACTAGCTTTGTATAAACAGCCTATATTATGAACCTTCTTGAGGGCAGCGCCGCCCGCCCAACGTCATGCTCGACAACACCGCTCTGTTATTTCTAGTAATGGTAATGCCTGTCAATTGTAACTAACAGTTGTAGTCTAACTGAAACGTGGGAAAAAATGTGTACACAGCATACTGTTATGCATGGAAGTGGTTGAATGAATAAGAACGAGGGCCTTGTGTGCAAGCTTTGGCCGTCTGGCGGACAGCCATGTTGTTCCGAGGTTATACGGATTATAGCCGTTACATATAGCTTGTTGCTATCTTCCGTAGTTCGCGGCACTTGCAACACTCTGCGAATTTGCCGCACATACGTTCTTACTTTACATGACCATCTGAATGTGTATTACAAGTATCTGCATTTTAATTAACGAGTGTTGATGAAGGCTAGTGCATAGCTGGCGCCCTTGACAACTTTAGTCCATCTAACGAGCCATTTAAGCTGAGCCAGCGCAAACGCCAACACAAACAAACTTATCACTTTCAAGAGCAAGTCACAGACATGGCCAATCGCTCCATTTCGCAGTCCGCCTCACTAGCTCGCTGAGCATTCTGCTGCTGCCGCTGCAGCCTCCAACCGCCCAGCTACCCTAAGGCGCGCGTCTGCGCACAGCCCAGTGATGACATCAACCACCGAGGAGCAACCGCAGCCTTCCAGCGACGGCATGCAGCTGGACGGCCCTCAGCTGGGCTCCTTGACGCCCGTGCAGCAGCAGGAGCTACCCGCTCCCCTGGACCTGCCTGCCCCTTGCAAGCAGCAGCAGCAGCCTCCATCTGCGGAAGGCACCGCGGATTGCGCCTCCCCACAACAACAACATTTAGGACAGCAGCACCCACAGCAGCAGCAGCAGCCAATGGATATTGACCAGCAGCAGCAACTGCAGCGCCCACCGCCACAACCAGCTCCCCTGCCCGATGACATACCGCCTCACCCGCAGCAGCACCCGGCAGCACAGCAGCCCCAACCAGCCAGCACCCTGCAGCTTCCAATCGCTCCTCCGGCCCCCTCCCCAACATCACCAGCAGCAGCAACCGCCGCAATAGCAGCAACGGTAGCCCCAGTGACGCAATCCGCAGCAGCAGCACCTGCAGCACCCTCAGAAGCAGCAGCACCCGCAGCACCCTCAGGGGTACCCGCACCTCTGCCCACAGCACCCTCAGAAGCACCCACAGCAGCTCCTGCAGGAGAGCAGCCACAGCAGCCGCAGCAGGCCAAGACACGGCCCTCACGCAGGCGAGTGGAACCTGTCAAAATCGCGGACCTAGCCCCCTCATCCCAGCCCACGGGCCCCCAACCGCAAGCACAGCAGCAGCCACAGCAGCAGCAGCAGCGCCAACAGCAGCAGGGGCGGTCGCGGGGTGTAGGCCGCTCCCACAGCGCCCCTGTGGGGGCGGGAGGCGCGGAGGCGCTGCAGCGACCCGCCAAGCGCTCTCGCACCCAGCAGGTGTGGGTGTTAAGAAACCTGGCCGCGGGTGTGTGTGTGTGTGTGCGGGCGTGAACCTGGGAGCAGGGGCGAACCCCTCGTCATCCCTGCCCCCCTCGTCATCACCCCTGACCCTCTCGAGCACCCCTGTTGCACCCTTCTCCCGCCCCCCCCTGCTGCCCCTCAGGTATCCGAGGAGCGTCTGGAGGCTGACGTGGCGGGAGCGGTGGGTTTGGACCCCTGGTCGCTGGCGGGGGAGGAGGAGGCGCTGCTGGCGGACGTGGAGGCGCAGCGGCCGGGGCACCCGCGGCTGGGGCGGCAGCAGTACCTGAGGGTGCGCTGAGGGAGCGGCGGGGAGATCGGAGGGGGAGCCCCATGGGGGCCGAGGGGAGCTGAATGCAGGAGTAGGACTCCCCTTCCTTTCCTAACTCCTCCCGCCCCCCCCCCCCACACCACCCGCAACCCCCCCCAGGTCCGCAACTTCCTGCTGACCCTGTGGCGAGCCGACGTGCGGCGCCACCTGGGCATGGAGGAGGCGTGCCGCGCAGTGCAGCAGCAGTATACCAGGTGGGGGCCCGGAACAGGGGGCGACATGGGGGCCGTGGGTGGTGGAGGTGGGGTGGGCGGGAGAGGGGAGAAGCGGGACTGTTAGGGACTGTGGAGAGGGCTGGGCGGGGGCAGTAGGTGGGGAGCAGGTACTGGTCCACAGGGTATCACCTGGAGGGGCAGCAGTGGGGGATCCTGGTGCCCTGCTCCTTGCCCCCCTCACCTGCCCAACCATGCACCTCCCGCCAACCCTCTCGCTAACCATAACTCCCCATGTACTCCCCTCCTGTCCCCCCCCCCCACACACACACCCAGGCACGCCGAGGTGGCCTGGTCCTACCTGCACACGTACGGATTCATCAACTTCGGTACGGCAGCCGCCCCGCCGCCGCACTCCCCCGGACTGATGGCGGAGACGGTGGTGGTCATCGGAGCCGGGCTGGCGGGTGGGTGGTGGGAGGGTGGGTGGGTTGATGGACTGTGGGTGGGTGGGCTGTTGCTGCTTCTGGAGTAACACCCGCTCCTATGTCGCAGCCGTCTTCTTCCCTTACCCTGACTTGCGTCTCTATGGCCTATCTCCTATCGCCTTGCCTCGTATGCCGTTTCGTGAGCTATCCCGGCCTTCTGTTCACCCCCTCCATCCTCCTCCACCCCCCTCCCCAGGTCTAGCCGCCGCCCAGCAGCTGCGCCAGCTGGGATACCGAGTGGTGGTGCTGGAGGCGCGGGAGCGGCCGGGGGGCAGGGTGCACACGGCACGCATGGAGGTGAGGAGCGTACGGCAGCAGCAGCAGGCGTACGGCAGCACCTCCGAAACACACACACGGCCCGAAACACCAAAACCCACCCACTCCCTTTCCTTCTTCCTCCCACCTCCCCTCCCCTCCCCACATTCCACCTTCCAACGCCCTCCCATTTCACCCATCGGGTATTCTTCTTCTCCCCCCCCCCCGCCACCCCCTACCGCACCCCCAGGCCGGCGGCTGCGCGGGTCTAGCCGAGCTGGGCGGCTCCATCGTGACCGGCTGCGACGGCAACCCGCTTGCCGTGCTGGCGCTGCAGGGGGGCGTGCCGCTGCACAACATAGCGGAGCACACGCCGGCTTACTGGGAGGGCGGGCAGCCGGTGGGGGAGGAGCTGGACAGACAGGTGAGGTTGGGGTGGGGGGTTGGGAGGGAGGGTGGGTGGTGGGGAATGATAGGTACAAGAGGAGGGAAAGCTGATGAAGTTGGGAGGAAAGGGGTGGCGCGGATGACACAGGGTCGCCTTTATCGGCACCTCGACAAACCTCACGTCCCTCCCTGCTGTCCCCTGCTCCTGCTCCCCCCTCCGTCCCCTGGTTACCCCCCTACACTCTCGTTTCCTGCTCCCTCCTACTCTCGTATGCTTTCGTATGGTTTGGTATGGTCTTTGACCCCTCCACTCACTCTCTCCCTGCTCTCCTGTTTCTAGAAATGGGTCTCCGAATGCGCTCACTGCATGAGTCGGGATTCGGGATTGGGACTCCGTTGATGCACGTATCTATATTTCCCCGGCTCCTGCCCCCCCTCCCCTCCCACCCCCCTTAGGTGATGGACCGCTACAATGCGGTGCTGGAGCGCTGTGACGCGCTGTGCCAGCAGCTGTCGGGCCCCGCGGGGGACCTCATATCCGTTGAGGCGGCACTGAGCGCCATGTGGGGGGAGGAGGAGGAGGAAGGGGGGCAGGTGGAGGGGCAGGTGGAGGGGCGGGAGGTGGGGGAAGCAGCAGGGCAGGGAACAACCACCGCAGCAGCAGCAACGAAGGGCCCCGCTTCTTCGTCCTTCGTTCCTTCAGCAACCGGCATGGAAGGGGGCAAGGAGGGCAAGAACAAGGAGGGCAAGGAGGGCAAGGAGGAGGAGGCGCATGCAGCAGCAGCTACATGCCACCACCACCCCCACCACCTCCACCTCCAGCAGCAGCAGCAGTTGTTCCACTGGCATGTGGCCAACCTGGAGTTCGCCAACGCGGCGAGGGCGGGGGAGCTGTCTCTGCGGCACTGGGCGCAGGACGACCCCTACGAGCTGCTGGGGGCGCATGTGTTCACCACAGGTGGGGGGCTGGCGGGGCGGGGAGGAGTGGGGAGGGCAAACAGAATAACCGGCGGTTGATGGGATGACTACACATGTATGCCCCAATTCCCGCCACCTGGCAAACACGAAACTCCCTCTATCCCCAATGCTTTGTCCTAACCGGTGGTTTCCTGTGGTAAATTTCTGGCCCGCCCCCACCCCTCCCCACCTGAGCAGGCGGCAACAGCCGGCTGGTGCAGCTGCTCACTCGCGACCTGCCCATCTTCTACCGCTGCCCCGTGGCGGAGATCAGATACGGTCACAGCGCTGCTACTGCGAATGGCGCGGGCGGCGGAGGCAACGGAGGAGGAGGAGGCAGCAGCGGCGGTGTGACGGTGGTGACGGAGGGCGGTGCGGTGTTTGAGGCGACGGCGGCGGTGGTGACCCTGCCACTGGGGGTACTCAAGGTGGGTGCGGGGGCGTACCGGTATTCAAGGTGGGTGGTGTTGCCGCGTGGATGCATGTGCGCGCTGAGTGGGGTTGCCCCCGTGTCGTGCCTCCTCCCGGGTATGTGGGTAACTTGGAGCCCTGTACGACTGGATAACATCTTACCGGTATCTTTCTTCTCCCCCCCTCCCCGGGGGCATGCGAATGGCCTCCCAGGCGGATGCGGTGCGGTTCGAGCCGCCCCTGCCGCCCGCCAAGCAGGAGGCCATACGCCGGCTGGGGTACGGCAGGCTGAACAAGGTGAGGGGGGTTCACAGGTTAAGCATAAAGAGAGGGGGGTTGTTGCGTTTGCTCAACAACCACAGGGTCAAAAGCCGCATGCGGGTCACCATTGGCAGGCGCAACGGTAGCGTAAACCGTCAAGCATTGCCTAGATGTGCGCCTAGCTTGAACCTCATAACCGAACTAACCCCCCTGACCCCCCCCTCGTTGTTTCACATATTTAAAGTTTCCCCCCTTATGCACCCCAGGTAGCGCTGCTGTTCCCGCACGTCTTCTGGGACGCCTCCGTGGACACCTTTGCGTGTGTCATGAGCGACAAGGAGCGCCGCGGCTCCAGCTTCCTCTTCTACTGCGGAGCGCACACAAGGTGGGCGGTACGGTAGGGTACGGCACGGTACGGTACGGTATGCTGCGTATGCAGCCCACACCTGCTATACCCATGCGGTCTGGGGTACAAGAGAATGCTCCGCCTCGCTGCAGCAATCTCAACAAGCATCTTTTCAGCTTCACGCAGCTGCCCAAAAGCCCACTCTTGCTGAGCCACCACCAACTCTCCGTCTCCCCCTCCTCTTCCTGTCTCCCCCTGCTCTTCCTGTTGCTTGCTTTGCTCGCAGCGGTGGTGCGGTGCTGACGGCCCTGGTTGCTGGCACCGCCGCCATCGCCATCGAGTCCATGAGTGACGAGGCGGCGGTGGCGGAGGTGATGCGCGTGCTGCGAAACATATTCGACAACAAACCGCCGCAACAAGGCCCGCAACAACAACATCACGGACAACAGCAAGGCCAGCAACAGCGAGGAGGAGGGGAAGAGCGGCGACAGGGAGGGGGAGCTGGTGGTGGTCATCAGCGTGTGGTGCCTGATCCCTTGCAGGTTGGTAGCGGTAATATGGGGCATCAGATGACCTGCTTCCCTCACTCCCACGTGCCTCCTACAGCGCCTCCCTATATACATGCCGCACCATCCTGGCCTACCCCCCTGACCACCCACTGATGACCCACGGGTCACTCCCCGCCGTCTCCCCACCGTCCCCCAGGCCTTTGTGACCCGCTGGGGAGCCGACCCCTACTCCCGCGGCTCCTACAGCAGCATGGCGGTATCCTGCCGCGGGGCCGCGGAGTATGAGGCCATGGCGGCCCCCGTGGCGGGTCGGCTGTTTTTCGCCGGGGAGGCCACCATACACAAGTACCCGGCCACCATGCATGGCGCGATGCTGAGTGGACTGCGGGAGGCGGGACGCATTCATTACGCGTTTGCACGCGCGAGGCATGGACTGCCGCCGCGGGTAAGGAGTGTAAGGGCCCGCGGGGAAGGAGGAGAGCGAGGAGGAGGGATTGAGGCAGGGTTTGCCCGGAGTGCGTGCATGGAGGGGCACACACACACATAAGCGCATGAAGCGCGCTCGCGCATCCTTGACCTCTCATCCGCTTCGCCCGTTCTTCCGTTATGATCCCGTTGTTGCTCACCGATCCCCCCATCCTCTCCTCCCATCCCCACATGCAGGAAGACGACCTCCTCACCACCACCGCCGCCCCAGCCTCCCTCGAGCCGCCCGCCCCCGCCCCGCCCGCCCCCCTGCCGCCTCCCGCCCCCTCCCTGGCCCACGTGCGCCGCCTGCACTGCCTGGGTGCGGGGCTGCGGGGACTGTTCGGCCGCTGCGAGCCGGATCTGGAGTTCGGCTGCTTCAGGGCGCTGTTCGGGCCGCAGGTGGGGGGGGCGGGTTGCGCTCTTTGTGCTTCTCTCCGCCCGCTCCGCCGGGTTTGGGTGTTCCCTTTGCTGCTCCCTTCCCTCACACCCGTATGTGCGCCCCTCCCTCCCTTGCTGGTCCAGGAGCCTGGTCAGCAGCAGTGGGCCGTCCTGCAGATTGACCTAGGTGCGGAGGGGGTGAGGAGGAGGTGGCAGGGAAAGGAAAAGAGGAGGGGCGAAGAGGGTAAAGGCACATGGCATATCGCAGGGAAGGATGAGCGGAAAGGGGGAGGGATGGGAAGCGAGGCGGGAGGTACAGACGGGAGTACACAGCCGCCGTAAAAGCCTCTTTCCCACGTCCCCCGCTCCCCGCGCCCTTCACGCACGCGCCCATGCAGGCTGCATCCGCTCTCGGAGCAAAGTCACCGCCACCGGAGGAGGAGGAGGAGGACGAACAGCCACCGCTGCTGCCAGCGCCGCTGCTGCTGCTACCACCGCCACCCCCTCTTCCGTCTCCCTCTCCGCTTCAGAAAGCGGCGGAGATGCAGCCGCTGCCGCCGCCGCTGCCGCCGTCGCAGGCGGCGGTCCACACCCTCACAAGCACCCCCACCATCAACCCCACCCCTACCCTCACCCCCAGCAGCAGCAGCGGTGGCGGGCGGTGGTGCACCTGCCACTGCCTCGCGCCACAGTGGAGCAGCTGTGGTGCATGCGAGGCGGTGACGACGCCCGGCTGCTTGCACTGTCAAGCCGCTTGGCCGCTGCGACGCAAAACACGGGTACCGCTGCTGCTGCTGCTGCTGCTGGTAGTGGTGGTGGTGGTGGCGGTGGTGGAAATGGTGGTGGCGGTGGCAGTGGCGGTGGCGGTGGCGGAGGTGGTGGCGGAGGCCAAAATGCGGATTGGGACCCCACACGTCAGTTGGAGGTGTTGTACGAGCAGCTGCTGGTGCTGCACAAGCCGCCGCCGCTGCCGCCGGCGTTTGCGGCGGCGGTGGCGGTGGCGGAGAGCCGGGAGGGGAAAAGAGGAAACTAACTGTAGCTGTGTGACGAGCATTCACCATGGAGGGGCGGGAAGGGGGGTAGAATAAACCAAACCACAATGTGAGGGCAAAAGCAAGGGGGGAAGCTGCCCTAGTGAGGCCCCACGGGAGGGAGAGGAGCAGCGGGAGGGATGGCTGGGGCAGGGGTATTGATTAGTGGAGGCTGGGTGGTAAACGGAATGGCGGATTATTGCATGCATGCATGAAGCAAGAAGCGTGAAGTGGGGGCGGGCAGAGGCGGGGGGTCTTTTGTCCTCTCGGGCGGCGGTTAAGTTCCGCGTGCGTGACGTTTATTCGGTTTCGTTTTGTTTGTAATAAATCTGATTTTTGATTTGATGCCAGTACAAGACTTGGCGAAGCATGGAGTTGTGGCTCGGAACACTGACGTGGGCGTTACGTGCTGTGCCAAGCAGATGGTGCTTCGTGTTGATGTTGGGCGCGATGTTGGCAATTGACTGGACTGGTGAGATGTAGGTAGTATGTGTCGGTGCTGCATTGCTGAGGGGTTGCTGACACACAGGTTGCAGACTGTTCTGCATTGAGAGTATTATTACTGGTAAGTATGAGCCGTTTGTCGTAGCATACCTCAATAATGGTGAGGTAGCGATACGCATGCTCTTCCTCCTGTGCTGTATGCCCCCGTCTACCCTAAACTCGTTACCCCTTACCCCCCACTGTGATTTACCCTACCTTACCCTACTCTCTCTCCCCCCGACCCCGCCTTACTTCTTAACCTTTCCCGACTTCACCCCGCTGTTTGCCTCTCCCGGGCTTGGAACGAACACACAAGCACACACGCCATCATCATCTATCGTTACAAATGGTGAAGTTGCTCCTCAACGTCTTGGCGCCAACCGGTATTTCAGTACGGCAAGCAAGACCACCGACCGGTACGGCGAACAACAACAAGGCCAGTCCAAAGTTTCAGACAACAACTGTTGACAATGACGACACAACAGACCGCCCCTACCGGTGCTATCCGTCGACCTCTTGAACATATTTCCTCTCAGCCGGCAGGCATGGCTGTCAGGCCCAACAACAACACACATAGGATGAATGTAGCAGCAAACGCCAGATGGGCTTGTTTTGCTTTCAGCGACAACTATTGTTAAGACCAATTCGTCAACACACGTACAGCAGACGCAACACGCAAATCAACACCTAGCGGTTTGTTGTAATATCATATGCATGCATGCACCTCCCGCCATTCCGTTTTGAGTAGCATTGTACCGTACAACCACAACCACTGTCCCGCCGTACCCCGCCTATGTCTTATAGCCGCCACATATACCCTGCCTCTGCCTAGCGCTCCTCCACGCCATCCACAGCCCCTCCTCGACCTGCTGCAGCTGCTACAACACCTACACCTAAACCTGCTCATGCGGGGACGCTGTACGGCGGCGCGGTGTCACCTCCATTCGCCTCCACACCGCCTTCATCCACCCAAACACCTCATCCCACCCGCCGCCCGCCTACCCGCATGCTTATGGAAGAAAGCAAAAATGGAAAAAATAGTAAAAAGGTGTGTTGAGCGGAGTATTGATAAGTTGCGAATGCAGCCTGCTAACACCGCAGGTACACCCTGCCGTACGGGAGCTGCCGTGGAGGCTTCAAACCACCACCAATCCCTGCCCTTTCATCACCACCACCTCCAACTCAGCGCCTACCCATCCACCTCACCCATCCCACCTCATCCTCCATCACAACCCTAACTCGCCTCCTCCTCACGCTTAAGCCGTGGTGCCGGTCGCGGTGCCGGTGGTGGTGGTGCCGGTGGTCTCGCCGCCGCCCATGGCACAGGTGGTGGTGCCTCCCATGATAGTGCCGCCCATGGTGGTGGGCGCACCTCCACCTCCCATGACCGTGATGCGCTTGGGCTCGGCCTTGGTCTCCGCCTCCTTCTTGGGCACGCACACCTTGAGCACGCCCTTGTCCATGGAGGCGCAGATGTTGTCGCTGTCGACGTTGTCAGGCAGCGTGAAGGAGCGCGCGAAGGAGTAGGCGGAGCGCTCGCTGCGCCACACCTTGCCCTGCGGGTCCTTCTCCTCGCGCTGGATCTTGCGGTTGCCGCTGACGGTGAGGACACCCTCGTGCAACTCCACCTTGACGTCCTGTTGGGGTGTGGTGATGGTGAGGGAGGGAGGGAAGGGCGGGGAAGGGGAGGGATGGGGAGAGGGAAGGGAAGGAGAGGAGGGGGGGCAAAGTTTCAGGAAGAGGCATAACGAAAGGATGAGGAGAGGATTCTGGAGTGTGCGATGCTGATGTGGTCCTGGTTGCAAGCGGGCTGTGACGCAGCGCGCAATACATCCTAATCGCAAGCAAAACAAGAAAATTGGTTAAGGAGTATTGCAGTGCAAGCGTACTAAGTGGGTTGTGAGGGATTGCAAGGAAGCGCGTCGCGTTTGCGTTCGGCGGTAAGCAAGCAAGTCGCCTATGCAGAGATGTACGCGCAGTGCTTTGTCACGGTGCCGCGTAACTGTAGCTAACCTCGGAATGTATGTCACGCTTGAATATACAGCGTTGATCGGACTTTGCAAGCTAATTTTACTACTCCGACAAACTCACGGCAATCCTAATCCAGCATTAACATCCCGACTCACCTCTGGCGTCATGCCGGGAGTGTCAGCGTGCAGCTCAAAGGCGTTCGGGGTCTCGATGATGTCCATGGGCATGGTGGTGGTGGTGCCCGCCGTGGTGGTGAAGGGGCGCCAAAGGTCCATGCCGCCCATCCCGCCGGTCGTCGTTGTCGGGCCGCGAGTTACGGGCATGCCGAAGGAGCTCAGCATGCGGTTCATGGCGCGGTCCATCTCAGTCATGAAGGGGTCGTTGAACAGGGTGAGGGCCATGACTGCTAGTCAAATTCGCAAAGTTGCCGAAAGGTTGTTGTTGGAAAGCGGTCGCGGTTAGAGAGCGTAAGTAGCTTTTGTAGAAGGCTTGAGTTGCTGCTATGTTGTAATTTGCTTTGGTTATGGTAACTGTGTGTGGCTATCGGGCTTTTATGCAGCCGGGCTTACGGAAGTGACGGGAACTGACTGGACGATTACCGTAACGGTACTAGGTTCGGGAACCGTCGCGACGCGTGGGATGTGGCTTCCAAAGATTTCCTGACGGAGTTGCTTAATTCGTTCTCCAAGTAACTTATAGAATTATGTATTAGCTGCATCTGGTGAAGGTTCGCCAAACTGTTGCTTGTCCTGCTGGATTGTCCGTCAGATAGGACTGTCGCTGCCGTCATGCGACCAAGGCTGACACGGTTGACATCTACATTGCACGACCTGGCCATCTAACATTAACCTAAACAATTTGAGCATTATGGGAAAAAGCGAGTGCCGACATTAGCACATTTCAAAAGCCGCATCACCGGAATTGCCTCTTCACGGCGAAAAAGGGGACGCTTTGAGGGATAACAGGGTCTTCATTCCCTTCTCATCTTACATGTCGCGCTTATGTGCAGCTGCCTTACGGCGACTGGGCGACTGAGGCGCACGCGTGTCAATGGGCATGGCATCCAGTAACTTTGTTAAGCTCCTGAATCCACATGTAGACTTATGGTCTTGACAAGCTACAGTCGTCACCATTAAACTTAAATGTCGGTGTACACACGCCCAACATGTCCTACGAGCCATGTCCATGACGACTTGTGATGTGCATGCCCACATACATATCTTTACAAAAAGTTTGCAGTCTTCGGCATAGTTCGGGCTTTGTATGTGTAGTACGTCAGCTCCGGTATGCTGCGACATCGGTGGGAATTCCAATCGAAAGGGGCGGCTGCTGACGCCTACAAAGGCCTCGAGTTGCGAGTCTGTTAGGAGTCTACCGGTATTGCATGGGCAAATGGGTCTGCTGCACGGGTCTATTGCATGGGCAAGTGCCTGCCCGGAGACAATAAACACGCCGTACAGGACTGTGAGTGTTGATCCCAAGGGGCGTTAACTGGTGCTGGCATGCAGTGATGCAGAAGTTGTGTCCCCAGCACTAAGGGCAACATCGAGAGCCAGGCGAAAGCTAAGACCCCGGGTACGTAGCGATATAGGGGTTGGGATTAGCATGGCTCGCTAAAATCCTGGCGGCTGAAGGGCTTTGCATTCCATGGTTTGGAGGAGGAGGACGGAGTATGCTTCCGCCACTTGACCCGCTACCGCCGCATGTGTACGGTACCCCAAAGCAAGGAGCCATACGCGAGCTGTCGGGGACGCTCCAATCGGTCAAATCCCGTACAGGCATAGATGAATGTCCAAAGCACCCCAAAGCCCCCAAAGCACCCCGAAAATCCAGAAGGCCCACCAAATTTGAGCTCACTTTCGGGATGTCAACGACAATACATAACGATCACACGCCAGCGCTGACCGATCCTAACACCCAGCAGCAGGCAAACCACGTTAATACACAGGATTTCCTACTGCTTGCCCTGTCCGTTCTTTTGCCCGCATCTTCTTCATCCCCTCCGTCGCGCGAAGGACAAGTTACCGTTACTCCTCTGCTTCGGCATCTAACTGCTCGTGGAAGGTGTCCCACCTGGAATGGTGTTGTGTGCACAATTTGCGGAACAACGACGGACTATGCTGCTGCATGCAACATGCCGAGCTCCCACATCGCAACGCACCGCAAGGCACCTACCGTGCACATCACAAAGTCTAATCCTGAGCAAGATAAGCTAGAGCTGGGCTATAGACACTACTGCGCGTGCGACCTGATGCTGCCGTACAAACCGACGAAACCAAAACCAACCTCGTTCCGGGTCGCATCACATCGGCTTTGTATGTGTGTTAACATTTACCTAGTACTCCGTTGCGATGATTTTCATTGACTTGCAATCAACCTTAACGGGCCAAGCAGGCTTAAGGCGAGGAGGTATTAGAACAATCCTTGTTTGCATCACTATGTGCTGAGTTATGGTGCTTGACGTATAAAACTATTTTGACATAGAATAGGTAGGCGACTGTGTCCCTCGCTCGCTTCTCAAGCCGTTCAGAGCAATCCTCGACACAGCAATATGGGCAAGGTCAGATAGCGAAAGGGATACTTTCAACGATGCTATGCCGAAGGATCAGCCCGGTCCAGCAGCTGCAGTTGCTGGCGCCGCTGTTGCTCCTGCTCTTGCCGCTGCCAGCGCTGGGACAGCAAGTCTGCCTGGAGGCAGCGCAGAGGAATGCTCTTCTATCATTCTACAGCGCTACAGGAGGCCCCGCTTGGATTCGCCGGGAAAAGTGGAACACGTCGGAGACTTGCACGTGGACTCATCGCAATTTTGACACCTCGGCGCCCCTGACATCCTATGGAACAGTCGATCTGCCTAGCCACTGCTGTTGGGACGGCGTAAAATGCTGCGTCTCCGAGGTTGACGTCCCACTCTTTGCTTCTTGCACCCAGTACCAGTGCAATTGCACAATCGGCCTGGTAACCGGCCTTGCGGTCGGCCGCAACGGCCTAACAGGGCGTCTCGAGGAAGCTCTGAGCCCCGCCGTCTTGCAGGACCTAGGCTGCGAGCTGCGGCTGCTGTTCCTCGGTGGAAACGGTAAGCAGTTGGACATGTGGGCGACATGTGTCAGTCACGTGGGGTGCAGGATTAGGTGGTATCGCGACCCAGGCGATACCTGACTGGGTGATGAAACCAGGAGGGCTCTTCTCGGTTTGTCATCAAGGAGCTTCACCGTGTGGCCAGAGGGTGGGGGGATTAGCGGGGAATGTACGGCGCTGTGGCCCCTACCAGTACTGCAACATCCTGTGCAGCGGGGCCATCCTAGGTAGGCGGGAGGGGAGGCTGCATCCTAGGCGCCTCCCCTCCATGGCTGTTTGCGGATACTGGGTTGACTGTGAGCGGGGACTCCTGTGGGCCTCTGGCGCCGCCTGGGAGCATCCTCAGCTCATCCGCCGCTCTGCAGCCATGCGACCGACCATGTCACCGACCCACATCGGAAGGCGGGCCTAAGCCAGGTTGCCATAGGCAAAGCAAATCGGAGCTCTTCGAGTGGCTGGGAGGGCCGAATGGTTCCGGAGCCCACATCGCGACATCTGTTGCTCGTTGATTTGGGTCGCTCAGCAGGGGGGGCGGGTGCTGATCTGGGTCGGGTAAACTGGGGAACCGCCGCCGCAGCAGCTGAACCATGCAACCTCTCTCAGCTGCGCCAAACCCAGCTTAAGGACCTGATGCCCCTGCTGCTTCCTCCCCTCCCGCTTCGCCTCCATGCATGCAACTCCACACTTCCCTCCCTCCCTCTCCCCCCCCCCGCCATGCATGCATGCAGCGCTGAGCGGCCCTCTACCGGAGGCGCTGACTGGGCTGCCGGACCTGCGCTTGCTAACAGTGGCCAGCAACCGTGAGTGTAACATTGGGGGCTGGGTGAAAGGGGGGCTGGGTGGGGGGCTTGGATGGGTGGGGGGGCTGGATGGGGGCCTGGATGAGTGCAACATGGGGGGCTGGGTGAGGGGGGGGCTTGATGGGGGCTTGGTGAAGGAGCTTGGGGGCTGAGAGGGAGCTGGATGGGGCTGAAGAGAACCAGCCAGCCAGGGGGCAGGCGGGGGCAAAGGAGGAAAAAGCTGATCGGCCATACGGTTTCGGATCCCGCATGCGCATGCCCGGTCTTTACCTCCTCCTTACCCTTAATGCCCCCCCTTTCCTTTCCGCACACGTCCCTGCAGGCCTGGACGGGACCCTGCCCGCCTCCCTCTCCCGCCTCTCCCTGCTGGAGGAACTGGACCTCTCCAGCAACCGCCTTACGGGCTCCGTTCCCAGGGAGCTGTGCGGCGGCAACACCCGCTTCAGCCCCCTGCGCGACCTCATGCTCTCCAACAACAACCTAACGGGGGAGCTGAACCTGCTGGAATGCGATTCGCTGATCAATCTAGACATGCAGAACAACAACCTGTACGGCAACTTGCCGGATTTCTCGTCGTACCGGCAGTTACACATCCTGCGGCTGGGCAACAACTCCTTCAGCGGCCCCATTTCGCCGCCGCCGTTTGACTTGCGGATGTTGGTGGTTCTGGACCTGTCGGATAACTAGTGAGTGAGGGGGAGAGGAAGGTTACCGGTACCCTATATGTTCAATGGGTGGGTGAGAGGTGGGAATCGGGGAGGGCGCTAGGGAAGGAGGGAGACGGCGAGAGGGAAACTGATACCGGTATAACAGTAGCCTGCACTATCGTAGCTTCGAGAACCGCCCTACGCTGCGTCGCGCCATGCTTCTCCACCTGTACTCCATCCCCTCCCCTGCTTCCTTGCTCCACCCGTTCCCCATGCAACCCACCCCATGCACCCCCCCCCAGCCTCACCGGCACCATTCCCAACCTGGTTGGCAACGGCAGCCACCTCACGCTCGTACGGCTGTACGGCAACCTCCTGACCGGCAGCGTCCCGGCCGACATCTTCTCGCTGGGCAGTCTGGGCAACGTCATGCTGCAGAACAACAAGCTGGCGGGGACACTGCCCGAGAACATCGGGTGGGTCGTGCGGGGGGCTTGCAGGGGTGGAGGGGTGGGCTTGGGCTGAAGGGGGGAGACGTGCGGGGGCAGGAGGCGGGATACTTGCATGCAGTGGTGTATGTGGATCTGTGCCAGATTCGCGTACCCCCCCCCTCCCATTCGTTGGGATTCGTTGTTTCACTTATTTATTCCCCCCCCCCATCCTCCGTCCCTCCGGCCCGTCCCTCTGCTCCTCCCCACCACCACCGCCTCCCTCCCTCCCTCCCTCCCCCTCCCCCTCCCCAGCCTAGCTCGCGGGCTGGTCAACTTGCAGCTCCGCAGTAACTTCCTGTACGGCAGCCTGCCTGAGTCACTCAGCAGCCTGGCGATTAGTAAGGCTAGTGTAAGTGCTGCTGTCGTACGGCATGTTGTACTGGTGTAGTTGTGAAAAGAAAACCAAAATATAATAAGAACGTCACTTATTATATTGCTTCTTAGTGCTGCTTGGCATGGATGTTACCAGGGGGTGAAGTATGGTATCGTCCTGTCTTCTCACTCATCTGCACCCCTTCGCGCTCATTCATGCTTCGCGAACACATGTTGCCGTTATGACTTTCCTGACGTACTGTTGTGAAATGGCCATGACAGGTGGATTTGTCGCTGACCAACCTCTCCTGCTGCGGCTACGACTGGGACGGTCATGGGTACAGGTGAGGGAGCGGGCGCGGATGGCACACAAAAAAGGGGAACAGCAGTTCTGCTCACCTGACCGGGGAAACCAGCCTCCCTGGCGTCCCACCTCGCACCGCCTTTCCTGTCACCCCCCCTACCCTCCTCTCCATCATTGTTTGCCGTTCTCATCCAACACATTGGTTACCTTGGTATTCTTTTTTATCCTCCTCGCGTCCCACCTTTCCTGCCACACCCCCTTACCCCCCGGGCTGGCTCACATGTTGCAACCCATGTTGACGCCTTATCCCTCAGTCAGTTAGTTGTTTCCTCTTTACCCCTCCCCTCCCCGCCCAGGCACTTCAACTACAGCCGGCCGCGGCTGCCCGCCTTCCTGGGCCTCTCACCCAACGAGGCCCGACCCGTGGTTGACACCGGTAGCCTCAGCTTTGCGAACATGAGGTACGGACGACACGCGTGTACGGCATGCGGAGATGCGGTGGCTTGGGAGTACGGCAAGTCTTCAAGAATGCTGTACACGGCGCTCGTAGTCGCGAGTGGCAATTGTGTAGCTAGCCCTGCATAGCCTGGACGAGCTTCCTTCAGCTTCGAGGGCCACTCGCCGCAGCGGCGTTGTTGCACTGCTTTCAGGGCGTTCCAAATGCGAAGCACGCACGCCACCTGGACGTGACTTGTTATTAATCTTATTATTGTTATTACCGTCATTCCTGGTTCTTACCGTCATTCCTGGTTCCTTCCCCGTCAACATGAACCGCAATCCGTTCCCCGATCCGCCAATGCCCCTCCCCCGACCATCAGGTGCCCCTACCTTACCCTGGCAGCGGGCGGCGCACCCCCCGGCACCTCCAACGCTGTCGTACCGCTGGCTGACGGTTCGTACGGCACCGCTCTGTACTACTACGGCAATGGATCCAAACCGCTTCCCATGCTGCCCAACACAACCGCCAACATCGAAGCTTCAAATGTGCTGTACTGGGGATTGGATCCAGAGTACTACATGTACGAAGGTTGCTTCTGTACGGAGGTACGACATGGGGGGTGTCGTTTGCATGCTGTACGGCATTTTGTTTCTCGGGGTGGCCACGTCACCTCATGCAGGTCCTGACAAGGTGTTTCCTGAGCGCCCTTGCCACTAGGTCAGCCGTCCACCAGCCACCACCAGGGTCTCGGCCCCTGCCCAACCCCTCCCCGGAGCTCCATTTGTCAGGGGTTTTCATCATCATAGGTTTCCACAACCGCTCTGTCGTTACTACCAGGTCTTACTCCGTTTTCCTCAACGTCCTCATGCCACGCCCCCCCCCTCGCAGGGCTTCCGCGGTCGCTGGATCCAGCCCACGGAGGGGGTTCCCTCCATGGGGCCCCGGCTGGTGTGTGTTCACATACCCAACCCATGGTGCGGGGGGTGGCGTGGGGGTTGCGTTGGGGGGCGGGGTCGCGTGCGTGTATGGGGGGTCAAAGACCATACCGAACCATATGGGGGGGGAAAGAGATAGCAGACGAAAAGGGATATCAAGAAAGGTTACAAGCAAGTAAGCAAAAGGGGCGTCGTGAGCGGGGTCTCCATGTTGTCCCCCTCGTTGCTCCCTTGGTGTCCCTCCCCCCCTCCTCCGCTCCGGGGTTGTATCCCTAGTTGTATCCCTCCCCCTCCCTCCCTCCCTCCTCCCTCCCTCCCTCCTCCTCCCCTCCTGCTGCCCCAGGTTCCGCGCCTACCCCTGGATCCTGGTGCTGGTGGTGGCGGGGGGCCTGCTGGCGGCCGCCTGGGCCACCTACCTGGCCTGCTACAGGGGCGGGCGGCGGGCGGCGCTGTGGCAGAATGTGGCCAACCTGCGCAAGCGGGTCAAGGGGGAGCCGCTGGGGGGGCAGGTGTCGGTGGTGGTCACGGACATCGAGGGCTACTCGGGTGGGTGGCGGGGGGGAGTGGAAGGTAGAGGGGGGAGGAGGCGGTATCTGAGTGGCGCTGGTTGCTGGTTAGGGATGGGGTGGGCTGCATTGCTCGCATGGGTCCCAGTGGCGGGGCAGGGCGGGGCAGGGCGCACCCTCCTACTAGGGCTCCGCGGTGGTCTGCTTTGTAGGTTCTGATGATTGGGGCCGACCCACGGGTCACCTTCCTTCTCCCCTCTATCTCTGCTCCCCTCCCCCTCCCCCCAGACCTGATGAAGCAGTCCCCCGAGCTCATGACCCGCGCGCTCACACTGCACAACGCGCTCATACGCAAGGCTCGGTGGTCCTGTTTTGGCTACACGGTGGAGCAGGAGGGCGACTCGTATGTGCTGGTGTTCTACGAAGCGCTGGATGCGGTGTGCTTCTGTTTGCAGGTGGGAGGCGGGGGGGCAGGGGGTACAGGAATAGAGCGAAGCACAGGCGTAGGTAGGTAGGGGGCGGGGGGTGGCAGAAGGACCATGCGTTGGTTGATAGTGGCAACAGAGGAGTGGGCTGGGGTAAAGAGGAAACAACTAACTGACTGAGGGATAAGGCGTCAACATGGGCTGGGGGAAGGGGTTGTTCAGGTGGGAGATGTGAAAAGTCGTCCGACGGTTAGGAACACCATGATGTTCTTTAAATTCACTCCTCCTTTCATCTCCTCTCCTCCCCCCTCACCCCCTGCAGACCCAGCAGTCCCTCAACCGGCAGGTGTGGCCGGAGGGGCTGTTCGCGCAGGAGACCCGGGAGCAGGGCGGCGGGCGCAGGAGGTCGCCGGGTGGGTGGGGGGGAAGGGAAAAGTAATATCCAATGTGTGGTGTGATAGCGGTGAAACTAGCTGACAGCCCTGGGGGGGGGAGGTTGCGTGGGTTGAGCCGCCCGCTGGGTTGTTGGCCAGTTAGGTCTTTGGTTGCTGGGTTGAGCCGTCACGAGGAAGCACTGACCGGGGTGGTGGTGATGGTGGTGCATGGTGGTGTTATAGGTAGTTGTATTGGTAAATGAGGAACGGCCTTGGAAGCAGAGGTGAGTGGCAGGCGCTGTTGCTGTAGGCATTGCCATTCTGCCGCTGCTTCTGCTTAGTACGGTGTATTGGGCGATTTTCGTAATGAGGTCTCCCCTTGTTCCTTGCCCCCTGCCGCCCGTCAGGTCCGGGGTTGCTTACAGCGCTGTCACAGCTCACCACCAACATCACCCACTCGCTCTTCAGCCGCAACAGCGTGTCGGGACATGTGAGGAGGGGGGGGGAGCTGATGAAGGATCTGTGAAGGGGGCTGGGGAAAGAGGGGCTAGGGAAGGGGGCTGGGTAGTACGCCCTGGCACTGCCAACGCTGGCAAAGGGGGGTCGGGCGAGGGATCAGGCCGCCAGCAGGATCAGGCCGAAGAAGGCAGCCTGCTAATCCTGCGGGTCTCTTGCCCGAAACTGCAGGCGCCAATTCTAACCCGGCGCCTTCTCCCCTAACCTCCTCACTGCTCGCCCCCCTCACTCCACCTCTCCCTCTCCCGCCGCTCCCCTTCCCTCCCATGCAGGCCGGCACGGAGGACCGCTCCCTATCCCTGGGCGTCCTCCCCTCCGCCTCCCGCCGCGCCAGCCATATGTCAGCTGACGGCGGCCGCCCCGAACCCACCCGATCCGAACCCGCCCGATCCGAACCCACCCGATCCGAACCCATTCGCCCCGACTCCCGCGCTAGCAGTGGCTGCGTGACACATGCCACGGGCAGGGAGGCAAGCATGGGAGCAGCTGCTGCTGCTGCTGCCGCTGCTGCCGCTGCCGGTGGTGGTGGCGGCGGGGCAGGAGCAGCAGCAGCAACAGCGGTCGCGGCTGCTGCTGCTGCAGCGGGCAGCAGCGGCAGCACCACAGGCGCCGGCGGGGGCGCGGGTAGCAGCGTGTTTTCTGGGTTCGCCGCCTTCGCCGCGGGTGGAGGTGGCGGCGGCGGCAAGAGTCACCACAGCGGGGGAGGGGGTGTGTTGTTCAACGGCATCCGAGTGCGCATGGGGATTGCGACTGGGCTGCTGCCGCCGGGGTGCATGTGCAAGGGCTCGACAGTGATGGATCTGGCCAAGAGTGAGTGACGGCAGGGGGATGTACGGCAGGAGGGGTGTACGGCAGTGAGGCTGTACGGCAGGAGGGCTGTACGGCAGGGATGACCAATCGTGTAATAGAGAGGTGGAGAGCGGGATGGAATTCATCATTCGCGGGGCGGGAAGGGCCCCTCCTGCCCCCCGCCTCTTTGCTTTCACTCTCCTCCTCCTCAGACCCCACCCACATCTTTCCTCTCCCCGTGCCGTGCTCCCCCCTACCTGCAATTGCACGCTGACTCAAATATGCGGAATATGTATCCCTGTTAATCCCCCTACCTGCAGTGGTATCCGACGCCGCCAACGGGGGTCAGATCCTGATGGAGGAGGCCACCTTTGCGGAGATAAAGGAGCGCATGGAGGTGGGGGGGGGGGCGGGGCTTGAGGGGGCGCATGGAGGTGGGGGACGGGTATTGGGGCGAGGGTTACCTTTGTGTGGGGTTACTGGCAAGGGGCTGTGCACGTGTGGGAGTGGGGGCATGCCAGCTGGGAACCTTGGCGACCCGCTATGCCGCTACGGACCTGGGTTCCACGAACTGTGCGTCATGCTTGTGATTGGGGTGCCGCGAGTAATACCCTGTGGGCCCTCTTCCTTCTTGCCTCTCCCCTCTACCTTCCCGGATCACAACGGCCCACCCTGGTTCACCTCTTACCGGCTGCCGTATGTGTTTGCCGCTCTCTCTCTCCATCTCTCTCTCCCTCTCCATATCCCTCTCCCTCTCCCTTTCCCTCTCCGTTTCCCTCTCCCTTCCCGCCCCCCACCCCGCCCTCAGGAGCTGGGTGCTGTGGACCACAACGGCCTCAACTTCAAGAAACTCAACGCCATTCGGCCGCCCTGCACAGGCTGCTTCGGGTATGAGGCGGGAGGGGGGGGGGCCTTCCGGGGTGTGTACACTATAGGGACCAACAAGGGGCGGGTGGTTCTGCCCCTAACCAGGCACTGTTGTCGTGTTCATCAGGTCGGCTCTTACACGTCTCTTTCTCACATCCTCCATCCTTTCTCCCCCTTCCCTGCAACCCCTTTCCCCCATGCACCCACGCCACCCGCCTCCCCACCTCCACCCGCCCTCCCCAGCAAACGCCGCAAGAGCCGCCGCGGTCCCGACGAGGCCCTCCTGCTTGACATGGGCGAGTACACCTACTGCCCCGCCACCCGCTGCCTGCCACTCTTCCAACTCGACGCAACCATCCCAACCGCTCCCGACACACCCACCGGAACCAGCGGCGGCGGCGGCGGCGGCACCTGCGGAGGAGGAGGTGGGGCTAACGGTGGAGGGGCAGGAGGCGAAGGCGGAGCGGGAGGAGCAGGAGGAGGGCTGCCGGCGCCGCCCAGCACGCCCAAGGGTCGTCGCGGAGGGGGTCCGGGACCTCGGTTTCCGGACCGTGTGCGGCTGTTTCAGGTGGCGCCGCCGGCGTTGGTGCAGCGGGTGCGGGTGTTTGGGAACCGGGTGAGCCTGAAGGAGGAGTGGGTGTGCAGCGACCAGCCGTACTTCATGGCGCCAGGTGAGGGGGGGGCGTGTGGCTGTGGGTGCCGGCTGTTGGGAGACGTGAAGGGGGGTTGGATGGACTGGGGCAGGGTTTGTTGCCTGAGCATTTCCCAGGCAGCATTTTTTGAAGGATGACCGTTCTTGACCGTGTGTTTTAACCTTGTATGACCCCTAACAACCACCGGGGGCGCGTGGGTGCCCGCTGTAGGGAGGCTGGGGGTGGGGGGGTGAACTGGGGCATGGTTTGTTTCCCAGGCAACAGTTTCAGAAGGGTGACCGTTCTTGGCCGTACTTGAACCTTGTAATATTCCTACCGGTAACCCACCTCCGCCTCCCTCCTGCCCCCCCCCAGGCACCCAGGAAGCGCCTGTGGGGCCGGTGGAGGGGCCGCTGCTGCTTCCGCCCATCGCCATGGCTTTCGCGCAGGTGGAGGGCGGCAAGGCATTCGCTGCCAAGAACCGCCGGGACGCGCGGCGCGTGCACGACGTGTGCGCTGCCTGCATCCGCGCTTGTCTGCGGGCGCAGGAAGCCAGCGGAGGAGGAGGCGGAGCCGCCACTGCTGCCGCCGGCGCCGCTGCCTCAGCGGCGGCGCGGGCAGGGTGCATAGCTGCCGCAGCGGTTACAGCAGCACCCGCAGCACCCGCAGCCGCAGCAGGAGGAGGAGGAGGCGGAGGCGGAGCAGCAGCAGCAGGAGGAGGCGGAGGCGGAGCAGCAGGAGGAGGCGGAGCAGCAGCAGCCGGCGGAGGCGGGGCAGCAGCCGGAGGAGGCGGAGGAGCAGCAGCAGCAGCCGGACTAGGCGGAGGAGGCTACCTGTGTCGCATGCAGGACGGCGAGTTGAAGTACATGGTGGCGTTTGCGAGTGCGCGTGCGGCGGTGGAGTGGGCGCTGCTGCTGCAGGATGCCATGATGTATGCGGAGTGGCCGGAGGTGGGGGGGCGGGGGGTGGGTGCATGACGTGTAGGGAGGAGTGTGCGTGGAATGAGTGGGGTGCGTGCACTCCTTGGAGAGGGCTACTGGAGATTGAAGGAGGTGGGATAGTGCAGGCAGATGGCCGCCGGAACGCGACCCCACCCTCCTTCCCTCGGATCGACCCCACCTGCCATCCTCCGATCCCACCACCACCCCGCACCGCCCCGGCCCCGGCCCCTCACCCCCAGGCTGCTCTCAAGTACTGGCGGGAGGAGTACGACGAGCAGGGCCGCATGGTGTTCCGAGGACCGAGGTGCGGGCAGCAGCTGCTCGGAGCCCTCCCTCCACGGGCTGTTGAAAGGCGGGAGCGCCCTGTTCGCCTCCGCCGTCCAACAGTAATACAAATTCCGCCCGCTGCTCTTGCAACTGACTGACCCTCCTCTCCCTTCTAAGCACTTTCTCACCTGCAGGACGCCAGTTATGCTGTCCATGTTGTGTTTCAAGCTGTCCATGTTGTGTTTCAGGGACAAGGGATATGGCTGCCGCAGCCTCTCATCTGCCTGACATCTTGCTACCAGCTTCCCCCCTGCTAAATGACTGCTCGCCTGCCCGCCTTTCTGCCTGTGCTGCTGCTCTGCTCTCCCCCTCCTCCCCTCACTGCTCTCCCATCTCTTCCCCTCCCCCGCAGGATGAAGATCGGTATTTGCGAGGGCAGTCCGCGCTCCATCATACCCGACCATCTGGGCAGGGCAGGTAAGCAGGCGGGCGCGGGAAGGAGCCTACCGGGGTAAGAAACCTAAACCCTGAAACAGAAACCTAACCCGCGACGAAAACGGCCCCAGGTGTGCCCTGCCCTGCCCTGCCCTGCCCTGCCCTGCCCTGCCCTGCCCTGCCCTGCCCTGCCCTGCCCTGCCCTGCCCTGCCCTGCCCTGCCCTGCCCTGCCCTGCCCTGCCCTGCCCTGCCCTGCCCTGCCCTGCCCTGCCCTGCCCTGCCCTGCCCTGCCCTGTCGTCGCTGGTAGGCCCCTCCCCCCCGTACCAGTAAGTAACCCCGCTGTCACCCCGCCCCCGCCCCGCCCCCCAGACTACCACGGCGCCTCCATCAATCAGGCAGCCAGGTACATGGATGCGGCGGCGCATGGCGGTATGATAGCCCTGGAGGTAGGTAGGGGGCCTACATTTCGCAGTGGAACGGAGGGGTGCTGGCTCTTCCATAGCAGCCTTGAAGCGGGGCTTTTAAGCTCTAGGATGCGAGGGGGTGCATGAGCGAAAGGAGGTTTTTGTGGCATGAGGGATGGATTGGTGGGGAACGCGCGGCTTGTATATGTCCTCTGTCATGATCCCCCGCAGACGTCTGTGTGAACAGTTGGTTCAACGGAAGGGTGGAACTGAGAACGATGGTGTTCGCCTTCGCGACGGGAAACCGTGAACCCCCCTGGCGTACCCCCCCACAAGTTTCATTATGCGCAATCCTACAATCCAGCCTTATGCGGAATCTTCATCCCTAATAATCCCCCCTCCAGGCATCCCTTGCGTTGAAGGTCATGGTGGAATGGCAGTCGGCGGGTCGTACGGCGGTGGCGGAGGCGGGCGAGTCGGGGCTCACCAGCGTCGCCGCTGCGGCGGCGGAGGTGGCGGCGGGCGCTGCCGCCGCTGCCGCTGCTACTGCCGCCGCCGCCGGTTCATCTTCCTTCACCATCAAGAGGCCGCCGCCAAGCATGTCGGTCGTACAGGAGGTCTCAACTCCACAGCACGACGTCAGCGGCGGCGGCGGACCTATGGCAGCTGCACCGGCGGCGGCGGCAGCGGCGGAAGCGGACGTGCTTTCATTGGCTCGACATCACGGCAGCGCAACCTCTTCTTCTTACTGTCGGCCGGCGGCGGCGGCGCCTTGGGCGGATACGGCTTCCTTGTCGGGTCCTTTTGCGGCGGCGGCGCCGATGGCAGCGGCGGCGGCGGCTGCGTTTCAGCTTCGGCCACAGTTGATAACCGCCGGGAGCAGCGCTTGCAGCGGTAGCTACCATAACGGACACAAGAGTGCAGCGGGCTGGTCGGAGCCGCCACCTGAGGAACAGCGGAGGGGAGCGCTGTTATCCCAGGTACCGGTAAACTGCGTGATGTGATGCTATTTAGCCATGTTAACCGTACCGGTATTGTCGTGCATCGGCAGTTGCCGGTACTGGCAGTACAGCCTACCCGTGAAAATTGCGTGGAAGTTGACTGTATTCCTCTCAAGTGCCGTTTACACATCAGGCCGCAACTTGCGGCTGGAGGCTAGCGAAGTTAGCGTAGAAAAGGGCACAATAGGGGGGGGGGGTTGCCACGCATCGCAATTCATAACTAGGGCTGCATGCTCACCTGCCGACCCGTACCCGTACCCATCTTCCCTGCGCGCGCAGCATGAGGTTAGCCTGCGTAATTCGCTATCAGACGCGTTGCGCCCGGACCCCTGCTTCACCCCACCGAGACGCCCCAGCAACAACCCAGCCGCATCCCCCGCCGCCGCCGGGCCGGTAGCGGAGGGCGTCGTAGGTCGTGGAGGACTTCTACCTGACGATGAGGACGTAACCGCGCTTTCAGGAACCTCAGCAGCGCTGGCGGCGACTTTGGAGTACGACGCAGCGGTGCTTTCCGGAGCTCCCGATGGTACCGCAGCAGCAGCAGCAGCGGCGACAGCGACAGCAGAAGATGTACGGCTTGGACGGTACGGCGGCGGCAACAGCGCCTCCGACGGTGTCGTCATCGTACCCAAGCGGCGTCCGCCGCCGCTCGCGACGGTTGAGTTCCCTGACGTCAGCAGCGACCGCTCGTCTTCCACCCCTGACCGACTGTCGGCGGTAACAGGCGCAACGGCAGCGCCGCCGCCGCCGCTGACCCTCCACACTCTCATTGCGCACGGCCTTCGCCGTTCGGAACCCTCCGTGACGTCATCATTGGATCCCGCTGCGGCGGCGGCCGGAAGCAGCTTCAGCTCCGGAACCAGGGGGGAGTCCTTCACGGCCTACACCACCTTCCTTCCGACGCCGCCTCCGCCGCTGCCGCCACGGCCCCCGTTGGCGGCAGGACACAGCGCTCTGCCGCCGCCACATCCGCGGCAGCCCTCGCCGCTACGACACAGCTCGTCAAACACGGATACGGGTGCCGTGCATCCGCAAGGACGCATGTCTGCGGATAACGCGTCAGCACCGCTGTCGTACAATACCGCTGTCGCCGCCGCTGGCTCGTCCCTTCTGCCCTTCGCCCACGAACACCGCACGGTGTCCGCCAGTGGTCATGCGGCGCCTCCCTCCTCCTCCTCATCCTCCGCCGCCGTCGCAAAGCTCCCCACCTCCGCCAGCGGCGCCGCCGTCGTCGCGCACCGCAAACTCTCTGGCCCCTGCTCCTCCACCGGCACCGCCGCCGCATCCGCATCCGCAAGCCCCTCCATCCGCTCTCCTCGCCCGCTCGCCCTCACGCCGCTTGCGCTTCCTACGGATCGCGAACGCGACGAGTCCCTCGCAGCGGAGCGCGCGGCAGCGGAGGAGCGTCGGCGCATCCGTGTGGAGGGGCCGGTGGGCGGTACCTACCGTACCCGGGTGTGCAGCATCCGTATCGGAACCTTTCGCTTCAAGGGCAGCCCGGAGGACCTTCCCATGGCGCATATCGTGCTGGAGAACCTGGTGGGCAGGCGCTTTCCGGCGGAAGCCCCCAAGGTGGGTGCCTTCCCTCGTTTTCGCGCCGCCTTCCTGCATGCCCTTCACGCCCCGCCTGCGCTCATGCACCTGCCCTCTTACGAACGAACTGCCCTCTTACGAAAGCAATGTAAAGCCGTCCTTTTGCGCCGTTCTAAGGGGTGACGGCTGTGTCGGGCTGTGCCGGGCTGTGTCGTCTCTGCTTTTGTTCCCAGGGAACTGTATTGGGGTGGGCATTACCGTACCACCTTGCTAATGGACTCCTTACTGGTTGGTCCTCCAGTGTAATCCTCGCTTCCTAAACCCGCCTCCTCCTCTTTCCTAAACCCTCTCTCACCCCCCAGGGCAAGGGCGTCAAGGTAGCTGACTCCGCCGGGCTGCTTGAGGAGTGCGATGTGCTGCTCCCCGACCTCGCCTCCCGCCTGCGGGAGCGCTTCCTCCTTGGTGCCCCCAGCCGACTCAACTCCCCGCCTGACGCAACCTCCGGCGGAGGCAACAGCGCCGGCGGCAGCAACGGCGGCGGCTTCGGCTCTCCCTCTCCCAACGGCCGCCAACGCCAGCGCACGCAGCTGGGTGCTTCCAGCCTTGGCAGCTTCGCCGCTCAGGGGTTCGGCCTGCTGGCGCCGGGCTCGCCCGCGAGCGGCTTGATCAGCAAGACACGCAATCTGGCGGCTCGAGCCGCAGGGCTGGGTGGCTCGGCTGGTGGTGGCGTGTACTCCAGGTCTGACGGCGGTGCTGGCAGCGGCGGCGCCGCACCCGCACCCGCGACGTGTCCTAGCAGCCAGGGAGGAGGTGGTGGGGCCGCGGTGGTCAGCCCTGCGGCGTCTTCTGCGGGGACGGCAGGTCCGCAGCAGCAGTTTGTGTCGGGAGCCTGCCGTCGGGGTAGCGGCTTGCTGGGTCAGCTGGCTGCGCAGTTGAGCATGCGTCGGAACCCTTCCGCTGCTGCTGCTGCGGCGGCGGCGGCGGCGGGAGCCAGTGCATATCGGGAGAGCGACCCAGGCGCCATTGAGGCCGGCGTTGGGGCCGGCGGAACAGCCCCAACAGCGGCAGCAGCAGAAGGGCCGCATGGGGGAGGTACCGGGGTCGCAGCAAGCATGGGTGTTGCGGGGGGCTCGCCGCCCACTTCGACTCCGCGGTTGCAGCCTCAGCTGCAGCCTCGGGAGGTAGCGCTGACGACGCCGTACAGTGCCAAGGGTACGACAGCGCCTGAAGGTGGAGGAGGAGTGATGACGTCAGTGAGGCCGTCCGGTGAAGACAATGCTGTGACCCCCGCAGCCATCGGTGCCACCGGTGCAGTGAAGACTGGCTCGCCTTTCGCAGCAGCAGCAACGGCGGCGTTTCCGGAGGTCTCGGGGGCCTCTGAGTCGCGCTCTCAGCCGTGTCAGCGTTGTGAAAGCACGGAGGGCAGTGAAGGAGCGTGCGCATACGGCGAGGTGGCTATCACCCCGCCTTCACCGGCATCGGTTGCGACTACGGCTGCGACTGCGGCTGCGGCTGCGGCTACTTCCGCTGCGCCTGCACCGGCGGCAATCCCCTCATCAGCCATGCAACTGGAGCCGGCGAGGGCTGCGGCGAGCACTGTTGGAGAGCCGCGCTGCTCTCGTCCCGGTGCAGGGTCCTCCCCGCTGCGGCACATGACGGCCCCGGGTGACCCCCCACCGGAGGGGGCCCTGGTGCCGGATGCAGGTGCGGGCGCAGAGTTGGCAGATGCTGGGAGGCGAGGTGCACAGTTGGCAGGTGCCGGGAGGCGAGGTGGCAGCGGGGGTGGAGATGGCGGTGATGCTTGTACGATGGAGGCGGAAGCGGTTGTGTGTGATGATGGCTCTTGCGGCGGGGTTGTTGAGGACTTGCAGCGGATGGAGGTTTGGCGTGTGAGATGAGTGCTGCAAAGGGGTTGCAATGGACAGGTTGACAGGACAGGGAGGAGGGATGACGGAATTGACGGGATGGGGGGGGAGTCTCATGATACTGTGCTTGCATGGCTCTACTTGTACCACCGGCATATCCTATAATAATCCTATTCCTGCAATGCTTCACATGACATGCGTATTTCCACGCTAATTGAGGGGCTTAAGTTACAAAAGAATAAACGAATAATACATGTCTGACTTAACAAGCGCACAGTAAGTCTTCTCCCGGAAGAGGAGGGTCCCACAACCTTGCATCTCACAAGAAAGACTGTTGTGGACTGCTTGGTCGACACACACCGAAGCTGCCGCGCGCGTGCGGTCGTACATTGCACCGTACGAGCAAGGTGTGTGGACTCGGGTTTTGTGGACTTCGGTGTGTGAACCCGGGTAGCACGTGCACGGTTCTCATTTCTCTTCCTCTGTACCTCGAGAATTCTCTTGGACTGGTGGCGGACTGTTGCAATGTGGATGCAATGTGGCAGCAGCAGCAGCAGTTGCGCACTGGTTGGCCACCATACACATTGTCTGGCTCGGCAGCATCGCCGCTGCTGGCGTGTGTCATGTTGGTAGCGCGGTAAAACCATGAATTCATGAACCCATGATAATGCCACCATGCAACTGTTGCACAAACAACAAGCTATACCGGTATCCTTATTGCCTCTGAACCCTTACGAACGCATGTTGTTTGAGACGTAATGAATTGCTGGAGACACTGCAACGCAAGGGACTGAGGGTTTATTGAGAGTTCGACCGCGTACGGGAATTGTGGCGCTTCATTTTGCTGCATGGGATATGATGTCGTCTCTCCCTGGATTTGGCCACCTAGTGTGGGACTCGTAGGCACCGCAGCCTCCTGAACCACCTGCGGGTACTTTACGTGTCGTACATTATGTCGTACAAAAGCTAAAGTACGGAAGCCTGGGGGCTGCAACGCCCCGTGGTTGGCGGGTGTTGCCGCGTAGCTGTTTCCGCGCCGGGTTTGACGGGAGGGGGGTGTTTCAGGGGATGACAATGACATGACACCAAGCCTAGCTGGATTTGTTACATGTGCTTGAGAGTCGCATGGGATTATGCGCTTACTGCATGATTATTATGCTCGAATGTTATTAGGAGCCATGCAATTGGCTCGAATGCTTATCGTCGTAGTGATGCTATGTTCCTAAGTAGGCTGGGTATGGGCTGAGCTTCGTTGATGGCTTGTCGCAGTGGGCAATAATTGCGTTTCTGTGCTTATGTGCTGTGCTCTTAGCAGTCCGGGGGATTTCGCTTCTTGTGAGAGAGACGGGAGAGTTGGTACCATTCGGGGTTACAATCTGATTGCGGTTATGCCGTCTGTTGTACTCTCATGCAGCACACAGCGCAACTTCACCCTTGACTTAGCCGGGTTAACCCCTGCCGAAAACATGTGCTGTCAACAAGTCCGGGCACAACAAGAACTACCACGGCTGAACGCCTTGGCCGGGGCCGCGAAAAGGCCATCCTGTGTGTCTCTCAGCTTCTGCAACAACCTTCAGCATACCCATCCTCTCAGCTGCTCTCAGCTACTACACCACGCTGCACCTTACAGCGCGCCTACTTCCTCTCGACGCTAAGACACGCGCCCATAGGGCAACATCAATTCAACAAAACTGGAGCTTGACAATTCGTACTCGCGCATATTCGTTCGTTCACCACATCCTAACAGCCTGCCTAACCCCCAGCGCGACACTTCCCAACACCATACAAGCAAATGGTTCCACTGCCTTCCCTTCAGTCAGCCTTCTCACGCGTGCGTCACTGCAATCCGCTTGGGCTGGGGCTTGGCCGGCGGCTCCTTCTTAGCGACCGTGACGGTGAGCACGCCCTTGTCCATGCTAGCGGAAACCTGCTCCGCGTTGGCGTTCTCGGGGAGTGTGAAGGCGCGGCTGAAGCTGTAAGAGCCGCGCTCGCTGCGCCACACCTTTCCATGAGCATCCTTCGATTGGTGGGACACCTTGCGCTCGCCGCTGAGCGTCAGCACGCCCTCGTGCAGCTCGACCTTAATATCCTCAGGAGCCATACCGGGAGCGTCGGCGTGAATCTGGTAGGCGGTGTCGGTCTCGATGATGTCCATGGGAAAGAGCTGGCCGGTAGCCTGGCTGGGGCGCGCGCCGGCAGAGGAGGCGGTCATAAGGGGCCCGCCGATGGCGTTTGAAAGAAAGCGGTTCATAGCGCGATCCATGTCGGAGAAGAAAGGGTCAGCGAAGACTGTCGTCGAAAGAGCCATGTTAGCGGTTAAAGGTTGGCTGGAGAGGCTGAATAAGAAGCAAGTTAAGGCTACAAGTGTGTGCTGGCTTTGGACTTCTGCCAGGTGCGACGTGTTGCGGAGCCTATATGGATGCCCTCGTCACGGTACGACGACCGTTAGCGACGATTCGCGACTTTTCCGCGATGAGAAGTTGAGTATCCACAGCCCATGATCTGGTAAGCCGCGTCCTTTACGATTATTCTCGAACCTCCAAAATCATCTAGAGCGCCACCTCTGCCCCTCACCTACTTAGCGGTTATCATCATGTCTTATGCCTCTCTTTTGACTGACCCCTTTTTTGGAATGGATCTCGATAGGCTGGTAAACGGTGAAACAGATTCTGCGGACGGTCCCGCAAGCTCAGGTCGGTCCATTGTTCCAGATACTACTGGCCAGAAGCGCCGGCCTGGTCGCCGTGTGTCCCTGCCTACCGCAAAGTACGATATGTTCACGGTGCCGGTGGACATCTTCGAGACTGGAAGCTCCTTTGAGCTTTATGTCGATGCGCCGGGCATGTCGCCCGACGACATCAAGGTGGAGCTGCAAGAGGGCGTGCTAATGCTCACCGGCGAGCGCAAACTGGCGCAAGGCAAAAAGGGCGAGCCGCTGCGCAACGAGCGCAGGTCCTTCAGCTTCACACGAGCATTCGTGCTGCCCGACAATGCTAACGGTGAGGGCATTACGGCCTCTATGGACAAGGGCGTTCTCAAGGTAACCGTGCCCAAACGCAAGATGGAGCCCAAGCCAAACCCCAAGCGGATTGCCATCTCCAAGCTCTGACAGCTGTGCGGCCGTGGGTCCGTGCCACCTTGATGCGTACATGTCCTCCGGAAGGGACCTTTAGCAGGCCTGTTGACTGCTTCAGGCTGGTGATATGACTGTTGGAATGTTGGAACGTTTTGAAGTTGACGATTGTCTCATTGGTGGGTCGTGTCGACTTTGTCGGTTGTGGGTATCAGGCACCACGAACCCCGCTGCCCACCTGCACAGCTGCTGCAGCCCCGCAGCATCTTCTATTCTTGAAATGTAACAATAAATAAAGGTCGGGGACTTCTCCCATGACTAGCTGACACAAGTGCATGGTAGCTTGGAGCCTGTTTGTGATGTTGTTGGCTGTTGGAGGTCCTCGTTAGCCAAGGATCCAGGGCTCTGTACGAGCAAGCACGTCGAGCAATTCTTTCTGGCCACCAGCACTAGCAAGTGGCGGGAGGCAAATGCAATAAACATGTGCAATAACACAGTGTATCCGGACAGGGATAAGGTAAACTGAGTCGCGGGGATGTTCCCGGCTACTGTATGATGGAGCCGCTTTGCACCGTTGCGCAGTGTGTATTGTGAGGTTTGTACTATTTTACTGCAGGGTTAGCAAGTCTGATCGACTAGGGGTGATGTTGGTTACGGCTCGTTGTTGTTGTGAGGCAGTTGTTGGTTGTGGGCATAGCTGCCCTGCGTTTCCGTACGCAAAGTTACATGTAGCAACGCCATGCCTTCGCTTCCCTTTCTCCACCAGCCGAGCGGACATGGACTGCCTACACTTAAGCGACCAACACCCGACGCCTACAAACCTTCAAGGCGAGGCACCAATATGTATATGTGTCATTAGTAAGGCTCCATCTGTCGATTGCCTGTCTCCCCTAGTCTTAGGCGCCTCAGTATACCTGTGAAAGACCGTCGTTAACTAAATGTGTGCCAACTGTTACTGCGAAGAAACTGTAATCGTCATCAATCTGCCGACAGTCCTAAACAACCTCCATACCTCCTCCGCAGCTATCTAGAAAAAGTGCGAGGGAAAAGTCGAGCTTTGCTGGCAGGACCTCTAAAAGGCCCTGCCAAACTAACAACACATATCCGCTAGCTTACACATCCAATTGTCCATGTCTCCTTGCCAGCGGCACTTCCGTTGCCAGCGGCACTTCAAGCCAATTATCCTCCACACGTAATTTTTAGCAACATAATCACCACGACTCCACAACCCCTACACTCGCCCACTCTTAGCCCATCTTCTTAGCCAACACATCATATCATGACCGCCATCCTATCCCCACAACACCGTCATCACGTCTCCTCCCATCACGCCGCAACACCGTCCGCCATCAGCCCAGCAGCAGCCGCAGCCTCCTTCCCGGCCTGCTGCTGCGCCGCCGCGCCCGCCGCCGACCCGCGCAGGACGGGTCGAACAGTGTTCGTCATCTCGTCGTACACGACTAGATCGTCCAACTGCCGCAGCGCCGAAACCAACATGGAGCGGCTGATGCCGCCCGCAAAGGCGCTGCCGGCGGCACCGGCGCCGCCCTGTTGCTGCTGCTGTTGCTGTACAGCAGCTAGCTTGGAGTTGATCTCACGGAGCAGGTCGTCCAGGGCCAGTGTGTGCGACATGCGCATGCCTGCGTGATGAGGGAGGATGGGGTGGGGGAGAGGGTACAGGTATACGGGCAATGACCCATGGGTCACAATCTGTATTCCTCGCTGCGCCACAGTTCCACTCAGGTTGTCCCTATCACATTACCAGCAACTCATACCGAAAACTGACGACGATACAAACGACCATGCAACCATGCATTGCCCTCACGTAAACCCACCCGCAATCACGTTGCGCAGCTCCTCCGGCAGGGCCCGAGCAGCAGCACGCTGCGCCGCCGTCGTACCGCAGTACAACGTATCCAGATCAGGCCGCCCGTCGGACGACCCAGATCCCGCGGATCCCGCCATCGCGCCGTACCACAGCCGTACGGCCTCCGCCACGTCAGTCGCCTTCACTCGCTCGTCCAGTCGCATACGAGCGAGCGACTCGGCAATGCGAATGAGCGACTCGAGCTGACGAGGGGTGGCCATCACCACCTTCCGCTCGCGACCATCCCGGCGGAGTGTTTGGTACCTGGCGACAGCATCAAGACATATGCACACGTAGGTTAGGAGGACCTCTAGAAGAGACCTTATTACGCCTCGATGTTCCAGACACCCCCACCCCCCTACAATGAACCAACCTTCCCACCCCACCCCCCACCTGTTCACCAGCTCCTCCGCTGCCTCGTCCGTGAGTTTGGGATGGCACTTGGCGCGCGCGTACGCCACATACTTCTTTAGCAGGTCCGGCGGCACCAGCGCCAGCCCCGCCCCGCCCGCGCCGCCCGCCCGCGAGCGCCCCTGCGAGCCCGGGTGGAACAGCGACACCAGGTGGCGGGCCAGGCGGCGGTCGCGCGCCTCCTCGTAGCGGTCCAGCACCAGGTAGATCAGGTCGAACCTGGTGGGGGGTGAGGTGATGTGGGAGGTGGGTGAGCGGGGAGGAGTGGGAAGACGTACGACGTAATGAAACGTCATGATTTATTCCGACGCGTAACTAGCAACAGGAAGTTGAGCTCTCCTCAAAAGTGGAGCCCTTCTCTCCATCTAGTCACATCCTTCCTCTTCCTCTTCTTAGCACCCTCCTCTTCAAGCACACCCTCACTCCCACCCCCCCCACAAACACCCACCTGGTGAGCAGTGTGGGCGGCAGGTTGATGTTCTCCGCAATGGACATCTGCGGGTTGTATCGCGAGCCCACCGGGTTGGCGCATGCGAGCACCGAGCAGCGCGCGTTGAGGGTGGAGATGAGCCCCGCCTTGGCCACCGACACCGTCTGCTGCTCCATGGCCTCGTGGAGCTGTCGGGGGGGGGGAGGCGGAGATTCAGGCAAAGAGTAAAAAGTGAGGAGAGAGGGTGGAAACCTACATACAAAACCCTTAGCACATGCCCCTTGGCCCCAAGGTATGATCCCACTGCCCTCTGCTTTCCCTCTCTCAAGCGCGCACCCCCTCCAAGCCCCCTTCCCGCACCCCCCCTCACCATGCTCCGGGCACTGTCGCTCATCTTGTCAAACTCATCGATGCAGCACACGCCCCGGTCGCTGAGCACCAGCGCACCGCTCTCCAGCACCATCTCGCGAGTCTCGGGGTCCTGGGGGTGGTGTCAAGGGGGTGATGAGGGGTGTTGTTGTCCGGGGTGTTGTCAAGGGGGTGATGAGAGGTGCAGGGCAGTTGGCGGGAAGTACATGCAAGGGCGCTGCATAGACCAGACGTTTGTGTCTCCATCTGCTCCCATCCACGCCTTCCCCTCCCCTCCCCACCTTGGTAACGTAGGCGGTGAGGCCGACCGCCGAGGAGCCCTTGCCGCTGGTGTAGATGCCCCGCGGCGCCAGCTGGTGCACATAGGTGAGCAGCTGAGACTTGGACACCGAGGGGTCGCCCACCAGCAGCACGTTGAGCTCGCCACGGATCTTACCGCCGGGGAACAACTGCGGGGGAGGGGGAGGGTTGGCGAGGGAGGGTTGGAGGTTGAGGAGGAGGGAGGTTTGTGTTCTTTTGCCGCCGCTACCGGAGCTTGTGTCCATACACAAGCACACACACGCAAACGCCGCTGCCCCCCTCACCCTGACCCTCATTCAACACATTGCATATTCTTCTTTTCTCCGCACCTTGGCCTCCCCACCGAACAGCTGGCACAGCACCCCCTTCTTCACGTCCTCCATCTCCCAGATGTTGGGGGCCAGCGAGGCAATCAGGCGGTCAACCAGCCGGGGGTCTCGGGACAGCTCCTGGGGGGGATAGGGGGGGAGGTTGGGGGTGGTAGCGCAGCACGAGTAAGCGGACGTCGTAGTGTCTTGTCAATGTATGTAAGAAGCGTGGACATGTAAGGTACAACCCGCCCACCCCGACTCGCATCAGTGGTTGCGCTGGGATTCCCTTGATCCGTCAACTGTCGTAGAGCTCGCCCCCTTGAATCCGGCTGCACCCCCCTCCCCGCTTGCCCCCTAGTTCTTCACATCTAACTTGATCGCCCCCTCATCCTCACCTTGTCCTGCGCCCGTCACCTTCACCCTCCTCCCCTCCTTGATCTGCCCTCCCTCCCCCCTCATCACTTATGTCTAACTTCCCCCCAACCTTAACTCCCCCACACCTTGATCTGCCCCTCCACCTCCTGCAGCTCCTCCGCCGTGATGTTCTCAATCGCCACCAGCTGCTCCTCGCTGCCGCCCGCCGCATCCGTCTGGGTGCCCGAGGGGCCGCCGGCAGCAGCGGGGTCGCCCTGGCTCTCAGCGGGCGTGTTGGGGGCGGACAGGATGCTGGGCTCGGCATCCTGCAGAGCGGGCGGGCGGCAGAAGAGGCAGGGAGCCAACCAAGTTAACGGGAAGGCTGGAGACGACCTAGTTTAAATAATGGAAGGCACTAAACAATTACCCCACCATTCAAGCCCCCCATCCCCCACCACCACCGCCGCAGCCAAGACATACCTGCGCCTTGGCGTCCTGTCCCCCCGCCGTGGTAAACAGCCTCCTGGTCTCGTCCCTGTGCACATGAACCACGTCGACATAGGTGCGGAACAGCGCGTGCAGGGCGGCCTGACGGGGGTTGGCGCGGATGGGAGCTGCGCGGTACATGCCGGTGATGGTGACTCGGTCGCCCGGGCGAGCCACGTCGACCAGGGTGTCGTACGTGTAGAGGGTGACGCCCATAGGGGTCTCACCCTCGGGGATGTCGTTGGGGCTCTCCTGCAGGGGCGGAGGAGGGGGGGTGAAGATTGAGAGGTTGAGAGGTGCTGTGAGCAACCATGCAGGTGTAAAGGTGACGGGTGGGCGTTGATGTAGCGACGCCACATGAGCCCATTCCTGTGCACCCCCCCGTCACATTCCCGGAGCGCCATCAGCGCCCTCACACGTCATCCACCAGTCCAGTACGCGCCTCCTCGCGGCCAGCTAAACTCCATAACGCAACAGCTCAGTTATCCTGACTGACCTAAACACGCACACACGTGCCAAGCCAGCCTCCTCTCCTCAACACGCACGCTTTCCTCCCCCCATTGCTTTGCCCTAACTTGTGGTCTCCTATGGTTTGGTATGGTCTTTGACCCCCCACACACCTGCATCTTGACGAGCTGCTTGTCCGTGTACGACCCCTTGTTGTGCTGCAGCCCCATGGTCCAGCTCTTCTTGCAGGCGGGGCACTGCGTGGGGTCCTCCACGCGCCCGTTCACGTTGGCGGTGGCGATCTCGTGGCAGCAGCTGGCGCACTCAAACACAGCGTACCTGGGGGGGGGAGGGTGCATGAAGGAGGGCATGGAAGAGTGCAGGAGCGTGGGTAAAGAGGAAACGGGCAAGCTGCATGACCCGGCTTAACCAAACGCGGCACAACCCCCAACGCGACACCCCCCCCACACATGACGGCCCCCAACACGAAACTACGGATCACCAAAGGGGGTACCTGAGGTTGGGGATGATGGCCGAGGTGCGGGTGACCATGCCCTTGATGCAAATCAGCTTGTCAATGTCCGAGGGGTCCAGGTCGCGGATGTGCTTCACGGTGGCCAGGTTGTACGGACGACACTGGGGTACGGACGGTTGCAGGAGAGGAGAGAGAAGAAGGGTTCACAGTCAGTAAGGAAGGCAGTACCGCTCTTCAAGAAAGGCAATACACAGAAGGCAATAATATCGGTACATTCGAATTCCACACCACCATCTAGCTTCCCAGTGCAGCTTCCTTAAGCAAATCCCCACAGCAGGTTCCTTTCTGAACCACGCCCCAACCGACCCACGGGTCACACCCGCATCACCCCGACCCACCACCAGCAAGCAGAGGTCCATGGCCTGCTGCCTGTCCAGTTCCGGTTCGTACTGCAGATCCAGAACCGCCACCTCGCGAACCACCTCATCCAGCACGCAGTGAACCTCGCGGGGAAAGTCAACCAACGTCTCGTACAGGTCGTTGTACGACACTCCGTTGACCGTTGCGCGCATGTCCGCCGTGTCAATGTTGACCGAGGTCTCTCCGGCCTCAATCGCCTGGTGGGGTGGGTTAGTCAAGAGGGGAAATGGCGGGCATCATCAGCCATACACAACAGTAGGCATAAGCTGTCAAGAAAGCAGCGCAAACAGCGCATCCAAGCCCATCTAGGCCCAAGGGCAACTATACCCAACGCACGCACACGCACCTCCTTGATGATCTGAACGTACTTGGGCGGCGCATTGACATCAGCTCCCGCCGGCCTGCGGACGTTTTACCAAGGGAACGAAGGATGTGAAAGTGACAACATAGGTTGACGAAAGGACAGGGAAAAGAAGGCGGCAAAGGCAGGCTATGAGCGCAGTAAGCACAAACTCACAACAGAGGATCCCGTGCCACAAGCTTCTTGCCACAAGCGGCAAACAAGGAAGCAGGTGGGAGTGGGTGCAGCAACGCACCGGTAGTTGCGGATGAAGCCGTCAATCTGCTGCCGCAGGTGTCGCGAGTTGATGTTGGTACCCCACACGAAGGTGCCGTCGTCCGCACCGGCCTCGTAGGCCTTTGGGAGGGGAATGGAGGGGCGGAGGAGGACGAGAGGGTGAAGGAGCGAACAACAACACTGCACCCAGCTGCCTTACGCGCCCAGCATGCCTTGCATGCGTCCCCTGAAGAACCCCTTGGCACCGCCCATCCCTCAAACCTGCCATGGCAATCCTCTCATCCTTTTACTCGCCCGCATACTTCAAGACTAAACAACGCCGCCCCAACTTCTCCCATTCCACTCCATACCACCCCTTCTCCACGTGACGCCTTATCAGGGTTATCACACGATCGGTTCGTTGTTCCATCTTTAGTTCTTTACCCCCTCTCCCTCCATCCATCCAGCCTAATGCGGAATATGTATCCCCCTCCCTTCCTCACCGGCGGGAGCTCCTCTCCCTCAGGAGCAGCAGCCGCACCCTCGCCCTGCCCCGCGCCATCCTGCTGAATGCTCGCAGACGCCGTAGGGGCGGCCTTGCCTGCCGTACCGATGCGCACGTTGGGCCGGCGCTGTGCCGTACGACCGCCAAACTCGCCACGATTCTGCGCTCCGAGACCGCGAGGCAGCGGCGTGGCTCCGCCTGCGCCGCCAAAGGTACCGTCGCTGGGAGCGCCCTGCAGCACGCTGCCTGTGAGGAAGCTGCCGCTGGGCTGGGGCTGCGCCTGAGGTGGGCGCCGGCGGGGAGGAGGCGGAGGAGTGGCTTGAGGCGGGGCGCCGCCCGAGGCGGTGGGACCGCCGTCCTGTTCCATGGGCTCTGCGGTAGGAGAAGGGTGAGCAAGCGTGAGGCGCTGCTTGACCAAGAGGCCTGACTGGGCAATTTCATTTCTTAAAAGCTATACAATATAGCTTACAATACTACCCTGCAGGCGATTGCGTCTGACGCCTTTAAGTATCGCGACCGAAATGTTATTCGACCTACCCCCTCGACACACAAGTAAGTCTCAAGTCATCCCCAATCGCTAGGGGTCTTAATTCAAGTTGCCTTACCGGGTCCAGTGCGACGCGAACCGCCCGGGCCTGCAAACGACATCCCGAATAGTTGAAATGGTCAGCAAGGTGGTTTCTTACTGCGCGAACGCCGCTCTAGTTTTTGAAAGCAAGGTTGGCATATAATCTAGCAACTCACTGTTGGCTGCTGACATCCTGCTAGTCACGGCCTGCTAGCCTACTCTAAAAAGTTTAAGCCCGCAGCTGGCGGGACCGCTAGCGCTGGCAGTGGCCTTAGCGCTCAGGGTAAGCTACTGAGAAGCAATACTAAACCGTGTAAGGGTCACTAACTGAGTGAACTACCAACGTTTCCCTAGATACACCATTCGCGCCAAATCCGCGCTAGGGCCTTATGCTCATCGCGAGGACAGAGGATTCATAGGACTCCTATTTAAGGCGCCCTATAATTGGCGCTGAATACTATTAACAAATAGGCTAAGCCAAGCAGACTCGGGTTAAAATTATCCCATCCTCAACAAGCGTGTCCTTCATGCACTGCGACCAGTCAACCGGGAAGCGAATTCGCAGTCAACCGGACAGAGAGATTGCATTTCATAGACATCAGGGGCATTATAATAGAGCTTTGTGCTGGGATTCCGCAAATACTAAGGCCAGAAGATGTAACGTCGCGACGGTGGGATTATGTGCAGGAAATCGAGCCATGCAACAAAGACCCGCATCCTTGGGGCTTGCAATGGCATGAATAGATGCCGTTTTGTGCTCATAGCAAAGGAGGGCTTCCAGGCTCGCAGTGGCCTTCTGGGTGCAACTGCATGGCAATTCAAAAGCCGGCGCCCCGTTCACCATATTTGTGTTTTGCGACCGGGTCGTCTAGGTTAAACCTTCGTTTGGAAGATGTCTGAACCACTAGAACCCGTTATCAGCATGCAAAGGCGTTTGGAAGGGGAAATAGCTGCAACCATCAGCACCAGTGCAACAGCCGTCCCCTCGCACTGCCATCAACACAGCTCTCTAACAGGAAGAGACCTCATACTCTCCTGACTCCTGACGCCAACAGCGTCCCCATAGAAACCTGTCCCTCCAAGGTACCGTACCGCACACCGCCAGCGAGGTGTTATGGCCCATGGTGTTTGAGAGTGTCCAGCAGCCGGGAGTTGGTAGTTGCCTTGCGTTGTCAGGGTGGTAGTTGGCCCTGCAGCGGCTACCAGACAATCGCTATGCGCCTCTTTATGAATGAGCGCATCCCATCATACCATGCATACCATCATTGCAGCACATCATGCCGTCCGATCACCGATTATCAACCGCCGTGTGACACTGTTCCAAGGGCGGCGACATGACTGGCGGTTTGCACCCATCCCTGTCCAGGGGGCCCTTCTCCAGCATCGAGGTGCAGTTTCCCCTGCCTCCCACCCCCCGACCCAACCCCAACTCCAAGCGACGACAAGCCCGCCCCAAGCAGCTCCATCCTTCCAGCAAAGCCACGCACCGCATGTGCCTTGGGAGTACTACTACTGGATTACAGCGGGTGGCTGCATACACTCATGTGACGGGAAACGCCTTTAGCCGTACTGTACTGCCGAACTAGTTCCGTAACCGGCTTACCTCTTGTTCAATGGATAGTTTCATAATAATTTCCTTGATATAAACGCTTATCGACGAGACAGGCCTCTCGGCCTCGGTGTTTACATCGAGGCATACGGTCGTGGCCTGTCGGTACCTGTCAATATAGCGCCACGTGATACGCTTGACAGCCGCAACGATTTTGCAGTGTTGTTCCCTACTAACACGTAACGCACACACTGGGAGTGGCCGGGGACAACAAAAGTCTCGAGTCTCACATTGTCAACGACGCTCGGACTGCCTTTAGCTCTAGCCGGACATCAGCAGATAAGAACAATGTCATTAAGCGGAGTACAGATGGGCTTACATAGCAGACCTGCCTATCCTGCTACACGAAGCATTGGCCTAGTGCATCGACAAGTTGTCGGTACCACCGCCCGACGAGTATCAACGCGTTCTTCGGCTATTGATGCATCGATATTTCCTGTTTCGCTATTCCCAAGGTACGGAGCAACTGCCGAGCTAGCTTTTCAAACGTTGGTTAGCTAGACCGATGGCCATTCCATGTCTACCGGTACACTTTCTTCCTCCTGGCTTATTAACATCCTCATACTGGAGCGTGAAGCGCCCCCTTAACGCTGGCTCTGTTTCAACTTATTACTTCCGCCTAACTAACGAAAGCCTACCGGTATCGTGTCGCTCAACGCCTGGACCCCAGTCACAAAGTGCTACTGCCGACCGCAACCGGCGTCCTTCACGGTGAGAGTCCCCCGACCCCGGCGCATGAAACACACACACACACACATACACACACCGCCCCCTCACACACAACGTGACCTCCCCTGGCCTGTTACTTGAAGCAATGACCCACTTCCCCTCCCGCCTCACACCCGTCCCCTGACGTCCATGACCGCCCCCCTCCCTCCCCCTTCCTCCTCCCCCTCTCCCCCCCGCTGCACCCACCCTCCCGCAGTCACCGAGCCTCACCTCATCCAAATGTTCAGCGACCTAGCCGCCAAGACAGGGACCGCCATCACAGATTACGAATCCGATAGCAACAACAGCAACAACCAGGACGCTCTTTATGAAGACAACAGCAGTACGTCTAGTAGCAACAGCAGTGGCAACAGCAGCAGCAGCAGTGGCAGTAGCAGCACCAACAGTGTCATGCGGTTTGGGCACATCCTAAGTCCCGCCGTCGCCCCGCCCGCTCTCATGGAGGATGCAGTGGGTGGCATGCCGCGAGTGGGCGTGCTTTCCGTCGTACGACGGTTGCGGAGATCTAACGACGACGCTTCGTTGGTGGTTGAGTACGAGGGGCTGCGGCGCATTCGGTTGGTCAGCGTCTGGCAGCAGCAGCCGTACATGGTAAGCGGGTGTCGTACGTACGTCACGTACATGTGGGTTATAATGCATGGTAATATGGAGTGTGGCGAAACTGGCCACGAGTATGGTGTGTCAAAATATTTGGCGGTGTGTATGTGGGCTGGGTTTTGACTGCCTAGCATGCAGACTTAGCCAGCGGTTTCAACCAGCCGAGCACCCCGCCCTCTGACCTCTTTCCTCCCTCTGACCCCTCCTCCCTTCCTCTATCTCCCCCCTCCTTCCCTCCCTCCCCTGCCCGCCCCCCAGGTTGCCGCCGCCAGCTACCTGGCCGACCGGGTGGGTGGGGGCGAGGAGCAGCGGCTGCTGGACGGCCTGGAGTGGGAGCTGTACGGCCTGCTGCAGGCGAGTGACATGAGGGAGGGGTGGCGGAGGGGGAGGTAGACCAAACCACCCGAGCGACACGAGGGGGGAAGGGGGATCCCTGCAGCTGAGGCAAGGCTTCATGGGGACTTCCCTTGACCTCGCGGCACGCCTGCCAACCTTCCCCACAACCCGTCCGTTGCCCTTCCGACTCCACCTCGCAGGAGGTGCGGCGGCTGAGCCGGCAGCTGCGTTCCCCCGGGGAGGCGCCTGCAGAGCTGCCGGAGTGCATTCCCAGGTGGGGGCCGGGGGGTTGGGTGGGGTGTACGGCATGAGGTACAGCTTTTACGAATAAGGCGGGTATGAGTAAGGCGGGTATGAGGTACAGCTTGTACGGCAGGGAGTAAGGCGGGTTGGCATCCCTGGATAGGGCTGGGCCCGGACTCCTAGATGCGAGCCTTGTTAGGATTTTAAAGAGTAATGAGCCGTACGGGGCAAGGGAACGGGCTGGGATATGCGAGCGCGGTCCAACCGCCTCTGTCGACTCGGCACTAACCCGTCTCCCGCCTGTCCCACCCGCCCCCCCGCATGCAGGTACGCGCCCCCCGCCCCCGCCGCCCCCCGCTCCGCCCCCTCCCTGGCCCAGCATCTGCAAGCCGCCGGCCACCCCGCCGGCAACGCCATCAGCATGTGGCAGCGGCACGGCAGCGTGTACGGCAACAGCAAGGGGGCGGATGCCGCCGTACAGGACCCCTACTCGGTGAGCCTGTGTCATGAGGAGCCGTGTCATGCGGAGGTGTGGAGAGGGGTCGTGTTCCTCATTGCCGCCCCGCCTTTCCTCCCTCCCCCTCCTCCATTTCCTCCGTGTTGACGCCTTATCCCTCAGTCAGTTAGTTGTTTCCTCTTTACCCTCCTCCATTTCCCTCAGTTTATGAGCGAGCGGCTGGGCAAACACACCCGCCAGGAGCTCTTCTCCTTCGCCGCCGCGGGCATGTTGGAGCTGGGGCCGCTCGAAAGCCTGGCGCTGCTGAACTGCACGGACCGCGCGGCGAGGTTGCAGTGGGTGGCGGCGGCGGTGGAGCCGTTCCTGGAGACGCAGCGGGCGAGGGCGGCGGTGGCGCGGGCGTTGGGAGGGGGTACCGGAGGGGCGGCTGGGGGCGGTGAGGAGAAGAAGTGAGGTGGGGGCGAGGAAGGGTGGGAGAGGTGGGGATGGCGGATGCGGAGGTGGAAGCCGTCCAACCTGTGTGGGTTGTAGTTTATAATAATGTGTAACTTTAGCTGTTGGCGAAGGGGAAGATTCGGTGTTTTGCTTTTTGTTGTATTGTACTACACTAGATGCGTTTGTGTTGTTTGCTGATGGTGTAAGGGTTTGTTGTTTCGTTGCTGTAGCATATTTTAATCAATTGTGTAGATGTTCAGAATCGTTTGGTTGAAGTTTTATAGCTCGTCTTGTTGAAGTTCGAAGAAGTGACGGTCTTCAAGCTCATCACATCGGCAAAGTATGATGCACATAACGCTGTGTAGCTCGAGGGGGAGCTTCAACGCTACTCCTTGCATTGGCGGCGGCCGTGCAGCGTTGCGTTGTTCGGCTTCTGGTGGGTTTTGGCTGCGAGACTGTGGTGCTGAGAAGCGTTGGGTTGGGGAACGCCTCCTTGACGGGGAGGCTCGCATTCCCATAGATGGGAACGCAGGCCTCCCCAATCGCGTGGGTTCTACGTGAGGAAGCAGGAACGTTACTAGCTTCCCATGGACAACCAAACGCCCTTTGGTCGCATACGGCTTTGGTGCAAGACTGTCTGCATCCTTCTATTTTAAGGATGTGTGCAGATCTTGGATTCAGGATTGTCAGGTATTTCGTTGTAGCATACCGGTCCCGTTGTTAAAGTAACAATTGTTTTTGTGATTTGTTAGTTGCTTGTTTTCGTTGCCTGTGCTGGCATGTCAGATGCAACAGCTGCTGTGCTGTGCGCAACTGGCAACATGACCCATGGGTCACATGGAACATGTTGCCAGCTGCTGTTGGCGGGCCCTATATATGTACCATCACGGTCCTCTACCTACAACGCTTGCTGTCATAGTGACTAAAAGAGATGGTGCAAGTGCTCGAACATATTGCAGTGCTCTCGCACAGGTCTTGGGTCCCCCTCACTCTCTGCAAGCACATCATAAGATCACGTTATGTGCCGTTACAGGTGTGAATTGGTTAGGCCGATCCCACCGCCCTTCCCAGCCTCCTGGCCCCTCCTAGCCCCTCCCAGTCTTGTGCTAGAAGCCCAGCCTTCTGAGCAATCCCACTGAACAACCCTGGCCGCCGCGTCGTCATCCTGAGGTGGAAAGGGTATGGAACGGGAAGAATGGAAATGGGAGGAATGGAAGCATTGGAAATGGGACACAGCGGTGGTGTACGGTACCCATATGCGATATGCCGTGATGGCGCTACCGTTAGGTCAACCGCGATACAGTACCAGTAACAGACGAGTGCGCCCGTCACACTCCAGCAAACGCACCTCTTATCTTGTGCTCCAGTTGATCTCTAATACTGGTAATAACGGATGCATTCGCTCAGCAGTCCAGGACGTGGATTCATTCCAGCAGCGCTAGGTGCTATGCTGTCAGGCATTGGACCCTTTGGACCCTTTTGCTAGCAGCGTGCTAGCGGTGGTTTGGTGCCGCGACTGCTACCGGTATTGCTGCCGCTGCCACCGCCGTTACGGTAGCCGCCAGGCGGTGCCATCATCATCGCCGCTGTCGTAGCTGCTGACTTGCTGCGCCCTCCGGCAACAACACCTGCCGCAGCAGCGGTCACTGCGTACTGCTGGCGAAGCTGCACCTCGACCAATCCCGCGCGAGCCGCTGTGAACTTGTAGCCCTGTTGCAGCAGGTAGGCCTGCACAACTCGCGGCAGGCTGGCCTCGCCTCCAGAGCTGTGCAGACCCCGGCCCACGATTACCTGCAGCACGCGCCGGGAGGCTAGAGCCCTGCTGCTGCTGCTTCTGTCGCTATTGCTGTTGGTAATGTTGCTGCTAGTGCCTGCCATGCTGCTGCCTGCTGCTGCATTGCCACCCACGCCGCCTGCGCTGGCACGAGCGGTTGCAGCAGTGGAAGACGCCGCGCTGCCCAGTTCCAAAGCGGAGATGCGGCGTGCGAGGGCCTGCCGCGAGGGATTCAGAGCAACGTTGCAAGTCATGTGAAGGGCGGAACTTAATGAACCTGGGGCATCCTGTTTAAAGGAGCCACGCATGCAGAACACAAATGATCGTAGGCGTTGGCGCCGTGTTAAGAAAACTGGCCGCGTGGGCGCCGTAAGATACGATAGCACGCATGCTGCAAAGTACGCAGGACGCATGCTGCGCCACGCACCTGCAGCGCCTCGTCTGCATGGAGGCCGTGCAAATCCAGCTGCCACTGTGGGGGGGGCAAACGGGAAGCCCATGGGTAAATACACACGTGTGCACGCACGTAGGGTGGGGGGCTAATGCGGATGGGTAGGGTGCGTTGGCGCATCAGTGGGGCGATAACTGGCAAGCAGGACTCTCAGCGATGCAGGAAGCAGCCGTTCAACCCCCGCATGTGCTAATGTCCAGGGCAGAGGTCGGCAATCTCCATCTATCTCTGCCAGAGTGCATGCACACGTGCCATAGCCCGCATGCCTACATGCATGAGTCGGGATATGGGATTGGGACTCGTTGTTTCACTTATTTAATTTTTCCTCTCCTCCTAAACCCCTCCTCCTGGCCTTCTCCCTAAACCCTAACCTCCGAAAGCTGCCGTCCAGCATTCATCTCAGCCTCGATCCGCCCCGCGGCCTCAAGGTGCGCCGCCGCCGCCCGCCGGCGGATCTCCTGCGCCTCCGCCACCAGCTGCCGACCCGCGGGTCTGTCACCCGCGGCAAAGGCCGCAGAAGCCCTGCACGGGAGCCCATGAGGCGTTGCGAGACGACGGAGGTCACAGGGAACAGGAGGACAAATGAGAGGGGCCAGGACAGTACTACCACCCGCAAAAGGTTTGAAGCCTTAAGGTATAGCATGCAATGCACACATATCCACAGCCCAAGCGCCGCAAAGCACCGCAAGCATGTATCTTCGTGTTATACGGTGTTGTACGTGCCGCATGCATCGTACCACACGCATCGCACCTGTTCATCTTCTTGCGCCAGGCGTGTGTCAGCTTATTCGCCTCCCGCCGGTGGCGGTAGTAGGCGTCCTCCGCATGCTCGCCCTCGCCCTGCCCGTCCCCCTCGCCGTACTCCAGCGCGCCTTCACGTGGCCTGACTTTGGCGCCGCCTTCGCCTTTTGTGCGGCGGCGGTGATGGTGTTTTTCAGCCCTGTGGTGTTGGCGATGAGGGCCGCCCGACTGCACGGCAAAATCATCATCATCATCACGTGCCACGTCACCATCATCACGTGCCACGTCACCATCATCACGTGCCACGTCACCACCGTTATCATCATCAACAGCACCAGGAAACGGTAAGGATGATTGAGGGAACGAGTCGTCAATGCCACCGTTATCGTCATCATGGCTGTCGTCGTCGTCGTCGTCGTCCGATGAAGACGAGGGTAATGAAGCGTGGGAGGATGAGAAGGAGGAGGAAGAGGAACCGCCACGGCAGCCGCCGCCCCCTTCTTGCCCTTCTTGGCACGAAGCGGCGGCGCAAAGCTCGTCCAGCGCCGAAACCACCTCACAAAGATCGAACTGCAGTGCCGTACAAACCGCCTCGATCAGATCTCGTCCCGCCCAGCCGTGCGTACGACAAAGCTCGTCCACCGCTGCCGCCTGCCAACCGTTGTGTTCGTTGGCAGTGGCAACGGCCCGCGCAACTCCGTCCTCAACAAACCCGACACCACACGTTCCCGCTCCAATTCGGGCTGCATCTGCATAGCCGTACGACAACGGTTGTAATAACGGTTGCGGTTGCCGCCGGTTGCCGTTCAAGTCCGCTTCGGTAGCCGATGGCGACCGCCGCCATGAAGCTGCTTGCTGCCGCTGCCGACTCCGTTGCTGTTGCGGTTCCTGCGCTTCCTGCTGCCGTATTTGCCGTATGTGCTGCTGTCGTACCGAGTTCTTGCCGCTTTTAGCAGCCGCAGGAACCTCCACAGCAGCCTCCGCCAAAACCGGGCTGGCTGCAGCAACAGCAGCAGCAGCCACCCCGGGTGGCGGGAGAGCCGGGAAGTCCTCATCTTCACCACCGTGCCTCAGCGCTGTTGTGAGTTTTATCGCGGCAGAGAAGGACTTGGAGGAGCCCCCAGGCGGTGTGTACCGGGGTTGGTGGTGCTGCTGCGGCGCCGGTGATGACAACGCGGCGTGGGTTCGGGGAGCGCCAGCCGCTCCTGGTTCTGATGTTGATACCAGACGTTGTCCATGCTGCTGCCCCAGCTGCTGCTGCTGTTGCTGCTGGTGGTGTTGCCTCCGCGGTTCTGATGGTGGCAGCAGATGTGCCGTGGCCTGCTGCTGCTGTTGCTGCTGTTCAGCTCGTAGTTGGCCCCACGTCTTACGTTTGGTGGAAGCCCCGGCGGAGCCGTTCGGGTTGTTGTGGCGGCTGCTACTGCCTTGGTTGTCGCTGTTCGCGGTCGCGGAGGCGCTGCGGCCTCTTTGCAGGTGTTGGGAAGGTGATAGTGGCAATGTTCCAGGTGCAGATGTTGCTGATGAGGTTTCTCCTCTTGGCATGGCTGTCGCTGTTGCTGCTGCTGTGGACGCGGATGGATTCCTTTGCGCGACGGTGCGGTTCTTGTAATGTGGCTGTGTGTTGTGCTTCGCATTGTTAGCGAATGGACCAGATGACCCGCTTGCATCCACCAAATGCGTTGACGCAGCCAGGTTCGCGACGTGGCACGCGGCTGCTGCTGCCGTGACGTCGCCGGGGCCATCCCCGGACATCTCCAACAGAGCTGCAATAGAGGTCTCTACATCATTATTATGTGCATCCAGCACCGCCAGCAAAATGTCGTCGGACATTTCGGGGAACATTTCTTGTAGCGCCGGCAAAGTCACTGACTGGCATTGGGACATTGGTATAAAAATTAAAATACGCTGAAAGCAGAGTTTTCATAAGGTGCGTGTAAGTATTCACTGGCGACTGCTTGGCAGAGTCGGCTTCAGTTGGGCGAGCAAGGATACCTCAGACACCTTGAAGTCTTTCTAGGTAGTGGCAAAATGAGTTTTCAAAGCGAACTATGTTAAAGCAGGGAACTCGCTGGTTTGCTTTTGGCAGAGGTAAGCGCCAAGCGACGCCCTGATGAAAGAACCTCGGCACTTTGGAGCATGCGGCTAAGCATCAAAGCTTATAGAACGATATACAAGGCGCAGTTAAAGGCGTTTCTTTTTAACTGGTCGTATTACACAGCTTTCATGACCCTAGAGGTTGACCGCGATTTTGAATGGAATCCCTGCGATAGCCGAGCCAGCGCCCAATTTGCGCCCAACTTGCCTTCTTAGCATTTAGTTTGTTAATCTAAATTGCTTTAAGACGCAGCGTCGTGTGTTGCGCGACGGCGACCCTGGGGTCAGCCGTTGACCGCTACTGAAGTCGTTGGCTCGTCGCATTTCAAGAGCCATGCACGCTTCACGCGCATGCGCACAGTTTCAGCAGCGACAACAACATTATCGTCATTTGGCGTGGAAATCCAGCGCCGCGGCTTTACTATTATTAGCAGCCGTTGTCGCCTTGTGCTCTGCAGCTGACATCGAGCATATTGAAGGTGGGATTGTATCTGCGCGACGATAAGTTTCATGCGACCGTTACCTTATATAGGCGTTTTCCATTTTTGGGGAAGATACCTAAGTTGAAAGATCTGTAAAGGCTGCTACTGCCGCTGCTGACCTCGCAGCTCTGGTGGCCCCGCCCTTCACGTTGGAACAACACACGGTGTTCAGTGAAGGCTACAGCCTGAGCCTGTTTAGGCTACGGCTAGCAGGTAAACATGATTTGCGACATATACCTCCCCACAGTACAGCCATGTACGGTATCGTCACGCTACATCTGTGCGCCTCACAGGGAATGCGACCGAGCCCACTGGTCGGCTGCCTGTGCTGCTACACCACGGCTTCGCATTCTCGGCCAACGCCTGGTACCCTTTGCCTCGGGATCAGGGCCTGTCGTACGTTTTGTACGATGCAGGTAAGTTGCAGTGCAGTCTTTTGAGGTTTCAGGAAAGAAAATAAAACCGGGTGCCAAGGGGCCGCATGGGCTGTTGCCGCATCTGTCTTGCAGCCCTCCTTGAATGCCAAAACCGTACGATGGTGTTCCTTTCTTAAATACCGGTATCCTAATGCGATGGTGTTTCTTGTTGCGCAGGCTTCGACGTGTGGGCGCTGTCAGACCGCGGTGCCACACACAGCAGTCACAATGAGCGGCTGTCACCCCTACAACGGGCCTTTTGGAGGTGAGGTGCTCGCGTTGACTGAGGATCGATCCTAACATTCCGAAGGGTCATGACCCTGTAGGCCTCACCTCGCCCTGCTTCCCTGTACGCCTGGGGGGTTGACGTGTTGCCATGTGATGTCACAGAGCCGGCTGGGTTCGTTCAACGCTGTACACTCCGTCAATACCCGCCTTCATGTCAATCGCTACCCAACCCCTCCCTGCACACCTGAACGCCTATACCCGTATCATCTCCAGGTTCACCATGGACGACCTGGCCCTCAAGGACCTGCCAGCCCTGGTGGAGTATGTGCTGGGAGTGACGGGGCGCCGCACCCTCGCCACCGTCACGTGGTCAATGGTGCGTGGGCCCGAGTCAGCTGATTCCTAGCGGTTGAGGCACGGAGGTTGCGACACGCACCCTCAAACGTCCCAACCCCCATGCGTTACACAGTAAACCAGGGCCGTAGGCCACCCTCTCACGCACTTAGTCGCAACCCCACTTCGCCCTGACCAGCATAACCCAGCCTTTGCCTTTCCATCCGACTTAGCACCCCATGTAACGAAACCCCCAGGGAAGCACCCAGACCTTCGCGCTGGGCTCCGACCGCCCTGACTATGCCTCCAGCCGACTGTGTCATCATGCAGCTCTGGCGCCCGTGGTGTTCCCGCAGCGCATCCGCACCCCCCTGATGCGAGCACTGCTGGGAACCGGGATTGACAGGGTGAGGCAGGGTGCTAGCTGGCTAGCGTTGCTTGGGCGCGGCTGGACAACGGTCTGGGAGTATAACGGTGTTTGCTCGCTCCGGGCTGCTGCATTTGTTGTAGAAAGTGGATGTGCCCCCGTGAAAGCTGATGAGGGCTTGCAACGAAGCAACCTAGCCCCACTGCGGTGTCCCCAACGCCTCGGCTGAACCCATCCTACCATCCATGACATCGCATCCTATCCACCATTGACCATTCCACCCGCACATTGCCACTACCGGTGTACATTTGCTAGGCCATCCGCGTCCTAGATGCTCAGCTTTTCGTGCCGGGCGTCCTGGAGGCCCTACTCGGACCCGCCTGTGTCGTACAGCTGTTTCCGGATTTCGTGACCAAGCCCCTCAGCTGGCGGGCGGCCGGCGCGAGCTGCGATCACATGGTGTACAGCTTGTACGGCCCACTCAGCCTTACACCCAAAGGTATGTACAGAGGTTACCGGTTGCGATGTTTCGTTAGCCGCTCAGCCTTTACTCCCAAGCAACTGTACTGATTGCGGGTCGTGCATACAAGGACTCCTTGTTGATGGTTTGGACGATGGGCTCACCGGTTATCAAGCTTCGCTCCCAGTTTCCCCTGGGCAAGGTCATGATAGTTTGTCCCTTGCCGTACCGCATTTATGCCGTACCACATTATTGCCGTGCCGCATTATTGCCGTACCACATCATTGCCGTACCACATTAGTGCCGTACCACATTGCCGTACGCAGAGGTCGGCGACCGCTTAGTTGCGGTGACCTGGCCGTCCACCGTCGCCGCATTCGTACCATCTCAGTACGCGCAGGTGCGTCCCTCACACAGGAAGTGCTGCTCGTACAATGATGACGTACAGCTCGTGTAAGGCTCACCTTTACATTAGGTCACTCCAGGGTTTCCTCTCCTTTCCTCTCCTTCCTCGCTGCCTCAGGCCTACCAGCGCGGCCCAGACAAGCCCCTGCTGGTGCACTTTGATTACGGCAAGCTGTGCGGCCTCAAGACGCCACCCCTGGACGGAAAATGCAACCAGGAGGCGTACGGCAGCGACGATCCCCCGCCGTACAATCTGTCACGGTACAGCATCCCCACCACCATCATCTCGGGTAGGGTGCTCTTATCGTGTTGGGTTGATGCCGTGGTCTGTCGGTATGTGCCCGCACGTGCGATGCCGGGCGTCTTCCGGAGCTTCTTCCGGGCAACACTATAAAGATGCGACATGCAAAAGTTATGAAGCACCTGCCCTGCTTGCAAAGGGTGTGGCGTGTATTGGGGCGCTGCTGCTGTGCTGCAACCGTGTGAGGGTAGGAACATAGGGTTGCCTTGATCGTTATCGCTATCCGTGGCTTCCCGGACCTGTCATGCTGGGTTTGCAGGACCTCACAACCCACATGCCCCTAAACCTAGCCACTGATGACACTGGTTCTCATTCCAGGAGTGTAGACTAAGATGTTAGCCCACATGCATTGCGCTGTCGCAGGTGACCGTGACGAGGTCAGCGTTGAGTGGGACCGCAGCAATGTAATCGCACTGCTGCCGCCGGGTGTGCTGCGGCGCGTGGCGCACCTGCCAGAGCACGCACACCTGGACTTTACCTGGTACGACGCTCGGTCTTACAGCGATATTGTGATCCAGGTGAGGAGATGAGGGTTGAGGGTGCATGCGCATGCTTTGGCCATGGGGGCTTTGCTTTGGGTTCGTGGGAACGCGGTTAGTGTAGCCTGACGGGCAAAGCACTGTAACTGCCATGCGGTGTACTTGCGGGCAGCAGCAAGGCGTCGCAGAACCCACGGTACGACACTTGTTATTAATCCTCCGTATCCCGATCGTGCTACGGAACAGTACTTCCTGACCCAAATGCAAACCCGATGCAACAGGAGATCCGCAACTCGTGTGGGGACGTTGGAGAAGGGTAGCGGCTGCGCCAACCGTCGGCTCCAAGGATGGGCTCTGCATGGGAGTAGGAACCTGACAGCTATCATTGTTTTTGCCTCTTTGTGCGCAATGGTGTGAGAGGTTTAAGAGCCGAGAATAGCATCTCTTGTAATTTGTACAGTTGCCGTACGGAGTTTCCCGCCACTTAAACACTTTACAGCTACCTTTATAACATAGCTGGCAAAACTTGTGCTTTAGTTAACTTGAATTTAGGTCAAGGCTTACCGACATCTACTTATCGCATGCAAGCATTTGAAAGAAGCCTGCGACCTCTAGTTGGGCTGCCACCATGCCGCGCCAGCGTATGCAGTCGCGATCAGGATCTACTGTTTTTAGCACAGAGGACTCGGTTGCTTCGTTGACAGACAGCGATGACTGGGAAACACTTGCAAACGCAATTGAGCCTGTGCTATCCCGCATTGAGCCCTCAGTAACGCCATCCGGCTTGCAAGTATTTTGGGGCTCTGCAAAGGCACAGCTTGCCGTCATTGACGTGCATGCCAAGGCGCTGCGCGCCCTCATCTGCAAGCGCACTATTGAAAACCACGTTGAGCCGGGTGTGGGAGGAGGTCTCCGCAATGCCACAACTGGCTTAGGCAAAAGCCGGGTGCTGGGCGACGCATGCAGCCGAGTAGGCATTGCGATGACTAAGATGCTGCTGCACCTTTTCCACACCGTCGGCCATAACGCCAAAACCTGCATGAAAATTCGCTGGAACGGGGCTTGCATCTTGGACACGGTCGCGTCCGTGGCGCGCGCATGTATTCGTTCGGACATGCTACCTCTCCTCAGCAAGTTCGCCGCCCAGGACTCGTTTGACAATTTCGAACAGCGGTTCACCTGGTATAAGGCTATTGCCTGTCTGCTGGGGAGCTTGCTATTCTTCGCTGTTCATTATGACGACCCGGATTCGGACGACGATGATGCCAGCAGTCAAGACGGCAGCGCGGATAACGGCACTGCGCTGATTCCGGAGCTCCTCCAAAGCCTCAACCGGAGCTGCTTGCTGGAGCACCTCGCGCGGGGCATCCTGCTACACCATAAGGAGGTGCCATCACACGGTGGCAGCGCTGCATCGACATCCACGAACGCACGCAGCTCCGGCAATGCTTCTTCGGCATCCAGCTTAGTAGACATTGCCCTGGCGCGCCTGCTTCGGACGGCAACCATACAGATGCAAGCAGCTGCGCTTGCCTACCCGGCCAAACCTGTTAGCGGCTGCCCCTTTGGCGAGTGCCTCCAGTACCTTCTTGCATCGCATCTCGCAGCGCAGTTACAGAGCGCCGAAACGTACAATGGCGCCCCCTTGGACGATGGCCGCGATCCCAGAGTCGGCGGAGTGTTTACGAGCAGCAGCAGCAGCAGCAACGCAGGAACCATGTACGGCCTGGCCGCTGACGCTCTGCCGCCTATTCTGCTTGAGGAGTGCTGTGGCGGATGTACCCGGCCAGGCTGCAAAGGCGTGATGCGTAGTCAACGTGCGTTGATCACCTTGACACTTCGCCACATACTATGTCACTGGGCCCAGACAACCAAAGCGGATGCGGATGCGGGGCTGCAGCAGCGGCAGTTGGTGGGTCCGCGGGCCAAGGTTGCAATCTGCATGCGACTGGCGAAGGTGTCGTTGTTGTGGTGGCAGCTGGCCACCGGCAGACAGCTCAAGTACCGGAAGCCCATCGGCTCGGCAGTATCTTCGGAGGCTGAGACGACAGGGGCGGCTGCGGTTCCGCAGGAAGCTGCTGCCGCCGCTGCGGCGGCGGCAGCACCACCGCCGCAGGAGCGGCGGCTTACCCAGAAGCAGATGCGGAAGGCGGCGCAGCAGGCCAAGCAGCAGGCGGCGCCACAGCAGCGCGCAGCAGCAGCGGAGCTGCGCGCTAAGCAGGAGGAGCGTCGACAACCGCCGATCGCATCTTCTCACCGCTTCAAACCGAAGGACTGTCCCGCCCTCGCGCTAGACGCGCTGGACACAGCCGCCAAGGTCATGCACTATCTCGCCAAGCGGTCTGCCGTGGGGGCGGCGGCAGCGCAGGGGATGGAGGCAGCACCCGCAAACAGCTCGAGCGGGAGCACCGCGGACATCAACGTCGCGAGTCACAGCAGCAGCGGAGGCGGAGAGTTTGTGGGCGGTAGTAGCCGCGTGAGTGGCGACAACAACGGCATGGGTGCCAGCAGCAGTAGCACTAGCAGTAGCAGCGGCACTAGTAGCAGCACTAGCCGCAATGCAGGCGGCTTCGGTGTGGTCGCAGTGCTTCCGGAGGAGTGGTGGCGGGACGCGCTGGCAGCTCTGGACGTTGTGGTGGAAGAACGGGGGTGCCTTGACGTTGCATGCAGCACAGCGGGCCTGGGGGCGCTGTTGCAGCAAGGTAGGGCTGTAGAGGAGCTTAAGTGCTGTCTGGGGGTAAGAGTCGCATCTTTGGCTTGTGTGCCACGTGTTTGGCTGCCGGTGCTGTTGAAGAGGCTTCAACTGGTTATGGTTGTTGTTCCTCCTGACTGAGCTGCTTGCCTAATACGCGTGGTTGTCCTTCTCCAGCGTACTTGGCACTAACACCACGCCCTGCTGTCGTTTTCCTCTCCCGTTGGGATTGGGATTCGTTGTTTCACTTATATAAAATGTTTCCTCCCCCGTTTCCTTTTCTGGCTGCATGCAGCCACCATGCGGGATAGTGGCGGTCGCTTTGGCCACCACCGCGGTGTACTGCTCTCGGATAACGTCGCAGCCAACCTGGGCATCGCGCAGCCGCTAGGCTTGACGCCCTGCCTGGAGCGAGTCCTCCGTCGCCTCCTGCCGCAACTGCCCGGCAGCGTGGAGCGTCTTGACATGCCGGGTGTGTTCGCCTTCCTTGTGGACGACACCTCACTGCGGTCGCTGCTGCTCACGGCAGATGCTGTACACCTGGTGCCGTACGTGGTGTCCTCCAGCAAGGCTGTGTCGCGGTTGGTGGCCAAGGAGGTCGTTCCGTCCAACAACAAGAACGTTGTGTACGAGGCCGTGGACGCAATGGGGCTGTACTGTGTGCCGGTGGAATTGCTTCTCGTGATGCAGCTCTGTGGGAAGGTGTTGGCGGCCAAGGAGGGCGCACAGGGGGGCGCCGCAGCGCAGGCGGAGCCATCAGGAACTGTCGGAGAGAGGAGTGCTGCGAAGGATGCGGCCGCATCTGGGGCAGCAGTCGCGCCTGGGGCAGCAGTCGGCATGGGCGAGTGCGGCAGTGGCGGCGGTGCTGATGTGGCAGGTGGCGGCGACGGCGGCGGTGACAATTCCGATTGTTCAGGCGAACTTCCCAGCGTATCGGAGGTATCCGCGGAGGCTGCCGAGCGAGTCCTGCTGATCGGTTCCCTCATGGCGGCGCGACGGCTGCCGGCTGTGGCGGCTGCCCTGCCGCTCTTGACGTCGTACGGCACTCGGATGCTGGTGTTTAGAACCCAGCAAGTGGTGGCTCACGTGTTGCTTCGCTGGGTGCCGCTGCTGGCGACGGCCTACCTCCTGGCGTCAAAACAGCGCCAGGCGGCCGCTGCGGCTGCCTGGAAGCAGCTGCTGTTGGCGGACATGGACGTGTTTGGCTTGATGGACCTAGCCATGTCGGCGGCGGCTGAGGTGGCGCCCTTCGCGGCGCCAAAGCTACATGCGGCGTTGCTCTACCCACCTGCGCTGTCCCACTTGCTGGCTGCGTTTCTGGCGATGCTGCTGGCTTTCCCAACCGAGGTGGCTGCTGCCATGGCGCCCAATTACGCGGAGATGATGCCTGAGACTGCAGCCGGCGGGAACGGCACCACCGGATCGCGCAAGCAGCAGCGGCTGCCCGTGCCCAGCTTGATATCCGCTCTGCGGCATTACGCGGTGCTGTATGGCGAGGGCAGCTGCATGTCCGAGTTCGGGACGGTGAGGATGCTGTTGGGGGACCTTGGTGAGGAGTGTCGGGTGAGGGTGTTGGAGCAGGTGCGGAGGGGGCTGGAGGTGGAGCACGGGTGTGTGGCGGAGCGCTTGACGCCGCCACACTTGGTGTGCGCGGGAGCGCGGGTGTGCGGCAACCCGCGGTGCGTCAACCTGGCGGGGGACAGCGAGGCGGAGCTGCCGCTGCAGCCGTGCGGGAAGTGCGGGCAGGTGTCGTACTGCTGCCGGGGGTGCCAGCAGGAGCATGCGCGGGCGGGGCACAAGGAGGTGTGCGCCTTGAAGCGTGCAGCGGCAGCGGCTGGCCGCTAGGTGGTGGGGTTGTTGGGAGGCAATGATGCATGATGCAATGATGCATGGGAGACGCGTGGGTTGGTTGTTGGTGAGTGGATGGCGTGTAGTGTAGTAGTGGTTGGGTGTTGTGTGGCGTCATTGCTTGTTGCATATGGGAGGGGTGCGAGTGTATGTTTGGGTTATGGGTTGAACTAGGGCTTTAGGGTTTTGCGGCTGTGGTTCACTCTTGCTGCCTGTTGAAGAGCATTTGGCAGCATTTGAGAGCATGGAAGGCGCGGGGCGTTTGTATACCGTATGCATGAACAATGTTTGCACATGACGTGAAAGGACAGGAATCTGTCCCAGGCCGTGATTTGAGGGCCTTGAGGCACTGGGAGTGGTCCAGTCGTAGGACTCGATGAACAGTGACCTGACCCATAGGGGGGCAAGGCACATGCGTAGGAGTGCTGCTTGGCGCCTTAGGATGCGGGTAGAAGTAGAGGGATGCGACTGAAACAGGCGGGGTTGCTGCTTGGTTGCCTAGAAAGCTCAAGAGGCTGTGCGCGCAGGTTATGTCCGCAGTGCTGAAGCGTGTTGGGCTGTGCTGAACGCTTTTGACAACGCGAGCAGTAGGTTGCTGACCAGGTAGTTGCGGCGGCGGCTGCAGATGTCACCCAAGTGTGAGCTGCGTGCTGCCATTGCTGCGGGAATGTTGCATGTGTGATGCTTGTAGTGAGGCTGGGATCAGGGCGGCGGCGGTGGTGTGAGAGGCAATGTCTTCTCTTAAGCCAGTCAGTCAGACGGCGCAGGTGCTGTATAACAAAGCTTTGGGGTCTTTCCTCCTCCTTTTCTGCGTGCAGCAGGTGTGGACCGGGTGTATATGGGATGCTTGGCCACATGTCAGATCTATTTTCCCTGTTCTTTGACCCGTGTTGGGTTCCTTGCGGCGCTGCAATGGCATTAAGTCGTCGAGGTTACAGCGAGATGTAGCACAGCGAGGGTGAGCACGAATGTGTAGACAATCGCAGACAACAGCGCGTTACCCAAGTCTTAAGCCGGCGAGTTCAAACTGACGCCACTTCCCCAAGTTGTACCCGGTCGTGCCCAGCACCTCGTTGCATGCACCCTTTGCGAACTCATGTACTCCAATACTGATAAGGGATCCTGATCACCGCATATCGCTAGGATTTCCTCACAGGCAGGCTTGCCTCCAGCCTTTCCCACCCGCATCGTGACCAATGTGCCTCAACTGCCCATGTCACCCTTCAAACAGCCTGTCGGACCCGTCTTAAGAAGCACAGGCCAACCGTGCCATACTAGCGCTTCCAGCCACACTGATATCATGTGCCAGTCCTCTTTCCCAAGCCGCAGTCCGACGCTAGAAACACTCTTATACGTTGTGTCCAAAGGCAAGCAGGCTCCATGCCCATGCCCTAGCCCCTTGCCGGCTACAAGCATGCGCCGAAGGTCCCCCTCCGTCCCAACACACAAGCCACCGTATACACTCCATATGTGTGCGCTTTACAAATCCAGCAGCAACCATGTGCTCTATCCGTGCTCACAGTTATCCCACCGGTATGCTACTCTGCCTCCTAGGCTCTAGAACCGAGGGCGACGGTTCTCTTCCCTAGTCCGTCAACCCCCTAGAGCAGCTTCCGCCACCCCTCTACAGCAGCTTCCGCCGCTTGAAGAAGCGGCGCAGGTACCAGAGCTGCACCAGTGCGGACGCAACGCAGACGGCCAGGGACGCGATGCTGAACCAGGCCACCCGGGTGTTGGTCTCCTCTGCGGGATACAGCGGGTTGGGAGGCGGGTATGGTCGGGAAGAAGTCGGGTTGAGCAAAGGCGGTGGGAAGAGGTAATGAACGGCAGGGAGAGCAACACTGGGCGCATGCTGCTGCACCCCTTGCAAGCAGGGCCATCTGTCTGTCCTTCACGGGCACCTCAGCCAAGGGAACCTCAGCGGGTGCCAATCTCTGCAAGCAGCCTTTGTCTCAGCTCCGAAGGGACCCTTAGGTGCAAGCCCAGCCCGCCTGGCCTTTCCGAAACCCATCAGAAATCACAACAGACCCAGGGGGCTACAGCAGCCCGCGTAGCCCGAGGTCCGGTCAATCATAACAGAGCCAACGCCCACGCACCGCTGATGTTGCGCATCTCCGTTTCCCGCTGCTGCAGCTGCAACATCTCGCTGTAGACCTCGCGAATGTTATCCTGGGGGACGTGGAGGAACGCAGGGCAGTGATGTGGGTTGCAGAGAAGCAAGGCAAGGCACAACTTCAGCTCTGCATGCGAGAAACACCATGTCCACTACTAACTGCTAGACCTGGCGTCTAAGGCCGCACACATGGGGGGCACTCCCCGTCACTGAACCCACATCCCTGCATCCGTTCCCGCAGCCACCACCAAACGTGCAACCCCCCCGACAGACCCCCACACAGCTGCAGCCAGGCCCCCATGCAGCTGCCTCCGAGCTGTTGCCGCACCTCCAGCTTCCGCAGCTCAACGGTCAACGCATCCAGGTGCTCCTTCTTGGCGATGGCGTTCCAGTCGGTGGCCGCCACACCCGTGCGCCAGTCCACCTTGAGCTTCGTCTGGTAGGCGGTTTGGATGTCTGCGGGCACGTGGGTGGGTGGGTGGGCGGGGTGTGTGGACGTGGGGTACGAGGGAGGAAACATGGGTGCTGTGGCTGGTTGCGGGCAAGGATAGGGATAGGCTGCCGGGCAGAATGGTAGGCAGGCGGTCAACGCTCTACGGCAACTGCAGCCTTGCAGGCAAATGGTCCTGTCGCGAACGAGGACATCCGCAAGACCGCAGTGGGTGCAACAGGTGGGCATGGAGTGGATGAAAGGAGGTGTAAAGAAAGGTGCTGAGCGGAGGCAGTCGTGGGAGGTGCGTGGGAGCAAGGAACGCGGTCGGGTAGAAGCAGCCGCGGCTGTGTGTCTTCCCGTTTTGGTCGGAAAACGTACCAGGGACCGAGAAGCATGCCTTGTATTCTCCTGCTATCTTGCTGGTGAACGCAAACTGCCCCTCCGTCTTGCCCGTCGCCTCATGGAGCACGGTCCCGCGTGGATCCTCAACCTGCAGGCAAAGTAGGGAGGCACAAATAACACAGCCCATGTCCCATGCCCATCGCGTTTTACGCAATCTCCTCAGCGCCTGATCATGAAGTCCTCTGCCCAGGACTCGCCTTTACAGACACCGGATACCCAGCTTGACTCGGCTCCCTGTTCAAGGACTTATACTCGCCCACAACTATAACGTTGTTGTTGATCTCTTCGTATACACATTTCAGTTGGGACTGCATCTCAAACTCCAGCGCCTGGGAACATAATGCTAGCCATGCAACTAGCAGCACCAGCAGCGGTCCGTTGCGCCTGGCACTTCTAGCGGCTGCCATATTGGCAGTTACAGGCGCGGCTGTCGCCGCGCGTTAGGCAATCACAGCAAGGGTTGGAGTTGGAAGCTCTACGGAGAAAACGCCTTAACTATTCGTTGTATCTGGATGTAGAAGTAAAAACATGTATAATTATGTCAATTGATCTTGGTGTCTTTAGAGTCTGTGGGCGTGTGTAACCGGTACCTTTTCATCATTGCGACTGTCGCAAAGCAACGATTGTACCCAAACTGAAGGGAATCTCTGCTATTCGCCCGAACCAAACCTATTGCCTTGCCCCTAATGTAGAAATAAACACTTGCATATACTCTCTGCCAGCAAAGGACTGGCTTGTGTAGGAGTAGGCGAACATGGCCGACGACCCAGGAACCCGGCCAATACGTAGGATAAAAATCAAGTTTGGGAGCACGGTGGTGGCAACGCAGGCGGTGCGAACTTCAGGTCGGCTGCGGTCGAGACGTATCCCTTCGCAACGTCCCAAGCCCGTCGCTGACTTGGTGCCGGGGTGCAGGCCTTACAAGCTCAGTATCTCAGGATAGCAAAGATGCAAAGTCAGGTGCGTTTTGCATGCGCAAAAAGGTCCTTCTGTGCGGCTTCGCTGTGTCTTGGCACCGAAGCAGACCTTGGCCCGTGTCGCAGGCTCTACTCTTCATTTAGCAAAGCTCAGACAAGCGTCCCTTCAGGGATATGTTCCTCCAAGCGCTTCTGCTGATGCTATAGGTAGGTTTGGTGTGAAGCGGGGTTCCAGTTGCTGGTACATTAGCTGGACGCTGACGCCTTTCATGCTGTCGTGCCATAGTCGCGCGGCTTCGTGAAGGCGAAGGCTTTGCACCCGGATGTGAGTTACCAGCTTGGGACTTTACGGTAAGCCTATTCCTGGAAACCGCTTGCATCCGTCTCGCTGCCTGTTATCTCCTGCTGTAGCATCTCCTCGGCTTCCCGACGCCCCACCTGCAGGCCCCTCCCAGCAGCAACGGCCACGAGCGGCCTACAAAACGCTCCAGGCTCATAGCTGACGCGGCCGATGGATCCTTACGCTCTTCCGGGCCCGCTTCGGCCTCGGACCCAAAAGTCGCGGGCGGGCGGAGCGAGCAGCCCGGACAAGTCATCGGGCGTGCAGAGCCCCCCACAGCCACCGACAGCAAAGCATCCCTTGCAAAGCCCGATTCTGCCTCGGCTCGCGCGGCTGCGGGCCTGACAGCCGGCAGCGGTGACATCAGCTCGGACAAAGCCACAAACAGCCACGCCTACCTTGCCCTCTCACCAGACCACAATAGAAGAGACGCCACAGGACGCACCCTCTTGCCCGGGAGAGGCCCGCTCCACCCCAGCAGCGCAGGCCAGTCATCGCGTGCATCATCGGCACTTGCGGGCAGCTCGCTTGCACCCTTGCAACGGTCACGGCCGTCTGCTGTGGGTGCTTCCACAACCACCACAACCACCACCACAGGACCGGCAGCACCCGCGTCTGCTGCCTCGGAATCCGCGGCATCCGCTGTTGCGCAAGAGCGCGGCCTCAGCAATGCCCTTCGCGGCTCTTCGGCTTCACTTCGAGCCGCTGGGTCCTCCTTACCCGCCTCCACCTCTGCCGCCCCGACCGGTGACGGTCCCTCTACCAGCGGCCGGCAGTTACCTTCCGCCCCGCCCTCCGCCTCTGCCCGTGTCCCCTCGGGCGTGTCGGTTGAAACCCAGACGCGACACCGGGACTTCCCCATCCTGCCAACGTCCTTTTTGGAGTTGCCGCGCCTTAGCGGTACGGCACTGTCGTTTCAGAGCATAGGGCCCTTTGATCTGCAGCTTGAAAAGGAGCAGCGGCCGGCGGCGTTGCTGGAGGGTCGCGTTGACGCGCATATAGAGGAGGCGCGTCGTACGAAGCGTGAAGGCGACGCGCTGTGCGCTCGCAACAACCGTATTTGGACGATAAAGTCATTATCGAAGTACGTGGTCGCGTCGCTGATGTTCATGGAAGCTGCGGATGCGATGTTACGGGACGTGAGGCGCGACTCTCGTATCGTTCGGTGAGTTGGTACCATGGATCCATGGTACGGTGTCTGGTAGGGAGAGGCAGGGGAAAGATCGCGGTCCTCGCGATAGGAGTTGTGCGGAAGGATTTGAGGTTGGACCAGCTTGGAGGGCATGCAATAAGGGGGGAGAAGAATGTGTATAGATGGGTTGCGGTCGCAGAAGTGGTAGTTGGATGCAAGCAGTAGACCCCAACCGATGGCGCCAGTGGGTCAGGACATATCAGAGTGCCAGCTGACGGGGGAATTAAAGCGCTGTCATCGGGTTCTTCAAAGCATCGGCTACCTTCCACATTTCCTGCCTTGCGTCCCCTCCGCCCGCCGCTCACGCTGCTTACGCAACCTCCTTCCAACGGCCATGTCCATGCTGCATGCATGCATGCCTCATCTTCCCCCTTGGTCTCACGACTCCCCGCATGGCTCCCCGCGCTTAGGCATGCTGCCGGGTTGTACGGCCAAACTGCCGAGCTGTTGGGCCACACGGTGTCGTACGCGGACATGATGAAGGGGAACGGTGTGGGCAAGGAGGCGCTGCGGCTGCTGGCGGAGCGGCTGTGCGCCATCTGCCTGATGTGGCAGGCGTCACTGCTCGCGAACAACTTCCGGGCGTGTGCTGAGAAGGCGCAGGCGGCGCTGAAGGAGCAGCAGCGGCAGCAGGGAGCGCATGGAGCAGGTGGGTTGCGGAGCAGTCTGGGATCTGGGTTGGGGATGAGTGGGCGCTCAACGCCCTTTCTTCAATGGCTGTTGGTCTTGGTCTTCACATGGCCATGCAGAACGATTGCTGTGAAAGCCACAGCGGTTAAGTTCTCCAGCTGCACGCTTGACCTCTACCCTTCGCTCCCCGCCAGGCGCCGGATCCATGGGCGGTCCTGCCGCCTGCGGCCCGCTACCCTCCCCGGAGGACTCCAGCACCTCCTCTCTGCACGCCGCCACAACACACGGTGCCAGCGGCTCGCTGCCCCCCGGAGGCACCGGCGCAGCTGGCAGCAGCTCGGGCCAGCAGGGCCTGCCGGGGTTCGGTCAGGAGCAGGTGGCGGAGTTGCTGCACTACGCACGCATTACCTCCCGCTTCTCCGAGTACATGCGGCGATCCAGTAAGAGCTTTGAGGCGTTCCTGGAGCGCTCAGATGTACGGCAGGACCAGCAAGCCAAGCTGGTGTGTGTTCACCTGGCGGCGGTCTGCATGGACATGGGTATGGCGCCCGGATTAAGGATCATACACCATGCTCGGGAGGCGGTGAGGACAATGTGCGAGGACTTGGCCCGGTGACGAAGAGCCCGCCGGCACAGGGAACGACACGGCATGGGGCTACAGGCAGGGTGGGGTGAGGGATGGATGGGTGGGGAGGTGAGGGTGCGGGTGGTTGAGCCGTGCTGGTTGTCTCTGTGCGGGCGGTGAAAGGAGATGGTGGCGTTGCTTCGGGGCTGTTACCGGGGTTCTGGAGCGGGACCGGGGCACAGGAGGAAGAAGAGGAAGAGGAGGAGAAGGTGGAGCGACTTTTAGGACTTGCAGCGGTGGTGGTGTGCTACTCTTGAATGGTGGAATGTGGTACGACATGGGAGAGAGAGAAAGCTCGCAAGAAACTGAGTGGGACTGAGAGTTCCATTACCGTACGGTACAGTGCGGCGTGGACATTGGTATGCGGGTGGGAGGTCTACCGGTGTGGTGGGGAAGAGAGGGAAGAACGTAGGGAGATGGCTGGCGTTGCGCGTATGGTGATGCGAGGACCTTGAGTCACGTGGCGCGAGCGGGTGCGGCCCCGCGCACCTCGTATCACAGCGAGAGGGATGAGGACGACGGGTGTCACCGCATTGAGGGGCGTTAGAGAAGATACAATTGGGAATCTTGGTCTGCTTTTTATCGCTATGCTTTTCACTCGCCGTGGAGTCGCTGCAAACACGGCGATATGATGGTCTACTGAGGTTCAAATGGTGCGCTTGGTTTGACATATATGGTGCGCGTTTTGACACACAAGCGCGAGCGGAGAGCTGTTTGCACGGACGGTTAGGTGGTTAGGTGGTTGCAGTCTGCGGACGGCGGGGGGCGCGGCGAAATGGATGCGCAGCATTATTAACGCAGCTTTTTCGGTTTGCGGTGCTGCATGCATGGACATGGGTCACTTGAATGGCGATTGCCCGCATGCATGGCCGGCTATGGTCGGTGGCTAGCAGTCGTTGAGACGCATGGTCTGCGCGGTAAGGATAGGAGTGTGCTCCTCATTTGCATCGCTTCTAGTGCAGTAAGTTGTTACAACGGCTGCATGTGCCGTTTCATAGGGCGACGGATGCAAGGGGGTGTTGCTGCTGCAGATCAGCAGCCGTACGAAAAGAAGATGAAGCGACGGTTAGAGATCTGGCGGCTGGTCTGCGTTTAGGTCATGTTCACGGTGTGTTGGTGGCAGGAGAAAGCGCGTTGTGCTACTTTTCGTCAGCTTTGCGATGCAACCTAGTACGACAAGACAACTTGACAACACATCACAGCAACACATTACCGTCGCGTTATTGACATCATCCGTGTGCGTGGGTGTGCCTACCTTCAAATCCCTCGAAATGTGTTTTTGACTGTTGACGTTTTCAAGAGGCTCTGGCTGCATGCATGTTTGTGTTTTTAGATACGTACGGAGGTACGGTATGTGTGGTGTTCTAGATCTGGATCTGGTATTACGGTCGTTACCAGAACGTGCCGATGTTGTGTTTGCTGCTTTAGTGCCCAGCTGCAGGCCTTGGTGTTGTGCAGATTGCGGATTCATTACGCACTCCTTTTAGTCAGAGTCAGGGGTGGCTCAACTCCGGTACTACTTCAAGACAGGGATACGAGTTATATCGCCGTTTGTGCTTGTCGAAGCTTCTGCTTAAGGGCTTTTCGCTCCTGAAAGCTTATGCAGAAGACGCAGTAGCGTTTCCCACCACATCAATCACTGCATGGACTGTACTTGTAGCCGAACATCGCAGGTGTACTTATATTGTGCTCACGACTACTTGCGTCCTTGTCTTGATGTTTCGCGTTTCCTCTGTTCACCCTTGTTGCTGACTACGTGTAGAGTGCCCGCTAAAGGAGGTGATTGGTGTATGCGTGGCTTCATGAACTGTTTTGAGCCTACGGGCCCTTGTGAGGACTGGCTGGCTGCTGCCCTGGGTTTTGCTCCGTCCGTTTCCAGGCGGTTCGGGGCAGCGACGCTGCTGTCCACTTATGCCGCTGTTAAGAAGATAGCTTGTCGTGACCGTTATGAGGGTCGCTTAGCGCGCTTTCCCATGCCGCCGAAGCCCCCGGGGCGACACGGTCGCTCGACCTAGCAGACGGTGGTATAGTAAGGGTACAGCGCACCTAGCAGGAAAGCACAACATGCGCGCTTGTGTTGTGCACGCTCCAAAAGTGGCGAACTTAAAGATGCATGTGGCATCCTCCGCCCTATGTATTGTCTAGTATCACCTGCGGACTGCAACCTGCACCCTGCAGGCCCTGCATGTAATATGGTGTTATCCTTTTAACTGCCTGGACGTTGAAGTACACAACGAAGTAAGGATATGTAGGTAACGTGTGCGCAAGGGGAAAGGCAAGTTGGGCTTAACTGTCCATGGGCGCTGTTTGTCTCCCAAGGCTAAGAGGTCCCGTCTATCAGCCCCTAATTCGAATTCGTAGGCGAATTGGCCGAAGTCTTTGACTGTTGGACGGTAGCGCAATGCGCAGAGCGGCGTTGCCGTGCGAAAGTACAGCCTGTACGAATGCCGGGCAAAGCTATCACCGATTTACTGTTGTTAGCGCACTAAGGTAATCCAGAACTGTTACCAGCTATCCTTAGAGTAGGGACGCTCGGCCAGCAAGGGGTGGCGGTAGACAGTATACTGATCACTGCGCGCCTTCTGAGCCCTTCCAAAAATGGCGAATCCCGAGGCAGTTGGCACTGTAAGCGCGCTCTCAATTGCTATACAGTTACACGCTTTAGTTTGCCCTTGTCCTGAATTGCGCATGACGCTGGAGCTTTGGAGTCGATGCCTCCCAACGTGTCGCCCGTCGCTTCTGCGTTTACCTGCAGGCCTTTCTAGATTACTTCTATGGGCTGTTTGCTACCAACCGCGCTGGCCTGGCCAGCCTATATCAGGAGTCGAGCCTTCTTACCTTTGAGGGCGCGAAGTTCCAGGGACAACAGAACATCATTCAGAAGCTAACTACTATGCCTTTCCAGAATGTTGCTGTTCAGCGCGACACTGTTGACATCCAGCCGTCGATCTCTGGCGGCATCCTCATCTTTGTGACTGGCAAGCTGATGGTAAGGACAGTTTGGCAAGGATGCTAACCTTGCTATCTTGAATTACAATTGAACACTATCCCGATCGGATATTACGTTGACTGCAGCCTGAGGGGGAGAACATGCCGCTGAAGTTCAGCCAGGCGTTCCACCTGATGCCCACGCCGTCCAACAGCTTCGTAGTCACCAACGGTGAGGGGAGATCCCGGGGGTCTGAGGGGACCGTGCCTTTCCTTGAGGGGAGGGGCTGTGGTTTGAGTAAGTTGTCGGGTTATGACTCGGTTACAAGACGCCCCCACCCTACAACTGACCGGAGCTTACTTCCTTCCATGCAGACATGTTCCGCCTGAACTACGGCTAAGCTGGACGCTCTTCTGGGTGCCTTGTGCATAGAGTCGCTAGCTTGACTAAGCTCGGACCGGGGGCGATGATGTGCCCGCGATGTTGGACCTTCACTGTCAGTGCCGTTTTGCTGCCAACGCTGAAAAGGATGGGGTGACTTTGATGTCCGGGACGCTAACGTGGGCTGGCATGTTCAAGAATTGATTTGAGCAACAGCTTCTGGGTTTACAATTCGTGCGCATTACAAGGGCTCGCTCACGATGGTAGAGTTCTGAGAGTTATACCCGCGTTGCTCTCGCTTTTGCACGAGCACAACACAACGCCCAATGCAGCTCAGCGAATCGCATTGTACGGCGGGTTGTGTGGGACCCATGGGTCATAGCTTGTTTAGCTTCTTTTTGAGCGCCTGGAGTTGTGCCTCAATCTCGTCGTCCACGGATCGTGCTGGTCCCGAAGTTCCCGAGGAGCTGCGGTGGTGAGGGATGGGTTGGGGTTGAGGAGATGAAAAGGACTTAGGATGTGTGCTGTGAGAGGTCAAGGGAAGAGACGAGTGGTGTTTGAATGCAGGAAGCACGCTGCTAGGATGTGACGCTAGACATGACGCGGTGTGGTCAACCGTTGCATGCAAAATGCCGGATGCTTGCCTGGTTTATTGTGCGAATGCCATCATCATACCAAGACATGGTGGGGACTATGTCGTGTAATCACAAATCGTGAGCGAACCCTAGCCCAGGCTCCATCCTTTCTCAATCCCATGTGCTCAACCTCTCATGCGGCTTGCGTCGTGCTGCCTACCTTGGTGCTTTTGACGACGTCGACGCTGAAGACGGTCTTCCACCGGATGCGCCGCCGGCCGAGGAGCTGCTAGCACCACTGCCGCCGTTGCTGCTGCTGCTGGTGTTCCTGTTACTGCTGCCGCTGCTGGTGTTCCCGTTACTCCTGCTGTTATTGCTGCTGCTGCTGCTGGATGCACCGTCAGTGCCGTACTGCTGCCAGAAGGCGTCAAACCGCTCCGCTGCTGACCTCGTTTGTTGCGAGCTGCTCGATCGCCCTGATGCAGCTGCGCCTCCTCCTGAGGCCTTCTTGGGTTCCTCCTTGATACCCAGCGACTCCTCCAGAAAGTCCAGGAACTCCTGATAAGGGGGAGGCGATTGCGAGGATGGGCTTGGTGGGATGATGGGAGTATCAAGACATCTACATACCGGTAGCTTCTACAGCCCGCCGCTTGCTAACCTACCGGCTTGTCGCCCCTTAGTCCACCCATGTCCCCTTCTAGCCGGTAAATAGTTTCTTCAGCCCCTCCATATCCCTCCACACCCACCCCTCAGGATATGTAACCCTATTAACCCACCCCTCCGAGGTCCTCCAACTCTTCCAACAGGCTCTTCTCGCCACTCGAAGAGCCCTTGGCGCGCTGCTCGTTAGCCCAGGCAGTGAACTCCCGCTCCAGCTCACGAATGAGGTCGTCCTGCCGCGAAACGTCGTTTGGGGAACACGTTAATGGGGGTGTGATTTAACGCAGAGGAAGCAACATGCAGTTCCCACCACAAGGAGGCGGTACCGGTACCGGTAATGGATTGCCCGTGCTGTCACTTACCAGACCCGGCATGGGCTCCTGGTTGATGTTGGGAACCCAACCGCCACTGCCGTACGTGCCTCCAGTCCGGCTGCCGGTACCGCTGTAACCGCTGCCTGCTCTGCTGCCGCTGAAGCCGCCGTACCCCTGTGCGTTTGCAGGACAATGCTCAATCTTAATACATGTCCGCAATCTCTCTTGTACCACGACGTCCATTTTTTTCAGGTATAAGTCAGTATTAGTCTGGAATGGTCTGGTCCAGGTACGTTCTGGTACGGTCTGGTCTAGACTTTATAGACCAGACCAGATTCAGGACTCCGCAGGACACTCCCAACAGCCTACGCAGTAACACAGGAGCCATGTAAGGCCCTCATGTCCTAAGAGTAGCGTTCAACGTAGCGCTCCTCTTTCCTTCCCTCCACACACAACGCACGCACGCTCTCTCTCTAGCAGCCAAGCACAGCCCCGCAACCCTCCACCACCTACCACCCGCAATCTCCTGTCGTACTCGGCCCGCTGCTTGCCGTCCGACAGTGTCTCGTACGCCACCTTAACCTCCATGAACCGCTTTTGGGCGTCAGGCTGAGGACGAGTACCGGTATATGAAAAGGAAGAAGCGCAAAGATAACAAGAATGAGGGGAGTATTGAAGTGTATTGACATACCGGTACTTGGTAGAAGGGGACAAGCCAGGGAGGCCATACGGTACTCAGGTGCGCACAGCGTACCGGTATGTGTGCCCGTCTCCACTCACCGCTTTGTTGACATCTGGGTGCAGCTTCATGGCTAGTTTGCGGTACGCCGACTTGATATCCCGGTCGGAGGCTGACTGAGACACACCCAGGATCTCATAAAAGTTTTCTGGGGGCGCGTGTACGACAGTCACGGACACGGGGAGGAGGTTGGAATGCAAGCGAACGGCCATACCAAAACACACAATAGCGTACGAAGCTTGAGACAAGGGAGAAGGTGGTCAAGCCCAGCGTAGGGGAGGAGATGCAGAAAGTTACCAGGTAGGTGGCCTGGGGACGGGTAGGCGCGGTTGCAATGATAACCAACCGGCGCGTGGGATCCTGTCTGGCAGTTGGGCTGAGGTCAGATGCTTTAATTACCCACTTGCAACCGCGTTGCACACAACAACACCGCGACGTCCAAGCCGCACTGGCGCACGAGCTGGTGTCCTTGGTGTAAATTGGCGCGCGCTGGCTCCGCAACCCAACTGGCAGCCTCGCATGGGCGTAGCCGGATGGACTTGCATCGCTCCAGCAAGGGTGCTGCGAGAAGCGTATCGCCCCACGCTCGCCGACGCATGGCTGCAACATGTCAGCGCTGCTTGCATTCCTCGCGAAGACGGCTGCTAGGCTCGAGCGCAAGCAAAGCTGTCACAGGATGCGCCCCTTTACGGTAGTGAAAAAGCGTCGCTCTGTATTTGCCGGATAACTGAGTAACAGTATAAAGCTTTCAGTAAGATGCGACCGAAAAGGAGCTAGCGTGATTGCTCGGAGGCTGTCGGTTGACGAGCTGGACGAAGTAAAAGTACTAAAATAACATCTTGGCAAGCTGTACAATTCATATCATATACAGGAGGCACATGATAAGCACGGCAGCGTTGAAGTTGATTTGCATTAGCAGAATACCGGTAATGCCTCGTCGTCGATGGCATAAGCCCCACGACCCTTCTTTAAGGCTTACAACATGGCCTGTACGTGAACGATACATGCTAATATTACGTGCTTGCAAAGGGAACACGTTGGGGAAAACGAAAGACCCCTGGGACACGGTAACATGGGCATGCCCTCAACTTTTACCAAGAGGCATCCAAGGGGCACCCGAACGGCAATCTGCCTTCAAGGTCACATGCTGCATACCCCGAGTGCCGCCCTTCAAGGCCCCTCCAACATGTTGGCCATTCGTACAGCGTACACTGTCAGTGTTTGTCACGGTGCTCGTAGTGAAGTCCAGTATACGACCCCTGAGGACTTCCTTGCAGCTCAACCAATCTTTCAGCTCCAAACTCCCCTAAGGCCCTTACATGCATTGTACCCCCCGCCGTGCATAGGGCAAAGCGGCATCCTCGGCCTCCCTTAACACAAGAGTCTCATCCAGGAGATCACAATCTGCAGACGCTGTGCGTCATCTTTCCTACCCTCACCGCCCCTTCCTGCCCCAAGTAGCTTCCCACCGGTATTTCCCTTGGCCGTCACGATCGCCGCTGCCCTGCTCCTACTATTTAGGCATGGCTGCATGTTTCTCAACTAGCTACGATGTCCACCTTAAACAAGTGCGTACGAAACACGCCTGTCGGCCTGTCCTTCTCCACCAAACTTTGTTGTATGGTGAGTAGCTGGCAGCACCAAACCCTCCTCTCATCCTCCTCCTGTCCTGTCCTGCCCCTGCGTCCTTAAAGACGCCATTAAGCCTCTCCTCCTCCTTCTCCTCCAACCAAAACCTCTCATGGGCCACGCACCCTGCCCCTACTGTCACTTCTGTACATGCAAGGCGCAGTACCCCCATCCATCCCTCGGCCTGCCTGTTTGCCGTTCAGCATCTGTCCTCCCTCCTCCCTCCTCGTCCTCCCACCTCCTCACATCCTGATCATGCACTGCGCCCCACCCGCAACCAGCCTCTGCCCCCACCCCCCACACAGCCCCCCTCCTCAAACAGCTCCCCCTCACAGGCTCAGCACGCACTGCAGCGCCGCCGCCAGCTGCTCGCTGCTGTCCCGCAACTCCGCCTGCGCCGCTCGGTCCAGCGGCAGCTGAGCCAGGCAGCGGCGGTTGTATGCGAGGGTGCGAGCCAGGTTCTGGAGCCCCGGGTGGAACAGCAGCCTGGGGGGGCGTGGAGGGGAGTGGAGGGGAGTGGAGAGGAGTGGAGAGGAGGGGAGTGATCAGGGGCAGGGCGAATGGGGTTACTTGCAACCGGATGCGATGCTTGCCGTACAGGTAGTAGATTACGTAATGGCAAGTTACCAGCGTACATCCACCATCCGTACATCGCCTTTCGCACATGCGCCTACGAGGCAAGTCCTCCTCAGCCGACTGCCACTACCATGCTTCATTGTCAGGAATGCCATGCCTCTCAGGAAGTCGCAGGTCTGTACGGCAGCCGCTACCGCTACTCACTGCGTCAGCACGGTGGGCGGCAGGCTGTCAATGGCCGCCGCCGCCGCATGCTGCTCGCCCCCCGCCGCCCCCCCGTGCGCCTCCCCCCGCTGCAGCCCCATGGCCGCCCCCGCCTGCACCAACTCCAACACCACCGAGTAGGCCTCGGGGTCCACTCCGTAGTACGTGTCTGCTAGGAGGGGGAGAAAAATTATGTAAGTGAAACAACGAGGAGGAGGAGGAGGGGGAGGGGGGAAATCATAGGTAAATGCATCGACGGAGTCCCAATCCCGAATCCGAGGAGTGGGGGGAGGGACAATCGCTTGCAGGTAGGTACATGCGCATGCGTTTCGGCTTGCTGTAAGCTTTGGAAAACACCCTCACGAGCAGCTGCATCCACACGTCCCACTGTGCTTCACCCTCACACTCCCCTTACCCGCAGCCCCGGGGGCCTGCTGCTGCTGCTGCTGCTGTGACTGCTGCGCCGCCGCCACCGCTGCCATGTCCCTCCGCGTGGCTCCCCCAACAACCACACCACCGCCTCCTCCTGCTGCTCCAACCCCACCCGAGTAATGATGCTGTTGCGGCGGGGGCTGCGAGACGGAGTGCTGGTGGTGGTAGTGGGGGTGCGGGTGGTAATGCGGCCCCGGCGGCGGCCTGCTTCCTGCCCCCTGCTGAGACGCTTGTTGCTGCTGGGAGGAGGAAGACTGCATGCCTGGCAACCCCTGTGATCCCATCCCCACCGCTGCTGCTGATCCTGTTGCCCCTGGCCCTGCCGCCGCCCCAGCAGAGCCAGCAGCTGCAGTGCCGGCAGCAGTGGCGGTGGCGGCGGGGTAGGAGACGAGTGCCAGGGGCTGCGCCTGCTCGGCTCTCAGGAAGGGAAGCGGGATGACCAAGCCGCCATCGCATATCTTGTGCAGCCGCTCCCGTACGCGCTCCAGCTCGCTGGGGACGGGGGCGTGCGGGCCGGAAGCCTGGCGGGCAGGGCAGCGGAGAGGCCGGGGGGAGGGCAAGGAAGTAAACAAAACGCCCGTTCAAGTTGAAACCGAAAGTTAGGGCAAGGCAAGCGGCAGGAGGCGGCGTCACAAAACGAAAGAGGGCCAAGAAACCCAAAACAACTAAACAGCTGGGTTTAGTTCAGCCTCACCGGGCTGTCAGACGCCCGGGCGGCATGGTGGTGATGGCGGTCCCGGTGCTGCGCCTCCGCCGCCGCCGCCAAACGTACGGCAGCCATGTACCCGCCGCCGGCGTCGTCATCATCATCCTCGCCGTCACCGCCGCCGCCGCCGCCGGCAGCACCCGGCTCCACATCGCCAGCAGCAGCACCCAGAAAGGATGTCGTACTGTCGTCCAAATGCCGTACAACGGTCCCGGAACGGTCAAACGCCGGTACGGCAGTGGTGGTTGCTGCTATCATGGTTTCCCCCGGCCGTACGACCATGGTAGCCCCAAACTCGGCTGCTGCTGCTGCCGCGGCGACGGCGGCGGAAGCTGAATGCCGGGGAACTGGAGTAACGGGAGAGCGTAAAGCGGAGCCGGGGGCGGGTGATAAGGCTGGGTGACCACCGCCGCCGCCGGCGGCGGCTCCGCCGCCGCCGCCTTCGGATCGTACGACAACCGTTTCGTACCCCTCGTGTACGACAACGGTGTTTGCGTAGGAGCCCCCGTCCTTCACGACTACCGTAGATTCGAAGCCGGCGCTGAAAGGAACAGGGACAGGGACAGGGACACAGCACGCAGACAACACATCAGGGTGTATGACGGACAGGGGCATGTGTAACCAGTACCGTATACGCCATACAAAGCAAGACTTGCATGCACATTGATACACTGCAGCACCAAACACTCCATGCAGCACCCCTGACATGCTGTCCCTGGCTGCTGGCTTCCTATGGTTCGGTATGGTCTTTGACCCCCACTCTCCCTCCCTCCCTCCCCTTCTCGCACCCACCTGGACGAAACCCGCCGCACCAGCCCCGGCGTCCCCAGCGGCGGAGACATGGGCTGCGGGTGCGACATGCGACCCATCCTTGGCGCCCCCCCCTGTGCTCCTCCTCCTCCTCCTCCTCCAGCTCCCCCTGCTCCTGCTCTCCCACCTCCTCCCTGCATGCCCCCCTGCTGCTGCTGTTGCAACTGCTGCAGTACAATCCCCACCTCCGCCTCCTGCCCTGCTGCCCCTCCTCCTCCAACTCCCCCTCCTCCTCCTCCTGCCGCCCCCGCCCCTACATGCCCCCCCGCTGCCGGCGCCCGCACCGTCTCCCCGAACGCGAGTGCAGCGTTATCGCTGTCGTACACCTCCCGCGCTGCCATTGCACCCAGACCCCCACCGCCTCCACCTCCGCCACCTCCACCAGCGGCAGCAGCACCTCCGGCACCGCCCCCTGCACGCACTGCGGGGGTGTGTAGGGCAGCGGGCATGCGGGGGGGAGAACCCGTCAAGAGGTTTCTTTAGCTTCCATGTAAAGCCGCGAAGGCGGCTTCGCGGCTCAGGGTTGAGCTACCACAGATCCAAAACCGTCTCATTATACTGTTACGCGGCTCAACAGTTGGCACAACAAACACACGTGATCGGTACTGTCAACAACCTGTCCACGACCCCCCCAGCCCCCCCACCTGTCCCCCCCCTCCACGAGAACCTCCCAGTGGCGAGTCCCGCCAGGTCCCGCAGCTCGGGGGGCGCCTCGGGGGCAGCCGGCTGGGAGGCGGCGGTGCTCTGGCGGGGTGGGGTGGGGGGTCAAAGACCAGGGAGAGCGGAGAGGTGAGGTGAGCGGGGAGCCGGGGGGGGGGGGAGACAGCATAACTCAAGGTGGGGTTTGAAGACCACAGTGGCCCACTTTGCCTTCCTGTACGTGTAACCCCCTGCCGCCTCTTCTCCCCATTGCTTTGCCCCTAACCTGTGGTTCCCTATGGGCTGGTGCGTGGTCTTCCGCCCCCCGCCCCCTTACCCTGCCAACTCCTACCCCCATTGCTTTGCCCTAACTTGTGGTCTCCTATGGTTTGGTATGGTCTTTGACCCCCCCCCTTGGTTCTGGTATATCCTCCCCGCCCTGTTCCCCCCCCCCCACCTGCAGGTACTGTGTTGCCCGCTGAATGAGCGGCTGCAGCCCGGCCGCCACCCCCGGCCACAGCGACATCACGAAGCGGTGCTGCAGCAGGTAGCGAGCGGTGGGTCGCTGCTTGGGGTCCTGGGGGGGAGGGGGGATTATTCCGAAAAGGGCGGGGAAAGGGGGAGGGGGGTTCAGGATAGGTCATGCCACTGATTAGGGCAAAACAGTGGGGGGATGAGGCGTCAGGAAGGGACGACAGTGAGAGATGAAACCCATCTGAAACTGATGATACCTTATGGAGATATGCATAGTTAGAGAAAAGCCCCTCTTACCCCAGCCCCACCCACCTTCATGAGCGCCTGCGACACGAAGTCCGCGAACACCGGGCTCCAGCGCTCCGGCTGCTGCAGGCGGGGCGGCGGGTCGCGACTGATCATGAAGATCACACGCAGCGGGTGCACGTTCCAGCGGGGCGGGTAGGTCTCCGCCATCTCGATGGCGGAGATACCCAGCGCCCACACGTCAACCTGGAGGGGTGGGTAAAAATATAATGAGACACTGACGAAGCAACTGACGAGCTGTATGACAAGGCCTCACCATGGAGGGGTGGGGGGGCGGTGGGGGCAGCCAGGCGCGCAGGGGTAAGGAGGAGGGGGGAGGATTGCATGAAGAATGAAGCAACTGGAGTCCCAGGAGGGGGGAAGGGGTCCCAAGATGAAGGAACAAACCGGGTGTGACAGGGCTCCGCCATGGAAGTTGCATGACAGTTGCCGTACGCTACCCCTGCCGTACACCCCATATGCCGTACGCCGCCCCTGCCGTACCCCCCACCTTTCCATCGTATCTGCTCTCCTGGATGACCTCTGGCGCCATCCAGTGGGGGGTGCCTATGAAGGTCTGCCGCTTGCTCATGGTGTTGGTGAGCTGGGCGGACACACCTGCGGGGCGGGGGGTCAAGGACCAGGTACCAAACCATAGGAAACCACAGGTTAGGGCAAAGCAATGGGGGTAGGAGGCGGCAGGGTGCCACAAGACAAAGTGTTGGCGGGGCGGGGGGGGGCGGAGAGGGGGCGCGGGGGGCTGAGAAACCAGGGCGGAGGAGGGATGGGAGATGAAGGGGTGCGGTGATGGGACAGTGTGGTACCGTAGACCCGCAGGCGGTACTGCGAGGCGGGTGCCCCGAGGAGGCAAAGCAGCCACAGCGGGTCGCTCTCCCTCCCTCCCTGCCTCCCTCCCTGCCTCCCTCCCTCCCTCAGCCTTCTTCTTCTTCTCCACTCTCCCTCCCCCAGTTTTCTCCTTCCCCCCTCCCCCCCTCCCTTATATTTTTTTCCCCCCCTCCCTTCCCCCTCACCAAAGTCCGCTATCTTGACCTCCCCAGCCCCCGTCAGCAGGATGTTGCCGCACTTGATGTCGCGGTGCACCTTGCCCAGACCGTGAAGGTAGGCAAGACCCTGGGGGGTGGAGTGGTGCGGGGAAAGAAGGATACCCAATGTGTGGTGTGAGTGTGGTAAACCAGCTGACAAGCCCCAGACCCTGCTTGGGGGATGGGTGGGAGCGTGGGTAGGGGGATCCCCCATGGGAGGGTTCTCACTCAGCTTTCCCTCCCTCCCCCGCCTCCACCCCCCTTCTATCTTGAACCCCTGCCCTACCTTGAGCGCCTCCCCGCAGATGTATGCGATCAGCTCCTCCGGCAGCGGCTCCCCCGCCGCTGACAGCAGATCGCTCACACTGCCGCCGCCGCAGTACTCCATCACGATCCACAGCTCGGAGGGGTGGCGGTAGCTGCCCTGAAGACAGGGGGGAGGGAGGAGGGGGAAAAGAAGGGGACCCAATGCGGGGTCAAAGACCATACCAAATAATATCCGACGGAAGGACAGCACAGCGTGGCCCACTGCTGTGACCCACATCAGCATGGGTTGTATCGGTATAGTTCCATTGGGAGAGGCATTGGGAAAGAGGAAAGATGTCCATTACCACCACCACCACCACCACCACCAGCGCGCCAACAGACACTGTGGCCCCCAATCTCCGATCCCCATTGCTTTGCCCTAACCTGTGGTTTCCTACGGTATGGTCTGGTCTGTGACCCCCCAATGCTCCCCCACGGCGCAGCAACTGACCAGGTAGCGAACGACGTTGGGGTGGTTGCATCCCGACAGGAATGCAATCTCTCGTTGGATCTGTTTGAACTCCTCGCGATCTTGATCGGTCACGGGAATGATCTTGATCGCCACTTTCTCCCCGGATGCGGCATCCAGGGCGCTGTACACGGTGCCGTACGCGCCCTTGCCTGGGTTGGGGAAGAAAGTGAAGAAAATAAAGATAAAACGGAGGGAAAGGGTGTCAAGAGTAAGGGGGGTAATAGGGATTTTAAAGGTTTCCGGAAGGGTGGCGATGTGTCACGGGAGCTTGTAAGAAGGGAATGGGGAAGCTGCCGTGGTGAGAGGATGGGAACGGGTGGTTGTAACATTCGAAACATATCCGGGCGGAAGATACTGCAAGACGCTGCAGAGCTGACCCTAGCCGATCAGCAATACATGTGCACGAAAGTCGTTAAGGGTTCCCCGCGGTCAGCTTCTTGGCACATGTCCTGTGCCTCCGCAACATCGCCCGTACGCACCTAGCACATTTTGCAACTGGAATCTACTCCGCGCTGCTTCCGACTCCTTCTCCTCTGCGAACCAGTAAGCAGTTTGTCGGCTGTCAAGGGAGCAATTGGACCTGAAGGCAACCGGCATCGGCTCGTACCAGCATTTGCGCTTAGCCGGGCCGCTGCTGGGGTTCTAGCAGCACCAGACGAAGGATCCATGCTTGGCGTGATGCGCCTAGGTATACGCGCTTGCTAGGCTGACAAGGTACACAAAGGAAGGCAAAAAGACTTGGACTAGGCCATGGTTAATATTTTTTGTCTAACTTCAGTATATAACAAACAATAAGAGGTTTATTGTGTAGCGCGTTGCCTAAGACAAAACGAGTTAGGTCTTGGCTCCACATCATAAAGAAACCAAATAGTAAGGCACACCCTCTTGCACGCCAACTGGTAAAGGTAATACATAACTATAGCAGCCAAATCAAAGTTCAAGTACTAACTGAAGCAAAACGTTTATGGCTGAAGTATGCGAGTGACAGCTGCTCCACCATCCACCTTGCAAAGCTCTTGCGAATGACTGTATCAGATGCATATCCAATTAGACAAAAAGTACTAGCATCTGATCTGGTTTGATCTCACCACACATCAATGAGTAGTTTGTAGAATGCATAAGCATGAGGCAGAATGCTCGTGGGGCACCGCCAGCGAGCAGGGGGCAGCAGCAGGAGCCCTCAGCCCCGCCGACGCGTGGCGAGGAAGCAAGCGTTCGGGAGCTAGTGGAGAGCTGCCTTGCCAACGATGACTTTACGCCGGTGGTGCGTTGCATCTCACATGCCCAACCTCTGCCGCCAAGATGGCAGCGCAAACGTGCACAAAAGCCCTAACCCATGCAATGCCATTTTACCTTCTCCCGATCCCCATTCCCAGCTCCGCCTCCTCTTCAGCAGCAGCTCCTCAGCACACGCCCCAACCCCAGGCGCAACATCATCCTCGCCGCCCCCTTCCTCAACTGCACCGCCTCAGCCCAATGCCGCCACCGGCCCGCCGGGGCCCTCCCAAGCCCCCTCCACCTCCACCTCCCTGGACGTAACCACCAAGCAGCAGCCCTCCTCCTCCTCCTCACAGCCCTCCCTGGAGCAGCTGGAACTCCTGCAATCCGTACTGCGATCTGTGGCTTCGGAGCAGGACGCTGTCGTACAGGAGATCTGCTCGTCGCACGCCATGGAGATCGCGACCTGCGTGGCGGAGCTAGATCGCATGGTGGGCTGTGTGGAGGAGCTGAGAGGAGCGGTGGCGGCGGCGGGGGGAGGGGAGCTGCAGGTGGGGTTGGGATTGAAGGGGCAGAGGGCAGCAGATGGGTGGGGCCTGTAAGGGTTTACCGGTAGGCTAGGAAAGGGCAGAAGGTATGACAAACAGTGCAGGGGGTACCTGAGGGACGCGGTGGCGGCGGCGCGTTGAGGGGAGCGGAGCTAGGCAGGTGGAGGGGAGCTAGGGCTTAAGTACCCCATAATTAGGGCAAGCTGCAGGTGGAGCTGCAAGCTTACATCCAACAGCTTTTTCTTCCTTCCCCTCCCCTTCCTTCCCTCCGCAACCCCCCACCCTAACAGCGCTCCGGAACCGCTGTCGCCGCCGCCGCGGGGGAGCTGTCCGGCCTGCTGGCGGCGCAGCAGCACCTGGCCGCGGCAGTGGGGGGGCTGCGAGCGTTACATCGGCTGCTGCAGCGGGCGGCGCAGGTGGGAGAGGCGGCGGCGCAGCGGCGACTGTTCGCGGCGCTTCAACATCTGGAGCGAGTCAAGACGACGGATCTAGGTGAGTGCACCGAGTGGTGTTATTGTTGTTGGCAATGGGGTTGTCGTTGCCTGTAAAGCTGCGGTAGCGTTGCTGACCCGCGGGTCAGTAGCTCGTGTGCCTCTCTTACTCTGCTGTATGTGCCAACCCCTGACCTGTACCCACCCTTATGTGTGTTTGTATCCGTGCATCCCCAGCGCTTGCTTTGGACGTGCTGTCAAACGACCCACGGGTCACCTCGGCGCTAGCTGCCACTGGTGGTACGGCAGAACCGGAGGCCGTAGCAGCGGCAATGGCGACGGCGGCATCAGCGGGTGCTAGCAGCGTTAGCGCTGACGGTGGTGCTGCTGCTACTGCTGCAACAGCTGCTGTCGTACAGGTCTCCTTGCTTCCGACTCGCCATCAAGCCCTTGTGTCCCGGTTACGAGGTTTCCTGCAGGTGTGGTGTATGTTAAGAAAACTGGCGGCGAGTCCGAACGTACTGGGACTTGCGGAAGATGCATTGTGTGTGGGTGGGTGCGCGGGAGATTGCATGATAATTGAAACGACGATGCGGGGATGCTCGCTTGCTACTGCGGCACGGCTCCCCCCCTCCCCCAGGGCCTGGTATCGGACCTGGAGTCGGCTGTCGAGTACTTTGCGGTGGCGGAGTTCAACAACTGGCTGGTAGGAACAGTAGGAGCCGTAGGAGCGGACTGTTGTGGGCCTGGGTAGCCTAGCTGAATCATAATGTGTGGGTGGCGTAGTTGATACACAGTCTGCAGTTTTACAGTTGCCATTGTTTAACAGCAGCAGCAACAACCCAACCCCTGGAGTCGATGCTGCATCTTGTCAGCCGTTGGTTATAACTTACCTCGGCGCTCTCAGCCGACCCACATGGCACACATGCTGGCTTGGCCTGCCCACGGGTTTCTGCTGATTTCTGATCTCGCCCGATACCGTACCGGTGTTGCCTTTCATTGTAGGTGGGCGTGAGAGCCGAGTCGCGTAAGATTGGCCTGCGCGCCATCCGTCAAGCCGCCATTGAGCGGCAGTACGACGAAGACCTGGCGGCGGAACGCCGTACGGCGGCGGCGGCGCTGGTGGCGCGACGGCACGATCGAGGCGGCGCGGCGGCGGTGGCGACGGCGGCGGCGGCGGTGGTGGCGGCGGCGTTTAGGGCGGAGTTGGCGCAGGAGGGGGCGGCGCCGCCGCTGTTGCCGCCGCCGCCGGCGGCTGCTGGTACAGCTCAGGGTGGTGGTGGTGGTGTCCCTGCACTGGGGACTGCAGGAGCCCGGTGGGTCAAGGGGTCTGGGTACAGGAGCCGAGAAACGAGCGAACAAATAAACGGACAGGAAGAGAAAGGCCTATTACGTGCACTCGTACCACCCCATCACAGACGTGGATCCCTACCGGTATTTACCACCTAACCTCATTTGTCATTCCGTAATCCGCTGCTTGCTTTTGGCCGTCCGCCATCCTACCGTTCCTCCCTTCCCCATTTCTCCCTCCCCCTTTTCTCTGGCTTTCCATGATGACGTGCGACCAACCTGTCATGGCTCTTGTATGGCTGTTGTACGCCCCCAGCTCCAGCAGCAGCACAGCCCGGGCCACTGCCGCTGCTGCATCCGCCGCCGCCGCCGCCGCCGGGGGTGGTGGTGGAGGCAGCGGCGGCGCCAGTCAGGGGGCCGGCTCCTTGACTCCTCCTCCGCAACAGCAGCAACTCTCCCCGGCAGAGCTGGCCGCGCTGTGCCCCGGGCAACCGCTGCAGGTGGCGTGGGGGTGGGGGAGGTTCGTTTGACTGGGCCGCATCTTTGACTGGGCCGCATCTTCCGCCTCCTAGTCCTGCCTGCCCGTCCCTCCGCTGCTCTGGTGATTCTCCTCCTCCATTGGAGCTGCCTGTACCTCATGCGCTCTTCTCCGCACGTGCTGGGGCACTGGGTAAAGGGCCCCCATGCATGCAATGCACAGGCCTCCACGCCTACCCCCGCCTGCTCCCTCCCTCCGCCCTGCTCCCTCCGCCCGCTCCCCCCTCCCTCTCCCCTGGTGCTCCCTCCCTCCGTCCCTCATCCTGCTCCCCTCCCTCCCCCCGTCCGCCCCCCAGGCCATCCACTCGCTGCTGCAGCGGCACCGCGCCTCCGCGGCGCTGCCCCCGCCGCCCACCTGCACCCTCAGCGACGCCACCACCGGGCTGATGCAGGGGGTGGACATGCAGGGGCTGCACAGGTGGGGGTGGGGGGTTGAGGGAGGGAGAGGGGTGAAAGGGCACGAGTAAACAAACACACCGTGTGACAAGGGGTTCCACCATGGGTTGCATCTTGGGGGGTGGCATGCATGGGTGGGCGCGGGGCCTGCTGGAGCTGGGCCCGCATGCTGCGTCACCGGCCTCAACCTCCCTCCCTCCCCCTCGCCCTGCCCAGATGTGTCCACATCCACGCCTGCCTGGGTCTCCTGCCCTCCTTGCGCCGCACCTACCTGCAGCAGCGCCGCCTGCAGATCCGCACCGACCTGGCGCCCCCGCCCAACTTCCTGGAGGGATATCAGGCCTACCTGGCGCAGGTGGGGGAGGGGGAGGGGGGAGGGAGGGGGAGGGAGGGAGGGAGGTAAAGAGGAAACAACTAACTGACCGTGTGAGCGGGGAGGGGAGGGAGGGAGGTTGCGAGGGCGGGGGGTATATGAGAAGTGAAGCAACTGGAGTCCCAATCCCATATCCCGACACTCATGCAGTGAGGCTCTCTCCATTCCCCAATCCTAACCCCTCTCTTCCCCCCCCCTACCCCTCCCGCCCCATAACCCACGCCAGGTTGTGGGTTTCTTCGTGGTAGAGGACGCTGTTCGCAGCTGCTGCCCCCCGCTGCTGCCCCCCGGCTCTTCCTCCTCCGGCCCCTCCTCCTCCTCGGAGCCCGACAGCGGCTCGTTGCTGTGGGAGGAGGCGGCGGGGGGACTGCGGGGGGTGCTGGCGCGGGCGCTGGAGGAGGCGCTGAGTGGGGGTGCACCCGCTAGCATCATGCTGCTGCTCAAGGTACGCTGGGTTGCGGTACGGTTACTGCAGGGCAGTACGGGTTACGTCGCACTGCGGTTATAGGGTACTAGGGGTATATTACGGTATGATGAGACAATGACGCTGCATGGCGGCTGCTGCTGACGTGTCGCTTTGGTTGCCGCTGGTGTCGGGCAGCCGCTGCTGACGTATCGCCACAGTGCCCGCCTGCACCCCTGCCGACCCACCCACACTTTGGACGCTTGTTCTCTCCCTCGACGCCCCTCCGTGGGGCCTTGCGCCCGTACGTCACATGGCCACGTTTTACCTCCTCCTTACCTCCTTACCTCCTTACCTCTTCCCTTACCTCCCTTCCCTTACCTCCCCCACCCCACCCCCACCCCCACGTCCCCTCAGGACTTCGTGCTGCTGGTGTGTCGTCACAGTGCCTTCCCTTCTCTTCTTACCTCCTCCCTTGTTACATCCTCCCTTCTCTTCTTACCTCCTCCCTTGTTACATCCTCCCTTCTCTTCTTACCTCCTCCCTTGTTACATCCTCCCGTCTTCTTCCCTTACCTCCCTTCCCTTCCCGGGCCCCCCCACCCCCACCCCACCCCCCCCGCTCAGGACTTCATGCTGCTGGTGTGCTCGGCGCTGGGCACCCGCGGCTTCACCACGGCACCCATCATGGTACGTACACACTGCTGCCGTGCAATTTCGAACGCGGAGATCTGGTTGGCTTGCACACCGCGTTCTGCCGACCCTGTTTCGTGGTGATTCGGATTACTATGGCACAAAAGGACAGCATGAAGTTACGGCTTGCAGTAACCTCCGTCCCCACCCCCCTCCCCGCACACATTGGGTATGCTTCTTTCCCCCTTCTCCCCCTCAGGAGCTGTTGGTGGCCAGCCGGCAGCGCTACCACGAGCTGCTCACCGCCTCCGTGGCGCTGAGGGTGGCCCGGGCGCTTGCCGCCGACCCGCTGGGTCAGCCGGTGCGGGTGGAGTCGCGGCAGCAGGAGCAGGAGCTGGCGGGGCGGCTGGGGCTGCCGGGGGCGCTGGAGGCGGGTGGAGGAGGTGAGGTGGGGAAGCGGGTGGGGATTTCTGGATGCATGTGCATGTACGATGACCTAACCCTAGCCCTCCTCGCCACACACACAATCCGACAAATCAGTACGTTCCTACTCACGGCCAGGTTGATTTCTTAAATCCCCCCCAACGCACCCCCCCCCCGTGCGCGGCAGGCGAGGGCGGGTGCGGTCCCCCGCTGCCCTACCCCGCCCCCTACAGCGCCAGTGTGCCGCGGATCCTGCAGGCGGTGCGGGGATTCGTGGCGGACTCGCTGGCATACCTGCAGGTGGGGGGGCTGGGTGGGGTGGGGGCTGGGTTTGGGTTTGGGGTAAAAATTATATAAGTGAAACAACGAATCCCAATGGGTTTGGGGTGGGGGGGAACGGGAAGAGAGGGTACGGCCAAGCGACATGGCAACTTACCGTGGGGGCAGTAACCTGTGGTGGTGCTCACATAACTCCCAACCGAACCCAACCGCCACACCCCACCCAACGTCCTAACCCCCGCCCCCCCAGGGCCTGCTGAGCCCCTGGGAGCTGCTGCCGGCGGTGCTGCAGGCGCGGGACCGTTTGATTGCAAAGGTGGGGTAGGGGAGGTGGTGGCGGTGGTGATGGAGGCTTCATGGTGGGGGCTGAGGTACTCTCACATGCACCTACCTCGGTGTAGCAACCACCCTTGTAACCACCGTAGCTATTCCCACGTACCAACCACCATACCAACCCTTGTAGCAACTCATTCTTCCCCTTCCCTCTTCTTCCCTGAACACTCCCTTTCCTCCCTACGGCCCTCCCTCGGCCCCCCCCCCACCAACCCCAACAGACGGTGGTGGACGCCCTGTCGGACCACACCGCCCGCCTGCTCGCAGCTGGGGCAGCATCAGCCTCATCATCATCATCAGCAGCAGCAGCAGCAGTCGGTGGCATTAATGGTGCTGGTATTGGTGCTGGTGGTGGTGGCGGCGGCAGTGGTGGCGGCGGCTGGCGGGTGGGTGAGGTGATGCGTATGGTCGCCAACGCCTGGTGCCTGGCGGCCGCGATGAGGGCACTGGACGAGTGGACGCTGCTGCGGGTGAGTGGTGCGTGTTTGTGAGGAAAACGGGCTGCGAGTAGGAACGGTAGGTGTGGCGTGTGAGGAAGATGATGTGGTGGGAGGAAAGCAATGCGGCGGCAGCAGACCCGTGTATGACCCGCCCGGACATGCACCCGTGTATGACCCACCCGGACATGCACCCCACCGTGACGCCTGTTGGCCAACCCAGACCCAGATGGGAGGGTTGGCCCATTAGAGGAAACTGACACGAGCTGTATGACGAGGCTTCACCATGGGAGGGCGGGAGGGGAAGGCATAGCAGCCTGGCACCATCGTAATGGAGTGACTATTACTCGACGGCTCCACAAAGGCTAATTTCACCTCGTTCGACCTACAACAGGTGCGACCGCTGGGCGCCATGGCTGCAGCCGCAGCGGCCGCCGCCACCGCCGGCTCCTCATCCTCCGCCGCCGCCGCCGGCGGCGCTCCGCTGTCACTTACCTCCGCCGCCGGCGGCGGCGGAGGAGGCGGCGGCTCCGTACGCGGCGGCGGCGCTAGCGCCAAGTCCTCCTCCTCCGTCTCCTCCTCACACTCCTACGCTGACGTCACCGTCACTAGCGGCAGCGGCGGTGGCGGCGGCGGTTTCGGCGGCGACTGTTCCATAGGTGCCGTACTGGCGGCGTTGCGTTCCGTACAAGACGCTGGCGAGCGGGGGCTGTTGCGGCTGATAGCGGGGCGGGTTGAGGCGCTGGTGGGGAGGGCGCGGGGGCTGAACTGGCTGCCTGCGGGCCCGCTTCCGCCGGGCACCTCGCCCTATGTGGATGAGCTGCTGTTGTTGCTGAAGGTAAGGTCAGGGTGGGGCTCAGGGCGGGATCGGGGACTGGTGGTGCTGCTGAAGGTAAGGTCAGGCCGCCCCACACCACACCACACCACACCACACCCACGCTCCCCCCGGCCCCCCAGGACACCTTTGACACCGCGTCCTCCACGCTTCCGCGCTCCTCCTTCCTGTTCCTGGCTCGGGCGGTGGTGCGGGCACTGGGGTCGGCACTGCTGGGGCTGATGAAGGAGGTAAGCAGGGAGAGGAGGGGGGGGGGGGGGGCGTAACTAAGGAAACTGACGAGGCAACTAAGGAACAGGAGGGGGGGTAGAGAGGAAACAACTAACTACTGCACCCCCCCATGTGCACTCCCCCCCCCCCCCAGGGCATCAAGGCCTATAACCTGTTCGCCATACAGCGGCTGGCGGCTGACGTGGCGGCGCTGGACGCCTTCATCGCCGCCGCCTGCCCCCGCGTGCCGCACCTGGCCGCGGAGTTCGCGGAGCCGCGGCAGCTGTGCGCGCTGCTGCTGGCACCGCGGGTGGGGAAAAAAGAAATTCCAATGGGGGGTGGGGCGGGGCGCGGGGTGGGGTGCGGGCCAGAGACGGAAACCCATGTGTCAAACCATAACCGCCCATATGGTGCCCGCCGCCACCATGCTGCCATGCCAGCCAGGTCTGACTAGCGGGGTTATTGGTCACCGCTTTCCACAACAAGTTCCCGCTTTCCTTACCCTTAACTACATGGCAATAGTCATGTACTCATGTTTCCCCCAATCAATGCCATGCAGGTGGAGGAGGTTCTCATTCCCGAGGTACGGCGGCAGCGCTACCCCTCCCTGGACCTGGCTTCTCTGGTCGTGATTTTGGAGCGGTACCGCGAGTGCTCCAGGGTGGGCAAGGAGAAGACCGGCCACGTCAGCAAGCGGACGCTGGAGGGGGTGTCCAAACAGCTGCGCGCGCAGATGGTTTCGGGAACAGCAGTCAGCGGTCTGAAGGTGCTGGAGGACGTATAAAGGACGGCTGCTTTTGGGGGCAGAGATCGCTAAGTTTAAAGAGCGGTTCGGTATGCTGGGGATTGCGATACATGGGTAGATTGGATGGCGGTAAAGTGTGGGCTGAAGTCTCCTGGCCAGCTGTTTGGGAACGAAAGTACAGCGGATCTAATGGTGCGAAGGGTGCGCTGTGGAAAGGAGTCGCCAGGACGAGGAGCTTCTTGCGCGAATGTGCGACCCTGACACGTGCCTGATCGGGATATCCGAACCAGAACAAGTTTAGGGTGCACTTACATGTCCAAATTGGCATCGGGTTTACAGAAGTGTGTCTGACAATTTTGGTTGAACTTTCCCCGCACGTTCGACACGTGTTCGTACAGAGGACTCGGCAAGGATACAGCTCCAAGCGGCTTACCTCCTAAGCAATATTTCGTTTTTCCCGCAATCCCGATCAACATACGACAGGTGTTCTAAGCACCGTGAGCTATTAGTCCACCTCATCTTGGCTCTGGGCCCCAACTACCGTGATGATTTTCCGCGTTTCTTGACAAGCTGACATAGGGAATAATTACATGTTATAGCTTCTCAAAGTTTCTGCTAATACGAAGATATTGGTGCTTTACTTGTGTCAACATGGCGGAAGCTGAGGTGGACGTCGAACAAACGCTCCACATTGCTCGGGCTGTAAGCGTATACCGTATTCCACCGCGGCCTGGGGCAAATGGCTGGCGCTCAGGGGAATGGTTGGTGAGCGACAAGCTATTCAGTGGAAGATTACGCGTTATCGGCAAGGGTGAACTCTGCGAAATCCGCCTGGAAGACCCCAGCAGGTACCGCTCATAATGACATGGCCATCATGCTTCGCTTCAATGCTTTTCCTGCGGGCGATCCCTTTGTTTAATGACGCCAAGCATACATCCCATCCCACCCCACCTGATGTTCATCCCCAGCGGAGACCTCTTCGCCACGTGTCCCGTACAGTACGGGCAACGCAACGTGTGCGTAGAACCCGTAACTGATTCGTCTCGATACTACGTGCTGCGAGTTGAAGACCCCGCCACCCGGCGACATGCCTTCTTGGGGATGGGCTTCGACAACCGCTCGGACGCATTTGACTTCAATGAGGCCCTGGTGGGTGGCTGTACAACAATGCTCGACAGGTCTTCAAAAGTTTGATTTCAAGCATCCTTAGAGCAGGATTTACACAGGTATCAAACCCACTCTGCCCCCTATTTCCCGTAAGGACCCGGAGCAACGCATGCATGTCGGCCACAACGCATGCGCCCCCACCCCGTGTCTCCACCTCCTTCCTCCCGATGACCATCCGCCCCCCCATCCATCCATCCATCCATCCATCCACACCCCGCAGGTACGACACGAGCAACAGGTGGCGCGGGAGCGAGCCACCCGCGCAAGGGCGGCCGAGACGGCTCGCAGCAGCGCCCCTGCCTCCGATATAGGACCAGCAGCAGCAGCAGCAGCAGCGGTAGCGGGCTCGCCACCTTCTTCCGGCGGCGCTTCCAACCTAGCGGCGTCCCCTTCCTCCTCCTCGTCCTGGTCAGCCGCCCAGCCGTCCCCTTCCTGGGCGGCTCAGGGCGCCAGCAGCAGTGCAGCGGCGGAGGTGGAGGGCCTGTACCGGCGTACGGCAGATCTACGGCTGCAGGAGGGGCAAACGATAAGGTACGACAACAGGATTGAGTACGGCAACGGGTTTGAGTGGGTGGGGGGTTAGTGCCGGTCGAGCGGCGCTAAGCATGGTAATCGTGGTGGACTCCTTTGCTCACGTGGGGCTTACCGTACTGCCTGGGGCTTGGGAACTGGGGCGCGTATTGCGTGTGCTGAAGGAGATGGAAATCGCTATCGCCAATCGGTGTGATGTGGGGCGGGTGGGTTACATACGGGCCATGCAGGCTTGCCTAGCGCATACGCGCCGGCAGGAGCACACGCGCGCTAAGGGCAGCATCTCAAACAAGGACATGAAAGCTGTCCTCTTTCAGTTTGGTGCATGTTGTGCTGAGCTACTGTTGTCGTTCCTTGTTGTCAGGGTCAACGTATCGGGGCTAAGAAAGTCTGGAACCGCAGCGGGAGCAGCAGCAGCTGCAGCGCCAACTTCGGCGGCAGCTGGTGGCAAAGGTTTCCTTGGCGGTGGCGGTACGGCATCTGCCGTGCTGCTTCCGCCGCCTGCATCTGGGTCGTCGCCACCGGTTGGACGCGTCGGACTGCTGGCGCCGCCTCCCTCTTCGTCGCCTGTGAGTCTAGGCACTTCGCTGCTGTTACCGGTGAGGGCTTTTGACACTTGCGGTTTGCTGACGCTGGGATCTGTCGGAGTTGAAAAGCGTTAATGGTCGGTAGCACGGAGAAATCTTCTAAACACCCGCCTTGTTTTGAGCTACTAAAGGATTGCTTTAAACGCCATATTCACAGGTTGTATCTACATCGAGCACCGGGCAAGCCAACATGGCAGCGAATTCATCGTCTAGTGATCACTGTCACCCAGTGGGCCAGCCGCTCGGAGTTTCAGGCGCCTCAGGATCAACGAGTCAATATGGGAATGCTGGCAACAATCGAGTTGGCCAAACAGGGGCTTCGCAGCAACCCGTCGATAAAGCTTCCGAACAGCACAACTGGGCGACATTTGATTGAACTCTTGGATTATGCTACAGGCGATCGAGGGGACAAAAATTAGCTGGAAATCGGTGTGCTTGTAGGCGGCTACCCTTTCCAAATGCAGTACTGGAAAGTTTTCAGGGTCCATGTACGGAGGATTCTGCAGTTGGGCTTCTGTACGAGCACAATCTTAACGACACCATTTGTGGCGTTCTGAAACTTCCCAGCTAGGGAGCATGTGGTGCGCAGAATTCTGCTGTACCTTTGCACAAGCTAACATGGAGACTAGCTTTGACTAGGCTGGTTGCTCAAATTGGCTAGCTTCTACGGTAATTTCAAGAACACTGTTTAGCAGCCGGTCGTCTCTCTTTGCTCTAGAAACGAAGCAAACTTGTTGTCTCTGCTAAGATCGAGCACTTGAGGTGTATAGTTTTGGCGGGGCTGAGCTGGCGGCGTCACGGGCTGGTGCCTGGCCCTTCGTAACGTCCCATCTTGGCACGGACATGGTGAGTAGTATTGGGTAGTCTTCAATTCACTCGTCGAAGCGACAAACCTTGCTTCCGCCTACAGTCCTGCACTGTCTCACAAACAGACGGGTTTACGTTGCTCACCAGCACCGCAAAGCTGCTCCCTTATGGGACTCTGTCTGTTCTCGGCCCTGTTTGTTTTCGGCCCAAATGACCGGAATCCGCAATATCGTGCTGGTGCCGGTAGTCGCCTGCGGTTCGCACCGTGAAGTTGGGAGTGAATTTCAGGAAGGCATTCCCTAGCTTTGTTGCATCAGCGGGTCTCCTAAAATCTAATGGATTGATATATTTTGGGATACGATGGCATTTGAAGAACTATTCGGGGTTCCGGTCTTGCAAACCGACAGCCATGTTGCGGCCGCTTAAGCGTCACTGCCTGGTCGCGTTGTAAGACTCTCACAAATTTAACTGCATCGATGTGCTCCTGACCACAGAAGTCGGAGGGTAATCCTTCCGAGGTTGGTCCCTCTTCGGTATGCGAAGCTGTCAGCGGCGAAGGGCAAGTCGAAGATCGCTTTTCTGACGATGAACACGGACCAGAGTTTGAAGCTCTTCAACACCTTTCGGTGGAAGAGCGGCGAAGAGCGCTTCGGTAAGCATGACCCCGCCGGTTGCGTCGGTGGTTAGACGATTTGGCGAACGTCATGTCTTCTTGCGCTTCTTCCAGACTCATCATGGCAGAGTTTTGTCCTTTTTTCCTACATCGCAGTTCCATGACCCATGCCCAACATCACTTCCCGTTCACCATGACACGGTGCTGCAACTCTCACACATATGCCCTCCGCTCTTCAATTCTATCAAAATTCTCCTCAGGCGTCTTCGCAACCGCGAATCTGCGCGACGTGTTCGCGCTCGGCGGCTTGCCGAGATGTCGCAAATGGAAAGCACGGTGCAGGGCATGCAGGAGGAAAACGCGGCCCTCAAGGCGCACGTCAGCAAGCTGCAAAGCCACATCCAGTCGATGACGCTCAAGGTGTACGAGATTACCTCCAAGTACGAGGCAGCGGTGGCGGAAAACGCGCAGCTACGCTCCGAGTTGCAGCTCTTTCGGGTGAGACAGCGAGACAGCTCCTCTGTTCTACGGTTTTTGTAACACAAATCGTACAAAGCGGGGTTCACATGGGCACGTGTCGCCGTGTACTAGCCCTACTAGGGTCGAGACACATCTTGCACGCTGCTGCTCCTGCCCGTTTTCCCAGTAAGACGCACCACCCGCCAGTCGACTCCTTTCCTTACGTCCCCTTCCCTTCTCCTTGCCTCCCCTTTCCAGCCCTCTCTTCCGACGGCGCTGCGCGCGGAGAGCGGCAATGTCCCCGCCGCCTCCGCCGCCGCTGCAGCAGCCGCTGCAGCTGGCTTCTCCGGTGCGTCCCTCTCACACCACCTCTCGCCCTTCATCGCACCCGGGCACCAAGACGCCACAACTCCCACCGCCGCGGCAGTCGCAGCCGCGACTGCTGCGTTTGCGGATGCCAACACCGCGACCGCTGGCAACACCGGCGGCGGTGGCAACGCTGCATGTCAGCCCCAGCCCCCGCCTCCACTTCACCACCACCAGCAGCAGCACCCGCTGCTGCCATCGGGGCTGTCGCAGCTGCGCGCCAGCAGTCCGGTGGACCTGCAGCACCAGCGGCAGGCGCTGGAGGAGGTGGTGATGCTGCTACAGGAGCACAAGCGGAGGAACCAGGCGGCAACAGCTGTGCAGGTGGGGTAGGGATAGTCGTTGGGGTGCAAAGGGGGGGAAGGGACTATGAATGAAATGGATTTAGATATGGATCGTGGGTGTCGAAGTGAGGGTGCGATGGTAGGTGTGCCGAGCGGCTGTGCAGCTAGGAGGGAGTCGGGGGGGAAGGCGAGGAAAAAGAGAAAGTGGGAGGGCCTGGTGCCTGCTTAGGATATCATAGGAAACGTGTCTAAGCTGGGGTGCTGTGGTAGACGTACCAATGCATCTACCATTCCCTCCTCATTCTGCTTCAAACGCAGGATCGCTCGGCTTCCGAATTGGGATCCAGCGGCGTGGGTGGCCCCAACGCCAGCAGCATCGTCACAGGCCACACGCTGGCCTCCGACACGCCCACACCAACCCCCGCCGCCGCTGCTGCCGCCGCCGCCGCCACCCCAGCCTGCACCTTTGGCGGCGCCGCGGGCACTGGCAGTTTCAGCCTGGGCAGCGGAAGCAGCTTTGGAAGGGTGGTCGGCAGCGGCGGGTGGCAGGGCAGCAGCAGCCTTACCTATGCAGGAAGTGAGCCGGTGGGAAGGGCGACCTCCCTTATGGGTGCAGCCCCCATGGATATCTCGGTTTCACAGAGTATTGGAGCGACGGGGAGCGGATGCGATCTGCGGGCGTGTCAATCTGAGGTTCTAATGGGAAGCATGCAACGACAGCAGCAGCAACAGCATGCTTTGCAGCAGCAGCAGCAGCTGCAACAACCGTCACTGATGCAGTCAGGAGGGGGATCTCTAGGCGCCGTGAACAACGCCGCCGTACTGGCTCAATTGGGCCTCTCCGTGTGTATGGATGCGATTCGCATGCCGTCCGTCGCGGCGTTGCAGCAGCAGCAACAACAGCAGCAACAACAGCAGCAACAGCAGCAGCAACAGCAACAGCAGCAGCAACAACAGCAGCAACAGCAGCAGCAACAGCAGCAGCACCAACAACCGCAGCAGCACTCGTTTGTACGTCAAGGCAACAACCCTTTCCCGTTGCATCTCCCGCCGCGGCCGCCATCCTCGCAACAACAGCAACAACAGCAGCGACAGATTGACAAAGAGCACGTTGCAGCAAAGCTTGGAAGCCGCAGCAGCATGAGCTACAACCCGCAACTGCTGTCACAGCTGCAACCCTTCCTGGGCAACACAATGCCCATGCTGCCACCCATGCCATCGCTCCAGCACCCCTCCAGCAACCTCCAATCCGCCGGTTCCGGGGCCCTGAACAGCGGGGCGGCCGGGCTCTCGGGCCCTTTCTACTCTGCAACATCCAACGCAGGGTCGTTGTATCCCATCACGGGTTCTGGGCTTGCTGGGTTTGCGGGCGCGGGAGCAGCTGGAAACGGTTGCAGCATGCAGCTGGGTCATGCCTCGAGCGGCGGCTTGGCGACGATGAGCGCAGGCGGTGGTGCTGACGGCGGCGGTGGCAGCATTGGCGCGGTTGGCGGCAGCTTCGGTGGACAACAGCAACAACAGCAGCAGCCACTAGGCTGCAATGCAAGCGCGCCCTTTGCGTTTGACCGGTCAAACTGCGCGAGCGTTCAAAATGTGGTTGCGGTCAATCCGTCCTGGCAGCATCAAAACGGCTTTGCTACAGCGGCGAGTGCTCCGGGGATGGCTGGGTGTGGGGTTGCGATGGCACTGGGTGCCGGCGGAGGTCGCTCGGAGGAGATTGCGGATGACTTGTTCATGTCTCTTGACGAATTTGTGCCCCAGGACTTGTAGTGCTGCCCTGCTTTACTACTTGGAACGCCTGAGGCCTACACCGCATCAGGGTTGTGCTTCTCGGCCCTGCTACCCCGGCCCTTGCGATGCTTCAGTACGACATGGCTGCGTTTTTCGGCGGTGGTTGTCGTTTATAGAATCGGCTGTGCAGTGGTATCGGCTATATGGATGCTCGGAGCTAATGCTTCGTGAGGGAGGAATATTCGCGCCGAATTCGACGTGCACTGCAGGTTGCGGGATTTGCCTGGCTGGCTGCTTAATGACTGGGTAACGGCTGGTTAATGGCTGGGTGATGGCTGGTTAATGGCTGGTTAGTGGGGAGTAATCACACGCCATCCTACACGTGCCCCAGGATATACTTGTGCCGTCGAGGTTTATGTTTCAAGTTTCGGAGTGCAAAGGCGTGCCTGGTTAGGACATGGATGGCAGCAGGTTGATTGGTCACCATGCCGGGGCTGGCGTGCTTGGTCTGGTAAGTGATATGGCGCGACAGACGCACGGTTGCGCTGCACCATGACACGGCTTTTGGTTGGCATAGCACCCGTAATGCGTAGGGGGTAATGCACCTTCGGAGATCTTCACTGCTCTACGGTTCTGGTGCCGGGCGCTGCTGCCGGATGCTGGCCTGCTATCGCCCCTTGCGCATAACGCAGAGTCCTCAACGAACGAAGCGTAAGGAGCAGATGATGCGGGCGGCTGGTTAAACGCTGCTGGGTGTTGTTTGACGTGAGGTTCGGCCGCTTGTTGCCTTTGGGGACATGCCAGAAGTGTTGGGGAGCGAACGTAGCTGCATGTTTCTCAAATTTTGCCTGCCTTGCGACACTGACGGTGATGTACGGAGGGATGTACGGATGGATGTGGAAGTGTACGGACTGAGGTGTCGTACATACAGGTATTTGGCGGCCGTATGTGTCCAGCTGTTTGGGCTGTTACTGAGGCCTCAAAAAGGGAGAGGAAGTGGAGGCGGCAAGGGCTCTGGAGTGGGGTGGAGCTGGCTGGTGGTTTGGCACAGCTAAGGCCCAGCAGCATGGGTAGTGGCCGTGTGCGTTAGTGCAGCCTGGGCGGTGTGGGCATTGCATTGGTGGTTTTGCTTTGGCGGTGCGAGGGGCAAAGGATTGCGGCATGCACGTTTGATGACCCACGGGTCTCAGATGAGAAAGCTGTCTTGCCATTCGGGTCTTGCCATCGGCGGTCGGCGGTTTTCGCTTGGCGACCCTGTGGCTCTTTCTCCTTGGGAGACGAATGCGCGGATCGAAACACGTTTGGCATCGAAACACATGTGGGCCTTGTGCCGCAGAAACGTACGGCAACAAGGGCTGCCTTTCTTTAGCGGCAAGAGTTGCCGATCTTGCCGATCCTTCCTTATTCCTTAGGCACCAATAAGAACCATCGATGTGCCATCGTTAATAAGGTTAAATAATGGCTGCGTTGGCTTTTGGGACGTTTGCCGTGGCGTTGGAATTACTACGCCGCTGTTTCGAAGCGCGACGCCCCGCCGGTGCCCTCCATGTTGTCTGGTCAAGCTGCCTGCTCGTCTGGTGGCTTTCAGCAGCCCTCAGCAGCAGCAGTAGTACTGTCGTAATAATGCGATGTCGTTGACCGTTGCTTTCGCGCTGAATGCTTTATTTGCTGTGGCAAATGTTGTTGATGTGCTAAATGGCTATGCGAACGTTAGGCATCGGAAGCTTTTCCTCCGAGCCTGACGTCCAATGCGTTTGGATACTTAAGGTGTACGATTGACTGTGAGGCTCGAGATGAAAGAATGATTATGCATGGGCTCGTTTTGCGGGCAAGATCATGGCGATGATGTTTCCCCATGGGCTGCCGGCGTCGTGCGTGTCAGGGTGTGTTGCATGGATTGCTTGGGAGCGCCTTTGCGTCGGAATGCGCAGTTAGCTTAGCATGCCTCCCAAGGTACTCGCTGGGAGTTATTGGGCGTTATTGGATTGGAGAGGCGCTCGTTGTGGGGCCTGTCAGGGCGGGTTGTCGCCGACAACATTGACAGCGCGGGCCCGTTGCCTTTTTGAGGTGTAGTATCGTCAAGCTATGTGAATCACTGCCAGCAAGTAAAACGCGTTTTGTTTTATGCATTTCCATGAGGGCTGTACATGTCTGATAAGTTTTAGGGCAGCATCGCCCAGCAGGCCCCGATGGTATGCCCGACGATGGTGAAACCAAGGGGCATGCTGTTTGTTGCTGTGAGGGTTACGGCTGTTGTTTGAAGGGCTTAAGTATGCCTGGATGGAGGGCTGAGGGGCAAGAAGGACCTACCAACAAATGATGGATTGTCGTATATCTTATAATCCCCATTTTGTGGCACGACCGGTCATCGGTCATCACATGTACATACAGTTCAACGTGTGTACGCCGGGTCGTGTGTCGTGCATACGTCTTTGCTCATGCGGGTGGCGTTGGTGGCCATGCGAATCACACACATGCATGTTTAGGCGAGGAAAACGGACCAGATGCGGCTCAGGGCATGTAATGCGATAGCCATAGCGAATGAGCTTGCCCCTTGTTGAGTTGTCCACTGAGACGAAATAGGTGGATCAGTGTGTCGTCGGGATAGATGCCATCCGGTTGAGCAGGGATTATTTGGATATCGGAGGACTGGAGGACGGCATAGGCGTTTATTTGGTTTATACGGAAACGGTCGATCGTACAGCTTCGTTTCATTGTGAAGCCCAGGATTCTAAAAACAAATGCTCTGGGGTTCATAAGGGTTTGATTGGTAGTGTGTTAACAAACGCGGTCGCGAGGACGCGTATGTAGGATTTCATGCCGTGCCGAGAATAAAGGGAATGGGATGGTGTTGTATTGCATGGCCCAGGAGGGGTGAGTTTCTGCTGCCGCTGGCACAATGGCATCTCGGCTGCCGTACACGGATTGTACGTGCTGGATTTACTTGACGAATGTTACGGTGCTTCGAACTACCTCCCAATTTAAAAGTTTGAACACTCGAGCGGTTTGTAGCGCCCTGTGGCTGGCACCTAACGCACAGAACAGCCCTTCGTACCACACCAACACGCACAGCCCCTCGCCGCCCTGCTGCTGCTGCTGCCATTTGAAACCTGGCACGGCCTCAGGACTCCATTCCTTCTTAGGGCCACGTTCCCGCTTTGGTGGCCGCAAACGCTTTGTTCTCTCGTAATGACGTTTACGGGTGGGCTGCAGAGAACAACCTATCCAGCAACATGCATACTTGCATTCCTCAACGGTGACGTGCGCATGCAGTGCTGCGCATGCCGTGATGCGCAGACTTGCTGGGCCGGGATATGCCGGTATATAGAGAAATTAAAACTTTTGTTTAGGCCTAAGGGTATACATACGCCGGTACCTGGGTACATCCATAGAAGCTACTCTAGTCCTCGTTTTCCATTAGTCTCTCAGTAGCTCTACTTTTAGGTTGAATGGCGAAAAGGCTTGGGCGTTTCGGGTGCCTCGTACCGTTCCTGAAGACTTATCTGCACCTTCACGTGAAGAGAACCACAGTACCGTAGGACAGCTGGGCCCTTGAGTCACGGGGCGTCACTCCTTGTCAGGTCGCAACGGTCGAAAGTCATCAGTATTTTCACCTATTTTGTTTACACAGACTGTTACAGCTTTACAGCCGCGCCGTCAGCCTTTTGCTTATTGCTGCTTTACAAGTCTTACGTTCAACAGTCGGCCCGCCAGGTCTTTCCTGCAGAGCCCTAAAATGTCATCCTCTCAAGACGAACGCGACGCTGTAGCTCAGGTGAGTTGCTTTGCTTTGTTTTGCAAGAGGCCTCTGACAAGCAAACCCTCTGGCCGGCCGGATAGTATAATTCAACGCAACGTACGGAGGCGTCCGCTCCCTGACCCATGGGTCACTTTCCGCACGGCACGGCAAGAACCAACAAACAGCGTTTCTGCAGCTATTGCGAACGAATCTGCATGCGGACATCCGGACGCTCAAACGTCTTATTTACAATGCCCCCCCTGTACTGCGGCAGGAAATGTTTGGAAAGAAGTTCGAAGAGCTCGAGAGCATGGAGCGAATCAGGGTGGGTGCGCCGCTTGCTCGCGATACGCGATACGCGATTTGTCGTTATGCGCAATCAACTCTTCTTTCCAGCTTCATTCCTGCCATTATCCTGCATCCACAGCCGCACTAGGGTATCTCGCGTCCTCCTGTCATTCTACTACTACTAGTACTACCACTGCTGCTGCTGCTGCTGCATAACCGTTGCGTTGCTTTCCCAATCTCACAAACTGGGTGGCCTAGGTGGGAGGGCACATCGGCGGCAAGCGAGGCGGAGGACGCATCCACGAAATGTCTGAGGAGAAGAAGGCGGCGGAGGGCGGTGGTGGCAGGGAGGGGCAGGAGGCAGCAGAGGGGCAGGAGGTGGAAGGAGAGGAGGTGGAGGGTGCGGAGGGAGAGGAGGCGGAGGCGGCAGAGGGAGAGGAGGGGCAGCGGGAGCAGTAGGGTAGTAGGGCACAGGGTTGACGATGATGATGAGAAGGGAGGAATGCGGGTGGGGAGCTGTTGCGGGCTTGTTGTGCGGCTTTCCGGTTGAAATTGCGGGCTACAGGCGGCAGGACGTTAGTTGGATTGTGGCAGTTATTGGTTGAATCGTAAAAGCGCTGCTGCTGCTGCGGTTAGTTATTGCGGTTGATTTGGGCATGAGGGAGAGAGTTGGGTTGACAAATGAAGCGGCTTCAAGGACAGATATACCAGGGGTTGGTCTTCTGCGGGGTTACACAGGGTCCGGCCGAATGGATTACAACAACCCCTTGCAAGTCTGCGGCATTTTGTAAGCAGTGCGTACATTCCATAAATGCTGACTTGGGGCATGACCGCAATACGCATCCCAGCTGTCGTCCGAAACTATATACCGGCGGTACGGACGTAACGTTGTGAAGTACATGCTTAATGACGGCCAAGCGAGAGGCCTGACATCTGACGCATGTTCGCTTATAATCGTTACATATCCTAACATGTCTAGAGGGCACATTTTTGACGAAACCAAGACGCTAGTAACAAGGAAGGAGCATCAGTAGTACAGCCCATTATTCAGAGACAGGTAAGGAATGGACCTGAACGAGTTACGTAAGAGCGTTACGCTGTGCATACCGGTACAATTAGAAAGAGCTACATGCTAGAGATGAGCCTGGTATCGCCAACATTCAAACGGCTAAATAAGAATAGTATTGAATGAGGAGGGATGTCGTACGTGACAGGCACGACACCTCATGAGGCCATGTGTGTGGGTTTTAGGAATTCAACACAACGCTTCGCCATGGGGTTCTCCCTTTTCCCCTTGTGCACATCAGGGGCAGTGAGACCTTAAAACGGAACCATGACGAAAAATAAGCAATCATTCAGGTCAATCCATCTCAATCATCTGCGCCCCTATTCGCACCCAAGCCGCAGAAACACAGTGTCACTTTCATATGCATGCGCCCGCCTATATACATACACATATCCTTCTACACGCGGGCTAAAAACACTACCTTACCATGACACCAGACGTTGGCGTTAGGTATGGACCTTTATGCTCCATGACCACCACCACCCCGGTTTGCCTCTACGTCACGACTGAACTAACGTCTTTAGTAAACTTCAGACAACATACGCGGGCTATGTACGGGCGACTCAACGGCAACTAATGGCCGTACTCCATTTCGCAACGGACTATCCGTCATTGCGGCACGCGGGCTGCATGCTTGCGGACTGCCGTACAAGTCGTCATCGCCGCCGCCGGCAGCCGCCGCCGCCGCCAGATGACGTCGGAGTGCCGCCAGCGCTAACGGCGGCAGAGGCGCGTGCGGAGGCGGCACATCCCCGTCAGACCGTATGTTGTATGGCCGAACCAACGGCGGCGCCGACAAACCAACTGAAGTTGCATCGGACACGGCTGAGTCGGGCCGCGATGCATGACCGTTGCCTAATGATGGTAGAGCTAATGGAGGTACAACTGGCGCGGTCTTGGAGCTCCCGTCGCCGCCACCAGGCGCCATCTTCACCGCCGTACGGCGCTGCTGGCTCTCCGTACCATTCGGCCCTGCGGCCGACGCCGCCGCTGCTGACGTCGGATTGCTGGCGGAGGAGAAACCGGGAAGCGGCATAAGGCCTTCAGAGATGTTTGACGACACGCGACGCATTCCGTGGCCCGGCGCCCGCGGCGCCGGCGGCATTGATGGCAGCGACGTCGTCATTGACGTCAGTGACGCGCCGGCAATCATAGATCGCCGTACCGCCGACTCAGTCGCGACCTTCGTCAAGTCCGGACTGGCGCCGCCGTCGTCAGAGTAGATCGCCAGTGAGGATTCCGAGGGGCTGCGCGCCCCAGTGAATGACGAGCCGCCGTACGCCGACACGCTGTCATCGACGTCTCCGTACATGTTGCCGCTGTACGGCCGACTCATTGGGCTGGCGGCGCCGGACGAATCTTCGAAGCGTGACGGCGACGTCGGCGGCAGCGACTGCACGGCGGCGGCAGCGGCGCCGCTGGATGTACGACTCAGGCGACGGGGAGCTGGACTCGCCGGCGGTGGAAGCGACTGCGGTCCTGGCGGCCGAGGCGGCCGCGGGAGTGGCGGCGGCGCCGGTTGGCTTTCAACTGCTTCTCCTGGAGCGGTTAGGTTGCCAGCGCCGTGCACCTTGCGGTACTTGAACGCCTCGGATCGTTCCAACGAACCGTGGCGCGACAACCAATTCAGTTGAGGTAACGATGGCGACATGCCGTTTGACGACGACGCTGACGGCGCGGTCGACGATGTTGTCGCCGACGTCGGCATTGGGTGCCGCAACGACGGCAGTTTTCGGTTATCGGAAGCGCCGCTACAGCCGTCATAGCTCGGGCGCTTGCTACTGCCGCTGCCGCTACCACCGCCGGGACTAGGGCTGCTGCTGAAGCTGCCGCCGCCGCTGGCGTTGCCGCTGCTGCTGCCGCCGCCGCTGCCATTGTTGCTGGTGCTTGCCGTATGAACTTGCGAAACCAGATCCAAAAGGGAGTTCAGCTGCTGCTGCATTTGTTCCATAGCGCCGACAGAGTTGGAACCTGCTCGCTGTTTCGGCCAAGGCGCCCCATCCTCTTCTTCTCTCTCCTGCTCCTCCTCCTCACCCTCTTCTTCCTTCCCTTCTTCCTCCCCTTCTTCCTCCCCTTCCTCCTCCCCACAGTTCCTAACATCCTTTGCCACTCCCACCTCCACCTCCAGTTCCGCCAGCCGCTCCGTCAGCATTACCAGCGGCAGCACCTCCGCTGAATCCCTCGCCGCCGCCCCCACCGCCGCCGCCGCGGTCGGCACTGACGTCGGCAGCGTCACCGCAACCCTCGCCGCCGTCACCGCCGCCGGAGGCCTCATGTTCATCAGGAAGGTCTCACTGGGCGGTGTCTCCTCCTCTGCCAACAGATCCTCCTCACTGCTGCCGCAGCTGAACGCATCGAAAGCGTCCCGTGGGTCAGTGTCCTCCTCCTCCGCCTCCTCCTCCTGCGTCGGCACCACTGATGGCGCCAAAGCGACCGTCGCCTCCGCCGCCACCATTGGCGGCATGGCGACAGTCGCCTCCGCCGCCACCGTTGGCGGCACGGCGGCCGTCGCCATCGCCGCCGTCGCATGTACGGCGGCCGTCGGCGCAGCGGTGACAAAAGCCACAGGAACCGTGCCGACATCACTGCCAATGTAAGCATGCACAGCAGCAGCAACAGGGGCAGCGGCGGCAAGCTCCTCGCTCAGGGCGCTTTGTGTGCGCACAATGCTCGGTGCCTCGGAACCGCCGCCAGAGCTGCTGCTGCCGACGTCAAACACAGCGCCACCGGAGGATGACGCCCTGCCGCGAGCTACGCTGTAAGCGCTGCTCTCCTCCTCAATCGTGGACAGAAGCGGAGGCCGGATGTGGCCGCTTCCAAAAGCCCGCCGCGGCGGCAACGCCGCCACCGCCACCGCCGTCGTAACGCAAGCACCGTCCGCCACCGCAGGCACCGCCACCTCCGCCGCCATCTCCGTTGCCGTACCCTCAACAACGCCGCCGTCGCCGTCGCCGCATTCCGTCGTCTGAAGTGTCGGCAGCAGCAGCGACCGCGGCAGCTCCGGCGTGCTGTCCGACAGCACCGCCGCCAGGCGACCCGCAGCGCGGTGCGGCTCGTATCTGTACGGCCAACCGTTGCGATGACGCGCTAAAACCGCCGCCGCCATGGCGACAGCGCTGCTGGCTCCGCCACTCGCTCCCGCCGTACTGCATGGATCCGAGAACCGCCGCCGGTGATGTTTATGCTTCCCTTGAAGCCCAATGGGATCTGGCCAGAGGCCCATGAGCTCCCGCACACCCACCATGGCTGGCGGCGGCGCCGCCGCCGCCAGTGGCGACGGCGATCCGACTGCAGCCGCCGCCGCCGCTGCCTCAGCGGCGGCGACGGCAGCCGCCGCCGCCTCTTCATTCCGTAGGTCCGCCATTAGCATTGCGTTTTCCGTCAGTGGCGCCCCCGACGCCACCGCTTGTCGGAGATCGCGAAGCACGCGACGGCCGTCGGCAATGCGCTCCGAAACCGCATCTCTGGCGGCGCCGACGGACGCGGCGCGACTCGCGAGGAGCTCAGCGCGCGCCGCCGCCAGCGCCGCCAGCGGCGCGGCGACGACATTAGCGAAGCGCGAGAGGTCATTGGCGGAAATGGTGAGGAGCTTGGTGGCACGCCGGGCGACGACAGTGCATGGGTAGCGAGGGAGGTTGGCAGCGGAGGTGGAGGCACGGGCCCAGCTCTTGCGACTGCGTGGGTCCTCACACTCCTACGTGGTACGGCAGCGGGTGCGAAATCAAAGCACACCGGTAGTTGAGAAGCAGTCCCTCTTGTAATCGCCTCGCAGTTTGTAATCTAGCAAGCAAGGAGGCAAGCCATTCCGGCAACAGTACCATTCAAGGCCATGGCGCCCTCAGCCCACAAACCAACAAAGCCATTCTAACCACACACACACTCTATTGTCCCTCTGCTGTCGTTCCTTTAGCCAACGCCTTACCTGTTGCCCTGCCAGCTTGCCTCCCTCCCGCCAGTCCCCGCCGCAAACGCTGCTGCCGCAATCGCTGGCCCCCGACGACGGCAGCTGCACCAGGTTCGCGAGCAGCCCCTCCCCAAACATCCCGCCGGGCCCCATGCACGTCAGCGCGCCCCCCAGGTTCGCAAGCACGCCCGGGGCCACGTGACGCAGGGGCTCCCCATCGGGTCCGGAGGTGTTGCTGCCGTCGCCATCGTAGGAAATGGTGCCCGAGTCGAACATCACGCGGCGGTGCCCGTAGGCGTCCTGCGCGTGCGGGGGTTGGGGGGTGGGGGGTGGGGCGTGCAAGCACGGCGTTCAAGCAGGTCTAGTTCCGGTTTGGAAGGATTAGCGGAGGTCAGCAGGGCGTAGTACCGGTAGCCCCACCTCAGGACAATGAATTGGTGGTGGTATGTAAGTGTGAACGTGATACGTGAAACAAAGGTACCGGCCATGCATGCATGCAGACAGGCAGGCAGCAGCAACAGGAGGCCAAAACGCAGGGAATCGGAAACCAAAAAGGACTCCTTCCCCACTGTCCTTCCCTCCGGCTCCTCCCCACCTGCCGCATGCCCAGAGCCGCCGGTGGCAACCGCCCCACTCCTCCTCGTGGCGCCGTACTCCCGCTTCCGCCACCTCCTGCTCCTCCCCCGTTGTTGCCCTCCGGTGCCGACAGCTGCCTCAGCAGTCCCCGGCCGCCCCTACCCGCAGCAGCAGCAGCAGTAACACCGCCCCTGCCCCGGCCACTACCTCCTCCTCCTCCCGCCGCCTGCGATTGCTGCCCCTGCTGCGCTGCCGCCCCCGTCGCAACCTGCTGCTGCTGCGGCGGCGGTGAGGGAACGAGCGCCACGGTACCGCTACCGCCACCGCTGACACCGCTGCGTAGCAGCGCCATCTTCGAGGAGCCGGTTGCTGGAGGACCCATGAGGACGTCGGCAATGCCTGCCGTACTGTCGAGCAGCAGCACCTCGCCTTCTTGCACCATCCAAAGTGTGGTCACGGGCTCTCCTTGGACGGCCAACACCGCGCCTGCTGCCACCTGACGCGGCCTGCAGAACACAGCCAAGCTGGCCCGTTGCTGGTCGCTGAGGCCGCGAAAGGGACTCAGACGAGAAAGGAAACTGAGTAATGTTTGGAGCTGTGCAACCTGCGTGGCTCGAACCGTGTGGTTGTAGGTGCTGCGGGAAATGACGATGAGGTCAACAAGCGGGTCGGGCGAAGCGGATGCCGCTAATTGGGTTGCGGTGGCAGATGAGGAAGTCTGTGACCCGTGGGTCAGTTGGGAGGTGAGTGTGGTGGCCGAGGGGGTCGTGAGGGCGGTTGATGATGATGAGGTGGAGGAGGTGGAGTGGGTGGCGGTGAGGGCGGGGAAGGGGCCGGGTAGCGGGTGTGGTGGGGGTTGACCTGTCGGGTTTGGCATGTGTGGCGGAAGGGGCGCGGAAGGGGGAGGTAAGTAACTTCAGTTGCTTACGTGGATTGTGGAATTTCAGATACAAGAGAGGGGCAACAGAATGACAACAGTCTCCCTTTGCTCCCCGCACCCAGCATAATAAGGCCCGGTTTGACAGGCCTCCACTCTAAACGCACACACACACATGCACAGCTTCAGCTACCACGCACACTTGCTCAATCCCGCCCGGCCCCACTCCCTCTCCTAACCGGGCCGGGCCCCAAGCATGCATGCATTCACAACGCAACAACCCCTCACAACATCAGCCCCCAACCCCCAACCAACGCACCTGTGATGACGGTGGCTGTCCGGCGGGAGTCCCGATGTAGGAGCGCCAGCTCGCCGAACGACTGCCCCGGCCCCACCGACCGGATGAGTGGGCCGTACAGTGCATCCAGCTCAGCAGCGCTCAGTGACTCTGCAACCATTTGCGTTTGCAGTTGTGTTTGGCATATGCAGCTCAGGCAGGCAGGCAGGCAGGTGAGCGGGCAGGCGGGCGGGTGCGGTGGAACACGGTTAAGCGGTAATGGTCAGCAGTCAAGGATTTCTCCCTGTGCTTTCTTCTTTCTCCTTTCCCTTTCGGAAAAAACACACCTGTGTTAATCAGAGCTCCATGATCCACGACCTCATGAAGTGTACGACGCCGCATGGACGCCAGGGCACCATGCGAAGACATCAGCCCCGTCCTAACGCTGACGCTGTTGTTACCACAAGTGCCGTACATGTTGCCGTTAACACCGTTGCCATTGTTGCCGTACGACGCCAAGCTGAAGAGATCGCTGCCGTTCCAGTCGTACTCAGATCCAAGGCCCTCGTCGTCAATGCCGTACTCGGAATACGTGTCGTACATGGATGCTCCGGAGGTGAGGGTGCTGGGCGGCCGCCCCAAGTGGCGGTGGCCCCCTCCCTGGCTGGTCTGTGTGTGAGCGTGTGTGTGTTTTGGAGGGTGCGTGGTCAGAGACATACCAGAACCAAAGGTTAGGGCAAAGCAATGGGGATAGATTGAAGCAGCTTGGTGTGGGGGAGTGCGTGGTCAGTTGGGGGGGTGTGAGCATGTGTTTGCCGTACTTGGTGTGTGTATGGTGGAAAGTTTTGGTTCCCCTTGTACCCATTCAACCGCCCCACCTGCCCCCAAGGTTTGGTATGGTCTTTGACCTCCCTGGACACCTCTCTTGCCCCCACTGCCGCTGCTGCGCCCACCTGAGGTACCAGCGCCTCGCTCCACGGCCCCGCGCTGAAGCTGTCCCTACCCCCCTCAGCACTCATGTACGACATCGCCCCTCCGCCGCCAACGACTATGCCATGACCGTTGTTCGTTATCGTTGCATGCCGACCCAACACTCGCTGCCCTTGCAGCGTTCCCAGAAGCCGATCCGGACCCGCGCAGATCTGCTGATGTAAGGCCCGATTGATCTTGCGTGACGTCAGCTGGGTAATGCGCCGCGGCCCGCCTCCGCGCCGTACAAGCTTCTTGGCGACTTCGTACAGTACGACACCCACGTCGGCACGCTGTACAAGCTCCGCCAGAAGTGTACGACTCACGTGGGCCGGATCACGGGTTCCAATCTGCGACAGCAGGCGCTTCGCCGGATCCTCCATCGCGACTTGCGGCGCCGTTGGTACGGAAAGTACGGTTGGGCCGTTACGCGGCGTCGGTCGCATGGAGGCGTTACGTGACGTCAGCCGCGAAACAGATCCAGCGACCACCGACGGAACCGAACCGTCGCCTTCCGCGACGGTTTCGCTTCCGGCGCCGTCGGTGGAGGTGGATTTGCTGCGCGACGACACACCGCCGCTGCCGTACATTGCGCCGTTATGCAACTGACGCTGCTCCGCCATTGCGCGGTGTAACGCTCGCGCCGCCGCGCGACCCAGAAGTGATTCCATCGCCATCCCGTCCTCTTCTTCTTCCTCGTCGTCCTCCGCTTCTTCTACCACACCGCCGCCGCCGCTAACGCTCTTGCTACTGCTGCCGCTGCTGCTGCCAGCCTTGCTCATGCCGCCGCCGCCCCTACCGCTTTTAACGCTACCGTCGCCGCCGCTAGCGTCACCGCTGACGCTAGCAGCGTGACTTCCGCCGTCGCCGTCAGAGACATCCTCCTCTCCGCCAACGTTGTCGTACTCTTCGCCGTTGCCGGGGCTGCGACCGCGACGTCCCGCCGCCGCCTGCCGCCACCGCGCCGCTGCTACGGCCGCCAGTGGCGTTATGTTATGGCCCAAACCATGCGCATGGTCATCCACATGTAACCTCTTTAGCGCTTCCGACATAAACCTCGCGATCCAAAAAGGGCTGTCCTTTGGACTTCCAAGCACCTCAGCCGCCCCCGACGGTACCTCTCCACGCCGCGTCTTCTCAACTTCCTCCGCCGCCGTCGCCCCCGACGTTGACGACGCCGCTGCCGTACTTTCCACCTCACTTCGATCCTCATGTCGCACACAACTGCTACAACCGTCATCCGTATCCACATGAATCTTCAGCACCGTCGCCAACGAAACACTGCCGCTACCGCCAATGCCCGTCTTGCAGCTAGCCTCACTGGTAGCGCTACTGCCGCCGCCGCAGGCGGCAGCGGCGGCCGAAGCCGCCTCCGTCGCGGCCGCGGCAGCGGCCGCCGCCGTCGGCGTCGCCGTCCTAGCCGCGAATGAGCCCCCACCTCCACCTTGCTGTAGCGGCCGGCTACCGCGGTTGGCGCCGTTGCGTTGTGCTAGCGGCCGGGCTCGAACCAGGCACTGTCCCGAAACCACGACGTACATGCTGTGGCCGGGCGCATCCTCCTCAAACACCACTCGGCCGGCTGGGAGGCGCAGGTGGGAACAGTCGGCTGCGAGGCGGCGAACCATGTCGGCGGGCAGGCTCTTGAAGGCCTGAAGGAGGGGCGGGGGCAGGAGCGAGGTGGAGGAGGCACAGGAGGAAGGAGATCTTTTTATGCCGCACACGCACGCTCATTCCCGCTGTTGTTTTGCTAGTCACGTTCCTAACCCCCACCCTCCTAGCCGCCCTACCCCCAACACACCCTACCGCACCCCCACCCCCCTTCTTCTCCCCCCGTAACCGCCCCCAGATCCATCCAACCCCCACCTCCATGGTCCCCATGAACTCCGCTAGCGCCTCCACCTCCTCCGTCGCCCGGCTGCCCGGCGGCACCCGAAGCACGCCCAAGCAGCAGGCGGCCAGCACCGCCTGCAGCGCTCGACCCGCATCACCTTGGGGCTGGGTGGTGGTGGTGGTGGGAGGGGGGAAAGGCAGTGGGAGGGTGGTCTTGGATAGGAAGGATGAAAGGTGGGCGCAGGAGAAGAAGCAGGGAGGAAAGGCAGGAGGAGGAGGAGCTGGAAGAGGAAAGGGACTAAGGAGGCCAGGCACCCATCACCTCAATATTCAAACCGCCTAACCCACCTGCGCCGCAGCCAGGAAGCGCATCTGGTTGAGAGCACTGCGGTCAAGTGTGGCGAGGTGCGCGCCGCCGCCGCCCGCCGTCACCGTGCGACTGCGGGGCCGCCGAGCCGCCACTAACGCCAGCTCGCCGAACGCCTGACCCACTACGAGGGAGCTGCGACCGCCGTTGACGCCAGTACGACAGGGCAGACCTGGAGGAGGAAGTGGATGGGAGGTGGCATGTACGAGCGACGGTTGGAGAAGTATCGGTGATGACAAGGAAAATGTTATTTTCGAAGGGTGTTTGTGAGGCAGATAAAAGGTAGATAAACGGATGTATGGTTAGCTGCTTACCGGGGTCGGTTGGGAAGGGATGGTAGCCAGCCACTGGATGGACATCGCATGTGCCACTGATGATAATGTACCTGCGACAGGAAAGGACAGCGTTGAGGTTAAATCTATCCATGGCGATAACAGGGCTATGAGATTGAGCATTTATGGCAAACATGCGCAGAGGTTTGCCTTACATGCTGTCACCGAACTGGCCCTGCTGGTAGACAGGATGTCCGGGAGGAACGTATTCGTATCCTGCATAAACAAATGGAAAGGCGTGTTGCCCACACACCGTTATTGAACGTTGTAAAGCAGCTAAAGGATTGGTAAGTGGCAGTTACTGCGCAAAGCAAGCCAACGCCACCTACCAAGCCATTTGCTGACAACTTCGGTGTCCGCATGACTCAAAGGACCGAAGAAACCCTGCAACGGGTTGATGGAAGCGGGTGTCACCAAAAGTAGTTACAGGTAGGTTGAAGCGACATGGCGGTAGCAACGACGACGGTGTGGTTCGCCCTTAAGCTCAAGTACGCCTTACATCTTGACTACGAAGAAGTGAAGCAAGCTTATGCAGATGGAACTGGGTCCGTTGATTTGGCCTGCAAGGGCAATGAGTGAAGTCGATGCGTAAAGTCGTTTGCCGACGCAACATTGGGCTGCACTCAATTTCCATCTAATGCTTCGCTTCTGCACGCTCACTTTAGGCTTAGGATTTCAATGGCTTGATGCAGCACCATTTCTGACGACGGGCGAAGCCCTCACTGGGTCAACAGGCGACTTGGCAATGGTTCCTACACTAACTATTGACAATAAACATCTCGAGCGAAGCGATATGGGTCACGAGTACTTGTCATAAGCGAAGGAAGGAAAGCTTGCACCTACGGCTACAGTCGCTTGCATTATCGGTACAATTACCGGCTTTGAAGGAGACATGCTAACCTTATTTACATGTGCTATTGCCAAACGCTTTCGTAGCGCGAATAGCCAGGAATCCAGGTAACAACACATACATGGAAGCAGCGTACGGCACAAACAGGTCTCATCCCGAAAAGGAAGCAGCAAATTAGAGTGCCCGTTACGGGTATAGCTCAACTGCAGGCTTTGCATAAAGAATTTTGGGACTTTTCCTACCTTCCTGCTTGGCAGTTATCCCAACCATACGCCTTGGAACAGTGTGGTCGCTCCCATTGGAGAAATGGATGGCTTTTCCCCAACTTCATAGATAAGTCAGTGGTTCATCCAGGCTGTTTGCATATTGCACAGCCAAGGATAAGTAAAGCCTTTTCCAGTAACAGGCACTTAAAAGCATAGGTGCAGCTGTGCTCGCAGTAAACTTGAACGGAAAGCAGTTTGGTGTCGAAATGGCGACGGCTGCGAATAGCAAGGAAGCCGAGGCGAAGGAACCAGGCTCGACGAGTGCTCCGCAGCCCTGCGAAATCGTGTGCCCTCCTGACCGGCACATCCCCGTAAGCTCATAAATGCTAAACGTCGCGGTCGCTGTCCATCTTTGGCTTATCTGCGACGGTTCCGCCCGCCGTGACGCAGGTCGAATTCCATGAAATCTATTCCCTTGTAAAAACCGGCATGTCGGTTTCAGAGCGCACAGCCTTTGAACAAGTAGCGCAGCTGGTGGAGAGCCTATACGCGCAGGTGCGGGGCTGCGGGCAGTTGCCCTGCCAGCCATCTCGACATTTCTCAGTCCCATGTAGGCGTGTCGTTGACAGGCAATATCGCTGCCTAGATACTTCACGGAGCCCCTTTGGCGCATGCTTTACATGGGTGGTTCTTAACGCCCTAACTTAACAATGCTAGCTCCTAGCAACTCTAGACTGTTTTCTGCTCCTTTAGACGGCCCCTAGGTCCGATGCTCCACCTGCCCTTCCCTGCCCTCCATCATTCATGGACCGCCCACACCTCCACGTCCGCACTCCTCCAGTCCCATTTCACACATCTATCCACAGCATGCGTTATGATCTAGCAGGGCACGTCTGCCAGCACCCGCCTGCTTGCTGCGTCGCTGCAACCTCGACCCACGGGTCTCTCGGGTCTCGCTGCTGTGGCGGATGCGAGCGCCGCCGTTTAGGGCTCTGGACACGAAACACGCACCCACACGCCCCCACATCCGCACTCCCCCACCCTCCTGCTCAGCTATGCACACCCATGCACACCATCACTCCCTTTGCCCACATGTGGTCTCACCCGCCCACCCCACCTGCGCGTCAGTTTCCATATTGTACCCATCCCCCACCCACCCCCCATGCACGCTGCCAGGAGTTTATGCTCCTCAAGCGCAACCTGAAACACAACTTCCTGCGCTTCTCAGCGGGTGCCAAGGACCAGCCGCTGCTCAGCTGCCGCGGCGGCGGTCTGCCCACCACCGCCGAGCTGGATGCGGCGGAGCTCAAACTGGTAGCGGACTGGCTGCAGCTCATGGCGGCAGCGAGGTGAGGTGGGGGGGGGGAGGTTTAGAGTTATCCGCACTGGACCGGTGGGTGGAGGAGAGGGAGGTGGGGAGGGGTAAATCACCACCGGCTTTGCACCGGCCTCCCTGCCCTGCCTATGTCCCCCCACCTGCCACATGCTTCCCCTACTACCTATATCCATCCAGCTTGCCTCGCCCCCCCCTCTCCGTGCAGGTTCCACGTGCTGACAGCTGCGGAGTGGGAGCTGGCCAAGGCTGACAGATTCATGCTGTCGCTGCCCGTGGAGGGTGCGTGAAGGGGGGGGGTCAAAAAGAGGAAACTGACGAGCTGAGGAGGGGGTGGGCTGGGGGCGGCCGGGGTCGACCAGGGAGGAAAGGAACCCTGGCTGCTCAGGCGTATTGCACCGCATGTCTCTCCCTCACCCTTTCCCCTTACCTTTACCCACCGCCCGCAACCCCACGGTCTTTTGTCCTTTTTCATCCCCCTCCTTTACAAAACCCCTCAGCCCCTTCCCTCATCCACTATGCGCTCACTGCATGAGTTGGGATATGCTATTGAGACCCTCTTGCTCCACGTTTCATGTATCCCCCCCCTCCTCCCCTCCAGTCAACTGGGACTACTACGACACGCGGCTGCTCCGCTCCTTCTGGTCCTCCTCCCCCGAGCGCCGCTCCCTGCGCGCCCTGCTGCCCGACCAGCTGGCGGACCGAGTGCTGGTGTGCCACCGCGGGGTGGGGGTGGCGCAGGCGAGCGGGCTGTACGGCAGTCAGAAGCTGGAGCTGCTGGTGGAGTACCTGCTGGCACAGCCGCTGGGGAAGGTGGGGAGGGGAGCGAGGGAGGGAGGAGGGAGGGGTAAAACGATAGTGCGTTGCCTCACTTCGGCCCCCCATGTCGCTTCTTCTTTCAAATAGGGTGGGATGGTCTGGCCACCATGTTTGTTACCCCATGCTGAAGCCCCACACACCTCCCGCACCACTTCCCCCCGCCACAGCTCTGGCGGCGGCTGCGCGGCCTGCCCCCCCCGCCGCCCCCGCCCCCCCGCGCCCTCAACCTCACGGACAGCACCCACGCGGCTCGCAAGGTGGTGGTGCGGCGCACGCTGCGACTGCTGATGCCCAACGCCTGGGCCGTGTTGAAGAACCTGCACAAGTGAGGGAGGGGGGGGAGAGGAAGGGGCTGCTGATGCTGGGTGTTAGGAAGCCTACCTCCCCTACCTCCCTTTGGGATTGGGAGTCCAGTTGTTGCACTTGTCGTTTACGTTTCCAGCCCACTTCCCCCCCCGCCCCCATAGGAAGCTGCACCTCCAGGAGCCCGCCTTCAAGGAGGTGGTGGTGCTCTACCGCGCGGACCGCACCAGTCCCGCTGCAAGGAGGAGGATGGCTGCCGCTGCGGCATCCGCCTCCGTCTCCGCCGCGGCATCATCATCATCAGCAGCAGCAGCTTCGCCCACCAAACAACGACAACCGCAGGGACAGCAGCAGCAAGGACAGCAACTCCTAAAGTCACCGCAGCAGCAACAACAACAGCAGCAACAACAAAGCAAAGGGAGCAGCAGCAGCAGCACGCAACAGCAACAGCAGTCCTCCTCCTCCTCCGCCGCCTCCACTTCCTCTTCCGGCGCGCTGCAGCGCCCGCTGGAGCAGCGACAGCGGGAGATCTTGTCGGGTCGCAACATCCACATCAAGGCATTCCACGACATTCCCATGGCGGACCTGGATGTCATCTTCGCGGATAAGAAGGCAGGAAGGGGGTGGGATGGGATACGAAGGCCTAGGGCTAGAGCAAGGGTGCTAGGGCTAGGGATAGGGCTAGAGGCAGCTAGCCAGCACTCCGTTATGCCCTGTGTCCTGAGGGGTACGCATGCGGTGCTGTGCACACAGCCCCGCTCGTGCACACAACCAATACAACACAATCAATACGACCCGCCCCCGCCCCCCCGCACCTTGGGATTCTTCCTTTCCCCCCCCCCCCCCCGCTCCCCCCCCCCGCAGGTGTACCTCAAGACGGTCAGCATCATCCAAATGATCGTGACGGTGGTGGGCGGACTGGTGGCAGCAATCATGGCACTTGTACGGGTGCGTAGGTGGGGGTTACTGCGGTGTACGACATGGCAGGATGTGTAGTACGTTGTAGATCGTGCTGTACGACACGGGGGGTTTCCCGACGGGTTCGCAAGCCCCTGTTCCTCCTACCGCGCTTAGAGCGGCTCACAGGTTGGGAGGGTGCTGCCATCTCCCTTCCCTCGTGTGTAACTCGGGGTCTCAGCACCCTTCCTCCCAGCACCCCTTCCTCCCAGCACCCCTTCCTCCCAGCACCCCTTCCTCCCAGCACCCCTTCCTCCCAGCTCCCCTTCCTCCCAGCTCCCTTCCTCCCACGCCCCTTCCTCTGAAAAGCTCTATCGCACCTCTCTGTCCTTCTACCACTCCCCTGCCCCTCCTCTACCCCCCACCCACCCTCCACCTGCCCCCCCTCCCAAACCCACAGGGTCGTGTCATCGACCTGAACGTGCTGTGGTCCAGTCTGAGTCTGGTGGCTGCGAGGTGCGCCCAAGTGTACACCAGCGCGCAGGCGGAGCGGTCCAAGACTATACAGGTGGGGGGTCAAAGACCATACCAAACCATAGGAGACCACAAGTTAGGGCAAAACAATGAGGGTAGGAGCGGTCCAAGACAATACAGGTGTGGTGGGTGGGAGGGAGGTGAGATATGGGAGGTGGAGGTCGAGGTTGGGGGCGAGGTAGGGAGGTGGGGACCGTAGCTCCCATGCTGCTCCAACCCTGTTGCTCCCCTCCACCACTCCCCCTGCCCCCAGGACATGGTCAACATCCTGTACGAGAAGACGGATGACGCGCAGGAGGGGGTGGTGAGCATGTTGCTGGAAGACATGGCGGAGCAGCAGGTGGGGGGGGGGATTAATATGGAAACAGAATCCGCATTAGGCTGGATAGTTGGGTTAGCATATAATTGTAGTTGATGTGGTGAGGGGGAGGGGAAGTAGCAGCAGCTGCGTTGTTGTCTAGCTGCATCTGGAGGCCGCTTCGCACTCCCCTCCCGGACACAGCTCTACTCCCCCGGCCTCCTCGCCAGCTTGGCTGAAGAAGAGGCCCTCTTGTGGCCAAGATGGAACACTCAACACCCCTTTCCCCCCTCACCGGCGTTGCTTCACTTTTCCATTGTTCTCCCCCACCCCAGCTGAAGGAGGCCATCCTCACCTACGCGCTGCTGCACCACCGGGAGGCGGAGCTCAGCGAGGCAGCCATTGACAGGGTGAGGGTGGGGGGTGGGAGGGGGCGTTGCATAGGCCCCTTTAGCTGACAGCCTGACAGCCTGCTTCCTTATGCCTTCAACTTGCTCTTCCTTCCTTCCTCTCCCTACTCCCTCCCTGCAGCAGAATGCGGAATATGTATCGCTATTAATCCCTCCCTCCCTGCATGCCTTCACATGCTTCCTGCTTCCAGGACTGCGATCACACCTGCTCCCTCCGTCCCCTACCTCTCTTCCTCCCTCTAGCACTCCTTCCCCCTCCCTCCCTCCCCTCCCTCCCCCGCCCCCGCAGGACTGCGAGCGCTTCCTCCAGAAGAACTTCGACCTCTCCGTCGACTTTGCGGTGGAGGACGCGCTGCCTCGGCTGGAGGGCTGGGGGCTGGTGACGCGCGTGCAGCAGCGGGGGGCCGCAAAACCCAAGTGGGTTGGGGGGCAGGGTGTGTTTGACAGGGTGTGTGTCTAGCAGGGTGGTGTGGCCTCGCGTGGTGTGCCAGGCCTGCACGCAAATTGGCGTTGCGTGCCTAGTTGTTGCGTTTGTAGCGGGCACGCATGCATGGATGGGTAGTTGGGTATTTGCCTTCTCATGTGCCGGTGACCTCCGCAGTTCCCACTCGCCTCTCGACCCTTCCCTGCCCCAATCCCAGTATCCCACTCCGCACCCCACCGCACCCCAGGTACCAGGCAGTCAGTGTGGAGGCTGCCGCCGCCCGCCTGCAGCGGCACTGGCACGCCGCCTTCAAGTCGCTCTCCAACCCGCCCGAGACCGCCACCTTCCCCCTCTCCAACCTGGTCGCCGGACAGCAGCGAGCGCCCGCACTCAACAAAGACAGCCTCTTCCGCGCCGCCGCTGACTCATCATCATCATCATCCGCAGCGGCGGCGGCGCCAGCCGCCGCCGCCGCCGCCGCTCCCGTGGCGGCACCGCCGGCGCCTGCTGGCGCCGCCGCCGCCCCTGCTGGCCGCCCCAATCACCACCACCAGCAGCAGCAGCATCAGGGGGTACCCGGGGTTCACCAAAGCGTCGGAGGTGCAGGGGTGGCGGCAGCGGCTCCGCCGCCGCCACAGCCAGCAGTCATGGTGGAGGGTGCGCTGCCGCCGCTGGCGCCGTCGCGAACGGGTGTGAATGCTGCGGCGGCGGCGGCTGCTCCCGCTGGGCCGGTTGTTGCTCCGGCGGGTAGGAAGAGTGGCGGCGGGGGCGGGGGCTTCTTTTCGGCGCTTGGGGGCATGGGGAGGCGGAAGAGCTCCAAGGGGGGTGATCGGTAGACGGGGGGAAGTGAAGAAGAGGTATTCACACGACGAATTAGGTATTAATTCGTCGTGTGATAGTGGCAAGCTGGCAACCCGATTAAGGGTATAAGAGGAGGAGGACTGATCAGAGGAAGACGTGATGCTAAGCATGGCACGATATAGGGGGTGTTCGGCTGAGCACATGGCTGGCTGCATGGATGCTGCCTCGCGCACGTTGTTGTTGGGGGTGGTTGCAATGGTTGGTGGTTCCTCTGCAATTCTCTGGCCGGCCACATGCTGGGGGTGTTGCGAGATGTTGGCGCGGGTATGTGATAATGGCAGGTTGCTGGTGTAGTAGTGCCAGCTGGAGGTGACCCATGGGTCAGCTGTGGGTGTGGACGTCAATGGGGAACACCAGGCGGCCGCCTGCAGGATGCTTTGCCGTTGGTGCGGTACCATTCGAATTGCTTTCCTCCGGATTCTCCGGTTCTTGTTTTAAGAATTATTCCTCACACTTTTATCGTCAGGAGGTTTGCCCGGGAGCCCCCGGCGCTCTTTTTCGCGTTTTACATTTTGGTACACATGAAATGAGTGTCGTACGATGCAACGCACGTGTCCGATAGCATTCTGTGTAGGGATTCACTCCGTTAGATAACGAACAATGTAGGAGGTCAATGGGGAGCCACCAATGTAGGATGTTAATCAAGGTGTCAATTACAAGATTATAAGTTGTAGAGGTATTGCAGAGATGCAAGTGAGGGTAGGAGTGGTGAAGCTGAGATGCTGGCATGACATGCAGGGAGGACAAAAAATGTTGAAACGAACGGGATTTCTCGTCACGGTTGGGCTGACTAAACTGATCCGCACACCCTTACTTGCTTGGCGCACTTGTAGCCCTACGGTCCCGGAAGTCACAATGATCCTACATTGCAACTACTGCCACTACGAAACATACGGTATGACCACATCATTGACACGTGCCTGGTGACTGAACGGATTGGCCGCTTTACTCAGCTGTACTACGTCTTATCTCCCTACCTACAGTATATATGCAAAATGAATAAAACACGTACGACAAAAAAACGACAAGAGTCAATAGGATAACCAAACAGCCGAAAACGTGCACTGATCTTCTCACATATTTCGACGAGTCGGAAACAACGGGAGAGAACGCAAGACCCGCGCGGCACAGGAAACTGCACGTTTCGCACGGAAATGGGATCGTTGCCGTACGTCATACAGGAATCTGGGGAACTTCTATATGTACACTTTTGTACGAGTCGATCACTATACTTCTTCGAATTGTTAATCCTTTGAAACACAGCACAACTACCAACTACATAACACTGCACACTGGAACCCATGAATTGAAAGACCTATAGGATAAGGGCGAGCCAACGTGACATTTGGCCAGGCCTTTGCCCATACACCCCTTTGGATACAATAAGCACTCTTCTATGCCCTCTACAGGCATATGCAGGCAAGAAAGAATGTCCAAACAGTGTGCTCTGGCAATGCAATCTAGACTGGTCTAAGGCACGACCCATGGGTCACAAGGGCCCCACAATCAATTAACCATTCAGGCAAATGTCTAACACAGCCCTGGGCAGATACACAATGCTCCGACACATGCCCCCCAACCTTCCAGCAGCCGTACTCGCCCTGCAGCTCGCACCACGGCCCAGCCTTCAAAGCAGCCTCTTCTAGACTCCTTCTGTAATAGCATTAGTGATCTCCTGCTCTTCTACCGTGCGTGTATGTGTCACATGCATGGTAGTGTTCACAGGAACGCAACCCCATGTGTACGGAAACCCCCCTTGCCCGGCAGCAGCTCCGTGAAGTTGATCACGGGTCCGCGGCTGTACGGCCACCGTCCCCTCAGGAAGCGGCTGCCCAGCGGGTCCAGCCGCAGGAAGCGCACCGTGCAATCGCCCGGGTAGCGAATCTGGGGAGGAGCCGAGGAGGGAAAGGCAGGACTGGTTGGAAGGGGAAAAAACGAGATGCGGCAACGGGGAAAAAAAGAAGAATTCCCGTTGTGTTGAATGAGAATGCAAACCAGACGACAAGCTCCGGGCAACGGGGGAAGGGATAGTGCTGACTCGTGCATGGTACCTCCGCAGTGGCTGTGTGTGGTACACGTGTGTTCACCTGCGCTTGCCCAATGGCTGCTGCCTCCGTTTTGAGGAGAGGCACAGTGCCCCCACCCATATACGAGCCCCCACCCCCACCCTCACCTGCCCAATGGCGCCTTCATCCACAAAGTACGTGCCCACGGCCACCAGGCTCTCGTCCTTGGAGACGCGGACCACATGGCCGCCTGCATGCATGCAGGACGGGGCAGGGTGCAGGGTCTCCCAGGGTGGATGATGAATGGCCGTGAGAATGGGGGTGCAGAGTGCAGGGCGGTAAGTGGGATAGGTGAATGCATGCCGGGGTGGTGGAGCTGTAGTACACATTCACTTCAAGCCCCACGTCCTCCGCATGCGGGCGAGGGCACTGGTAGGCACTAAGTCACGAACTTATGGTTCCGGCCTCGGATTGAATCAACCATTTGCAGGAAGTGACGGAGGCAGGGAAAGGGAACCCCCGCTGGGATAAATCCATGGGTCTAGGTCACTCACCAGCTCCCTTGGGGAACTTGTAGACGTCGAGCACCTTGGGCTTGCGGGGCATGGTTGTGTCGAGGAGAAACACCTGAGCACGTACAGTACAAGCATGCGGTGTTTCAAGGAGGGCGTCATTGGGGTAGGATGGAGACATGAAAGCCAGAAGCAACAATTGACTTGTGAACACGCAAGATACAGGTGGGGAATGAAGAGCCATGGATGGATGCCAGACCCGCTAGCATGGAGGTAGCTTAGCAAGCGTGATACTAAAACGTTCAGGGGAAGAAGCTCCCCAGAGCTCGGAGAGTAATAAGGAGGTCCTAAGGCCGCACCCGGTCCAAGGAGAAGATGGCCATCAGCAGTCGTGTGCCTCCACGGAAGGGCTGCAAGATGCAGGACACTGTCTGGCGGGTCTTCACGTCAAACACAATCTGCGAATTGCAATTGCGGACAGGCGTGTGTGCGGCCGGCCATTAGTATGTCAGCAGGTACCGGTACTAGCAGGAGAAAAGGTAGGGCAGCAGTCATGCATAGCAACTTGCTAGTGTTCGTTGCTTCGTGAGTTACGGAGTACCATTGCATGCATGGACAGTCGTTGACCCTTGGCAACAACAGTGACTTCAGATTCTGGAGCTAAGAACGGGCAGAAGGCGAGAATGGCAAGCATGGGCAGCCGTACCTTGGGCGTGGCTTTCTTGCCTCGCGTGGCGTTCAGATAGTACAGGTATCCGTTGCCGCCCGTGAAATAATACCCGCCTGCGATGAGGTTTGTACCGTTAGGTGTCAGTTAGGAGATGCCCTGCGGCACAGCTTGCTAGCTGCACTTTGCAAGCAGGCCAGCGGCATTCAAATCAGTCCTCGTGCGCTGCATTTCACCCGCACACGCACGGTGGTGGTGATGGTTTGGTTTCTCCCTTCCCGAACCTCGGCCACACCAACCCACACGCAAGCAGACAGCTCACCTGTGTCTCCGATAGCCACCGCATCCATAGCGCCCTTGGAGTGTTGGGTCTTGGGTAGCACGTAGGTGCGAGTGATGCTCATGTCTGTCAAGTTCCATAGCCTCGCGGTGTTGCGGAAGGTGAGGGTGTTGCCGACCAGGCTGCTAGCGGGCTCAAGGTAGTCGACCGTCAGCATGGTTTCCCGCTTGAAGTCGGCACCAATTCCTGCAGCATGGATGTGCGTGCATGTGCAGCGTAACAACAGCGAGCAAGATGCACGGAATCTCGTTTAGACAAAATTCACTTGTCTTATACGGTGCGGTGTGCATGTATGGATACGTCACCCCAGCGGTGCTGCGACCTTTCATGCCGGAGATGCCGCACCTGCCGCGTGTCACCGCTAAAATTCCGGAACATGCACCTTTCTAACACCCATGCATGCCGCAGTTTTGACTGGCACAAGCCTGTCCATCTTTGGCATGCCGCATGCAGCTCAGGACTCACCATGAGGGTTAAACCCAGGCGCCGATTCGAGGACCCTAAGATCGCGTGGATACTCCCCAAGCAGGTTGAGGTCCGAGTCATAGCGGGCTACGCGCCCTGGCGCCCAGCCGCTCGTGTTGCCCATCATTGTCACAAGGAAACCGCCATCTGGTGTGGCCACGAACTCATCAGCGACAGCGCTGTGAACCGGCAGGCTGACGTTGTTCAGCAGCACGGGCTTTGCGGGGTTTGCGAGGCTGAAGAAGAGGATGGAGGGCAGGCCGGAGAAGACTGCCAGCATGCAACTGCAGGCCAGCCAGCGGCCGTCCACGGAGGGCCGACAGTGGTGCGGCTCCTGCATGCATGGGCGTTGCGGTACCGCCAGATCATGACTTCATGAGGTGGCAAAAGATTATCTCAGGTGGTGTGCCCCATGACATGGCATGGCTGGTTTACAACAATAAGCTGGCGGTCACATGGGTTGCACGGCACGGCGCATTCCTCTCCAGCTTTGCCCTAACCAGCTAACATTCTGTTAGGAACAGGAACCGTCTCGATACGTTGCAAGGTTAATCGCTAGCCCCGGAGGGAATGCATGCATGCATGCTTGCACCCGCAGCCACTCACCAGGCCGTTGTACGGCGTCTCGATAACGTGCAGGAGTTTACCAAAGTCTTCATCGTTCGGTCGCACGCTGAAGACGAAAAGGGAGTCACGCGCCAGCGAGGGGTCCGCAGCGCCCGCCCATGCGTAGAGATACTTGGAGACCTTGCCACCCGTGGCGGCGGCTGTCAACCTGCGAAGGTCAAGGGCGGTGGTGGTATAACGTGCAGCAGTTGTGGTGCGGAAGAGCTCCACGCGTGGACGTGGAGAAACGGCCTTGCAGGCTGGATACCATTCGCTGCACGGTTTACAGAACACACTGTCACGCGTACTTTGTGTTGCATATCAGCATATGCAGCTTCAGGTACTGCAAAGTTCATCCCGGTTGTTGGTCACATATCGCGTACCTGGCGCTGCTGATTGCAAGTGCAAGGAGAGCCAGAGCCACAAAAGGACACACAAACCCTGGACACCTCGAACAGCCGACAGGTGTGCCTGCAGGGGTGTGGCATGCGAGGGAAGCCAGAAGGATGTCCAAGTCCTGTCTACAAGCTGCATACCAAGGCGAGAGGTAATCTAGGTATTTGCAACAAAATCGCGGCGCTTGCCGTCAGTCAACAAAAAGCTGTCGGTAGCCAAGGCAGTAGCTATCTAGCCATTAAGCTTGTAAGCTGACAGGAGCAGTCGCGCTTGTCATATACTGTGGAATAAACAAACGCAGAAACCTACCAGAGCGTAATTTTGTGGGCAGCATGTTTAGGCTGAGACGGTCAAGTCGGGCACTTTTCCATGCACAGCGACGCTACCACACTCGATCAGTATACGTGCTACTTTCTTCTGTGTCTGACGCGATGAGTGTTAGAAATTACTTTCCACAGCTGTTGTTTGGAAGTGGCCAGGCGCTAGAGTCCCTAGAGGCAGGGCCTGGGAGGGCCTTACTGTACACTACACCGAAATGGTTAACTGGCCCTGCGGTTCTCGATAATTAAATTAATGCTTGCGCTGCTTAGTGTGGCAAGTAATAGTAACCCCGCAGAGCGCAGGCCAAACATCCGAACTGACCTAGTTCTCAAAGGTTGCACCAGCCTTACATGGAGGCTCTGAAACGTCCTCAGATAGCCCTAGGTGCTTATAGCTTAGATAGAGGCAAACCGAAGCCAATGCGAAGTTCTATAGAAGCTCCTGTGACAACAGCTCTTAGCGATAATGTCGGGGTACCGGTATTTGCGCAGCGAGCCAACTGGAAAGAGAGCAAACATTAAGAAGAAGACCTTTGCCGTATCAAAGCCTTTACTGCACGGTACATCGCTGTTTGGGGTCACGACAGCCACCTGCGTGCAGCTGTAAATAATATGCCAACAAATAGAGCAGATTTAATAACAGTTCAGACTGTCCAATTGCCTCGCCCGGCTACGCTCACACACGTGTGGGATAGCAGCGCACGAACCTCGATCCGCGCGTTACGGCGGGTTTAGGGTAGATAAAGACAGCGAAAAAACACTCTGAGTCTCCAATGATACTCTGTTTGCAATACAAAAAACTGCGTCTGGGTATGCATTAGGATTCATTGCTATTATAGAGCAATGCCGGTTTGCGACATTACGTCGAGGGGCAACAGCAATCTCCTGTAGGTGGCTTGCAACGTGCGTACGTATTTCATGCGAGATTTAATCAAGTTCGTTAACATGGGCAGGTAAATAGGTCGCGGCACCTACTCGGGGTTGCATTCTGTAGTTTTTCAGCGTACGCAAAGGTGGTCGTAGAGCCACTTCGAACTATGCAATGTTTAGAGGCGTTTACAGCCTTGACCTGCCTTGACACACATTATGTTGTCGTGCGGATATCAGAGTAAGGCTTGCTTATCCGTCTGCAACATCTCTCTTGCCGCTTTCTCTGCGCTCCTCCAACCTCCAGGCTATCCAGAAACACAGCGAATGGATTAGCCTATATCCTTGCGCTCGTTGTTTCTATGGCTATGCCCCCTGATGTCCTGGGTCATGGTTACCTGGCAGTACCATTGTCGCGCAACATGTACTCCCGTCTCTACGATCCTGACGCTACCAAGGAATACACGCCTAACCAGCTCAGCGCTGGAGGTAAGGAGTCGTCTTAGCCGCCGCGCGCGCTTACTGTCTCCTGCCTGTTGCTTCCAGACCCACCAGTACACAATCCTTCCGAAAAGGGGAAAGCGAAAACGGAAAAGGGAAACCGCTCCATCCATGACCAGCAAGGCTTGTTTAGTTTCGTTCATAGAGACCGCTAAACGTGCCGTAACGCTGGCTTTGGCACCGACCACTGTCCTCTTGTCAAGGGAAGCCCCCAACCATCTGCCCTTTCCACAGGTGTAGCGGTCGTGAGTGCGGGCTCCACGCTCACGTGGCCGTTTGGAGCCTACAGTGTGTGCGGCAACCGGGCTGACGACCCCAACCCACGCTGGATGGTGCCGCGTCCTATCCAGGCAACCTATTATGAAGGAGACATCGTAAGTACATACGCCGTTCCTGCCTGTGTCCCTTTAGGCTCCCGGATGTAGCATCGGGAGCGGACAGCTCTCAGAAATTCCCCCTCACACCATTCCTTTGCCGCCTTCGCATGCGAATTGCTAGAGAAGGTTTTGCCGAATCCCATTTAAACTCTTCTACGCCTCCGTCTTGTTCGAGAAGATTAACTCGCATTGCAAACCCCTCCACGCCCCCCGCAGATCAACATCACCATCGGCATCACGGCCGACCACAGGGGCCGCTTTGCCTTCCGCCTGTGCCCCACCACAAACGTCACCAACACCTGCCTCAACGCCAACTGGCTCACCCGGGCGGACCCCGTGCGCCCAGGCGATCGGTACTGGTACCTAACCGATAAGACCCGGGCCGACGGAAGCGCCTTGGTTACCCTGCAGAGCCTGGGCGGCTACTCCAACGTGCCTACCTACACGCTCCGATACCGGCTGCCGGCGGGGGTTACGTGCGACAACTGTGTGCTGCAGTGGTGGTGGCCGACGGCCAACTCCTGCACGCTGCCTTGTGTTCCGGTGGGTAGAGCGTGTTAAGATAACTGGCCGCGAGGCGAAGCGTGTCGTGTCTCCTGTGCAGCATACCCACGTACCGGTACTTTGCGCAGGCTCCACACTTCTACATGCAGACATCCCTGCTGCTGACAAGAGGGTCGTCTACCTTGCACACCTGCCTCCTCGACCTCGTAGCCATTTCGCCGCTTCCCTCCCTTGTTACTCATACCGGTACACCCTTCACCGGTTCACCTCCCGCCCACCTCGCCCCCCCAGGAGGACCCAGACTTCAACCCCGCCAGCGGCCCCAACAGCTGCAACGTCCAGAAGCTAGGTATCTGCGGCTCCTCGCCAGCCCTGTTCCCGGAGGAGTTCTGGAACTGCGCAGACATTCGCATCCTGCCCCGAGGCGCCGCGTCCTCACCACCATCCCCTGCATCGCCAAGCCCCAAGCCTGCACCCACCGCCGCGACGCCACCGACATCTTTTCCCCCGCCCTCGCCCAGCCCCAAACCCTCGCCTCCCTTGCTGTCTCCTAGTCCCAGCCCCAAGGCAGTGATGCCCCCTCCTGCGCCCAACCCCAGTAGCCCTACCACCTGCAGCACCACCGGTTACTGTGCTGGCAAGGCTGCTGGCCTCTACGCTAATCCCTGCGACTCCACGTGTGCCACCTACATCCAATGTGGTAACGACGTGACCTACCTGATGACCTGCGGCAGCGGACTGGTCTTTAATCCCGGCCCCAAGTACTGCGATTGGCCGTACAACTACAAATGCCCAGCAGTTTCGCCGTCGCCGTCGCCGGCTCCCTCGCCAGTGGTGTCAAGCCCCTCCCCACCACCTCCCAAGCCGTCGCCATCTACAAACCCCTCTCCCTCGGCTGCTTCGCCCCCGCCGAAATCACCGCCGCCTACTCCTTCCCCGAAGCCCACTTCCTACCCTAGCCCAGCCCCCAACAGCCCACCGCCCGCCGAGACCCCTCCTCCACCCATCCGGCTGCCCCCTCCCAGCCCCAGCCCTCTTCCACCCATCCGGCTGCCCCCTCCCATCCCTAGCCCTCTTCCACCCATCCGGCTGGCCCCCCCCAGCCCCAGCCCTCTTCCACCTCCTGTGCCCAACCCCAGCCCTACCACCTGCACCACCACTGGTTACTGCGGTGGCAAGGCTGCTGGCCTTTACGCGAATCCATGTGACGCCGCGTGCGTAACTTACATCCAATGTGCAAACGATGTGACCTACCTGAAGACCTGCGGCAGCGGACTGGTCTTTAATCCCGGCCCCAAGTACTGCGACTGGCCGTACAACTACAAATGCCCAGCAGTTTCGCCGTCGCCTGCTCCTTCATCCTCCCCTTCTCCTTTGCCTTCCCCTTCTTCTTCTCCTGCACCTCCACCGCTGGTCCGCCCCAGCCCTCCACTGTTGTCCCGCCCGAGCCCTCCACCCACGTCTTCGCCGGCTCCTAATCCCAGCCCTAGCCCTACTCCCAGCCCTGGCCCCAATCCCAGCCCTAGCCCTAGCCCCACTCCCGCACCTCCTGCTGGCTCTTACAAGGTGGTGGGCTACCTGGAGACTTGGCGATGGTGGGTGCAACGAGGTGTATGTCATCATCCTGACACGCATGGCTTTGCCCCATGTCAAGGAAACGCTCCTTGCGCTTTGTACTGTTGTACTGTTACGATACCGGTATTTAAGGAGTCCCTCTCACGTTCTTGGTCCACTGCTGCTGCTTGCAGGTACCAACAAGGCAGTGTTCCGCCAAGCCTGACCGCCCACCTGCCCAAGCTCACACACATCAACTACGCCTTCATTTCCATCTCGTACAGTCCGCAGTACGACACGTACTATCTGGATTTCACTGACCCATGGGCCGACGTTGGGGCCTGCCTCACGGGAACCGGAACTTGCCCGGCGGTAAGAAGGGCCACGTACGGCTTAGGTGCAAACATATGACATTATGACAGGTTAAATGTCGTACACGTCGTACATTAAGCGGGCCATGCACTCATCATGGGCCAGCGAACCATATTCAGCATGCTGCTGTTGACGTTGCGAGCGGCACACGATGCTACCGGTTTACAGCCTCTGAACATGGCTTACAGTTGGTTTGTTTTGCTGCCTGCAGAGCTGCCTATCCCTTAACGCCACCTGCGGTGGATCGAATCTGGGGATGATCCCAACCGTCAAGACAACCGGCGCCACCTGCCCAACGGGCTGTTTTAACCGTGGAGGAGGTTCCAGCAACCGCATCTGCAACACGGTCCTTTCCGGCATGTCGTGGCCTCTACAAGCATGCGGCCATGTTGCGTACGTGCAGAACTTCATCTCCAAGTCAGCGCCTAACGTCCGCGTCCTGCTTTCTGTTGGCGGTTGGTACGACAGCAATTATTTCTCAATGGCTACTGCTCCCGCTTACCGCAGCCGCTTCATTGACTCAATCGTTGACTTCATGGACTTATTCAAATTTGACGGCGTTGACTTTGATTGGGAGTATCCCGGTTTTGAGCACGGTGGTCAGCCACCGTACGGCATGTCCGATTACGGGAGTCCAGATGACGTACGAGACTGTTCTGCTACGACATGCACGTACGGCAGTCGGCTGCAAGATGGCGCCAACTACGTCGCATTCCTGCAAGACCTGCGATCCCGCTTGAACGGCCGACGCAGTTGGCGAGGGCAGCCTTTCTTGATGACTATGGCTGGTCCCAGCGGCACTGACAAGTTGAACAAGATGACGCTGTCATCTATCTGCGCGCAGCTGGATTGGGTCAACATCATGACGTACGGTAAGGTGTAAGGGGTGCTGTACAATGTTAGTTGTTACACGCCTTCACACGTATGCCGATTCGTTAGCGCCTGTTTCTCCTAACCCCAGTTGTCACGTCCTCCAGCTCTACTGGCCCTGCCTTCCCTGCTCTTTAATTCCCTCACCACGCCCAGTATTAGACATCCGCAGCAGTGCCAGTTCATTCAACTCATGTAGCTTTCACTTTTTGGAGGAATCGTCCTGAAGACTCAACTAGCCCTCCCTGCAACGAACTGGCCCTACCCCCTCCTTCCCTGCAACGAACTGCCCCCCGCAGACTTGCATGGCCCCTGGGACACCACTACCGGCCACCAATCCGCCCTGTCAGACCCCTCCGGAGATCCGCTGACGGTTTCGGCAGTCGTGGCGCAGTACGTGGCTCGGGGCTGCCCCAAATCCAAGATTGTGGTGGGCGTGCCTTTCTACGGCAGGTGCGTTTACCCTTAACCGTAGAAGATGTGAAGCTAGGGACAACGGCTGCTGTTTGTTTCTGGGGATCCTGCCATGTGTTACTAGAGGACTCCTGATGCATGCGAGCGAATGGGAGTGAAAGCATGCATGCGTAGCAAGGTCAATGAGGGACATGCAGCGGCCGGCCTCCATGCGAACGCCTTGTGCATTGGAGGTCTTAGCTTTACGGACTTGCTCGGCCGTAGCAACGTCGTATGGTATTCTCATTGGTATCATGCGTGCCAAGTGCCTCACCTGGTTCCCACGCACCCACGCACCCACGCACCCTCCTCGGCCACACACCTCACCAGTCATCATCATCCCCGCTTTCTTGCCACTCACGCATGCATGCATGCATGCAGGTCCTTCGCGGGTGTGCAGGCGGGCCCCGACACCACATTACCCGGCTACAATCAGCCCTTCACCGGCACAGCCGCAGATCCCATGCCCATGCAAAAGACCATTGCTGCTCTGGGCTACCGTACGGTGTACGAAAACGCCCGGAATGCGTCGTACGCGTACGACGCAACTTCGAAAACTTTCATTACGTACGACAATGAGGCGGCTGTTGCGGCCAAAGCGGCTTACGTGAAGCGTGAGGGGCTGGCGGGGGTGATGGCCTGGGCTCTGGGTCAGGAGACGCCCCAGCTGTGGACAGCCCTCACCAGCGGTTTGTGAGCTGGTGCGTCATACAGGACAAAGGTGCGGGGGCTCGTACCTCGTAATACCAGATGGTGATGCACCTGCATGGTGGCGCCATTGATTGGGATACAAGTGGGTTGTTTGTGGGTGCCATCACAGGCCAAGATGGTCAGTTGTGACACTTAAATAGGTATGCGCTGAGCGCGCTAGGGTTATTCATGCCTCAGGTACATAACACATGGACAAAGTATGTTTGGGGAATGTGCCTAATGAGCATCCATGGTGCGTGTGAGGCAAGGGGGGCGAATGTCCTGCTGGCTCATGCATGGACACACCGGTGCCGCAACTTGCACTGCTGCATTTTCCAGTTGCACTGCTGCACTTCCCGGTCATCCTTCGAAAGGTGCATGCATGGTCCAAGCGTTTTGCTGCTCGCAGTCAGACATACAGACAAGCAAGGCCATATGTTTCCCCCGGTTTACTTTTGATAACGGATTCTTTGCATCAGTTGTATGTAGTGTAGCCGGCTAGCTAACGCTATACATGGGGTAGGTTTGTTGCAGTTAAGGTAGACGTAGCCTGACACACACTAAATATGCAGGTATGTGGTGGCATCAGCGTGCGGGTTTCACTCCAATACCTATGCTTCTTTCGCGTTTTGGGTATAAGGTTCAGGCCCATGCAAGTCAGAACGGTGTACGGTTGTACCATTTATGGTCCCTGCAATGGCGCGGTGGCTTTGGCTCCTATACATCTTCGAAGTTAGGACCAGGATTTCGGTTGCCTGGTGATTCGGAGGTACCTGTGGGTGATGATCTTGGGTCAGAACAACTACCTGCTCCTCCAGGGAACCCCAGCGGTAAAGGGGGAGGGGCTAAGGGGTGGACAGGGGATTGTGATAGGAACCCTGTGGTCTGTAAGAGAATCGGACTATCGGTATTGGTGTCATGTCACCGTCTCCTTGAGGTGTGCGTAAAACGACACCACAGCAGGGCATGTGCTCATCCCTTGCAACCGCTCTCGTACCAGGCGACTGTTCGTACCTTGGCACAACCTGCTGCAAAACCGTTTCCCAACCCAAACCACTCAAGCACCACAAATACGCGCGATTGGCTCTGATGCTCAAACCTTTTAGTACCATTCACGGCCTTGGCGATTGCTTGTTGGGCATCAACGAGTGCGCTTTGCTCTGGAGCGCGATGCGGCACTCGGACTGTACCAGGCTTAGTCCAACATTAGCACAAGCTGCCTGCTCAGTCGAATTAGAGCGTCACGGTGTAAGGGCAGCTATGACAAGCGCCCAAGATTACTCGCTGCGCATAACCTTAGGAAACGGAAGTTACACCTTAGGTGTACGTATAACCTTAGGTGTACGTTATCCGTTACGCGATGTACGACGTGCACGATTTCCGTCGGGACGATCAGCTGCATGTCTTCAACGTGCTGTTGTTGCATCGTTTTACTGTTTCATGTCTAGTAGCTAGAATATAGACGATGGCTGATCAGCGTCGACGAAACTCCTTTACTGGTAGCAACTTGCCCATTGGCACTTTACCAACACTTCCAGGGCGGACTGGGGCGTCTGGAAATTTGCCCGTGCTTCCAAAAGTCCAAGATGCTCCCTCAGCTATGCATAATCACTTCTTGCCAGCGCTTGGGCCGAGCATTGCAGCAGCACAAGCAGGTTCAGTTGCAGCAGCCACGGCCAGCTCCCTTGCCAGCACCAACGACATGCTGCAGTAAGCAGAAACCTGCATCCATGACGCTTTTCAATGTGATAGGAAGCAATCTATGTACTGGCTCTTCGACAGGGCGATGAAACAAAAGGCAATGGAGCGGTCACAGGCAGTCAAGCAAAGATCGAAATCTGTTCCTCGGAGTGCTGGTTCGTCACGCGGTGACTCCGGCCGCACACGTCAAGGTGTGTGAGTGTGTTACGGTCAACTAGCATGCTATCTGTGCGACGCAGCCCACACGCCTCGATCCCATGCAGGCCGCCCCCAATTACCTGTAAGGAGGCCCGAAAAATTGGATCCAGAAGAAATAACCCGAAAGTGAGGCTGGGCTTTCGGCAATCGGTCTGTATTCCTTGCTTAAGCTTGCACTTATGCTCGCCCTAGATCCACAGATGAAGAACATGCACTAGAGGAGTTGCGGGATACATGCCTGCTAGTATTAGTTTCTGAAGACTTAGTGACTGCTCCTTTCCCCTTCCTGTCGTCACTGTTGACCATCCACACGAAGCGGACTAGTTTACAACCCGAATGGTGGCATGCATCGCAAGCATAGAACAGCTCAGCGCAATGACTGGTTTTGATGCGTAAAGGCCACAGCTCTTGTCATTCTCCCGTCAATCCATCGTCGCAGCCATTTTCCATGCCGCGTGGCTAACAAGCATCAGCCCCAGCTTTGCCATCCAACCATCTCCCTCCATCGCCGTTCTTCCTTTCGCGCGTACCCCTTCTTCCTTCTTCCCTTTCTCTCGTACTTCCTCCCGAACATCCCTTTCCCTCCCGAACATCCCTTTCCCTCCCTTCCGATCATCCCTTTCCTCAGCCTCGCTGCCAAGCTGCAGCCCCTGGATGCGGTCACCAGCTCCCTGCTGGCCGCCGTTGAGGAGCGCAAGGGCGGCACGGGGCTGCCGCTCCTGAAAGCCACATGCAAGGACTTTGTCGTGGGTCGAGCCACCTGCGCCGCCTCCAGTGTCGTCACCCTGTGCACCGACCGCCTAGAGTATAAATTCAGCCATAACAACCAGGGACGCATTGACATGGTAGGTTCGTGCGCGTGCGCCCCTGTCCGCCCGCCCGATTGTAACTCTGTCCCCGCCATGCCGTCCGTGTGCTCTTGATGCCCTGCCGTACGGTTTTTACGGACCCACATCCATCATTCCCAGGTTTCAAGCCATGCCTATTCTCCCCGCGCACCCCCCCGCCCGCTTTCCTGGCACCCCGCTGCTGCACATATCGGCGGCACGAACCCCACCACCACCGGCACCAGCCCGCCAACCCCAGCCATACCCTGCCGTCCACGCGCGCTCCCTACAGGTCATGTTCACAAAGGACATGCAGGCGCCCGAACTCGACCTCAAGTCGCTGGTTCTCAAGTTCAGAGTTGGCAAGCCGCTGCGACACTTCATAGACGCCTACGACTGCACCGACCCAGCCCACCACCTCGCACTCACCTTCCATGAGAAGGCGGACGCCACCGCGTTCGGCGACTCGTTGCTCAACACATGCAAGGTGGCGGTGCAGGTTGTAAACCGGGATGGCGGCGGCGGCGGTGGAGGCGGGGCCAGCGGCAGCCACTAGCGGCAGCAGCCGGGCGGTCAGCACCTCACCAACCTCCTCCTGAGCTGGCATTCAAAGCGTATTTTAGGTAGATCCACCAGAGGCGCTGGGCAGGAGGAGGCAGGATTAGGCAGCAGGCGTGCTTTGCAGCTAATTGCTGGCAGCAGGTTTTAGCGCTCGTATGGTTTCTTTGCATGGCGTGTATTCGGACGTGGCACATGCAACCATCGGACATGTCCCATGGGTCATCTTTGTTAGCGCCATGCCGAAAGGCCCCAGCGAACGTCAAGCGCTGGATGACGTTAGCGGGAACACGCCTTTTCGTATTAGGCGATGCTCGGGGCAGCGTCTGCATCAATTACACCCCGATTTCCCGACACATTTATCTGGTAGCTGCTATAGCCTACCTAGCATGGCTGTATATATGCACTCTAGTACTAGTCCGTATGCACACACCGCTATACATGGACGCTCTCTGTACATAGCCCGTAATCTAACTTGGGTATTAGGCCAACCATCCATGACTGGCCTAGCAGCCAGTAGCCAAGCTACGATCACCACCTAGCTGGATGGAGATGCGGCCCTGTCCGGAGGTATCCTTGATGTGGCCTTGTGCAGCCGGTGAGTGGTGTCAAGAGTACACACTGCTTGTATGTCATGGCCGCATAGGGGTGTGTCCGGTTGGGTGGTGCATCCCAAATGCCAAACGGTCCATGTTCCCTGTTGTAGGCAACATCCCCAACACCCCATCCATTCGCTCATAATAGGCAACATCCCCAACACCCCATCCATTCGCTCATAACGTTGGTCCCTTGCTGCATGCAGGCTATATCCTTACGACAGGAACTGTCCTTCGTTTCAAGCTGCTTGGCGTATCCACATTCAGCCTGTGTAATATAATTGTGATTTTGCTGTGCGCGCACCACGGCACCGGCAAACAATTAATAGGAACAGGAATTCATTTACAGCAAGCGTGATTAGATCACAGGCTTTGCATATGCTAATGCAGCCACATCACCAACCATTACCATAGCCCCTATTTGCGCTGAAGGGGGTAATAATGGTTTGTGGCATTCCCCCACTAAACTAAACTACAAAACGTCCACCGCCTGATATACCTGACCCGTGTTCATGTCACCTGCCAGCCAGTGCCTGGCAAGGTACAAAACCCATCCAGCCACGGCGTGTCAACCCATACCGAGGTGCTCCAGCACGGAAAGCGCAAAGTATTTCGCCACAGTCTGAAACCCTCTGTCGTCTATCGTATCAGTGTTCAGTGCTATCCAGTATGTATCAGTGCGATCTCCTCTCATACGTTTGACTCCCACTCTTCAACCTTATGCCCGCTGGAACTGCATTCAAAGAAACGGCGACAGGTAAAATAGTTAATAATCTGTTGGGGAACATGTTTAATGTACACCACTTCCAGTGCTCAAGAATGGTTGCACCCACCTTCCCCACCACGTGGAGGATGGTCACAAACGCGATGAAGCTAAGGCTCATCGTAATAACGACCACCTGCGTTGAAGAATTACAGGCGTCTTAACGACAACAGAGCCCTCATCGATCGGCAAAAGCTGCATTCCTTACAGGCGACATCTTCCAGCCGGGCGAATCGTCCGTGTAGAAGTTCATGACGCTCTGTTGCGCCTTGCTGCTGCTGCCACCGCCTCCGCGGACTGCGACCCAGGTGCAAGTTAGCATCGGGATGCAGCCAAACGCTGTAGCGATACACCTGCACACCTGGCCTCCGCCGAAGCGCGCCGCCTGAAGCTCCAGCAGGAGCACTCGCAGAGTTGCGTCCTCCGCGGGCTACAAGAGTGCTTGCCTGGCTTTGAGACGGCATTCTTTTAGATCTGTTCGACAAAAGCTCTAAGCAAAGGTAAACAAGTGTTCTCGCCGACACAACTGGACCCTAAACGCTTTTCCAGGAACTGTAGGGACACTTCCCTCTGCAGGCATCAGCGGAACGTGCGACAACTCTGTACAACGTCCCGTACAACTTATGGGACAGCGATGCACGCGTGGCGTCCAATTTCTCCGTAAACCCTGTTCAACTTTGCAGTCTCGCACCGCTAAATGTTTTTACATGCTCTCGTGTTGCTGCCTTCCGCGAGACTCGATGCCCTTCCACTGCATGCGGGCAATATGGCATGTTAAGGCAATGCGTATGCTGTCTACTGGCACCAGATGCATGTAGTCTTTGGACCATTTCATGACTTCACCGTTGGCACTTTAGCGCCGGTTGAGGTACCCTGGCAAACGGTCGCAATGCCAACCGGCACAGCTGAGTTTGCTCAGCTGGTCTGCATGTATGGACATAGGTACTTGCTGGTCTGCATATATGTGTACAGGTCGTTAAGTGAAGCGTCTGAGGTCTAGCAAGCTATTGTTTTCGGCGTTTGGTAGACGGGCCCCTGGGTCGGGCCGCAGTGGAGCCCATCGCCTTAACCAGTAGCAAGAGGGTTAGGAAAGGCAACATACATACGCAACTCGCACGCATGTTGTTGGCTGTTATGCAGCGGCGTATTTCTGCGCAGAATTCACTGACACAAACTATGCAGACTGATACTACGAACGCGACGCCCATCAACCGTCGTAGTCCGTATGCGCGCAATAAGCCGTTGCCTGCAATGACTCGTAAACAACAACCACTCGTAAACATACTAGGCGTTAAGATTACATGGCGAGTGAATCGAATGCTGCGAATCGACTCGATTCTCTCCTTGCGATGTACGACCAACCTAGTCGACAAGTAGAAAGCTGTCCTGCAAACCGCCGGCTCTCATACCAGACGACTGCAAGCTACAAAGCAGCCACCCGTCAAGCATCACCTTACTTCAATCAGTTCTATCCTACTGTATAACCTTAGCCTCCATCCTTCTACCTCCGTCGAATTAGCGAGCCGACCCGGAGGCTTACAAGCCTCCCGTTGCAGCATCCCCCTGACTCAACGGAAGGAAGGAACTTATTAGCTCAACCTTCATTATCTAGTCATCAGCCATGGCTTCAATCCTGCTGCCATCCTCTTCGCGCGTATACCTCTACGACCTCCATGTATACAAGCCGCCGACGGCATTCAAGGCAAGCACTTGAGGCTTAGTTAGGACTTGGAGTATACTGTGTTTAGTTAACTACAGTACGCCATGACGACGGGGTTTTGTGGACCCAAGATGACGTGTGGCGGCAACGCACATAGAGGCCGACGGCACTGCTGGCGTGCAACCCTAAACTAGCAGTGCATTGTTTGCGGCGGGGGTTAGGCCGTGCCATTGAAGTTCATTTCTCATTATATACCCTAGCACTGCTGAAACTGCTTGAATGCGCATTTTGTTGTTAGCGCGTCGTTACGTGTGCGAATTACGCTGCTGCAGTTGAGGAGCGAGCGACCCGTGGGTCACTTTCGACCTCCCTCCCAAGCTGCGGCCCACAATGCTCAAACAAACAGTGCAATATGAGCAGCGTCCGCCCAACTATCGCGGTCGCATGCCCTAGCCGAACTTCATTTTACATTCCATACAAGTCCCATTTTACTTCTGCTCAAAAGTCCCCCCTGTGCTAACGGACGCGGCTTCCAACCCACCAACCCAAACCCCTCCTGATCGCAGGTAGACCAGGAGTCGGTCATCAAGATGTGGAAGGAGACACAGGCAAGTGGGGTTGGGCCATTGGTGTTCGGCCATGCTTCCCCCATGTACAAAGCCCATGTGCGATATTTATATGTTTAAACCCACACAATACATACTCACGTTTCGCCCCAAACGTCGTAAGCTGAACTGCACATGCGCATGCCTTCCAAACCCTTCTTACCCTTCTTTCCTCTGCCCGGCCGCCCGCCCACTTCCCTGCCCGCAGCGCTACACCCCCGATGACATCGACTTCCAGGCCCGCGTGTACGCCCGCTCCGGCCTGTCGCCCAACCTCACGCACCTGCCGCCCAACCTCAACCCCGCCTTCTGCGGCAACGACACCAAGACCGACCTCGACACCGCGGGGGTGGAGTGCCGCATGGCGGTGTGCGGCGCGGTGGAGGGACTGCTGAAGAAGGTGGGGGTGTTAAGAAAACTGGCCGGTGAACTAGAGGAAGGTGGGCGTGTGTGTGTGTGGGGGGGGGTGCGTGCGGGGCTGTGCTCTGCTAGCTGCGCGGGAACACGAAAGAGCAGGACAAATGACATCGCCTCCTTGAGCTTCCTCGCTCACGCACCGCCGTTTCCGCCTCCCTGCTGCCCCAACTCCCCCCCTGGCCCCCTCCCTCCCGCCTCCTCCCCCCGCACCCCCACCCGCAGACCGGGCTGCGCCCCTCCGACATCGACATCCTGGTTACCACCTGCTCCATCTACTGCCCCACCCCCTCCATCTCCTCCATGGTGGTCAACGCCTTCCAGATGCGCAAGGACGTGCATGCCTACCACTTGGGCGGCATGGGCTGCGCGAACGGGGTGGTGGCGGTCAACATGGTGGCGGACCTGCTCAAGGTGGGTGGTGGGTGGGGGGTGCGGAGGGTGCATGCATGGAGCGGGTGCATGGGTGCAGAGGAATGAAGGCCTGCGTGGGGTTGCATTCATGCATGCATGCGTTGAGTAGGACAAGAGCAAGCAATTGGGAGAGGTTCGCATTCATGCTGTGTGTTTGAAATAACTGGCCGCGAGGCCGTGTGTGTGTATGGGCAGTTGCATGCATGATGGGGCAGTTACACCGGGCGCGCCGTACACCCTGCCAGCAATCCACACGCACCCTAACCCTACACGCCCCTCTCCTCCTTTCCCCTTCCCCTTCCCCTTACCTTCCCCTTCTGCCTCCCCCTCCCCCCAGGCTCACCCCAACTCCAACGCCCTCTTCATCACCACCGAAACCACCACCCCCGCCTACTACCGAGGCACCGACCGACACCGCCTGGTAGCCAACCTGCTATTCCGAATGGGCGCAGCGGCGGTGCTGCTCACCAACAAACCCGCACTCGCGCTGTACGGCCCGCCAGTGGCGCCGCCGGCGCCAGCGCCGGCGGCGCCACTGAATGCGGCGGCGGCGACGGAGGGCGAGGCGGTTGCTGGCGAGTCGGCGGTTCCGGCGCAGCAGCCGAGGCGTGGCGGCGCCAAGTATGTGCTGCAGCGGCGAGTGAGGGTGCACTTGGGCCAGTCGGATGAGGCGATCAGGTGAGGGCGTGTCAGCGTGCGGGTTTGGGGGGAGACGGATGGATGGAAGGGACGGTTCTGACCCATGGGTCCATGGGTCTTCATTCCCCGATCGGGTCTCCTATACCTAAATAAATCCGTATATATGTATTACAGTCTCAAGACCGCTGCCGGTCTCTCTCCCGGCCATTCCCTAAGCATCCAAACCCTCCGCAAACCCTCCTTGCTCCTTTCCTCTCCCTTTCCCTCCCCCCCCACATGCGTGCCGTACACGCAGCGCCATCCACTACGGCCCCGACGCCGAGGGCATCAATGGCATCTACCTGGGCAAGAACGTTGTGAAGGAGGCCAGCCGGGCGCTGGCGGTGGCCATGACGCAGGTGTGTTTTTGGGGGGGGGGGGTACCGTACCCTTCGACGCAGGCGAAGACGTCAGTACCGGTTACCGCATTATCATTCCACTCAATTAGCCATGTGGCCGTGTGTCAGGAAGACTGGCCGCGAGTAGGAACGTGTGGCCCTTTGTGTGTTTGCTAAATCGCGCACATCGGCACATGCATGCTTGCAGATTGCGCCGTACGTGCTGACGTGGCGGCAGCTGGCGGAGGCCGCCATGGATGCCGTACAGCGGCGGCGCGAGAGCGGCGGCCGGCGCCGCCGTCAGCACATTGAGAGCGGCGGCGACGCTGCCACCGCCGCCAAAAAGGACGCCGAGGCAACAATCAACCGAAACGCCCACGGAAGCGCCAACGGTGACGTCAACGGTGATAAAACCGGTGCGGTTGCGGCGGAGAAGAAGAAGGACGGCAGCAGCGGCGCCGATTCGACTTCCGCCCCTTCCTCTTCCTCCAAGGACGTCTCCTCATCTTCTCCTACCCCTCCCCGGCCGCCCTACCGCCCCAACTTCCAGCAATCCACTGTACGGCACTTCCTACTGCACGCGGGTGAGCCAGCAGCCTTCCGTTCCAGCTGCGTAACGGCTTATGTCGCGCACGCATCCTTCTCATCTTCCTGTTCGCCGCGGACCTGACGTCCTCTAGATGTTTTTAGCCGTACGTCTTTCCTTACCGCTGCTATAGAGCGCCCCCCTCGCATTCATTGCCAACACTCCCTCCCTCGCTCTCCCACCTTCCCCCCACCCTGTTCCACCTCCACCTCTCGCTCCCCCTCCCCCTCATATCTTTTTTACCCCCTCACCCTCCAGGCGGTGCCAAGGTCCTGGACGGACTAGGTGAGGCGCTGCAGCTGGACGCCAGCCGCCTGGCGCCCTCGCGGGACGTGCTTCGAGACTACGGCAACGTGAGCAGCAGGTGCGGTGCGAGAGTCGTGATGGGGGGGGGGGGATGCGGGCGGGCAGGGGGGAGCGAGCGAGCGGGAGGGTTGGGTTGTACTCTTGTGTGCATGCATGTGTACTGCACCCCTCCTCGCGCTCCATCTCCTGTTGCTTGTGCCTTTTGCCTCCGCATCATCATCGGGTCATGTGCGTTATGTACGCAACATGCACGCGTACCGGGCGAACGGGGTTTACAACCCTCTGCCTGCTTGCGTTTTGTACCGTACCTGCCACACAACACAACCTACCGGGCAACCTCCCCCTCCTTGTAACCTACCTGCTCGCATCTCTTCTCAACCACCGTCCGCGTCCCCCGCCCCGCCCCGTTCCGCCCCCGTAGCACCACCTGGTACACCCTGGCGTGCGTGGAGACCACCACGGGGGTCCGGCGAGGCGAGCGGATCATGCAGGTTGGCGTGGGGTCGGGTATCAAGTGCGGCGTCAACGTATGGAAGGCGCTGCGTGACGTGAGGGAGGTGCACGAGGCCTGGGCGCACCGCCTCACGCCGGAGGAGCGGCGGTGCGTGGCGCTGGAGGGGAGTGTGGATGTGGCGCACGGGTGGCAGCATGTGGGGCGTCGTGCGGTGTTTGCGGTGTTGATGGTGCTGCTGGCGGTGGCCATGCACTGGGCGATGCTGCTGCGAGCGGGGGCGGGGACGGCGGTGTGAGGGTGCTAGGGCGGCCGGTGTGAAGGCGTGAAGTGGGTTGTGCGGGGGACGGGGGCTGGAGACTGTGGGTAATGGAGATGTGGAGGTGGTGTGGGGCAAAAAGGCGGCCCAATGTATTGACTATTGAATGATAGTGGCAAGCTGGCGTGGGGAGGATGTGGGGGTTCGTCCCGTTCGTGGTTGGCAGCGCTGTTAGCTATACGGGGATGTGTCGCGTAGGGTGTGACACGACTAATGCCGTAAGGGTTATTGTTCCTTGTTAGTTGTTGGGAAGGAAGGGGGAGTGCGCCAGCTAGACACTGTGCTATGCTTGGCACCATTGAGACGTCGTGGGCGGTAGAGAGAAAGAAAGAGCGGGCCGTTACTTGTATGGATGGAGTGGGGACTATACTGGGGGATATGTTGCTGGGTCTTAACACGTAAGTAGGGCAGAAGTAAACCCACATTTGTTGCCGGACGGCCGTTTTAGAGATTGGTTGGCCTCGGTTTGCACACAGGCGGCACAACTCCCAATCCCCGGCGCTAGTTGCTCCCGGAACCAACGAGTTGCATAGTCAAGGTTGGTCGGGGCCCCTGCGCCTGTTTTGAAGGCAGGGTTTGGATCGTAAATCCGTAACATGTATGCTGTGCTGCGGAACGGAATGCTCGGTATGTACAGCCAGCGTTGAGAGGAAAAGCAGATACACGAAAGTGGCGAGGGAAGGATTGGTTAACGTGGCGAGGCAGGGATTGAATCAAATGGCGAGAGAAGGATCGAGTCAAGTGGCGACGTGGGTAACGACGCGAGGCTGGGGGGCCCAACCAACGATAGCGTTCTGGAGAAGAGTGTTTTGTTGATTGTTGTGGCGACGCTAGGAAGATCTCAGACCTATATCCCCCAAAAAGCTTAAACGCGCGGAGGCCTCTTTGCGCGCTGCGTTGCGTGTTTCGACCCATGGGTCATGATGCCTTTCGCGTGGCGTGCCCTTGCGCTTTCTTGTCTCCCGCGTCAAAGTCTACTGGAGGCGACGTTAAACAACCCGCCCCAGCTGTCTAACACCATAGTATTGCCTAGCTAGTATCGAGGTGATGACAGATTTGATTAAGATCGCTGTTGGGTTATACAGACGGCGTTGCGTTATCGTGTCTTTTGCTGTGTGTCCTCATCTGGCCGTTCATCTGGATCGAGGACGCGCCTACTCGTTGGATATTTCGGGTTAGGGGGTGGGGGTAAGCAAGAAGCGGCTGTAGGTGCGGTTTGGGTAAAGACGGAGCTGGCGATGTGGAAGTTGAGCTGGCGGGAGCCGGCAACGCTATGTTGTACGGTAGGTCCTGGATAATGCTCCTGACGCTGACCTGAAGCGTCTCCATGTGCGGATGAATGTCAGCAGGGTGTGTTAAGAAAGGCGAGAGGAACAATTGGACATGGCAAGGTGTAGCAATATGGTTGGGCGACAGAGTAGCGTGCATGAATTGAGGAGGAACGTTTTTTTGACACCTTGTAACATCATCTGCGTTCCCACAAGTCATGTGCGTGGACGTATACACAGCTTCCGCATATACATTTACAACGCCTTCTCTGACAGTCGCTGTGCTGGAATCCTCTCAGAGCCAAAGTCAGTTCCAACAATTGCGTGCAGGCCTACCGTACGCCAAAAACACCAGTGAGGTGACCTATTAGCATGTCCATATCGCCCACCCTCCCCGAAAGGGGTGCAGCAGCAGCAAGGACATGAGATGCGACCACAACACCTTCACCGCTCGCAAAGCTATCTGCCACTAGCACGAGGCACATTTAATAGGTGTAGCAACACTGGAAAGCATTCGACGCCTCTTGCCGAGCATCACCCGTCACAAAACGGCCCCAAGGAAAAGCCCCACAGCGCATAGCATGCAAGACGCCTGACCTGCTCTGAAGGCGCTGCGCCATCAAAAGGCGGGCATGCCAACCTGTGCTGAGCTGCTGACTGGCTGTGCTGACTGTGCGCATTTCCACATCACTAAGTAGCAGGTGTCACTTCGCGCCATTACATGAAGCCATTACATACGAAACCCGCCATGTTAAGGAAACCCGCCATGTATGCGTCCGTAACACAACAGGGCGGCCGCCAGTGCTAAGCTGCCAGTCCCAACCCGCCACCATCACCAAAAAACAGCCCGCCCACATTCGGCTCGCATACGTCTCCAGCAAATGCACATGCACCAACCAACATGCACCCCCTCCCCTCCCCTCGTTCAGCGCCTGAGCCCCATTCGCCCAGCTGCCCTAGCAACCCGGAAAGCCCTCCCCGGGAAGCCCGGAAAGCCGGGCCGTCTGCATCGTCGTCTGCTGTCATGCCGCCAGCAGCTGCCCCCGTGACGAAGCAGCATCGGCGGGTGCTGTGCTGGGCCGCAGGGTGCTGCTCTGATGATACACCAGCCGCCAAGCAGCGTGGTGTGATGGCGGCGGCACCCGCAGCACCCGTGATTGCCACAGCACCCGTGATTGCCACAGCACCCGTGATTGCCACAGCACCCGTGATTGCCACAGCACCCGTGATTGCCACAGCACCCGTGCTTAGTGCTGCTTGGAAAGCCTGCAGTGGGGAGGTTGCGGGGAAAGGAAGGCAGAGCGGGAGTCAGGCCACCAATTACAGCCTTCTGGGTTACGGCAGCATGGGGTGAATGCCTTCTGTTTGGTGGTGCACCGCAGCTCCCCTGTCATCAGCAGGTGTTATGGTAAGCCCGGGTTTGGTAGGCCGGGGCGTGCTGCGGCTACTTACCGCTTGCGGACGTACTTCTCCCGGATCTGCCCCGACGTCATAAGCAGCCGGTCCAGTGCGGACACCTCGGTCCAGTCTAGCCGCCGGGAGGCCTGTGTGGTTGGGATGGCGGAGGTGGTGGGTGTTGAATGGTACGGGGTCGCACGCGTGGGGTGAGCAGAAGGACGGGGTTAATAGGAAGGCTGTTGGCGTGTGTTGGGATGTAGAGCTAAGCACGTAAATGTCCACCTTGAACTTGAGCGTGGTTGAGTCTCGCGATAGGTGGGTGGGAAACACGAAGGAGGAATACGGTGCTGATTTACCTTGTACTCGGCAATTAGTTTGGGCATTGCGGTCATGGCGTCCGAAATTTGCTTCTCCCTGCATGCATGCCAACAAGTGATCAATCTAGTTGCACTTTATCATGAATAACAGCAAGCCGTTGTGCGTGCGAGCCCTGCAGTATGATGTATGCAGAATCCCGAACCACTGGCCAGGTAATACCTTGCTGCTTGCTTCTGTGCTTTCTCCTTTTTCCGAGCTTCATATGCTTCGCAGCCAGGCGGGGGCTGTGGCCGCCCGGGCACGATGTCCTCAAATGGCCAGGGCCGGCCGGCTACATAATATTGCTCGCGCAACTTAAGAGCTTCTTGCAAACCTAGAAGTGGTGGTAAAAGCTTCTCTCCGTCCTTGCGTGGCAACAGTGCTCGTGCACCAAAGCGGTGAAGTAGGTGAGCCATGTTGGCCTACGATAGCGGCTATCAGGACTTACTATTGCACTTACGCAGCAAGTTCTTCCATTCCGAAGGTCCACATTACGGTATCGGCCTTCGGCAAACTCCGGAACCGTACGGCAACAAGGGAAGAGCGCCTCCTAGCTCCTGCCTTCCTAGGTCGTCATCTAATGCCAAACCTTAGGTTGGAACCAAGCCGCTACGGCGCCTAGTGGTACTCCAGTCGTTGCAAAGTGTCTATGTGCTCTGGCTCTACGTTACATCGCTCATTGCGCTGTGAACAACGTTAGCCTTGCTTTGTGGAGCATTTCCTGTGAAATGTTTAGACTTACAGGAAGTTCCGTCAAGTTAATTAATGGAGAATAGATACGTAAGCGGTGAGCACGCCGCACGAACCCTGTAGGTCTAGGCAGGATGGCCCTACACAATCCAGATAGCACAGCCTCTCGCACGGACGTCATCAAACCTCAACCAGGACAACAGCTCAACCTATACTAATGATTAAGTGACATTACATCATATAGCTGCTGGCTATTCCGACCCCAACATGCAAGATGGGCACGCGAACAACCAATCCTGGACTATCCCCTGCACCCGTAAGAAGACAGCCAGTTGCGTTATATATCCAATACGCCCATACACGTTCTGGCTACATCAACTTGGGAGCCTGCAGCAAGTAGCGCCTGACAGTTGACGTCCCCCGCACACACAGCACAACCGATCGATCCATAGCATACAGTATCATGGCGCATAGCTAGGCACACGGATCCGCGACAACCGCCCTCCAGCAACCGAAACCGTTACTCTCGTACGCAATCCCCTCCTACTCAATTGGAACAAAGTGTAATCGTGCGCTTCATGGGCTACATTAGGTTGCCCGCCGTACCCTGCGCGTGGTGACCCACGGGTCTACTTGGCTAAAACCCAGAGCTTCTAGGCCCACTATGCTCTGTGTCTCAGAAGGGCCCCCATTAAACGGCAGGAAGCGAGCGAGGCAGTTATGTACGGTACCCCACATAGACGCCAAGGCTACCGGTATACCAAGGCCATACTAATGCCGTACAAAGGTTGTCCTAGGGCCCCTGCTGCTCCTGCTGCTCCTGCTGCGCTTCTTCCTGTCGTTGTCCCCGCTGCTGCTGCTGCTGCTGCTGCTGCTGATGTTCCCGCCGCTGCGCCCTGGTGTGTTGTCTTGCCAGGCGCATGAAGGCGTCCGGGAAGTAGATCCAGCGAATGGCGCGCTCGATGTACCTATCAGAGGAGCGACAAAGGGCAAGCGGGACAATCGGGGTGAGGATTAGTAATCGGGGCGAGGATGTGAGAGCCAAACACAGTGTGCCACGCGCCAAGCCAGCCAGCTTCCCAGCCAAACCCAAACACGCCAGCAACACAGCACGCAAACCTTGCACGATACTCCATGCGAAACCCAGCTGCATGCTCCGAAACCCAGCTGCCGTACGACGTGCGACCCGTTTCAGCAGTACCTTGTGCCAAACGTCAGCGACACCGCCGCAAGCATGCTAAACCAAAAGTACGGCGAGGCGAACAGGATGTCCGCGGCACCAACCGTCGTCTCGTCCAGATAGCCGGCGGACAGCTCCAACCGCCACACCTGAATGTAGGCCGGGTGTGGGTGTGGGTGTGGGTGTGGGTGTGGGTGTGGGTGTGGGTGTGGGTGTGGGTGTGGGTGTGGGTGTGGGTGTGGGTGTGGGTGTGGGTGTGGGTGTGGGTGTGGGTGTGGGTGTGGGTGTGGGTGTGGGTGTGGGTGTGGGTGTGGGTGTGGGTGTGGGTGTGGGTGTGGGTGTGGGTGTGGGTGTGGGTGTGGGTGTGGGTGTGGGTGTGGGTGTGGGTGTGGGTGTGGGTGTGGGTGTGGGTGTGGGTGTGGGTGTGGGTGTGGGTGTGGGTGTGGGTGTGGGTGTGGGTGTGGGTGTGGGTGTGGGTGTGGGTGTGGGCTTGAAGAAGTGCATAATTGTGGTTTTGCGTGCTCCCCACACTTTTGCCAAGGGACATCAGACGCTATAACCCCATTTCTGCACTCATGCAAGCCCTGTCTCTGCTGTCGAATGCCAACACGCACCAGCAGCAGGAAGGGGAAGGGCAACACGGCGCTCAGGAAGCACACCACCCCCAGCAGCCTCGTCCAGGCGCGTGTCGTGAGCAGCAGCTCAGCAGTAACGGCAACCACCAACGAAACGTACGACGCCTTGCCAACCACGTACAGGTTGTGTAACGGCCGTGTGCCGTACGGCGTGACTCCGTACATGGGTACGAAGAAACAAGCGGCGCTCTGCATGGGGGGGAATGAGGTTATTGTTTGTCGTACGTTATTCGCGTAGGCAGTGATGGCAATTAACTCGTCGTGCCTACCTACACAGCGACACAATGCTCTATTGCGCCAGCAGCGGATCGCATAACAACATGTCACGCCCGACTGGGGTGCAAAGCAGTTGAGCAGACCCGCGGGTCACTTGCATTCCGACTTGCACTTGTCCTTCACGACCAGGCCTACTTACGTGGGTCAGCGGCAGCAGGATTCCCTCCAGCCAGAACCTCCGGGCGGTGAGCAGCGAGTGGGAGTTGTAGAGCTCCGGGTGCTGCAGCAGCGTGTGGGCGGGGTCGGGGGCCAGACTCTCCTGTAAGGGGGGTGCGGGAGCGGCGGGGGTAAGGGAACCAACTGCCGGTCTGATGACTAGGCACAAACCAGCCCGCCAAAAGTGACTGAGGGGTGCTGGCGTTAAGCGGTTGGGAAGCGGAGAAGGGCCTGATGAACCGTCTGGACCGTGCGATGAGAGGGCAGGATGCATGCGTCAGCCACCTACCGCGTTCCCTCTCGCCGCTCGTCAGTGCCCGTGCTGCCGTGCATGCGCTCATAAACCCTCGCGAGCAAGCAAGCGTGCCAAGTCCCTCACACCCCAAGTCCCTCCACCCCTATGGTATGGTACGTTCTTTGACCCCCACCCCCCCCCTCCTCCCCCCACCTGCAGCGCCACCACCAGAATGGGAGCCGCGGTGAAGACCACGTTGTAAAAGGAGCCGCTGATGTCGTCGATCAGCGCCTGACCTGCAGCAGCAGCCGCAGCCGAGTGTGCATGCGTGCGGTGAGACAACTGACCCAGAGAGTGGAAACGTACTGGATCAGAGCCACGTTGGAAGATGGTGTTATGTCCCTACGAGAACGCCTCGGAAGCCACGTGTTAAGGAAGCCACGTGTGTCGCACAAATGCCGTACCAATGTCGCTCCGATGTCGTACATTGAGCCATCATGTACCGTACGTGTCGTACAAGCTGAGCCGCATGCAATGTGTGTGGTATGCAGCCTTGAGCGGCACTTGGCCTCGCCAATAATATACAACGATACAAGATGTTCAGAAGAATGGGATGGGTGCCAGTCAGGGTGCCATTCTAACCATTCCCTAACGGTCATTTACATGAACGACTTCACACCCCCACGCCCCACCTGAGAAGCCGCAGTAGAACTGGAATGCCAGCAGCATGCCCCAGTACGCCAGGTTCTTGTAGAAGGAGTAGGTGATCAGCCGGGACAGCCGCTCGTTGCTCAGCTGCGTGCACACGGCGGGGAGGGGGTGTAACTGAAGGCACAGGGGACGGACGGACAGGAGTCACAAGTCCCAACCACAGCAGCCAACAACAGCCAACAACACCAGCCACAACACTCACCGTGCCGTGCACCAGCAGCAGGGGCACCAAGTGGCGGAACAGCGGCAACGCCACATCGCTGTTGTTGACCGCCTGCCGCCCCTCCTTGCCCATCACACCAATACCGACATCAGCAGCCTGCGGCGGGGAGGAGGGAAGCAGCAGCAGGAGGAGGCCGAAAGAAAGAAACCATGGAGAAAAAATAAGAGTCTGAATGCGTGTGGATAAGCCTAGGGGGCGCAGCGATTGAAAACAGCGTTTATCAGGAGTAATGGCAATTGAGGCGGCAGCATCTGGCAACAGCTACAAGGCTACCGGTACCTCCGCATTCGTAGTGTCCGTAACACCCGTACTATCTCCGCGGCGCACGTTCTTGCAAGTCACCGTACTATCGTATGATACAATTCGTATTACCTGGATCATGGCCACGTCATTTGCTCCGTCGCCAATGGCTAACAGCACGCCGTCTCGCTCCATTGAGCCCCACTCGCCGCCGTCGCCGCCGTCGCCCAGTACGACACTGCTACCCTCGTGATCGCCGCCGCCGCCGCCGCCGTCATGGCTACCACTCGCCCTGACATGACCAACTCTCGGCGCCGCCTCCGCCGCCGTACCTTCCTTCCTAAACCCAAGTCGCGTCAGCAGCCACATCACCGGCGCCACCGACACACCTCGACCTCCTCCGCCGCCGCTGCCTCCGAAGCCAGCCAACCACCGCCAGCGGCGGCGGCGCCGCGCCTCCGCCGTACGCCGCCGGTGTTCCCTCATCATTCGTACCAGCGCCGCCTTCTGCGCCGGCGACGCGCGGCACACCACCACACTCGCGCATCCCGCGCACAGCGCCGCCAACTGACGCACGAGCGACGGCCGATCCAAGATCATGTCGAGTGTACGGCTGTCAACCACCAGTTCAGCCGTCGTTGAAGGGAAACCGCCGTCGGAAGCAACATCGCCACTGCCGTCGTCGCCGTCGGCTGGACGTGCCGTCGCCGTCGCCGCCGCCGCCGCCGCCGATGCCGTGCTAGACAATTGCAGCTCCTTTGTTTCCTTGGACCGCTGTCGCTGCTGCTGCTGCTGCTGCTGCTGGCGTTGTTGTTTGTGCTGTTGATCCAGAGTCACATCCCCCGCCTCATGCCCCTGCTGCCCATGGCGCCACTGCTGATCTGCAGCCAGCCCTTTGTTACGTTGCTGCTGCTGGTCCGAGACCGCACTCGCCCCATCACTCGTGCGGCGGTTGGTACCCCCGGCAGCAGCAGCACCACCACCACCGACGTCGGCGTTGGCTCGCGCTGTTACGCGTCGTTGTCGTTGCCCTGAAACCCGCCGTCCCATGCCGCCGCCGACACCACTGCTGCCTCTATTGCTGCCTCCGCCACCACCGCTACCGCCGCCGCTAGTGTCGTTGGTAGCGGCAGCGGCGATGATGGCGGCTGCTCTGCGGGTGAGGGAGCGCAGCTGCTGCCGAATGGCTGCGACGGGGGATTGCCACAAGAGCAGCAAGGTGTTGGGAAAGGATGTGGAGGACGCGAACTTAACAAAGGACCTTCCGCAGCCACACCCTCAAGCACCGTACAGCGTAAACACACCGTTAAGCGTAAACACACCAACGAGTAGCAAAGTGACAAGCAACCAAAGCACGCGGGACACCCACGTAAGACGTGTTATGCACAAGCCGGGCCTCCACGCACCTGCCTCCCCAACCTCTCGCAGCACCAGCAGCTGCTCGTCTCGCGGCTGTGTCACCAGTCGCGCCGCCCGAGCGATATTGACGGCGGTCTCCAGCTTGTCGCCCGTGATCATCCACACGCGCACGCCGGCAGCAAGCAGCGTGGCCACAGCGGCGGGGACGCCCTCCTGAGGCGTTGATTGGGTTTTGTTTAGATCTCGCTTAAAATCCCATCCGGAATTCCGAAAGTGAACGGTTTGAAAGGAAGGAAGCGAGTGTGCTGGCGACAAGGAACCAGTCTTCAAACAAACAGAACTAAACACAACGACATACGGTAACACTAAACACAATAACGCACCGCACCGCACACCTGCAATTGGTCCTCAATGGCCGCCACCCCCACCAGCTGCAGCTCCCGCTCCATCTCCTCCGCCAGCGCATCCAGGGCGGCGGCACGGACCCGTGGGTCGGTCCCGCCGGCTCCGACTCCCGCTGCAGCCGCCTGGTAACGCTCGTCCCAGCGTTCGTACCAGGCTCGGTCGGGTAGCGGCCGGGCTGCAAGGACGAGTGTACGGAGTCCCTGATGAAGAGGTGAATGAATGGACGTTGGTAAGGAAAGAAGGTTAGTTAGGCGAGAAGGTTTGGGGATGGTAAGAAGCCCTGGTACAAAAAGCTGCATAGATGCGACAAGACGAGGTTGAAAAATAGGGAAACTTGGGGGCTGTAGTCAGGTAACGCTTGCGAAGTGTTGACACACACGGAGTGATGACTAGTAAGGCACCTGGGTGGCGAAGTGCTGCAGGCTTGCCTCCGCCGCCGCCCGCACCGCTTCACTTGAACCGGCGGCGCCAGCAGCAGCCACAGACGTGCCGCCGCCGCCCGCCACCGCAAGACGACTCAGAATGACGCTGTCAGCTCCCTTGGTGTGGAGCGCCAGGGAGCCGTCCGGTGCCTCCACCACCACTGACATGCGCCTGGGTGGTTGCAAGGAATGGGGAATGGGGGCAGATGGGGAACGAGGAGACGAGTGTGAGGTCAAGCTCATTGAAGGACGCAAGTAGGAGGGAGGAAATGGGAGGTGAAGTGAGGTGGACCGAGGTATGAAACATGTCCGATTGGGAATCCAGGTGCGGCACGAGCTGTCAGGCGAGACCTCACTTGCGTGCGCTGCTGAACTCGAGCACGTTCAGGACTCGATACCGTACGACAAGTGCGTTGCCGTCATTGTCCTTGGCGGCGGCGTCGGCAGCGGTCGCGGCGCCGATGCCTCCGCTGACGTCAGCGACGCCGCTCCTCTCGCCGCTGCTTTCGCCGCCGCCGCCACCACGGCCGCCGCTGCCACCGCTGCTGCCCTCCAACTCCGCCGGCGCCGCGGAAGGTACGGACCCTGGCGTTGCCGATGCTGACGGCGACACCGCCGCCGACGGTTCTGCTGACGGCACCTCTGACGCGGGTGGCGACATCACCTTGAGCTCCAGCTCGTCCCGCCGCCGCGCCGTCAGCTCGAATCCTAACTGACGCGCAGCGTCCAGCAGCGCCACTTCATCCGGCGAGGGACCCTGCGGCATTTGGGTGGGCATGGGCGGACACGGGCGGACATGTCCCAGGGAAAGCTTCTGGGCCTTTCCTTACGTTCTTAGCCGGGGTTCCTTCATTCCTTCATTCCTTCATTCCTTCATTCCTTCATTCCTTCATTCCTTCATTCCTTCATTCCTTCATTCCTTCATTCCTTCATTCCTTCATTCCTTCATTCCTTCATTCCTTCATTCCTTCATTCCTTCATTCCTTCATTCCTTCATTCCTTCATTCCTTCATTCCTTCATTCCTTCATTCCTTCATTCCTTCATTCCTTCATTCCTTCATTCCTTCATTCCTTCATTCCTTCATTCCTTCATTCCTTCATTCCTTCATTCCTTCATTCCTTCATTCCTTCAAGAGGCTGGGACCCACCTGGTATGCAGGCGGCTTGTCCGCAGCCGGGTGCGGCTCCAGCACCACCGAGTGACACAAACACACGCCCAGCCAGAAGGAAACCAGCCGCTGACCCAGAACCTCCCGCTCCTGCTCCTGCTGCTTCCGCTCTGGTTCATCCTGGGTCGCCTGGTTCTGTTGCTGCTTCTGCTGTTGTAAGGCTGAACCGGCAGCAGCACCAGCAGCGGAACCAGCTGCAGCAGCGGAGGTGGAAGCAGCAGCAGCAAAGCCCCCAGCACCGCCGCCCTCCACCACCTGCCGCCAGCGACCTGCCCGCACCAGCGCAATCGCGGCTTGCAGCAGCCGGGAATCGAACTCACGCAGCGCCGAGGGGCCGACCAGCTCGGGGCGCTCTTCCAGCCGTACGTCCAAGCTGCCGAACCTGTGCGGCAGGAGGCGGCAGGCGTCAGAAGGCGCCAGGAGGGGCCAAGAGGCGTCAGGAGGAGTCAAGAGGCGTCAGGAGGGGCCAAGAGGCGTCAGGAGGAGTCAAGAGGCGCCAGGAGGAGTCAAGAGGCGTCAGGAGGGGCCAAGAGGCGTCAGGAGGGGCCAAGATGGCCCCGGTCAATATGATGATCTCCCCACACATTTCTTCTTCCCACCATGCTGCTTCCCCACACACACCCAACACAACACCGCCCCGCCCCGCCCCACACCTTTCCTCTCCCAGCGCGCAGCACCTCAGACGCATATCGTTGCGTGTCAGGGTGCCCGTCTTGTCGCTGAACACCATGGCTACACGACCCAGGTCCTCATTGACAGCGCTGCTGCGAGCAAAGGCATGGCCGCTGCCGCCATTGCCGCTACCGCCGCCGGCACTGCCGTTACTACCACTACCGCCGTTGCTGCTGCCGTCCTCGGCGCCACTGCCGTCACCACCGCCGCCGTTGTCACTGCCGACCCCAGCATTGCGATGATCCCCACGGCGGCGGTCGTGACCTGCGTCGCCCCATGCGTCGCCGCTCGCCGCCTCGCGTGCGACAGAGTTGTGGTTGTTGTTATTGTTGTCAGGTTCCCGGGTGGACGTAAAGAGGCTGCGGAATCCGCCTTGAGGACGGTCAATATGCTGCTCGTGGCGGTGGTGTTTGTGGTGGCCGTTGGAGGAGGGCTGGCAAGAGGAGGCGGGGTCCTCCAGTGCCGGGTCGGAGTTGATGAAGACAAAGGCCTGGGGGGGGGAACAAGCAAGACAAGCAAGCAGCAGGGTTGGTTACGGCACCGGTCTGTTGGAAGTCGGCAGGATGATAATAAGGATGATCATGACGACGTAGCTGCGGCTGTTGAGCGCTGCTGGAAGCTGCACAGCCGAGCGGTTCAGCAGACCGGTAAGCCGCCGTTCGTAATAACACGATGCATGGAAAAAGCGGGGCGAAGAAACGACCGAAAGGACCCCGCAACGTACGTCCAACACGCATACGGTTACCCATCATCAGATTGTGTGCTGTTGTTGCCATAGCAAGACAAGAAGGAGAAGCAAGGAGTACTGGTCGTCGTCACCTGACTGCCCCCACCAAACCCACCTGACTTTCACCAAAACCCCTAACCCACCTGCCAAAACTTGACGAGCTCCATCGTCACAAAAAGGCTGATGGGAACTAGGTACCCGTACAGGATCCAAAACGTGATGGATAGCAGTACAATGTACGTCCCCGGCGAGCGCCAGTTGCCTTGTACGGGATCGTCCAACGCCAAATGCGGTCGCCGTACACCCTCGTACTTTCTCCACACCCAACTGACAACCGCAGACGCGACTGACAGCAGCAGCTGAGGGTGCATTTGTTCGTGTGCGTGCGTGTTTGTGATTGCGTAATGGGGGTCAGTGGGGGTTAGAGGATGGGGGTACGCAAGGTTTGTCAGTAGGGAGGCGTACGACACCCGTACATGGAAACATGCTCGTGTGCAAGGGTCTACGGATATGGATCAGAGGACATTTATACGCGGTTGATGAGGAGGGATTTGATCATCTGAAACCGCACAACTCCCAACGCCTCCCGTGCCCGGTCATCTATATCTCACCTGCAGCACCAGCAACAGCAGGATCTGCTTGTTTAGGAAACGATCGAACGACCCGACCTGCAGTCAGGGCAGGAGGAAGGGCGCCTCCTCAAGGATTTCGATCAACAGTCGATGAATGTTGCAATGGTGCACGCTTGTGACTTGCCCATCACCTGCTTCCTGGTCTAATACTTTACACGCTTGTGACTTACCTTGATGGGCGGTCGTACGGCATTCATTTGGATCCTGGTTTGCGGGCCGCAGTACACCGCGAGCCCGAGCACGTACCTGAGCCGTACAAACAATGTAGCACAAATTGTGTCATCTACTGCAGATCATCTACTAGGATTAGGGCTTGCCATGTGCTAGAGACGAAACTCAAAAAGCAGCAAAAGGGCACACGAACCTCCTGAAGACCAGAACCTCAAAAACCCTTCACCACTGATTACCGTAGTTTTGTGAGATTGTTAATGTTGAAAGTTACCGTGCTTATGGCTCACCGTGAGTTCTTCAGCACGCAGCCCCGAAGCAGCATGTTGTCCATACTGAGCGGTACTGCGGCGGGGGGCTGCGGAGCTGCGGCCCCTGCTGCCACCGCCGCCGCCGCCGCCGTCTGCTGCTGCTGTGGAACCGATGAAGTAGGCTCTCCTTGCGATTCTCCTTGCAATTCTCCTTGTGATTCTTCTTGCAATGGTGGGACCAAGCGCGACTCAAATGGTGGTGATGGTGGGTCCAAGTGCAGCCCACCGGTGAAGGAGTGCAGGCTGCGACTGGGCTGCTCACACACCACTCGGCCGGTCACACCGGCCAGCAGCTGCGTTGGCGGGTGGCGGCGGTGGGGGGGGGTAAAAATAAGGAAACTGACAAGGCAACATACGGGTGGTAGGGGCGTGGAATGATCAGGAAGGAGTACGGGCCCGACCATGCATGGGTTGCATGGGGTGGTGTATGTGGAGCGGAAGACAGGTAGAGTGGAAAGCTGGATACAAGGGTATTTATTGCATGCATGTTGGGCGGTTGTGCGGTTGGGCGCTATACAGGGCGCTACGCAGGGGAAGTTACATGGGTGGACTACAACACATGTGAGAGATGCCCCCGTGTGTCAGCACACGACCCGTACGTCAATCATACCTGGTGATTGGACCTCCGGAGCTCAACAGACGCGTCCGACCTTGCTGCGCCATCGCTGCTACTACTGCTGCTCCCACTGCTGCTGCTTCCGTTACCGTTACCGTTATCGTTGTTGGCGTTACCACCTGCATCACCGTCCGGGACATTCACCTCCGCCTCCGCTTCCGCATCCTCTACTATCGTATTGTCGTACTGTTCCCATCCGGGCAGTCGTACTGCATGTCGTACTTTCAAGTTGGTTTCGCCGTCGAGATTTGTCGTACGCACGAAGGCCACTCCCTCCGGCAGCCCCGTTCTGAGGAGCAGCAGGTCAGCAGGCAACAGCTCGCCGTCTCGAACCTGTTGTGTGGAGTGTTGTTATGGAGTCTTGAGGGAAAGCTACTGACGAGACGCGCAGAAGTGTGCAGTCGCGTCAAAACAACTGACAGCAAACTCTTCATTTTGTGTGCCACTTTTTTATAGAACTGTGACGGCGCTGTCACGCACGCCTACAGACCCTGCTGCCGCGGCCCTACATACCTACCTCTAGTACATCCCCCACGCGCACGTCCTCCCACGCAATCCGCTTGGTTGACCCTGCAAGGCCGGTGAAGTGAATGAGGAAGTGAATGAGGAAGTCCCGTGTCATTGCAATTTTAGGCGTTAGGCAATGCTAGATTGAAGCCACGGAATGCTAGATGCTTCAATGCTAGAAGCAACGGACCCACCATCGGGCAGCAGTCGCCTGGTAAGCGCACGGTTGGTGGCTCGATCCTCCAGGTGCCTCCGAACATCTTCTACAGCGGACTGCGTACGGTAACAATCGTACGGCAAGATGAACACAGTACGGCAAGATGAACACAGTACGGCAAGAATCACTGAACGCTTGGTTTGATCCAAGCAAACGACATGTGCTGTCTTCTTCCCAACCAACCAACCCTGCCAAACTCAACCCACTCCTCTCACCTTGACGCCGCTCACGGCTACCACAAACAACAACGCAGCAGTGCTTCCGATGCCGGAGAACGGCGACACCACATCCCACCAGCTGAGCGCCGCTTGCGCCAGAAAGTACAGGTAGGCCACACGGCTAAACACCTCAAACAGGAAGATGGGCGGAAACGTGAGCAGCGAATACTTGGCGGTGACCACACGGTTGCCTAAGGGAGCGGGGGCTGCTGGGGTGGTCGCCCAGCGGGTGGGGACCTTGGTTTTGGCGGTTGCGGCAGCGGCGCCAGTAGTTGCGCGTACGACGGAGGGGCCAGCGGAGGCGGGACCTGCTGCCGCCCAGGTCGCGGCGGCGGCGGCTCCGACTTCACTTTCACTCCATGTGCCGGCTGCATCATCACCGCCGCCGCCGGCAGAGCTGCTGTCGCTGCCATTGCCGTTACCGCTGTTGTTGTTATCACCCCCCAGCTGCTGTTGCTGCTGCTCTTGCTGCTGCTGCTGTCGATGCTGGCGTGCCGAAGTCGATCGACGACGCCGTCCCCAGGGCCACCGCCATCCACGCCATCCGCTGCTACCGCCGATTCCCTGCCGTACTTTGTTCCAGATCCCTACCGTTGCCGTACCAACGGCGAACCAACCGCCTCCTACTGCCGCCTGATGCCGTACAGCGGATTCATGTACGTCCAGCCGTACAACCCATTCCTCTGTGTTCGTACCGCCGCCACTCGGACTAGCGGCGCTAGCAGGCTGTTGTTGCTGCTGCTGCTGCCGTACGGTGTTGCTAGCGCCGCCGCTACCACCGCCTTCAGAGTGCTTGCGCGGCTGTTCTGGTAATGCGCTGCTGCCAGCGGTGCCTGCGGCTGCTGCTGGCGATGTTGCGGGTGCGGAGGAGCTTGCCCACTCCTCATCATCGTTCTGGCCGGCCTAGTTGGAAAGGGAAGAGGGGTTTAAGGAGAGAGAGTTATTCAGGGAGGCATGACTCGGACAAACGTAAATGTTTGCAAGGTGACGACGGCGCATGTGTGTCAGCTGATCCCTACAAACCCTGAGCAACATGAAACGATGGCGGTACGCTTGGTAGCAGCGTGAAGGAACAGAAAAGTGGCGTGTGTGACCCACGGGTCACCTCGTCTCTGTGACGTGTCACCAAGGAAACAGCAACCCTCACTCCCAATGGTTTGCCCGCATTCCCGGCGGACCCTCTTGCCACCCTAACGCGAGAACCAATAGTGCTCAGAAATCAAAGCAACGTAACGATGACAATGCGGAAGCACCGGCTTGCCTGGAAGTCGCAACGCCAGCAGGACCAAGCAAGCCGCCGCAAGGGGTCCACCGAAAGCCGTGTCTCCTTCTTTTGTCTGTGGGCCGCTTGTGACTCGCGCGTATCCTGAACATTTTCTCCCTGTTGGCTTGGCAAGCCCCGCTTTCCCTGCGCCAAAGGGCCTGGCGCCGAAGAGAGAGCTCTCGGATGCGAGCTGTTCATCCGGCTACTCGGCTGACACCGGTAAAGGTTTCAAGCCTGACCAGTTACAAAGTTATTGATCAATGCGCTACTTCAGCATTTTTGTGCACTGAAGTTACCTTTTCTTTGGTAATTACATCACAAGGAATGTTGGAATGACCGAAAATTTGCCGTGCCGGATAGCATATGTACCTGACCCTGGCTGTTGAATAGTCTTCAACGTACAGATAGCTGCGTTTGCGTGCCTTGGGAGGCCCTTAGGTGAATGTAAGGTATGTGCAGTACTGTGCAACCAACAACGGCAGGTCAGTAATATGAGAATGCAACCCAGCAATTGCGGCAAAGAACATTGGGCACATCCCCACTGTGGAGAAAGCAGCTTGTGATGAGCATGCTCATCTAGCCGGGCCGGGCCCGGCCCTGTTCGCCCGTCACAAACACACCCGCTGGTAGGCTTCATGGCTGATGCAATTATTCTCGACCTCAAGAAGTGTTAAGAACACTACCTGGGGAATGCCGGCTGTGGGGTGACCAGACGTGAAGGCCCCGCAGCACCCTCCATCGCGGAGGAGCGTCTTGCCTGATCCCTAACACTCCAGGTGAGTTGCCTGCGAAATTCAAGCGCGCTTTCGCATAATGGTGGCTCGGCACCAGAGCATGCAATCACTTCTGGGGAACGTTGCGGTTACACATGTCCAAGCGCAGAGGCATTCTACGATGACCGCCGCGCACTGGGGTATCTACTGCTCTGCACCGGAGACATACTTAGCTTCAAAGGAGGGTGAGGAGTGTGAACGGGCTCCGGCATCAGGTGTACAGCTTTCTCCTATCAAGCGACATACGTCAGCTTCGGTCAAGATCCTGTCCGCCGATGGTTTTCGTACACAACCGTAGGAAAGGCTAGATGAACCACAATAGGTGTGCCTTGGTAACAATCGTACGCTCAAACGGGGCCCCATTTGGTCCCACGTACTTACCGTACAAAATTACAGCCGTTGCTGTTCATGGTACTTTTTCCTATTAGGTGCTTTACCTACGTTCCATTCGTACTGGTAACCTTATCACTTTGCACGCTGGCATAGATGTGTCTTATCCCTAACCGGTAGCGGAGGCCTTAGGCCGGTGCAAATGCCCCTTTTCAAACGGCTTTTCGGGCAAGGAAAGAGCAAGGCAAGCTGTCGAATTCTTTATTCGTCCACTCTGACCAACACGTCCTTTGACTAAAACGACAAGTGCTTTTTACAGGGGTCTAGCGGTCTTGCCGCCCTATGCATAGGAGACTACAGCCGTGTAACATTGCCCATCTGGGGTTTGGATGCTCGGCAGCTTGAAAGCCTCCTTGGTAAGCACTTCCTTGCTAGCTCGACTGCCATGCATGTTTGCCCCAGCTGGTGGATGGACTTCCGCCATCCGGCGTTCTGTGGTACCAATGGTTTACAAAGCAATACTCTTTACTTTCACAGCTCACGAAGCGGCTGAGGATGACGGCTCGCCCAGCAGTCCGTCGAACCAGCCTACCCCACAGGCAACGAAATCTGGCACTCTTGGTGGGCAGTCATCGTTTAAAGGTTTGCGACATCTTTTCCAGGTGCGACTGAAGCTACTTGTAGCAAGTAAAGCCTACGCATGTGTCGCACTTTCGTAATGCAGCTCGTTCTCCAGCTGGCTTCTACAAACGTGTAGAAGCATGCTTGCAAATAGACATAACCCAATACGACATGGTTGTGATCTTGCGTCCTGACTGTCCTGTGCAGCATCTTGGGGGCGGAGCATCCTCCAAAGAAGCCACTACCCAGGCTGACGTTGAATCTCAGCGTCAGCTTACGCAATTCATAAAGCAGCTCGGAGAGTTGTCAGAGGTCTCTTTTGTGACGGCAGCAGAGGATGGTGAGGAAGGACCTGGTGTCTTGAAAGTATTGACGAGGGGCTTCCCGAACAGGGGACGCGGGTGCAGGATTGCAGTGCTCTCCGCGTCCCGCCCGCAATGTCTCCCCTATACGCGATGCCCTCTGAGCCCCACAACCACCCTTTTCGAGCAGCAGCACACGGCCACAGCAGTTTCGTGGGTTGCTACCAACTCGGCCACCTCATTTCCCGCAGGCCTCATTTTCCGGGAAAAAGTCTTATCAAAGCTCACAAAGCTCTTCAAACAGTCCACGGCGCCGGTGGTGATCGTGTCGTACTGCGGACCTAGCGATGAGCGCGGAAACTGGCGACTAGCCTCACAGGTAGGCTGCGGTCTACCCACTGTCGTGTTGCCGCAAAACACGACGGGTCACGTGCCTCTTCATCCTGGCCGCTCTACACCCTCCCTCCTTACCTTCCGACCTCGCACCCTCCCTCCCTCCGTTCTCCTGCTCGCGGCCCGTCCTCACCCCGCAGTCTGCCTCCAGCAGCGGTCTGGGCAGGGACAGCACCCAAGCGGGTAACACCGGCGCAGCGGCTGCAGGCGTGAGCGGCAGCGGCAGCTGCCATGCGCCCGGCAGCGTGGTCAGCTTCCGCGAGGTGTCCATGCTGTGGCAGCGCTACCGCAAGCACAGCCAGCGGCTGGTGCTGCTGCTGGATTGCCCCAACAGCGGCTACTGGGTGGCGGCGCTGCGGATGCTCAGCAAGGCGGAGCAGCTGGAGCTGAGCCTGGGGGTGCAGGCGAGTGGGCAGGGGTGGTGACGTTGGCGGCGTTGCAGTGTTGACATGGGATCCATGGGATTTTGGTTCATGAGAATAGAAGGCTTGCCTGGTTGTGAAGGAGTGGGAGTGGGTTTTCCCAGTGCTTTGCCTTGAGGCGCTGCTCTGTGGCTCCCCAAGTTACTCGGTACGTCGCACGCACAGAGCCCTTTCAGAGGGTGTTTACAGTTTGTTGATGACCGTGATCCTGCTGTCCGGGTTGCACCTGCAGGCCAGTGACAGCAGCCTACCCGCGGGGCAGGGTCGGCAGCTCGTCTACCAGCCAGGTACGGCTGCCAAATGGACACGGCAGGTGGTGGTGGTGGTGGTTGTAGAACACGTTGTAGCGTAGCCGTTGTCCGCCTGTCCCATGTCCCTCTGTTATACGATGTCGCCCGACGTCCGGTGTCTTTTTACCCAACCTGCCCCCCTTCCCTGAACCCCCCGGCCTGCACCGCTACCCGCAGGAATCTTCACACAGCTCTTCTTCTTTAACAACAAATGGCGCCGCGACCCCAGGCGTGCAGCTCCTCCTCTTGCAGCCCAGCATCAGCAGCAGTCGACCCAGTCGCCCGGCACCTCGCAGCACTACCCGGGCGGCTCCGTGGGTGGCGGTGGCGGTGGCGGCAGCGTCAACAGCAGTGTGCGGGGCGGCCGCATGGAGCAGTGGCTGCCCGGCATGATGCCCAGCTTCTACGCCACGTGGCTGAATGAGAACCTGGTGGACTACCGCATCGCGCTGCGCTTCTTCAACCTGCAGGTGGGAAGGGTTGACGCAGGTTTATTGGGTTGGTAGTACCGGTACTGGTACACTCTGAGCGGTGGTTTCTCCCCTCGGCGCATCAGGACCTGGATCTTAAACGCATTTAGGATAGCGCAACCTGTGTCCCAGCTCGCCTTCCTGAGCGTGCACGTGTTGCTTCCAACGCCCCCACCCAAACAGGCCCCCGCGTGTCCTCCCGGGGAGCTCTTTGGGCTGAACCGCTCCGTGCACAATCGGTCCGTACGCGCGCCAGTAGCAAGTGCATCTACAGCAGCGGCAGCAGCAACACCAGGGACATCCACCCCGGACAGCCCTCCTGACGCCGTGCAAGTCTGGCGCGCCAGCACCATGCTGATCGCGACAGCCGGCAGTGCAAAGGGGCTGGGTCGGCGGTCGCGGCTATGCGAGGCGGCGACGGCGCCGGCGCCCGCGGGTGACCCATGGTTTACAACACGTCCCAGTGCGCCGTCGCCCGGGACCGCGGCGACAGGCCCAGTGGAGGTTGATGATGTCGAGGCGCTGAGACATTCGGATAAGCTGGCTTTGGAGGTAGGGGCTGGGCTGGGCTGGGAGAGAACGAACGAACCTTCCCGGGTTTCCTTTGGGAGGTGCCAGGATGTTTGGCGATCTGCAGCAATCCAAGGTTGATTGTGGCTTACCGGTACCTCTGGCTCCTCGTTTTCTTGATCTTAATACAATTCTGCACGTTTCCGCCTCATTGGGGTCAATGGCCCGTCCCGCTCCCAACCCTCCTGCCCCCTGCCACAGGCTGCCATGGCCCTCCGCGCGCCCTCCCTCCCGGACGCCGCCGGCCGGCGCTTCTCCTCCGTCGCCGACTACTACGCGCATACGGACGCAGATACCTTGCAAAGCAACACCGACGCAGCAAGCCGGCCCGTAGCCACAACCAATGGAGCGTCTGCCCTCCCAGAACCCCCCGTAACCGCCCTCCAGGCGTCCTCGGCCTTTGCCATGACGCACTCGCTGCACCGACGTCTGCAACTGGAGGCAGCGCAGAGGCCGTACAACATGAGCTCGCCGCAGGAAGAGGCATGGTCGTCAGGAGCCGTCTCGCAGGCCTTCCGCGCGCCGACCGTCCCAGACATGGACGTGATCAGCCGCGGGGTGACATACGCAGGCGCGGACTCGCTGTCCCCTGCCATGTCCGCGTCCGCCGCGCCCTTCCCCATCTTCCGCCACGGCACTGGCATCATGAGCAGCCCGGCTGGGTGCACCAGCGGCACTGCCAACTACGTCCTAGCAGGCACCTCGCCTCCGTCTCATAACAATCAGCTGCCTCCGAGGTCACCATCGTCATCCCGACAGCTGCAGCCGCCTCCACCGCTGGAACAGCAACTAACGCAACACCACATCTCTCTTCAGGAGCCACAAGAACAGCAAGAGCAGACCCATGGGTCACAGGTGTTGTCACCGTCATCAGCCTTCGGAGCCGCTGCCGTACGCCCCTGGACCGCTTCCGGTGACGGCGACGCTGCCGCGGCCGCGGCCGCCTGCACGGTCCGCTCGAACACCGGCGACCTGGCGATCCAGACGAGCGCTCAGTCCGATACGGCCGCCATGCAGTGGGATCGCCGGATCAGCAGGGTGGAGGGAGGGCATCTCCTTGTGGAGGACTGCATGGGGGTGCAGGGCTCGTCCTTCTCTACGGGTCCCACTGCGCGACGCGGATTCGCGAATGAGCTGCTTGGGGCGTTGCAGGAGGTCGCGTGAGTGATGGGGGGGCGGGTTGTACGACAGCACTAGAGCTGAACCCCAGAGAAAGAAACTACCACAACACACCTAGATAGAAGGGTTGACCAGGAGCCTGACGACTAGCTGGCAGTACTTTACAAGGCTGGCAAGGGTTGCCTCCGAAGTGTCATTGATGGGGCGGGAAGCACAGAGGGCTGTGTATACTCATGCCATCCTTTCGCCTGCCTCCTCCCACCCTTCCCCGCCCCATTGCAGCACGGAACGCCGGCTAATGGCCCGACGCGCTCCGCTAGAGGGCGACGAACCGCTGGAGGTCATGATGCAGGACGCGGACATTGAGCGCAACACCTCCATCTCCAGCCTGCCCTCTGCCATCCTGCCCCACAACATGCTAGCCGGCACCTCCGCCTCACCTGGCCCGCCGCCGCATTCAACCACTCTCCTAGCCGGCGGCGGCAGCATCAGCGGTCGTGTCGCCGGCGGCTGCGCAGCTTCATCCCCGTCGCTAGCAACCCCCCGTACCTCCGTCCTGGGCATGCAACAGCAGCTTCCAGCTGACCTGCTGGCCGGTCGGCAAGCCGGTGTTACGGCGCCGCGCCAGATGAGTCGGCTGTTCATGATGTCCGTGGTGGCGGCAGCAGCCGGCGAGGGAGGAGCTGCAGCAGCAACCGCTGGCGGCGCCGGCGGCAGCATTGCGAGCCTTATGGAGGCGCTAGAGTCCTCGCAGCAGTCCTTTGAGGGGGTTGCGGAGGGAGAGCTTTTGCTGGTCGGGGACTCCTTGCCGTCACACCCCCAGCTAGCACAGCAGCAGACACAGCAATCGCAAGAGCAGCAGGACAAGACAACGGCGTTGCTGCAGCAGCTGCAGCGGCTGCAACAGCCGCAGGCCTTGCATGGTTTCGCCAGTGCTGGCGGCAGAGCCGCCACTTCGCTTGGCGGCGGAGTCGAGGGCGGTGGCGGTTGCAGCGGCCTCAACCTTCTTGAGGAAGGCAGCAACGGCGGAGCTTCATGTAGTGGTGACGAGGGGAGCATTCTGTTACACATGGCCGCGTCGCTGTTTGCGCATCCTGGGAGTGCGGCTGCGGCTGCGGCTGCCGCTGCGATGCAGTCCTCTCCCGGCTGGGTTCCGTCTTTGCACTCGCCAGCGTTGTCGCCCATGCCATCGTCTCGGGAACGTCAGCGGGCCCGTCGTGGCAGCGCCTCTAGCATCATGGCTAGCGGCGGGGGCGGCTTTGGGTCTTCAAGTTTGATGCTGAAGAGCCTGCTTAAGCAACACGTTTCCATCGCGGATTCAATGGATCTGGACGCTGTTGCGGCGGCGGCTACGCCGACGTGGCAGCGGAGACCTGGCCGCATGCAGATGGCGGGCTCCGAAACCTCTTCATTTGTGTTTGGCGACGATCGGGAGCGTTTTGAGATGCTCCGCTGCATGCGTGACGCCGACGGCGCCGAGGGTTGCGGCGGCGAGTGTGATGAGAGCGGCAGCGAGGCCGCTGGGGCTCGTCGAGGAGGCGCAGACAGCCATCGTGACAGCGCTTTCTTGGACAGCGACATGGCGAGCGAGTTGTTGTTGGCGGGGAGCTGCGGCGCACACGCGGGTGGGTCTGCGGGCTCCTCCTTGCTTGCTGCGCATAGCGGCGGCGGTGGTTATGCGTGCCATGCACTAGCGGCGGCCTCGGAGACAGCAGACTCGACTTTGGCGGGTGTGGTGGTGCCGACTGATGGTTCTGCCTTGCTGTTGACCATGGGCAGCAACGCAGGGGTTGAGCGGTCAGACTTTGGAGCGAACCAGGGAGGTAAGGAAGCGGGCAGGGAGGATGTGCAGGGAGGGTTTTTGCAGGTGAGGGGTTTCGAGGTGGAGGGTGATGCAGGGGAGGGGGTGCCAGTGGCGAGCGATGCCGTGATCAGGGAAGGAGATGTCCGTGTGACGCTTGCGTAAATCAGATGGCTCTTGTGATGACCGTTGTGCAGTGTAAAAACGGCAGTAGCAGTGAGGTAGTTGGGCGTGGGAGAGGTGTTGCCTAGGGTGGCACTTTGGCGGCTTGACAACAGTACGCGACGCAAAAGCAGCCTTTACGTCACTTTGGTATATGGTGTGTGCACGTTACGGGCCAGTTTTGAACTGTATTGGTTTTTAAGCACGTTGGTTGGACGCACAAGCTACCGCAAGCCGCCTGACCTAGGGCCTTGAAACAGGGTCCCAACCGCACTGCCAAAACCGCGCACCTTGTTGCCTCTTTCGTTATGTTTGTTGCGTCCCTTAAGTCCCATTGTATGTTCCGAGAATTATTTAGCACAACTAGGGTTGTTTTCGCAGTCAGGGAGAGCCATGTCGTGTGCTGTGGGGGTATCAAATGTGTTGAGCGCATCAGAAACGTACTGCCTGAGGCAGCCATCCTGGAAGAGGCGTCTGGTGTCCTAGTGGTATCCCTGCTGTTGTCCAACAGTGTCCAGCAGTGTCCAGGTGCCCACCCTGTGTCCCGAGCGGAAATCGTGTCCCATAAGTGGCTCATGCATGCATGACCGCGTAACCAAAGCGACTGCAGGCAGCTTTGTGCAAGCATTGAGTTGCGTGCTGAAGTGCTTCGTTGGCGCTTGACAGCATGTGTGTGTGTGCGTGTTGCATTCACGTCTCTAGCGTAGGAAGCTGCCACGCGTGTGCGGCTGGGATGGGCTTTGTGTTGAGTGTGTAAGGACTCGCTGGGGGTTCATTGCGGCTATGCTTTCGTTTGTTCTGTTCATGCAATGCTGGTAAGAAGTATGGCGGGGTCTGGTCTCGGCATATTCAATGGTTGGCTGAATTGGTAGTCTGCAAGGATATGTCTAAGAAATGAGCTCTCACGGTTGGCGGTGGCATCTCAGCAATGACGAGGACTGGACGTGACCCATGGGTCCGTGTGAGCTGACCATACAGATATCATTGGAAGCACGTGCGCACTGGTAGCCGTTACCTACTTACGTCGCCTCCAGTCGTGATACGTAATGGTGTAAGCCGCTCCGCTCTAATTGGCTTCTTTGTGTGTAGTCGTGTGTTCCAGGTGTTCTTTGGGCCTAAGCTGTGTTTGACGTGATTACGGTAGGACAAAGTTGAAGATACCTATATGTCATCAACCCGTTTACAGTACACGCTATAGACGGGTCATAGCTGCACTTGCGCACGTACATGCGGCATCTTTGTCTGCATGCGCAACAACGAGAGTCGGGTAGCTAGCGGTATGCTAGATACTGGTAATAGTACGTGCCTGGTTTATGGGGGCCCAGAACGGGCTTTTGTCTACATCATCATACTGTGCAACATGCGTCTTGTGCGGCATGCTTCTCCTTGCAACTGGTGCAGTACTGTGTTTGCGACCAGGGATAAGCGCTGTTTATCTTCATTTATCTGGACGGAAGATATGTAATCCCCGTCTTGTGGGCTGTGTCATGCGCTATGTAGAGGCGTGTAATGCAACCTTCGCCAGCAACTTGGGCATAAAGCTTCGGGGAAGGTTTCCGCAACCGGTCTCAGAACAGGGGCTATGCGCCCGGAGGCAGTGCTAGGTTGCCGGCAGCGCTGTTAATGGAAGCAGACAGCAGCACTGATGGTACTTCAAGTACAAAATGGCATGCAGCTGCGAAGGCCGAATATTTCAGTCCCGGCTTGTTCCATATGGCCACGCATGGTTAAATGAACCCGGCTCCCCACCGACCCGGCTCCCCAACCACCAGATACAGGAACTGCGTTGACCAGACGCGGCAGTATGGTGCCTATCGAATGCTAGTCAGCAGATAAGGTGCTGTCCGGAAAAGAAGACATGGGCATCGCAATGCAGGTATGCCGAAAGGGCGGCTTGACATAACTAATGAAGGCTAGTACGACCGTACGACAACTGGTAACCGCTGCTGTTGACCAGCAGGCTTAGCACCGCCTCATCCTCACATATGAGGAAAGCAGCGGACGGAAGGAAAGACGCACTTACGCCTTACTGCCTGAACCTGCGAGGCCTGCGCAGGCCGCTACGGCTTGAGCCGTACTTGCCGATACCGTTGGGCGTCATCGCTGCTTACGGTGCAGCCCGATGCGTTCGAGTTCTACTTCGACATACTGCTTTTACTAGCCTGAAATATTAAGTTTACAAAAGCTTGTATCGTAGGGCTAGATAGAGAAAGCCTTTTGTGTCTATCCGCGTTAAGGCCGCTGAGCATACCCGGACAGGATGCCTCGAAGAACCGGATACACAACTACAAATGCTGTAAGCACACTCGTCCTGGGCGACCCGGAAGCGGTGCGTTCGCTTGGCCTGGACATGCGGCCTCGTGATGGCAGCGCAAAATAACGACAAGTGGCTGTCCCTGCACCTGTCATTAGGGGACAACTACCTGGAGCACGGAGTATGACGAGGAGTTTGCGGATAGCCCGACTGACAAGCAAGTCCGTGCTGAACATGCGTGGACGACCGGAAGGTCTTCGTTACGGACGCCGCGCTCCCTGAAAAAGGGCTACGTCTATGGCCGGGACTACGAGCAACTTGTAGGTCTTTTAAAAGGCGGTTAAGTGTCTTCAACTCAACGTAACCGCAAAACAACGCTGTCAATCGGCGTCGCTTCCTAAACGCCGCGTTGCCCTGCACTCCCTTTTAAACAATACAACAGGACGAACAGTACTGCCAGATGCTGGCAGCTTACAACGACCTCCAGGCGCAGCTTGCTGCCCTTGAGCGCCGCATGGCATCCATGCGCGGCAGCGAGCACCTGGTCATGCGAACCGTTGAGGAACAGCACGGCATCCTGGAAACGCTGCGACAGCAGGTGTCAAGCCTAACCGACAACCTGGGGCGTATGCTGAATGGCGTTGAACGCAACCGTGCTGTGTTGACGGGCCTCCTGGGCAAGTCCTCGCTGGTACGTCCCTAAACCTTGGGACTGAGACATGGTTGGCGATTACCTCTTTCAACAACCCGAAATTGTGGGGCGGATAGCCGAGAGCGCGCTGCGTGTTTTCGTCACTTCCTCTCCTGCGCAATCCTGGTTGCTTATCCGCTGCATTTCCATCCCCGCCACGATCCCTGCATTGGCAATAATCCTACTCCTGCTCCTCATCTCCCTTGTTGTTGTTGTTGCGACCCATCCGCCTGCAGGACTCCCAGTTCCCAAGCAGGACCTCCCTGGGGGGCTACACGGTGAGTCCTGTGCGCCCCGTCACACTCCCGTCTGCGGAGGAACTGCGCGTGTTTGGGACATGAGATGCGACACCGGTATGCCCGTTCATGCATCACATGAAATGACGTGGAGCATCCAACGTGCACATGCCTTGCGCGTTACGACCTTCCTTCTCTGTCGCTTACACTGTTACACGCCTTACTCCTCCTGTGTGTTTTTCCTCCCTTCCTCCTCCTCCTCCTTGTCCATCATAACAGGACCCCGGAGAGGCTGCAGATCGAGACGAGGTGCTATCACGTGCGGGTTCGGAGCTCTCCGTGCGGCTAGCTCACATGGACGCCAAACTAGGCAACATGGCGGACGCCCTCGCCAGCCTCAGCAGCCAGCGGAACGCCGCCGCTGCGCCGCCACGTCCCTCGACACCGTCGCGGCCAGCAGCCCCGACGGCGGCCCAGCGACCGGGCACTCCCTCCCGGCCTTCCACGCCGCAACGGGGATCGCCACGCGCTTTGCCGCGTACATCTTCGGCCGGACAGCAACACCCCGCCTACAACTACCAGCACCCGCAGCAGCAGAGGCCTAAGTTGCAGCGGCAGCAGTCGTACCAACAGCACCCACAGCAGCAGCTCGAGTGGGAGCAGCAGCCGCAGCCTCAGCAGCAGCTATGGCAGCCGAACTCAACACCTCGGCAGGCATGGCAGCCGCAGCCGCAGCCGCAGCCGCAGCCGCAGCCGCACTTTTACTCTCCGGCTGCCTCTCAGCAGCTGCCCTGGCAGCATCCGCCTGCGTCCCCGAAGCAAGCGCGGGACTACCCGCACCACCCGCAACACTACCAGCACCCAGATCCGACGCCGTTTGAAGAGGTCTGGCAGCAGCACCAGCAGCACCAGCCGCAGCGGCCGCAGTCGCAATCCGGGCAGTCGGGTTATCATCATCAGCAGCAGCAGCAGCAGCAGCAGGGACGTCCGCGCACCCCGCAGCAGCAGCGGCGGCGGACGAGTGAGGTCGGGGTGAACGGGCGGTGGGACCATCTGGGGGGCAGGATGAGCCACGAGAAGATCGAGCGCATGCCCACACCCGCCCAGCTCGCAACGAAGAACGGATTCTGGAAGCCCTGAGGGTCCTCGCGCCCTCTTCCTGACAAGAGGTGACGATCGCTGGTTTCTCGATTAGTTGTGTCTTTTTATCTTTATCGGGCGAATCGGCCCCTGATGGATGTCGTAACGGAGGACGCAACAGCTGTAAGCTGGTTTTGCCGGGCTTGATGCTCCGTACAACCGTACGACGTGGTTGATTTGGGTCTCAGATATGATTCCAGCAGCAACTTCTTCCTTGATCCTCCTTGACCTGACCATTCATCACCAGCCCCAAATGTGGAGTGGGTTTACCCTGGCTTGAACACCAGCCAGGATAGGTACTGTGACTTTCTTTGTTTTTCTTGGGGTTTGGTACAAAAGGTGGCATATACGTTTCTGCGAAGTACTGGCTCATGCAAGCAAGTGGGAAAGGTTTCCACATGCAGACATGCTTGTGCACGGGCGGATGCGGGTGAAGGGAGGGTTGGGACTGGCGGATCGGCCACCCGTGTGACCTAACTGCGCATTATCAACAATATTTGTTTTGCTGCTTACCTGGGTTTCGCTGGCGGTTAAATAGGAACGTATATTACCTTTCTCGTGTCTCCAGCCACACGCACGTTCCTTCCGTGACTTGTGTCTGGGGTGCATTTGGTTGGCAACAGAACCCGCCGAGAAAGGGTGACGGAGTACTTAAGTGACTGACCTTCTTGCTTGCTATCCAATCTTGGACAACGTGACAAGCCCCGTTATTAGTCGCACCGCGCGCGTGCGCTGTGAAGCATGTGCGATGTGTGTTGCGAAGGGGATGGAAGGGAATGACACACGCGCGCTTGGGTACCTTGTGTGTTGACGACTTGAGGTCTGGTTGAGAGTGTCGAAGTCTAGAGTTGGAAACGGGATGCCGTTTTGAGCATACCTATACTTGCTGGTGCTCTTGTTCCCTTGTGTTTCAGCAATGATAACCTCCCAAGTGTTGGGGTGCTGGTGTGAAGCTGCCCTTACGGCATGCAAGTTAGCATGAACAGCGGATGTTTCTTGCAGCAAACCCTGTGGTCCGTAAACTGGGGTTACTCAGTGCGTTTGCTCTGTATAGCTCTGTACTGTGTGCTCTGGCATACGTTCAAGTCACTTGCGTTGCGTTGCGTTGTGATGGTGATGGAACACTCGTGTTTGCGGTGAGTGTTGCTGACGCCGCCGGTAACTTGCGGCGTGGGGTTACCGTATTTGTGCATTCTAGTGTGGATCTATCGTCCTCCTGCTGACAAGGGGGTTCAGCAGCACTGCAGCACGCTTTACATGCTGGCCAAAGTGTAACATGGCGTTGCATCAAGATCTCCGCCAGCTCCTGACCACCTGTTGTGGCTGTCTGTTAAAGTTCCTTTCTATTGTGGCATTGCTTCCTGATATTTCTGACCCACAGCCATCCAGAAGGCTCTGAACTCACCGGTTGGCAGGGCAACAGGGCTGCGGCCACACAACAGGGCTTGGCGACGCAGCAGAGAACGCAACAGCAGGTCCCAGATTAGAGGAGCTTTACGTTGTAGCAGCCAGGGGCGTCCAGTTACCACACCTGGGAAGTCTGATGCGTGAGTGTGAAATCTGGGGAGTCACATGCCGTGTGTCCACCTGTGGCAGTTGCCTCGGTCCGCCGTACCGTTAATCTGTCGTTGTTGAACATCCTGCGATCTACGATTACCTTTGAGTCAAATTGTTTCCTTTTCTTATTATACATATCCGCGAGTAGGATCGCGAGTGAGATTTGTAAAGTGAAAAAGCCACCGGCGACGCCTTTTGCTACTACGAGGCCTTTGCAAGCCGACAACCCCTTGGCGATAGTAGCACTTTTCAATTGGATTATATGGAAATGTAGTTTCGGGCAATTACATTAGCAATTTGGTAGCTGCAGGTAACGTCATGAAGTAGCGATACTTGCACGCGACCTACTTCCAGCTTTGCACTGATGCAAGCGTTTACAGTGCCGTTCGTCGGCTACAGTCGGGCTAGCTTCGTCGGTGCGTGTGGGTTGCAGCCGAAATTCGCATGCAAGCACCGAAGCTGTCCATCATTTCAGCTGCGCCCTCCATCTTTGACACCAATTACACCAACGTTTACAACACAAGCCCTCAGCCGCCATCATGGCACTGCTAGCGACAACGGCGGTCCTAGCAGCAGCTCGACCACGGCAACATGTGACCCTTCAATCCATTCAAGCAATGCGCGGCGCAGGGAAGCACCAGCTCCTCCCTCTCAACGTCACTCAGGACCTCCCACGACACGCCCTGAGAGTCCAGCCAGCAGCCGATTTCCGGACAGAAGCCAAAGGGGCGTCGTACAGCAGCATCCCGCCAGCCGCAACCATCTTCCTCCTCCAGACTTTCGCAGAGTCCCTGACCTTCCCACTTTAGCAGCCCTGGTGGAGAGGAACGCTGCGTACTGGCAGGCGGTGGGAAACGTATCGGCGCTGCGCAGCGCCTTCTACGCCCTAGAACGGGTACGTCGTGCACTACTACAAAAGGTGGTGCTAATACCCTAGGCCAGGCTATGCTTGGAGATTTACATTTCACACCATAGCCCACCCTTAGGGGGGCTGGGACCTCTGTTCCAACCACGCCCCACACGCGCTGAGCCCCTTACAAGCACGCCTCCCCTTACACATGCTGTTCCATTCTTCACAACCGAACAAGCAAACCCCTTTGATCGTATGCTCTCTCTCCCTCTCTTGCTTACTGCTACACAACCTGTACCCCAACCCCCAATCCCCTGTACCCTAACCCTTTGTGCCCCGACCCCCCGGACTCGCAGCTGAGTTCCAAGCCGTCAGGCGCCGCGGACGACTCGTTGCTCCTCCGCACCCTGTGCATCCTGGCGGCCACCTACACGCCCCTCATTTCCAAGCTCCCGGACGCCTGGTCCTGCGTGGGGCCGCTATGGGTGTGCGCCAAGCTGGGGTTCTGGGAGGCTGGTTTTGCGGCTGGGTTGCTGGGCAGGCTTGCGCTCGATGGTGGGGCGCTGCTGCAGCGCGCCAAGGGACAGGATCACGCCAACCTGTGGTGGGCGGTGTCTGCGGCCGCACAGCATAAACGTCAGCAGGAACAGCTGCAGCAGCCAGATGGCTTGGTGTGGGCGGCGGCGACGCAGCAGGTGCAGCAGGCTAGCGCTGCTCGCCTGATTAGGATGCATGCGGACGATCTAGACGCGCAGCACTGCTCGAACGTGCTGCTGGCGTGTGCGCGATTGAGGTACATGCATGACCCGCTGTTACACCACCTGACGGCGTGTTTGGCGGCGAAGGGAAATGCCGGGAGAGGTACCGATACTGCGATGCGGAGGGCTGCGGGCAGCAACATGCAGGACTTGGCGAATGCGGTTTACGCGTTGGGGGAGCTGGCGGATGACTGCGGACATGAACCGCAGCCGGAGAGTTTGAGACGCATTGCGGAACAGATTGCGGTCCGACTGGAGCTGCAGCGACGGCTAGCGCAGCAGCAATGGCAGCAGGGACAGCAGCAGGGACAACAGGAGCGGTGGCAGCAGGGGGAGCAGCCAAACGACGAGAACATGAGCAACACAGGGCGACGACGCATGGGCCTCGAAAGCAGTCGCGGTGCTTACACAGGCGAGGCCAACAACACGAACACGGCAATCAGCTCGGAGGCTCTGTGCAACCTGTTCCTGGGATGTGCCAAATTAGGCTACAACGACCCAGCCCTCCTGCAGCCCCTAGCAGCCGCAGCCCATCGAGTCGCAGGGCAGCTGGACGAGCAAGCGCTTGCGGTGTCCTTGTACTGCTTGACTGTGCTGGAATGTACGAAAGCGGAATACGTTCCTGTCGTACGCCGGTTGTACGGCGAAGCCCTCACGCGCTTGCGGGTTCAGCCCGAGCGGTTCAATTCCCAGGACCTGTCCAACACGCTGTGGGCTCTGGCACGGTGGAAGCAGCAGCAACAACCACAGCGACAGCAGCAACAACAGCAGCAGGAGGCATCAGGACCCACAGACATGAGCCCAAACGACAACGCTAGCAGCAGCAGCAGCAGCCTTGCCGGCGGCCCCATACGGGCCCTGACCAGCTCCCTGTCTGCCGAATGCACGCGGCGGCGCTTTGCGGGCTTCACGCCCCAGGGGCTCAGTAACACCGCTTGGGCTCTAGCCAAGCTCCGTCCAGCTGACCAGAGCTGGTGTGCTGCGCTGGTGGCCGCAGCCACGCAACCTGGTGCCATGCAGGGGGCGAGTCCGCAGGCCTGGTCGAACCTCTGGTACGCTTTGGCGGCTGTACGATACCGGCCGGATGGGGGCCTGCTGGATGCCATGTTGGCGGGGGTTGCCGGGGGGAACGAGGAACACAGCGGGCTGCCAAGCTGCGGCAGCGGACCGCTGCAACAGCAGCAACAGCAGCTGCAGCAGTTGCAACAACATGAGCTGGTGCAGCAGCAACAGCAGCAGCTGGGGTCACCAGCACAGCCGTTTGATGCAGGCGGTGTGTGCAGCAGCAGCAGCCAGACGAGTGAGAGGAGGCGAGCAACTCAGGAGGGCAGCAGCGGCAGCAGCGGCACCGGCAGTAGCAGCGGCAGCAGCAGCGGTGGTGATGCGGATTGTGGGCGGGGACATGGGGATGCCAGGGTGCTGCAGTCCTGGGGCCTGGCTGCGAGCGGACAGGCCTGTGCCAGCATGTTGTGGTCGCTGGCGGTTCTGGGGTTGTACGAGCAGCGGTTGGTCGTTGCGGTTTCTGAGCGGTTGGGTGAGTTGCTGGGGCTTACGCCTGGAGAGCCGGTGGCGCGTGTGAATGACGGGCAGACGGGGCAGGGGAGCCAGCAGACCAGCGGCGGACAGTCAGCACAGGGGTTGCAGCCACAGCCACAGTCGCAGCCGCAAGCAGAGCAACAGCAGCAGCAACCGCAACCGCAACCGCAAGCAGAGCAGCAACAGCAGCAGCAACAGCAGCAGCAACCGTTGGCAGAGCAGCGACACCAGCGGCACCCGCAGGCGGCGCTCCTAACCGGTCAGGACCTAACGATCAGTTTGTGGGCTTTGGCGGTGATGGGTCCTCAGGCGCTTTCCCGGCACTCCCTGCTGGTGAGGGCCCTGCTAACGGAAGTGCTGCGCAGGTGGAAAGCGGCGTGCCTCGGACCGACCCCTGGGTCACTCCCGCCTTTCACGCCGGAGCAGCTGCACCAGCTGTGGCAGGTTCAGTTGGAGTTGGAGCACCTGTGTGGGGACGGCGCGGGGGTGGACGTTGGGAGCAACGAAACGCTCCAAGGCCTGGGACACATCCTGATCGCCCCGATTGTGCCTTGGGTGCCAACAACTGCTAGTGCAGTTGCCGCTGCTGCTGCTATTGCCGCCGCTGCTGCTACTGATGCTGGCAGAGCCGGTGCGGCGGGTAGGAGTAAGGGTTCGGCGTCGTGGCAGCCGTCGCTGCTGAGGATGATGCGGAGGGCCGCAGTGGCGAGGTTGAGGGGCGACTGTGCCACAACGACCCTGCAACAGGAGGTTCTCGGGGCGCTTGAAAGGCTGAGGGCGCAGCACCTGCATCAGGAAGACAAGCGGCGCAAAACGCTTCTCGCTACTAGCATGGATGACAGCAGCAACAACAACAGCTGCAACAACAGCGGCGTGAGCAGCAGCAGTAGCCATTGGAACAGCACCGCCGGCGGCAGCAGGAGGGGGGCCCGGAGAGCCGGAGCAGCACGTCCTGCAATCCTGGCGGTGCACGCTGGCGAGGTGCTCCCAGCGCTTTGCTGCCGAGTGGATGCGGTGGTGGAGATTGCGGGCGGGAGGTGGGTGGCGGTGGAGGTGGAGGGGCCTCGGCGCTTCCTTACCTCTTGCGGATCCTCCTCAGGTGGGCTCCACGAGCGCTTGAAGGAGGGGGCCATGCAGCTGCGTGACAGGCAGCTGGAGCGGGTGTTTGGGGCGGGGAATGTGGTGAGTGTGCCGTACTGGGAATGGGAGGAGCTGGGGGGAGATGAGGAGGCGGAGGAGCGGTATTTGGGCGGGAGGCTGGGTGTGGCGTTTGGGTAGGGGTGGGTGGGCAGGAGTTATGGTGCGTGGGGAGAGGTGGGGCATGGGTTTGGGATTTGCAGGAGGAAGGGGCTGGGTGATTAGGTTGAGGGCAGCTTCTGAGGATGCGTTTGCGGGGGACAGAAGTTCGCTCTAACCACGTTATGAGGCTTCATGTGTGTTTGACTTGGTAAGCTGCAAGGCAGGATTGTGGTGCAGGCACATGCATTAGCCTATAAGAGGGCACAGGGCACAAAGTAATCCTGCTGGTTTGCAGTACCTGCTTGTTTCACCGTTTTTGCCATTTTAATGTGGATGTGCAACAAGTGTAGCGACAACAGGAAAGAGCTATGGACGGCTCCCCGTGTCGGACTTTTCCTCCCGCGGGGAGGTCCAAATGCACGGCTTTCTCTCTTACACGGGGAGCCTCCCAACTCCCCGACAAAAACGCATTATTTTTTATATACCAAACTTGCTTCCTAATGCCTAGAAACGCTTCTAGATTGGTCTAATAGGCTCCCCAGAGCTGCGCGCGGCAGTACGCTGGCCATCCGACTGGTGCTTGCAATCTGGCCCCGTACACTTGTACACGCCTGTTACACGGCCCCAGTCATTTACCTACAATAGTCTTAACAATCTGCAGTATAGGACGGCATGGGGTGCAATAGCTTTGCAGCCGCACGCGTATCCTGTGGGGAGCTGGCGCAAGCAGGCATCACAAAACATCCTGAACGATAGGCTAGCTCTCTAAAGGCTATACTTTATGTCACAATTTCATATCATCATATATGCGCTTATCGCGTTATTTGTAATTAACTTCACCTGGGCTTAGGCAACGGCGAACTGCGGAACAATGCGGGCCTTGGTTCTCTGTTTAGTGCAGCCCCTGCTACAATATGACGTTGTAGCTCCCAGCCCAGTTGATGCTAGTGCTAAGAAGATAACCAGTCTAGGACTCTAGGGCGTAGGGCGTAGGCCTGTGGGGTCAGCTAGGTAGACCTACCCTACCTGCCACCCAAACAGCATATTTGCCCCAGCCCGGCATGTGTATCCCGGGGAAACGGGTCCCAAACCTTGCCAGGTGCCACTGTATGAGTAGGGGGGCTATGGGCATGCGGGCGAGGCTAGGTGCCGGCAGGCAGGCTGGGTAGAGCCTCAGGCCCGTGGGGTCAGCTAGGTAGACCTACCCTACCTGCCACCCGCCCAAACAGCATATTTGCCCCAGCCCGGCATGTGTATCCCGGGGAAACGGGTCCCAAACCTTGCCAGGTGCCACTGTATGAGTAGGGGGGCTATGGGCATGCGGGCGAGGCTAGGTGCCGGCAGGCAGGCTGGGTAGAGCCTCAGGCCCGTGGGGTCAGCTAGGTAGACCTACCCTACCTGCCACCCAAACAGCATATTTGCCCCAGCCCGGCATGTGTATCCCGGGGAAACGGGTCCCAAACCTTGCCAGGTGCCACTGTATGAGTAGGGGGGCTATGGGCATGCGGGCGAGGCTAGGTGCCGGCAGGCAGGCTGGGTAGAGCCTCAGGCCCGTGGGGTCGACCTACCCTACCTGCCACCAAAAAGGCATACACGTTTAATCCGTGTATATTGCCCAAGAAGTGAATGTGTATGCACGAAAAAACAGTATGCCGCAGCGCCCAGCATGAAACGTTTGAGTAGGAATATGCGCCTCGAACATGCGCGCGAACATGCACCGTTGACTTGTTGCTCCTCGGTCCATGGGGCAACGAACAGTTAAGAACTTAGCGAAATATTGGTATACAAGAAGCTTGCAACGTAATCACCGAAGATTCATGATGCCTTCTGTATCAGAGCATGCATCGGAACTTTCAGGGGACCTGGGGCGGACTCAGAGGTTATCAGGGTTGCGACAACAAAGGAATGAATGTTGTAGTATAGCTGCCTCAGGGCGACCAGACCAACGGGAAGTCTTCGTGTACGGCACTAGTTGCAAGTGGTCCTTATTAGAGGATCTGCCCGAGTGGCAAAAAAAAGGCAGACAGAGGACAGATATATACCAAGTGACACAAAATGTAACACACTATGATGAGGATTCCAGGATGTGCTTCAGCCGGCACAGCCGCCGTGAGCAGTAGATCACAACAGGTTATGAGCCCCGAGCTCTACTGCGTTATCACTCACTGACAAAGGGGCCAACTGAAGGAAGTCAGGATCGGCCAAGTAGTTAGGAGGGATGGGTAGGTATGAAATCGCTCTACTGTGTTATCCCTCACTGACAAAGGGGCCAACTGAAGGAAGTCAGGATCGGCCAAGTAGTTAGGAGGGATGGATTCTGGCTGAGCTGCCTGATGCGTTCGAGCCGATTGTGACGGCGATCAACGCGCTGATGGCCAAGGCGAACGCAGAAGCTGAAGACGACGGGAGGAGGACTACAACTTGGAGGTCGTCAAGAAGCAGCTGATGAGGCACGAGGCGATGCTGAAGAAGACGCGGAACGATGAGCAGATGGTGGCGGTCGCCACGCACGAGAAGACCTGTTTCCATTGCAATAGCATGGGCCACGTCTCGAAGAACTGCTACGTTCGAATGCAGGATGAGAAGAAGAAGGAGGAGGTAAAAAGGCTGGTGGGCCAGTTCCGCGATTTCAGCGCTTAGGATGTGGAATGCGGGGGAGAAATGGATTAGGGGGAGCTGAATACTAGCAAGGCATGCATTTGCGAAGTATTGTTTAGATTGTTCTGATTTGCCAGCGTTAAGACATGCTTGCTCACGGTTGTAGCAGGAGTTTGCAACTGTATAGGCTGACAGGAGTTCAGCGGTATTGCTAGGTTGCTATCGGCAGGAGTTCGATATTGTGACTAGTAGAGCCAGCTAGGTCAAGACGTCTAACTACTGGCTATGGTGGCAGGAGTTCATTCATTGCAGTATGTTAGGGGTGCAGACAGGGTACAAGTCTAACTTGAGCTGTTATGAGGAGGCGGAAGCGTGACGGGTTTGATAGGGAGCGGAAGCGTGACGGGTTGAAGGAGGCGGAAACGTGACGGGTTAAGGTGGATGGCTGCTGTTATTGCAGATGTTAGGATTTGGGTTGCAACTAGCATGTGTTGTTGCACGTGAGGTGAGGTTGAAGGTTGGTTAGTAAACGGTGGTCTGTTCGAGGGGGAGTGTTGTAGTATAGCTGCCTCAGGGCGACCAGACCAACGGGAAGTCTTCGTGTACGGCACTAGTTGCAAGTGGTCCTTATTAGAGGATCTGCCCGAGTGGCAAAAAAAAGGCAGACAGAGGACAGATATATACCAAGTGACACAAAATGTAACACACTATGATGAGGATTCCAGGATGTGCTTCAGCCGGCACAGCCGCCGTGAGCAGTAGATCACAACAATGAAAAGTTGGGAAAGGTGTTGGTTCCGATGGCAAGCGGCATTAGCAGTCTGGCGAGCGGCGGGTACATGCAATGAACACAAGAGTCGCAATCTTGGTCTAAACGACGGGCTTAGGACAGTAACGCAAGCCCTTGCTGTAATGTAGTTGAGGAATGACAGGTACGACGGCAAAATAGCCTGAAATATGGGTGGGGATGTTGTTGCCATGCTTACATCCCAGACCTCGCGATTCACGGCCTCTTGCGGCCTTTCGGAGCCCTGCAGAGCATCCAAGAAGCCTTTCCTAGGCTGATGTAGAGCTTTCCCTATACGAAAATAATTGCGTTTCATGCGGGGAGGCATAGGCCTCCCCGTGTAAGAGAGAAAGCCGTGCATTTGGACCTCCCCGCGGGAGGAAAAGTCCGACACGGGGAGCCGTCCATAGCTCACAGGAAATCGCAGATAGCTATGGGCTATTTAGGTGGAGATAGGTCCAGCTATGTCTGATAGCTTTCGACGTAAAGATGCTGCATGGAATTCCTAAAATAAATGGCAGATATGATACCGGTACTGCCGCATATAGCGGCTGGCCCTCGGGTCACTACTAACGTTGTCGTAACTTTGCGCTATAGCTGGCTACGGGAAGGAGTTCGCAGGTGGCAGGTTACGATATTACGCTGACAAGAATCACACTGGTAGTATTAAATCCATGTGAGACGCTTGCATTGCCGAGTTCAATGGCCGGCTGGCCGCAGAGCAACATTAGAGCGTGAACATGCTATCTTGCAATGCTTTTCGTATGTAATGCATCGTTTGGTTCAGTAGTACTATACACAGTGGAACTACCTGAAGCTTACCACTCGACTGGCGTTTGCCTGTCGGTATGAGCTGGTATGAGGCCAAAATACCCGTTGAGGTATAGTTATAGCATTAACGAGCTTTTGGGCCTTAACCCATGTCTATGCTTTACCTTCAATTAGCTCGCAAGTGCGTGGCGTTGGAGGTGGTCGTTAATATCTAGCCGATTAATTCCTACCCACCTTCTGTCGTACCCTTAGAAAGGCCTAGGAGACTCCACCTTGCGTCTGCAGCTTACAACATAGAAGTGAATGGTTTGCTAGGTATAAGTTCTGCCATTAAACCTATATATTATTGTTGCCAGGTCGCGCGAGATTACATCTGGGTTGCGACGCCAACCTGGACTCGCTTCCACCAATAGGCCGCGGCGCCATATCCCATAACGTGACTTATACAGCACCAGGAATGTTGCGCTCAGAAGCATACCCTCAGTTACCGCCGCTCCCAAAACTCCCAGCAAAGGAGATGGCTGGGCCTACGCCATGGTCGAACTGGGCTATTCCAGGTGAGAAGTTGCGATGCAAGGAGCCAGGTATAGCAGCGGGGTCTCGCCCGCGCTTGGTGCATGAACGGCTTTTCCCGTTGGTGACCAACAGAGCAGCTATTTATGGGCCATGATTGATAAGCGGTGATTGTTGTAGAGCTGTGAATGGTTGTTGCGGGGTGTCCGACGGGGACGGAAGTTCTATTCCTTGGACCCTACAATGCGACACGCCTACAGACGGGGCTTTAGCAAGCGCTCTCCATAATCTGTTGCTGGGTCCAGCGTTCAGTTTAAGCTATAGGCGTCAGATGGTACGTTAGTGCAGCCCAAGTTCCAGCGAGCCTGCATTTCAGCAAGCGTATTGAGAGGCCGTTATGGACCCCATTCGCTTGCAAGCTGGTAGACGTTACGAAACATATAATTTAGGTTCGAGGATCTTGCATATTAAGCCGCATTGCGTTCGTGACATATGCGTACCCTACTTCCTTGTTTTCGCGTCCTCTGTGCACGCCAGGTCGCGTTATTGCGGGGGCGTATCCTGCTAGTCTTGATGACGCGGAGACGGAGAAAATATTGACGACGATGCTGGAGCTTGGCATTAACACATTTGTGTGTTTACAAGCCGAGGTTAACATCAACACTCCAGAGCACGCCTGGAGAGCGGGCCATGGCCTGCGGCCTTACATTAAAGATGCGCAGGTTGGTTTTTCCGGCATGTCAAGTTTGCCAGCTCCCAAGTTCTCATGTTCGCATCACCCAACACACAGGCCCCGCGTCCCCATTTCCACACCCTCCAATCCCCGCCCCCTATTGTGTATCTCCCTTTCCGCGCATCTTTCACCCCATCCTGTGCATCCCCCTTTCCATTCCATCCCTCTTTCTCTCCCAACCTTGTCCAACCTCCGCACACTCTCCCTCACAGAAAATCCTCAGCAAGGCTCACGAGCAAGGCAACCCAAAAATTACCCAGCAAAAAATAGACTTCCTGCATCTGCCCATTATCGACGGAAATGTCACAACCGACTCTGCCATGAACCGTCTGGCGGAGGACTGCATGGAGCGGATCCTGCGCGGCGAGCGGCTGTACATCCACTGCTGGGGAGGCCACGGCCGTACGGGCACGCTGGTTGCGATCCTGCTCGGCCGGTTGTACGGCCTGCCGTACACCAATGCGTTGCGGTACACTCAGGCATTCCATGACTCGCGTGTGTACCCCCAGGGCGTGCGCTCACCTCAGACGCCGGTGCAGCGAGCGCAGGTGGGTGTGTGGGAACGGGTAGTGTGGGGTAATGTGGAAACTGAACCCCGGTTTCCCATCCGAAAAGCCTTGCGTGGAAACTGAACCCCGGTTTCCCATCCGAAAAGCCTTGCATGTTAGTTTTCATACTGAAGGCTAGGTGATTACAACTAGGTGGGGATGAAGTCGCCCTCCTACCTTCCTATCCTCCACACCCCCTTCTCTTCACCACCACCCGCCCCAAACCCTACGCCACCCCTCCTACCCTCCTCCCCCAGGTACGCCGCCTGCTGGCCTCGCAGTCCGCCGGCAGCATCTCCTCCCCCGCAGCGCTGGCAGCCGGGGCGGTACGGGGCGCCGCGGGGGTGCGTGTGCCCATATCCAGCAGCATAGGCGTGGGGGCCAAGGCGCTTGCGGCGGCGGGGGCGGGCGGAGTGGTGGGGGCGGGCAGCATTCTGGGGGCGGGGGCGGCGCGGCCGGCAGCGGGGGTGGGGGCGGCGGGGGATCAGCGAGGAGGAGCGCCGCCGTCGCCGTTGAGGGCGAGGTAAGATAGGGGATGAGAGGCGCGGGCGAAGGCGGGGAGCACGCATGCCTGCCTGCGAGGGCCGTAAAGGTTCCGACGTCTTTGTATGTAGTAAGGTGGTAATGGTTTGTAATCAGGTGTGAATGTGTTGCATGAGTTAATGAGGGACAGGGACTTACAGGAAGGTGTGACAATGATGTGAACTGCTGGCAGAGATTCCGATCCCCTGTTGTTCGCGCTAACCTTCCATCCCCCATCTCGTCTTTCCAGGGCTTCTGCGGGAGTGGGTTCATCGGGCGCTGCCGGCGGGGTGACCTCACTGGGCTCCGCCGGCGGCGCGGGGCGTTACGGATCGCGAGTGGGCGAGAGCCCAATGCGCGCCTCAGTCGCTTCCGACGGCGCCGCCGCGCGCGGAATGGCGCATCAAGATCTGCTTAAAGGCGGCGCCGCGGGGGCGGCCGAGCGACTGGCGAGCGACTTCGCTCGGCTTCAGGGGCCCTCGGGCGCCGCGGCGGCGGGGCTTGTACGGCAGGGCGGTGCTAGTAACGCTGCATTGCCGTACGTACTCGCGAATGGGCGAGTGAAGATGCGGTGATGTGGGGTGAGGCGTGGTTAGGCGGCCGTGGCTGTGGCAGCCGTTGCCGTTCATCGTCACGGCACCGACGGCTGTAGCAGCGGCCATAGCAGCAGCGGCAACAGCGGCAGTAAGCGGTGGGAAGGCAGAAGCGATGGGGAGTAGCGAAGCAGCGAGGGAATCGTCTGACCAGCTGCACAACAACTCCATTTCTCCCAAGCGCTCTCACGCTCGTCATTCTTTTACACATCCGCCTCTTTAAGGCACATGGAGGCAAGGGACGTCACCAGCTGGGTTGGCGTGACGCGCTCGCATTCCTCCTGTTGGCGAAGAGACGCCTGCTGCTTGCTCCTGAACGTGGTCATTGTTGTACTTGGTGACGATAACAAGGCAGGGGTGAAGGCAAAGGCCGTGTATAGAAGACACACCAGGAGCTGCGAGGCGAGCCGTCTCTGTGTGCGCAAAGTGTGTGCGCATCTTCTGTGCGACTTTCTTTGGAGAAGAAAAACTATAAAGAGGGAGCAAGCAAAGGGAAGGTGCGCCCCGGGCATCCGGGAAGTCCGGTGTATGCCCGCATGCTTTACGCATCTGGGCAGAGAAATAGCTTTGAAAGGTTGTTTCGTTGCACCGGAGGTGTGCTGGAGGTTGAAGTGGAGTTGTCTCGGGGTGGTGGTGGTGGTGGGGGTCTTGTTTAGCTGAGATTGCTGTAGGTGTGAAGGACGCAGCCAGCAGTTGGTAGTTGGGTAGGCCGTACGGTGGCCGGCATTAGGGCGTATGTGCTGATATGATTGTCGGTAGCGATATGGAGGGACATTGGTTTTCGCCTTCAGTTGCGGTATTTTGTGCTGCTGTTGCTGCTGCTGCTGCTGCAAAAGCTATAATTGATATACAATACATATGTAGTTGGGTAAAAAGGTTGGAGATTTAAATTACAACGATACAGCACTTACTGCTTACTCAACATCAGTGCGGTTGTGCTGCTGCCAACCGTACAGAATTGCTTGTGTGGGCGTGTGTGCTGCTTTGAGTTTATACCACAACGCGTTGTGAGGAGATTGAAGAGCGAAGAACAAAGAAAAGACGGAAAGGCTGTGTCATATCCCCCTGATGCTTTTGCCCCGTGCCCGCGTGTGCCGTACGCCTATCTTTTGGTCTGTTGTTCGCCGGCCTGCAATCCCTGCAAGGAATATAATCACCTCGACACCTGAGTCACACCTGGCGCGCAGTATTACGAAAAACAAGTTGTATTACGCTGTGTTTTGCCGTACTTTTTTAAAGTTATGCCGTACGTCGAAGTGTGTTGCTGTCCCCTTGGGGTGGTCTTCTCGATGTATCCAATGTTATGCGCCCAACCAACGCCCCAACAACCCACGAAGGGCGCGGCCATGACACTTGGCGCATGGACGTCGGCGCGTGTGTCATCCCAGTGCTGGTGGTAGTAAAAAGGCACAAACGTGCCCTGTTGCCGTGCACAGGGAGCGCGGCGTTTGTGCGCGCTAACCAACCCGATCGTGCTGGCCGTGTACCGGTATGTCCAAGATAATGGCGGCGCCTCTTTTTTAGTATATCCGGTCATCTGCCCCCCGTCAATCGAAGCACCTGCTTGTGACAGGGCTTGCCGGCTGTGTTTTGGGTTGATGTGGTTTACGTGTGGGGGGTGGGGGGTGTACGTAACGGCGTGGTGAGAAGCCACACGGAGAGAGTGTGGGGAAGCATTGGACCTTGAGCGTTGCCTTTCCTCGTGTGTAGGGTAGCTTCAGAGACGAAAACGAATGTGCATCTCGCCCAGTCCGCATTTGCTGGTGGACAACAAAAAGAAATTGGCATCTTTGTTGGGGGCTGTACGATGGTTATTGTTGAGCAAGTCGTTGAGCAGAAACGTGGGTGGTGTCTAGGTGCTTGGTCTAGTACCCGTGGGTTATTCCTCCTTGCGCTTCTTGGCTTGTACTATGTGTTCTCAGCTCTCGTTTTGGCAAACACGTAAGCAGGCTGCTCCCCTGCGAGTCAAGACGCTCCATAACTATTTAACAATGTAATGCTCGGTGCTCTTGCTGTGTCGCGCACACCGCGCATTCAAAGCATATCCTTTAGCACAGGAGGAGTAGGACGGCGTTCCCTCCCCACACGCCCACAACACGTGGCTAGGAGCAGCTAGGAGAGGCTCCTTCCTCACTCGCCAATCGTGTCATGCCTTTCAAGTCGTGAGCAGCCCTCAAACAGTCCTCGCTCAATTAAAGCAAGGTCCCCTCTGTGACGTAAGATTCTTGCATCTTGCGACCTAGTAGCCGAGACCGGTGACTGCACGCGAACGGTGATTGCACCGCAGCCCCGCGGCACACTACTGCCGGTGTCGCAGTCATACCGCAGAAGCCCTGCGCGCACACGGAGTATCGTATCGAGCGTACGGGCCTGATGAGTACGGGCCTTATGCCATTACAAATTACAAATGACCGTCCGGGTAATGACATGTGATGTCGTACTGTTGTACAGGGTGTGGCACCCAACGGTGCTGCACCGACGCTCATGCTTTGGACCCATCCCTGCGTCCGCTGCCTTTCCCATGCTCGCGTCATCCTTCCATTCCACCGTCTGAACATACCTCACGTATGCATAACGCCGCCATATGTCTTGTCAATATCGTATTAATATACATGTTTTTGTGATTTTTACATGTGTTTGCATGCCATGCCTGTGACATACGTACTATCCGCAACATACGCCTCCCGCGCAGCAGCTGCATCACCCATGCCCCGTTCCAATGGCCGGCAGCGCGCTACCCTCGCAGGCTGCATTCGCCTCCGCCGCTGCCGGTGTAACCGCCGCCGCCTCTAACGGCTCCGGCACCTCAGCCGCCTCCGCCGCTGCCGTCATCACTGCCGCCTCCGTCACCCCTCCAGCAAGGAGCTCAGCCGCCTCCGCCGCTGACGTCATCACTGCCCCCTCCGTCGCCCCTCCAGCAAGGAGCTCAGCCGCCTCCGCCGCTGCCGTCACCGCTGCCGCCGCCGTCACCCCTCCCGCTAGGAGCTCGGCCACTGCGCCCTGCCGGCCGTTCCGTACCGCAAACGTCATCGCCAGCGCGTCGCATCGGCCTATCACATTCCCCTCGCCGCTGCTGCCGCCTGCCGACGGCGATTCCGGCGGCGGCGGCCGACACCTGACGGCAAGCAGCTGCCTTACGACGCCAGCATGTCCCCGCCGGCTCGCCGCCGCCAGGGCTAGGCCGCCGCATGCGCCAGCCCTCGCCCCCGCCGCCAGAAGCTCCCCAACAACTCCCTCGTGACCCGCCGCCGCCGCCAGCCGCAGCGGCAGCCCGGAAGCCTGGTTGGCGTCGGCGCCGGCGGCAAGAAGCTGCCGTACAACGGCGGCGAAGTCCCCTCCGCCGCCGCCTCCGCTGCCTCCGCACAAGCGGGATGCCTCGTCGTACATTTGCATCCGCTCCGCCGGCGAGGAGTACGGCAGCTGCAGCTGCTGCGGCTGCGGCGGCAGTAGCTTCGCTTCCAGACGTGCTGCATGTCGCTAGCAACGCCGCGCCGTCTCCGCCGTTGGAGTCTGCGCAGGCGGCGAGCAGCGCCTCCACAGCAGCGCACCCACCGCCGCCGCTGCTACCATCGCCCCCCACGCCGTCGCTGCTAGCAGCGGCATCGACTGCCGCGACAAGCGCTTCCGTGGAGGGTTCAGCGTCCCACTTCAGCAGCATCTGTAGCAACTCCAGGTTTACGGAGCTGATGTTGCTACTGCTGCCGCCCTTGCTGCTATTGCCAGTGCCGCCGCCACCGCCGGCGGCACCACCGCTGCCGTACTTACCGTCGTCGTCGCCGCCGCCGCCGCCGCTGCGGCTATTCCCGCCAGCGGCGGCGACCAGCGCCTTGGCGGCCTCAGGGCTTCTGACGTCAGCGCCGGCCGCCAGCAGCATCCGTACGACTGCCGTACGACCTCCCAGGGCCGCCGCCAGCAGCGTCCTTCCGTCTGGTACGGCACAAACGTCGCCGGCATCCTCGCCGCTACCGCTACCGGCGGAAACACAGCTGCCAGATGTCTCGACGCTGCAGTCGCCCACACCCGCCTTGCCATCGCCGCCGCCACGGCCGCCAAGAGAAGGGCCGAGCAGTACCGCCACGCAACCCAGGTGCCCGGCTGCCGCCGCCGCTCTCATGCCCCCTTGCCTGCTACGTGCGCCGGCATGCCGCAACGCGCACACGCAGGCGGAGTGTCCCTCCCGACACGCCGCCAGCAGCGCCACGGACTTGGCGGAGGCGTCGACGGTGATGTTGCCGTACACGCCTGCCGTCGCCTCCTTCGCCTCGCCGCCGCCGCCGCCGCTGCCATCACCGGCGTCATCACTGACACCACCTCCGCCGCCGTCGCTGACGTCACCTCCGCCGCTGCCGTACAGTAGCGCCATGACAACCGGCAAGTGCCCGCCTTCGCTTGCCGCCACAAGCGCCGACGTCAGCGCGGCGGAGTCAAAACGCAGCGACGGCGCCGCCGCCGTAGCCGCCTTCAGCAGCGCCAGTACGACACCCAAGTGGCCGCGCCGCGCCGCCGCCGCCAGCGCGTTGTACCCGACGACAGCAGTTCCTGCTGCCGTCACTGTTGTCGTACGACAGTTGTCGCCAGCCGTCAACGCTAGCAATAACGCTACCACGCGCATGTGTCCCCGAGTGGCGGCGGAGACCAGAAGGTCCTCCGTTACTTCCGGCGTCGTGGTTTCGGCGCCGGCACGTACCAGACAAGTCAGAAGCTCCGCTGCTGCTTGGTCCTCCTTGTCGACGTCACCAACACCTTCGGCGGTTGCGCTGACGTCATCCGTCTCCGCCAGCTTCGGGCCTTGAGTGATGATGCGGTTAAGGAGCTCCGGTTTGTCGTACAAACGCGCCGCCGCCAGCCCGCGTCCGAAGGCACTTAGAAGGTAGCGCGCGGCCAGCGGCGGCTGCGAGATGCCGGCTCGCCATGCCGCTGCCAGCGTACGACAACTGAGCGCCGCACCGCCGCTGCTGATGCTGCTGCTGCCGCCGCCGGCTGCTGCTGCTAAGACGAGCACCTCGGACAGGAAGGAGGTTGGCAGCTCGAGTAGGTTGGTGTGCTTTGAGCGCTGATGGTGGTGGTGTTGTTGGTGTTGTTGGTTCTGCGGCTGCAGTTGTTGTTTGCTTCGCTCGTGGAAGGCTGGTTGAGGGTTGTCTTGGAGCCGGCAACGCTTGCTGCTGTCGAGGTTGATGTCAGAGTTGGTTGCGAAATCGCGGTTGGTTGCAACTTCGGCTTTCCCATTGTCCAGCGGGGAAACTGCTGGCTGCTTCGGAGCGATTGCGTTGCCACGTTCCTGCTGCGAGGAGTCGCTTTCGATGTTCTGACGAAGGCTGCGGAATCGCTTGCCGTCAAAGACTCCAGCAGAGTCCGACAGCTCATAACGGTACTGCTGTTGTGGTTTGCAGCAGGAGAGCTGTACCTGCTGCCGCTGTTGCTGCAAAGGCTGTGAGTCGAATCCAAGCGCTTGTGAGCCTGAGCCAGGCTGCGAGAATTGCAAGAGGTGGTCGAAAGGGGCACCCCTCCACAAATCCTCCGAGTTCTCCTTTGCATCAAAGGTCTCGCGTCCGTTAACTGCTACGCTGCTGTCCTGGGAAGGAGAGAAGAAAGGAACGTCGCTGTCTGTCGTGATCGGAGGGAAGGTACGTGAGTCTGGCGATTGTTGCTGCTCGTTCTGCCGCCGCTTCTTGCTTGCGACCTCATGAAGCGCCAAGGGTTTGCCAAGGGATGCATCGTTGTCTGGAGAAGCAGCACGTTTGCTTTGGTTGCTAAGCATGGCTGCGTGCCTGCGTCAGGTGTTGCGCTAACTCCTGCTCGAGCCTGCCGGGTCCTTAGCTTGTTCGTAATCCCATATCGGTATGGATTTTGTCCAATTGTCAGCAAGCAAAGATCCTGATCTTGGCAAATACCAGAGAATCCAAGCCAGGCAGCCTTCCCGCCAATCCGTCCAAGGCAGAGCCGCATCGCTCCTGGAATCTGCATGTACGGCAGCTACCAGCTTCCCATACTGTGCGGAAAAGGATTCCATGCTTCTTTCGTGCACATACTTGCAATACAAAAAGCTTGTAAATATCATCGCATCAGGCAAACGTTTGCCTTCAAGCGTTTCGCCTGACTCTGGGTCGGCTGTTACAGGCTCAAGCTTTTCCTCGGCAACCAACTTATGGCCCTTAAGGCCCGCAAACGTGCCAATGATAACTTTGATGCATGGAATGCCATGGCCCACCTCAGACCATACATACGCAGTATAGCGTGCGCATTGTCCTATCCTTGCAAAGGCATGGTTGGGAGCCTTCCCCCATTGCTCCGGAGCTATCACGACCCATGGGTCACACCACGTAACCGGCGAGATACTCCCCGCAAGACCTCCCAAACAAGCCTCACACACCGCCCATCACCAAACCCAGCCACCCCAAGGCTATACACACAGCGATGTTTTACCGCTGAACCCTAAACCCATACAATGTTCCACACTGTTCCGCTTTTATATCCAACACTCCTAAACACAGACAGCAGGAGGCTTGCCCATATGCTAATGTACCCTGATGTTAACTGCTTCAAACGCATAGCACGGTTAGACGATCCACCGACGCATACACACGCTGGGGTTGTGGCGCCGTTTCAGGTACGGCACAAACGTCGTACACGTACAACTGGTAAAACCCGGGATGCGCAAACGTCAGCGCAAAGGGATGCCGTGTCGTAGTGCGGGGATCTAGGATGACGTGGACGTTTTGTACGGAACCCACGATAACGACCCCTGGGTCAATGCCGGACTCCATTGCGCCGTCACTCGCAGCGCCGCCGCCACTGATGCCGTACGCTGACGAGGGATCTGCGCCGCCAAACGTCAGGCTAATGCCGCCTGCGGATCGTTCGTTGTACGGCTGCATTGAGTGGTACGAACTGTCGTACGGATGCTGCTGCAGGCGACTCGTGCCGTACGGTACAGCAGGAGCGCCGTACGACAACCCAGTGTACGACGCAGCATGAAGGTTGCGGTACGACGAAGAAGGTGATGTCGGACCCGCCATGAAACCCAGATGCGTTGCAGCGTACTGCTGCTGTGCCGTACTGTCGTAATTGCCGTACGGTGCTTGTTGTCCGTACATGCCTTGCTGGCTGGATTGTACGGCATCAGATGACGACGGGGCTTGTGAGGGGTGCGGGTGGGGGTGTGTTGCGCAGTTGACGGCAGCTATTGAGAAGGTCAGGTGGTGCGGAAGGCTGCCCCGGTTGTGGATCAGGACCTCACATCGGAGCACATCGCCTGCGCAACAAAATGATGGGAGGAAACAAACAACGTGAGATTAGCACTTGCATGTGGATGGAAGGAACCTTCTTTGTCAAAGAGCCTGCCAAGTCGTGTGACCCATGGGTCACTTGCTGTCAAAGGGGACAAGGTCTTACCCAGCTGCGCTCGGAGGCCCCACACGGATCCCGCCACGTGAGGCGGCATCAGACCCAGCGCCTGCGGAAAGCGGACGGGTCTTGTAGTCAGCGCACGGGTACCGGTATATCAATCTTGTAAACACCAGAACTTTGCAGTTAACAGAGGCCGCAGCAGGCGCGTATCCTGCCCCCACCTGTAATCGGTAGGTGAGGTCTTTGAGACGTGGCACGGCCCCAACCGAGGGAAATGCTGGTGGAAGCGCCTGCGAGGGGGAGAATTATAGATTAATGCATCAACGGAGTCCCAATCCCGAATCCCGACTGTGAGGGGGAGAGGAAGAGAGGCAGACGACAAGAGGTAAGCTGGAGCTGGTCGAGTGAACCATGGGTCAGAAAACAATTCCCATGAGAGACCAAGTAAGTAAGGACTAACGGTAGGTAAGCACTGCTGCCGTACATTCATCCCTCACCCTCACTCACCTGGAATTGGAAGTGCACGGGGCTGGGCTGCAGCGCGTGTACGGCCGCGGTGGACATGCTCTGAGGTGCGTTGGCGGCCGGCAGTTACCATTGACGGTTGGTTGGCGTTGACCGTTGAGGTTGACATTAGGTTGTCGCCAAGATTGTCGCCAAGCCAATGTGGGGTCCGACGCATGTTTCATCATGCACGGGAGCCAAGAAAAAGAGGAAGTTGGGGGGAAATGTTAGCTTCAAAAATGTGCAAGTACCGGTATACCAGTAAATGCGAGTAGCAGAACAATGAAAGCAACGCCCGCCCAAACGTTGTCTGCCGCCCAATCTCTCTCGCACCCCCTTTTCTTCCCCTAACCCCCCCCCTGCTCTCATTCCCACCCACCCGAGCGATATCAACCGCCGCCAGCCGCACCATCCCCCGCGGCGGCGCCCGACCCGCAGCGGCCTCATTTAGCCCCGTCACCAGCTCCCACACCACCGCCCAGCCCTCCGCAAGTCCCTCCGCTGCAGCCATACGGTCCGCCTCCTCCGACAGCTCACCCACACCGCCGCCGCTGCCGCCGCCGGTAACGCCAGGCATGGAGGCGGCGGTGGCGGCGGTGACCGCCGCCGCCGCCGGTGCATCCGACGGCGCTCCCTCAAACGCGCCGATGTCAACCGGTGGCGGCGTAATGGTCAGCCGTACTTTCCGCGAGGTGTTGCCGCCGGCGGCGGCGGCGGCGGCAGCGCCAGCGGAAGCGGAAGCCTCCTCACCGCTGACGGCGCCGTCAGCAGTACTCGCTGCCGCCGCCGCCGCCGCCGCTGCCGTGTTCATCTCTTCCGCCATCTTCTTCAGTGCTGTGTAGGCGGCGGAGGGCAGCAGGCAGGCCAGCTTGGCGGTGTCGCCGGGCTGCAGCACCTCAATGGGGCTGTCGGCGGCGGCGGCGGCGGCGGCAGTCAGTGGCGGCGGCGAGCCGGCGGCGTCGTCTAGGCGGGCCAGCCAGGCCCTGAAGGGCGGGGGTTCAGAGGTTTCAGAGGCAAGCGTGGCGTGTACTCGGTTGTGCCCTGACGATAAGAAGGGTTAGGAAAGGGCTCGGAGAGGTCTAGCCTTTCCTTGTGGACAAGGTAGGCAGACCCGTTTCCGCGCTACCCCACCATAAGATGGCCTAAGCACCACAGCAGAGCTGAGCTATCCCCCCACCCCGGCACCCCATGGTGAAGCCTAAATGTCATACAGCCAGTCAGTCTCCTCGTCAGTTTCCTGGTCAGTCTCCTTTCCCTGCTCCTCCACCCCCCACCTGAAGTAGTAGCTGCTGCTGTTGTAGACCGACACACACAGCACACAGTCCGTGACCAGCCCCAACGAGTCATCCGTGCCTGTGTTGCATAGGTGTAGTGGCGGTGGGGGGGCCGTTTGGAGGGGAAGACGATGAGGAATGCCATGCAGGAAGAAGATGAGCTGAAACATGTCAGTTTGGTGAGGGCTAAGGCTGCTACTGCTGCACTTCAACACGTTGCTCTTTCTGGCTTCACTCGTCATCCCTTTCAATTGCGCTATCTCTCTCACCTTCAGATGTCACCATGGCCGAGACGCCTGAGGCCGTCGCAGCCTCCGCTTGCTGCAAGGACAGCGGGCAATAAAGAATTGTAAAACACACTTCCAAGTCGGCGCTAGGCTGCAGGTTAGGACCGTATCAATACTGTCAGTAACTGTATAAACAGCTGCTGCATACCTGATATGAGCACGCCGCGCGCTTCCAACAAAGACCCGCCTTCCCCTCCGCAAAGTGCGCTACCTAAGCCCCGCAACCATACCAACATACTAAAGCCCCCCCCAAAGCCTCCATTTCCAGGTAAGTTTCCCGTAACGCGTCTCGATAACATGTGTGCTCGTATACCCCATATGCGTGTTGCTTTGCATCTCGTGACCGGCGGCGCGGCGCATGTCTCCCTAGTGTTACCACGCAAGGCGGCTTCTTCCTCAAGTCGTCTCGGTTTACGGTAAGCAACGCTTCGATAAGTAATTTGATATGCGTGTCTTTAGGATAGTGTCTCCGAATGCGCTCACTGCATGAGTCGGGATATGGGATTGGGACTCGTTGTTTCACTTATTTCATTTCCCCCCCAACCGAACCAGCGCACCTGAGAGGTGGTGGGCCGCAGCGGCGCCCCCCGACCCGCACCCAGCGCCTGAGTGTCCCGTGGGTCGTACTGCTGACCCCGTACGGCACTGCCGCCGCTGCGGCTGACACCCTGGCCGCCGGCCGCGCATTCCGCTGCTGCTGCTGCAGCTGCATGGTCTTCGGGCGCGAAGGCGGCGGCGGCGGAAGAAGGAGGCGGAAGAGAGAAGGACGCCGCAGCCTGCACACAAACGGTAAGGAGGGTGGGAAGTCAAAAGACCCATGGGCGTTGCTGGAAGACCATGTGGGTTTCGAATGCAGCTTGGGGCGCATGCAGACGGGAAATCCCAACATGAATCCCCATGGAGCTCCCCATGCCGCATTCCTCTCTCTCCAACACCCCCTAGCTCACCTTTCTCCGGCTGCTCAGCCCCCAGTTCAAATCCAGCCCGGCCAACCGAGCGCTCAAACCGCCAACCGCCACTCCGAGACCCGAACCCGAGCTGCGACTGCTTAGCTGGGGTCGCAGCAGGCCGCGACTGACCCGTGGGTCGCTCCCAGGCGCCGCCCCCGAACCCGCCCCTGCTCCTCCCAGGCTGGCGCGGGAGACGGCGGTGAGGGGGGTGGAGGTGGAGTGCTGGGAGAGGAAGCCTGGGGTGCGTTAGGGAGGTACAACGCGGGAGGGTTGGAAAGAGAGGGGAGTTGCTATGTGGGAGGGCTTGGTACCCTCTCGGGGCTCTCACCAATGAGAAATGTGAGGATTGGGAGATGCGGTATCAGGTGGCACCATTCACCATTCACCATAAAACCGAGTGAGACCTAATAAAACGGGTAATCATCATCATCAAGTGTATCTTGAAGGCACCACTCACTGCTCCCAAGGATGTTGGGTTGCGTCATTGAAGTGGCAACTCGGGAAGCACCGCCTCCTCTCTCCACGCCCCACCCATCCTCATCATCATCTTCATCTTCCTCCTCGTCGCTGCCTCCGCTTCCGTCGTCGCCGCCTCCCGGCACGCCGCCGGCGGCCGCCGCCGCGGCGCCAACGACCGCCGACGCCGCCGCGACCCATGGGCCACTCGCTCGGTCCAGCGCCAATCGTTGACCGTTACGTAACGGCGCGTAAAAGTCGAGAAATGCCGTTGAGGCAATTGAAAGCGAGGGCTGAACCTCGAAGGTCAATGTCAGCGTCATCTTTCTTCCCAGAACCTGCTGAGGTGAAGAAGAAGACAAAGATGAAGAGCCCACAACTGCTACTGCGGCCGCCGCCGACGGCAATGACGTCGTTTCGTAACCGCCGGATCGGTCGTTAGGCTTATTAACGTACGACACAGTAACGTCCAACGAAACTTCCCGAAACGTCCCACGGGGCGCCTGACCAACCGCCAGAACCAACGGAAGCGTTATAACGCCCCCGGGACGTAACGGCAGGAGACAACCGCTGCCGCTGCCGCAGCCACTGCCCCCGCAACTGCTGTTGCTACTGCCGCCGCCGCTGCTGCTACCGCCACTGCCGCCGCCGGCGGCGGAGGCAGATGCGAGAAGAAGCGACGTGGAGGGGCTCAGGAGGGGCGGTGTGGGCGGGTGTTGCGGCTGCAGCGCTGAGTCGTCCACCTCCAAATGAACCCCCTGTCGTACATGAAGCCGGGAAAGATTTAATGGGATGGGAGAAGAAGTGATGGGTGAGGGGTTAGGATTGTTGTGCAACGACGACCTGCACATGTGCACATGATGTGCAGCGGGCACCCATGCATCAGGCCAGCTAAGGACAGCTAGCGGGCGCGGACTGACAGCTGCCAGGAGCCCCCGCCATCTGGCTACAGGGCCTACAACATGGGCCAGCGAAGGAAGGGCCGAGAAGGGAGGGGCGCAGGGGTCACCCTCACCCCCCTCTCCTACCTCCTTGTCAGTTCCCTTATTTTTACCCCCCGACCACCTCATACCTGGAAGCTGGCGGGCAGGGGTGCGCCCCGCAGCGGCTTCAAAGCCACACCTGCAGCGGCAGCAGCAGCGGCAGCAGCAGCAATGGGAGGGTGAGGAGGAGGGACGCGGTGACATGACGGGAGGTACTGTGTAGGGTATATGATGTATGGCAGTGTGGGGTGTCTCTCAGTGCCGTACACTGTAGTATTCCTTTGTATTGTGACATCCAGCCGCCTCATCCCACCATTACCGTACTCTGCCCTAATTCGTGGCTTCCTATGACATGTTGGCTTTTCTTACACCCCCCCGCGCACCCTCCCTGCCTCCCTCCCCGCACCCACCCTTGTGGTTGGTTACGCAGCAGCTGAGGCCGGTGACGGGCAGCGACCCCGCGTTGGACAGCACCAGGCTCCAGCCCAGTCGCTGTCCCTCGAACACAGCCACAGGCGGGGAGCGTTGCAGGTCCTCGGAGAACCCGGGGTGGGCCTTGGGGGGGGAGGGAGGCGGGCGAGCGGGCGGGTGGGGGGGGGGCGTTACTGTGTATTGGTAGGAGTTCCCAGCCGTGAGTTTAATAGTAGGACTGTGATAACTGTCCTTGTTGACAGCAGGGTTAGCAGCAATGATAGACAGGCCCTCTTTCCCAACATGCAGCTACCAGGAATCCTCTGGTCGCAGCCGACCCACGGGTCACACCTCCCCGATTCCCACACACCCACGACGCATGGACGACGTGCGTTCCTACTACTCCCGGCTAGCTAGTGTCAACAAGCATAAAAACACCCAGCCATCCAACCTACCGGCGGTGCATGGATGTCATCGTCCCGCGGGCACACCGCCACCACAGCCGGGTCGAAGGCCTGGCTCGGTTGCTGCGCTTGGGGTTGGGGTTGCTGCTGCGATTGCTGGGCGTGTTGGAGGGTAGGCTGCTGGGCGGGTTGGTGGGCGGAGGGTGTGGCGGGCTGGGAGGAGGGCTGCGGCTGCGGCTGCTGCTGCTGCGGGTGCACCAGTTGCGGGCCGGAGCAGGGGCTGGCGCGAATGGTGGCCTGCATGGGTGGTGGGGGCACAGCGACGTGCGGGATGGGGAGTGTAATAGGTTGGAGTGTCGGGGAGGGCGGGGAGTGTGGGCTTCAAGAGGTTTACAGGGGAGGGAAGGAGCAGCAAGGCGCGGGGCTGTGAGGTCGCGACGTGTGTGTATGGCACATGTATAGCACATGCAGCTCAACACAGGGCCCCAGGGACAAACCAAAGCGCAGAGCATCACCGGAACACACACCGAGCACCACCGTAACGGTGACTCCACCGCATCCCCCCCGGACCCCCACCTTGATGAGGGGCAGCGGCGGCAGCACATTCACATTCACACCCCTGCCGGGTGCCCCACCACCACCGGCAGCAGCAGCAGCAGCAGCAGAGGCCTTGTTGGCAGCTGCACTGCCCCCTCCACGTCCCCCCACCCCCGCTGCTGCGGACCCCGCTGGTGTGGCTAGCTTCCGCAGCGGCAGTGTGAAGGGCACTAGCCAGCTGACTCCCCAGCAGGTCACCTGCGAGCGAGCGAGCGGGGTTAGTTAGCAGGGTTAGCTAACGCATGCAGCTACCGGTGCTGCTCTTGGAAGGAAGAAGACAGGAAGCACTCAATCGAAACCAAGCACAATCACAGGTTACGGCGCGGCAAGCCGTAACCGAAAGTACCGGTAAAAAGTCACAACAACCGCCCTCAACAACCGCCCATGCACCCTTCCAACCTCCCATGCACCCCCTCTCCCCCCTGCACTCTCACCATGCACCCCTCCACGCAGTAAGTGCCCGGCAGCTGTGGCTTCCCGCACAGCACCACCCGCAGCGGCCGCCCATTCGGCGGCAACACAACATTCAACGCAGGAGTCTTGAACGCAGCCTTGCTGCCGCTGCCTGCGCCGCCGCCGCCAACTCCCAAGTTGCTGGAGCTCCGACTAAAACCCGTCGTCGTAACGCCAGCGGCGGAGGCGGAGGCGGCAGCACCTCCGGAGGAGGTATTCGGAGATCTTGGATCCGAAGCCGTTGTCGTACTACTACCACTCGCAGCAGTAGCAGCGGTTGCCGTTGTTGTCGTACCGGCAGTTGCAGTTGTAGCCGTTGCTGTAATCGTTGAGGGGCTCCCCAAGTAGCGCACATGGAGCTGGAGTTGGTCGATCTTGAAGGGAACCGCCAGGGGATTGACCAGGTAGACCTCCACTCGCCCCTCGTCACTGCAAGCCTGGGGGTTTGGTAACTTGTTGTTTAAAGAAAACTTGCCCGGGCAGATGAGCAGACGACACACCAACAGAGACAAGTAAACCCTCATAAAACCCTCGCTAAAACCCTTTCAGGGCGTAAAAAACTGCCCTGCCCTGCCCGGCTAGTCACCCAGTCCGCCTCCTGCCCCACCCACCCAATCCGGAATGCTTCCCGCCTCGCCCGCTTCCCCCTTGGCTGCTTGCTTCTTCTTCGCAGCGAACGCATTGAATATGAAGGGCCCGGCGGAAGCGCCTCCCTTGCCGCCGCGGCCCCCGGCGCCTCCGCCGCCTGTCGCAATGCTTCCGGCGGCGGTGAGGGTGAGGGGCGCGGGTTGCAGGGGCAGGGCGGCGGGAAGCAGGCGTTTGAGCTGCAGCAGGGGGCCGGGACCCAGGCTGAGGCGGCTGCGGTAGCGGCCGGGGAGAGCAGCGGAGGCCTGGGGAGGAGGAGGTGAGGGAGTGGGTAGGTGGGTAGGTGGAAGGGTAACAATCATGGGGTTGACATTGCAACGGCTATACCGTAATTATTGTGGAGGTAGAAGAGGACCACGTAGAGGTAGAGGTGGAGGGGAGCCATTCGACTTATCCTTCTTGCTCTTCATCCTTGACTCTCGTACCCCGTCCCTCCCACATCCCGCCTGTGCCACCTCCTCCCACCTCCACCTCCCCTCCACCACCACCACCACCTCCCCCCACCCACCTGTGCCATCGTCTCCAGCAGGGCCGCCTGGTAGTGTGGTGGCAGCAGGGAGTGGTGGTCCCTGCAGGCAGGCAGGCATGCAGCCGAGAGAACCATGAAAGACATGAAAGAAGCTTTGCAGGGTGTGATGCGTGGAAGGGTGTGAAGCGCAGGGGGTGGGCAGTTGGAGGAACTTGGAAGAGGCAGATGCGGCAGAACGGGGGCCCTGGGAAAGGGGCTGGGAAACGGTACACCGTGCACAATCCATCCCACCGTCCCGCCGCACCCCGTAGCAATGCGACCCGCGCGCACTGACCCGTGGGTCAATAACCCTATCGCACATCAGCAGTGCCCACTGACCCACGGGTCACCCCCCCCCCCCCTCACACCTGAGCAGTGCCGCCGCCGCCTCCCATGCCTCCGCTGGCGCATGCGCCTGCTTGGCAGCCGTGAGGGCAGCCTACACGTACGGAGTACACACGCATGTTGCGTCCCGTCAAGAGATCGTAGGAAAGCACACGTCACAGATCGGACACACGTCACAGATCACTGCATTGGGTGCAGCACGTGGTGCGGACACGAGGAGGAGCCACAGAACGTACACATGCAGGCAGGCAGGCAGGCAGGGACACGCGGCCACAGCCGCCTGGTACCTGGTACTGCCCCGGTCAACAGCTAAGAATCAACAACTCGGCTACGCGGCAACTCGGGTTACGGAAGGCCACACCCACCTCCAATACCACGGTATGCACCGCCTCCCAGCCCCGGGAGGCTGAGGAGGAGGAGGACGCTGCTGCTGCTGCCGCTGAGAAGGAGGAGGAGGAGGAGGAGGAGGAGGAGGAGGATGGGAAGAACAGCGCTGCCGGGTTGTTTCCGCTGCGGGCTGCAGCGCCGCCGCCCAGCCGACTGAGGCTCCAGTGTACCCGGGGCAGGTCGTCTGGGTCCTGTTGGTCAGCGAGGCGTGCAGAAAGGGGGTTAAGAAGGGGGGGAGGGTGCACACATGAGAGGAGGGAAACGTGGGAGGTCGTGAGGGGCCATGCGCCATGTCATGGGGGGGCTCGTGCGGGTGGGGGAGGGGGGGAACCAGGCGACCGGCAAGAGGAGCGGAAGAGTGCTGTAGCTACAGCAGCGCGGGAGAGGCGGCAGGAACCAATGGCACGAAACACCTCCTGCGCAAACCCCGTTCCCCAGCTCCCCGCCCCCCACCATGTTGCAAACCATGATGATGCCTTCTGACACGGTCAGCTGTTTCCTCTTTATCCCCGCCCCACCTGCGCCTGTGGGTCATCCGGCGGCTCCAGCGCGCGCACCGCAATCCGCAGCAGCTCCCCACCCGCAGCCGCTGCCGCCGCCGCTGCCGCCTGCTCCGCACCCAAACCCCCACCCACACCCCAACCCGCAGCACCCCCACCCCCACCACCCCCTGCCGCCGCCATGCCGTACACCCCCCGAGCGGCTTCTAACGCGTGCCACAGCAGCAGTGTGCGCTTGCGGCGACACCCCACCAGACCCAGCACCTGAGTGGGGTGGGGGTGGGGGTGGGGGTGGACGACCACGCGCCAAACCATGGGAAAGCACAAGTTAGGAAACCTATGAGCTTCACTTGTAATTTGGCTTCTCTCTCTCCCTCTCTCACCCTTCCCCCCGCCCCCCATCACCCGTTCATTCTCCCCCCCCCACCGCTTTGCCCTAACCCGTGGTTTCCTATGGTATGATATGTGGTCTCTGACCCCCCCCCAAACCCCCCTCCGACCCCCCCTCACCTGCGCGCACTCCACGGTGGCCACCAGCCTGTCCTCCACCCCCGGCAGCCCGGGCAGCTGCTCGCTCACCCACCCCACCAGCTCGCACACCTCCCGCCGGGCGGACAGGCCGCGCAGACCCGCCAGCAGGCGAGCCAGCTTCAGGTGCTGCTCAACCTGGGGGGCATGGGAGGGGCATGGGAGGGGCATGGGAGGGGCATGGGAGGGGCATGGGAGGGGCATGGGAGGGGCATGGGAGGGGCATGGGAGGGGCATGGGAGGGGCATGGGAGGGGCATGGGAGGGGCATGGGAGGGGCATGGGAGGGGCATGGGAGGGGCATGGGAGGGGCATGGGAGGGGCATGGGAGGGAGGCTCAACCGCACTGCCACCGCACCGCACAACCAACCGCACAATCGTTCCGGCCCCACCGCACTCTGACTTCTCTGCACCCCCATCCTCCCTCCCTCCCCCCCTGCCACCCCCACCTGCAGTGGCGCCACCCCGCCCTTCCGCCGGTATGCCGCACGAGCCTCGGAGAAGCACTCGCGCGTGAGGGACTCCGCATCGCTGGGGTGAGGGTGGAGGGGGGTGAGGTGGGGTTGGAGGCTTACTGATGTGGGGGGATCTGACGGTTGGGTGCCCTCCCGTCAGGGATCCCTGCCATCACTGGCGGCAGCGGCAGCCGCAGCAGCTTAGCGGCAGTGATCAAGGCGGGCTAGCGGCAGCAGCGGGCTTAGCAGCAGGCACGCACCTGCGTCGGAGGAGTTCCCATTTGGAGGGCGACATGAAACCTGTGGGGCGGATGGGGTGGGTGGACGAGACGGTGCAAAGATGGCGAGTGGAAAGGATGAGGGATTGAGGAAGGTAAGCGGCGAGAGAGGTGTATGGTGTAAGGTGTAAAGCGAAAAAGGCGTATAAGGCAAGCACGCTGCATGCAGGATGGGGCATGACAGAAACACAAACGCGGAAGGAAGCGGGCAATGCACAACAGCCGCAACACCGTACTAGCTGCCGTACTTCACCTTTCGCAACTCAGCTTCCGGCCCCCCGCCAGCCCCCGCCTCACCAGTAAAACTGCCTCCACCACCGCCTCCTCCTCCTCCTCCTCCACCACCTCCCGCCCTTCCACTAACGCTCCCGCCATCCCGATTCCGCGTCTGTGACGGCTGCTGCTGCTGCTGCTGCTGCTGCAGGGCAGGCTGCGGCTTGCTGGCCCCACGAGCCCCCCCGCTACTGCTCGTGCCGGCTTGATGGTAGGTGCTACTGCTGCTGCCGTAGCTGTAGCTGCTGCTGCCGCCTGTCACTGCCGTACCGCCGCCCGCCCCTCCCGCCAACTCAACCACACCGGAGGTGATGACTTCCTGCACCCGAGCCGCCGCTATGCCCTACAAGACGTGTAAGAAAGGCGGGGGAAGAAGGCGGGAAGAAGGGAGAAGGGAGTGGCGTTTTGGTTTTAGGAAGGTTTGCATGAGAGGTGCCGTGCTGGGAATCAACCTGCCCCGTCACTTCCGATTACCCCGCTTTGCTTTACTAGAACTACTACCCGTTTCCCTTCTCGCAAAGCGTCGCCCTTCCGCCCCCTTCCGCTCAGCTTTAACTTCAATGCGCCTCTTCTTCCCGCCGCCCCCGCGCCCCTCCTCTTCCCCCGACCCCACCACCACCACCCCCACCTCCAGCGCGGCGCCGTACCAGACCCAGTCGCCACACGCCCTCGCCACCTCCTGAGCTGCCCTGTGCGCGGTTGGGGGTGGGGGGTGGGGGGGTGAAATCAGGGGCTGCAGTTCCGCGACCCATGGGTCGTTTGGAGACATCAAATGCACGCAATACAACGCCTCGCAACTGTACACAATCGCGCCCCAATCTCGCCACGCCCACTTGTGCGCGTCCACTTGTTTCCTCCCTCCTCCCCGTCACCACTCCTTCCCCCACCACCCGTTCTACCGGCCCACCGGTCCACCTGTAATTCTCCGCCGCGTCCCGAGGTGACCCGCACAGCAAGCACATGTCGCCCCGCATCTTGAGCAGCCGCCCCCAGCGCTGCTTCTCGCGGCTCTCGCTGTCAACCGCCGCCAACCGCTTTTGCATCTCGTCCAGCACCGCCACGGCGCCCGTGAACTCGGCTGCGTGGGGGGGGGGAGGGGTGTAGGTACACAGGGGCAAGCAGACAGGTGCATGAGAGGTGCAGAGGTGGAGTGGGTGGGGAGGTGCGGATAGTTACAAGCTTGAGGCTCGTAAGGCCCCGAATACGACAGGACAAGAGCGTACGATAGTGTAGTAAAGCAGCGTACGACAGCACTCCCTCCCCACGGTGGTCGTTAGCTGGTTCCTGGTTACCCCCCTGCGCCCCCACCTGAATCCGCGTATCCGCTGAGCTTCATGAGCCCCGGCGGGGCGGTCAGGATCCACTTTTCAAATTCTGTGTAATTGTTGTCGGCGAGGGTTTGGAGGGTTTAAATCTTTAATCCATTCATATAGAGGGGTTTGGGATGGATGGAGTTCATGGCGTTCTCTATCCCTCCCTCCCTGCCCTCCTCTCCCTCCCCCCCCCCCCAGTCCCACCCGTCAGCAGTGCGGCCGCCAGGTCGTGCATCCACACCTCCAGGTGCTGCACCAGGTGGGAGGGACCGCCTGGAGGGGGGGGGAGGTGTTAGGAAGGGGGGGTAAAAAATATATAAGAAATGCAAACAACTAAGTCCCAATCCCATATCCCGACTCATGCAGTGAGCGCATTCGGAGGCACTAATAACACGCATCTCAAATTACTTACCGAATCGTATCCCCGGGGGGGGATACGGTTAAAAACATGACAGCACCAACCGGTATGCCCCTGCGTCTCCTCCCTCCCCTGCCAAGCCCCAAGCCCTTCTCAACCAACTCACACGCACCCCTCACATCCCACCCCTTCCCCATCAACACATTGTGTATTCCCCCCCCCCCCGCCCCCCACCCACCCACCCGGCGGGAACATAACCAGGTCGGGCAGCTGCTGGCAGTCGCGCTCCTGCCGGATGTGCTCCTCGCTGGGTTCGAACACGAAACACCGTGCCACGAAGGCCTCGGGGAAGGAGCGACACAGGCGCTTGAACTCCTCGTAGGCCTGTGAGGGGGTGGGAGGTGGTGGGAGGGGGTGGGGGGACAGTAGGGTCATGCCCGGCAGGGGCGCTTGGGAGCGGCACGAGAGCAGGTGGGAAGGAAGGAGGGCAGGCAGGCAGATCCCGTACCCGCTGCATGCTAGCGCTATACACACACACACACACACACACACACATACACCTCTCGTACACCCCCACGCAAACCCATGTCGTACTACCCCCCACAACCCCCCACCTGCTGCACGCTAGCGCACATGGGGCAGTACACCACCCCCAGCACCGCCAGCACCTGCCGACCCGGGTGCAACTCGGGGACCCGGGAGCGGCGCCGGGCGTCATCAGCCTGTACGGTGGGGTGGGGGGTGGGGGGTGGGGGGTGGGGGGGGCGAGGTTGGACAAAGTAAGCTTCCCCTCAATACCCCCACCTCCAGCCCCCTCCCACCCCCCTCCCACCCCCCTCCCCCACCTGCAGGAAGCGCAGGTGCATGTAGGCGCTGCTCCAGTCCAGCAACTGGAATGCGGGCTGGGGGGCACCCCCCGGGCCGCCCCCGCCCCCGGCCCCGCCTCCCCCTGCTGCTGCTGCCGCCGCCTGCAGCGCTGCGGGGCTCTCTCGGTAGAAGGAGCGGGTGGCGGAGAGGGAGACGTGGTGGTACCTGAGGAGAAGGAGGGGTTTGTTGCGGGGTGTTACAGAATGGCGGGGTGCGTACGGCGTGCGAGAGGGGGGGTTAATGCCCTGCCCTGCAACTCCTTCCGCTCCTTCCTTCCACGCACGCACGCATGCTCCCCTCCCAATGCCATCCGTTTCCCGCTGCATGCCGCCCCATCATGCCTCCCCTGTTGTTCCATACCACGACGCCCGCCCCAGTTCCCAGCCTCCCTCTGCCCCCCAACCTGCCCAACCGCCAACCACCCGCCCCGCCGCTCACTTGTTCATGAGGTCGATGTACTCGTCCAACACGTCGCGTGGGACATGGCCCACGGGCAACACAGCCTGCGCGTGGGCGGAGACGCGGTGTTTGGGAGGGGTTGGCCGGATTGGCTGGGATCAGGATTGACAGGGTTGGCAGGATCGGCAGGTGGAGCAGGGGTGGCAAGAGGCAGGGTTCGGAGGTGTAAGGGTGTTGCTACTGCTGCTGCTGGTGTTACTGCCGCTCAGCACAGCACAGCACAGCACTGCCCTCGCATGTTCCCCGGAGCTGCATCAGCCCATCAGAGGCAAAGCACAGCAGGCCTCGTGGAAGGGGGAACTGGGCAATTGTGGCAGGTGCCATTGAGCATGGCTACCATGCTCTCAGGTATCCCGAACCCGGACGAGACCTGCTCTCAACCGGCGATTAAGAGCGAGAACGAGCTGTAAGAGTTGGGACAAGTAGCTTACCACGCGGATCTCTCCAGCTGTCAGCAGGCTGACGCCTGGCTCCACAGACCTGCCTGCCATTGCGAATGCCTGGCCTTTTGATCCGCGATCTGACCCAGAGCTACATAAGACTATTTGCTCATGTCGTTATTGCTGTCCGCGGTGGTCAATGACCACGCTTCTACAGGCAACAGGCCAACAGCGCCCAATTGATACCGTATTTCTACACAGTGTTGAATGCTTGCGAGTATTTATGCTGCAGCAAAACTGGAAATCGTATATCGCACAGTATCTGATATCTAGTAGCTTTGTGTTAATTGGCTTATTGCGTAAGAACTCCCTAACTTGCACCAACACGAACGGTCAGGATTGCCGATCCAAAGGCTTTTACCGATGACACTAGCATGTATCTTCCCTAATCCCAGTAAGCCGCAGCAGGTCGACGTGACAGCTGCCACGCCCCCTAACCGCTCACATGTCGCCCTTCGTACGCCCAACGGTAGATCAGGCTTAGCGTTGTCGTCTAGTCAAGCCATACCAACCGGATGCTACCAGTCGCATCCAATGGTCGCAATACATGACGCTTCGCCCCAGTTTCGGTTGCCATGAATGACCTTCCCAGCACGCCGTGAGTGCTGTTGCCGCAACACCCTGTGCCACGCCCGCTGCATGGGTGTAGATCAGGGGCAATTTGGAAGTCCAAAATAACCAGAGAGGCCCCCTGGAGAGAGACAACCTTACAGGTGTGAAGTTCCATCAAACGCACGTCCGGTTTTAAATACCTGGCCCGCAGGGAGTCGTCACGTCCTATGCCTCGGATTGTATTGTTTCTGAACACATCGCATTATAGTGACTAATGGTACTGCCGACCAAAATCGGCGTCTGCAAACCCAAGGCTGCGGCAGCAAAACGCTGGATTCAACCATAACCGTGTTGCCGTACCTGGGCACTGCAAACCACCCCCCATGCCGTACACCGCTAACGACCCTGGCGGTTGTTGCAACAACCCGGATAGCGCTACAGACTCAAGGCGTACGGAACCTGCAACAGCTCCGTCGTCAACAACACCGGTACGTAACGGGATGTCACCCATGCTGTTTGCCATGCCGTTGCCATGCCGCAGCACCTTGGGCCCTTTATTGGAATCCTTTGCTGGTGTTGAAGTGGTGGGTAGACGTTCAGCAGCAGCAGCTACTGCCTCTGTTGACCCTGTTATCCTGTCTGCCGCTCCGTTTGTTTCTGTTACCGGTACTCCGGCTCCTAATGAGCCTGACGCTGCTACTGTCCCTGCGTTTGCCGCTGCCGCGGCCGCTGCGTTTGCTGCCGCTGCTGCCGCCGCCTGCCTCGCTGCGCCCGCCAGCCCCTCCACCTCCGCGGCCGTCACCGGGGCAGGCAGCGGCTCCCACTTGAGGGCGGCCCAGCAGGCTAGCGGCAGGGGCAACCTGGGTGGGGTGGGGGGGCGGGGGGGGGGACATATGTAAGGGGGAGAAGCATGCAATGCGAGGGTTAAGAAGCCAGCAGGAAGAAACGAGGACAAGGGATTGTGGCAACCGCAACAGCGGGTGTGCTATACTGCAGACAGATACGAAAGCACTGCAGAAGTTCGAGACTTCGAGTATTGTGCTGCAGCCAAAGAAACGAGCAAGCAAGCAAGGGGTCGTACCTTGCAAAGTAGGTCGCCGGTTGCATGACGGCGTGAGTCTGCAGAAGCAATTGCGGCAGCAGTTACAGCACCAACCGCCAAGAGCAATACAGGGAGCGAGGGTCCCACACGTCCGACCACCAACGGAAGCGCCAACAACAGAGCGGTAGGTCCATTGGCGGCCTCCTCATGTGCTCCTCATGCTTCAAAAGCTCCTCAGTTCCCTCCTCCCCACTCCCACTCCCCACCCCTCACCCTGCGGCGGGGCGCGTGCGGGCTGGCCACCAGCGTGCGGATGCCCCGCTCCGACAGGTGCCGCAGCGGCTGGGCGAAGTCTGGGTGGCAGGGGGCAAGGAAGAAGAGGACGAGGAAGAGGACGAGTAAGGGATGACAAGGTAAGGGAGCAGGGGAGGCAGGGCGAAGAGTCAGGAGCGAGGTGCAGGTGACCAGCAGCCCATTAGTATACAGGTTGCATGCCCCAAGAGCGTCCCTCAACCCCCTACCCTACCCTACCCAACACAACATCTGTGCACCCAACCATCGCATGCACCTGTGTCCTGTGACACGCACACAATGGCTGCTCCAGCTGACCCATGGGTCGCAGCAAACGCCATCGCATCCTCCACCAGCCGTACATCCGCTGCGTCCCGCCGTACAGGCACTCGCCGTACGGCCATCAGGCCCGCCTGCTCCAGCAGCGGTAGCACCCCTGGCGCCGGAATAGTGCGGTAAGGTTCGGGTGGGGGGTTGATTGAGAAATGAGGGAGAGGAGGAGCTCGAAGGAGTGAATTGGTTCCAGAGTGGAAAGCCATTCAGGAGTGTGCTAAACTGCTAATGCACGGTATGCACAAACGTGGTTCCACGCATCCGGCATCCCCCTCCATGCTTGCTGCCGCTCCACGCCACCCAAAGCAAAGCAAGCGGCGTTCCAGCCAGCAAGCACGTCGTCAACTCGTCATGCCTCATCAAAGACCTCAGTCGGTGGGGGCATCCACCTCCGGCGCCCACCTGCGAATCTGTCCGCTGTGTCTTCATTCGCATAGCCGCGACAAGCCAGCAGCCGCCCTCCCGCTTCGGATATGAGGGTCTGCGTGCAGGGACAGGAAGAGGTGGGTATAGGCTGACGTACGGTGGGTCGGTAGGTCGAGAAACACAGGTGTGCTGGACGGTTGACGCCAAAAGATGACGCCCCGGCGGGGGCTTGCTTCCCAATTCCCACTCGTCCACCTGTTTCACCAGCTCTAACCCTCACCTGCCCCCACGCCTCCATCATGCGGCGCCAAGGCGGTGTCAAACTCAACTGCCAACCAACCAACCGCCAACCAACCGCCAACTAACAACTCACCCTCATGCGGTACAGCTGCAGGGGCGCCGAGGTGGCTGGCGCGAAGAAAGCCACATTGTCTAGGTCCTGAGCGCGGTGGGTCGAGGACGGGGCGAGGCGGGGCGGGGCTATGCATGGTGCTGGTGGATGGAAGGGGGGTTTCATGAGTTGCAAGAGGTGTTCGTGACAGGGGGTTACGGTATGGCACACGTGTCAAAGCTGGGCGACTAAGTACGGTATACCGCCCCCGGAGAAACAGGCGGGCATCAGCACGCACTTCAGAGCAGCAAGGTGTGGTAGCCACAGGCGTGGTAGCTACCCCGTCTCACTTCGCAAGTTTGTCTACCCCTCTCGCCCCTACCCACCTATCTAGGTGGGTTGTTTCCTCTTTCCCTACACACCTACCCACAGAAGCGCCACCGGGCGCCCTTGCAGCAGTGTTTGGAGCGCAGCGGCGGCTCCGGGCGGTTGCAACCGCGAGGTGTACGACACTTGCGCATCTTTAGACAGGATGCCATGAGCGGTGGTGGCATGTTGCGTGTCCGCGGTCCTGGCCAAGCAATGGGCAACGCCCATCTCTCTTGTTTTGGCACAGAAGGCTGTAGATTGAAGTGATGAAGGTATTTCCCGGGCTGTTATACTTGCTACTCGTTGTCGTGATGTGAAGGGTGTCGACTGCGGTATCGGCAACAGGTGCGGGTAGCTTTGGGAGCCAACAACCCTCGTTATTCGCCTTTGTGGACTGCATCTAGGATCAATGAGTGCATTCATGTTTGAGTATGCGACGGCATGGCGACACATTTGGATTGTCTGCCACCGCTAAGCTGCCGAGCCTCAAGGAATGAGGACGGGCATTACAAGCAATGCCATTACCACCCTCGCTGCTGGATTGTGGGGATTGGCAAGATAACGGCTGTCCAGTAGTACAAATAACAGAACACGACTGTGCGGCATACGATTCTCCGTGTTATCATATGTCCCCCGTACAACCACATGCAGAACCCTTACTCAGCGCACTATCTCTCGTGGCAGCTCTTCGAATGCACTTGTGCTCCTTTCACCTACTATATCTGGGGTCTTTCTGTCAACCTGTATTGTCTTGCTACACGCTATACCCTAGGCGAATTGCGAAAATGTCTGCTCCCTAAAATAGGACGGTTCCTGATCGTGCGAATGGCCGTTTGCCCTATGAACTCAGATGGTGACGTAAACGTGCATACGGCTTACATCCCTAAAATGCCTGTAAATGGAACGCGAGGTTTGGAACCATCTTCTCCCTGCGACGTGCATTGTGGAGACGACCATCGTTCAACTGAAGCAGGGCCTAGCACCCAACCTGCTCAGCTGCCACCGGCGCCAAGGGGGTTGACAAGCTGTGGCACTGTCGAGGCGGTTGACTGTGACCACCTAAGGAACATGGTCGAAGCAAACAGCATTGCGTCTCGCAGCAGCTCGCACCGTCTCTTTCCTGCGTTGTCGCGGCGCACAGCAAACGGCACGGGTTTGGTCAGCAGGAGCAATGCCGTGCACGCTGCCGAGCTGCACAAGGGCGTTCGAAGAGAGGCAAGCAGTCATTCTAGCTGGACTTTGGGCTGCATTATGTGGAACAGGCAACATACATCGGCTTCGTTAATATCCTGTCTGGCGTATTAGTTTAACCAACTGACCTCTTGTTTGCAGGAACTGCGTCATTTATTGCGAGAAGAGAAAAAGGTCTGGGCTCTCCCGCTGCTGGTTCTCCTCGTCTGCATCGCACTGGGTCTTTGGGGCGTTTTCGCATCATCGGCGCAGGAGCGAAGCCAGCGCCACAAAAATGCGCTAAATCGCGCAACCGATAAAGCCCAGACTATAGCTTCAGAGCTCCGCGCTAGCTACCTTCCAGTAAAGGTAAACTTGCGCTTCGTACCAGCATATCCAGCTAGATTCCGTTTCCCAACCGTCGTTACTAGCTGGACTCCTCATAGCTTCATACCTCCAAAGATGTTGCCGAACATGCTTTTGCACGCTCTCCGCTAAGCTTCCCCCTCCTTCCCTGCCTCATGTGTCCCTATCTATCCCTTCCCCACTGCTTGCTCCCCCTCCCCCTTTACCCTCCCCACCCTGCCCACCTCCCTCCCTGCCCAGGTCATGCAATCCTTCGTGACCCGCTCCCCCTACTTCCCCTCCCTCAACGCCACCTTCCCCTCCCTGGCCTCCGAGCTCCTCTCCCTCACCGCCGCGGGCGCCATCGCCAACATGCAGCTGGCGCCGCTGGGGGTGGTGGCCGCAATACAGCCGCCGCAGGGTGGGTGCACAGGGTGGGGGGTCAAACTAGACCAAACCCTAGGAAACCACGAATACTGAGAGGGGGACGGGAAACCCAACTGCGTGGGTAGAGAGGGGGAAGCCCGACTGGGGGCCGGAGGTAACAGTGAAGAAACCAACTGGGTGGGGGTGGGGTAACATTAGGAAGCAGCTGAGACGAGCTGATACTACTACCGGTATGTGATGAAGCCTTATCACACGGTTAGCTGTTTTCTTCTTTTCCCCTCCTCCCCCCCTCTCCCCCCTCTCCCCCCTCCTCCCCCAGGCAGTGAGTCGGCCCTGGGTCACGACATCCTGGCCGACCCCGCCAACCGCGACATGGCGCTGCGGGCCATCGCCTCCCACAACCTCACCCTGGCTGGGCCCTACATGCTGCGGCAGGGCTTCATGGGCGCACCCGCACGCTACCCCATCTTCCTGCGCGACGTGGACGAGAATGAGACGTTTGGGTTGTCGCGGGATGCCACCAACTGCTCCTCGCTTTGCTATGATGCCGGAACGAGGACAAAGTTCTGGGGTGGGTAAGCGGCACGCGGAGGTGGCGGGGTCGGGAGGTTACCTGACTGTGTTCCTGACCCATGGGTCGGGGGTTCTTTTTGCCGAACGGAGCTGTCATCCACCCATCGTCATGGCGAATCAATGCGACTGGTTAACGTGTCTGTCGTCTTGCGCCCGCTTGGCCCTCACCTTCCTCCCTCCTCCTGCCCTACCCCCATATCCCTCCCTCCCTCCTGCCCTGCCCCCACCTTCCTCCTTCCTCCCCTCCCGCACCCCCCCCAGGGTTTGCCACGGTCCTCATCGACTGGGACCGCTTCATTAACCAGGTGGTGCGGATCGGGGAGCTGTCCTCGCAGGGACTCAAGTACCGACTGACTAGGGGCACGGATGGCGTTGACACCGGCGGCAGCGGCAGCAGTGTCAGTACCAGCGACGTCAGCAGCGGTAGCAGCGGCAGCGGCATGGAGGCCGTATGGCTGGCGGGAAGCAAAGAGGTACGACAGTAACTGCAATATCAGTTGTCACATGTATTACTTGCTTATCACATGTACGGCATACACATGCGTGCCACAACACTAAGTAGTTCTTGCGCCGCGCCACCCCTCACTACTTGCTGTTGATTCCTCCAACTCGCTACCCCCCAACACCCGTAACCCCCCCCAGGCCCTGCACGACCCCGTCCACGTGTACATCTCCGTGCCTAACAACGAGTGGCGGCTGGGGGTGGAGGACGCGCGCGGCTGGGTGCCTGCGTGGAAGTGGCCGCTGGTGGCGATGGTGGGGGGCAGAGGGGGTTGGGGGGAGAGAGGGGGGGTGGGGAGGGGCGAGCGATGGGTGGGTGGGCGATGGGAGGGAGCGGTGTTCCCGGTGTTTCCCGTCGTCCTTTAGTAAGTAGTATGCAACCCTGGCTGCCTGCCGTACACCCACCTCCTCCTGCTCCCCCTGCCGTACACCTTCCTCCTCCTGCTCCCCCTGCCGTACACCCCCCAGGTGGTTGTGATGGGCTGTGTGTTGGCGGCGCTGGTGGGTCATGCGCTGCTGGGGCGGGCGCAGCAGCGGCAGCTGCTGCTGGAGGTCATGGTGGGTGGGGGGCGGGAGGGAAGGAGGAGGAGGGGATACCCATCTTGGGGGGGTGTACCCATACCCATCACGATCGTGTGATACACGACTGGGGGCGTAAAGGAGGGTGCGGGAGTAGGCTAGGGTGCGTGGGGAGGGACGGTCCTAACCCCCCCCCCGCCTCCCCCCAGGCCGCCAACGGTAACCTGGAGGACGCCGCCAGTGTGTTGCTGCGCGAGAAGGAGCGCGTGGAGGCGCTGCTGCAGCGGCAGTACGACCTCATCCGCTGCCTGGGTGGGGGAGGGGCAGGGGCAGGAACGGGAGGGGCAGGTGGAGGAGGTGCAGGAGGAAGGGATGCTGCAGGGAGGGGAGGTGGAGCGGCGGCAGCGGTGGAGGCGGAAGGTGGTGGAGGCAGAGGCGGCGGAGGAGGAGGGCGGGAGTGGGGCAGCGATGTGCTGTATGCGGGGCAGAACGGCTCGTCGAACCCAGCTGGTAAGTCGTCATGGGGAAAGAAAAAGGGGGTCAAAGGGGGGGACCATACCAAACCATAGGAGACCACAGAAAAGGGGGTGGGGGGGTACCGTGTCGCGGGAAGGGGGGGGGGTGCTCGCCCTGTCGCATGCTTGCCTGTGCGCTGGTGCATGCCAAAACTACACGTGTCCATGGACTAGACTGCGTCGTCATTCTCATCATCCTCAGCTGCCATCAGTTGCTGCTGCCGTTTGCTTCTTCCCTGTTCATGGTGTTGTGTTGTTTCGGTTGCTGCTGCTGCTGACGACGACGAATTGCAGAGAAGATCGAGGAGATGCGGTTGAAACTGCTCCACAGTCTGCGGTTCAGTCAGCACGGAAAGCGCCAACAAGCAGCAGCGCAGCAGCTGCATCAGCGCGGAAGGGCGATTGTAGCTTGCGGCGGGGGCGGCGGAGCTGCCGGCAGCAGCAGCGACGGCGACGGCGCTAGCGTTGCCGAAGGAGGCGGTGGCGGCGGTGGTGGCGGGGGCTATGGCGGCGGCGGTGGCTATGGCGAGGGTTGTGATTTGGTGCTTGGGGAGCTGATTGGGGAGGGCACCTTTGCACGGGTGTACCGAGGTGGGTTCGGGGGGGCGGGGGCGGGGGCGGGGCAGGAGGGGGTCGGGGGCGGGGCAGGAGGGGGTCGGGGGCGGGGCAGGAGGGGGTCGGGGGCGGGGCAGGAGGGAGTCTCCACACCAGCAGGCATTACGGATCTGCACGGTGTCCTACTAACGATTGCACGGTGCCATGCTTAGTAGCTGCAGTTGGAAGATGCGAAGATCCCTGCCCTCTCCCCTCTTATTAACCCCCCCCCCCCAGGCTACTGGCGCGGCACCCCGGTGGCCATCAAGACGCTGGTGCTGCCCGCCTACATGAGCGGTGCGGAGAAGCGACACAAGATGGCCATCATGGAGGCCGCCATCAGCAGCAGCCTGGCTCACCCGAATGTGGTGGCCACATACACGTATGTGATCAAACCGCTCAAGGTGGGAGGGGGGGCGTTGAGGGGGGGGGTGACCCGTGGGTCGGAGAGGTGGTTGGGCGAGGGGTGCTGCGAAGACAGCGCCAACCCGCCTCCTCCTCTTCTCTTTCCTTACTCCTTTCTTCGAACCCCCGCTACCTGCAACTGCATCTCTCCGCAAACCCCCCTCGTCGTGCTCTTGCACTCGTGCTCTTGCACCCCCTCATCGTGCGCGCGCGGATCATCCCACCGCGGCCCGGCGGCTCCCGCACCATTCCCCCCTCCCCAGGATGCCTCGGGCGGTGGTGGTGGTGGCGGTGGCGGCTCCCGTCTCCGTGCAGGCGGGTTCGGGTCGGAGCTCACCTCCTCCGCAATACTAGTGGGCAGCAGGTGGGGTAGGGGCCTGGGGTGGTGGGGGGGGCAGCTGGTCCTGAGGGGGGAGGGTTGGGAGGAGGGGCTGCGTGTGTGAGGGTGGGGCGGCAGGTAGGGGCTGCAGGTGGGGGGCGTGTGCTGGCTGCTGATGCTGCTGATGCTGATGCTGATGCTGCTGCTGTTGACGTCTTAAACGTTGCTGCTGCTCTTGCTTTACTCCTGCCGCTGCTGCTGGTGTTGTCGTGCTCACCCCCCCCTCGGCATGCACAGGGACGCTACGGGCGCCAGCAGTGTCACACTGGGCGGCACACCGGGCAACCGGGCGGAGCGGGGAGGCGGGGGTGGCGGGGGTGGTGGGGGTGGGGGCAGGAGCCGCCCGCTGTCGCTACCGCCGGCCGAGGAGGCAGCAACAGCTGCAGACGGCGGCGGCGGCGGTGATGGAGGCGGATGCGGCGGCGGCGGCGAAGGGGGCGGTGGTGGCGGTGGTGTCCCCACCATCCACAGCTACGCGGTGCAGCTGGTGCTGGAGTACTGCGACGGGGGGTGTCTGCGGGAGGCGCTGGATGCGGGGGTGTTCTTCGGGGGTGAGGGGCGGGGGGAAGGGGTGGGTTGGGGGGGGGGGGGGAGGAACCGATGCTGGTGATGATCTCATCTGTCACGATGATGTCCGCTGGCCTAAGGCCGTCCTCTGCTGTGGCTGCCTGGGACACCCAACGCCAACTCTTCCGCCTCCCCCCTCCTCCCTCACCTATCCAGCCACCGGCCTCAACGTGCCGGCCATCCTGGACACCGCTGCTGACGTGGCGCGAGCGCTGCTGCACCTGCACTGCAACGACGTGCTGCACGGGGGTGAGGGGGGGGCGGGGGGTGAGGGGGACGCGGGGAAGGGGGTAAACTGAGCCGCAAGGAAACAGGCGGGGGAAGGGGGATGGGTGGCGGGGTGGGTGGGGTGGCATGGGTTGGGAGGTAAAGAAGAGGACAAAGAGAAGCCGTAACGCTCTCTGTAACGCAATGCGCGAAGCCGACGGAGGTAGTGGAAGGAGCGCTGGCCTCCTCACACCCTCCCCCGCCATGTCCCTCTCACCTCTCTAATCCGCCGCTCCTCCTCCTGCCCCTCTTACCTCTCCCCCTGCCCCTCCCTTAACCCCCCGCCCCCCCCCAGACCTGAAGGCGGACAATGTGATGCTCAAGTCATGCGGAGGGGAGGGACGGGGGCTGGTGGCGAAAGTGAGGGAGGAGGAGGGAGGAAGGCCCCGCTGCTTTCTGGTTCCGCACAAAGGAGCTTCAAGTGTCAAGGGTTGGGCGATGGCGGTAGTGGTTGTTTGCACCTCCTCCCCGCAATACACACACACCGCACTAGCGGCCAGTTACTTTTAACACACCGTACGAGCGGCCAGTTTTCTTCGTTCCGACTCGCGGCCAGCTTTCTGAACACACCGTGCCCCAACCCTCCCCCACGCTGGGTGCCCTGACCTGCCCCCGCCCTGCATGAGTCGGGATATGGGATTGGGACTCGTTGTTTCACTTATATAATTTTCCCCCCCTTTTCATTACTCTGTTACCGGTACCCCCCACCACCACCACCACCAGGTCGCTGACTTCGGTCTGGCCATCAAGATGGACCACCTCAGCTCGCACGTGTCCTCCACATTCCAGGGCACCCTCACACACATGGCGCCAGGTGGGGCAGGGGAAGGGGGGGCGGGAGAGGGGGGGTGGAAGGGTTAAAGAATGAAACGGTTGGAAAGGGCGCGGTCAACCCAACAGGAGAAATGTGTGGGATCTGTTTGCCTTCCCTGGATCGAATTGAGTTTCTGGCTGGCCTGTGACCTGCTCCGAACCCCCTTCCGTGCCTCGCCTCCCTCACCCCGCACCTCCCCCCCCTCGCTCCCCCCCCACCCACCCACCCCACCCGCCCTGCAGAGGTGTTGCTGCACGGTCAGGTGTCCCGAGCCGCTGACGTGTTCGCATTCGGAGTGACGCTGTGGGGTGAGTGGGTGGGACTGGTGAGGGGGGTGGGGTTGCAGCATGCAACAGCGCAGGAGTGAAGCGGGTGGGGAGTGAGACGGGCTGTAAGGGGTGCTGCATGGTAGGATGCAGGAAGCGGTTGGTGATACAGCCTCGTCAGTTTCCTCATTTTTACCCCAACCCCCCACACACACCCCTCCCCTTACAGAGCTGTTTACGGGCGGTCGGCCCTACCCCGGGGTGCCCGCTGCGCTGCTGGGCCACCTGACCAGCCGGGAGGGGCGCCGACCCGCCTTCCCGCCCGGCACCCCGGAGGGTTACAGGCGGCTGGCGGAGAGCTGCTGGAGGGGGGAGGCGGCCAGCAGGTGGGGGGGGGAGGGGTGAAGGGAGGGAAGGGGTGAAGAAAGAGGAGGGGTGAAGAGAAATAACTAAAGAAGTGAAGCAGCATAAAGCAGTTTCTCGTTTTAGGGGAGGGCAGGCAGGTGGTGACACTCGTGGATAAGATGAGGATGATGCCATTGCTGGCGATGTTATAATAATGCCTGGGTAACACACGTACGCCATAACATGCCGTAACCCACCTTTGTACGACATCCCAACATGTACGACACCCCAATATGTACGACACAGGCCGAGCTTTGAAGAAATCCTGGCTACGCTCACCGCCCTCCGAGCGGAATATCTCGGCCCCACGCCCTGCCTGTCGTACACCCCCCTCACACCGGAACAACGCCGACTGCAAAAGGCCCGGGAACGGGAACAAGCGATGGCGCTAGCGGAGGCAGCTGCTGCTGCTGCTTCGGCTGCTGCCGCTGCCGCTACTGCCAAGAACGGTGGCGGCGGGAAGAGTATCGGTACGGTGGGAGGAGGAGGAGGAGGAGGGGAGCTGTTAAGCGGTAGCAGCGGTGGCGTTGCGGCGGCAGCAGCGGCGTTGAGAGCGCGATTGAAGGCGGCGGTGGCGGAGAAGGAGAGGGAGAGAGAGGAGGAGAATGTTCGGAGGAGGTCTGCATCGACCTCGGCCTCTGCGCCGCTTCCCCTGGCGCAGCAGCAGCAGCCGTACCGGCGCTGGAATAGCCATGAATCCGAGTGAGTCTTAAGCAAGTTGTCGCTGCTGTTGCTGATGCTATTTTGCCATCGTGTTTGCTACTTTTGCTGCGGCTGTTACCTTAGCTGTCGTCATGTCTGCCAAACCTCCCCATCGTCCTCACCCTAACCCCCCACTTCGTCTTCATGTTCCCTACGGCTACCAACACTTCTTTGTTTTCTTCCTCAGATTGGACTCTCCCTTAAGAACCGGGTACGGCAACAACAACAGCAGCGGCAGCAACGGTCACGACAACCACCACAACCACCACCACCAGAGCGACGGTCCGTTGTTAACCATTGCTAACGGTCACAACGGAAACAACTACCCCCACAACAACCACCACAACCTCTGGGAGGGCGGCTTCATATCGCCGCACCGAACTGCCAGCTGCTACGGCTCTGCTGGTGGGGGTGTTGGTGGGGGCGGCAGCGGCAGCCTCAGCGGCGTGTCTCCTGTTTCGCTGTCTCCTGGCAGGGGCGGATCGGCAAGCGGGGGGTCAGCAGCAGCAGCAGCTGGCAGCGGTAACGGTGGCGGCAGCAGCAGCGGAGGCGGAGGTGGAGGGTCACGGCGAAGGTCAAGGTCCAGATCTCGAGCGGACGAGCCGGTGCGTGCGTGTGTTTAGAAAACTGGCCGCGAGTAGGAACGTACTGGGATGTCGGAAGATGAAGTCCCCACAGAACCGCCGCAGGAGCCGAGGAATAGGGTAGCGTATGTACATATAGAAATCCAGTACTACGTGCGTGCGTGTGTGTGTGTGTGTTAGGTGGCAAGGGTTTGCTTGTGGGAGCAGCTGGGGTGAGTCTTCCTGAGCTTGTAAGGGGCTACAGCAACCCCCACCACCACCCCACCCCCGCCTACCATGCTGCCCCCCACCCCCCACCCCGTGTGCAGGTTATAGTGGTGGGTCACCGCAACGTGTCGCTGTCCATCGCCATCACCTCCACCTCGGTCGTGGTGAGCAGCGGGGGGGGGGGGAGGTGTGTGATGGGCAGGGGGGAGGGGGGAGGGGGCAGCGCGGGCAGGGAATCACACGAGGGTGTGATTTGCGAGGTGTGGTGTGCAGCGGGCGACTGAAGACCCGCATGCGCCCACACTGTCATGTCACTCTATAGTCAGGGGTCGCGAAGCAGTAGTGTCCCAACGAGCCACGACAGCAGTAGTGTCCCAACGAGCCACGACTCTATCTGGCTTCTGCTCCTGGCCACCCACCGCTGCTATCGACTGCTGCCCCCTTACTTCCCACTGCTGCTGCCCCCTGCCCACGGCCCACCCAGTTGGAGCCCATATCTGAGACTCGCAACGAGGGGGAGCCGGAGGGCTCCTCGCCCTCGCAGGAGGACAACATCCTCATGACGCTGGGGTAGGTGGTGGGGGTGGCGGTGGGGGTGGTGCGGGTGCTGGTGGTGGGGGCGGCAGTCCAGGTATTATTAACTCTGGGCTGGGATGATGATGCTGGTGATGGTGCTGTCTGTCCGCACCTGCTGGGGTGATGATGCCGGCAGTCCTGGCAGCAGCCCTGACCGCGGCTGCAAGCTGTTGTTGCTGTGCGGGTGTGGAGGCGTTCGAATGATGCGGTGCGGGGGTCTGTACAGCGCAGGGCGGAGTGTGCAGGCATGTGCCGCTTGCCTCGGAGTGGTGAAAACGGATGATGCTCCCTGCACTAACGTATTGAGGATGTATATGGATGGGACTTGCTGAGGAACGAGGTGAAAACTGGAGAGCAGAGTTGGGCAATGATAACAGTATACATTGAAAACGGACGTCTTTTCTCGTACATATTGCAGTGCTGCGCATTGTGGTGCGGGTATTTGTATACGCCGTGCACCGTGTGAATCCGCGAGCGCACGTCTTTCCAGGCATGTAGGCCTTGGGAACGCCAATCAAGATGGAAAAACAGCACGGACTGCATGGCGACGGTATGGGACGTCTATGGGCTGTATGATGCTGTGTCGTGCTGTGCTGTGTCGTGCGGAGAGTACCGGTACTTATTGCCTCGTTCCGTCCTGTTGCTCATTTTCATCGTTCACCTTTCGATGCGCATTGCTCTCAAACATGAATCCAACCCTGATACGGAGGCGGGGAAGGTGTCCCCTGCTTGCTTGTTTGCTTGGCATGCATCCCACATTATTAGCATACCGATAATGCTCAACATCCCCCAACAGAGAGGCGCTTGGTTACGCGTGCTAAGGACATTTCATGTGTTTCAGTTGGGAAGTTACCGTAAACTTCGTACTAATAAGGTCATGCTTCAACGGCTTATCCACTGGTTTGGCAAATTTTCGCAAACCTTGTTCACACACTCCTTGGCTTTCGGATTATCAAACTCTTCAATGGAACCTATGTTCAAATGGGTGTTGCTTTCTAAGTAATTGGGAACATCCGTTTGGATTGTATCATTTGTATGCCGCCTACCTGGGTGCATGCGGGTGGTGGCGGGTCCGGCGATTACAAACGGACGGAGACTCCTGTCGCGGCAGGTAGCAAAAGGGGCAGCATGGCCTCCCCTTTTCGTATTCTGCTGGGCCATGCAAATAAACACTGAATAAACACTTTGCCACACTGGGCTGTATGGTGAAGGTGCAGGCAGGACAAAGGGCTGATTTAAGGGCTGTGGATTTCTTGAGTGCCCCTTGCGGACTATTGGGCTTGACGAGGGGTGCTGTAAACCCCGGGCATGCCGCGTACCGTACCTGCTGAGTGGTAAAAACCCTAAATTCCGTTTACATGAGAGATGAGGTGGCTTCACGCTTTGTGGTTAGGGAGGTTGCCGGTGTTCATACATTGGTTTGCACCGACCTGCGGGGTTGTACTGGATAGGACGTGGTGACTAGTATTGACTGAATGACAAGGTTGCATGCAGCGTGTTTTGTGCGTGTAGCCGCGTTGGGTTGGTTGGTTGGGTGGTTGATGACCAGCCATGATGAGTGTGATGGGTTTCTGATGGATGGATGGGGTGGATGGGGTGGCTGGCGGTGTGCAGCAGACTCATTGTACCCTCACCCCTCATCCCTCGTATGTACGTACTCGTTATTAACTGGTAAGCAACTGGTACATCTGTTTTGCATCACACTTTTTGACAGCTTGTGGACCCATGGGTCTTTCCAGCAGACCGGGTCATCTCCCCTACCACCCATCATCATCGCGCACTCAGCTACCGGTATCACCAAACCTGCTGGCCCCCACATACACACACCGCAACCCCGCACCCCTGCATGTATCACATCGCTGCCCGACTTGCGCTCGAGTAATAACGTTTCCATTGAGGCCCCGGGTACAACCCCTGGAGTTCCACTTCCACTTCGGTAGGTGTGCTTTGGACCGTCCCGCTATTCGCCCTACCCTGCAATGCAGCGGCTTAGGAGTGTGTGTCGGGATGGGGTAGACACTCCAGCATACATGTGACTTTCGCGCCGCATGCATCCAGCAGCGTGCAAAGGACCAGTGTGTCAGTGTGTACTGTTGGACATGAAGGGCAAACGAGCAGCGGCCGCACGCCTCCCCTCGCTGGGCGCCCTAGCCACACACATGCCCGGCGCGCCTGTTAACCGCCCTCCCGCACCAGGACCGTGTATATAGAACATAGTATGTGTCGCTTTGCTTTGGGTTAAGTCGCAAGGTGGCTCTAATGTGTCGCCGCGACATCCCGACATCCATCCATGCTGAACGGATTCGGCCCTAATGCAGTCTTCCCTTCTCAACCTACAAATGCTTTTGTTTTTCTAAGTAATCATAAGGACTTCAGGGATTCAGAGTCGAACGCCCTTTCCTTGCTTTGAAGCCATGGCTCTGGAGCGGATTACTGTCCTTTCCCACAGGAGCTTGCAACACCGGCCTAAGCTGACCTTGCAAAACGAGTAGTTACCAAATCCTGATCAATACCATACATGGGCGTAATTAACCTGTTTCGCTGACTTGACCCAAACGGACATGGATGCCAAGTCTGCTGACGCTGACTTTATCTTCCGCATCTTTACAGCGTGCCAACATGATATCCTTACCATTGTGATAGATACTCGGCCACATAAAGAATTTAAACAATGCCACATTGCTGGAGCCTTCTGTGTGCGCCTTTCAAGCAATGGCCAAGTGCTCGCAGTACGTCCTTCAATTGCGCTGAACATACGTTGTCCGTTACAAAAATACGCGATGACCAGGATCCAACGACTGAAGGCGGCCCATGGTCCGGTCCCCGCAGGACTATAGCGCGTCTTCATACAACATTAAATGGTCCCAAGACTGCTGGTAAGTGCTTTTACGGACGTGACACGTTTGATAACCACCGCTCGACATGGTGTTCCAACTGCCCTGCCGCTTGCCTCTGTCGTACACCAGGTGGGGTCGCAACGTGCTCGTGTACGGCGACAGCGGCCTCAAACGCGACCACCCGGTCATTCGCTTCCTAGCCACCCAGGGCAAGTGCCGCAGCCTGCACTACTACAAGGATGGGTGGGTACCAGAGTGGCGCGGGAGTGACGGATGTAGCGTTTATTTTTGGGTGTGCCGTTCTGGGTGGGGGTGTTCTGTGGGTGGAGGTGTGGGTTGGAGGTGTGTGGGTGAGAGTGTGTTGGTTGAACAAACTGATCCGGACACAGGTACCAACTGCAGCACGAGGGAGGTGGTGGTGAATGTACCGGTATTGATGATGGTGTGTGCACTGATGTCGTGATGGGACAGCAGCGCGACCCAGACCGCAGACACGGCACTGGCGTGTGTCTTTCTGCATGTGTATTAACCCGCATGTCGCGCTCTCCTGTATCGCACTGCGGGTCCTCAACTCCTCATCCCGCACCGCCTGTCACCCACACACCGCCTGTCACCCACACACCGCCTGTCACCCACACACCGCCTGTCACCCACACACCGCCTGTCACCCACACACCGCCTGTCACCCACACACCGCCTGTCACCCACACACCGCCTGTCACGCACACACCGCCTGTCACGCACACACCGCCTGTCACGCACACACCGCCTGTCACGCACACACCGCCTGTCACGCACACACCGCCTGTCACGCACACACCGCCTGTCACGCACACACCGCCTGTCACGCACACACCGCCTGTCACGCACACACCGCCTGTCACCCACACACCGCCTGTCACCCACACACCGCCTGTCACCCACACACCGCCTGTCACCCACACACCGCCTGTCACCCACACACCGCCTGTCACCCACACACCGCCTGTCACCCACACACCGCCTGTCACCCACACACCGCCTGTCACCCACACACCGCCTGTCACCCACACACCGCCTGTCACGCACACACCGCCCGCCGCAGGTTCGAGGCCTTCCAGCGGCGCTACCCCTTCCTGTGCACCGCCTCCGTCAAAGCCATCAGCATTAAAAAGTAAGAGAGGAGGGCACGACACCCCTCCGAAGCGCTCAGAGCATGCACTTTCAGAACAACACCGGGAAAGAAGGCAGCCCGTACGGCCCCTCATGCAACTGAGCAGTACTCCGGCGGTTTGACACAGGGCCAACACCGGCATGTTGGACGTCACGGAGTTCCTGCATGCATGCATGCCTCTTCCTGCGCACCACGCACCCAGCAGTGCATGTGTGTATCGTACAAAGTGTGGCAGCTCTCGTGCCTCCCGGCACCAATACCGGAGCACCAATGCCCACGAGAGGGATGCCCAACAGTACCTGCTACCCCCCCCCCCGGCCGCATGCACGGCAGCGCTTCCCTGCCGCCCCTCCTCCCAAACGGGTGTTGAAACCGCCCTGCCCCCCACCCCACTTCGCCCCCCACCCCGCCCCGCCAACCCCAGGTACCCCTCCCAGATCCTGCCCGGCCAGCTCTACCTGGGTGACTGGGAGAACGCGTGCGACACGGAGAGGCTTGCGGAGCTGGGGGTTCGCCGGTGAGGGGGGCGGAGGTGGAGGGGAACAGGGAGGCAATATCGCGGCTCATGCTTCGTGGCTACCTAATACCCCCTCTTCCCCCGCCCATGTCCCTCCTCTCGCCCATGCTGCCCCCCCCCCCCCCCCCCGCCCGGCCCCCCCTCCGCCCCAGCATCCTGACCATCCACAACCACCCCGAGAACCTGCGCCCCCCGCCGCACATCACCCACCTGCGCCAGCAGCTGCCGGATGTGGAGGGGGCGGACATATCCGCGCTGTTCGCGCAGGCGTTCGACTTCATGGAGGAGGGGCGGGAACGGGGGCAAGGTATATGTTCGCGGGGGAGGGGAGCCTGATGCGACCACCTTGCCATGACCTGTGCCGCCCTCTGCTCCTCCAACCCTCCTGCCACCCCAACAACAACAACTCGCACCCTGCCGCCTCCTATCCCCATGGCTTTGCCCTAACCTGTGGCTTCCTTCGGTATGGTCTGGCCTTTCCTATCCCCGCCCCCTCATCCCCCCAAATCCGCAGCTGTGTTGGTCCACTGCGGGGCGGGAGTGAGCCGCAGTGCCACTCTGGTGGTCATGTACCTGATGCGACGTAACGCCTGGAGTGCGGCGCGCGCGAGGGAGTTCGTCACGCAGCGGCGCAGCGCAGTGGCCATCAACGACGGGTTCTGGGCGACGCTGTGCGCGCTGGAGGGGTCGCTGGGAATTGCGGAGAGGTGGGTGGGAGGTGGCGGGTGGGTGGGTGGGTGGGTGAGCATATAAGAGTATGTAAGCATGCGACGCGCGTTGCGGAAGCTTTGCTTTGCTTGCTCGCCCAACCCTATTACCCCATCACCCCCGATAGCGCCCCCTCCCCGCCACGCTGACCCCCACCTCGCTGCCCCCACCAGGAGTGACCCCACCGCCACCTCCAACTTCCGAGGCCTGGACGCCCCTCCACCCCCCGACTCCTCCAACCAGCAGCCTCCCTTCCAGCAGCCGCAGTTGCAGGTGCAGCTGAGCAGGGATGCGGCGGGGGAGCGGGTGGCGGTGCGGATGGTGCCGGCAGCGGGAGGGGGCAAGCGGCAGCGAGGAGGGGAGGAGGAGGAGGCGGGGCTGAAGGATGGTGGGAAGCGCAGTCGAACTGGGGAGGCAGCAGGTAAGAGGGGGAAGGAAGGAGCTTAACCCCAAACGCACCACGCCTCCAAAATCACCAATCTCGTGCTTTATACCTTGCTTTCTGTCCTCAAAACCACCTCACCATCAGCCCCATCAACCCCAATCAACCGCCTCACCCTCAGCCGGCGGCACCGCCCCCGCCTTCCTGGTCTCCTTCGAGGTCCGCAAACCCGAGGGCGTCCTGGGCCTGTTGGAGCTGGGTCCGCTTCGTTCCACGCAGCGAGTGGTGTGGGGCCGCTCGCCCGATTGCGATGTGGTGGCGGAGCACGGCAGCATCAGCCGGCAGCACGCGGCGGTCAGCGTGGACCGGAGCGGCGCGGTGTTCGTGACGGACCTGCAAAGCGGTGAGGGGGGGGGGGGTAGATGATAAGTGCGGTGAGGAGGGGGGGAGGAGAAGACTAGCGGTGTCCCTAGGCAGTTCCAGCCGCGTGGCTTGCTGACTGCTGTCACCTAGCCCATCGCCAAACCCGGCCTCCCTCTCTCTCCATGAATTTCTGAAGTCAATTGCACTTCACTTCCTTCAGGCCACGGCACCAAGGTGGGCGACATGTGGATCAAACCCAACGCGCCCCGCCAGCTGCAACCCGGGCAGGCGGTCAGCCTGGGGGCCAGCACTAGGAGCTACAAGCTGCTGGCGGTGGAGAGGGCGTAGCGGGGTGGAGGGAGGGGAGGAGGAGGAGGAGGAGTGGAAGGTGGAGAGGGCGTAGCGGGGGAGGGGGGGAGGGGGACCAGCAGCTCGAATTGCACCGGTTGGCCTGGCCGATAGTGAAGCACAGCAGAAGGCGATGTGATTGACGTTGGTTGCAATGACGGGTCATGCCTCGGATGATGATTATCATGGGCATCAACATGATCGTTTACAACGCGTGTGCGCGAGCTGAGGAGCGAACGGAAAACCTGTGGAGCACAACCGGCCCAGGATTACACGCACCTGGTACAACATTTGACGGTACCGCCCGCGAGGTACTACGACTGCTCGTACCTTTTTTCAACGTCTTGGCAACGTCAACAATTGCGAATGTCCTTTCTTCCCCGCGGCCTTTCCCGTGCCCTTTATCCAATAGCAACATGCACATAGCAGCCACCAAAGGCAGCTTCCAGTCTTCAAGTAACATACGCTTTTTCACAAATCGCGATTCAGAAAAGAAGGGAGTTTCACGAAAACAAAACACACGCACAAGCGTTCTGTCGTATGCCCTGTTTGTGTCATCGTACGGGGTATCGCCGTTTCCCCGACCACCACTAACAATCTAGAGGCTTACCACAGCTACACAGTCTGACACAACAAAAAAAACAGCCGGCGCAGGACCCACCATGAAAGCCCTCCTGACAGTTACCCCCTGCTACGCACAAGCAGTGCGCAAACGTAGACATCCATGCAAACAAGGGCATGCATCACGCTACCTCCGTTGCCCTATGTACCGGATGTACACAACTATGGTGCATAATTTTCTTCTTGTGCTTCAGGCCTGCTTCAGGAGTCTACTACTGTTAGGTGCAATCCTCTTTATGCAACAGCTTTGTCTCTTCACATCCTCGATAGCCAACACCATCCCTTCACTCCTGCTTTCAACTCCTTCCCTTCGCTCATTCATTCCCCCATCCAATCTCTTCTTTCGACAAGCTTTCTTCTCTTCTTCTTACGACAACTTGGAGTCTCCCTCTTCTTCTGCTCCTTACGATTTACGACGAGCATGTGACACACAGCTTCTTGGCCCACTCAGGCGGCTGTCCGTCGTACATTGGCAGGCTGCATGCAACACCCCTCGCCGCCGCCGCGCCGCCGTCACCGCCGCCGCCAGTCGCCTTGGCCTCGGAGGGTCCAGTCGGCGGCGCCGCCGCGGCGACGGCGGCGGCGGCAGTCGACGACGACGCTTCGCCTGCCGCCTCGACTGCGGCTCCGCCACGTGTGGCTGCGGTTTCGGAGCTGCTCGCGAGGAGGTCCGAGATGTCCGCATCGCTGAAGGGGTTTCGGAGCAGCGCGTATACCCTGTCCCGGATGAGCGCAGCATCGCATGCATGCATGCAGGAGGTTTAGTTGTTGTTAATAATGTTATTTTAATGCACGTACGCATGCAAGCGGCGAGCGCGACGAGTCGGTAAATAGATAGGTTTCAGACATGCACTTCACGGCAACACGGCAACATGGTGTGTGTGTGTGTGTGTGTTTTGCTTGAAGCAGCTCCCCGCAGCTCCCCCCCCCCACCTGGCCACCTCGGAGAAGTCCCCCTGCTCCGCCTTCTCAATGGCCTGCTGCGCGATCCAGTTGCGAAGGATGAACCTGGGGGGGGGGGCGCGTGTGGGTGACAGCGGGGGTTGCGAGGGGGGAATGACGCGAGAGGGGGGGATGAGGACGGCTCTGTACCCTTCCGCTCTTCCACCCTTCAACCCTTCCACTTCACACGGCTAGTTCACCTCATCTTACAACTGGGCTGGGCACTCCCCTCGTTGCCCCTCCTACCCGAACCCTTTGATACTCCCTTAACATATCAGCCCTCCTTAATACGAAAATCACCCACCCCCACCCCTCCACCCCCCCACCTTGGGTTAGTCGCCTTCATCACCGCCACCCTCTCCGCCTCCCCCACCCCTGCCGCAGCCCCCCGCTGCAGCCGCCCGCCGTACTCCCCCAGCCACTGCCTCCACCGCTGCTCGTCCCGCTGCCGCTTGGTCTCGGGGGTGAGGCGGCGCAGCTCCTCGGAGCGCCGCTGCCGGGCCCGCTCCGTGGCTAGCAGCTGGGGGGCGGGGGGTGGGGTAGAAGAGGGTGTGGATTAGGGGTCTGAAGCTGACCCATGAATCAGTGGGTCGTTTTCTATGAAGGAGGGTGGGAGTGGGGGTTCAGGGTGTGGAGCTGACCCGTGGGTCAGTGGGCCAGTTTTGGTACGACCCTGACCCACTGGAAGCGAGAGGCTCTATTATTACGGGAGATCGAGCCCGCGGGTCACTGCCACGTCCCCCTCTTCTGACCCCGCTCCCTCCCTCCCTCCCTCCCCCACCCCCAACCACCCCACCTGCGGCGTCACTCCCATCTGCAGCAGAAGGTCCCTGTTCTTGGTCTCCATCAGGGTAAGCATGGCTAGGTTGCCGGGGGGAATGCGGGGGGCGGCGGCCTCGGCTAGGGTGGCCACGTCAGCTGCCTGGGAGGTGGGGGGAAGGTGGGGGGAGGAGGAGGGTTAGGAAAGGAGTAAGGCGAGCGATTGGACGGAGAGGGCTATCATGCAGGTAAGGAGTGTCATGCAAGCAAGGCCAAACCCATGTACGGCAGCCCCTCCCCCCACCCACCTGCTGTACCAGGTAGTCCAGCACCCCCCCCGCGAAGAGGACCTCGGGGGAGGCGGGGTCGGAGCCGGGGGGCGGGGTGGGGAAGCGGGAGAGGGACCTGCAGGAGCGCGGGGGGGGCGGGGAGGTGGGAGGTGGGGCCCACACCATTCCCCTCCGAATTCCCTCCTACTAACCGGCATCGAACCCACACTTCCTCCCTCCCTCTCCCTCCCCCCCCCACCTGAACGTGTTTGTGAAGTCCGCCCCGCTCTCCGCCATCACCGCCAATAAACTGGACACCAGCGCCAGGTCGGCCTCGGACTCGGGGTCGTCCGCCTCCTCTTCGGCAGGGGCGGCAGGGGCGGCAGGGGAGGCAGCCCCCGCCCCCTGCTGCTGCTGCTGTTGCCGCTGTCCACCGAGTGGTGAGAGGGGCAGGAGGCCCAGCTTGCGGCGGAAGAGGGCCAAGTAGGTCCTGTGAGGGGGGAGGGGAAGGGGGAAAGGGCGGGGTGACGGGATGATGGAAAGGGGGGGAGGAGGTGCGTATTGTGGTTGCTGGGGAGGCAGACGCAAGCAAGCGTGATGCCTTAACAGATTGGGGATAACCAGCAACTTACCTCCCCATCATTTCTTCTTAACTCCACTTTACTCCACTTCCTCTACTCCCCCCCCCACACCCCACCCCACCTCTTGTATTCCGGCTCCCACACCTCCGCCACCGCCCGCCGGCCGCGCGCCTCAGGCAGCAGCGGCCGCAGCGCCTCAGCCAGCTTCTCACAGTTCCACCTTTAAAGGGGGGAGGGATGGGGGGGTGGGGAAGGGGGGTTGTGCAGGGGAAAAGACACATTGGGCGTGTGAGGGGGAGGGGAACGAAAGAGCCGTCGGGTGGTGGTGGTGGTGGTAAGAAGGTAACAAAAGGAGGTTGTCCGTAGGGTCCTGGCGAACAGCCCCCCCCACCTCATGCGCCCCTGCCGCACTGCTCTCTCGCTTCCTCATTACTTCCTCGTGCCTCTTCCAACCCTCCGGCCCCTCCCCACCCCCCACCTCCCACCTGCATATCTCCGGCTGCCCCTTGTAGTCGTACCGCCCGCTGTCATCGGAGCCGTTGCAGATGAAGTCCGGGTCGTAGCGGTCCAGGAAGCCTGCCGGGGGTGGGGAGTGGGGTAGGGGGGGGATTTGGAGCCCGGGTGGATGCATGTGGGCAGGGGAGTGGCAGGGGAAGCGGTGAGCGACGGGTTGTTGTTCTTCACGGAGGTGTTGGATGTCCAGCAGGCTCTGCTAGCTGTGAAACAAATTCCTACGTCACATACTTCCATTCCCAGCTCTTTAACAGAGCGCCGGAAGCAAGAGCCAAAGCAAATAGCGCCACTGCAAGAGCCAACTCCTGCACTCACATACGCACACCCAGCACGCTCTCCTTCCCTCCGGCTCCATTTAACTAATCCCTCCCCCCACCTCCCCCCACACCCCTCATACCCATTGTTTTGCCCTAACTTTGTGGTTTGGTTTATTCTACCCCACACCCCTCACCGAACGGTCCGTAATCCAGCGTCAGTCCCAGCACGCTCATGTTGTCGGTGTTGAGCACCCCGTGGCACCACCCCACAGACTGCCAGGCTGCAACCAGGGAGGCGGTGCGCCGGGTGACCTGGCAAAGGGGGTTGGAAAATTGGGAGGGGATGAGTTTTTTTGGGGGGGGTAAGGGGAGTCAAGATATATGCCACATCCACGTTGCGTGTGCGCCCCAGCAGTCCTTCTCGCTTCGTCTCCCCCCCCCTTCCGACCGGCAGGCATGCATCCCCTTCCCAGCATACCCCGTCCCTCTCCCTCCCCACTGCGCTTCCTCCTAGTCCTACCCCTTCCCACCACCCCTCCTCACGTCTCACCCCCTCCTTCCCCAGGCCCCCCTCACAACCCTGCCCCAGCCCCCCCTCCTCTCACCTCCTTCAACCAGGCCTCATACATCCCCTGCAGCGCCTCCACCCGCTCCTCCGCCCCCATCACCACCTCCCCTTCCTCCTCCCCTCCCCCTCCTCCTCCTCCCACCCCATCCCCGCCCGCCCCCACAGCCCCCCGCCCCGCCACCGCCCCCGCCCTCAGCGGCCCCGGCGGCCACGCCTCCCCCTCCCCGTCCGGCCCCACCCCCACCCCCGCCGCCAGCACCTCCCCGCCATGCGCCGCCCAGATGTCGGGAAAGTAGGTGCGGATGACGTGGTGCAGCAGCGGGGGCAGCAGCGCCGACTCCAGACCGGCGGAGGAGCCTCGGCGACCTGGGGAAAGGGTTTGTGTGTGGATGACTCGTGTGGATGACCCATGGGGTGGCTGGTGACGTAGGGCTCCATGCTCTCACTTCTACCGGTAACCAGGACACACACCCGCTTACCAAATACATTATTATCCATTACTGAAAGGGCCATGTGTGTTACCAATACTCATTTACCCCAGCCCCCCCCCCCTCACCCGTCATTGGGTCCACGGGTTTGAATATCTCGAAGCTGCCGAAGCGCAGGAAGGTGGGCGCGATGCGGGACACCACCGTGCACCGCTCCAAGATGGGGTTCCCGCTGTAGTGCACGTCGCGGACAACCCGACTGTCGGAGGTGACGCAGGAGCCGGCGCGGGTGGTGGGAATGCCCTGGGAGGGAAGGGGGAAAGGGGGGGGGGGAATTAAATAAATGAAACAACGGCTCCCGATCCCATAACCCGACACGTATTACTAAACACGTCTTTTTCCAACCTCCTCTATCCTCCCCTACCAGGTGGTGCCTATAAGCTACATGGTTGGTGTTTTTCGCCTCTTTACTTCCCCCCTCTCCTGCTCCTCCCCCCCCGCCCCCCCCTCACCAGATGGTACATGGCCTCACTGCACAGGAACTCGCGCAGGGAGGAGCGAAGCACCTTGCGACCGTCCGCCTGGCGACTGTACGGCGTCTTGCCCGCCCCCTTGAGCTGCAGCTCCCACCGCTCCCCCGCAGAGTTGACAACCTGCGGGTTGGAGGGGGGGAGGGTTGGAAGGGGGATAGAAGAGTGGGCCACGTAAGGTACTGGGGGAGTGATGGCTCCCGAGGTGTCGAAGTAGTGTAAGCAACGTCAGATGAAGTTTAAGCAGGGACAAGTAAGGGAAAGCCGGGTTTCTCGCGTTGTTGACAAGACAGGAAGGAACGGCAGCAGCGGCAGCAGCCCCCCCCTTTCTGCCCCACCCTCACCTCCCCCCTGCAGCCCCCCCCCCAGCCTGCCCCTCACCTCCCCCAGGTACATGGCCGCTCCGTCCCCCAGCTGCCCGCTGAACAGCCCGAACTGGTAGCCGCAGTAGCAGTGCGCCGCGGGCTCGGAGCCGGGCAGCAGCCGGTTGCCGCTGAAGAAGGCGGGGAAGTCGGGCCGGGAGATCTGGGGGGTGGGGCGGGCGGGGGGGGAGCGTGCGGGTTTTGAGGGGATGGAAAAGGGTGAGGGAGGTTAGGTAGCAAGATCATAGGGGGGAGATGGGATCTGGGTGGGGAAGGCGGCGACGGCGTTGCGAGTAATCAGGTTTAGCAGGTCAGAGCGGAAAGGAGCATGTGCGGTAGTTAGGAAAGGCGTGGACATGATTGTCGTTCTTTAGCGACTGAGCCATGGGTCCAAGCGTGTTTGGGTCAGGGAAAGTGAACCATGGGTCGCCTTGCGGTGTGCCACGTCATCGACAACGGCGGCGGCGCAAGGAGTCGCATAATGCGTCTGCTTTGTACTGCATGCGAATGATGTTAACAGTTGCGGTGGAAGGGTGGGAGAAAGGCGGTAGGCCTCGCTGCTGCTGCCGCCGGCACCAATTGCTTATGACTCATCTGAGAGTGGCAAAAGTGAAAAGCCCCAGAAACGTCTGTCTCTACAGTTCGAGTATGCAGCAGATTGTAAGCCAGATCCCGTCTAAAGTTTCGGCTGCGGTGGAATGTTGCCACAACATTGGCAGAGGCATCTCACCTCCGATGGGTCGATGTCCAGCAATGCCAAAGCCTCCGGGGATGCCACAACCAGTTGCGGGTTGGCCAAAGGCGTAGGTTGCACACGTGAGAAGCAGGCACCCTCCACTTGACGGATGGGGCCGCCGACCACAGGGTCAATTGGCAGCGACCGCAACGTAAGGTTATCGAAGTTCAGGTTTTCAAGCTTGCGGGTAGGACCCGCGCTTTGTTGTTCCATACTAGCAGTTTGAGTCAGTCGCGCTGTGGGCGAGGCTCCAGCAGCGATCGTCACAACTCGTTGGAAGCGATGGCCTCTATCAAAGCTAAGCGAGCGCGTATACCGCAGCGCTTGGTGTCTACCCTGCAAATGCATGCTTTGTAATTACGTGTTATTAACTAAAGTACAAGTAATGCAGAATCTGGCAAAGTACGCGCAATGATTCATGTAGTAGGTGCCGTACGATCGGCAATGGCGGGGCAAGGTAAGCCCCAATGCACTTATGGACAGAGACACTGCAAACCGTACTAACGCTTGCTGCGAGCGTGAACCATGGCTCTGATTACCTCACGCTTTTGCCGGGTTAGACCTGCAAGTAAGTCTATCAACTACCCTAGAAGCCAAGAATGCCATAGCTATCGAACCATAGATGACAAAGCTATGTAACTAACTACTATACATTCGTTGCAAACATGTAGATGCCGCTTCCGCTCGCACCCGGGAGTTGGCTGTCGCTCGGCAAGCTTGCGAGGCGCAACCACGTCGCTCCTTCGCGCATTCCCGCACTTGGCGCTGGCCAAGACAGGTATTTGCTTCAGCTGTCTTACTTTGTCGGCATCCGATTAGCAACAACAGCGCCAACGCGAGAGGGCTCGTGACGTGGCATGAGCTTTCTCCGTCCCTGGTTGCAATCCGGAAGGCAACCCTGACTCTCTGTCCCTAATTGCAATTGCAGGAGGCCTCGGATGGGGCACGAAGTGGCTCTTTCATTGCCGTTAGGGCTGCTGCCCCATCCGCCGATGCTCCGCAGCAGCAGCAACCCACGGCCGCATGCCCTTCGCGACCCACACTGTATTTGCTTCACTGCCATCTGCCAAACACAAGCGGTATGCAGACGCTGACGAAAGACTCGCACGACCAGCTGCAGAAATTGCGCGAGGACCTGAAAGTGATGGAGAAGGTCGCGAAGAAAGCAGCGTGGTTTTCAACCGTGGAAGCCAGCGATGGCGAACGTGTACTGCTCGTTACTGCTTGCCAAAAACACGGGCGCAAATATAACCTGCAGCGGCTACCTGAGGATGTGAGCATCTTTCCAATCGAGTTGCCAGGTCGCTCTGTGGACATTCCGCTCTCGGAGGTGACTGCAGCACTGCTGGCGCAGTCCTCCGACTCTGATTCAGACGAGGAGGATATAAAGTACGAGCATCAGCCGCGGGGAAAGGCTGAGGTCATCCAAGTGGAGCGTGAGGAGGGAAGCAAGCAGGTGAGGTGAAGCATGCTAGGGCCCGACACTACAGTTAGGACGGTTACTCTGCACGACAGGAGCATCGCCATGCGATGAACACCGGCGCTCATCACCTTTGCGCCCTTCTGTGATACCCACACGTTTGCCGTACAACCTTTTGCTTACCACTCATCCCAAGCCCTACCGGCACTTCCACGGTGGCCTTGTCACACGTGATTATGTATGTTCCGCATCACTCGGTGCATCACTCCTTTCAGGCTGCTGTCATTGCTGCTGTCTCCGGCTTGGGGCTGGAGAAGGAGGAGGAGCACAAAGCAGCTAAGAAGCTGCGGAAGCAGCTAGAGAAGGCTGAGAAGCACCTGAAGAGGGAGCAGGAGAAGGCGGAGAAGCAGCAGAAGAAGGAGGAGGCAGCCAAGGCGGAAGCAAAGGTGGAGGATTCAGATGATGACGGCGACGGGTCAAAGCAGAAGGACAAGAAGAAGGAAAAGGAGAAGCCCAAGAAGGAGCAGGAGGCAGTGGAGGGCAGTGCTGATGGCGGCTGCTGCAGCACTGGGAGCAGGACGGAGGTGAAGGCGGACTGCAGAGGTGGGCACCGGGAGGAGGAGGAGGAGGAGGAGGATGGCAGTGGCTCCGACTCTGGCTCTGACTCGGATAGCAGCAGTGAGTCTGAGTCGGGGTCCGAGTCTGACGAGGAGTATGTGGAGGCAGTGGCGGAGAAGGGGGTAATGGTGGAGCAGGGCACGCAGCAGCGGTAGGCCGGTAGGAGAGGGGGCGCGACTTGCGAGGGAAGGTGCAACATACAGCAGTAACAAAGGGTAACAGCATCGTGGAGGGCAAGGGAGGAGGTGATAGGGGCGCCGTGCGGGGTGCATGCTAGGGACACAGAAAGGTATTGTTATACTAGCACTGGGCGGGAGCTGTCAGGAGCAAGGGTACCATGGCTCGGCTGCTTCGCTGGCGACTTTACCCGAATGAGCCGTAGATGACATGCATGTATGGATCATCATTACGGTTATACCGGTATACGACAATGCCATGTAGTGTCAGTTGGGATCTTCATGCATATGGGTGCATATGGGTACGTGTTGGCACCGGCCCTTGTAGTTAATGCGCTTTGTAGTTAGCACCATACACGTGTTGCGTTTGGGCCTTACCAGCTTAAATCTATTCTATCTATCGCCTCACACCGTACTGGTAATGGGCCGTGAATCAACCCGTGTAGCCCTAGGATGCCCTCTCAGCCCTACGCTTTACGGGATTTTTGGCGAGGGGTTTGCTGACTATGTTGACGCTAAGGATAAGTGGCTCCCTGATGCTATGCGCGCTAAGCAGCAGACTCCCCATGCGGATGGCCGGCGTATCCCGTTGGAACTGTATGCCGACGACCTCAGCCTTTTCGCTACGACGCACAGACGGCTGATTGTGTTGCTTGCTGATTTGAGAGAGTGGTGTGAGGCCTTTGGGATGCGGGTGAATGTCCGTAAATGTGAATTGATGGTTTTCCACCCTCGTGCCAATATCCGCGAGGCTTTTGCTGCCCTTTGCCCCGTGGTGTGGACTTCTATTGAGGGAAATGCGCGAGTACCTATGGTTATTCCCTGGGTACAACGAGCCCGTTACCTTGGTTTGCACTTTGGTCCTGGCACACCGTTTGTTTCCTGCACAGAGGAACTGTTGACCTCTGGCCGACGTGCTATGTTTTCTCTTCAGCGTAAATTAAAACGCCTAGGTCTTTTGGTCCCTGCTGTTGCAGTTAAGTGCTTCGACGTGCAAGTCCGCTCCATCTTGTCGTACGGTGTCCAGGTGTGGGGGCCTGATGTGGTGCTGAAGCTAATGACGGACTGCGAGAATTCCGCGAGGTACTTTGACAGATCCTTGCGGGACCCAATGGTGCAGTTACAAAGGGAATTTCTTCGGGAGATTGCGGGTGTGAAAGTCTCGCCTGATAAGTTGCTGTTTAAGGAGTTTAACCAGCGCCCCTTGCATGTCTTCTGGCTGGAACTGTTTCTGAGGTTTTGGAATGACCTGGTCAAGCAGAAGGACACGGTCTACCACCAGGCGTTGCGAGGTGAAATTCGTTCGGCTCTCAGTACTGAGCATTATGATGGCTGGGGTTCTAAGGTGTTGAAGATTCTGAAAATGTTAGGGACGGATTTGACGGCCTTGGGGGGTGAGTTGGACTTGAATGCGCGTGTGGAACGTATTGCTGGCACGGAGCTAAATGTGTCTGCTCTCACTAAAAAGTTTGCTGATAGAATGGATGCGGATTGGGAGGATAGGAGTTTGGAAGATGACCCGCGGCTTTTCAACCCAGTAGACCCCGTACCAGGGGTTGGAGTCAAGATGTGCAGGTACAAAAATTGGATGGGTGACCCGGTTGACAGGGGGTACATTACTCAGCGGCAGCATGTGAACCTGATGCGTTTTCGGCTGTGTGTGTGGGGCATTGAAGCCAATCGCCCTAGGGGTAGGCAACGAGTAGCGCGTGTCTGTCCTATGTGTGCCGTGCAGGGGTCGCCGGGGAGAGTGGAAGATGAGAAACACATCCTCATTGAATGTCCCGCTTACGATGATTTGCGTGATAAGATATGGGAAAGTGGTGTCTCACGGGATGCTGATATGATTGCTGTCATGGGCATGGAGAATCAGGCATTGCTTGCTAGCGTAATCACTAGCATGCGAAGTCGCAGGATTGCGCAGACAGGGTTTATCATATGATTAGCGTTCTGTTTGTTTGTCTCTTTTGTTTTACTTTTCTTCTTTTGGTTGTTTTCGCGTTTTGTGCTCGCGATCCATGAGCCTTCTGGCTCGGACGGATCTTACGAGCTAGGTACGAAGCTTGTAACACATACATACATACACCCGTGTAGCCATCAGACACTAATTTTGGGTAACGTTAAATACATACTAAGAGAACATCTTCTCACATAGGCGCAAATGGCGACGTCAGGGCCACAGTCGGCATTCGTATGGCATGGCTTTCCAGATGAGCTCGTCTCGCATGTTCTAAGCTTCCTTCCAGCGAATGAGATAGCCTGCACAGCAAGGCTTGTAAGCCGGAAATTCGCAGCTGCGTTCAGGACGCATCGGGTTGTACATCTCTCGCAGCCATCGCCTTACCACGCTTTCGTCCATCACTGGAGCCGAACGGAATCGTATCGCGGTCTTACAAGAGAACAGCGAGAGAAGCTTGTGAGCTGTACCGCGGGAGCCGGCGACATTGCCAACCTCCAAGTCGCATTGACATCGACCGGGACCTCCGACATCTTCTTCACTACACGCGCGGCTGCTAAAGCCGGCCACATAGACGCATGTCAGTTGCTCATCAGGTGGTTCGGCGCTATCGGCCTCAATGTGAAGTATCAATGGATTTTGGAGGCTGGGGCCGAGGGAGGGCGTCTTCACATCTGCCAGTGGGCACAGCTGCAGGGCCAACAGCTGGGCTACGTCAAAGCTCTCGAGTACGCAGCGCTCAATGGTCACCCGGATGTTTGTGTGTGGGCCATCCAGCAGCAGCCCACCCATCCATTCCACACGGATGCCCTTGTGTTGGCTGCTGCGGGGGGCCATGAAGTGCTGCTGTGGTATCTGGCGAGCCACCTGGGGATCACCGCAAGCAGGTCTAGCCGTCTGCTTGAAGAGGTGGCTCTGGGTTGCAGCTTGCCAGTTATGCAGCTTTTCATCGACATCCTCGAACCGGACCTGGAAGATACAAACCTGGCAGTCATGGCCGCTGCGAGCCCCACGCCTGATTGGCAGGCCAAAGTGGAATGGCTTGTCACGGCTGGAGTGAATCCTCGACCATTTGGCTTCATTGATGTAGCACATGTTGATGATGGCGGGGACCACACTCCGGAGCTCATCTGCAACCATGTCAGTAGCATGGAGCGGATTGAGTTCTTGGAGGACTGGGGCTTCCTCTTCGACGACGGAGCTGCAGGTGCGGCTGCAGCAATTGGGAACACGGCCGCATTGCAGTACATGCTCGATAACGGGGCTATTTCCCGGGAAGGAGGGCTAGAGACAGCGGCCAAGCGGGGACACGTGGAGGTATTCAAGATCCTCTATGCCTTCTTGGAAGAAAACGGCCTGGATGAGGAGACGGAACTGGAAGAGGGCCCGCTGCACACCCTGGAAACTGCTGCACGTCATGGACACCTGAACGTGGTGAAATGGGCTGTGGAGACAGTGGAGCGGGAGGTGGCACAAGCAGGGCCTGAGGCAGCCACCGAAGAAGAGACTGTGGAGTATCTGAGGCAACGTTTTGGAGATGTCGATCGTGGGCACAGGTTCCTTGGTCCAGATCACATGCAAGCCGCTTTGCACTCGGGGAACATCGAGTTGCTGGTCTACCTGCGGGAGTGTGGCTGCCCTTGGGGCTCATCCTGCTTTCTGGCAGCTGTGCGGGATGGCAGCCCAGAAACAGTGGAGTGGCTGGCACAGCACGGCTGCCCCATGGGGGTGAGTGACTGGGTGGCTGACCGGAACCCCCCAGATTTGTTGCGCTGATGCAAGTATGTGTAGAGTGTCCTGGTGTACTGGTCTCTGTTGATTGCCTCGTCACTGCTTGCCCCTGTTTCCATCCTGACTAATGCAGTAATGACAAGCTCACCGTGCCTTGCCCACATCTAGCTAGCAACCTACCTACAGGGTTCATACCAGATCATGATGTCTGCTACCTAATCCGTTGACCTGCATGCAGGGTGCGGGTGTTGCATACCAGGAGGTACCAGATTTGGTCATGCTGCACTGCCTGCGCCGCCTGGGCTGCCCTTGGAGCCCCACACCTGGGGAGACCCTGTCAAAGGCAATTGGGAGGCGGTGCTCCTTGCCGGTGCTGCGGGCCATGGTAGAGGAGGGCTGCCCGGTGGACTGGGAGGCGACAGCCAAGGCAGTGGACGGGATGGGCTGTGAGCCAGCAGTGAGGGCCTGGGTGGAGGAGCAGAGGCAGAGGGCTGTGGGGTAGTGAGGAGGGGGGCTGGTTGTGGGTTTTGGTGAGAGCTTGCATGTAGAGGAGATGTGAATGGCAGGTCGTATCAGTGGGAGCCTTTATGAGTGCATGTGACTGTGGGGCAGTACTTTTTACCAGTACGGTACTAAGTGGTTCTTTAACTAGTTAGGTCCATCATGCTAGTAGATGATGTTGCAGCTGACCACGAGGTTGTGAAAGTTGTCTAGGTTAGGTTGAAGCATGCATGTATCACTTCATGCGGGACTCCTGTGCTAGGGTTGTGAGCTGGGAACCCAGTAGGGGTGTTCAGGACATGCAGGGCACCCATCTGAACACCTGTAGCAAGGCTACCGTATAAGAGGTCCTAGAGGGACCTTTGTTACAACAGCAGTGGGAGCAGAGTGTGCTGAGAGTGTAGCTGCTGCAAGCAAATAAGCAAGTGCATGGAGGAGCAATTGCCAGGAGCCCCACAGTGTGTGACTGTTGCAGTAAATATCTGATGTGGCAATGCACGACATATACGCACTTCCTTGTGACAAGTTCGTCCCCCCAATCACTTTGCCTTGACGCCACATGGCAGCAGCAGAGCCCCTTGCCTCCACACACGTACAGCCCTTGCTTCCTGAATTGACCAGACAGTTCCATCCAATAAACAGCACCCTGCTGCTCTCAATCTAACTTAAAAGAGCCATCACTCACCTCTTCCCTTCATCCTCCCTCACTACCCCAAAACGCTGCCCCCATGTGTAAACACAAGGTCCTGCACACTAACCATGCACACTACACTCAAACCAATCTCAGTGCTTCTTAGGTGGCATGCATATCCTGCAACGATTGACCCCTTACGACAACACTAGAGCACCTTTGCCACCACCCTTCCTCATGGCATATCAGGGACTAGCCCCAGCACCCCTTCCCCGCCCTCACTGAGCCATGGGGCACATCTCCGCCAGCCTGGATGCCGCCCGGTGGTACATCAGCACCTCCTCCGCGAGCACCGCCCGGGGGACGGACAGATCTCCCAGCTGGGCAGCAGCGGAGGAGCGGGAGGAGGAAGAAGGGGGAAAGGAGGAAGGGGAGGAGGAGGGGACCGTGCCCGCAGCAGCCACTCCTGCTGCACCCGCCTGCTGCTTTGAGGTGGTGGTGGTTGCGGCTGGGGTGGCGGCGGCAGCGGACTTGGGCAGACCCAGACGGGGGTTGATGCCCTGCAGGTACGGCGGTAAGGATGCAGTACACAAGGCGGGGTGAGGCGGGGGCATGCAGTCATCGGTGGGGGCCTTCTGTGATGGCTTTTTAATATAATCATCATTGTTTTGGTGTAGATCAGAAGACACCGCAGAAAACACCCCGGCAGCAGGCTCAGGCAAAGCCGAAGTTGTGGCCCCTGATCCCTCTGCTCCCTCCTGCCCACCTGCCGCCTCGCCTCCTGCAGCAGCGGAGCGAAGATGTCGTCCGAGGCCACCGCTGCCGCCACATGCAGCCGACAGCTGGGGTTCGAAGGGAAGGAGGGGGAAGGCGTGTTTAGGGGCATGGGGAGGGGTGAGAGAAAGAACACAAGGTCAAACACCAAGGCCAGTCCTTTAATCCTTCCTGCCCTACCCCAAGCAAGCCTGTCTCTTGTAACCTGCATACCCCGTAATATGCAACCACACACGTTACTCCTGGCTGCCAGTTTTCCCTAGACACACGCGTTGCTTGTCGTACACACACCGACCTGTTGTTCCAGTACGTTCCTACTCGCGGCCTGTTTTCTTAACACACCCGTTGCTTGTCGTACACACACCTGTTGTCGTACGCCACGTCCAGCAGCGTCACCAGCCTGCGCGCCTCATCCCGCTGAGCTGGCCCCAGCTGCGGCACACCAACCAGGAAGACATCCCTGACGGTGGTGCATGAGCGGATCGGAGAGGGGCAGGTCAGGTCAGGACAGGTCTGGCGCCAGGTAAGGCGAAAGGAAGCAAGGGAGGGGCTGACAGACTAGCTTTACACCCATGCCCGGCATCCAAGCCAGGTGACGAAGAGAGATGCGAGTGCGACAGCTCAGGGCGCACCCAGTGCACCACTCACCGACCCACCCAGTCACCAAATCGCTCACCCGCCCACCCCTCACCTGAAGCGGCGGCACAGCGCCAGGAAGTCGGGCGCCCCCAGTGCGCCGCCGTCATCCATGCCGGCACGCAGACCCATGGGTCCGCACAGCTGCTCGAATGTGAAGAACGCTGGCAGGGAGGGAGGGAGAGAAGAAGGGGTTGACGGCGAGAGTGGGTGCCCAGGTTAACGTCCAAGGCCATGATTCCTTCTAGATACCGTTCAACCCATATAACCTACGTACCACCCGCAGGTACGACAGGGAGCACCCACCTGCGTCACCCGCTGTGTACGGCACTTTTAGCCGTCTGCCGTACGCTAGAGGCACCTCAACCGCGCTTCCCCCTGGCGATGGTACGGCAGCAGCAGCAGCAGGAGGAGGAGGTACGGCGGAGTCAACAGCTACTCCTCCTCCCTGACCACCCACTGCTGCCGCTACCCCAGTTTCCGCTGCCACTGTTCCCACTCGTTGCTGCCAGATGCCACGTAGCCTTTGCTCCGCATCCAGTCCCACAAACCAGCCACCGCCGCCCATAATTGCCGCCGCGGGCTTCTCTCCCTCCTCTCCGCTGCTGCTGCTGCTCCTCCCGGCTGCTGCGCTACAGCCTCCAGAGGCCTCTAGAGCAGTACTTTGCTGCTGCTGCTCGGCTGTAGCAGCAGCAGCAGCTGCCCCAGCCCTTGTCGTACAGCTGTCAAGGCTGCTACCGCTGTTGGTACGGCGGCGGAAGTCAACGCCCGCAGACACGTGAGCAACCACCATTTGCTCGTCCACTAGCCGTACGAAGGGTTCGAAGTATTTGCGGCTGAGTCCTCCTTTGTAGAGTTCGAGGGGTGCTCTGTTGGAGGTGAAGACCACTGTGGTACCCTGGTCCTCTAGCAAGGAACCAAACAGCCTGCAAAAGTAGGCAGGTAATCAAGGTGGACGAGCAACTCAGCATGCGCCAGTAGCCAGCTGCCGTACACAAGCCTCACGCCCGGACACCCCCAGACAGCCGCACAACACCAGCACCACACCACCCCAGGAACCACATGATGCAACCCGCTCCTGGAGCCAGCCTTGCCACATACACGGCTAGGTCGTTAGGTCGTTAGGTCTTCCTCCTACCGGCAGTTAGTGTCTTCCTCCCCATGCCCCACGCAACGCACCTGGAGAGGATCATTGCGTCCGCCACATCCGTCACATGGAGCTCGTCCAAGCACAGTACGGCAATACGGCTGCCGTACTCCCGAGCAACCGTCACCAACGGATCCTCCTCGGGCTCCGCGTACCTTTGTGGATGCCGTGTTACGTTGGGATGGGTGCAGTTGGGGGGCTGACGCAGGGTGCTGGATTCGTAGCTTCGGCAGGAAACTGAGATACGAAACATACCAGTATGTGCATATGAACTTGTGCATGTTCATATCACGCATGTTCAGCGGCGTACAGGTACACGGCGACATACCGAGGTCCTTCAGGACGGTTTGGTTAACAGTTGACCGTTGACCGTAAACTCCTCACTAACCCACCCACCCCCCACCCGCACCTGTAGACCGGCAGACCCTGCCTGCTGCGTCCCACCACCCGCGGCCTCGCCAGCTGCAGCTCATGCAGCCGCCCGTGCACTCCCTGCATGAACTCGTGGAAGTGAGCTCGCAACACGGGGGAGCCGCGAACAGCGGTGGTGCTGGGGGTGGTGCTGGGGGTGCTGATACTGGGGTTGCTGCCCTCGCTATCTGGCTGCTGCTGCTGTTGGTCCTGATTGTGGAGTTGCTGTTGCTGTAACCGTTGGTGCAACCGTCTCTGGGTGGTCGTGACGAAGAGGTCCATGAGAGCAGTCTTGCCCGACCCCACTGAGCCCCACAAGTAGGCTCCGCGGACTAGCCCACCGCTGCTGCTGCTGGTGGTGGCTGGGGAGGCTGCGGCTGTGGTTGCGTTTGCAGCTGCGGAGGAGGGGGGTGGTGGCGTGTTCTGGGGGATGCTTCTGCTGCTGCCACTGCTGCTGCTGCCACAGCGGGTTTCCTCGCGTTGAAGTACGGCATCCTGTAAGAGCTGCAGCATCCGTACGGCAGAGGCCTGGCTAGCATCTGGCTGCAGGGCGCCGCCATCTAGGAGCCTGTAGCAGCAGCGGAGGCGGGTTGCGGACTTGTGGTGGTTTAGGCCATGGATGTACTTTGGGATATTGCCATGACAACGATGCGGGAATGGGGGTGAGGGACTGGCGATAACGAGGGGTGATTGGCGAATAAGTTGCGGTGAGGGAACCGAGTGGGTGGTATGGAGCTGTCCTTTGCAGCATTGGGATTGCCATCGCAAGCGCACCGGGACATGCAGAATGCGTACCTCTGGTAAGCGGAGAGCAAGCTATCGCCGGCGCTTGCATTAACCGCTCGAGCGGATTCCACTGCGATGTTGCTGTGAAAGGCTAGGCGAACTGCGCTTGCCGTTGTCGATGTCGTTTGCTGGCACCATCTTGCTTTGGGACCGCGCAGCAGGGCTATTCCCAGGGCAGCCATCTGCTCTGATATAATGTCTATATACGCTTTTTTATCGAGAATGTCGACGCGAGTGTGTCGCTGGTAAAGCGAGGAACGTGTGGTGCTCGGAACGGTACGCCTATGTGCGACCAAAGGAGGTGTGACTACGCATATCCTAACAAAGAAAGAGTAGCAGCACTCGGCCTTTGCAAACATGAGTCAGCACGCAGCCAATGTTATGTTATGGTTGCAACCGTCAACCCGACAGGCATATTGTACGGAGCGAATGTATTCGGCTCATACGGATACGCCCCTTCCAACACTTCTATGCGTCATTGCAGATAGGCGAGGGGCTTTTGCGTATTGCGTGTTAGACCATGTTGCTGTGACTGTAAGGCCAGTGCTGTTTCCACTAGGCGAGTTACTTATTTGGGTTATCTACTTAGCGGCCAAATTAGTACTCTGAAGCTTGGTTGATCTGAAGCTCAATGGATACCGCCGAAGCAAACCAGTCGGATGCGTCCGTTTTCATGAACTTGCCGGACCTTGTATGGGAAACTATTGCCAGCACGCTTAAGGCACACCACCGTGCAATCCTTCGCGGCGTCTGCCGGAAGTTCAGAACGCTCGTCAACAACACCGTCACCAAGATCAAGGTGCGATGTTGCACTCCATCTTGCAATCGCACCTGAAAACGCTCTCTCTTTTCTCCCTCTATTCCCCATGCCCTCCCCAATCCCTTCTCATCCTTCCCCTCCCACCTCTTCTTCCCACCTTCCCCTCCCACCTCTTCTTCCCACCTTCCCTCCCAGCTCGACCCCAGCAGCTCCGAGGACCCGCTGTCCTGGCGCCTGCACGCCCGCTTCCCCCGCCTTGAGCACCTGGAGGCGTTGAAGCCCTCCGACCAGGACTGCCTAACCGACCCCGTGATCGCACAGCTGGCGCTGAAGGCAAGATGGGGAGGGGGAGAAATTCCAATGTGTTAGATGATGGGGCGGGGAACTGGAGCGGGAGTTGGCCTCCCACTATTCTTTCTCCTGGCCTCACTCCCTCACTCCCCACTCTCCCTCAAAACCCACTCCTCTCCCTCGCTCCCTCAATTCCGCCCCCCAGGACCTGTGTCGTCTGCCCCGTCTGACCAGCCTGGGCCTGGAGAGCTGCACGCAGCTGACGGTGGCGGGTCTGGCGGCGCTGGCGCTGGCGGTGCCGGGGGTGGAGAAGCTGGTGCTGCCGCAGGTGCGTGAGGGAGGGAGGGAGGGAGGGCGGGAGGGAGGGGGGCAGAGCGGGAGAAAGGAGCAGAGGGCGGGGCTCAGGTGCGGACTGGCACCATAGTGCCCGCCACTACGTTTGCTAACCCGCCCCGCCCTCCTTGTCCCCCTCCCTGCACTTGACAAGCCTGCATGAGTCGGGATATGGTAGTGGGACTTGTCGTTTCATTTTAATTCCCCCCCACCCCACCCCATTGCTTTTGCCCTAACCTGTGGTCTCCTATGGTTTGGTATGGTCTTTGATCCCCCTCCCCACCTCCAGGTGTGCCAGCTCAGCCGCTCCGACTCCCTGCTGCTGGTGCTGCACCGCCTGCCTCGACTCAGCCACCTGAAGCTGCAGTGCTGCAGACACTGCGACGAGGTGGGGGGTGGGGGTGGGGGGAGAGAGAAGAGGAGGGGACGAGACAAGCTTAGCCGTGTGACGGAGGGTGATGGTAAACAGTGCGGGGGATAGACGAACAAGACAAACCCAAGCTAGGGGCAGGGCAGGGCAGGGCGGGGTGGGGTACACCTCAACTGAGGCCCCGCGGGGGTAGGGGCAGTCGTGGGATTAACCCCAGCTGCCTCCCACAGCTCCCATAGCCTCCTCCTCCTCTTCCCCTACCGCCCCTCCCCGCCCGTATGCGCTCACTGCATGAGTTGAGATACGGGATTGGGACTCCAGTTGCTTCGTTTCCCATTCATCTGCCCCCCCTCTTCCCCCTCCTCCTCCTCCCCCCCCCAGGCCGCCCTGGCCCCCCTCTCCCTCCTGTCCGGCCTCACCGCCCTGGAGCTGGAGGACTATGGACTGGCGCTGAAGCAGGTGCGTGGGGGAGGGGAGGGGGGCCAGGCGCTGAAGCAGGTGGGGGGGGGTGGAATATATAATGAGACACTGACGAAGCAACTGACGACGAAGCAATTGACGGGGGGGGAAGGGGAGGGGGGGAATGAAAGGTAAGTCAACCAACCGCTGGCTGCGCGTGTGACTCTGCGTGTGGCTCTACCCGTGCCCGCGCGTCTTGTGTCCGCAGGTGTGAAGCAAGCAGCCCTGGTCGCCGTATTTAAGCCCGTCCCGCCGTCAGCCGCCTCCCCTCCCTCCCCTCCCTCCCCCCCAGGTGTCCCAGCTGACCTGCCTCACCGCCCTCCGCAGCATCATGGTGTGGAGCGACTACTCCCTCAATCTGCACACCGACCCGCCGGGTCACCCGCCGCACCTCCCACACCCGCTCCCGCAACCCCCCGCGCCAAACCCACACAACCTACCACCCCACCCGCACCCCCCCAACCCGCAACACCCAAACCTGCACCACATACACATCCCGCCGCACGGGCTGTTCGGGCTGGTTGGGGAGGTGGTTGGTGCGGGGGACGGAGGTGGTGGGGGTGGAGTGGGGGAAGGAGGAGGAGGGGGAGGGGGTGGAGGGGTGGGCAATGGTGTGGGGGTTGGGGGTGTTGGGGGTGGGGTTGGCGAGGAGGAGGAGGGGGACGGGGTGGTGGCGGCGGTGCTGGCGGCTGCGGCTGCGGCGGAGGCGGCTCTTGACGCGGACGGCGGGGTGGAGGGGGTGGAGGCGCTGTTTGCGAGCCAGCTGCAGATATCGGAGCAGGTACGACATGCGTGTGTGTTAAGAAAACTGGCCGCGGGTATGTGTATGTGCGAGGGATCCGGGCCCGGCGGGAGTGCAGGAGGTGCGGGTGATCCTCTTCTTCTACCGCCACACGCCACCGTCGCCATTCTCTACTGCCGCCCCCTTCCCCCCCCACCTAACCTGTGGTTTCCTATGGTTCGGTATGGTCTTTGACCCCCTCCCCAACCCTCCCCCTCTCGCAGGTTCTGTCCAGCATCCTGGCCGGCAAGTCCGCGCTGCTGCAGTGGGCTCCCTGCCTGCCCGCCCTCACGCATCTGGACATGCAGCGGGTGGACATAGGCCCCGCGGAGCTGCGGAGGCTGGCGGGCGGACTGCCGGGGCTGGAGCACCTGGGGGTGGGCGACCTGAACCTGAGTGTGGGGCCGCTGGAGGTGAGGGGGGGGAGGAGGGGGGTGCGTTGGGTTTGTGGAGTACAATAGGGGTGACCCATGGGTCATCATGGGTGACCCTCGCTGACCCGTGCAGCACGCTACGCTGCTATGCTGTACAACAATGCCCCAGCAAAATTCCAACAACCCTTCCAACCATTCCCAATCATCCTTGCGTGTAACCCCATATTGCCACATACACGTTGCCTTCCTCTCTCCCCACTTCCCCCCCTTCCCCCCACCCCGCCCCGCCCCAGGCCCCCCTGCCCCCCCTCTCCTCCGTGACCAAGCTGGTGTCGCACAGCATCAGTAACGAGGGCGCACTGCGCGGCACCTTCCCGGCACTGCGGGCACTCAGCTGCGACTCCAGCGATGGCGGGCTGAGGACCATTGGGGAGCTGGTGAGAGGGGGGCAGGCGATGGGGGGGGGCGATGGGGATCTGGAGTCGTGATCCTCCCTTGATCTCTCCTCATCTCCCATGTTTCTCACAACCTCTCACAACCTCTCATTATCTCTTCTGATACGCATGGACATCATCTTGGATTGACGTGTAGTATTGAAGACTGGCTGGGAAGATTGTGTAATTGACTCACCCCCTCCCTCCCTCCCCCCATCCCTCCCTCCTCCAGACCGACCTGGTCAACCTCTTCCTGTGGGCCAGTCCCTCCGACGACATCTCCGACACCGGCCTGGCCGCCCTCTCGTGCCTGCGCAGCCTGCAGACGTTCCGGCTGGAGGGCAGCGGCGAGCTGAGCGACGGCGGGTGGGTGCGCTTCACGGCGGCGCACAGCGGGCTGACCCGGCTGGACCTGGTGAGGTGCCCGCAGCTGACAGGTGAGGCCGGGGGGCGGGCGGGTGGAGGGTAAAATATAGATGAGACCATCAACGTGGTGGATGGGGGGTAGGGTAGCGAGGGGCTGTGCGCTTGGAGGGGTGCTGCCGGGGTGGGCAGGCATCCGCAGTAGTGTTGCCACGCCCTGCTGACACGCATGCTGTTGGAGCCCTGAGGAGGGCTCTGAGGACTTAACGCTGGGCCCCCGCCCCTGCCTCCGCCTCCTCCTCCTCGTCTCTTGTGCCCCCCCCCGCCCCCCCCCCGCAGACATCGGTTTCATCCTTGCCATCCGGCCGCTGTCCGCCCTGCGCCGCCTCTCCCTGGCCGACCTACCCGGCCTGGGCGCCCCCGCGCTGGCTGCAGTGCTAGCATGCTGCCCGGGACTGGAGCTGGTGGAGGTGCAGGTGGGGGGCGGGAAAGGGGGGGGGGAAGAGGAGGAAACACACCGACCGTGGGATGAGGCAGTTGGGGGTGCAGGTTGGGGCGAAGTCCTAGGGGAGAGGCCTGGAGAGGACTGGGAAGAAGGTATCAGCAGGGATAGTAACCGTGCTCTGGGTAGGGTAGTACGACATTTTCCCCTCCTCTCATCCCCTCCGCTCCCCCCTCCTCCCCGCCGCCCGCAGGACTGCCCGGGTGTGACGCTGGCAGCTGTACGGCACCTGCTCGCCTCCGTGAGCCGCCCGGATCTGGATATGGTGTACCGCAAGTACGACACGGTTGGGGGTGGGAGTGTACGACCTGTGTACGACAGCGGGATGTCGCGCGTAATTGTGTCTTTACATTGCATAACATGTCACCTGTATTTGTTTGGCTTGTTCTTTGGTGTCTCATTGAAGCCTCGCAGGCCGCACTTACAAGCCCTTGCTCTTACTTGCTTCCCTCCGTGTGTCTGCTGCCGCACGTCCCATGGGTCACTCCCTGCTCTGTCCCCACCAATGTCGCAACAGGGGCGGATCCTCGCGGACCCTGCACGGCAGCTGCAGGAGCTAGGATGACAGGGGGGGTGGGGCGGAAAAGGACTTCAACGTTTGCAGCGGGTGCTAACGCTCCGTTATCCGTAGTAGGGACCCATGGACTGGTGGAAAGAATGACAGAGCCAAGTAGTGCGAATTGGCAAGACAATGATGGAACGTATATGGTTATCGGATGAACGAATGGCCGTTACATAAGCTCCCCCAAAGGGAACCATTGGTTAATGAGATGGCACATAGCTGTGTTACAATACCCTAGATGTCTTGAGCTTATGGCACTGGTGGTCTGACGAGTGACAACAACACTTGGCAGGATTTGACAGCATTTGACAAAAGTGCACGGTATGCCGTTATGTACGTGGCGGTAGGACCGTGCACCCTTGAAAGGTTACAGAAGCACATGGAGGCGCATACACCGGGGCTAATCGGGGGCCCTAGATAGGCAAGCTGTGCTGCATGGCACTGCAGGTAGGCATACCTGAAATGAAGACTTCTACCCCTGACCCACTAACGCTGACGCCTTATGCCACGATAATACGAGCTGGCAGTCTATAGTGTGCGTGTTTTGCTTTGCTTAGCAGGTTGGCGGTTGTGCTTCTGTTTTGGTTGGCGGTTGAGGTGCTGGCGGTACTGCGAAAACACATGTACCTTCCGCAAGCAGGTCGGTCCCATGGGTCACGTCCTCTTGTGCTGTGCGATCCGTGGCGGCAATCAGGGGTAACCCCAAGCAGAGGAGCGGCACACAGACATGGAGATCGTAGGGCAAAACCTCTTTACTCTTTATAGTACACCGCGGACTGTAAAGTTGGCCGGAGCCCAGCAAACCTTGCCTAGTCCTCATATGTCAAGCCTGAACAATCGCAATTACCGCTCCTCTACGAAAACCTACATGGCTGTCAAAGCCCCCTTACACTGTCTGTCCATCATCTCCCCCAGCAACCACAGCTATGCCGCATCAGGCTCTCCACAGGCGTCTTGAGTCCCCTGCCCTTCAGTCCCCGTCAGCCCCGACATGTCCCGACCGATCTGTTGCACCGATTCGCCATGATCAAACATGGTGCCATAGCCAAACGATCAGCGTATCAACAGCCAACCTGAATAAGCACAGCGCTGGGAAGACAACACCTCACATGGCAGCCGTCTCTTTCCCCTTCCCTCACCCGGGCATGTATGCCCCATGCACTTCCTTCCTGCCAGCACGCCGGTCATCAGCGCCCCCAGCATGCTTAACACTCTCTCTAGAGCTGAGAAGCTGACCCTCAAGCTGAAAGGCTATGTGCTGAAGAAAAGACGGAGACTGGCACGTCCCCTTCCCCCCAACCCTAACAGCAGGTCCTACCCACCAATACAGACCAACAAGCTACAAAAACAGGACAGCACCGAAGCGAAGGCCTCCTGCGCAGTGGACAACCTGGAAAACTGCCACAAGCGCTCTGCAGATCTCTGCACCGCTGTCTCTTCACCCCCGTCGCATCCCCACACCCACACAGCGGCTTCCAGCCTGCTTCTAACTGTGTACGGCAAAAGCCGTACAGTCCAAAAGAGGCCCAAGCCAACTTTCCAAGGAAAGCCGCTGCTGTGGTTCCTTTCTCCAAAAGGCAGCTGAGTGCTAACGCCTTCCTTACGCGGCCGCCTTCGCCTTCTGAGCCTGGAGCTTTAGGAAGCGGGCATAGTCCGGGCTGTCAGCAGCGGGTGTGTAAAGGCCTGCTGTCATCAGCACCACCTTCTTCCAGCGCGCGCAGCGAGCCTTCTTCCGGGCGCCTGTGTTCTCGTGGATAACGCCCTTTCCAACCGCCTTATCAATCTCTGTGTACGCCTCCGAGATCAGCTTCTCAAGGCTCTTCACCTCCTCCTCCGACGGTGGGCTAGCGAGAAGCGACTGAGACAGCTTAATGACCTGCGGAGGGAAGGGGAGGTACAGCAGGTGGTCTACAACGAGGAATGCGCTAAGGAAGGCCAAGCACCAATTGCATAACCGCAATTTGCCAACTAGTCATGCCCTTAACGAAATTTCCCACCTTCTTGATGCGCGTCGCGCAAGCTGTCTTGTGCGGCTTGTTATACATGCGCCGCTCCCGAGAAAGCAGAACACGCTTCACCGGGCTGGGCATCTTCTTCTTTTGGTCCTTCTTGCCCTCAGCTGCCATCACAACAAGCGAGCCACGCTGGACCATAGGCCGGCTCACAGGCGCTGCAAGCAAGAAGCAAGAACCAAACGCTTAGACACCCTGAAGGGCTCGCTTTATGTTGTTCCTTTTGTAATTAGCAAAGACGCACCGATTACAGGCCTAACTGGAGCGAATGCGCAACGTTGAGGGCATGAGCGCAGCAGGGCTTGGGGGCGCATAAGCGAGGCCATTTCTATATAAACACGTATAATGGTGCAAAGATAAAGCCTGAACCTAGAAAAATAGAAGGCAGGAACTTGGGGCTATTCATGGACGACATTGCTTTAGCCGTACAATATCAAGGCGGCTTTTCGCACTCGTTTGCCTGAACCGCCTAGTGTGCAGAAGGGTTGGTTGAACACACTATATTTTTGCGTCTGGTTAGCTGCGATGGCCACGGGTGATCTTAAATGCTTAGCACCAGCTGTGTGCCTGTGTCATTGTGTTCATCGTGTCATTTGTTCGCCCCGCGACTGCTGGATTCAACATACAGGCAGCTCCGTTGTGTTCTGTCTAATCTCAAACATATTGTATCTGCGTTTGCACCACGTGCTGCGCTGTTCCCCTCGCCTAGCAAGGAGGACATACACAGTCACCCAGCCACATAAAGCTGCCCTTCTCAAATCCCCCAAATGCGAAAGAAGTTGCTATCTGCAATGGCCCGCATGCACATCAGGGCTCATATGATGCCACATATGATCCACACTCCAACATGGCTACCCTGGAGCTCTATAATTTGCTGAAGGCTTTTGATCACGGTTTGACGCGTGCAAACCAGGCAGGACAGGGGCCGTCCATGTCGGTCATCACACCACGCCCTGCTAACCTATCAATCACGGCCTTAATTTTGCGCCCCTCCTGCACATTCCCGTCATCTGCAAGGAGGACAATAATCCTAGGTTGCGCAGGAGTAACTCCCCTTAGCACGTAGCATGGAACGAATTCAGAAGTATGTTCCTTACGCGCACGCCAAGCAGACCCCGTGGTAACCCGGAAAGTGCCAACCTTCAAGGCGTGTGGAGTAGGACAAGGGGGTTCAGCTTCCTCAAAGCTGGAAAAGGGCGGAGCCCCTCCTCTTCAGTACAGGAATGTATTATTACCACTGGAATGAATGCGATTACAGGGGAGTGGAACGACTCAATGGGCCTTATAGACTTGGAATGAGCACGGCATGCGCTCCTGTGACTCCACGGCACCAGATGACCTAACACGGATGTTATACGGACGCTGAACCCCCTTGTTTACTGTAGTTTTAGTGCTCGTTGCATGGCTAGACAAGCTCAGAGCCCCTTGTCCAGCCAAGGCCGGCCGCCTTGTTCACCCACGGCGTACATAGTGTCCTCACTCATTGCACACATTGTTAGGTTACGCCTGTTCAATCGCGCACTCAGTAACGTCTTATCATGCTTGACAACACCCACGCATTAGGCTACAGAACCCAAATCGACGGCGTAACTGCCACATGGGAGTGCTTTCAGGGTCCCGTAGGTCGTTTAGGTTTCACCTACATTACTAACATGATGAGGAGGTCAGGCTCGGCAATCTCGGCATCGTGCTCAGAAGGACTTCAGCCATTGCGCCCCAACATCGCATGTTAGCTTATAGGCGAGGTACCCGTTTGCATTACAGTTCATAGGCATTATGGCACACAAACCAATAGCAATGGCAGGCAACATCGTCACAAAGGATTGTGTGAGCTCAGAGTAGCACAATCGATGGAAGCAAGCATGCTCTCGCCGACTTTCACAGGTAGCCCTTTGGCGACACGCCGCTGTTTCCAATTCATTAAATACTGTTTACGGTACCAGGACAAACCATAGAGGAGCGCTAATCGGTGTTGCCGCGGTGGTCCTTTTGAATGGCTGGTTAATAGATCGTTTGTTGCGAAATTAAGTTTGTTTGGCTTCCAGTAATTTTTACTGAATAAAGATAACAAATATCTATTAGGTGCAATAAATAGTTTTGTCTAGTTTGTATGTTTTGCCGTTACGGACACACGGACGGACACACGGACACACGGACATGGCGGGGCGTGCCAGGGGGGGGCCGTCGCAACTTGGGTTGTGGTGGGGTTTGGGGGCGATGTTGTTTCCCCATGCTGCGTTGCTGCCTTATCGTACATGCCTCCAACTTGCTGTCTTGCGCACACAGAGCCCCACCCAATCGCCTTGTCGCTTGCCACTTTTGTCCAACTCACCCTCTATCAATCTACGCTCACACGCACGCGTCGTCAAACATGTGGTGGCTCTCGCTTACATGCCGTACCTCCTACTCGGCTTCCCTCTCTTCTTTTGCTGTAAGCGAAGGTACCGCTATTCCTAGGCATAGACATAAGCATGCACTACTTCAAGCTGGCTTCCCGGTCTAGATTTACTGAGTTCCACCTTAGACGGCCAACCGGCTTCTGTTAGCGTCAGGATGTCAGGGTGTCGTCATATTTCTTTGTATCCGTGTGCAAGTCGAGTCGACTCCTTGCTTGAAGTCGGGATGTAGTCGTACTCGCCTGCGGTGCTCTTTAGCGAAGGTCTCCTACATGGCTCAGGCGCCACGTAGCAAGTTCAAATGCTGCATTCTGATAACGTGTTGTGGCCTTTCGTGATACGTATGTCAGTCAACCTAAGACAACGTTATCGTCCTGCTAACAGCCTAACCCCGCCCGCTCATTTGATACATCAAATCAAAAAATCAAAGTTCAGACATCATAAATGCTATGCAGAAGAGCTTGGTTCGGACGTGGGTTAGTGGTTGTCGAAAGTTGCTTTGGCATCGCAGTGTGCTCGGGTCCGTTTTGCCTTTCAATCGTCTGTACTTGGGCATAAGTATGAGTGCGTGTCGTTTTGTTTTCTCGGCAACCCAACAGTGTCGCTGGAGTAAATAGGCAAGTAGCGAGAATTGTCGTACTAAAAAGGACATAGGACGTCCGTTTTTCGGAGGGCCTTGTTTGCCAACTTGTGATTATCGCGCCTTCTTATTGTTACCAGCTTTGCTAGTCCTTCTTTATCTGTCTGCAAATCGGGTGCTGAGAAAAAGTTGGGCTGAACTGCATTCGTTAGTGGTGAGCTGACGTGTGGGCCTCCTTTGACGGGTGAAGGGCTGTGGAAATGTCAGGCCCATATCGTATTGCCCAGCACGCCACCCGTGTTGCTTACTGCTCACGTGCATTCAACACGCCTAAATGCACACGCTCACATGGCGGCCCTATCTACCAGTAAAGCGGGGTGGCTTGCATGCGTGTGTGGGTTGCATGGGGCAAAGGGCGGGGCAAGTAAAGCATGGTTGCGGGCATGCGTGTGTGGGTTGCATAGGCCGAGGGGGTGTGTAAAGCGGGGTTGCTTACATGCGTGTGTGCATGGGTTGCATGGGGTAAGGGGGTTAGTAAAGCGGAGTTGCTTACATGCGTGCATGCGTGGGTTGCACGGTGCTAGGGGGCGAGTAATGTGGGGGTGCATGCATGCGTGTGTGGGTTGCATGGGCCAAGGGCGCGAATAAAGCGGGAATGCATGCATGTCTGCGGGCGAGGGTTGCATGGGGCGATGGGGCGCGTAAGCTACGGGTGCTTGCATGCGTGCGAGTGTGGGTTGCATGGGGCGAGGGGGCGAGTATTAGAGGGGGTGCATGCGTGCTTGCACGGGTTGCATGAGGCAAGGGGGCGAGTAAAACGGGGGTTCGTGTATGAGTTGCTTGTGGCGAGGGGGCGAGTGAACGGGAATGCATGCATGTCCGCTGTCGTGGGTTGCATGGAGTGAGGGGGCGCGTGAAGCTACGGTGCTTGCATGCGTTCGAGTGTGGATTGCGTTGGGCAGGAGGGCGCGTAATGTGGTGGTGCGTGCATGCGTGCGTGGTTTGCATGGGCCAAGGGTGCGAGTAAAGCGGGAATGCATTCATGTCTGCTGGCGTGGGTTGCATGGGGGAGAGGGCGCGTAAAGCTACGGGTGCTTGCATGCGTGCGAGTGTGGGTTGCATGGGGCAAGGGGGCGAGTAAAACGGGGGTTCGTGTATGAGTTGCATGTGGCGAGGGGGCGAGTGAACGGGAATGCATGCATGTCCGCTGTCGTGGGTTGCATGGAGTGAGGGGGCGCGTGAAGCTACGGTGCTTGCATGCGTTCGAGTGTGGATTGCGTTGGGCAGGAGGGCGCGTAATGTGGTGGTGCGTGCATGCGTGCGTGGTTTGCATGGGCCAAGGGTGCGAGTAAAGCGGGAATGCATTCATGTCTGCTGGCGTGGGTTGCATGGGGGAGAGGGCGCGTAAAGCTACGGGTGCTTGCATGCGTGCGAGTGTGGGTTGCATGGGGCAAGGGGGCGAGTAAAACGGGGGTTCGTGTATGAGTTGCATGTGGCGAGGGGGCGAGTGAACGGGAATGCATGCATGTCCGCTGTCGTGGGTTGCATGGAGTGAGGGGGCGCGTGAAGCTACGGTGCTTGCATGCGTTCGAGTGTGGATTGCGTTGGGCAGGAGGGCGCGTAATGTGGTGGTGCGTGCATGCGTGCGTGGTTTGCATGGACCAAGGGTGCGAGTAAAGCGGGAATGCATTCATGTCTGCTGGCGTGGGTTGCATGGGGGAGAGGGCGCGTAAAGCTACGGGTGCTTGCATGCGTGCGAGTGTGGGTTGCATGGGGCAAGGGGGCGAGTAAAACGGGGGTTCGTGTATGAGTTGCATGTGGCGAGGGGGCGAGTGAACGGGAATGCATGCATGTCCGCTGTCGTGGGTTGCATGGAGTGAGGGGGCGCGTGAAGCTACGGTGCTTGCATGCGTTCGAGTGTGGATTGCGTTGGGCAGGAGGGCGCGTAATGTGGTGGTGCGTGCATGCGTGCGTGGTTTGCATGGGCCAAGGGTGCGAGTAAAGCGGGAATGCATTCATGTCTGCTGGCGTGGGTTGCATGGGGGAGAGGGCGCGTAAAGCTACGGGTGCTTGCATGCGTGCGAGTGTGGGTTGCATGGGGCAAGGGGGCGAGTAAAACGGGGGTTCGTGTATGAGTTGCATGTGGCGAGGGGGCGAGTGAACGGGAATGCATGCATGTCCGCTGTCGTGGGTTGCATGGAGTGAGGGGGCGCGTGAAGCTACGGTGCTTGCATGCGTTCGAGTGTGGATTGCGTTGGGCAGGAGGGCGCGTAATGTGGTGGTGCGTGCATGCGTGCGTGGTTTGCATGGGCCAAGGGTGCGAGTAAAGCGGGAATGCATTCATGTCTGCTGGCGTGGGTTGCATGGGGGAGAGGGCGCGTAAAGCTACGGGTGCTTGCATGCGTGCGAGTGTGGGTTGCATGGGGCAAGGGGGCGAGTAAAACGGGGGTTCGTGTATGAGTTGCTTGTGGCGAGGGGGCGAGTGAACGGGAATGCATGCATGTCCGCTGTCGTGGGTTGCATGGAGTGAGGGGGCGCGTGAAGCTACGGTGCTTGCATGCGTTCGAGTGTGGATTGCGTTGGGCAGGAGGGCGCGTAATGTGGTGGTGCGTGCATGCGTGATTGGTTTGCATGGACCAAGGGTGCGAGTAAAGCGGGAATGCATTCATGTCTGCTGGCGTGGGTTGCATGGGGGAGAGGGCGCGTAAAGCTACGGGTGCTTGCATGCGTGCGAGTGTGGGTTGCATGGGGCAAGGGGGCGAGTAAAACGGGGGTTCGTGTATGAGTTGCATGTGGCGAGGGGGCGAGTGAACGGGAATGCATGCATGTCCGCTGTCGTGGGTTGCATGGAGTGAGGGGGCGCGTGAAGCTACGGTGCTTGCATGCGTTCGAGTGTGGATTGCGTTGGGCAGGAGGGCGCGTAATGTGGTGGTGCGTGCATGCGTGATTGGTTTGCATGGACCAAGGGTGCGAGTAAAGCGGGAATGCATTCATGTCTGCTGGCGTGGGTTGCATGGGGGAGAGGGCGCGTAAAGCTACGGGTGCTTGCATGCGTGCGAGTGTGGGTTGCATGGGGCAAGGGGGCGAGTAAAACGGGGGTTCGTGTATGAGTTGCATGTGGCGAGGGGGCGAGTGAACGGGAATGCATGCATGTCCGCTGTCGTGGGTTGCATGGAGTGAGGGGGCGCGTGAAGCTACGGTGCTTGCATGCGTTCGAGTGTGGATTGCGTTGGGCAGGAGGGCGCGTAATGTGGTGGTGCGTGCATGCGTGCGTGGTTTGCATGGGCCAAGGGTGCGAGTAAAGCGGGAATGCATTCATGTCTGCTGGCGTGGGTTGCATGGGGGAGAGGGCGCGTAAAGCTACGGGTGCTTGCATGCGTGCGAGTGTGGGTTGCATGGGGCAAGGGGGCGAGTAAAACGGGGGTTCGTGTATGAGTTGCTTGTGGCGAGGGGGCGAGTGAACGGGAATGCATGCATGTCCGCTGTCGTGGGTTGCATGGAGTGAGGGGGCGCGTGAAGCTACGGTGCTTGCATGCGTTCGAGTGTGGATTGCATTGGGCAGGAGGGCGCGTAATGTGGTGGTGCGTGCATGCGTGCGTGGGTTGCATGGGCCAAGGGTGCGAGTAAAGCGGGAATGCATTCATGTCTGCTGGCGTGGGTTGCATGGGGGAGAGGGCGCGTAAAGCTACGGGTGCTTGCATGCGTGCGAGTGTGGGTTGCATGGGGCAAGGGGGCGAGTAAAACGGGGGTTCGTGTATGAGTTGCATGTGGCGAGGGGGCGAGTGAACGGGAATGCATGCATGTCCGCTGTCGTGGGTTGCATGGAGTGAGGGGGCGCGTGAAGCTACGGTGCTTGCATGCGTTCGAGTGTGGATTGCATTGGGCAGGAGGGCGCGTAATGTGGTGGTGCGTGCATGCGTGATTGGGTTGCATGGGCCAAGGGTGCGAGTAAAGCGGGGAGCGTGCATGTGTGTAGGGATTGCATGGGCCGAGTGGGTGAGTAAAAGCGGAAGTGCTTGCATGCGTGCGTGTATGGGTTGCATGGGGCGAGGGAGCGAGTAAAGCGGAGATGCTTGCATGCGTGCATATGTGTGTTGCACGGAGCGAGGGGGCGTGTAAAGCGGGAGTGCTTGCATGCATGCGTGTGTGGGTTGCATGGGGCGAGAGGGCTTGCTTGTAAAGCATGGTTGCTTGCGTCTGTTGAGATAACTGGCCGCGAGGCGGAGCGTACTGCGATTGACCGTGCGTGTGTTGCATGGGGCTAGGGGACGAGTAAAGCGGGGGTACGTGCATGCGTGAGTGTGTTGGTTGCATGGGGTAAGGCGGCGCGTAAAGCGGGAGTGCTTGCATGTGTGCGTTGGTTGCATGGGGCGAGGGGCGGGGCAAGTAAAGCGGGGGTGCGGGCATGCCTGTGTGGGTTGCATGGGCCGAGGGGGCGCGTAAAGCGGATTTGCGTGCATGTGTGTGCGTGTGTGGGTTGCATGGGGCGAGGGGCTTGCGAAGCATGGTTGCTTGCATGTGTTAAGAAAACTGGCCGCGAGTAGGAGCGCACTGTGATTGTCGGAAGATGAAGTCCCCACAGAACCGCCACAGGAGCCATGGAATATGGTAGCGTATGTAGATATATAAGTCCAGTACTGGTGCTGAGGGTGAGTAGGGCGTAAGAAGCACTCTCAGAAAACGACCGGACCTAGGGCTTGCATGTGCTTGGGAGATGCACGGGGCGAGGGAACGAGTAAAGTGGGAGTGCTTGCATGCATGCGTATGTGGGTTGCTTGGGTTGAGGAGGCCAGTTAAGTGGGGGTGCTGTCCCGCACGCTGCCCTTCTCCCACCGCCCCTCTTTTACTTGGCGCTCCTTGCGGCCCTCCTGCATGCGGCTGTCCTCGTAATGGCCCTCCAGCACACAGCGCCCCTCCCACACGCTTAAACACACGGCGTTCCTCCCACTCGCTCGTATGCGCACATTGCCCCATCCTATCGCCCTCCTGCACGCAGTCTTTGTCCCACTCATCCATCATGCTACGCTCCTCCCACTTACTGTCACGCACGTGACACGCCGTGGCCCTTCCACTCGCTCTCACTCTTGCTGTCACATGACGCACCTCTTACTGGGCTTCCCTCCCTTCTTTTGCAGTAAGAGGTGGTACCGCTATTCCTTCTCCTGACATAGCAATACTCGTGCACGGTTTCAAACTGGCTTCCCCGTTTATATCGCTTCGATTTACTATCGTAACGAGCCACTTCCACCTAAGACGGCCAACCGGCTTCTGACACCGTCGTAATGTTAGGAAATGTGTGCTTGGATTGGTTGGACACATTTGTATCCGTGTGCAGGTCGGTTCCTTGCCTGAAGTCGGGCTAAAGCGCACTCGCCTGCGGTGCTTTCCAGCGTGGGCTTCCTACATTGCTCCGTCCTGCATTGCTCCGGCGCCAGATGTCGCTTTGAAATGTGGCGAAATGTGGTCGTTAGCGGGGCCGTCTTTCCAAAGCCGCCTCTTTGGTGCTTTGGATACCGTGTTTTGCATTGTACATTGGTTGCCATTGGCGAACCGTTTCGGCGACTTTTTCGCGCACACATCTTAGGGCTCCATCTTCGCGGTGCCTTTGCCTCGAAGCAGCCTTTCCGGTGCGCTAAGTAACGTGTTAAGAACTGTACTTTTAGTGGCTTTGGCAGGACGAATGGGCGACTTTTTTGCGTTACAGACACGCATCTTAGGGCTCCAACTTCGCGGTGCCTTTGCCTCGAAGCCGCCTTTTCGGTGCGTTGAGTAACGTGTTAAGCACTGTACTTCTGGTGGCTTTGGCGGGCCGTTTGTGCTACTTTTATGCGTTACGGACACACCCCTTAGGGCTCCAGGGTGGGCGCCCTGACAGGCCCCTCCTCACCCAGCGCTCAAAACGCCGCCCGTGATGCATGTGGCGCTTGCGACCTTCAAATGGGTTCGGAAAACGCCACTTGGCGACGCGTTGCGCGGCCGAGTGGAGAGAAAACAGCCAAAAACAACCGGCAAAACTCATGTTTTGGGTGGGATTCGAACCCGGACCGCGACTTTTAGCGCTCAAAACGCCGCGTCCCTGTTAAGGCGCTTGCCAAAAAAATGTTACACGAAACCCCCCCCCCTATTGATGCCTTTCCTTCGCTGCTTCGCTAGCTCCGGACTCCGTCTACGACGTCGGCCTCCGACGTCGCTACATTGCTCCGGCGACAGGGGCAATCCTGGGGGGCGAAGCCCCCCCGAAGCCGCTTCGCGGCGGGGGCTCCGCCCAAAAAGAAGAATACCCAATGGGAGTGGGAAGGGCTCACAAAGGTGTGCGGAGATGGGGACTACCGTAGAGCCGGCACTTGTGGCTTGCTGGGCGGTCAACCATACGCTGGCATGTTGCTAGGTAGCCCCCAGACATGGCCACTGAAGAACAGAGACACACGTGGGTTAGCAAACCTTCGTGCATGCAGGCATCTCCATGAAGAAAGCAATGCCACCTGCGCCACCCGCTTTACGGAGGCAGGGGCTCGCTAGGTTGGCGGAATGCAGCGATTTTTTCCCGGCTCAGCAGGGAGAAATTGTGGGCTTGCTTGCTAGGAATGGCTCATGCCTCGCAACTACCTATTGGAATTCCAGAATGGAGCCGCTAACGGTACCGGTAGTCCCCAAAAATTCCGACGGAGGGCGATGCAGGATTGCCGACGTAAGAGGAGGGAGCGTGCAAGCACTGTGATGACGCAGGTTATGTACGTAAGCACTTGCTTAGCACAAAGAGCAGGAAGAACGTGGTCTATCCGCCGATGTCACGTGCTGGACGAGACTAACTGCCAGCAACGACGATGACTTGAAGGGCACGAGAAGCTACCCCACCGAATACTAAGTGCATTTAAGAAAGGGGCTAGTGTTGCTTCTGTACTGCAACGCCTTTCCGAGGGATCCTGGAATGCCAGAAATATTCCACCACTGCTTAGCCTAGTTGATGAAGAGCATCAATCGCGCTTTAAACCTTGACTTTGCATCACGAAGAACTCCTTTTATTGTGTTATCCATACCTTGGGGATTAACGGCCCACCGAAAAAGAGTGTAAAACGCTATCTAGTGGCAACAAACCTATTTTGCCGCCTGCCGCCGAAATAAAAACGTGGCGAAGTCAAAGCACCGGGCAGATGGGGCGGGTGGGGAAGCCACAGGCGCCTGGCGTTGGCGTTGTGGTGCCAACCTGGCTTCGGGTTGGCGCAGAATCAAGGGCGCATTTCCAAACAGTTGTATTCCATTAGGCAGGAGTCAGATGGATGTCTATCGCAGTGGAAGCTCCTACAATCATGACAACACCGTCTCTGTCCGCCTGCATGACTCGCAAACTGCGCTGCCAAGCGATTCTTCCACTTTGAAGTCAGAGGTTATACGGCTACAGGGCTTGGTTGCGTCATTGCAGTCGGAGCTAGAAGCCGCACGACGCGTTATAGACTCGGAGCGGAATGGCGAGGCGCATGTCGGCTTACCAATTTCAGCGACTGCCCGCCTTTCGGGCTTAACTGAACCGGCGACTCCATTGATGGATGAACGCTCTGTTCGTCTTTTAACGCTCACAAGCAGCATCGCGCTGGATTCAGTCAATGGTGTCAGGAGGCATGATGCCGCAGGGCCGCTCAATGCCTCCGCAGCCCATCAACCTCAAGAAGCCCGGCCTTTTAATTCCGATCATGCAAACACACGGAACAGGCGACCACAAAACCCAGACCAGCTCCAGAAGCAGGAAGAGCAGCCATCTGCGCTACAATCGACATTTGCTGCTGCTGTGACACATGCCACAATAGCAGCTGCGGGCTCACTTCCTTCCCATGTCAACACGACCAGCTCCAGCGCCGCAGCTTTGCCAGTGTGTACCGCCTCACCAACCGCAGCCGGAGGGGCAGCAGCTGCCTCCATCAATATGGATGCGGTTGCCTCGGTCTCCACGGCTGCTGCCCCCGCCAGAGCTGCCACTGCAGCAGCAGCAGCAGGAGCCGTTTCCACGGTGCCAGCAGCCGCGCCTGTGGCTGAGGAAGCAGTTGTTTTCGTGTGCAGCAGCAGCGGCTTCGTTGAACCATCACCACAGCAGCTGCAAGACCATGAACGGCGGGAACCCTTCCAACTCAAGCAGGAGCAGCAGCAAGAGCAGCAGCAGAAGCAAGAGCAGCAGCAGGAGCAGGAGCAGGAGCAGCAGCAGCAGCAGCAAGAACAGCGGCAGGAGCAGCAGCAAGAGCATGTGCAGCAGGAGCATGAGCAGCAGCGACAGCACCCTATCCTGCCCGAAGCCCAGCCTCCGCTGCAAACTCCCTCTTCACAGCCTTCCCCACCCTGCCAAGCGCTACAGCCCGAAGCAGCACCCGCTATCGACCAATCGCTGCTAAGCCTAGCTGCCAAGAGCTCTGCTCCCGCTGCGCTTCTCATCTTGAGTGCCGCTGCCGCCAGCCCGAGCGCCGCCCCCGCAACCTTCCCACTGCTCCCCACCATTCGCCTGTCAACCCCGCTTGGGATGGAGGAGGAGCGCCAACCCTCACGAGAACCCCACCACCTGCCAAGCATTGATCGCTACGCAATCCATGCCGACGCCGCCACCGACGCGGCCGACGCGGCCGCTGGTATTCGTAACACATGTCGTACAACGGATTTGGATTCAGGTACACCTGCTGTATCTGCTAGGTGTGCGGATGAGACAGTAGCAGCGGGGAAGGGACAGATGCCGGTTGCATTCGGGCACTGTGGCAGCAGTAGCTGTAGCAGCAGCAATCCGCTGTTCTCGCCGATCTGGGTCAACGCCAGTGCACGGCAGCAGCTACATCTGGGCTCTGCCGTACAGTACGACAGCGTTCTAACGCGGATGTGCGATCAGGATCCAGCGCTGTCGGTCCTCCTTAAGGAAATCGCAAGGCAGCTAATGGCAGAGGGTGGTTGCGACCTCAGCGGAGCAGGAACAGGAGGAGCAGCGCAGGGTGGCGGCGAGGGAGGCGCCTCTGTCGCGACGCTGCTTCGGCCGGTGACGCATCTCGTACCTGGCGGCAACATGGGCGCACCTCGAACTTCTGCCGTACAACCACATGGACATCTGGCGCCCGGCTGCCAGCTCACACGACGATTAGACTCCACGCATGTTCGGCCTTCTCACAGCCCGGCGGAGACAGAGCAGCCTAATGCCCCAAGTGCCGTTTACAGCAGTGCGCCCTCTGCATGCAACAGTTCTTTCCATCCTCTTGACAGGGACAGTGGTTTCGGAGCCGTAGAGGTACGACAGCACGGCTTTACTGTAATCCGTCTGACACCGTGTCGACTGCGCTTGCCGGTGGCGGGAGCTGCCGCCAGGTCCGAATGCAGCAGCCAGTGGGCGCATGCAGGAACAGGGGCGGACGATGTGTACGCTAGCTGTACAGCAACGGATGCAGTCACGGCGACGACAACAGCAGCAGCTGCGGCAACGGCAGCGGCTGTTAAAGAAGGGGTGGAGGCGGAGGCTGAGGTGGAGGCTGAGGTGGAGGTGGACGTCCCGGGTCTGCTGCTTGAGCACCTGGGCTGTGACAAGCACGCCAGCACGCCCGAGGAGGTTCGGGAGCGCTTGCAACGTGACTGCTCCATCCTGTCTGGCGTATCCGCAGTCATCACGTTGTTCGACTTGCACGGCAGAGTGCTGCATCAGAACGCGCATTCCGTAAACTACATGGGGTATCACCGCTCGACATTACCTGCAAGTTGTTATTCCGGCGGTCAAGAGGGCGGCGCGAGCGCTGGAGATCTTCGAGGCAGCTATACGGCAGTTAGCACTCTAGAGCGGTTATTTCAGTTGGATTCATCTCAACTGCCGGAACTGTGGGCTGCCGTACTGGCGGATCAGTCGTGGAAGGGCATTGTACGGATGCCGCCCAGTCTCCTGGAGGAAGAGCTGGAAGGTGAGAGAGAGCAGGAGGCCACTGGGGGTGCGACGCCGGCAGATGCACTTGCAGAGGCGGGGGAGCAGGCAGTGGAGCAGGCGGCGGGTTCGGCAGCAGCAGCACCACCGCCGGCGCTGCATGTATGCCGGGGTCTGTGTGGATCGGGAGAGCCCTACAGCAGCTGTGATGGCAGTAGCCTGTGTGGCGGGGAAACGGTGCGTTAAGGAGGTTGGGCCGGGCTTTAGGCAAGTTGCACTTGAATTGCAACGGTATGCTTCCTAAAGCAGCTGATGCAGGGCGGGATGGTGGAAAGGGTACGTTTTTCTTTGCTGCTTTTGGACGGCTAAGAAGGAGTGCTTCAGGCAAGCGTACCGTGCAGGACCGTGCAGTTATTGAGATGGGGTTAGTGATGGCTGTCGCTCACGTGCAGCATGCCTTTCTTTCCCTCGCCCAACCCGCAGAGCGATGGCACAGTAGACACCGCCTGGGAGCTAACCTTGTCTGGAGTGGTGCCGTTCCGCCCGTACGGAAAGGGCGCGGCTCCCACCGTGGCTTCTGCGTCTGCTGCGGTGGCCCCGGTGGTGCACAGTCCCATGGGTCGCTGCCGCTCTCACTCGCTGCCCGCGCCGGGAAAGTCGACTGCTGGCGTTATGACGGGTAGCAGCAAGGACACGGGTAAGCTCAAGGGGAGAAGGACCGCAGCTGGAGATGCCCGGGAGATACTTGTAGACACGCGTGAATGCCCTTTCCTTTCCTGTACGTCGTTTGTCATGATACACCGAACATGATAAATCTCCTGACTTTAACTGACTTTAACACTTTCACCCGCATGGCTGCATTCACACCAGCCTAATGCCCATGGCTTGGTCGTTTTGGGGTCTTTTTGTCCCCCCTTACGGCTTGCCCCTAATAAATAGGTTTTATCCTTTTCTTACCCCATGCGCGCTGCACAGGTGATCGGGGCTATACCAAAGCTCCTCGGTCGAGGCTTGGAGGCGGTGAGGCCCTGTGGCGAGCCAACCTGGAACGACCCATGGGTCACTTGACGACGACAGTCCTTTTGCTAAACTAACGATTCCCTCCTGTTGCGCACGCATGGGAGTACTCACGTTGACAATCGACATGCGACTATCTACCGTGCATCTGAACTCCAACTATAGCAAATATCACCGCCCTTCCTTACCTCGTTCCTCCGACGTAATCCCTGTCCTGTACCGAACCCCGCTCCACGTCACCAGCACCTTCGCCCCTTTCCCACCTTTTTCGCTCCCTCTCCTCCCCTCATACGCCTCCCTCCCTCTCCAGCGCAAAGTGCCCAAGTAATGGCGGGAGATGTGCCAACCGCTGCCGATGCCGCGGCTACTGTCACGACTGCTGCTGGGGATCGGCCACTCCTCGGGTACCCCACCTGCGGCGGCGCTGAAGGTGAATCCACAACCGCAGCACTAACAGCCAACGACAACGGGAACGACGGCACACCTTCACGGGAAGTTGAGACGACGCTCGTCAATGCAGTGCATACGGCCGTGACGCCAGGAGAGAAGGTTGCCGCTATGGGTAGCGGAGGCGGGAGCGGTGGTGGTACCCGGGGCAGCGGTCGAGTATCCCGGGGTGCTACCGCTGATGATGTGCGACATGGCGAGGCCAAACAGAGATCCCATAAGGGTCTTGACTTGAAGGTATGCTTGAAGGGTCTTGGCTAAAAGGGTTACAGTTGTTACGGTTGCTATGCGGCTGTACTGTGCAAACATCATCTCCCTTTTTCCTTACGGCCACATCGACCATCCGTCAGCCGCAATGGACAACGCCCCTGCTGTCCTTGTCCACCATTCGCAATGTGCTGACCTGCTCTACGTCGCGTTGCGCTGTGTTTTCCGTACATTCGCCTGATAGAAACCTTCCTTCCTGCTGCCACCTTTCCAGGCGATCACAGCATCCGCCTGGTCCCTAGTTGGCAGCGCCAACCGTACATGCTCCTCTGCATCACGCGCTCGAAGAGCCTCCCAGGTTAGCCCTGCCTCGGAGCTCGGGAGCATGCCTCCAGTCGCCTTCAGCACAGCTGCAGCAGCAGCAGCAGCATCTGGGGCTGCTAGTTCCCCTTTCGGGGCTGCTGCTGCAGCAGCTGCTGCTGCTGTCTCGGCTCCGTCGGTCTACCATTCCCCATCCACTACCACCACCACCACCAACAACAACAACGGCGGCGGTGGCGGTGCAGCAGCTGCAACGGCCTCCCAGCAGCAGCCAGGAACGCTAAGCGCCAAGCTCAGCAAGATCAGCGCCGGCACTGCAATCTCAGTTGCAAACGCACTGGGCGGGAGGGGCCGCAGCACGCCTCTGCCTCGCGTGGTGTTTTTTGCGGCTGCAGCGACAGCCTCCGGACATCGCTCCTCGCGACAAAAACAATCGCACCGGACGCGCCGTGCCGCCAAGTCCGTGGCTGGCATCGTTCCTATCAATAGTGAAAACAGCAGCGGCTATGAGGGTGGGAGTAGCAGCCAAGCAGCTACCGCTATCAGTGTACGGAGGCAACAGGAGCAGCAAAGGCAGGAGGAAGAGCTGCTGCGGCTGGAGTCAGCCTGCAGAGCTTCAGAGGCTGCGGTCGCCACCTTTGCGGCCTTGGTGGGCAACAGAGGTGGCCAAGCAGCAGCGCAGGAAGAAGAAGAGGAGGTTGGCGACGTGACGAGGTCTGTGCCTCTGCCGAAAACCAGCACCGTCACTGTCGCCGAGGGTGCTGCAGGAGGAAGCAGCGACGCATGCAAGCGCGGCGGCGTTGATGGCGCTGTGGACCGATGTGCCGAAGGCGGACGTACGGGCGCCCAGGACTTGCCAGGTCTCGGGAGCGGCTTGACTTTTACGCTAGACGCATCTAAGACCGCTGCTACTGCTACTGCTGCTGCTGCTATTGATGCGGTTCCCAGCTATAACACCAGCTCAACTGCGACTGTTGCGTTGGATCCTGTAAAGTGCAGCTCCGGTATCGGCGTGCGGCAGCTGGCACTACGTCGGTCCAACCAAACGGTCATGGAGGGTGCAATCGCCGATGACGGCGGCTGTGAGGCTGCTGGTCAGGATAGCGGCGGTAAGGAAGGTAGCTGCAGCGGTTGCAAGGCAGGCGGCAGCAGCGGCAAGAAGAGGGTATCGGACGGGGCCCATTCGGAGTGGGGGGCGTCTGCCGCAGCAGGAGAGGAGGAGGGGTCTGAGGACGGGGACGCCAGATGGCACGAGGTGACGGCGAGGCCCTTCCGGGACCCGGTAACGCATCAGACCTGCATCCTCCTCATGCAGGTAGGTGTCGTTTTTCCGATGTGGACTGTTACAGAGGAAGGACAGGAAGACCACCAAAAAACCAGCGGAAAAGGAAAACCACTGGATACCAGGAAAACACCCCTAGAAAACACCACCTACAAGCCCGCCTGACAGAGGAGAACGAAGCTGCACGCTCCAAACACGTCATTGTGTTTTGTTTCTTCCCACGGATGGCGCCTGCCGTACTGCCTGCCGTGCGACTGCCCAGGTTGACGTGACCGCCAAGGTGGAGACGGAGCGGCGCCTTGCGGAGCTTGTGGACGCGGAACACAAGATACTGGAGCAGGTGCGTGCGCTGCCGGGCTACGGGAGCGTCTTGGCACACTTGCTTGGGACCGTGCGCCTTAAAAGGAGCGTACTGGCTAGCATACCGTACTGGCTAGCATACCGTACGGGCTACCAGACCGTACGGGCTGGCAGGCTCAGCGGCATCTGGACTGGGTCGTACGCCTCGACCACCATCGTGTCATGCAAGTGCGCATGTTGCTTTCATACCTTGATACCGGTACCAATTGACGAGTTATCCATCCCGCATGCGTCCACCTTTCTGCACACAGACGTATGTGTGCTAGATAGCTGAAGAAGGCCGCGGCCACCATCCAAACCAAATCGAAACACCCATTGTACGTGTATATCCACGCCGGGGCTGCCGTAAGCTTCCAACCCCATGACTCTATCTGCCTCCCGCCGTTCCCTCCGCCGCACGCCCAGATCTTCCCGCGCCACGTGTTGGAGCACATGGCACTCGACACCGCCCGTGCCGCTCAGCGGCCCACCCCCTTCTCCTTCCACATGTTCGGCCGGGACTGCTCGCAGCTGGCCACCAAGCATGAGGCGGTCACCATTCTGTTTGCAGACATCAAGGGATTTACGGATAGTGAGTGCATGGGGGTGGCAAGAGGAGGGAGGGCAGAGCGGGAGGGAGGCTGAGAGGGAAGGAGGGAAACGGGAGGAAACTGGCGAGCTGCATGACGAGGCACAACATGAGGTGGAGGGAGGGAGGATGGCAAAGAGGGAGGGTGAGGAGGCGGGAACGGCGACGTGGAAGGTTGCGGGCCATCCGCTATGTTAGAAGCCGCTGCATTGCTTGGCTGCATGCTTACTAGGTTTACTTGCGTATGTGGGGGAGCTTGCCCTCTGCTTTCCTCGTCTTGTTCGGTCCTCCTTCTCAGGAAGAGCACGATGCAGTCCCAGTGCAATAATAAACACCGGAATAAACACCTTAATGCCCTTCCCGCCACCATTCCCCCACCCGCAGTGTGCAAGGAGGTTGAGCCCGAAGTGGTGATGTCCTTCCTGAACGAACTGTACAACAGACTTGATTCCCTGTTGGATGTGTACGGCGTGTACAAGGTGGGTGTTCGTTGGGTGGGCCTTGCTGGTCCCCGTGAACGTGTGCATGCATGGGACGTGGGCAGCTGTGATCTTACATGGTAAGGGACCAACTACCGCGCGCGATCGCTGTAAGCAGCAGGCCAACACCCCTCTGCTGGAACTACTGCGTGTGTTGTATCTTTGTTTACCTGTATCCTACCGATTAGGGGCTGCAATCTTACCTCAGGTGCATTGGGAAACGCGGCATACATCTCATCGCACAAACACTGCTCATCAAGTCGCTGCGCAATCGCTGCATGTGCATGTGGACCTTGCAGGTGGAGACCATCGGCGACTGCTACATGGTGGCGGGGGGCCTCATCCGCAAGGACGAGGAGGGCTTCCCCTCCGTGCATGACCCGGGGGCAGTGGACCCGCTGCACGCGGTGCGGGTCATGAGCTTTGCAAAGGTAGGGGGGCAGCGGGGGGCTGGCGGGGGGTTAGACAGAGGAGATGGATATTCAATACTGCTGGGATGGAAACGTTTGGATTGCATACAAGGTTGGTACAAATACGTCTTCAGGCTGTGGGCCTGATACGCATGGCTGGGCGGATGGATGGGAGAGGGGCTCTCTATCGTACCGATGCGATGTACCCCAGCTACCCCCCGCCTGCCCTGGCATCCCCGCCCGGCACCCCCGCCTTCCGTCCCTCTAAAAGGCGATGCTCCGAGAGGCTGGGCAGCTGCGCATGCCGCTGAGCGGAGATCCGCTGAAGATCCGAATCGGCATCCACTCGGGCCCCGTGGTGAGCGGCGAAGTACGGGCCTGAATGTACGGCGGTAGTCTGGCTGCTTTCCCCGTGGGACGGTGGGGTGTGGGTTGTCAGCCGTCCTGATTTCGTTCCATGGTAGCGTTAGAGACTGTATTGTGCACAAGTGAGGCCTATGCGGCAATGCTGCAAAACCTTAACTCCTTGCGGTTTACCCCACCTGAGCGAGTAGGTCAAAGCCTTGCTGCACATGTTGCAGGTGTCGGGTGTGGTGGGCATGCGGATGCCGCGGTTCTGCCTGTTCGGCGACACAGTCAACACAGGTGCGCCCCCTGCCGCTGTATGTTGGCTGCTGATGCGGTGTTGTTGCTGTATGGACCGCTGTGTCCACATATACGTACACGTGAATGTAGTTTTGGGTATAGATCAAGCGAGGTTAGGTACGCTCATTGAGCTAACTAAGACCTGCAGCTCGAACCGCGTTTCAGACTATCCTCTTCTGCTTGCCTGCTTGCCTAACCAACTCATGGCGTTCCTTCGGCTTGCAACCCGCGTCATTGCTCCCCATCCCCACGACCCAGCGAGCCGCATGGAGAGCACTGCCGAGCCGGGCACCATCCACGTGTCAGGAGATGCGCAGACGCTGCTTCGCAAGGAGTACTGGGAGCCTACCGGGGGTGTGGAGGTGAGTGAGAGAAGGGGCGAGCAGTGAAACCCCTGGGTTGCTTGCGTTTAAGGAGGACAGAGGGCCAAGTCAACTCCATAAGGACCCCGCTACCTGGTATTCAGACACCCGAAATTAGTCGGAGTACCTCGTTTGTTACGATGATCCGTATAGAACCTATAACATTGCGTCCTGCAGGTGAAGGGCAAGGGGCTCATGCACACCTTCGTCTGGCGCGGTAACGACTCCGAAACCGCACCCCACCTGCTCCCACCTGGCGCGTCCATCTCGGGCGCTGCAAGCGGCGGCAGCGGCTCTGGAGGAGCTGGAATGCCCACTCCCCGCCGCAGTTGCACCGCACCCCGCGAGAAGTTCCCATCCGTGTCAGGACTGGCGGCCCATCATCAGGGCATGCCGCCGCACGGCTTGGGCGCCGGAGGCGGCGGCGGAGTGGTTGGCGGTGCACCCCGTGTAAGCTGGCAGCCGAGGCGGAGCAGTACGGTGCCGCGGGAGGAGGGAAAGACCGCGCTGCCGCCGCCGTCGGGGGCGTCCGTCCTGCATGGGCCTGCATGGAGGAGCCCCTTGAGCAAGAAGGTACGGGATGGATCGGTTGGATCCCGTACCAAACATACCGGTATGTCTGTGTTATTTTTGTGTTAACCGTGTTGTATTTGAGTAAAACAAGAGCAAACGTGTGTGTTAGCGGTTAGTTAACGGGAGTGCTCTTACAAAAAGGTAAGCAAGGTGGCAGCATGGCAGTTACATGGTTTACCGTAGGTCATTTGCTATTAAAACGACGGCGGGGCTGCTTCTGCTGCGCCTTACTCCTGCATGTTCCTGAGCGCCTGCGCATGTGCTGGCCAAGGTGACCCACGGGTCAGTTGGTTTGACCTCTAGCACTGGCTGCGGCTCTGCTCTTGCTTGGCTTCAGCTGTGGATCTAGCCTTTCTGGCGCCTTCAAGCCGGCAATAACCACCACGCCACCGCTGCATGCACTGCTGCTGCAGGGCTCACCACACCACCTATCACGGGTGAACGCCATCCGAGCTCATGAGCTGGAGGTGAAGGCGCTATTCGGGCCTGACACCGGCAAATCGCCGCAGCTGCCATTCTCAAGAACGACGAGCATCCAAGAGGCTGCAGATGAGCCGGAACTGTTTACAGCAGCATCAAGCGGACCGTTGGGGTACTGAGCGTGGGGCGAGTGGGTCGGGGCGGGCCGCATCAGTAATGCCTCGTGCATGTGTCAGCGGGGTGGGGAGTGGTCGGTTGCCGTGAGGCCGCTCTCGGGGCCGCTGTCGAGCATGTAAGGTATGAAGAAGGAAGCGGGTAATGGCAATGAAAGGGAAACACAGGGAGGGGTAAAGTGTCAAGAAGATTTGAGAACCCAGAACGGTATGGGACCCAGAACGGTTCAGCAGAGCAGCGACTGCGGACTGCGACTGTGAGCAGCGGAGCAGCGACTGCTGTGGGCGGCGGTACTAGAGAAGTGGGAGGACTCCCACATGGTGTCACATGGTGCAATGCATGCACCCTGATATAAGTCATTTACGCAAACGTATCCTTGCCCATCCTGCCTGCCTGATACTTTGATTCAAAAGCGGCCCTGGACAATGCAATTAAGTACATCTTTCCAGGGCTATGGACTTCGGATGGGCTTTCTTCCAGGGGTGGCCTACTGCCCTTCTGGGCGGCAGGGTTGAGAGGCCGGGGCGGGATGTTGGGTTTGGGTTTGATGCTGTGCTCGTTTAATCGTCGCCAACTTGAATTTCCTCAGACGACAGTTGCAGAAGGGAGGTAGGTTGCACCACTTAAGTGACGATGGACATGAGCACGTTTGTTGCAATGCATGCCTTTGAGCACGTACGGTAACAAACACCCTGGTGTTGGAATGGAGCGCGCGCCTGCCAATTGCGGTCGCTCATGCGGTTGACGTAGTGTGGGCTCGCCACTGGCACACCTGCCAACAACATGCGGGGGGACATGCACTTTACGAAGGAGTGTGACGTGATGGCAGGCATGCGTGTATGGTATGTAGGGTTATTACCGCACTAAAAACAACAACGCAACCATGCACGTGCGTGATATAAGCATGCTTGAAAGGTTTTGGTGCTGCTGTACACCGCGGGCTTTCCGACTGCTGGATGCTTGGGGATCCTTCCTTCCTGTATGCATTTGACTGTTTTCTGGTTTTTAACATGCGGCGGTGGATGGTGTTGGGATTGTCGTGGGTATCGTGTATACTTGGTCGTTGGCTGTGTGTTGAGTACCTGTGATACGATAACGGTGTGAAGCATGTTCAATTGATGCCGATTGGGAGTATTGGAAAACTTAGCCCTTGGCCCGTTATCCTTTTGTTAGGCAAGTTATGGTGTATTGTTCAGCAACGACACGGGCTCTTGCAGCAAATCGTGGTTTGGTGTAAAGCAAATGTAAGGGCACCTAGTATATGGCAGTCGATGGTGACGATAGCTGTATGAGGGGGCTTCACCACTGGGTTCGTCATGATGGCTGTGGTTAGGGAAGGGGCCTTACTTTTCACCCTCCCCGTGCTTCTAGTACACCCGACAACGCGTGACGTAATTGTGCTGCCACTTACGGTTAGGGGAGCGGCTGGCCTGCACGGCCTCTCACGCACAGCGCGGATTGGGCGGGGGGGAGGGAGGTGGATGACTAAAGATGATGAGGCGCCTCCTGGTCTGGTCACATGATCGCCATTCATCATACTTCTAGCTCAATATTCGTTGGTGGGCTATGTGTTTCCGCATTGCATTCGTTCCAGTGGTAACAATACGTTCCTGTACTGATGAGGAGGGGCTCCGCTCTTTTCCAGCGTTGAGGAAGCTGAACCCCCTTGTTATGGGAAAGGGTTTGCGAGAGGGCAGGTGGGTAGCGGATGGGGAATAAACAACATACCAACGCATAGGAAATTTCAGTAAGGGCAAAGCAAAGGGGATGGGAGGCGGTAGAGTGTCACAAACACAAAACGTTAAAAAAAGGACAGCCGCAGCTGGCTACAGTTCATCGACCGTTACTATGTGCCGCACACCTAGCACTGCCTTCTCTTGCTTTAGCCCAGTATGGATTGCTAAGAAATGAACAGGTACCGTTTAGGGATCTGGTAAGCAGATGTTGGGAAAGAGGTCAGGGGCCTGAGGCTAGGGTTGGTTGGTTAACCGCTTTGCACTTGTGGCGTCGCCTATTTTCCTACGCACAATTAGATTATGTTCTTCACCGCCGTTTTCTTCATGTGTTTTTTGCCGCTGCGGCCCGTTCACAACACAGCGGCGTCTCCCACAATTGCGGTCCCTCCGTATTCCTCCGTCCAATCTGCAGTTAGTACGGTCTCTCCGTCTTCCTGCATCCTTCCGCGCTGCGGTTTCGCCCTGAACATCGATGATCAGCTTCCGTGCCTATTGCACCCGCACATTCCATGCCAGGCGCCTTGGCCGTGTTAAAAGTTTACGAGCTCTGACGTACACTAACGCGAGCTAGCGTGGTCCCTCCGTCTTCCAGCGTCCTTCGGCGCAGCGATTTTGTGCTTACCACAGGTGATCACGTTCCGTACCTAATGCACCCGCATTTTCATTGCCAGGCGCTCGGGCCGCGTCAAATGCATATGAGCGCAGCCGTACAATGACGCTCTTCCTCCTAACGAGCCGGTATGTTCGTATGCTAGTCCACTGCCTTTCTGATTGGGCTTGAGCTCTGCTCGCCCGTCATCCATGGCCCAATTTCTGGCGCGGCCTACACCATGGTTCTGACTTCTGGAGCTGGTCTACAGGATGTGAGCTGCTGGGCTTGCTGGCGTTGGCGAGGCGCTCTGGCGTGATTGTGGCGTTCCGGCATGATGACCTCCTTCGGACCGCTCTGGAGCGCATTCCCGCAGTTTAGCCTGCCCTACAGCGCGCTATCCCTTAGGTCCTTACTGTTGGGCTTGTGCGGCGTCAGGAAACCTTTGAGTGAAAAGGTCTTCCCCCAGTGGCACTGGGAGCCGTTGGTATCGCGCTTGCCTTCTTTAAGGAGGGCTTTAGCCTTTGTGCTAAGTCAGCAGGCTAAGGGTCTGGCGTTACTGGGTGGCTGTCGGTATGTCGCTATTTGGACGGCCTGATGCGCAGATGTCGCTTGGTATGCCTTGGTGGCTTGCTGCAGTCTTCTCCGTGACAGTTTCCTTTCGGCTTCTGTGGTTGCGGGCCGCGATCTTTCTGGTGCTGGTTTGGCAGTATCCGTGTGTCGCTTTTCTCTGGGACCCTGGTTGCCGGCCCCTGTTCCAGGTGCTGGGTTGGCAGTGCCTGCATGTCGGACTTTAGGGAGCTGGTTTGGCAGCCTCTCTGTGTTGTTTCTCTGGGACCTTGTTGCCTGTCCCTGTATCTGTTGGGCACGGTTCCCTGCCTTGTGCACGGCGTGCCCCCTGGGGTAGGGCGGTCGACGCCCTGTTAGAATGTACGTCTGACGATGGTCTCAGCTTCTGTCCTCCAGTGTAACTTCCGCTTCCTAACAAGGCTTGGATGTTACATGTCACGGTGGGTCTTCATTCCTGTGTTCGACAATTATGATAACCCCATTGGGGCCCATTTCTTTTCCCTAGAGAGACATGCATCGCATGTTAAATGTTTATTATGTCCCTCCCTTGGTGTTCATACGCCTTCCTATTCATTACAGTGTTGTAATACTTAAGAGATGTGTGGCAAGGGCCGGTACAGTCCTTATCTCTGCACCTCAATCACCAGGCCAAACGGACTTCCCCCCATAGACAGGGGTTCAAAATCCTATAAATTTAGCTAGTACAGCCCAGCACGACCGCGATGGGGGTAGAAAGACTCTAACCGCAGATTATTATTATCAATATTAGGTACTCAGGCGCCATCTTAGCCACTGACAACGTGACAAGGCATCCTAAGCCGCTCGAAGCACGGCCGGAGGAGGCTATACCATACGGTAATCATATGCAGCCGGTCTAGCCATACTTAGGCAGCAAGAAACTGAGCAAGCAGAAACAAGATCATTTTAGGACTCAGCCATTCCTTCCAAGACCACAGGCCGCCACAGGCCGCAACTCAAATACTGGGGAAGAATCACGAGTCATGTGTGGGACGGGCAGGAGGGGCACAGGACGCAGCGCCCATGTAACATACACCCATCAACCACTCAAGAAAGAGACTGCGTGTACAAGTCTTGTTTGACCAAGGGTTGACCATGAACAACTTGGTATTAGGTAGGTACCAGGGGCTGCCAAAGTATCCGGATAAATAGGAAAATAACGGGGTAAGCTGCTGTGACCTTTATCATCATGCAAATAATGCAGCCATGCACACCGCAACACCCTGACATGCACGGCAGCTTGCTGACGAGTCACGGCCAACGACCAGGAGCCCTCCAAGGATCCGTGGCAACTACAGCATGTACCCAAACCAACAATCAACAATAACCTCGGCTTGGGCACCTATGTAACGGAGCACAGACCTGCTCATGCGCCCAGAACTGAAGCCAACACGCGGCCTTCATGTGAACTATCAAGTACCGTAACGAAACCAGGAAGGGACATCCAGCAATTCTTTATGTAAGGACCTCTGCTGCTCCTCGGAAACCGCAGAAAGCCCCTTTTGCACAGGGTGCCGCACATTGACAGGCAGCGCATGCACGTTTAGGTCTTAAGTGGAGCGTACCATGGCACCCCCCCTCCGAAATCTTCCAGTGCTTCCCATTCAGACACTCATCACTCACAAGGCCACACCACACGCTCACCCGGACGACGACATGCAGCTCACCATTGCGCTGCACGAGTGTCACGCGGCGACACCCCCGGTAGCGCTGATGCAGGGCCGGCAGATGCCGCGGCCGCTGTCGCCGCCGGCAGCTGCAGCAGCGGCGGCTGCGGCTGCCCGGGCGTCGAAGCCGGGGACATTGTCAGCGCCGACAGGACCCCACGCGGCGAGGGAGGGATCACGCTAAGCGCATGCCCGTCCTGAGACACCCTACAGGTGTTGGGCCCGCTTACCAAGCCCTCCACGCATGACATACGAATGCTGGCGAGCTTCATCTTGGCGTTCATGGAGGGCGCGGGCGGGGAGGGCGCGCCGTCATGGGACGCGAAGGGCGGTCGGAGCCCGCTCGCCTCGCTCCCACAACCGCTGCTGCTGACTCGGCCGCCAATCACCACGACACCACCGCTGCCACCAGCACCAGCGTAGCCGCTGCTGCTGATTCGGCCGGCAATGCCAACACCGCCGCTGTTGCTAACGCGGCCACCAACACAGACCGCAACACCAGCAACACCTCCGGAGTTGCTGATGCGCGCAACCCCACAAAGCCCACCGGAGTTGCTGATGCGGCCTGCACCACCACCACCACCACCACAGCCACCCTCCATGTAGTTGTCGCTCTGCCAACCACCACCACAACCAACACCCCGACGTGCGGAACCGGGTGTCCGGGGCGCTTGTGTCGGGGCAACAACGGGAGCCGCTGCGCCGTATTCACGTTGCTGCAGCCTTTGCAGCTGAGCGGCTCCCGGCGACAAGCATGGGGTGACGGCTGGAGGTGCGGATGCATTTGCACACTGGCGGAAGCGCCGGTCGAACTCCGCATCCACGGCTGCCAGAGCGGCGGAGTCCTCATCAGGCTGCAGGCCAGTTGGGGGGTTGAACAACATGCACTCGTCAGGATGCTGGAGCCATGATTGTGGTTCCCCATGGTTGGGGTTGCGGTAATGATGTTGCATACAACGTAATCATCCGGGCATCATGCCACAGCAGTAATTCCAGGCAGCAGTTCAGCAGCCACAACATAACCGCCACAGCCACACGAGGCACAAATCACCTCACACGACCCACCACAACACCCACTTGCCACCTCACACGACCCACCTGGACCTGCTGCACGACACAGCTGCTCCTCATCGCCGTCGGCGACGGAGGCGCAGAGGCCTTACTACTACCAGCCGCGGCCGCCGCCACCGTCACCGCCGTCGCTGTTGGTGGCACTCCGCCCGCCAGTGAAGAGGGAGCCGACGGTCTCACAATCCCAGTCGCTGAAGCTCCGGAACCAGAAACCTGCGGCGTCGAGCCGCCCCTACCCGCCGCCGCTGCCGCAGCAGCAGCCGCTCGACGGGCCGCCGACGCTTGAATGGCAGCACCCCCGGGCCCTATAATGCTGCCGCCGCTGGGCGTCAGAAACGACCCTCCGCTGGGCCGTACCGCCCCCGGAGCCCCCTGTTGGCTGTTGCCGGGAACCGAGGAAGACGAACCGCCGCGGGGGTTGCTGCTGCTCAGCCTCTGCGTCATGCTGACATCCCCGCCACGTGTAAACGACAGGGTACCGCCGCCTCCGCCTCCGCCACCATGGGCGCTACGCTCCGTATACGACTTGCCAGATACGGCGGCGGCAGGGCCTCCGCCTTCGATGATGATATCCGGAAGACGGAAGGAGTTGAGTACCCGGGTGAGAGTGGAGGGCGGCGGCGGCTGCGGTGAGGCGGAGCCGGAGCCAGTGTGGGAAGTCCGGCGGCTGCGGGGAGTGGGAGGACGGTCTCGAACGCTGTTTAGGCGCTGCACGGGCAGCGGCCCCATGCGCGGCAGGTGCTCTGCGCTGCACGGTCGGGAGCCTGAGGGAGAGTGCGGGTCGAGGAATGGGGCGGGAGCTGATGCTGGTGGTGCTGCTGCTACGGGGTTCCCAGCAGGCCAGGGAGCAGCGGTCGAAGGAGAGACCGCTGGCCGAAGGAGATCTGCTTGGCCGGAGATGGATGTGGTTGGGGTGGCTAGGATGGCAGGAGTGTCGATGTTACCGAAGTGTCGTGGGTGAGGAGGTGGTGGTGGCTGAGAGGGCGGATGCGGGCTACGGCTGGTGGGTTGAAGCAGCGAGGAGGCCTGCCGGATGAGCGGTCCTAAGAAGGACCGTGGAGAGGGCGGGGGCGGTGCGGAGGGGGCGGGTACGGTTGCGGAAGCCAGCGCAGCGGCCGTCAGCGGTGTGGTGGAGTCTCGGTCCAGGCCGGGAACAGCGCTGGCGGAGGGTGTTTTGGGACCGGCGGGGGACTTTGTGGGCCGTAAGTCGCGAGGCGGGGGAGACACGAAAGGGACATCCCGGGTGATAAGCATGCCGGGCGCTGTGGCGCGCTGTACGGAGCCGCTGGAGGAGGCAGCGGGTCGGCTTGGGGAGCCGGGTTGCGAAAGGTTGTCCGAGTTGAGCCGTGGAAAGCCGGGCGGTCGGGGCAAGGAGACGGAGGCGTTGGCCTCCATTGCCCGCGCAAGCAGTGAGGAGCGCCGCATGAGTTTGGCGGCTGAGGGAGAGGAGAAGCTGTGGAGGGGGGAAAGGGAGGGGTGGGGCGAGGGGAAAGGGGGAGAGAAGGAGAGTAAGGAAAGCGCGCGTCGTGTCCTCAGGTTGCGGTAACCCAGTTAGGGACCAGGAGCCCCGGCTGTCATCCATCGGCTCACGTGTTGCCGCAGCATGCAGGCGCAGCCTTAGTATACTAGAGAACCCTTTCTTACCTGTCATTTCGCAGGTCGCTAAATTGGCCGTAGTTTTGCAACTCGGTGCGCATCGTTGCCGCACTGCTCAAACGGGCAAGTCTGCGGGACTGGCTGGTGGCCAGCTTGCTGCGCACGCTGTTTTCAGAGAAGCTTACATCACTAACTGCAGGTGAATGAGCTGCAGGCGAATGATCGCGGTTCAATCCGACTGCATTCGCGAGCCCGTGCAAGAGCGTCCCCACGAGCCCAGTGCCCTCGCGTCCGCCACCCTTGCCGGGGCCTCCTTTGGGAGTTGAGGGCTCAACCGTCGAGTTACGGCGCAGAAGCCGTCTGCTAGCTGAAAAAGACGACCGAATTGCTGCGGTCGCATTGCGAACGCTTGGGGCGCCCGCAGAGGACCTTTCAACTGGAGGTAGAGCTTCATGCTTGCTGGTGTATAGTCCCTTGGCCACAGCTTCGTCCTGAATGCGACACGGGATAGAGTCTGACTACAGTTCCTCGCTTACGACCTGTTTGGCGCAACGCACCTCCCAATCCGCTGAAGTGACCTTTTCGACATCACTGAGAACGGTCATCGGGCTTGCGGCTGGCATTGACATCCCAGAAGGCCGTCCTTACGCAGGAGGAAGGTTGCCTAGCTTATGACACAGAGCCGCAATCCACTATCTTTACGCCGAGCCTGAAAAAATATTGCAAGTACCAATCGATAGCATTTCGTCTCGTTGGTTGAAGAAGGCGGTACTTGAGTCAGGCTTCAAGTCGCGGCTTTAGGAAATAATGTGGGCCTGTTTAGTGTTGAAAAAGCAGCTTCCCTTTCTTTTACACAGTTTTCTTTAATTGCGCAATCTTACGACACAGTGTGACCGGCCAGCTAGCACCGGTTTGTAGTACGCAGTGGTACGGGTAGGAAGCGGCGAAAAGGCCGGATTACACTATCCAAAATAGCAATTTACATATGTCGACGTTTACCGTAGCCATTTGTATGAAGTTGCACCGGTAGACTGGTACAGGTAGGTGAAACGTCACGGACCGTGGCCGTCCCGCAAAACAAACAGGAACGGGTCCCCTGGAAAGGGCAAATGCAATAAACCATGCTACATTTAAATTTATCCGGTTTTGCAGGCGTCCGTTCCGACAGCATCCTGCGCACACAGCCAAGCCCTGCCCTACCAGCTCCTCCCCTCGTAATCAACCGTCTCCATACCTCTCGCAAAGATAAGACGTTGTGCCTGCATCTCCCCACTACTCCATACATCCTCCCTGCCCATCCCCACCCAACCATGCCCTCGCTGCAACCTGCTGCGTCCATCATCCCAGCATCCTTTAACCCCGACCCCTAGCTACAAATGCAGCCGCCCCATGACTCGTCCCGTCAACGCATGCGCCAAAAGCGCAGGCACCGCGGCATCCGCCAGATTCACCCCGGGGTCCAGGGAAGTTGCGAACCCCACAATCACGCACACCGCAATCACAAGACTCGCATAGCAGCTGTCGATGGTAACACCGTGCAGCCGAGCCAGTCGCAGTACGACTTTCATGACGCCGTCGAGGTCAATGCCGGCAGCGCTGTGCACGTTGCAGGCGCGTGCGGCCAGGGAGGCCATGGCGGCGGTGAAGGCGGCGGGGTCGGGGCAGGCTTGGGGACGGGAGGTCCAGCGCAGGATGTGGGATGCCGCCGATGCACCGTCGCCTGTGTCGAGAGAGTGGGAATGTGTCGGTAGTGGAATGCTCTGTAAAGTTAGAGCAGAAGAGGTTAGAATCCTTAAAAAAGGAAGTGAACAACAGAAATCGTTAAGGGAGGGTGAATACCCAGGGCAATGAACACGCAAGAAAACTGCAGCAGTTCAGCAGCACAGTGTAGAGCACTTCTTCTTCACCCCTTTCCATCATATTAGTCCGCTGACCTCGCATTAAGTGTTGCAAAAAGGAGATGAAGTGATGCCGTACGGACGGCGTCAACTCCTCCGCCAAACCGAAATCCAGCAACACCAGTTGCACGGCAGGGGAAGAAGTTGCTGCTGCTATTGCTGGCGCTGGCGCTGCTGCTGCTGGACCGCTGACAGCATTACAACCACTGCCAACGCCGCTGCTGCTGCCGCCAGAGATGGATGCGCCCTGCAGCCGCCCTGGTGTGTGCGAGTGGGGCTGCTGCGGGTGCTTGGTCAGCGGCTGGGGTCTGCCATCTGGCCCCACTAGCCGTACCATGATGTTGCCTGAACGTGGCAATGGGGATGGTGGGAGTTGCAAAACTTGCTAAGCAAAGATGGTACCGGTATAGGGGGCTGCGGAGGCAGGGAGGCTGCTAGCTCTACAGGCCGGGTTGTGCGCTGTGAGTGTGACCCGTGGGTCGCATTGTACCGGCAACGCAACGAGGAGTCACCTGGGGCAGCGGCAAGTACGAGCAAGTACCCATCCCCCCCTTACCCGGATGCAGGTCGGTGTGCACGAAGTTATCTTGCAGCAGCATCTGCAGGTACGTGTCCACCCCCAGGCACACCACCGTGGTGTTTAGCGGCGAGGGCGATGAAGGGGCGGAAGTGGAAGTGGAGGTCGAAACCGAAGGGGGATGGGAGGCAGCAGAGGGCGCGGTGGTGGGAGCGCAGGAAGCAGCAGAGGGTGCAGGCGAGGGGCGTATGAGCGATGTGAGGCTGACGCCCGCCTCCCAGGTTTCCACCAACACCTCGGGCCGAACCAGACCAGGCAGAGGACGAGGAGTGGTCACCTGGAGGAGAGGGGAGGAGAGGGCGGTGTGGCGGCGGCGGCGGAAGAGGCAGGGCGACAGCAAAGGCAGCGGCGTTAGTTGGCGGAGGATGGCGGGCAGGTTGGGAATCACTTTTCGTAGGTTGCCGCCACCACCACCACCACCAGCCCATGCCACAAACACCCTTGGCCAGACCAACCAAACCGACCGCCACCCAACCGCGCCATGTGACCCACCACACCAGACACCACCTCATGGACGCCCCGTACGCACGCCACCTCAACCGCTCAACCGCCAACCGCTCAACCAACAAACCTGGCTCGCCACACGTGCAAAGTTGGCGTGGAAGCGCCTCAGGTGCGCCGCCTCCACTCGCAGGTCCGCCTGAGCTGTCATGGTGCAACTGAACTGGGCCACCGTTTCGGGCAGGCTCAGCGAACGCAGCGAGGGAAGCCGACCCGCGGCAGCAGCCAGCGGACGCAGCAGCGTGAAGTCCTGAATGGTTGAGTCGAGGAATGGAAGGAAGAGAGAAGTCAAAGATAAACGAACCGAAACGAACGAAATCAGAGGTTAGGGCAAGGCAAACCAAAGGAATGGAGTTTCCACCCGTTTTGGCGTGTATGCGTTCCCACCATCACACCCCACCCGTCGCGCAGTACCGCCAAGCACCCACCTGCCGGATCCGCAGCGCCACCCGCGGGTGCACCACTTTGACCGCCGCCATCACCGGGGTGCCGTCGCTGCAGCGCATCAGGGCGCGGTGGACCTGCGGCAGCGAGGGTACGGTGCAGAGAATACGCAGCAGCGTGTAAGGAGAATGTGATACCGGGAATAATGGTGCACTTCAGGCAAAAAGAAAAGGAGGGCCTCTTTCATTCGGAGATGCGAGGACGAGCTACGGAAGCAAAGATGTGTCCTTTGAAGGCTACCGGTACTGCTTGTGAGGGTTTCCGCATGCATGCCCACATGACCAAACCCATGCGGGCTCCCGTCGCCCTCGCACACCCCACCTGCGCAATGCTCCCCGAAGCCACGGGTCGGGGGTCCAGCGACTCAAACATGGTTTCCAGCGGAACCCCGAACGACCGCTCGATCTGCATACAAAGCAGGATGTGTGGAGATGTCAAGGGAGCTGAAGGTTGGGAAAGCTTGTGGGCCTCCATCCGATCATGCCGTACGACGCAAACACCCATGAACGGTACTCTTTAACACTCTGCTTTTAATCCGTGTTATGTCTTGTACCACATTGGATCCGCAGTCGGTTGACATTCCACGACGAACTGAACTAACTAACCGTCTAACTAAAAGAACCGACCTGGCGCCGTGTAAACGCAAAGCTGTGTGTGGGCGCCCGGTCATGCAGCTGCGACAACGCCTCGCAGAAATCGTCCGGGAAGAGGTCTACGCGGGTGGCTGCCCATTGCCCCCACTTGATGAACGCAGGACCACTGCTCCGGCACCCAACCAGTAGCAGCCTCCAGGCTTGCCGGCGGCAACCCAACGCCGCACCAGCACGCCAGCGGCTGCATCGGCCGCCGCTGCTGCCACTGCCGCCGCTGCTGCCTCTGCCGCCACGGCTGCCACTGCGGTCGTCAGCATGAGGGTCGCGGCTGGTGACCCTGCTACCAGCAGATCCGTCCGCAGCATTGCCAGCTGTACTGCTACTAACTCCCACGGGAAGCTCATCACCCGCGTCAGTGCCCGACAAGGTGCTCGTGCCCGTGCCTCCAGCAGCACAGCGGCGGTTGAAGGCAACCGAAAGCAGCAGCAGTACGACGCCAATGGTGAGGAAAGGCAGGAATACGATGAGTAGGTAGCTGGCACGGCAAGCCAGTCCCAAGCGTTCGTTCAGACCCATGGGTCGGTCCAGCTCCGCCAAATGCACGTGATCTGCCCTGCCGTACAACGGCAGCCCCAGCGCCTCCACCTCCGCCTGCTCCTGCTGCAGCAGCTCAGCCGCACGAGCCGCAGAGAGATTGTGAAGTTCGAAACCCATAGCCCCTGTGATTCCGCCGCCGCCACTGCCACCACTAGAACCGCCATCAGCAGCAGCGTCAAGACCTGGGAGGGGCTGCTGAGGAAGCGTGGCGCTGGCTTGGGGCAGCTCAGGCGATCGCTGCAGCGGCGGCTGGATGCCGATGTATGAGTTGTGATGGTGGATACCGGTGGTGCTGGTGCGGGTGCTGGCGGGTGGCTGCTGCTGCTGACGCTCCTGTAGGTTGGCAACGGCGCTTTGCACCCGCTGAGCAGACGACGAAGAAAACAGCTGCTGCTGCGGCGGCGGCGGCGGCGCTAGCGGCGACGGTGTAAGTATTACGGGCACAGAGGTCTGTGAAGGCGGATGTGCTGCCGTCGCTCCCAGGCTGCTGGCGCTTGCTGCCCTGGGCAGGCCCCTTAGGGCTGCTGCTGAAGTTGAGGACGAGGACGTTGAGGAGGTGGATGCGGAAGAAAAGGTGGAACAGGTGGAGGATGAGGGCGGGAGCGGGGATGCAGCTGGTGCCGAGGAGGCTGTGGGAGGTACGATGGGCACTGAAACGGCCGTGCGCAGTAGCTCGGGGATGGCGGGGCGGGTAGGGTGGTTGCTGCTGCCTGGTTGAGGTGCCGTACCGGCTCTGGTACCGGATTGCGTGGCAGCAGCATTCGTAGCTGCCACAATGGGAACAGCAGCTGTGGCGATGGGTGTAGACGGAGGCGAGGCCACTGCAGCCGCCATCGTAGCGTGCACCCTTGCAACAACGCCTCCCGCCATGGACCCTGTGTCCTCTCCACCGGCCGCAAGCGCGTCCGGGTCAATTCCCGCAATGCCAGCCATCCCTGCCGGATCCCTCGTTGCCACATGCCGCAGCATCGCTCCCCGCGCACCGGGCTCCTCCAGCCGCTGCGGCCGCCGCCTCCGGTGCCTGTACGACATGCGCAGCAACAGCTTACAACCGCCGCCAGGGCCACTGCTGCTGCCGCCGCCGCCAGGCGGCACATACCCACCATCACCGCCGCGGTCCTTGTGAACCCGCATGTTATCATGGCCGGCGGCGCTGCCACCGCTGCCACCGCCAACGCCGCCGCCAGCAATACCGCCCGCGACGTCGCCGCCCCGCGTGCCGTACGCCGTCAAGCAATCCAGGGCTCCGTACAGCGGCATGCCGTCGACGGCGACGCCCGCTGCGATGCTGCAGCTCTGCAGGGCGGCTAGTGCGGGTGCTAGGGGCGGCTGGGGCGGGAGGTCGGCCAGGTGGCGAGCGAGGCGCTGCGCTGCGGCCTTGTGACGCCGCCGCCAGGCCATCTCACGGGAGCGACCTGTGAGGGGCAGGTCAGGTTTCGGTTTGAAGGGAAGCCCGCTGGGAAGCTTTAACCCATGCTCCTCCTCCCCCTCAAACCGTTCCCGCTAAAACTGCGAATGGCTTATTAAATCCGTTGTAGTCCAGTTAACAATACAGTGTGGGGAGGTCCCATAAAGTAGCAAACCCGTGTAGATGACTGGATGGCGATGCGGATCAAAGAGCGGCCATGTCCCTTTGGCAATCGACGATCACTGGCATGCGCGGGCACAGCGACACTGGTGTGCGGTATTTAGGCACTTGTCCTCATGCATACGTGCATGCCATACACCCATAGTGTGTTGGCTCGCGGCGGTTAGCTGCTCCCCTCATACTCACCGGGCGGCAGCCTGCCCAGTTGGGCCTCACGTGCGAGGCAGTTGTACGACAAACCAACCGTCAGGAGATCCACAACCGCCTCCGCAAGCGCCGCACTGGAGGCGTGCAGACAGCGCCAGATAAGGCCGGACAGCGATAACAGCGTGGATGAAACTGGTGAGGAAAGGGAGAGAGGGAGAGTTGGAGTTAGCATGGGCCAAGGCGATCGGAAACACGAGGGCGTGAATTGCAAAATCCTGCCGCCGATGTGCGCGTACACCGGAGTATGCCGGATGCTATGACTCCGTGATATGTATAACCACGGCCAAAACTTCACATGCCCTTCCCTGAACGCATCCTTTTGCATGCCGTCACACTATTCCCTCACCCGCTAGTCGCTGAAACAGCTCTGAAGCGCAGCCCACAGCACGCCCCACGCCTCCAGCCACACCGCCAAGCCGCCGCCTTGCACTACCAGCCATGCGTCTGCCCAGGCCGACTCGCTTTGCACCCGCCTCCTTGACGCCTGCCTCCAGCGACATTGATGCCATCGCTGTCGCCGAGGGCCTCACAACCGGGGCCTTCCCACAACCGGGCCCCCAACCTGCAGCTTCCCCATTTACGGCTGCCACCGCTGGTGCTGCTGCTGCTGCGGGTTGTACGGCAGCATGTGACGAGCAGCTGCGGTTTTGTATCGTGGCCGTGACTGCTACTGCCGTCGCCGCGGCTGCTACAGCAGCGACAGTTGAGGCTCCTGGTTGCGTGAGGGATGACCCAAGGGTCGCTGTCGCCGACTGTACGAGATCACGGTGCAGTACGGAAAGCAGTAGCAAAGCCCCGGCGGTTGAGAGGTACGGCAGCAGTGGCGTGAACAGCCTTGTGCTGGCGGTTGCGGCAGTAGCTTGACTGCTACACCCGTGTTTGCTGGAACCGCAGCAACGGTCATGATTGCTGCCGCAGTCCTTTGCTGGTGTGTGGCACTGAGAGGACACGGCGTCCTTGATGCTACCGTTTGCAGCTTCAACCGAAGCGTTGCTGGACGCGGCAGTAGCACAGCCGTGGCTACCAGAACTGCAGCTGCCGCGATGGTGGGTGCAAAGGTTTCCTGAAGGCTGGGAGGTCCTGTGGGGCCTCTCGAAGCCTGCAGCAGCAGCAGCAGCAGCGACACAACACAAGAGCATCCGGCACGAGTGGTTAAGACGGCAGGGCAGCAGTAATCAGTAAGCGTAGTGAAGCCATGGCGGGATCGCAGGGCGAACGAGGCTCACAACTTCGCAGTACATGCGCTGTGAGGAGATGGAGGCATGTAAGCACAACAATTGTGTGAGCATGGATCAATTGTGTATGACGTATGACGCCTGATACTGCATGCCTGTGCAACCATGCGTCTGTTAGAGTTCAAGTGCTTGGCTTTGGATCCCCACCTGCCGTGCCTGTGCAGGGGCCCCACTGCAGCCGCACCAGTTCGATCCGTAAGTCGGGCATCCCGGAGGAAGTGGCTGCAAGCCAGAGTCCAACCGGGAAGCGAACCCGAAAGCCGCTTTCGTCGGTTGCATCTTTTATGGCTTTGACGTCTACCGTTTGGCGCGGGCAACACCGGCCGAAGCCTGCTGCGTGATCCTCGCTGCTTAAGCTGCAAGCATGGACGACAGGTTTCGCGACAGCGCAAGATATCAGTTATTCACGGCGCTTACCACTGAAGTATAATACTTCTACTGACTGACGTTACTTCCGCACCTTTGTATGATGCTTCCCGCCTGTGGCTTCGGCCAACGCTTGCATGGCTCCAGCGCTCGAATTTGTTGTGCGCCAATTGAAGGCCGCTCTTTAGGAGACATACTCGCTCGAGCGTTCCTATTGAAGTGCTATGCTTGCATTGCGAAGTGCCGCTATCCAACCATGGCTACCAAGGAATGGCGCCCAATACTAGGCTGGCAAATCCGTATTTGCTGCTCCGCTTACATCGCTCTGTACAAGTACATGAACCATATGTGGTAGCGTTCACGAAAGCGGGAGCTGCGGCTTGCTTTGGTGTCGTGTCGCGTTGGTTATCCAACGGACTCTTCACGCACGGGGATCTTTGTCAAGCACCCGGCACATGGACCTGAGGCCATGCTTAGACAGTATACCGCCTGTGCATTTCCCAGCGGTCTCTGGAGGGGTACCATTTCAGAGGAAAGTACTGCTTGACAACAGCTGGAGTTGCATTGGCGTTACAGCGTCAGGCAGGGGCTAGTGTGCCCTTACCGACGGGCGAGGCATCTGCGCGGATATAACACGCTTCATGTTATGGAGCTAAGCACCTGCATTCCTATGTGGGAGTCTCGCCTAGGTTACTCATGCGAGCAGGCCGCCCCATCCGTGGCGTACGGCACGCCTACCACACTATTTGGCAAATTCCCACTGGCAAATAGACGCCTCGGCACAAGCTACTTTGCCAGGATGTTATAAGAATGCATGAAGCCCAGAGGCGTGATCGATTATGCCCGCTAAACATGTACCGTCCTACAGGTCCGAAGCTGTACGTCGCTGTACATCGAGTACCGTACGTTGGCACGATTAATAGACTCGCAGCGCTTTGACTTGACCTAACACAATCTTACTACTGCAACACTTGAGAAATAAAGGAGCAAACCAAGAGAAATGCTCGACCATGTTATGTTCAAGGTCATCAACTATGAGGAATCAAAGAAGTTCTACGAGGCAGCACTGAAGCCTCTTGGGGCCAAAGTCATTAAAGAGGTGAGCATGATGAAGTTGATATTGGTGGCACTTATTAGGTAACACCCTCAACCGCTCATGACGCATGGCGATGCCGCAAGCAGGTGCCGGAAGCCAAGGCTTGCGGCTTCGGGACTTGTTGCCCGGACTTCTGGATTACAGAAGGTATAGATATATAATGTTTAAGTGACCGAAATTGAAAGAAATGAACATTTGTGCCTTACTTGGACTACCGATGCTCATGTATGAGCCTAAATATGGAGACACACGTGCTTGATTCGTCCCCATGCGCTTGTGTTCTTGTAATGCGCCAACAGCATTATAACACGTTCAACATATCCGCGCTTTGGAACGAATTGCGACAGCCCGAGACACGTGCCGCCTCCTGCTCCCCGCGCAGGTCCGGCCCCGACCTCCTGCCACGTGGGCTTCAGGGCGGCTAGTCGGGCCAGGGTTCGCGAGTTCCACGCAGCTGCCTTGAGGGCGGGGGGCAAGGACAACGGCGCACCCGGGCTGCGTCCGCAGGCAAGCTAGGAGAGGACAGGGCTGGAAATGTGACCGGACATCTGCAGACACAGCCAGGAAACTCATTACACAAGGCCATTGCCTGTCACAGCCCCGGCCAAAATGATCAAAACGCTTTAGGCCTTAATCCATGCCGTATAACCAACCCGCCCTGCGAATGTCGCGGCACATGCCGTACGATTTACTCTTTCGTACATTCCACATCCGCAGTACCATCCGTACTACTACGGCGCATTCGTACTGGATCCCAACGGTCACAACATCGAGGCGGTGTCGCACATGCCCGAGGGCTTCGAGTGGGTGAAGCTGCCGCTGGGGCTGATTGGCGGTTTCTTCGGCAGGTTTCGGCGCGGAAAGAACACCAAGGAAGAGTGAAAGGTTGCTGACAGCGACGGGGAAGCAGGTTAGACCGACTCGATGCATGGAAGGTATCGTAGACATGCAATCGTGAACTTATGTTGCCAGAGGCGTGCATTGTGTCCCATTTACTGCATGGTCTTCACGGTTGGTTTGGGCTCGATGCATGCTGCAAGGAAGGGGGGCATAGCTGCACTGTGGACTATAGTGGGGTATGTTTGAACTTTTATCGCCATCTATACGGCAGTTGGCCTCCGTCGATTGGTCAGGTGGGCGTTTGCACGCACGGCACTGGTCGACACATTGAGGGCAGTCCTTGCAACAGTTACATGATTGCCTCATCTCACGCGATCCCTCATGTCCAGGTGTTTGCTCTTTGCTCGTGATAACCTATTTTTACATTGTTGCGCCGAGGATTGCACCGGATGTCACAGCAAGGGGTTTGAAGTTTAAACACAGGTGAGGATAAGATAGATGTGTGCATGGACGCAACAGCGCATTGGATCTCGGTCGTCAATGTAAGGTACATCATTGGTGTAATCCCACCAACCCAAGAGCAAGAAGTTACGGAAGAATAGTCCCCGCCACTCTACGTGGCATCCCAGCAAGCCCGCAGGCTTTCCCATGTATCCGGAGTATATGTAGGCATACCCTCAGTCCGCACTGTCATTATAAGAAATGTCCTCCCTGTCTCAATAGTCGCAGCAAAACTCAGAAGACATGGTTACCAAAGGAGAAACGCAAAGTCCCAGGCCATAACCCGCACACACGTAAGTCGCATTAATCGCACGCCACAATTCCAGTGGCTCCATTGTACCGTACTACGGCATCCGTACCGAATAAAGGTGAGACATAAGACCTGAGATCTCCAATTTGAAGGTCCCAAGGAAAGGTCCGTCGGATAAATTTAGCTAATATTAGACAATGGGAAGATCGCACGCGTCAACGTACTGGTATCTGCAACAGTAAAACAGCCTGCCGTCATAGCAGTAAGGTCCCCGCTGTCCGAAGCTTCCTTCGAGTAAAAGAGTTCGCACACCAAGAGAACCCACAACGATGAGAAACCCGCTTCCTAACACCACCTGCATCACGGCTTGGGCACCAGCACCAGCACCTCCTGCTCCTCATCATACTCCACCTCACACCCCAGCTGCCTCAGCGTCTTCTCAACCCACCCCCACTTGTCGATCCGCCTGTCCAGCTCTGCCTCATGGATGATCTGTTTCTCCATCTCTGGCTCGCGCCACACAGTCCTCTCCACCACCCGATGACACGCCCGAACCAGCTGCTGACACACCTCCACAACGCAACCCACCACCTCCTCCCGCCCCGCCTCCCGCGCCCTTGCATGCGCCACGAGCACTGCAGGCACCACCGGGCTCGTCCACAGCCGCTGCGCTACCGACCGCGATCGAGCCAGGCAAGACACAAGGCCCAGCGCGGCGCGAACGAGCGAGGGATTCGTGGTTTCGGAGCTCCGACGCAGGATGGAAGCCAGAGGGCCCTGCAGTACGGCAACCGCCTCCTCTAGGTGCACCTGCCCACCCGCCATGAGCTGCCACAGCGCTCCACCTGCGTCGCATGCCGCTCGGTCCGCAACCTCATCCCGAACACCCGAACCACCGCCGCCACTGCCACCTCCGAAACCGGAATCGGGTGAAGATCCCGACGACCCAACCCAAGCAGTGGTCGTGCCGCCAAAGCAGCAGCCGCTTAGTAAGGATACAAGCTCCGAAACCGCGATGGGAGGCACGGTTCGTCCCACGCCTTCGTAGGCGGAGGCGGCGGAGTCAAGCATGCGGGCGGCGGCGGAGCGCAGGCGCACGCGGTCCGGGTGACCCATGGGTCCGGGCAGCTGCATGGAGAGCGCCTCGACTGCCAGGCTGTAGCTGTCTTGCGGGGAGCCTGACTGGGGTTCCGGGGGCAGTTGGAGCTGCGCGTGAGCCGCGTGGAGGTTGGTGAAGACGGAGAAGCAGGGCTGCGATGGAGGAAACGAGGAAGCAGGGTTGGGTAAGGGTAAACGACCATTGGACTGCGGGTCGCATGTGCTCATGCAATGGGTGCACAGGAAGAGGGCTAGGAGAGGAGGAAGAGAGGAAGACATGCCTAATTAAGCAACAAGAAAGCGCGCAAGCATGCACTCACTCACCTCCAGCAACTGCAGCCCAGTGCGCCAGGTGGTGCAACCGTTTCGTACAAGCTCGAACGACAGCCGCGCAACGCCGTACAGCGCAGCCGCCAGTGTCGTACCGTTGTCGGTTTTGGCTGCCGCGACGGCGGCAGCGCCGTCCGGGTGCATGGTGAGGTTGGCCAGGAGAGCCAGCAGCTGCATCCTGCGGGAGCGAGAACAGGAGGAGGGCAGGGCGGATTACGTTGAGGTACATGGGAAGACACAAGACTAAGAAGCAAAGGCATGCGGCCAGCTACCTCCAACCCGTCATGGAGCAACCCTCAAGGCTCCCAGCAGTCCTACACCTTGTGACGTACAACAATCCCCAAGCGAACCACAGAAAGCGCTGGGCGGCCCCCCACCTGAGATCCACTCCGCTGCCGCTCACAGCCGCCGCCGCCGCACTGCTCGGAGTCACCTCCGGTACGATAAACAGCGAGGTGATGTACGGCAACAGCCCGGGGCACTCGCAGACCCCCCTGCACCCCGAGGGACTCAGCGCAATCGCGGCCAGCAGCCCAACACAGTTGCTCAGAAGGTTCTGAACCTCAGCGGGAGCAGGAACCGGACCCGGCGGGCGACGGCTGCGGATCCGCCGTACAACGTCCAGTCGCGCCGTCAGTGTTGAGGCAGCCGCGGCCGCCGTGCCATTCGGTTGACCCGGCGTCGCCGCGGCGGACTGAACCTGAATCTGAAGCGCCGCGGGACGTCGCGGTCCTGTAGGAGCTCCACCGGCGGCGGCGGCGGCGGCGGCGGCGGCAGCAGTAGGGCTGGTGGCGGCGACCATTCCGGTGCCGCTGTTGCGAGGAGCGCCGTGCGGGGAGCTGCCGGACCCCGGGGCCCAATCGCTGGTGGTGGCAGCTGATGATGCGGGCTGTGTGCCGGTGCCTGCTCGGGGAATGGTGTCGTACGAGGACCTTGTGGGAGTGGTGGTGGTGGTGGTGGTGGTGGTGGTGGTTGTGGTGGTGGTTTCGGAGGGGCGCTTGTTGGTAGGTGGTGTGTCGGCAGCAGCGCCAGCAGTGGGAGGCTCCGGGTGCTGGGGTGCCGTCGGGGTGACGTTGGGGTCGGTGGGGTTGGAGGTTGTTGGGGTGGCGGCCTGGATGGAGGACGCTGCTTCTTGGATGGCACGCAGAATGTGCTCCTTGCCCTGCATGTGCGCATGCAAAGGAGTCATAGGGAAGGAGGCGGGGGAGGAGCTTCAGGCGAAGACCAGTGGGGTCCTGTTAAAGGCCAAGTTGCTCCTTCCCCAACGCGTTCCTCGTCCATCCGGCTCGACACCGGTACCCCTCCGAATGAACCCCTCCGAATGAACCCCTCCGAATGAACCCCTCCGAATGCCTCCCTTGCGGCACTCACCACCCACAACTCGCACCCGCACCCGGGCAAGTACACCCACCGTTAGCTCGACGCTGCTGTCAATCACGTTGCTGTCAATGTGCTCAGTGGTGGTCTCATGGCTAGTCGCACCAGCCAGCCGGCCCTCCTCCTCCACCTCCTCCGCGCCCGAGCGCCCGCCCGAAGCAGACCCCTCACTGACCCGCCCGCGACCCCCGCCGCCGAGCTGCCCCTCCTCCTCCACCTCCTCCGCGTCCTCCTCCCACTCGCTGCTGCCGCCGTTGTAGCGCTGCTCAAGGAAGGTCCGGGAAAGCAAAGGTCCGGGAAAGCAAAAGGGCGGGGTCAGGAGGGCGGCTTTAGGCAACTGGCAATGCCTGGAAAGGAGCAGCTGAAAAGAAACAGCAGCAGGAGCAGGAAGCAAACCATGACACCCTCACTCTCACCACATCGCCCCCCCAAACCCAGCAGCAGCAGCAGCAGCATCTCCCTACCTGCGGAGAGGCAGCCGGCGCCGAGGCCGGCCTGCTGCCCCTCGGCGTCAGCAGCAAGCTGGTGGACCCCGCCATGCCGCCAACCCCACCCGCCACGCCGACGCCACCACCGGAGGTGGCATGCGGCCCTCCCTGGCCCTGCCCCTGGGTTTGCGGCTGTGACTGAGATTGCGGCGTTGCTCCGGCGGGCTGCTGCTGCTGTAGCTGCTGTGCAGCTGCTGGGTGTTGTAGGCAGTCAGCGATGGCGGTGGAGGTGGTGGCAGCGGCTCCAGGGCTCACCTGCCGACCTCCCAAGGAGGATGCCGGGGAAGAGGACGAGGCGGCGGAGCCCTCCATCCTGCCAGCCTCACCACCGGGGCCACCCGTACCCTCAGCCTCGGGCTTAACAGCCCCTGCCGCTGCGGTGGCAGCTGCGGCAGCTGCCGCCGCCGCCGCCGCCTCCGCCGCAGCGGCGGCGGCCCGAGGGCATGTCGTACGCACTGCCCCCACGCAATCCTCACCCAACCCGACGTCACGCCAGGTAGGCACGTGGCGCAGCATCAACTCCGAAACCGATTGTACGACTCCGAAACCAGCTGATGAATCAGTTGGAGGAGGAGGCGGCCTGCAACCAGCAGCTGCATGCGGCGGCTGGGAAGCTGAAGCTGCTGCTGCTGCGGCTGCCAAGCGGCTCCGCAGCATGTTGCACTCCGAGGCCGCCGAGGTGCTGAAATCGCCCGAGGCCACCAGCCAGAGCAGGTAGGCCGCCGCGTTGCAACCAGCCAGCTGCAGCCGGTCCTGGGGGTGCGGGCAACAGCAAGAGCCAAACAGGTGTTTAGGACATTCCGATGCCAGAATGTCCAGAATATCCCAGATGTGGGGCGCCAGAACTGTTTCCCTATATTACACAAATCACCGTATGCCGGTATGGTCCGTACCTTGAGCACCCCAGCCAGCAGGTCCAGCAGGGGCGCCCCGGCGTCACGTAGCGCCCGCTGCACCGCCTGATGAGGGGGCACCAGGGTGGGAGGGGCGGAGCGAGAAAGGACATGAGGAAAGGATAGGTCAGGAGTAACTGCAAGGACACCAGCCTCCTCCTCCTCCCAGGCCCCCCTACCTCCTGCGGTCCGCGCCCCATGCCGCACGACGCCAGTGCATGCAGGCAGCGCAGCAACGCCTCCCGCAGCTGCAGCCCGCACCGCTGCTCCGGAGGCAGCCGCCGCACCGCCTCAGCAGCTGCCGCCCCTGCCTCCGCACCAGCATCCTCCACAGCCCCTCCGAAACCAACACTGCCACTGCCCTCCGCCATGTCGCCGCTACCGGAGGTTGCATGTTGGTGACCCGCGGGTCGGTCCCAGCCGAGTCCGGAGGAGTACTTCCGGGTGTGCAGCAGCAGTGCGACAAGGCGCTCCGGGACGAAGGTGGGATTGGGGGTTCCGGAGCGGGTGAGCGGCTTGCACATGGCGGCGGCACCGCATTGCACGTCGGAGAAGGCAGCGAGGCAGTCTGCGGGGAGGGAGGAGGGCAGAGACGGAGCATTGGCAGGATGACGTTGCAGGGGTGCAGGTGGCGATGTTTGTCGCAGAGCATCAATATCTGCTTCCCACCATACAGAGCAGGCGCCCCTGCCCTCCTCCCGCAGCCCACTTGTTCTCCCACCCAGCCAACAGCAATACCAAGGAAACGTCCTCCTACCTGCCACCAGGATGCCCCTCGCCGCCCGCTCTACTGCCTCGCCGCCCTCCGTCACACCCGCACCCTCCACCGCAGCCGCCGCTGCTCCTCCTCCCTTGCTCGCAGCCGCCGTAGCCGCCGTCTTTGCAGCAATCCCGGCCCTCGCTTTAGCAGCACTAGCACTCCCACCCGCCGTCGCTCCGCCTCGCTTACTAATGCCTCGCGACGTCACCCCAGCAGCCCCACCGCCGCTGCTGTACTGCAGCTTCCGTCGTACACCTCGCTTGCCACCGGCGGCGGCGCCGCCGCCGCCGCGGCCGCCGTCACGGCGCCCGTCACCATCACCATCCTCGTCCCCTTCCTCTGCCGCCGCCGCCATCACCAAGCCCTGCAGTACGACACATACTGCACGCAACGCGCCGCTGCCCTCCAGCGCCACAGCGCCGCCGGCGTCCTCCGCCACCTCCCGTACTGCCCACAGCGCGTCCAGGTCTCCCTCCGCAGCGCGTGCCGTGAGGGCTTCCAGCAGTCGCGGCGTGGCGAGGATGTGGGAGCGGAGCTGCGAGGGGCCGCTGCCCGCGGTCCGCCAGAGCAGTCCCAGGAGACACAAACCCGCCTGGGGGGGTCGGGAGGTGAAGATGCATGGGGGGCATGGGAGGTGGAGAGGTGGGGATTAAGTAGTTGTGAGTTTGAAAAATGCTGGAATTGGAAAGTTGGCGCTCGTCGGGGGCCGGAGTAGGGGGCAGGAAACCCGACCGTCCCTCATTTTCGCCCTTCCTCTGTTCCCCACCTGGCGTGTGTCGGAGCGGCTACTGGTGATGAGCTGCGGCAAGGCGGCGCAGACCTCGCGTGTCAGGGGCGGCAGCAGGGCGGGCTGCAGCTTGGCGCAGCGGGCCAGCAGCAAGGCCGTGGGGCACTGCAGTTGAGCTACCCCGAGGTTGGGGAGCATTCGCCGGAAAAAGCCCTGCACCTGCAAGTGCGGAAGGAAAGGGATGCGATTGTATGCAGAGGCGTGCCGAACGATTCCTAAGGCCTACTGTGGAGAGAGTTTTAGAGGACCTAGCTCGTAGGAGCAGAGGCATAGACCAAGCTTAACGGCAAACGGCATATGCATATACTAAACCGAGTAGAAAACGAATCCAGTGTTCATAGTGTACGCACATGCGCCTGCTCCACCTCCTGACGAGTCCATGACTTGCATAGGAGAGCGTCTAGCGCCTTCACGTGGCTGGTCAACGTGCCCTCTTTTGTGACGGGCCGAGTAGCGACATGTAGCGCTGTGTTGCAGCGTGTAAGGTCGTCGAGCTGCAAAGGAGGTTACCAATTTGGCGTTAATAACAAGAAACGCGTCACTGCGTAAGCGCTATTATAATTTTTGCAATTGCAAAGACCGCCATACCTTAAATGTAGAGTGTCTCCCGGGCTTGCTGAATCCCCAGCGGGGACCTGGCGTTTCCCACTCCGATGGGACATGCGAAGTCGAGTAAACCGTCCCCTCACCAGGCTGTACATCGCTGCCTTTGTGAAGCTTACTAACCGGTGTATCCGGTGCGCTCCTTAGGCTCTTGCTCCCTCGGGAGGTGCCACGGGTTCCAGGTGTGCCACAAGTAGCTCGCCCCGAAGCAGGTTGAAGCAGTCGAGGTGATGCTGTAAACTCGTTGAAAAACTTTGTTAAGATGGCGCTATCAACGGTCTGGTTCTGCTCCTTCAGTCGCACAACGGCATAGTCATCGCTATCAGAGGAGTCGCCGCGCAGAATGCCAGAGAAGCGAACGGAGTTTGTTGTGCTACCCGGGCCTTTCCTGCCCTCACGTCTTAAGCTGCTGCGCGTAGGGGTAGCAAGCGGGGAGTAATGCCCGTCCACAGACAGTATTGCGGACGCCATAAAGAAAGCATATTAGTAGTATATTTAATATAAGTATAATAAGACATAGGCTTCAGCTCGGGCATTGCCGCGCTTACATCGGCCCTTGTACGGGCGTTTTAGGGTGCGGTTGATACGGCAAATTGGCAGCTCGCAGCCAGGCGCTTCGCAACGTACATAAACGTATCACCCTCTACCGCCTGCAGACTAATCCTAACGAGAAACACCCATACGTAACGCGAGCGTGTCACTGCCATGCCGACTTTTAGCACCTACACACCGGTATGCAAGTGCAAACGCGCAAAGCTCTTCCCAGCACCGACCACAGTGCTAACCGGTCCGGCATCGTGGCAAACGTTGCCCTCCGCTGTCCAACACCGCTCCTCACGGCCTCAATCCGTCTTACCCCCGCCCTCCGCACCACCTCCTGAGGCCAGCAGCTGCTTCAACATGCGCCAGCAAGCCGGGTGCAGCTGCCGTGCTCGCCGCCGCAGCAAAGCCTCCGGATCCAGCAACCGCACCTTCTCTTCATCCTCCTCTTCCTGCTCCACCTGCCCCTCCTCCCCTGCACCCCCACCCGCCGCCCCGCCCAGCCCCTCCCGCAACGCCGCAAAGAGTCGCCACATCGCACCCTCAACCGCTCCATCCCACAACGGCTGCACCCTCCCTCCTCCTCCTCCGCCGCCGCCACCCCGGCATGCGGCCGCCTTGGACATCAGCTGCAGCAGCGCATGCACGCGGCCGGCCTGCTCCGGCGCCGCGCCGCCCTGCAGTACAGCCAGGGCCAGGGGGCTGCTGCCGCGCTGCCGCAGCAGCTCCCACGCCGCTCCGTGCGCCTCCAGGGGTCCACCGGCCTGGAAGGCGGGGCCTGAAGGCACAGCGGAGGCGGCAGGGGCATGACTCATAATTCTCACATGAAGGGGTTCATTCAGGTGGTCATTAGTGAACAGCAGGGCAGGACAGAGGGCATCGTGTCCTGCGTTCAGATGTCGGCACTAAAGCCATCGCCGAAAGCCAACAACCAGCTCCGAACCCACCCGCCAGCGCCGCCGGAACTCCCGGCACCGCCAGCATCCAGCGCGCCAGCTCTCCGTCCGCGCTGCTGGCTGCACAACCCAGTGCGGCGCAGCGCAGCGGTTCCGCCCCCGGCAGCGCTGCCGCCGCCGCGAACAACACCGCCAGCGAGGCCAGCACACCCGAGCCCTTGAGCGACGCCGCCAGGTCCACATTGCCCGGCCGCTGCGTCACGTAAAACTCCAGCACCTGACACACCAGCACGATCGCAGCCACCTCCTCCGGCCCTGGCCCTCTCCCTGTCCCCGCTGCCGCTGCTGCTGCCTCCGCAACCTCCTCCTTTCCCTCCTCCTCCTTCAGCTTCCCTACCAGCAACTTGCCGCCTGCCTTGCCGCCCGCTGCCGCCGCCTGCTTCCTGGCTTGCCCCGGCGCCGGCCCCACCGCCCGCGCCAGCTCCGCTAGGCACCGCTCTAGCAGCGGCAGCAGGTGGCGGTGCACCTGCTGCCACAGCCGCTGCCGAGCGGAGCCGCCGGCCAGCTGCCCCGCCAGACCCGTCACGAGCGCCAGACAGCTGCGCGCCTCAGTCAGGCGGTGCACCTGGGAGCAGGAGGGGCTGGGACCGGGGGCTCCGGAAGTGGAGGCTAAGGGATGCGGCCGAGAGGAGGACTTCTGCGTGAGGGGTGCAGGGAAGGGCGCGGGGGGTTTTCTTTCGCGCAAGCCTTACCGGTACTGTCCTACCCGGGTGCAATGCATGCGGGGCAGCACAAGCCCTATAACTCCTCTATCTGCTGGAGTTGCACTAACATAGCTCCTTCCTTCGGCCACTTGCACTCCGCTTGCACAGACATGCCCCTTACCTGCGCTGGCAGTGTCGCCATCGCCGCCACCCCCACCGCGTCCCATAGCCCCTCAAGCGCCGCCACCTCCTCAGGCTGCGCCGCCACCCGATCCGCCACCAGCCCCACGTACGCATGCAGCAGCGGAGCCAGCTCGCCCGCGTGCCGGTGCGCGCCCAGCGCCCGCAGCAGCTGGAACACGCCGCCCAGCAGCGACCCGTGGGTCCATAGCCCCGGGTCGTCAAGCAGGACGTAGGAAACGTGGGAGGAGAGGTGCAGCAGGCGGGAGCGCAGCGCGGGCCAGCTGTAGGGAGGCGTGGAGGAGCTGGGGTGGCTGGAGGACGGGCAGACGGGGCGGGTTGAGAGCGCAGGGGCTGCTGCGGGGGCAGTACCTGCGATGGCAGAGCGGAAAGATGTTGGATGAGATGAGAAGGGCAGTGGCCATGTAGCAACCAGAGAGCATGTAGGCATTTGTGCGCCACCCCCTAGCCGCCAAAGGGCTTTTTACCCAACCCCATCCAATCCTGCACACCCCGTATTGGCCCAGATCAATCCGACCCATGGGTCTCCGCCCTTTGTACCCACCGAAGCTCCACCCCTGGCCCCACCTTGCACCTCCAGGTCTTCAAACACAAAGTCGTCCCCGTCCTCTTCCGCAGCCATCAAGTCCTCATAGCTACCGCCGCTCCGGGCTGATTCCCCTGGTGCCCCACCCGCAGCGCTGAGGGCCGCCGCGGCTTGCAACGCCGCTAGGCCGCTGCTATCGTTACTGCTACACCCGTTGCTACAGGCACTGCTGTCCGCTTGGCCACCAACCGCTTGGCCATCTAAGCAGCTCCTCTCCTCCGTCCCTTGCTGCAGTAGTAGCTGTGGTTGCTGCTCAGCAGGAACGCCAGCAAGCTCCTCCCCCTCCTCCTCCTTCTCCTTCCCCTCCTCCACAGCATCAATGCCGCACAGTAACGCCCACGCGTCCTGCTCCGAAACCGTCAAGCAGTGCGCGACAAGCTGTACGAACACCACGGCGCAAAGCGAGCGGTACGCGGCACACAGCCGTTGGCGGTCTGTCGTCGCAACCAGCTCGGTGGCCAGCGAGGAACTGGGGCCGTTCGGCACCGCTGCTGCCGCTGATGGTGCTGCTTCTGCACCGTCAGCTGATGCCGGTTGCTGCTGCTTAGAGGCGCCCCCCTCTCCCTCTGTTCCTAACGAAGCGCTGGTTTCGGAGCTAGATGTGGGCTGTGGCTGCGGTGTTGAGCCGTTTGGTAAGGCTCCTGAGCTGGCTGGGCGGTGGCTCCCACTGTCGGCGAGGTCGCTGGGGCCAAAGCCGTTTGCAGAGCCCGACTCAGCCACCGCAGGTGATTTTGTTGCTGTTGCTGCTGTGGCGGGAACCGCGTTGGCGGGCGCTAGGGGTGGCCGCGCGCCTGAGACGATGTTTTCTAGCACCTTGGATGTCAGCGGGAAGGGCGGCTGACCGGATTTGAGCTCCAATGCAGAGCTGTGGGTGATTAGGAAGAGGAGCATGGAAAGCATGGGGTAAGGGTGTAGCCCTGGGATGTTGCACAACCAAGCTGAATCGGTTGGGAAGAGTTAACAAGCCGTTAAGTGATTTAGAAGACCCTTGTTGGTGCGCCAGCAAAAGAGGGAGGGCGGTGGCCGGGGACTCCACCAATTTACGGGAGGCGGAATATACCTGCCCAACCAAGTTGCCCCCTTTTTCGCACCGCAGAGTATCCGCGAGGCCCTCCAGCTCTTCCGGTGAGACAAGCTGCGATGAGGGGTGGATTGTAAGTGCACCGTCAACGGACAAGCGTAGGTAGGTAGAGCAGTCCTTACTGGGAGGTCATACTGCAGCTTTTCGTATGCCCGTTGACCCAGATCATGAACAGGCATGGACTTCCTCGACTCCAACTCCTTGAGGGCGGCGACTATGGCTGAAGTAAAAGCAGAACGCTCTGGATCAACAGCAATGCTCTTCTCCATACTGTCAGATAGACCGCCACAAGCTTTAATAACACCCTTCTGTGTATTTGGTGGCATCTAATTTGGTATGGCTTTAAGAAACTTTGTTCTCTTCACTGCGGCTCCCTGAGCCCAGGCCATCCGTCGACGTTAAGCAACAACTAGCCAAGCATACCGTAATATTATGTTTATCCTATTTTAGTGTACTACCTTTACCATGTGGTGGCAGGTCACGTTTGTAAATCTGGTGCCGGTACGGTCCTCCATCTTCCATGGGGCCAAAGACGCGCGTTTAACAGCCCGTTCTCAACCTACGCTTATGGTGTTTACGCTTAAACGTGAGCAAGTACCTTATATATTATTTATATGAGTGCTCCAACTGACAGTAAGGCGTGTATTACTCAGTGCCGACCAGGAGCCGACGCAGGACTAGTTTTTAGTACTAGGAGGGTTCGTGGCGACGTCGTCAAGACATGTACTGGTAGTAGACGGCAATCAGCGAAGAACAAAGGCCCCCGTTAGTTGTGACATTCCGACATGACTATCCCTAGCCCTTCCATCTATGTCGTCCTCAGCCTTGGTGCCCTCTCGGGCGGGGTTGTCAAGGTGCGTCCGCACCAGGGCGTTTAGGGCGGGCCGTCGGCAAAGCAAAGGATGTAACACAGCGATGGAGCACAAGCAGGAGTCTTGAATATAGAACTCCATATTTTTGTGCTGTGGAACTTTTTGTTAGACACTGACACTCGGTTGCTCTGCTACAGGGCATCACCGGCTTCGGGAACGCAATCATTAACCTGCTTGTCTGGGTGGCTTTCACCGCAGCGGGCGTGGATGCAGGGCCCCTGCGCTTAGCCGTGCTAGCGGATACCATCGGCTGCTTGGTTTGCGGCATCCCCTTGCTCGTCATGACAGCAGCTCATAAGACAGCGGATTGGAGGCTTGTTCTTACGTTCGTACTCTTTACGGTAAGCGGGGTTCTCAAGTGCAATGCGCCGCAGCCGTGCAGCATTCACCGCCCGCGTGTTCCCATGCTTCGACCTTTGTTTTGTCTTGCACATGGAGCCTGACCCACATCGCCAAGCCTTATCCCCACACTTACCAGCAGCTTTACCAGCAACCCCTAGCACGGCCATGGAGTTGAGACGAAAACTTACCACACCCGGAGCGCACTGGCCATGGGTCCTTCACCCACATCCAAGTACTGGCTACGCGAACTAACCCACTGGCCGCTGCCCTTCCGTGACCTCGCTTCCACTGGTACCATAACAGAGCGCGGGATCCCCCTTGGGAGCGCTGCTGCTAACGCGACTGAACCCTCGCTGGGTTGAGCTCGTGATGGCGATCGTGTTGCTTCTGGTCATCTGCCTGCACGTCAGGCTGCATGAAACCCTGGCGGCGGCGTTCAGGAGGCACCGGGCCAAGCGCAGGTGGGTCGGGGTTGGGGTCGGATCCCTGGTGACGTCTAGTTGGTGGCGTCACGTAAGGAACTGCGTGCTTCCTGTGCATTGCACTGGTTTTCTTTCCGGTTTATTCCGGCAAGGCCCATGGCCACTGAAACCCAAATCAATTCCATCACGGTAACGTAGCCTAGACGCAACCCAGATGGCGCCGCACCGATCTGGGTCAGCTGGGAACGGTCCTGCGAATCCGTGCAACCCGGCTGAAACCCTCTGCATATTGCAGATTGCTAATCCGGTCATGTCTTCCCTCTGTGCAGTTCGGCTCCGTACGACTTGTTAGGCTCTGACCACAAGGCTGCAGAGGGCGACAGAAGCGACAGCAGCAATGGCGCCTGCCCCGAGGCGATCACCTCAGGAATGGGCGTAAAAGACGGGCGGAGTGCCACGCGACTTGATCCCGAGTCGCTGCAGCGTGTGCCAACGCTCCTTAGCGGCTCCATGCAGCTTAACGACCACCAACAGACATCGGCAAGGACGCAATGCTTGCCGCATTCCGGAGAGGGGCTACCGGTGCCCCAGTCTACCGGCACTGCAGCAGACGTCCTTCCCCACGCAGCGCCAAACGGTGACAGTAGCTGTACTGCTGGTGGCGACGACGGGGGCCAAAGCTGCCTCCGCAGTGTATCCAGTGGTTGTGATGTGGCGCCCGACAACACGCGACGGGCCGGCGGACCTCATGGGGCATGTGCTGCCGCTCTTCCTGCTGCTCCTGCTGCTGCTGAGCTTTGCGTTAGAGACACAGGCGGGCTTGAACGCGCCGGCAAGCCTTCCTCTCCTTCAGCAACGGTAATACTTATTTCCGCCTGCTGCTCGGCGAGTGGTGCTGCCCCTGCAGCTGGCGCCCTAGCTGGAATCAAGGCACCCGTAGCACCAGAGGACGCAGACGCGTGCGGCAAAGCAGCTCCGCACTCGAAGGCTCATGCCGAGGCAAAGGCAGTCGCCTGCAGTAGCGCCTCCGGCAATGCAGGTACGCAGCCTTTGCTAGACACAGGGCTGCTTGCCTCCGACGCGGTTCCGTTATCTTCGGCCTCTGCTAGCGGCAGCGAAGGTGGAGGCGCGTCGATCGAGGGGCACGTGCGCCACTGCGGGGCATGCAGCAAGGCGCGGCTTGGTGGCGTGTGGGGCCGGATACGCGGGTGGCTGGCGAGGCAGGATTGGCTGCAGATCCGCCGCATCCTGACGATCGGCAGCGTGGCGGGCTTTGCAAGCGGCGTCATGGGAGGTAAGAAACGAGGTCCCTCGCCTACACGTATTCCTCGGTTCCTTCCTCGCACTTCCCGGATTATGTCAAGTGCGCAATCACTTCGCGGCTGCACCTCGGAAGCCCAATTGGGCATGTTTCGCCCTATGTTTGACCCTGTAGGACACTTCCATGCGTCTTTTTGTCGCAGGTATGACTGGCATCGGCGGCCCGCCCATTATGTACATGTATGAGAAGTTGCGGGTGGCCAAGGACGTGGTGCGCGGAACCAACGCCGTCAACAACGTACTGCAGGTGTGTTGTGGCAGGACTGCTGGCTGCGGGTAGGAACGTGCAGGGGTGTGGTGGTGCATGCGTGCACCCCGGTAGTTGGTGCGGACGCGGGCATGGGGCATGGGGCATGGGTCTGTGCGTGCGAAGGGTGCCCAGGTGGTGAGCAGGACAGGGAGCTCTTGCGGCTTATTGGCGAGGGTTGCGTTTGCAGATGTCCGGATTGCTTCCAAAAGCCCATGCACGCACGCTTCTTGCATTGCTTCTTGCTGCTGAACTACCTTCTGCACAAATTGTTGCGTATGTGTCCCGCCATCCTTCCATGTGCCGCCGCGTCTGTGTGTGGCGACAGGCCCGCCTGGTGACGTACATCGTGATGGGGGTGTTCAAGCGCGAGGAGGTGCCGCTCTACCTGATCACGTCGACGGTGGGCCTGGTGGGCGTGGGCGTGGGCAATTGCCTGGCCGGGCGACTGGACCAGAAGGGCTTCAGCCGCATACTGGTGGCGCTGATGTCGATTTGCTGCCTGCTGCTGTTCGTGTCAGCCGCCGGCCTGAAGGGATAGTACGGTAGCTGCATGGCAGCATACTGGTAGGGGAAGGCGTGGGGAACATTGGAAATGATGGAGATGAGCAATGAAAGCTGCGGGGTTGTTCCGAATGATGTTTGGAATGTTTTCACATGCTATGGGTGGACAGCGTAGTGGTTTGGGTGCGTGAACAGCATTGCGGCATTGTGTTTGGGGGTTTCCTGGAAGGGGAGAGCATTGCCTGAAGGGTTAGGGGGGGAACCTGAGGATTTTGCATTCGGTACGTCATCGTGTATGAGTATAGCGGATATGAGTATAGGTCTAGATAGGAGGTTTTCGTAGCCAGAAGACTGCGTGCTGATCCAATGTATCATAGACCGTCCTATGTATGTTTTGTGGTCCGCTTGAATCATGCTATACCTGTGTCAGAGCAATTTATTTTTCGTTATGACTCTTTGTCGTATTGCAATCCTCATTGCCGTACTGCAAATTGTACAACAGAAGATAGATGCCAAGGTTTCGTGCGCTTCATGGTAAAAATGCATGTTTAACACTTGCCAATCGAGCTGGCAACGCACAGTGCAGTTGCCGCTGCAAGTACGTGTTGTATATGGCCCGGCATGGATGCGACTCGCTAATTTAGGTGGTTAGGATTTAAATTTAATTGTAGTAGGTGTGACGTGGTTTCTTGCTGTACTGCATTTAGGTGACCTGGGAAGCATTGAGATCTGACATTGCGAAATCCAATGACACCGACAAATTTTAAATATGGGCATTTTCTCAAAGAGTGCCATTGCTACCCATTGCTCATGCCACGCCGTGTCATGTTAGTGCAACCGCTACAGGGCTGCTTTGTTCCTGGAACAGCTACAATGCCATTGGTGATACGTTGTAGTTAGCACGCTTGGATTTCGGCAAGGTTGTGTGGTGCACGATTAACATTTCCTAGGCAGGAATCGGCAAGTGCTGAGTTCATTCTACCGGTGTAGATAATCGGATTTTATCCGTACTTTGGTCTAGCAGGAGCGCCCCTGGTGTGCGGTGAGGTCATGTAAAATAGGTTGGCTACATCGGGCACGTAAGGGAAAGAGATGTAGTGGAGAAACTACGTTTTCCGAAAACCGTACACGCCCATGTATGCACGGCTATGACAACGCTGAAGCTAACGCAGCAGTAGTTACATTAAGGTTGAAGCCATAACTGGCACTCTTACTGTCCGGATGACTGTCGTCTTGCTACAACACGATAAACACTTAAATCTGCGACGAGACCTACCAAATCCTACAAATACCAATAACACCTACACATGAACCTACGGCAAACGCTCGCTGCACGACACATCATAGGGTCTCTCAGGAGCCCGTCTACTCACCAACATCTATTATTTACTCACCCAACCTGCCAAAGTCTGCTCTCCGCATGTCAGGACGCTGTCTAAAAATATCTCTCATTAAAACCCTATCACAAAGCCAAAGCCTACGCAAAGGGGGCTATTCTTTATTAGGAGGCTCATGGGATGAGCTTACAGACTGCCAACAGGCACGAAAAGCCACAAAGAGCGCGTCGCGCATAACCAAACACCATGGCTGTACTAAACATCAGAGCAAAAGGATATAGGCTTTGCTCCGTTCAGTGCTTAATAACCATGACTCCGGAGACGTCAGGGAGAAAGAGGTTATGGCAGCCAAGGCCAAAGAATAACGCATGAGCCAAAGAGCAATGGGATCCGGCCCGTACTTAACTAACTGAGGCCAAGCGACCAGGCCCCTAACAAACACCAATCCGAAAGTCCCCGCCATCTGTAACACCAGCTCGCAAATACACACCGCTAGCCGATGGAAGAGCATACAGTGCTCACAAGGGTATGCACCGGCCACCCTCCGGTGCGCTCATTCTTCTCTACCGCTATGCGACGTCAATCTTGGGCATATGTATGCACGCCGCATTCTCCGAGCGCCACATAGCGCTTCTTCATGCGGCTGGCAGGTCCAACCAAGGGACTACCAGCGTAGCACATCCCCGCCGTTTGAACCCGAAAGGGCCCAGGTTCCCAAAGCACTACCTCACTACTGCAGTAAAGAGAAGCCATAAGCATAGCCCTCACACTGGCGCAAGCCCCATCGGCGCAATACCTGCTTGAAGCATCTCCAACCTAACAAAAGCAGCTAACAAGGCACCACTCCTACTTCAGACCTCCATGTGTTCCTTTCTCCAAAGGCAGTTGCCAACGTAACCTGGCAAGTTGTCCGTTATCGCCAAATCCACGTTAAAGTCAGACACGGCGATGCACATGCTGCGAAACTTACTATACTCACAACCTCTCATACGAATTCCCAAGCCCCATCTCATTGCCCGAACCGAGCAACTGCGCCCCAAACCCGGTTCTAGCACCAGGCGTAGACGACAGGCTTCACAGGCAAAAAGAGGCACAACACATCTTCAAACATAACTTCAGGCAAGATCACGGATTCTGCATAATCACTTCAGTCTATCCCTAAGACTCGATAAAGTCGCACTACCTCGAGGAATAAAAATTAGGTGCCAACTAGCCAACCGGTTGCCACAAGCATGGGAACCAGTAAGGGACCGAACATCCGGCCTTAAGCAGCTTCTTCGCATAGCAGCTTTGCAATCCTGACTCAAGGAAAGAATCGACTACCCACGTACACATACATGCACGCGTAACAACGTCGTGCAAAACTTTAGACGCAACACCCATGCAGAAGCGAAGCATTAAAGGACAAGGCATGGGCATGGACAGCCCATCATTGCGCAATTCACTCTCCAAACCATCCCGAACCTCTCTACAGAGTAAGATTAAACCAAACATAAACCAACTATAAACTGAACGTCCTTGGCCCAAGTGCCAAACGGATACCCGATAGAAGCTTGAGTTCGATGCACAGACGTGAAGGAAGTGACATTAAAGTCAACCACTGCACAAGTCGCAAGATGTTTGCGACCGATTCGCCACGCTAAGATGATACAAGCTCTCCTAACCAGGAGTATACCGACATGCGACGCGATGATGCTTGGTGCGTTGAGCTGTTGGCAAGACATCACCGCAAGCCGGCTGTGTGCTGTATCATGGCGAACGCCCAAAACAAAACCGGCTTATTGCGCTGTTAGTATAGCCCTGGCGATTTTCCGAACGGAAAGGAATGTGTTTCTATGCCAGAGCTTCTCTTAGGAAGAGCTGCCTGTGTACTATATCCTGCACAAGACCAGCTCAAGACCAGCTAGCCGGCACACGCGCCATTGCTTGCAGACCCGCGGGTCGGGAGGCGTTACCTAGCTGAAGGGCTTGCATCGCCTGGAGCGCTTGCTGGGCGTCCACCGGCAAACCAAAGATGTTCGGGCCGTAAGACTGGTTGCTGTTGACGGAGCCATCTCCGAAGGGCAGCCCGACTGCAGCGGCGGCAGCGGCGGCGTTGAGCTGTGCAGTGAGGACGTTCTGGATTGTCATCTGCTGGATCTCGGCCGCCAGCAACTCAGCCGCCAGGTTGTTGTCGACGCCGTTGGCGATGCCTCCGCCACCAAGGCCCGCCGCTGCCAGGGCGTTGACTGCAATCAGGCAGGAGAAGACAATATTCGCGATTCAGAAAACCCCGTATGACAATCGGAAAACACGCACACCCCTTTCAGACAGTGACCATTACCCAACGTAAAGGGTTGTCCAGGCACACATGGCGAATACCGGGTTGAAACGGCTATGAGAAGGAACGATCCAGAAGGTGACTTACCCTGCAACAACAGCTGCAAATCCAAGGCGGGTCCCGCTGACCCTAGACCCAGCAGCGGCAGCGCCGCCGCGGCCGCAGCCTGCTGTGCCTGGGCTTGCTGCTGAGCCTGCTGCTGAGCCCGCTGCTGTGCGTGCTGTTGCGCCTGTTGCGCTGCCACCATCGACGGCTGCAGTTGTCCCAGCGCACGGCTGAGCTCGTTAAGCTCCGACGTGGACCAGTTGCGCACAATCCACGGCATGGTCTGCACAATGCGGGCCAACTTGGAGAGGAACGGCTGCGGCTCGCAAATGTCCATGTGGGTTGCGCGCAGCAGCGTGCACAGCTCCTGGGGCTTGAATGAGGGCGGCCCGTCGCGGCGGTCGAGGCGCAGAGTTGCAACGCTGAAAACCCATTGCAAGAGCTCGCGGTCCAGCAGCCCGGCCTTCTCGTACGCGTACACGACGTTGGAGAGCGCCTGCTCGTTGAAGCCGCCAGGGAGATGGTAAACCCAAGACTGCTGTGTCTGCAGCGCGGCGTAGGTGGCGCGCAGCCTACAAGCAGTAAACGGCATGGTCGCCTTGACGTGCTACATTAAGCACCGTATACGGACGCATTCAGAAGGCCTACAACCTATTAGACGATGATGGATGACAGGTATGCCACAAGGCGTACCTGGTGACGGCCTCCTTGCGTGAGTTGAGGAAGAGCTGCGAAATGATGGGGTGCTGGCGGCACTCCTCGCCCATAATTGTGGCAAAGGACCACACGATGTTGACGAGCGCCTGCACAAGTGAAAGGAATACCGTGTTAACGTCAAGTAAGCACCTTCAAGCCGCTAATTTCGCACACCCAAAGGGAGTTTGGAAGCATGGATTTGTGTCATTGGTCCACCTGGCATGAAAACTTGTGCTCAACATTGTTCAGGAAGGCCGAGAGGTGCGCGAGGTCGAGGCGGGTGTAAAGCGCCTTCAGCATGCTGTTGGCGCTGATGGCGATTGCCACCAGGAAAGCGTTCACGCTGCCGGGCGGCCCGCACAGCCCATCAAAGTTGGCGAGCTTGCTGCGTGCGTGAGCCACCGCCCAGATGCTATTTGAAAGTGCCTGCGCACAGCATGTATACGGGTAAGGGAGCTGTTTAGGACTGAGCACACATGGGTGCGTTAGTCATGGCAAGATGACGGTCATTCATTCAAGATCCCGTCGACGTCACGTGAGGCTGCGTGATGACCAAGTTACCTGGGCGTCAAAAAGGCTGCCCGTCTGGTCGCGCGTCAGCATCTCAGTCATTTGGGTCATGATGGAGGAGATCACCTCGACCGGGGGCTCAGCCAGCTTGGCGTAGGCCCACAGGAGGTTAGCCAGGCCCTGAAAGGATGAGAGTGGGTGAACCATGTGGGTCATCTGTCCATATGTATATATAGCGGTCGGGAGGTCACCAATGCCGCGACGAAAGCTTGCTTGTTATGCTTGCGCAACGCCGCGCAGCAGACAGGATAGCCTCTGTAAAAGCCAACCATGTGACCTCGTCTGGTCGGGAACCAACCTGTGGGCTGGACTGGTTGAGCAGCCGCAGTACCAGGGGCGAAATGCTCAGGATGACCTCGTTGCCGGTGCAACCCACATCCAGCGCTAGGTCCAACTTGACCAGGGCCCAGATGAGGTTTGAGACGCAGCGAGCGTCAATGCCCTTGACCTCCTGGCTGTAAGGCGGGTGCACTTGGGCCGCAATCATGTGCGATTGAATGGTACCTGCAAGAAGGCGCCCACCGGTCAAACACCATGCCTTGGCCACCCCAGGACTTCCGTGTGAGAACTTACGCAAGAGGACCTGAAACGAGGAAGCGTCGTTCAGCTCCGTCTTCCATGCCTGTCGCGCTTCTGGGTGCCGGATACCGGTGTACATGCGGGCGAGTCGATACACGCACGTCACCTGCGCCACAAGCATGGCAGCGGTATTAGGATTTTGTCGCGTGTATCAAAACCTTTGCTGGATTTACCAAGTTAATAGGGTCCAGGATGATGTAACACTGCCCCACGAAGGCGAGAAGCTCCTGCACAGGGGGATATCGGTGGTTTGCAGCGTTTCGCCGCGATGGCAGTTGTCGAGTAGGCCAACCACCTTCCTCGCTTACCTCCTTTGTGTGCATCGCGTTAATTTGTTTTAAAAGTTTCGGCTGCAGAGGAATTGCATACTCGGGCAGTCGCGGAATGCCCGACGGGACAACGGCGCCTGCAAAACAGCACAACAGCGACACAGTGAGCTTTCGAAGAAGAAACTAGATTGCCGCAGGCGCTAAAGGGACAGAAATATTAATTCGGAATGGCCTAATATGCAAAGGTTTCGTTTGCAAAACCAGCCATAGGTATGGCCATCCAACTAAGCTACCAACTCACCAAGTGGACGGCTGCCATCGAGGCCTAAGTCAACTCGTGGCTCGCTGCGCACAGAGCTCTACGAGAAAAGGAGCGGGGCGTGGTTACCCCACGGCGCCTTGCTTGCAAACGAGGGGAACATGGGTCGAGCATATCCCGCGTCCATCGAGAGTTCCCTTCCTTTCACGCCCGTCAAAAGAACAAAGCCCTACCTCTGTGCACGTATCGGACTGGGCGTCCTCTTCGTGTGAAACAGGCGGCGTAGACTTGACCTCCCCTCCACACGCAGAGCCACGAGGGGACACTAGGAAATGACTCATCTATTCGCTGCTATCAATAGCATAAAAAGCGAGGAAATCTAGTCAACAATTAGGCAAGGTTTCTGTGGTCTCCTGTGCAAGTCTATATGATGATATGCGTGAAACTCAGGGTACTTCCTAGATATAATATAGTAATTGGCAGCTTCAGGTTGAATATAAGAAACGTCTCAAGAACTGCTTAAAAATGATTGCGAACTTGTACGGAAAATCCTTATCGTGCAGACCAGTTGCATTTCAGCACGACCAGAGTTACAGTCCCTACAGATTCATACATCATATCGTAAATCATTTGGCACCGCCTTAAGAGGTAAAGGGCTACACCTCAAAGGTGGGCATTTGGGCAACCATCACTACTTTATCTCCGTATTAAGCAGAGACACAAGATTTATGTATGTCCGCTCACTGATGCATACACAAATGTGGCATGAGCATTGTCCACCATCGCCAGGGCTGCGCAGGCTCGCCGGCTGCGATTGCGCTCGTCGCCCCCGCCATGAACAGGGGCTCGGCCCCCTTACGGCGCCAATCCTGTTACTTGAGGGCTACATGTTGGGTCCTATCATGTTTCCCTGGGGCCTCTTCTATGGCCCACATCGTTTCCAGTCGCTATTTGTAACATGGTCGCTGTCATGCATAGCTGTCACGCCGCAAGCCGTTAACGCGGACCTTGACATTTCTTGCGTGACTGTTACAGGGGTTTATGAGAGCCCCCTTCACGCAGTGCACCATAGCGTGAGCCTTCTTGCCTAGTGACGACCTGGCCTCACATAGGCACACGATGTGTTCACTTGGAAAACACCACGATGACCTCGCTCCACTTTGGCTCCCAGCATTAAGATGATTCCGATGTCAGCCATTACAACCATGCCAAGCAAGCGGGCTGCAGGTCATCGATTTGGGTCGGGAATGGCTGTTCCGGTGGGGTAGGAATTAAGGGCGTTGCAAGCATGGGTTCTAAAGCCTTGTAGATACCGGTAACCGGGGCCCCACCTGTACATCGCCTAACCCTAGTAGACAGGGGCACGGGATTGTGCCGTTTGCTATAAAATGATGGTGGCCATGCTGAGGATGGTCGAGGATGGCTATCAGTGCGACGCTGCGCGCCCAAAGGTTGTTCATACCGAGTTTGCGTTACATACTGGAACAAAGAAAGCTTTGCAATGATAAATCAAGTGGACGGAGTCGACCCAATTCGGCAATTCCTGTCCACGTCCAACCGCAAATGCAGATACGTTGCTCCGGAACTATGCAATATGCCACTGTATTCGTCTTCCCACCTCCTTAGGCTCCCCATTGTGTTAAATTATACTTCGTGTAAAAATGTTGACGTCCAGGCAAGCTCGCATGACGGCATTCTCCGCTGGCCCTGCGCGGACCGCCGCCCTGCGCCCGGCTGTGGCTGTGCGCCCACGCGCTCGGCCAACCGCTGCTGTTGCAGTACGTGCCGAAATTTCATATATCATGGTAAAGCCCGATGGCGTCCAGCGTGGTCTGGTGGGCGACATTATCTCACGCTTCGAGCGCAAGGGCTACAAGCTTGCGGGCCTGAAGCTTTATCAGACGCCTCGTGAGGTAGCTGAGGAGCACTACAAGGATCTAAGCTCGAAGCCCTTCTATAAGGATCTGGTCAACTACATCGTGTCCGGTCCTGTCGTGTGCATGGTAAGCATTCCTGTTCCTACTTTACTTTGACCGTGTGGCTTCCCGTGGCCTGCTTATACCCCAGCGTGAGATAATGGAACTCACATGGGGCTTTACCTTTCGGCCATTGGCTTGCCCTTTTGGAAGGGGGCGGAGGATCCACTTGGGCGTCTGCCTCCCTCCCTACCGCCTGAACCGTGCATTGTCACCTATCCGTTCTCATCCCGAGACAATTTGCCGTCAAGCTCTTCCCTCCTGTGCCGCCATGCTGGGCGCGCTGTTTGGCAATCCATGTAATTTCCTTACCTGTCTCCTGAGGACGCCCCAATGCTCACCTGACCCGGGTGCAGGTGTGGGAGGGCAAGGGTGTGGTGGCCACCGCTCGCAAGATGATCGGCGCCACCAACCCGCTGGCTTCGGAGCCAGGCACCATCCGCGGCGACTACGCCATTGAGGTTGGCCGCAACGTCATCCACGGCAGCGACAGCCCGGAGAACGGCGAGCGCGAGGCTGGTAAGCGGGGGGTCTCCTTTAACGCGGCCTTGGGCTGCATGCCCGCAAACGTGCGTGTGTTGTGGGCGGGTGGATTGGTAGGAAGGAAAGGAGGAAACTGTCGACCGAAGAATCGGTGGGTGGGCGGGGTGGGGATCCTGATGAGCGTTTGTGGCAAGCATGCAGACCGCGCGCCTGCGCTGGTCACGTGCTCGTGTCCATTTAGGCCCTGTGTAGGCCTGCATGCCCTCGACGTGACCCATTACATGCGTGCGCCCCTTGCCACCCTGCCCCTGCCCGCAGGCCTGTGGTTCAAGGAGGGCCTTGTGTCTTGGGAGCAAACCATGACCCCCTGGCTCAAGGAGTAAAGTGAGCGGAACGTTGCGGCTTCACGGGGGTTCTGCTGGCAGGAAGGGGGGAAGGGACGGAGTGGCGTTAAATGACATAACCGATAACTGAAGGAGTGGCATGGGGACTACAGGAGTTGCTTGGTGTGGTTAGGATTGGGCCACCGCCGACAGGTGGAATAGGTCTCAGAGGCGGGAAGCTGATATTGTTTGGGTATAGCTCCTGGTTCCAGGATTTGGAATCCATTTTGTTTGGGTAAGCTGCTGGAGGGTGCGTATGTTGCCTAGGTTAGTACATGGGCGAGTTTTTCGCATGTGCATCTCCACAGCCAACGCTTGAGGGCTGACTCGCTAGCCCTCTTGCGAGTAGGTGTGTTATCTTGCCCTGGGAATGCGCAATGTGGACCAAACTTGTAAAGGGAAGCAAGATCACCGCATCTTCGACCTTGGAAACTGCAAGGAGGCGCTCATGCCACCATCACAGCACGCATGTATTTGGCATCCGGGCCCCTTGGACAAGATGGGATACCATAGGTTGTTGACGTGCTAAGGGTTCACTCAGGACCAGGCAGGTAGCTGGGGCTAAGTGCAGCGCCGGACGCCCCTGCAAACCCAATGCAGTACCCCACCACGGCTTTTCTGGATAGTTTCATGTGTTTCAGGGCAAGGTTGCCAAGGGTAGCAGGCAAACAGCTATCTCTGTCATGGCATTGGCAGCTTCCTTGGTACGGAAATACGGCACCGCAGAGTAACTGTCAAGGTGCTGACAAGGTGCCAAAGGCCTCTGGATCACACTGCAATCGCTTGAGTGCACAATTGGCTGTACCGGTACTTAGCAATCAACAAATCTCCTACAAACAGACCGTCACACGACATCGGACTTCTGTATCCAGTAGGTCCTCAACATAGATATTTGTCGACAGTATACCGCACGCCAAAGCAGCCTGCGCGGCTGCAGGGCAAGCTGAGCATTGCAAGCGCAACATCTTCCTCCGGTGCTCGAGCCTGTCATAACTAGGTCTTAGACGAACTCATTACTTTGTTACGCTATAATATCCGAGAAACAATTGAATAAAAGCGGGGGCGATGTCCGCTCTATTTGACTTCAACAGCTTCATCGCTGTGGTGCTATTGACAATCTGCACGTGCACGTTTATCAAGCTTATATATCCTGCAGCCTTGACGGTGAAGACAGGGTAAGCCTTGACGGTTAGCGAAGGTCCTGCTTAACTTGCGCCCTGACCTTCCACTACTTTGCACCGCTGCAGGTTCAAGGGCTTGTTCTGGAAAGCTGCAAGGATAGGTAAGCGTTCACATGGCTAATGTGCGAGACAGTTGGTTTGCGTCCCTTCGAAAAGACCATCAAACCCGGCACGTCCCGCTCCTAGAAACCCCGCCCTTCTTCTGTCCCCTCCTGCTTGCAGGCGAGCGATTAAGTCCGTGGGTTGGAGCAGCATGCGTCATCATGGGCTTTGTGACGCTTTTATCGTAGCACTTCCACTATCATGAGGAAGTGGGCTGTGGGGGCGCCTCTGCCCAGCCCTAGAGCGGTTGAGCATCCTGGAGGGTGCGGAACATCTTGCGTGGCTGCCTAACGCAAATGCATGTGCTTGACCAATTCAGTGGCATGAGATGCAAGGCTGTGGCTAGTTGTTGCATGGGTTAGAGACGAGGCGATGGAGGAGCTTGACGAGGGCAGGCCAGAGACTCGGGGTGACACAGTAGGGTTTTGACAGCAAGGTGTATGCGGCGACTAGGGATTAGGGGAGCAGGGCGTTTTGGGGCAGGGGTGAATGTTAGACTTCATGCATGTTCTGTTTCCTGCGGTTGGTTTCTTAAGGTCGCATGTAAAGGCCGGACTTATGCTAAGCGTGTATTGCATGCAGCATGTGCGTTTTGGGGATGTCACACGGGCGACTGGCAGCCCAGTAGTAGCGGCGCTTCTGACGACACATACCCCACGCGGGCCTCAAGTGGCTTTACCCCTTGGACGGGTTTCATCTGTAGCGGACTGTCTACATGGCGGTAGCTTTGTTCTGTGAGGCTTGGGAACCATCCAGCACTGAGACCTCTCCTCCCACGTAGCGTTGGACACGAGTGGAACCGACATGTACGCAAGAGAAACCCTGGAAGAAAGCTACAACAAAGACTCGCCGGAATAATGTTATTGCAGTGGAGCTTACGTGTAGACCTGCACTGCATGCACCACATAGCAGGTTTGGTTGTGAGTGCCAGGCCGGCATCGAGGTTGTTAATTAGCAATCTACGGGTAAGAGCCGCTTTACAACAATTACAATCAGACTTCATTAATAGTTATGATTCCTAGCAACGCAAACTACTCTTTTGTCCCGCCCACGTATGCAGATCTGCTGCCGTACGATAAGCAGAGCGCAAACAGGTCTCGCGCCCGGCACACTGGATGGACTTGTGAGCTTGGAAAGTAGCATGAGATAATAGGAAAAGAAAGCGACCGTAAGTTAGTGTTAATCGTGAAGCGACCAAAGCCAACATATCTTTTCCTTGCTGCGAAACCTCTGCAACCAATAGCGCAACTATATACCAAAAATGCAGTCTGTCCTTCAGAAACGTGTGGTTGGTGCAACCGCGCCAGCGAGGACCTCAACAAACAGCAAGCCCATTCTCACTGTTCGCCCATGCAAGCGCGCTGTCCGTGCACGCCGCAGCCAAATCCAGCGCAGCGGCGCTGTAAAATGCAAAGCGCTCTTCAGCCTTTTTGCACCAAAGTCAGCGGCGCCAGCCTCTATCGTTGACCCGCGCGCGAAGCCGCTGGTCGAGCAACTCGTCAGCCTGACCGCTGGCTCGGACGCGGGCGCGAAGTGCTCACCGGAGCAGAAGGAGGAGATCGCTGCGGTGGTGGGTTGCGGGCCAACGGGTTGGCATGTGACTGTGGCACATCAGGAGGGGAGAACCGGGGGGAAAATTTACCCAGTTGAGGCAACTTGGGTGCTACGAATGGACAGGCCCTGTCGGGCCATTTCACCAGCCTCAGTAACGAAGGGCATCTAGCGACCTGGGTTCACGGATGACGGGGGGTCAGTGCAGAGCGGGCTACCACCGCAGCTACGGCACGGTCTTTTTTGCACAACCTACGCACTTGGCCGGCGGCAGAAACGGCTTAACGGCTTTAACTTCCAACCGCCGCCAGGTTACGGAGCTCTCGCGGTACTGCATTAAGAACCCGGTCAAGAGCGAGTTGCTGTTCGGAGAATGGAAGGTACGCAGGTAGCAAACCCGACTTGAGGGAAGGATTCCGGCATTTGCGGGTGCATGCGTGCGACGTGTGTGTGGAGGGGCTCCGGCATGCGCCGCAAGTGTGCTAGCTGGGGCTGTGTGAGGGTGGCTATGTGAGGATTGATGTGTCTTCACTAACTGAGCGCACGTGGGCACATACTACTGCTACTGCAGTACATTCCGACTCCCGCCTCACCAGGGGCTAAACGCTCAGCAACGCAGGGACACAAGGAATGAACCCAAACCCTCACACGCACACGGCTGATGACGCCTCGGCTGCTGCTGCTGCTGCTGCAGGTGCTGTTCTCCTCCAAGCCCACGGCTGTGGGCGGCCCCCTGCGCACTGCCCCCGGTCAGGTGGTGTTCCCAGCCCAAAACGCCAAGCAAATCGTGGAGGTGAGAGCTGTGGGGGCGGTTCGGTTGTCGGGAAGCTGAGGGCCGTCCTGCCCTGCTGGTTGCTGCTGGCCACTGAGAACCCGGCTTGACACTCCAGCTGGGTACCCCCTCTCCGCGGAGTTGCCAGCCATTCTATCGCGGCGAAGGTGGTCCCTCCCCATGTTGCACTCTATAGTCATGCGTACACTGGCCTTATTACGGGGCTTCTCAAACGTCACCAAGTGGCGTCCTACCCGTTTTTCCCTGCACCATGACGCAGCCCTTGGCGGCGCCCTCGCCGCATTACTCCTAAAGTTAACCTCCTCTACTGCCCCCCTACCCAGCATCCCTACCCTCAACCCCAACCCCACACGCCCCACCCTCATCAGGCTCCCAACAAGGTGACTAACCTGGTGGAGTACAAGACGCTGGGTTTCCTGCCCGGCTTCAACCGCCAGTTCGGGGAGCTGGAGCCGCTCAGCGGAGACACCTTCCTGGTGCGTCGTTCGTTGCTGGGGGCTGTGTATGCGTGTGATAAGAACTGGGGGCCGCGCAATGTAATGACAGGTGTCATTAGAGGAAGATGAAGGCAGCACGTGCTGCGTACCGTGCGTACGTGGCCATCCTGCTGCATGCCTGCAGTGCTGCTGCGGGTATAGCCTCCTGCATTCTGCTTCTGAGAGGAATTGTCAATACCAAGAGGTTACATCGGTAGCAATAGCCCGTTGCTGCTTACCCACCCCGCTGGGATATGGGATTGGGCTCGTTGCCGCACATATCATTATTTTTACCCCGCTGCCCAACCCAACCGCACCCGACGCAGCTTAACATCTCGAGCGGGGAGATCATGCCGGGTGTGGGCGGGCCGATCAAGAAGGACTTCAACATCCAGCGCAAAATCAAGGTACGGTAGTTAAGCCCAAGGCATACGTGTGCTTGCCTGCTTGGGTGTAGGCGGGGTCAAGCATGCGTGAGTGCGTCAAGCCGCTTTGTTACAAGACGTTTGGATGCACTCCATGTTTTTCCCCGATATGGAGTGTTACAGAGATAGTGACGGGACGACCGTGCTACACCCCTCGCCCGCCACCGCGCTACAAGCGTTTGTAGCTCTAAATGCAGCTCCATACAGTCATATTGTACGTAGTACGTTCATCATCGTCGAAGCTTGGAATGTTTGCTGATCCATTTTCCTGTCGTACAATCCTGCATCTAGTGTCCATCTTCCTGCCGTACAGATCTTGTACCTCGATGAGGACGTCCGAGTGACTCTATTCCTGCCCTCGGATGAGGTGCGGGACAACCAAGCGGCTCAGGTGAGGTCAAAGTTGGACAAGAAGAGGAGTTGTGTGGTATACGGCATTATAAGGTAATGCAAGCAGGCACAACCCAGCAGGCAACCCAGACGCCTCCGGCTATGAGGACGTGTTTTGTGACTCGACTACATACCTTCATGCCTTCATACCTTCATGCCTTAATGCCTTCATACCTTCATGCCTTAATGCCTTCATACCTTAATACCTTCATACCTTCATGCCTTCATGCCTTCATACGATGTTTCCTAGACGGTGTTGACGTGTATCTGACGCGTATGCAACTGTCCATCCCATTTTGTATGCAGGATGGGAGCCGCGAGGAGGATCCGGTGGTGCACATCTTCCAGCGCGTGAAGGAGCAGGCAGACACAGAAGATGCGGAGGCGCCGGTGAGTCCCTCCGTTTCATAAGCATACCGCCATTACGGCCTAATTAGGCTGTGGTTAGGCTTTACATGCTGAACCTGCACGCATGCATCGTTTAAGAACCCTCGCCATGACTACTTGCCTCGCCATGCCCTCATTCTATAAAGTCCTAATTTCACCAACCGACACATATACAACACATACCGCCCTTACTACCAGGCTGACGACGGCGCTGCGTCCTCGGAGGATGAGGAGGCCCCCCGGCCGGTGTTCCCTTTTGGAGCCGGCCGCAAACTGGAGAGTGCCGCAACCGTTGCCGAGCGGCAGGTGTGTGTGGTAAAGCAATCAGGGAGGCCCTGGGATGGAGCCGTGCGGGAGGCGGGACCCTGGAATGAGACCAGAGCACCATGGGATTGTGTGATGCTGGCAGAACTGGCCCCTCCATTCTGCCGAGCATGCGTGTCAGATGTCACTGTTCTTTCCATGCAACACCCTCCCAACACAACACCCTCCCTTCCCAGGTTCGACAGCAGCTCAAGGAGCAGCGGGGCGGCTCAGTGCGGGTAGCGCCCAAGGCGCTGCCAGCGGTGTCCTCCGCCTCGCCCGCGGGTGGCAGCGCGCGTCTGGCGCTGCCGGCCCCCCGGTCTGCGTCTCTACGCGGACGCAAGCAGCAGCAGCAGCAGGCGGAGGAGGAGGACCCTCGGTGGGATATGTTGTGGGGAGGCGGGATTCATGCCAGATGGGTTCGTACCCGTGTTGTTAGTCATTGCCGTTGGTGCGTGTGGCAGTCTGCGTTCTGGACGAGCGAGGCAAGGCGGCAACCAAGTACCTCTTGTGTTGCGTTGATCAATATCTCTTGCGTTAATTACTCTTGCTGCGAAATCGTGCATGTCGTTTGACAGGGAGCGTCGTCGGCGTCAGCAGGAGGAGGAGCGCGCACGCAAGGTACGGCAAAGAGAGGGGCAACAGGAGGCAACCTTTCAATAGGCATCTTGCATCGAAACCATGCAAAAAGGCGGGATGTCTTGTCGTTCTACAAAACTGCTGTGGATGCAATTTGGTGCCGTTGGTGCGGTTGGTAACTCCTCTCCCTGTGTTGCCCCCAACAGGCTGCTGAGGCGGAGGCCAGGGCCGCGGAGCTCAAGGCGGCAAAGGAACGTGCCGAAGCAGAGCGCCAGGTAAGCAGTGCCGTCCCCTGCCCCCTCGTGCTGCCATGCTCAACCGCCGTACAGTTACCGGTATCACACGTGAATGGGTTACCGTAGTCCACTTCAATACTGTGTCGAACTTCCTTGTCGTACATACCGGTATTACGCTGTCCAGTGGGTTTAACATCTATGTCGCACTTTCGTGTCGTACTTTGCTTGTCGTACCCCAGGCTGAGCGGGAGCGCCAGACCGCTATCAAGGAGCTGCTTGCCCAGCTGGCGGCGGAGATCAAGGAGCGCCAAGCGGAGGCGCGGGAGGCCGCCAAGGAGCTCAAGTAAGTACGATTCCGTTGCTGGCGCCGTACGGTTGCCGTACGATACCGATTAGAGACGCTTTACCTCTTTCCGGCCGCTTTACGCCGTGGCGGACTACACCGCTTGCGCTTTTTTCTTTCTCTTTTGTCCTTACCAGCCCTCACCGGTGCCTGCCGTACGTGTACCCAGTTCCGTATACCATGGTTGTCGGACCTGGGATACCAATTCCGCAACCCATGCCTCCCATGTCCCGTACCTCTCAGGGAGGTTGAGAAGTCCGCGGGCGCCGGCCTCAAGGAGGTCGCCGACGCTCGCTCGCGAGTGGAGGCGGCGGAGGCTGACGTTGCGTCAGTGAGTGCGGAGCTGGAGGAGGCGGTGGCGGCGCGGCGGCAGGCGGAGGCGGCGGCGCGGGAGGCACGGGATGCGGTGGTGGCGGCAGAGAAGGAGCTCAGGGCGAGGATCGCCTGGTCGGCGCCGGTGCTGCCGCGCAAGTAGGAGGGATGAAGAGAAGTACCTGGGGGAGGAAGGGTTGTGAAGTGCTTGTCGTGTTAAATGATGCTTCTGTGGAAGGGGCTCTTAGCGGCGTGGCTGGCGTCAGAGACGGCTGTGATTGGCAGTTGAGCCGCGGGATTATCATTGGAGGGATATCTAGGGTGCCGGTGGGGTAGTTGGGGTAGTTAGTGCTGGTTGAGAGAGGTTGTTTGGTAAGCTTATTCGTTATACCGGTGGTTGCTAGGAGGAGTTGCATAGGCGAGGTGAAGGATGTTTGGGGAGGTTAGGGAGGTAGGGGGCCCTGAAGTTGCAAGGCTGCAGGTGGGGGGCTGTTGTCGGGGATGTAACAAGTGCATTAGCCGGTGACGTGTCATGATCGATGTTGGGAGATGTTGAACAAAGCAGAGCACGGGCATCGTGAGGGTCAAAGGCAGGCTGGACTTGGACAGCTCGGGACCGTCTAAACATGTTTGTGTTGAGGCTTGGAGGGTAGGATGCTTGCATGGGGCCAGTGTTTCCTTGCGGACTTCCTTGTAATGTCTATTCTGGATTACAGAGGCTATCTATCGATGGTTTTCTGCTGACACCAGCTGCTGTAGGCTAAACTTGCAAGAGGACACTCGAAGCAGCTCGAAATTGCAAACTTTGCCTTCCAGACTGACCCATGGGTCTCAAGCCCGGATAACACGATCAGGTCATGTTGCCATATTGAGTTCGTTACATTGCACGCTGTCCATCGTCATAATCAACAAGCCAAAGGGCAGGGACATTAACATACATAAGCCATGCACTGCAGTATACAATGCAACAACCCTTACCATCAGCCATTAGAACCACCAAGGCCGCAATGCTGCAGGATTCATAGCCCAAGTTGGGGCTTGCCAGGCGACGAGTGTTGTGCCTTTGTCAGGCTTACTTGCCGCTTGGACCGTACATTCAGAGTGAAACGACAAAACTGCATGTGTTCTAAGCCCCAGAGTTGGAAGCAGGACGTGCCACTAACTCAAGTCATATGGGACGGCAATAATCAAGTACCAGCGCAACCGGCCTGCTGCGGCAAAATGCACACACGACTATCATGGTAATACACAGTAGCAGGCATGAGCGCATGATCTGAACAGCAGAAGGAGTGTTGAGGTGTGAGCCCCTTCCTGCGCCCTTTCGGGGCCTTGTTATGTGGGCCCACAAAGGTACAAGAGGCCGGAACCCCCATGGAGCCTTAAAACCGCTTCCCAAGCTCGTCGTGGCACTAGTTGGCCAAACCAGCGTTGGGGCACGACACGCTTCCAAGCAAGAAGCGACGGACTTGTAAATCCGCCCGATCCCTCAGCCCTTGCCAGCGCTTATCATCAGCGCCAAAGCGCAATCGCCCAATGCCCCACGACCTTTTTTTGGAGGGAATTCCAGCCCTGCCTGCAGCATAGTAACAGGCTTCCGGCGTGAGCCTTTGCCGCCGTACAGCCCTTGCGTGCCGTAACTAATTGTATCCTGCCGTACCCAATACCGTATAACCATGCGCACGACAACCGGCATGGCGATCCAAGCGAGATGTGGTGTAATGCACACAAAAGATAGACGGTCCCTGGAAGCACAAGGATTCGACGCCTCTTCACATTGAGTGTCACCTGTCCTCATCGTAAACCGTATAACCACCCAACTAACCAAACTACTGAACCGAGAATGCACTGCGTGAATTGCTGTAGCGTTTCCTCGGGGCGTGAGAAGAGGGAGCAACAAGGAAAACTACGTTTTATTCACAAGATAGTATGCAGCTCAGTGACCTCTATCCAACCTACTTGCCCATGCAGGCATGCCATGAAGGACCCCTCCTATGCAAGCAGTTTCCGCATCCTCATCCCCCCAAGAACAAGTCACACACACAGTCAAACTCTCTCCTGCACTGGCCATTAAAGCAAAGGAACGCAACACAACTCCATTCACCCACTGCCTCTCGACCTTGCCAACCAAAAGACACATAAAGTCACACTCAAGACGCGGATTGCCGCCTCAAACTACAGTCATGTCATTAGGAGTCCAAAGCGTATGTACGTATGTACTGTCTGTTAACACGAGCATGCGGTGCAAGGCCGCCGCCGTACGGCCGCAATGTGCATTTTTAGTCACGCCGTACATCCCCGGGAAGTGCCGTACAATTGTCCCGTCATTTTAGTCATGTGCACGACACCAACGCTATCCAGAGGCACCATCAACCGGTGTGCGGTACTACACGCGTCAGGGTTACCCGGGTGGTCAGCGTCCTCTCTTCCGTCGTCCGCGTGACAGTGGTGTGGCCGGAAAAGCTGTTTGGGTTGCTCTGCGACCGTGCCATTCCGGCCGGACCTGTGCGGTTTGCAGACCTCAACGCGCTCTCCACCTCCGCTGTCCAGCCGCCATTGTTACTGAGAAGCGTCCGTGACGGCTGTTGGTGCAACGGCTGGCGTTGCTGTGGCTGCTGTGGCTGCGGCTGCTGTGGCTGCTGCGGCTGCTGCGGCTGCTGCTGTGGCTGTTGGTGAAGCGGGATTTTCTGCAGGCTGTATTGTTGCAGAGGAACGTCGGCGCCCGCCCAAGGCAGTTTCTCGCCCGCTGTGTCGGTGGCCTCCTCCTCGGGAGGGGGTGTAGGAGTCACATTCAGATGCTGTTTGGAAGGTCTGACGGTAATGGAGACTGGCGGGGAAACTAAGCCTCGAGACAGTTGCTTATCCATTCCGTGGTGATGATTGCGGTACATGATGACTGAGGACTTGCTCAGTGCCAGACGGCTGCATTTGTGCTCCTCCACGTTTGCGCGGCCCGGCACCCATTCCCAAGGGGAACGGTGTGATCGTGAGTCTTCTCTTTCTGATGACGAGGGCTCCCGCTCAACCTCGCGTGGTTTGGGCCGCAGACGGCCCAGCGCCGCGGAAAAGCGCCGGGACAAGCTGTGGGGGTGCGGCGCGAAGGGAGAGGAAGAGTGTCAGTAAGGGATTGTAAATGCGTATACATGGGGAATTAAATAAGATTGTGACAGTGTGCGATCCAGTGTAGCTTGTATGTCGCTAATGCGCCGCCTGCCTACGATGAATGGCAGGGCGCGGCGGGCGAGGGGGTGCAGTAGGCCACAGCGACAACAGTATGCTAGAAAGACAAGGTTTTCTTAGTGATAAGATCAATATCATACAACTAATTAATTACTGTTAACTAATGCTGTGTCCGCGGCTGTCATGTAATGCGCATCCTGACGCCCAAAACCTGCCAAGGAGGACTTACCTTCTTGCAGCACCAAGCATTAACTGTATCACTGAGCCTTCCTTGTTCCCCATGAGTTCGATACAGATAGTTCACTGCCGAAGAATCGTAACAGCGCCAAAACGGGGCGGATAGACGGATAGTAATTTGGAGTCTTGCCGAGCCAAATGACCAGAAAACCGGATATGCAGAAAGCTCCTAGTACGCAGTATATGTTAACGTCAAACTTAGACCGCTCCTCAGAAACTGAAGGCTTCTTCGCTGCCAGGCTCGGAAACCACTAGCTGGAGAAAAGTTGTCAAAATGAGGAGAAGCTGCTCGGGATTCATGTGCATAAAGTATCCGTTGTGATAGTTCCTAATGCTGAGAAGGGTCGGCCTAGATGTGACGTGTACGGATGCGATGGCATCTGAAAGGACCACTGCTTGTACTCCAGAGGCCCCTCGATTTGATGCCGGTCACTTCCACAGCAAATCAAACTGTGAGTTAATTGTCCCACGACACAAGTACGCTATTAGAAAAACGTTGTAGGCAGCAGTCGACATCAGAGCCGCAGTCAGCCGTCGTCGAAGCCCCTATACTGAAGGCGTGCTTTATGCATAAAACTACAGGCTTAATTACATGTTGATTGTCCGGGTTTACCGCCACTCTTAGCCCTCCCGTCTTGTACAACTTCGGTTAGACGTACCTTCCCTTACGTACTTGGAAGCGTAACTTCGCATTGTCCACAATACCTTTTATTAACAGACGAATATATGTACGCAGCCTCGGTGAAGTTTATACAAACGAGTTTGCACTCTTAACCGCTCGCATCCTGCGCCGCTGCCCAAAGCTCTCATCCCCTTCTCTCATCGCCCTGTGTGCGTCCCAGTAAAATGCAATTGAAAGCGCCCTACGCTCCTTTCCTCACAACCACTTTCTTAGTAATACCCGCCATACCCACCACCGCCCCGGTATCCTCCATACCCGCCGCCACTTCCATAACCCCCTCCACCGCCACCACCATATCCACCGCCCGCATACCCGCTAACACCGTACCCCCCACCACCACCTCCACCCACATAGCCCCCTCCTCGCGCCCCTCCACCACGACCCATGGGTCCCGGTCCATCGTCCTCCTCATCCTCGTCGTCATCGCCATCGGTCGACAGGTTCTCGATCGCTTCCATCAGGTCCAGAGTGTCCCCAAGGGAATCCGCGTTGCGTCGGCCGCCAGCAGCTGCTGCCCCACCCTTTGCAGCAGCCGAGCCGCCCCCATGCCTGCAGCCATGAGCCAGCAGGAAAGCGCGTTTAACACCACGGCATGAACTTTGAAGACACCCCTCGCTATGAAGCACAAGCGGTTGGCCTTTTAACCGTACCAATACACATGAGAGACGACAAAGCAAAACCACCCAGCCATGACCAAACTTGTACCGGTAGTAAGGAAGCCATAACTCACCCCGTTGTGGGACGGTCTGCAGCAGCAGGCCTAGTCGGCTCGGGAGCTGGCGTGGCGGCTGCTGACGACCCACCGCCGTACCGCGTCTGCGGCCTGCCAGTCGAGGAAGTTGAAGCGGCGCCGCCTCCGTATCTTCCTCCGCCGCCGCCGCGATTCATGGACGACGACGCGGCGCCGCCGCCACTGAGGCCAACCGCGATCTCCTCGTCCAGATCTTCATCATCAAAGTCGACTTCGTAGTCGTCCGCGTCTTCGCTGTGCTCGACCTCCATTTCCTCGAGGCTGAAGGAGATGCCACTGGTCTTGGCGCGCGCACTGCGTCGCTCCGAAGCCGGGGGCAGCTCCGCGGCAGATCTGTGCGTTGCAAGGCGAGCAAGACATCATCAGTTCGAGGACAGCACTCTTGGGTCGTTTAGCAACGCAACCGTGCTTTGCAAGTTGCAATGCTCAGCACCCGAAAGGATGTGGATTGAACACATCTAATAGAAATCCCACCAGACCCGCCTACCTTCGGGCTGCTCCAATCGACAGTGTGCTGCTGTGGTGCATCAACATGCGTTGCACGCTGCCGCCACCCCTGCCGCCACCACCACCACCGCCACGGCTGGGCGCGCTGCCCACAATGTTGATTGAGGAGGCTGAGGAGGAGATGGAGGAGGAGGAGCTGAAGAGCGGAGAGGAGGAGGAACCGGAGGAGCTGGCGGCCTTGGCGGCCGTCTTGCCCTGGCGTTTAGCGCCGGCTGCTGCTGCCGCAGCCGCAGCAGCAGTGGCGGCAGCAGCAGCGCGAGCGTTCGCCGCATGCTTGGCTGCCTTGGCGTCATCGCTCAGGAAGTCGCTGTCGTCGGAGAGCAGCGGGGAGCTCGTGGTGGAGGTACGGCGCTGCTGCTGCTGCTGAGACCTGCCGTACTGCTGTTGCTGTTGTTGCTGTACAGCGGCTACTACTGCTGGCTTACCCCGGTGTCCGCCCTCCTCACTGAGGTTGGAGGAGGAGACGGAGGAGAAGAGGGCGGAGTATTCGGACTCCTTGATCGATTCCTGTGGATAGCATCATGCGGCGAAAGTTTATGATGATTGAGAAGGTACTTTGTTGAAGGAAACACATCAAGCTGATGAGAAAGCTAACAAACATGAACAGCACAACAGTCGCATGCGCCTTTCTTCATCTCGCGGTCAAGAACCCAACACGCCTCCTGTGTTGTTTCCTCCCCCACCTGACGCTCCCTGCGGTGAACCATGGGTCGCGCCAGCGTGGCAGCCGGTCCTGACGGCTCAGAGAGCTTGGAGTTGGCTGCAGCAGCGAGCAACAAAACCCGCCAGCTTCAACGGTTCGGCCATTGTAACAAAACAAGAAAACAAAGAAGGAACAACTTGAAATCAACGAATAGGGAAGCTTCCTCCTAACCGATACCGCCCCCCTAGCTCAGCGCAGCGCAGCAGCCTGTTCCCTGCCCGCTGCTCCCCGCGTGCCACCGCAGCAGCCCGCACCCCACTGCCCGCTCGCTGCTCCCACCTGAGGCGCGAATGTCCGCTGAGGCCAGCAGGTCGTCCATGTCCGTCAGCAGCGTGTCAGCGGTCTCGGCGGGATCCACCGCTTGCACCTCCTGGCAGGGCGCGAGGGAGGCGGGAGCAGGAGCGAGGAAGAGGGGCAGGAGAGTGAGCTGGGCGCGACAGGCAGGAGATGGCTGGCTGGGCGTCGGTAACCATAGGTAGCTTGCACGGAAGCCGAGGAACGTCAGATGCATGTTAACGTGACGTGACGTGGTACGGAGCGCCGTACATGTGTGTGTCTGTCGTACATGTGTGTGTTTGTCGTACATGGTGTGTTTGTCGTACATGGTGTGTTTGTCGTACATGGTGTGTTTGTCGTACATGGTGTGTTTGTCGTACCTGCGTCACTACTGCGTTGTTGGCTCGCCGCAGGTTGGGCAGAGGGCCCACATCCGACTCCTCGCTGATGCTCAGGGAGATGCTGTACGACTCACTGCGGCTGAGGGAGGGAACGAGCAGGGCCAGGGGCATGATGGGGCAAGGACGGGGTGAGGGCACAGTTGGATGAGAGGAAGGGGGTTGTGCTGGGGTCCAAGAACCCCATGCATAAGAGGGATCATGAAAGAAGTGAGCGGATTCAGATCCCTTCTTCGCTGTGCTATTCCGCTACCCCCGCTTCTCCTGGTAAGGTCGATGACACGAAACGGTGTATGGAACGTCAGGTGAACCCAGATAGCTCAAATTACCGTATAACAACCGCCACTCACTCACCCCGCTGGCTTCGCCTCCGGCACCTGGAACGCGACCTTGCTGCGGGAGCGCTCCCGCTGGGCCCACGGCCCCGCCGCAGGCGCAGCTCCCCCGCCGCTGCCGCCCGCGGCTGCGCCACCTCCGCTACCGTACCTCCCCGCCGGCTGCTGCTGCTGCTGCTCCTCCTCCTCCTCCGCCACCTCCGTCAGCACATCGTCCTCCTCGTCAAGCGTGGACCGATGGTCCCGGTCGGCCGTGGTCTTGCGGCTGCTGCTGCCATGCCCGCCGCCGCGAGATAGGGTGCTTGTACGACGGAGGAGGCTGGTTGTAGCAGGCAGCTCGGAATCCTCGGCGTCGAAGTCCTCCTCGTAGGCGGAGCTGTAGTAGGAGTCAACCGACCTAAGGGATGAGGCGAAAGGAAGGTGAATCAGTACGGGCGGCGGCAGCGGCGGGTTGCTTGCTTGGCGCGAGCGAACGAGTTGCTTGCTTGGCGCAAGCGACCGAGTTTAGCATTTGGAGGAGGTACCCAGGAAGACCTCTAAGCAGCTCTGCATACATGATGCATGGTACGCTCCCTGCATGTATGCATTATAATGCCGGGTTCCGGCAGCCGCCCTCACCCCCCCCCCCCCCCCGCCATGCTCCCCCAGCCCACCTGATGGGTGGTTGTACCGCCGCCGACGGCTGGTTGTCCTTCACCCAGCCGCCAGGAGAGGTGGCCCTGCCCGCACCTCCCGCAGAGCCACCCGCCCTAGCGCCGCCTGCCGCCGCCTCCACCTTATCCTCCAGCTCGGGGTCCGAGGGAACCTCCTCTGCGACAGCCAGGCTGAGACGCGGCCGCTGCTGCTGCCGCGTGTCGCCGACGGGTGAGGTGGGCTCTGAGGCGAACTCGGAGCTGTAGACAGTGGAAGGCGCGGTGGAGGTACGGCTGCCGCTACGACTGAGGCGGCGTTGCGGCTGCTGCTGCTGTTGGTGTGGTTTGGGAGGCGCCGGGCGGACGGAGACGGAGACCATCCGCGTGAGTGAGGGGGTTACCCCTGAGGAGCGTTAAGAGGGGAATAGGGGAGAAAGGAGAATATCAAGTAGATGTCGATAGTGGGTCAGCATTGGTCGAAGTTCCCCGCGGGCCGGGGTTAGGACTAAGAAGGGATGGAGCAAGAACACCCTGGATACAAACAGTGAGGCCTCAGCAGCCCCAACCCTCGAAAGCTTGGAAGCAGCATGTAGCTTCGTAGCCTTACCTCCGCTCGAGTTGTTGGACGTCCGGGAGCTTCCTCGGTCGGTGGAGCCCCGCTTTCTGTCCATCGCGCCGCCTCCTCCGGCAGCAGCAGCAGCTGTGCCCTCCGGCTGCGGCTGCTGCTGCTGCTGTTGGGGTGCTGAGACTTGCTGCTGGGGTCCCTGCTGCTGCGCTGCTGACGCCTGCTGCCAGCCTGACATGTACGGCGCCGTTGCCCCCATGCCGTACTGTTGCGTGCTGCCGTACGGCGGCTGCGGCTGAGCCTGCATTGGCGCACCAGTGGGATGCTGCGGGGGAAAGAGGATGGGCATACCCGGCGGCATGTTCTGCGGCGGGCATGGACAGACGGCAAGGAAAGGGGATTCCCGGTTAGGGTTAGGAACCTTAAGATATGTGATGTTCGTGCCTGACCTTAAGGGTTAACTGACAACACCTGCCGGACATGGCCCAAGCCTTACGAACTGGACACACACATGGAGCTCCTCAAGACAAAGGGCCACTCACCGCCATCATCTGCGGACTCAGCATGTACGGCACCATGCCCGGTTGCTGCGGCCCTGACGTCGCCGCCGCCGCTGGCGGCTGCATTCCTCCCGCCGCCGCGGCAGCGGCGGCGTATTGCTGCGCCATTGCGAAAGGCTGCGTCGCTGCCGTGGCAGCGGCCGCCGCCGTCGCCGTCGCCGACGACACTTGCTGCATGGCCGTCGCCGCCGCTTGCGCCGCCAGCTGCGTCGCCATGCCGCTCATCTGACCGCCCATTGCGGATATCGCCTGCGACAAGACCGTCCGCATGGTAACCAAGCTCATCACCTCCCACATCATGACGGAAGTCATCTGGTAGACGGCGCCGCCAGCTGCATTCGTTCCCGCAGCAGCTGTGCGCTTCGCCGTCGCCTCAGCGGCATAGTCGCCGTCAACGCTGCCCGCGGCGGCGGCGGCGGTGGCGGTAGCCCGGGGATCGGTCCAGCGGCGACGGCGGCGTGGCGGGAGGTGTGGCCGCGTGCCCTCCGTAACCGCTGTCGATGTGCTGCTGACGTCATCATCGTCAGCATAGCTGGCATCCGTACTCGTGCCTTCCATCCTTGACGGCTCCTCGGGCTGTTCCCGCGACAACGCAGCATCGTCTCCCATTCCGGCCGCCAAGCTAACTGTGCCGTACGTCACGTCGGTATCTTCAACCTCATGACGTGCTGAAGCGTCAGCGGCAGCGGTCGCCGCCGCCGCCGGCTGACGGCGGAGGGGTGATGTCCTGCGCCGCTTTGGCGGCGACGGCGTCCGTCCTGAAAACGCCAGTTGCTGCCGCGGCGGCGACAGCTGCTGTTGCTGCTGCCGTTGGGGTTTGCGGGCCGGACTCGGGTTCCTGTTCGCAGCTGACGCCCGCTGCGGCGTCGTACGGCCGGGTGTCATCGGTCGCCGCTGAGCCGCCGCCGCCGCCGCTGGCACCTCCCACTTCTGCCGCGCCTGCAACGGCGGACTGCAGCTCCGACGGCGACTGCCGGCGTCAGGCTGCTTGCCAGCAGCGCCAGCGGCCTTCCTGGCAGCTGCGCCATCCAGCAAGCTTCCATGCCTGCCTGCACCTGCGCCAGAAGTGCCAGCGGCAGCCCCGGCTGGTCGGTGCTGCGGACGGTACGGAGGAATGGCGCCTCCGCCAGCAAGCAGCACCCTTGCAGGCGACGGCGCACGCCCGAATGGTTTCGGAGCCGACCCGGCAGCGGCGGCTACGTTCCCTCCCTGCGCTGCCCAGGCAACCTTTGGCGGCGGCGGTGGCGCTCGATGATGAGGCGGATGCCCCGCTGGCCCTGCTGCCGCCTTGGGTTTTGCCGCTTTGGCCCCGCTAGACGGCGCTGTTGAGGGACGTTTGACTCCGGCAACACCCCGAGATCCGCCTTTGCGGCCGCCGCCCCCGCGGGCCGCCTCTCGTCCCTCCGGTGTGCGCATGTTGGACAGCAGAAAGGGAGCGGCACCACCGGGCGCCTGTCCCGCCGTGGCTGGCCTGCCGCTGCTGGTTGCGACGGTGGCGTCAGGCATGAAGAGCGTACGGAAGAGCTCCTGGCCTGGCCTTGGTTGCCGCTGCTGGTGCTGGTGTTGCTGCCTCTCATCTGCCTCCTCTTCCATGCCATCCTCCTCCGCCTCCTGCAACTCCTCGTAGTCCTCATCCTCCTCGTCTTCTTCCTTATCGTCATCCTCCGCTTGCGCTCCTCGGCCCATGGCACGGGCTTCGTACTGCCCTTGTGACGCCAAGACCTCGGAGGCCGACGGCCGTACACCTAGCTGCTGCTGCTGCTGCTGTTGGGTCCAACCATGTCTCCTCGCTCCCCCTGCTGCTGAGCCGGTGCCGGTTGCGGTCACGTTAAAGGCCTCGCGATGCCGTACGAGTTGATCCTGGGCGCGATGCAGGAAGGCCTGTGGCTGCTGTGCTAGCAGCGGGTCGTTAGCAAAGAACAGCGAGGGCGGCTGAGGCGGTTGCAAGGCGTGAGCTACAGCCTTCTGACGCTGGCGACGGAGCTCAGCTGCTGCCGCGGCGGCTGTCGCAGCAGCTACCGTTGTGGAGGTTGTGGAGGCGGTGGTAGCAGTAGCAGTGGCACTGCGGGATAGGGTCATCAGCTGAGCGGGAGCAGCAGGCATGCCCGGGCCGAAGGAGGAGTCGGGTCGGGTGCCGGGTGCCGTGAATGGCCGTGATAAGGTGGAGGAGGTGAAGGTGGCTGAGGAGTGCGGCAGGACGCTGAGGGTGGAGAGGGGCGGAACACGAGGGCCGTAGTGTGTAAGACGGCAGCTGAGATGTACAGTGCCGACTTCCAGGCCTGATGGGCTGAAGAGAGACACATGGCGGATGGCGGCGCTTTGGAGGGCTGTGGCGGGGCCGCCGCTGGGTCCAGCTTGTTGGGCGCTGCTGGACATTGGCGCCGGGCTGATGAGGAGCGGCGTGTGGCCGGCTGCAAGCATAGTTGGCTTGGGCAGTGTCTTGACGTGGAATAGGGATACATAGAGTGGAGTCTGTTGGGCAAGACATTATTGAAAAAATTGTTAGCGCATTTCGGCTGTTCGGCATTACTTGCAACCACCCATGCAAGCTTGCAACAACCCTCCCGACTTGGATGTAAGTTAGCGTCAAGGGAATATAATTAAACAGGCATGGTGTACCTGTTCAACAAGGAAACGCAGCTCATCGGCATCCGCTTGGAGAACGCAAGCCTTGCCGCTGTCGAAAGTAACAAACTCGTAGGATGGGATTGGGGTAGTCTCCAAAGCGCCTTGCTTCGTATATACCAGTATGAGAGGATAATCAAGAAAACTGAAAGCAATTGCGTAGGGTATTACTGGGAAATGGGTACTGTCCGGCAAACCCAAAGTCGCCTCTACGAAAGAAGGATCAACAAACTCTAGGGCGTGCACAAAAAACTCGAAGTTGAAGTAATCAGCCATTTTGGTAGTGTTAGGTGTGGAGTGATAAGTTATGTGTGGGTCACAACGGCAGCAACATACTTAAGCGGAACAACAGCGTAACTGCATTAACAACATCAGCATTGTGTTTAGGTCATTGGAGAAGCTTTTGCGATATGATATATGGACGTTGATGGGAGGTAGCGAGCAACTAGCATAAGGCCTTTGGAGGTAGGTGGCAAACATGGCCCTTTCCTTTCACTGGGAATCAAGCAGACAATTTCCACAATCACTGCGTTCAGGTTTTACAGCCATAACTTGTTGACAGCACACACGTTATGTTGCGACCCTTAGAGTTACGGATACGTTGAAGCACAAGTGCAATCTCCCTCTGAGAAACTGAATCCAATCAATTGCTCAACGCATAGGTGCATAGTGGCCACATCGGTCTAATAGCGGCCCGTCGGCAGCGTCACCGGCGAAATGGGAACCAACGCAGGTGTAGACCTGCGAATAGGATGGGAGGAAAATGAGCAAAAGGAGTTTCTCAAGGCCTTAAGGCAACCTCTGATGGTCCAGACACCGCTCCAGCTTGTCATAGAGAATGTCTTCCAACGGCTTCAGTCGCAAGCTGTATTCATGCAGCAAATGAAGGAAAAGGTAGGAAGGCATTGCTCCCTTGCCATCAGCTTTTAGAGCGATACCGTCGCGTTGGCTACCGGTATGCGAAGCCCTTCTCCCATTGATGCCCATTCTTCCTAGCCAACCCTGTAACCGCTCTTTTGGGTAACCCCTGCCTTCACGCCCATCCTAGCCGTCCCCGCGATCTCATCTACGTGCACAGCCTAGCTGCTATACCGCATTGCAGTGCCAGCCTTCACAACTTCTCTTTCCTCTGCTGGTACATCCATGTGGACCAACCCACGCTTTCCACTCCACGCCACGCGCCCCTTTCACTTCGCAATACCCGCTTTGCAGTCCAATCGTCTCCTCCTCCTCCTTTCCTCAGCATGCGCCCGCCCCTCCAACCACCCTTCCCTGCGTCCCCATTCTCTCTCCACCCTCTACCTCGCCGCCAACTCACTCCCCATCACTCTCCTCTATGGCCATTTCCTTCCCCGGGTGGCATCAACCCCCAAAGCACGCCTCCGTGTCCCCTCCACATGAGCCCGTTACAAGGACAGCCACTTACATTAAACCCATCCAAACCCTCTGCCGCCTCTGCCCCCTCCCACCTGCCAGATGGACCGCATCGCCGTCAAGGACGTGCAAGCGGACGAGCTGCTGGACCGCATCAAGCTGCTGGAGTCACGGCAGGGCGACGCAGCAGGTCCCAAGCTCAATCCCTTCAACCAGCAGGAAATCCTGGCGCGACTAGACGTAAGTAACCTGTTGGCCCCTGTCTGCCCCAATGTTCCCCACCACCTTAAACCCTAACAAGTAAAAGGTTATGTGGGGGAACCGCTCCGGGTCGCTGGCTGACACGCCCGCCTTATGGCCCCCTGTTGCCCACTCTTATGTCACCTCCCACCTGCGCTGCCTCCCCAACGTGCGTACTCCCACCGCCTCCCTCAATTGTCGTTACCAACGTTTTTCCTCCGTCCCCGCTCCCTAATGCGTCCGCCCCCTCCCTGGTGTATCTGCACCCGCCGCCTCACCGCGCAGGCGCTGGAGGGCAAGGTGCAGGAGGCATCTGGGGAGCGGGGGCCGCCGGTGGGTTCCGTACTGAGAAGAAAGGCTGGCGTGGCTGTGAAACCCTTGTCTCCGCTGCAGGAAGGAACACACCTCAGGAAGAGACCTAAGAGACCTAACCCGCGGTGTTAACCTGATCTTCCCTTCCCCGCACATGCTCTCACATGCTCCTTCTCACGGCTCTCCCCAATAAATTTTGCTTCTGAGCCCCCAGCTCATCACCCCTTCCACGACTCCTCTCCCTCAACCTTCCCTCCTCCTCCTTGGCCCCTCCCTTCTTCCCTCCCTTCCTCCTCCCGTCGCCTCATCCCGCAGTCGGAAACCGGCGACGGCAGCATCTCCGACCTGGAAGCCCGCCTGCAGCGCCTGGAGAAGCGCATGAGCGGCGTCTACAACCTCAACGGCAAGCTGGTAGCCATCGAGCAGATCGCCTCCGGCCTGGGGCTCTCCATCCCAGACCTGGAGTACCCCACAGGCGGCGGCCCCCCGCCGCAAACACCTCCACAGGCCGCTGCGCTGCCGCCGCTGTCGCTGGGCGCCTGGCGGCCACCCACCCACCCGCCCGGCTCGCAGCTGCCGCCGCTGCTGCACCAGCCCTCTCACCACATGCAGCTGGGCACCTCTCCAGAGGGCGGTGTTGGGGGTCCTGCTGGGGGTGCTGCTGGAGGAGCAGGAGGCATCTGGGGCCCTTCGACGCTGACAGCGACCGGGGCGCCGCCAGCAACCGCCTCCAGCGATGACGGGCTGTCCTGGCTGCGTCTGGGCTCGCCGCAGGTTGGCGGAGGCGGCTACGGCGGCGCTGCTGCCGCCGACGTGCCGGCACCCCCAGGGTCCGCCCCAGCCGCCTCGCAAGCCCGCAGCGGCTCCCCACAGGTGTACAGCCCGAGAGCTGCGGCCGGCAGCCCACCTGTGATGAGCCGGCTGCTGGGAAGCGCGGGGTTGCCACCCAACTCCGCAGCCAGCCTGGGGTCGACCACCACCGGACATGGATCGCCCGGCGGGCCTAACGGAGGAAACGGAGGAAACGTCAACGTCTCCGTACAGAAGCTGACGCAGGTCGCGCAGGAGTTGGCGGCGCTTCGTGACGAGAACGAGGCGATGAAGGAGGGAATGGAGCGGTTATCGCAGCAGATCAACGCGTTGAGGTCGGGTCTGGGTTCCAATGCGGTGGAGTCGTTAAGTCGGTTACAGCAGGTGGAGGAGTCGGTTGGCGCACTGCAGGCGCAGGTTGCTGACCTAGCGGCGGCGCGGCGCGACGCGGCTGCACGACAGGGCTCAGAGGTGTCCTTCGCGGACTTCAGCCTGCTCCGAAGCCAAATGGAGGCGGCGGTCGCGGAAACCCGGGCGGCAACGGCGGCAGTGGCGACACTGTCGGAACGCGAGGTACCCGCGTTGACTGCTCGCGTGGACGAACTAACGGAGGGGCTGAAGAAGAGCGCGGAACCACGGGACATTGACGCTTTGTTCCATGAGCGGTTGAACGCGTTGGAGGCTGCGGTGGGTGACATGCGTAACGACCTGCGGGGCAGCTTGGAAGCAGCCCTGGAGAGCGCCGTCAAGCTGGAGGACTTGCAGATCGTGGAGGAGGCACTGGAGGGCAAGGCCTCCACAGAGGCGTTACGGCTGCTGCAGCAGCAGACACAAGCGCTAGGGCAGGCAGTGGCGGGCATTGGCGAGGCGCTGGCGTTACGTCCCGATCTGGCGGCTGGCGGCGCGGGCGGCGGCGGGGCGGGAGGCGCCGGAGCGGCAGGAGGGGGTCCGATTGGGCCGCTGGCGACGAAGCTCCGGTGTCTCACATGTGACCAGCCGATTAAGCCGCCGGTGCAGGGGGGTAGCAGCTGGGGTGGCGGAGGGCCGGGTGGCAAGGGAGGCGGCTTCCTGCCGCGGTTGGAGTCCATGCCGCTGCCGGCGAAGGAAGGACCGGTGGGGAGTCCGGGCATGATGATAGCGGAGTTGCGGGCGAGTAAGGAGGAGCGGTTGGCGGGGTTGCAGGTAGGGGGTGTGGGCGGTGGCGTCGGGGCGGGGTTAGGGCGGGGGTCGTTGAAGGCTGGGGAGCTGGATGAGTATGGGGGCGGAGGGGATGCGGGCGGGGGGGAGGTGAGCCCCGGGCGGGCGGTGGAGCGGTCGAGAGCGACGAGGGTGCAGATCGCGGGTGTGGGGAAGGCGGGGCCGCCGGCGCATGCAGGGAAGCCGATCTTCTTATAAGGGAGGAAAAGAAGGATACCCAGCGCGTGCAGAGGGATTGCAGCGGCTTGTGGCTGGGGCAGTAGTTGACTGACAGGGCTGAGGATGGGTGCCTAGATTGGGGGAGTGCTAGCGGGGGCGCTGGGTCTTTTGTTTGGGAGTCAGAACTGTGAAAGGCTTGGGGCTTGACACATGAAGGCTAGGGCTTTTTGAGGCCTTTCGAGGCGCTGACTCTGCAAACAGTTAGCATGACGGCAGGCTTTGGGGGGTAGCGACTAGCAGGATGACTAGAGTGGCTTGCTGAACGGTATTAGGAGAGGTTTCGTTGACACGTGTGTACGACACGCCCATATACTGCATGCGTGTGAGTGTGATGACACCCCTGCTGGTGTTGGACGTAGCTGCTTCATGGTTAGGACGGTTTCCCCTTCATGCATAGTAGAAGGAAGACTCCTGGGTGTGCTGCTAGGAGCTGTGGCGCTGACACACAGGAGGGGCGGCACAGCTGCCCATTACCACACACTGTGACGCTCACGCTGAACATGCGAAGGCAACCCGCATTGTCGATGGAACCATTCATGTTATTACCGACTACCGTACGTCTGATGTCCCGACGTAGTAGCGTGTGTTCGTTTGCAGCGATCGATGAATCGGTACGTGTCAGGTGGCTAATCCTCGCCGTACGTACCTGCGAGCTGTGATGCTCAGGCCTCTGGCCTGCTATGGAGCTGGTAGTGTGCAATCGGGGTGCAGTACGGTTCGTACTCTCGGCCAGTTTTCTTATACACATGACGTACGGTGGTGCAACCTCCTGTGTGGGAGGGGCTGCGAGAGGCATGCTCGTGCCTTGTGCTGCTGCCTGAACCAAGTGTAAAGAGTGCAGAAGGCTGGAAACCCTGGGCTTTCCGAAAGGGCAAGGGGCTTTTTGAGGCCACTGTATGCACGCAGACTGCGCACGCAGCTCGCTTGGAGGCACGCTACACAGCATGACCGCCTGTTTTGTTGGCTGGTGAAAGGACCTGCGCGGCTTGGTGTGGGTAAGTAGGCAAGCTAGCTCTTCCGTCCGCATCCTAATGGCTTTGGGCTGCCCAGGCCTGATGAAACATGCTTTCTGTACGAGCAGCCAGGGCTTTATACCGCCTGCCGCGAGGCCAAGACCAAAAGGGTTGGGACCGTTCGTCGGCAGCTCCGAAGACGCGCCGTTGAGATGCTTAGCATTAGCAATCCGCGATGACCATCCTTGCTAGTGTCTCTTCCATCCACGCCGCACTTTATTCGCTAAAAGCGAGACATACCTGTGGTTAGTCGTTTGGCGATGAGATGAAAGGGATAAGTTCGCCGATGTGACCTGAACCAGGCAGTTGGTTACCCAAGGTAGTGCAAGGATGCCGCGCATACGCAAACAGCGATTCGGTGGCGCTTCAGCCAAGCTTGCGGCCTGCTTTGACATCCTGCTGTCTGGAGCTCCAGGTGATCTTGTGTCTTGGCAAACTTCGCTCCCAACAGCTTTCGCGACGAGAAACTGGATGCTCGCGTCGCATCTTATGCTGCAACATTTAAGATAGAGGCTAACAATAAGAGAATGTAAACATCTAATTTTGAAGTACCCGTTTGGATCCAGGCGAATGCTTGGCTGGCGAGTTGGGTTGCTGCGCCGACAGCTGCTGCTCCTCTGCCGCCGTGTCACGAGCCCTGGCCGAGTACTGCCAGCACAGCGCGGCAGCGCGGGAGGCCTTCGTGGCAGGCAGGGGCCTGGAGGCGATGCAGGTTAGTGCAACACAGCGCAGGTCTGGGCCTACTGACACGTTCGTAAGCCGCTGCTGCCGGCGGTCCTCTCACCCTTTTCTGCTAGTTAATATACAACGCCTCTCCTGCCTTCCCACCTTGTGTTTCCCCACCTTGGTAATCAATTCCCCCAATTAACCCAGGCCGCGCTCACCCGGGGCAGCCCGGCGGTGGCCGCCGCAGCTGCTCGGGTGCTGGCGGCGCTGTGCGGCAGCACTGACGGACTGCGCCGCTTGCTGCATTGGCAGCGGTGGGTGGCGGCGGTGGGGGGCAAGCGGGTTGCCTGGTTTTATTGCACGCAGCAGTGCCGGTTTCTTGTGACGGTTCCCGAGAAGGCAAACGTGTGTCGCAGTGTGTGGCAGTCTGCATCCATCTCCTTCAACGTATGACAACAACCGCAACCCGCGCACAACTCCCGCATCCATGCATGCACCCATGCACGCCCGCAGCACCCAGCCCGGCAGCAGCGACCTGCTAGCCCAGCTGGCTGCCGCGGCTGGGGGCGGCAGCGGCGGCGGCCTGCCTCCCGACCTGCGGGCGGAGTGTGTGGAGGCGTTGCGGGCGGCGCTGGGGGCGCTGCACGGACCCGCGGCGGGGGGCGGCCTGGAGCTGGCGGCAGCGCTGCAGGTGCGGCGGGGGGGGGGTATTGCAACCTAGCTTCCTACCTACCTGAGGATTGTAAGAGTTTAACAAGTTTGTTAGCTCATAACCGGTACTCGCGAACCGGTGTGTGATATTGCGATAGTCCTCAGGATGTTGGCTTGTTCGACCAAACAAGCTGCTGCGCTCCCTCGCTCCCTCCGCACGCCTTACCACCTCAGGAGTCTTTGAAGAGCTCTCCTGACTCCCGCCCGCCTAGCACCAGCTCCGCCGCCTCTGCTACTGCTGCTGCCGCCGCCGCTTCTGTTGCAGCCACCCGGGCCCCATGCGACCTCATCAGTCGGGTTGCCGTACCCGCCCTCCTGACGCCCAACCTGCACCTACGCGCCGCAGCGGCTCGTCTGGTAGCGGCGGCTGCAGAGGAGGGGCTGCTGGGGCCACCTGACGGGAGCGACGGAGGCGGAGATGGGGGAGGCGGCGGAGCGAGGGCCGCCGCCGGGACTCTTGCGGCAGCGCTGGGGCTGACGGCGATGCGCAGCACGTGCGGTGGCAGAGGCGGCGGCGCTGATGATGTTGGAGGAGGCGGAGTGCAGATGGCAGCGCTGTGCGAGCTGGCGTCGACTTTGCTGTTGAGCGGAAGCACCCAGGTGACATAGCGGGTCGGTGCGAGGAGGGGTGTGCCTGCGGGGGTGCCTGCATGCGCATATGGTGCTCTTGCAGCATGGTGGGTGCTTTAGCTGTGTCTGTCCCTGACGTGCTGTCCCGCGCTGCGACCCATGGGTCGTCCACAGGCGTCCCTCATCCTCCGTGAGATGCGGGCACCGCAGCGCCTGCTACAGCTGGCGGAGGCGGTGTACGGGCGGCTGCAGCCGCCGCTGGAGCAGCAGATGTACGACAGGGAGGCTGTAGCTGTACGGCGGTACGGGAGCGCTGCTGACGTCAGCGACTCAGGTAATACATTTCGTGGCTGATCTGGGGTGCGGCTTGTTGGGTGATGCAGGGGCCTGCATGGGATGATAGGAGAGCTGCTTGCTTATACATGAACATGCTAAGCCTTCGCCCCGTCCTCATCTGTCCTTCTGTCCTCTGCCGCACTTTCCAGATCGAAACGCGCTGATGGATGCCGTACTGTTGTGTGTACGGCACGGCCCTTCACGACTGTGGCGGTCTGCCGTACGACAAGATGACAAGCGCCGGGGGCCGTGCCGTCGCCGCCGCATTGGGGAACAGGGGCCCGAGGCAGCCGGGCTCGGCAGCAGTGGTGGTGATGACGGTGGTGGCTGTCAGGCAGAGAATGGGCTTGCCGCGGTCCAGGCGGCGGCATTGGTGGAGATGCAGCAGGGGGCGAAGGTGGGTAAGAGACATTGACAGAGCTCATGCTTCTGCTGCTGCTAGGGCAAAATTTGTTATATGTTCATGGCTGCAAGTGTGGCATGATCGAGCCACGCTTGCCCTTTCGCCCCCACCCCCTCCATGCGCGCCGTCAGGCCTTCGCAGCCGGTGTAGCGGCATTAGCGGTCGATATGCTGCTGGCCTCTTCAGGCAGCAGGGGCGGCAATGGGGCGTACGACAGTCTGACTGCAGCGATGTACGGCAGCAGGATGTACGGCACGACATTACGTGGAAACGCGGCAGCGCTTGCGTCAGCTTTGGCGGAGTGGCCGCAGGTTGTTGTGCAAGGAAGGGGGTGGGAAACAGCGCAAGCTCCGTAATGTTGTTGTCGTACCTCACATGCATTTAGATTTTAGGATTTGGCTGGAATTGGATGGCGAGGACTGTCTGCCGTACAACGTCCCGAATGCTGCCTACAGGTTGTGCTCCGTGACCCGCGGGTCAGTTGCGCCGCAACTGCGCTCCTCAAGCGGCTCTGCGAAGACGTGGGGACGGCTCTGGCGACAACCGACTGTCAACGGCTCATCATGGCGGCGGGTACGGATGCCGGCGCCGAGAGGCGTGTCGTGGCTACCGGCGCCGCAGCCGCTGTACGATTGTACGGGGCGTTGTACGGCAAGGCTGGCGAGGATGCTGGTGCCGATCATGCGGTTGCGGGGGATATTGGCGCTTCCACGGGCGGAGAAGAGGCTGCACATGCGGCACGGCCGCTGTTGCAGGGGCTCTTGCTGAGGCTGCTGGATGCGGCATGTGAGCTGATCCGAGTACGGAATTTCAGTACGGCAGCTGAGATCTTGAGGGGGATGCTGCAAGCATTGCTGCCGCCCTCTTTGAGGCCGCTGGTGTTGGTGACGAGTGGCGGTAACGGCGGCGGTGGCAGCTGCACCTCGGGCCAGGCAGCGGCTGCAGCCCCCGCGACAGCGGCGGAGAAGGAGGAGGAAGAACGCCTGGGGACGCAGTTCGGATGGAACAGTAGCAGCAGCAGCGGCAGCGACGGCAGCAACTTTCTCCTCCTGCGCAGTCTCGGTCAGGTGACGGCGGCCCTGGTTGCGGGGCTCCTAGTCAGCGGCGGCCTGGCATCCACTCCCTCAACCCCTCCTGCCCTGCTGCCGCGAGACGTACGACAACCGCTTGCCGTACACCTCGATGAGGGTGCTGAAGCAGCCACCGAGGGACCGATGTGGGGCGAGAAGCAGCAGGGTTATTACTACCATGATGATCAGCAAGCCTGGGGTGCTGCAAGCGGCAGCGGCATGGCAGGCACCTACAACGACAGCAGCTCTGGGCGCTCTTCGCTGCAGTATCAGGGACAGGGACAGGGCGGCAGCAGGATGCATGGCGCGTTGCGGGAGCGGCCCGTGGACGCGCTGGCAACGGACGAGCATGCGGCGTTGTGTACGGCGCTGCGGGTCTGGGGCGGGCTGATGGGGCAACGGCAGGTGTGCACGTGCAGGAGGGAAGGAGGGGGAGCTACGGCTACGGCTGGCGTGCTTGGTCATCATGCGGAGGCGTGCGACGCGTGCGCAGTTCGGCCAGGGGGTCCTTTGCTGGCTGTCATGGAAGCCGCTGAGAGCCTACTTCACGCGGAGGCTGGATTGTTTTCAGGCGCGTGTACGGACACGTTTTGCACGAGCAGCGGTACGCCTCAGCTGTCGTACACATCAGTCGGCATGCAGCTAGATACCGGGCCGTTCGGAGCAGCCCATGCGGCGGTTATGCTTCATGGCGGATTTGAGTGCGGCACTGGCTTGGAGCAGCGCAGCATACGTTTGCTATCAGCGCTCAGGTTTGCCCTAACAGCTGCCATCAAGACCAACCCTACTACTACTTCTACCTCTCCGACTACACAAGAAAGCGTCCCCCGCCCAGATCGCTGTTCTCTTAGTCTGGACAAGTTGGAGCGGATGCGGTGCCTGCTGCAACAGCTGGATGGTACCGGTATTCCCGACCTTACCAGACTAGGCTGCATTAGCGGTGACTGGAAAGAGGACACCCCGCAAGACGTGGTTGGGGATGAGGGTTTGGAACCGGCGGGTGCTGACGTGGCTGTTAGGGAGGAGGCGACCACTGCGGAAGAGCTGGCGGAGGCTGAGGCTATCCTGGAGGAGTGCCTGGCGTGTATCCGCACCGCCAGCAGTGGTGCCTCGTTGTCAATACCCGCGTGGGAATGAGGCTGTAAACCGCGTTGCTGTAACACGTAAGCGCTTTCCTTACCCAACCGCAGCTGGTATCAGATTATGTAACCCCTCCGGAGGCCAGAGAGGTCATTGCAACGCCAAACCCCCTCACGAAGACGCGGATGGGATTTTCACTAAGGGGTTCATCAGGACAGTGGGGCATATGCCCATCTGGGTTGTCCCATTCGCCTGCGCTGCTCAAGCTGCTGCTTTTGTTGCTGCTGCTGGGTGCGCGTGCCAGGCGTGCTGGATACACATGAGACCAAGGGCCCAAAGCTCAAGTCCTGCGTTACATCCGCATTCCCCGGGCTGCTACGAACAGCGCTTAGATGTCCTGAACAGAGAGGCCTGTGGGTGAGAATGTTCCAAGGGGATGGGCCGGGGTAAGGGCTGTCAGTAGAGTGCTATAGTACCAATAAAGAAATGAATGACTAGATGTGCAACGCTAGATAATAAATCCTGGTCCAAGTATCACAAAGCCGGTGGACTTGCAACGAATGTCGGCAGGAGCTCCACCACCTAACAGCATGCCAGTAACTCTCCACGCTAAATAACACCATTTCTATTATGATAAACAATTTTGTCGTGCTGCTGCTGGGCCTGCTCAAGACTGACGGCGCTGCATCCGCCGCCCTGGCCCGTCGCACACCGTGCCGCTGCTTCACAAGTTGCTTACCAGGAGGCAGGGACTGCTTGAGCTTATCGGCCTTGTCCGAGTCAGCCACGCACAGCGTGTACAGGTACTGGGAGCAGCGGACCTTGAACTTGGTCACGCCATTGCTCTTCTTGATCTTAACTGACCGCGCGTCCTTGCGACGAGCAGTCAGCAAGAAGTCCTTGATCTCGTGAATCTGCTTCGGCTGCAGGAATCGGAAAAAGGAACCAGTGTCACATTCCCTACTTGCTTGCGGGCGGCGCGTTCACGCGAAGTAATGTTCTTTAACTAGCTCACCATTTTGACCACAGGGGCTAAATGCACGCAGGAAAAGGAGGACTAAGGCGGGGTCCGCGCGACTTTTCCCTCGCGGTTGCCCCCCTCCCTGGAAGTACGGTGTATTGGGTACCTAAGCCATTCTCTCCTAATCACTATCAATCGCTATAATCCATCTATCCATGTTGCTGTGCGTTACTTCTTGCGCATCTTATCAACCCAAGCTGTCAGCCTCCCTGCTTTCAACACTCGGTGACATGTCGCCCCTCAACGGCTTCCCCGGCCCATGTAACCTCGGTGATAGACTGATATACATCTCATGCACAATTCCAGAATTTAGGTCTGATGACCAGGCAGGATAGGATAGCACAAGTCCAAGGAAATTGCCCATTCATCTTGTCGCGCAGTATGGTACATCGGCTTAGGCTCAGCCGTCGAGCGGCAGCAGTGTGCAGTGCTGTGCTGTTGGTGCTGGTCGCTGTCGCTGCGCTGAGCGCTCCCAAAGTTGCGGGTAGGATGTTGCGTGTGGTCTTCCGCCCATCGAGTGACCCTGCAGAACCTAATACCATTACCTCCAATACCTTGGGACTTTCCATTTTAGCGTGCCCTCACTCGCACCACTCCCCCTTTTCCAACGCAGCCGTAGACGATGCCCGCTGTCAGAATGCCATGAAGCTGCAAACGGATCCCACCATCACCTCCTTCAAGCAATGCGCGGGAGCCAACCCCATTCCCCCCAACTGCTGCATCCGCATGGCACCATTCATCCAGTACGCCGATTGTAAGTCCACCAGTAACCTTTAAGCCGCCTGCATACGGTGTCCTAACCCTTTCTCGCTTGTACACTCTCGTTCCGCCTCCCTCCTTTTGCCCCGACACCCCCAACCGACACCACACAACACCGCAGCCCTCCTCACCTCCTCTCTCCGCACATCCCTCACCCCCGCAACCCTACCTCTACCTCACTCTCTCCTCCCTTGAAACTATCATGCCAGGTGTCCTAGTCACAAATACCACAACACGATCTCATCCTTCTTTCCCCTCCCATCCGCAGGCCTCCAGGTGCCCAAGTACAAGCAGATGGCGGACTCCTTCCTCGCGCCCAACGTTACGGTCGACCGGGCGCTCAAGGACTGCCTGGGCGGCTGACCTGAGCAGCAGCGGGGTTGGGTTCAGGGGGCGGAGCTGCGGGCCACATTCATCCGTTAGGGCTGGGACTGGGGGGCGGCGCGGTGCTGCTTGCAGGTACCTGGAGATCTGGAACGAGTCTGGGCTTTGCTTTAGTGCGGCGTTGGGTTTTGGCTGGGCTGGGGCTGTGAGGATGGCATGGCCTGATGCGGTATAGGTGCGGTGGAAAGCGTTGGTAGCAACAATTCGGGGAAAGGGTGGCAGTCGGGTGCTTTTGAGGCTGCTTGCGGCATGGTCAAGGTGGTGCAGTGATGCCGTACTCCATGTGGGTCCTAGGAATGTGGCCTCTGCGCCGGCGTGCGTGAAAGCTCGAAAGAAAAAAAGAGGGGCGTGGTTGTTCAGTTACCGGTAGTGATGGCCACTGCTATGGAGAGGGCGTGTGTGGGATCTGTGTGCTTTTGCTGTGGACCCGAAGAACGCCATGCGAGTGTTGGTATGAACTACAAGGCGGCCTAACGGATGATTGTTGTGGATGGAGGTACGGGCGTACCTCCATCCACAAGGGCGTCGGGTCTGGGTGTGGGACACTGCTAGGGCAGGCAACTAGGAACGGCATGTGCCGCACGGGTCCTCAACGGGGTGTGTGGCGTGGTGCGACGCCGCTGTAATGCGCACACGTACACCGCTGACCTGATGGCCTCCCTTGTAACAAACTAAGGCGCACCACAGGAAGCAATGTCGCGGGGTGAACTGGGAAAGAAGGGGACAGGCTGCGGTTGAGAAGGCCAGTGCACGATGATGACCCATGGGTCACTTCTGCCAAATCTACCAAAAGATGGGGGCAGATACCTGCGCCTGGCCAGCTGTTAATGACGCGAGAACGATGTCCCTTTATCTTCAACAACTTACATGTGGCATTGGCCGTGCGCTTTGGCGCATCTCAAGTACACACTTGGTACGCTCGACTAACGGTACTGTTAACAAGGTTAACCACCTGTCAAGCTACCTAGCTTCTTCACATCTTCACCCTTTCCATCGTCTTCCTGTTACATGTCCTGGCATGTCGCAGCTCATGTATTTATGGGTCTGTTACATGTCTTGGCATGTCACAGCTCATGTATATATGGGATAACGTCCAACAAACAACATCCAATCAATACCCCTTCTGTAGCAGCAGCGTCTCTATGAGAAGCTAGCCTCCTTTGTCGAGGCGACCACGGCTCCCCTAGATCGGCTCCTAAACTTACTTAGGCAACGCAGGGCCCACGAAGCCGTTTTCGAAGCGACAACTGGCTCTGCAAGCGGCATGGCGTCCCACAGCACATCACAACGAAACCGGCCCCCGCACATGTTTGCATGCACGGACACTGCATGCATGTAGGACCCATCTTCCTACCCAACTACCCAACCACATGACCAACAACACAAGCTCGAAATAGCCTAGCTGCCCACCTCAACCCCCAAACACCCCTACCAGCAAACCCTCCCATGGCAAGAGCCACTCAACTGCTCACACCGTGTTCCCGTTCCCCGTCATCCCGACACCCCCCATGCCGCCGTTTCCACCAACGTCTCCGCCGCTGACACCGCCACGTCCCGCCGGCATGGGAGTGGGCGGCGCCGGCAGCCAGCCCGGGCTCCCGCCGCCTCCCAGCGGGTAGTAGCTGCCCGGGTGGCCCGGCGGCGCACGAGGCGGCGTCGCACTGATGAACTCGGGTGATAAATCCAGCTCCTGCAACGGTAACGGTCAGGGTAGCTCGGGTTCGCGCCAACATGTTATGTCACAGAGCAGACTACCATGATGAGTGCCGCCTCGGAAGCTACATCAGGTACTAATACTGAAGAATAAACCGGTAACAAATCTAAAAATCCCATTGCCCACACGTACCTCTGGATTGACCACGAGGGGGCTGTACTCGGGTGCGAGTCGGGACCGAATGACTGCAGGCAGCGGCATCCGCTGAATCAGCCGGGTCTGCAACGAGTGCAGCGAACGGGTTGCCTGGAGGGGGTTGGGGGAGCAGGGGCGGGGGTGCAGGGCACGAGGGAAGCTTACGGATGCGATGTGGTGAGGTGCGGTGGCGGGTGGGCCACGGCAGGCAACGCGCAGCATGTGGGCAGAGCGCACACCGCTGCACACCTCATAAGCGCCGCCCCTTCCTTCCCTTTCCCCCCTTACCTGCGGCATGGTCCTCCAAGACGCGGCAACCACCCCAACCGCCACCGCAACCACCGCTCCTGCGACCACCAGCCCCATCACCAGCCCCGTACGTCGACGGTGACCTCCGCCTCCACCACCACCGCTTGCACCACTTCCACCGCCACTACCGCCGCCGGCAGAATCCGTATGCGCACTACTGCCACCACCGCCGCTGCCTTCACCACCGCCGGCGGCAGGGGCCGGCGCGGGTGTGGGTCCTGGTGCCGGCGTAGGTCCCGGCGCGGGCGCTGGACCGGGTGTTGGACTGCTCTGCCGTACACATACGGAGGGGCTGCCGCTGCAACTCCAGCCCGGCTCCACGTGACAGGTGGAGGAGCAGCCGTCCCCGTCGGTCAGGTCTCCGTCGTCGCACTCCTCCACGCCCTCCACCACCGCGTTGCCGCACGTGCTCAGCCAGCGGGTGACCTGTGGGGGCGGAGAGGGAGCGAGGGAGGGGAGGAGCGAGGGAGGGTAAGGGACGGAGGAGCAGTAGCAACAAACTCAGCTGGAGAGGAGGAAGAGGCGGGAAAAAGCAGGACAGACCCAGCCGGTGTATGAGTCCCTTTCGCAGCAGCATGTGGACAGGGACTCTCTGAGGGGCAACACAACGCGGGCTAACAAGCTCCGAGCTCTCTCTCCCCCCCGCTTCAACGCGTCTCACCACCCACTGCGGCTGCTGCAGCATGATGAGGTCGTGTCCGTGCCCCGTGGCGTCCCGCACGCGGTATCCGCTGCCCTCGTCGAAGCGCCAGTAGGCCAGCAGGCCCGGGGTGGCGGGGTCCACACCGGGGTGGTCGAAACCGCCTGGGGAGGAGGCAGGGAGGGAGGAGCGAGAGAGGGAGGCGAGGATGATAGGTGGAAGCAAGGTTTGTATACCTTGCTACCCAACATGAGAGGGGATAGATGCAGCTGCGACCGAGGGTAAGAGCGAGGGTAAGAGCGAGGATGCTGAAGGGGGGTGTTGTGAGTGTACGTGCAATCGCATGCATGCGTATTGCGTACGGCACTGCATGTGGTGGAGGGGGTGATGACAGGGGCGGTGCGGTGCCACTTGTGAGGCAAGGCTGCAAAGTAAAGGAGGTGCAGCGGAGGGAAAAGAAGAAGAAAGAGGTGCAGCCATAGAGCTTGTGTCGTTGTGGGCTCTCTCTTGGGGGGGGGCCTTTCTCCTCCTCTCACCCGCGCCCCGCCCGTCGTCCGCGTCCATGCCCTTGCGGATGTCCTCGGCGCTGCGGACGACACTCCACAGCCGCATCTCCTCGATCACACCCGTGAAGTCCTACCCGTGCGTGTACGGCAAGGAAGGGAAGAGAGGGGGATATAACATTAGGTGTGACATTGCGCTGCTCCAGCTGCTACAGCCGCATGTGACAGGGACCCAAAAGGCAGCCCAGGAGGGCAGCCTAGGAAAGGAATGTCCAGGTCTAGTACATGAGCGCGTCAAGGAATGTAGGGGCGCGCATCGAGGCCCCGCACCTAAGAAGGTTCGGACACACACGTCGGGTCGCACATCAGGATCGGTACGACTCCGTACCTGAGCGCCGTACTCCTGGTCCTTGACGGGGCTGATGTTGCCGCTGGCGCCCTCCGCGCTGTCGAAGCAGCCGCCTATACAGTCCTGTGGGAGAAAAGCGAGGAAGGGAGCCGTTGGTTGTTATAAGTGTTGCAATACTTGCAAATCTTGCACCATCGGAACGACGTAGTAGGGACGAATACGACTAGTTCGCTTTCCTTCAATAATAAAACTAAAAGCATTTTTGAGCTGGGAAGTGTGGCCATAGGCGAGGGCAAGCGGCGAGGCAATCATCGGCGTGCATGTGGACATGGTCGACGTGCTGAACCGCGAGCTTTTACCGCCGGTCCATTCTCCTTCGCGAGAGTGATAATCAAAAGGAATGCAATATGAGAATGTCGTTGGCGTGGCAAAAGCATCCAGGAAATGGGCAAAAGGCCGGGGAGTTGCGGGAATCGAACCCGCGACCTCTCGCACCCAAAGCGAGAATCATACCACTAGACCAAACTCCCTCGTGGCTATGAGGCTAGCCGCACTGCTTATGTACGCCACTTCCGCTTCTTCCCTCTCCTTCCCCTCTTGGAAACGCGGGCGTGCTTCTCTTCCGCCCGCGCGCCCTAACGATGTTCTCAAAGGAGGAGGCCCCACGTCACGGCCTTTGACCTGACCCAAGTTCAGACCCTTTGCCACACATCTGCCTCTCTCTCTCATCTGCTCTTAACTCTTCCCAACCCCGTCGGGCCCACCTACTCAAATGTGCATGCTTCAAACGCAACTCAAGCGCTTAACGACGTTAACTGCCCAAAGCATTTCATCCCTAACTTTATTGGGTGGGGTCAATAGACCGCCAGAAATTGCGGAAGGCCCCGAAGGACACGACCGCGGGGTTGGAAGTTAGTTTTCAACCAGCAATAGTCGCGACTCGGTTAGACCTCACAGTCTGCGACATTGCCCCAAGCGCAAAGATAGTGAGTACAGCGCTCCTGTGGCGCTACCCCTACCCTCGGGTTCGGGTTTGCATTCTTACGGACGATGGTGGGTCACGAAGCTTGCTTTCCACTTGTGCCTTACCTCCCGCGTACCGGTACTTCCCGCGCAGGTTGTATACCTAAATCATCTTGAAAATGGCCACCTATTCGTTGGGTTCTCACTTCTTAGGTAAGACTTTTCCACCCATATTGGCAAACACCGCCTCCCACACACTCTCCCTCCCTCCCTCCCCCCCTTCACACACACGCACCTGCTCTCGCCCAATGACCAGCGTCCCGCCCGAGGGAATGACCTTGCCCCTGCCACGTGTCACCGTCCACACCGGCCGACCGTTGTCGTACAACCGAACGGTGCCTGTCGTACTCTCCCAACTAACCGCCACGTGGTGCCATGTGCCGTCGGTTGCTGACACGCCGCTCTGGTGATCTGCCAAGTGGCCCTCGTCCTCCATCACAGATACACCCCTGGGGGTGAGAGGGGGAGGTGAGGTTATAACATGAGGAGTTACAGCATGAAGGCAGAGGAGTCACGCCATCAGCTGCCATCGAATTAAAAGAAGTCTTTTGGTCTCCCCCCCCCCGCACCAGCTGTTGTAGTTGAACAGCAGGAAGGCGTTGTCTCCGTTGTCGTACTCCCCCACCGCGTAGCTGAAGGGCACCCCGGGGCGGCAGCGGTCGGTGCTCCACATCCAAAACTCCAGCGTGAGGGAGGTGGAGGGGAAGTCGCGGAAGGAGGGCAGCAGCAGGACCTGATGGGGGGAAGGGAGGGAGGGAGGGAGGAAGGGAGGGAGGGAGGGAGGGATGAGGGGTGGGGCGGCGCGGGGCGGTGCTGTCGTTAGAAGTCTGCCATCTACGGTATTGCCCACCTACCCGCTTTACGTGCCCACATTAGTGTAGGAAAGTGAACACTGTCGCGCCCCGACATGCATGCCCTCCTCACCACCACCCACTCTACTCATACACCCCGACTCAGCTGCATGAACCCCCTCCCCCCTCTCCCACCCCATGCAACCCTTGATGAAGTCTCTCGCCCTACTTCTCGTCAG